TTCTTCATTTCCAGACTCTATTTTTCATTTTATATCCATTTCATACTTCAATTAATTTTTTTTATTCTTTCAGAGAACCTCTTGTCTACCCTCCCCCCTCTTTTTCATGTTCATTCACAACTAGTCCGTCCCATTTTTATCTTCTCACAAAAAAGAAAAAAAAAGCGTAGGCAGACAACATTATATTTTCTTCTGCCCATTCTTGTCTCAAGTGCTGATAGCGAGACACATTGGCATGCGGAGGAGAGTTGAACCTAAAGTACAGTAACCAAGGGTAAACATGTAACTTTTTCTCAGAAATTTGGTTGTTTTTCATCTTCTCAATTTTATTCTACAACTGCAACGCAACCGTAAACTTTCAACTAAAACACATAAGTATTTGCAAAAACATTTTTAACGCTGGAAACCAAAAAGGTTTCCGCGAAACTGCTCCTCCACAGAAAGAGTATTTTTCTGTGCGCATGACGAGGGTGAAGACCAGATGAGCACTACAAATTGCAGCAATTCCTAGCCACCCCAACTTTTTCCTCATCCTCCGTCATTTCCCTCATTCTCCTTCCATTCTACATAATGCAAATAGCTGTTTCATTTTTTGCCCCTAAATGAGCGTCTTTGTTCTCGTAAACATACGAACGAGATATTTTTGCTTTTTTACTACTAATTGCATGGCGATAGGCTCGTTTGTTGACGTCATATACGTATTATTTTGAAATACTTTTATCTGACAAAAACTTCTAAAGGTGAGACTCCGTTGCTCTCAAAAAGTCCACAAATCCCTATTTCATGTGCTGAATTCTGATGCCTTAATTTCCATTCATTTCATAATCATGATCATCATGAATAGACGTCACCTGCGCTCCCAAATTGTTGTCAGCGTCACATGAATTTGATAAAAAATATTTGAAAACGTTGGGGATTATATCAATTCCCAGTACAGTATAGCGGGGATTTTATTGTTATTTAGGACGGACGGGATTGTTGTCTAGATTGGTGGTCCGTTTGGAACATTGAATTAAGATTCATGGGTCTTTATTTATTTATTACTAGAATAGACTCTCACGATATGGTTAGATGATCCAGCTTTGGTTGTTATTGGGGTCCAAGTTTCGATCCGAACGATCCGACTATCTGGTAAGGGCAGGGTTTCGCGAGAATTTCTGCCTTTTAGGGTTCCGAGTTAGAACATAGGCGGGCCGTAGAAATTTCTATGCCGGCCTTTTGACCAGCTCTGATATTCGCTCATGTTTTGTTTTGTTGAAAAGTTATCAAAAGAAAAGATCGATTTTACTGTACAAGTCGTCCAAAGCGGATTACCTAGAAATCTATACATTTTGGTAGTCACTTACAGTTTCTAGAACACTTCCTTCCTCCTCTTCTTCCTAGTTCTCAGTCTCAATTTCTTTCAAAGGTCTACTGTCCCCGCCACAATGCAGACAGATTATTTCAAGACAAATACTCTAAAATTAGTCTGCTCACTACACTACAAAATAAAAAGTTTTTTCTTCTCTTGCGATGCACACACACACAGCAACAAAAAACCGCTCTCGTTGATTGAGATTGACTAGACGACATCCGCTTTCTTCGTCTTCTTCTCCTCGGACAGAGGAGCATCGGTGAAAAAGGTTGGCGGCTCGACATCTTCATTTGAGTGTTGTGAATTGCCTATTTCTCTTTCTGCAAAGGGAAGAAAGAGGGGCGGAGTCAAGGGAAGAGAGAAAGAAAGAGAGAGAAAGGCTCCGGCTCAAGCTCTCCGGCCGGCTCTTTCTCTCATGTCCCCCTTGTGCTGTTTGATTTGATCTGTGCCAGGCGGGTCCTTCTTCTCCTATTCTTGTCGTCGAGACATCTTCCTTTGCTCCTTCTTCTTCTTCTCTGCCTTCTGCTTGACATGAATCCTCTGCTCGGTAAAAGATATGCACCCACACCGACGGACACAACTCAAGAAGCCGTTTCTTTTCTTTTCTTGAAGCCTAGCAGAAAAAGACGGATCTAACTAGATCTTTCCTCTCACCCCCCTTTGCTTTGCTTCTTCTCCTTTTGTCAAGAGAGATGACAGGACGATCTCTTGTTCATTCAAACGAACTTACTCGCATCAGTCCAGTCGCCACTGATTTGTGCTTTCTTTTCAACTGGAAACCAACGTTTCTCTTTCTTCTTTTCTCTAGTTCAGCCCCACTTCCAGATTCGCTATGAATCAGAGCGTTGGGGGTGGAAAAGTTTAAGTCACCTGTTCTCAACTAACATTTTTCATTTACACCTGACGTCAAAGATCATCTGGAAACCTGAACAAGAGTAAAACCTAAAATGCAGTTTCTTGTTGTTTGAGAAACCCCCAAAACCTAAAAAGTAATCTGTCTACGACACTTCTACTTCAAAACATAACTGTTTTCCTCTCTTTTGCAATTCTAATTTTCAATTTTTTGCCTGTGGGAGCGCCAAGGGGCAGGCCAAGACGGACCAAAAGTTTATGGGGCACTCTCCAAAGCGGCTTAACTTTGGCGATGTTCCCAGAAACCGCGCACTGGCCGGGATCAAGCTAAGGGGGGAGGGTGACTCAAGAAGTTTGAGTTGAGTTTTCCGCTCTTTTTTCATCCGTTTTCACATCAAAACTGACACCGGACAACTTCAGCTAAATCGGACGGAAAACAATAGATGAGATGAGCAAAAAACATAAAGGAGGGAAGTGGTACACACATATTTTTACGTTGATAGTCAGTAGTTTGAAGCTACATAGTTCTTAAGGCTTTTGGTGTCATATTTTTGAGCACTTCTGCAGAACTCCCAGAAAATTCGTGCAGATTTGGAGAAAATAAAAGTCCATGTCTTGAAAAGTTCTGGAAAAAAAGTGGCGTTCTTTTCAATTCAAGCCTTTTGAACTACTTGACTTGTTCTCTATCGCCCATCAACAAAAAAGTTGGAGGTCCCGCTCAGCTCATTCACTCGAATCCACCCCCCTCTTTTCCCATAATACATATATTTCAATTCATTCACTGCTTTTCGTCTGTCCATGTGTCCCCTTTCCGCCTTTTTCAATTTTGATGCACTTTGAGTACCGACACATGTCATGACATCTTTCTCCTCCCAGTCCCTTACCAGAAAAAGAAAGAAGGAGAGGGAGAGGGAGATCTGTCATCTTATGAAATGGAGAAGCTCTCTGTCCGTCGCCCCCTTTTCCGTACCGAACAATGTTCACTGAGCAAGCAGAACAGAGTAGAGCAGAAAAATGGAAAAAGTTAGATGGAGGGAGGAGTCCTAGCTCTCACTTCTCACATTCGATATGTACGCTTGAGGGATCGGCCCTCGCCTTCTCCTCCTGCTCTCTGTTTTTCCGGAAGCTGTGCTGTGAAGACGGGCGGGCGCACAGAAAAAGAGAAAGTGATTCTCTAGAAGTGTTCTCGGATTGAATTAGGCGGTTTTATTCTCAGTCACGACGACACCCGCCTCTTAAAATGGGACGCGCATTCTTCTCCACCTTTTTTTTCTTGAAAGAGGATCAAATCAGTACTTGTTGATAATGTGGCGCTTTACAAAGATCTCTTTAACTTCCACGCTGTCCTTCTATTTTTGGAAGAACGAAAACTACTGGTATGGCTACAAAATGATGAGAAAAAGATCGATTTATGTATGTTCGGACGGAGGGAACCCCCAGTAGGTTCAGTGAACTGCAAAGCATGAAAGATCAGTCTCGTTCCTGTCTCGTGCTCTCCAAAATCTACCGAAATATGTCAGATATTCTGAACTTCATTTGTAGAACGGACAGAGTTGCCCTGTCCAAAAATAGTTTGCAGTCAGTGTATTGCTGGAAACCTTTGCGAACCGCACCCGCCAATCGATCAATGCAACATGTGGCTTCACAATTCTCAGTCCCTCTCAGTTTCAAAGTTCCAATTCGATCCATTTCATTTCTCAAATGTTCGGCTCTTTTCTGATCCTCCAATCAAAGTGTCAACTCTCACAAAACATCACTCTCCACGTCAACTTCGATATGTCACAGAACATGCGCGTAAGCGTTTATTTTCTCGAGAACAACACCTATAATTTGCCCCCAAAAACCACTTTGACTCTTTGTCCTTCTCCATTTCAGCTTTTTTTTTCATGAAAAACACACAGGATAGAGTGAGAGATAGAGAAAAACAAAACCACTTTGGAAAATGGAGTAAGAGGCCTCAATTTTATGACCCGATCTCTTTTTTTCTGTGAAGTGGCAGTAGGGGAGGTATCTATCCTTTTTTGTGTGCGGGTTTTGGTTTCGAAATCCGAAAAGATGATGAATTTGCTTGTGCTTCTCTGTCAGACTCCGCCCACACAACCACTTCAAAAATTGAGTAGGACCAGCTGAATTTATGTATGTATGTCTAGAGTCAATCTCCTGGCAACGGTCACATGCATTCTTTGTTTCATTTCTTTCTCTGAAAACTTTTCAGGAGTTTTTGGTGAAATTATTTATTTCAAATCAAAACTCAACTTCATAATCACTTTTCTTTGAAAATCAACGCCTACTTCTGAGAAATCTGAAACTTGACACCTACGCTCGAAACATTTTGGTATAAATAGTTAACCATGCTCATAGAGTTGCAAAACGTTTTTGTAAACTGTCTGTTAGTTTTTTTTTTCCATTTTAGACCAAATCAAATTTTGCTAGAACAAACAGTTACTCACATTGAAACAATAATGAAGTTGTTGTGAAAGACCTCATAAACTACAATATTTTCACATTTTCCACCTGCCAAGAAGTGTCTAGAAGCAGGTGACATTCAATAGGCACCTCTCCAACTTGAAGAACTCTCCACTCTTCTTGCGGCGTGGCTTTTAGCCCTTTGCTCTCAGCTCTCAACGCTTTGCTTGCTCACCTCTTTCTTTGTGGATAATTGACCAGCCGTCCCTCTTTTCCGAGACCTCTTTTTACCTAATACTCAATGCAAATGAACATATTTTGAGATAAAAACCAGTTCAACCGGACGCAATCTCGGCATGTGGTAACCACAAAGACCAGGCCTGGAATAATGGAACCGACTCCTCGGCACCGCGCCGACATGATCTCGTTCTTCACTTTCGACTCTTATATCTCAATTGTCGGCGTTGCGTACACTGCCGTAGGTGAGTTGGAAGAAGGTAGCCAAAAAATAAGTAACACATGAGTTTTTTGCAGGTCTCCTAGGTGTTGTGTGCAATGTGACAACGGTAATTATGATAATGACGAACCGAGTCTTCCGTCTTTCCGCATACACAATCATGGCCAATGTTGCGCTGGCGGATAGTATTGTGATGTTGATCGGTGAGTTGGGAACGGTACAAACAAAGATTTTTTCAAGAAAGTGGAGTCTAATGTTCTTAAATTCATTCAAAATCATCTTGTTAACCACGTGCAGAAAAAAAGTTGGAAACCGTATTGAACAGGTTTTCGGAATAGTTGAAATTGGCAGCAGCCGTCGGAAGATCAGCAGTTTGTCCCTCGTTGAAAGTCACCATGTTACGGATGTTCTTTTCGTTGCTCACGGAGTTTCCAGCATTGCCTCCTACACAACACTCAAATTAAAAAGACAAAAAATACAATTTTAACTGACCAATCCTTTCATCGGAGCACAGGGCCTTGTTCATGGCTCCCATGGCCATGTTGCAGAAACGATCCGTAAATCCAATGTTAGTCATTTTCTTGAGCTTGTCGTTCCTGGAGTGGGGTCCAGAACAGTGATCAAATATCATTCTTCAATTGTGCATTCTGTCTCTGACTCGATCAGATTATATAGGCACCTAGATCATTACGAATTTTATTGTTCTGTGAGCGGACGGGGCGAAAATCCCGCTGAAAAAAGGTTATTTTTATGCGGGTTGTGGAGGTGAGTTGATGAAGCCATCATAAGCAACTGTTCAACATCAAGCAAACAAAAGGCAAAAGTTGGAAGCCAAATAAATCGCCGATTCGTTCCGTTTTTCGCCGATTGTTTGCCCGAGGTTGAACAGTGGATAGCCATGCGGGGGTATAGCTCAGTGGCAGAGCATTCGACTGCAGATCGAGAGGTCCCCGGTTCAACTCCGGGTGCCCCCTACTTTCTTTTGCCTTTTTTGATAAGTAACATTTACTTTTCATATGAGAAAAAACAGTCAAAATACTTTTTTTGCAGCTGGAATCGCGTGCGGAATGGATGTAATGTGGCCAGACCCGGACGACTCGACGTCGTTTATTCCAAGCCTAGAGGAACCTCTCATAAAGGTACAATTACCTTTGTAACCACACTATAGACTTGTCATGAATCACTTTTCAAAATTCCAAGTATCTAAAATAATTATTTTCAGGTGCCACTTCGCAACGAAACACGATCAGCTGATTATGACAGTGGAAACATTCACGCGGTGCTCTCATTCTCATTTGTTGCTGCGTGGACAGCTGGAGTGGTTAGTTGGGGGCAAAAAGTGCCTATATAATCGAAACACCGTAGAAATTTTTGATTTAAAATTGAGGGAAAGTAGTGGAAAGTTTAAAGGTACATCGTTTTTCAGATCAGCTACGCAATGCTGGGAATGAACCGATGCATAGCCATTTGCTACTATGGTACAAAAGCAAGAGCTCTGAACAGAGTCTCCGTAGCGGTGGCGTGCTCCGCAAGCACTTGGGTCATAGGAATTGCAGCTGCATTGGTTGGAACGCTGTCTCAGCCCATGATCGGTATCCAAAGATCCATGTGGAGCATCAGTTTTCTTGAGCCAAGACCTCATACCAGTAAGTCAAAGTTTACTTACTGTAATCCAATCGCTCTTACAGCTTTATTTTTCACTATTCTCTGCGCTGCGAATCTTCTGGGTCTTGGAGCTCAATGGGTCTGCTCCACGCTTGTACTTCTCAAAATCCGCCAAGTGAAAAAGAAGATCAGCAAAAACAAGTTGAACCAAAACTCGGCTAACCGGTTCCGAAAACAGGTCAATTTCTCGTATTAGTCTCAGAAAAACAATAATATCTTTTGTTTAGGCCCGTCTCACATTTCAATTCTTCTACCCTTCAATTCTCTGTACTATTTCTACATTTCTTTTCTTTATCAAGCCATATGCATATGAATCTTTTTCCGGGTGGCAATTAGTGATCCTTCATTTGGTCAGTGATCACTACTATGACGAACATCTCTTTTAATTTTAGCTCTGGTTGTGCAACCACACTTGTAACCCCTTCATTTACGCGTATTTCAACGATAGGATGCGTTTAACCTATAAGGAAATCATCAGTTGCGCCGCCATCCGCTACCAAATCCGTAAACGACGATCGAGCCATCCGTTCCGAATGCACGGACGTCATAACGTTTCAAAGTGAGTACACAGTCTGATGTCTGACCTAAAATTGCAATTTTTTACCGTTTCACCTGCATTCATCTAATTTTCAGACGATCAAACGCAGCTGGAATGAAATCGACGCGCATTTCGGCCAGATCTGGACGCACCACACGAGACGGCAATTTTGTGCGTAACTCTTTACAAATGCAGGTGCGTAAAGGCCATACGGCTAGACGTTGATGTCTATTTTTGACTTTAAGAGTCGAGATTTCGAGCAACTCTGCGAATTCATCATGAGAGTCAATCCTTTGTATGATTCGAGCGAGGGATGGAGGGAGAGCAGCGACGAGGAACCGTTCCAGCAGGAGGTCAGAGTTTTGAATTTCAATCAGGAAGGGACCGGCTCGGCCTTGGCCTACACTTTTGATCAACCTGCAATATTCTTGAACTTTGACTGAACTATCCGATCTGGAAACAAACTGATCAAGGGGTCCAAGCAAAGGCCGGCCAAGTACTCAGCCCTGATTTCAACACCGTCTTGGCTGAAAGTGGTCTTTGATTTTTTTTGTCAAATTACTTCATAGAAAGACTATAATTTTAGGGCAAACACTAGTTCAAAATATGTTAACTAAATGGTAAACATTAGGAAAAAGGGGTGATTACAGTCCACAACCTTCACGAATACAAGAGTTGGTGAGTAAAATGAGCACTGCCCAGCTGAAAATTGCGATGGAGCTAGTTTTTCAAAAAAACATGATGCTAATAACGCTTCTCTCACTAATTCTTCCACTCCTGCCAAATTTCCTCCTTTTCGCTCACGACTTCCTCAAGCTGAACCCTGAAGGCTCCATTCTCTCTTACAACTTTTTCTTTTTTCAGTTCACGAAAGAGTTAGAGTCAACACATAATCAAGGCGGAGGCGGATCATCCCGTTTTGAAAGCGAACGAGAGGCAAAGTCGATCGTTCTGGATCTGGGACGGCAGACTGTCGAGCACTGGGTCAAGTTTGCCAAGAAAGCGAGCATTTAGGTGCTGCGGCAACTGCGTGAACGTGTCACAATCCAATTACTCTTTTCATTCCCGCACCACCACTATCTCTTCTGATCTCTTAACGAAATCGAATTTGAGCTCGGCTTCTGCAGGCGTTTCTTTTTCTGCTCCGACCGAATTTCATTTACCTTGATTTCTGTGGAAAACCTGCCGAAAATAATCTCCGTCTTCACCCCCGTGTTGTGAAACCTTTTATTAGAGTTATCTCCGCTGTGATATTCGACATTAACTGCATGATTCTCGGTTTCTACCCAAATCCCCACCCCTTCTTTTCTTCGTACTCTTCTATTTTATTTCCGCGCTCCCACGCACAAGTTCATTAAACTCTTATTTGAGAATAATAATAATGATACGTATATTCGAAAATATGCCAAAATAAAGTGTGTTTATTGAAAACGCAAACATTTCTTTTAAAACAAATGGAAATTCATTCACCATTGTAGGTGTTTGGGGATTTTTAAATGAACAAACATTGGCAAGATCTTGCGAAAAGTCTGAATCTTTCTGATAATTTGAGAAGATAATCTTTTGATCAAGTCATTTCGGTGCATTAGTCAGCCGATTTGCAGAGAACAAATTTGACACGAGATTGAGAGGGTTTCAGTGATGGATGAATGGCACACCAGGGCAAAGATTCACATATTGGCAACGCGAGCTGAAAAATAGCAACATAAGTTTTCCAATTTCACGCCAAATTCATCACTCACGATCGGTGGGTTCCGGAGTGCGAACTCTGTGGAGTCCGGGTACTTGCAACGTAGCAGTTGGAGCCGGAGCCGGAGTGGTGGGAGCCGGAACAGAAGCCGGAATCGGAGGATCTCGGTTCACCGTGGCGATCGAAGCTCCGTCGGCGTTGTTGATTGAGGTTGGCTCGATAACTGAAAAAATTACATTTTTCTGGAACAAGATTATCTAAATTTGTGGAAGGATTATGTCATCTGCATTGAAGTACACCCACCGTGAATCTTGACGTCAGATTCGGCGTCGAGAAGAAGTCGGAGACAAGATGAACAGGATCCCATTGAGTCAGAGCGCGAGGAAAAACGGGAAGAGAAGTGCTCCTGCAAAAAGGACAAGATTAGGAGAACGGGCAAAGTCGGGGTGGGAAAGTGCGAGGGAAATAATGGAAAGAAAAGAAGTGAATGGCGCTTAATCTGGGAGCATGACCGCAATGAAAAGCCGATTTAGACGTTTTCAGAGGGGCGGGACGCAGGCATTCTAGGCCAGCAGCGGAAATGTGAAAATGTGATTTTCCATTCTTTATATTCATTTCACAACTGCTTCCATGTCGGAAACGATGAGAGAGCCTGAGGAAATTGAATAAAAAGAGAAGAGGTGTTGGAGATCTGGGAATATTTCCCACTAAAAGTTCAAATTCAGAAGAAATGTGGGGGCAGAGACAAAAGTTTGAATTCTTTCTGAAGCGGAATGACGGCTTCTGCTCGTGAATACTTCTGACAAATAGCAGTATGGACTATGTAGAGCCTTCAAAATAGTAGTTGTCCCCATTTTCTCCTCAAAGTTCAGGACACTTTAGAAATAAAATAAAAAGTTCAGTGTTCGCAGGAGTGAATGCACGGGAAGCCTATGGGGCAATATTATTGTTCCGGCACCTTTAAAGCCAAAAAACAAATCGTTTATCGGCAAACTCTAGTCAAAACAGCTCTTTCTCTCTTTCTCTCTCTCTCTCTCTCCCTTACTCTCGGTCACCAGAACAACCCAACGTCTTCAGTATACTAAATTGAAGGTGTGCCGCAGACACATATTTATGTGCATATGATCCTTGTGTCACTATTATTATCACGATCACTTGAGTTCAGGTGAATAATTAGCGAATCAATGTCTCCGGGGAGGATGGTGAAATGTACTTTAGGAGATGAGACATTACTTCAAGTGTCTGTTGACGTAATCAGAATTTTAGTGCAGAGTGAGGGAATAGAGCAGAGAAAACAAAAGACTGGTTGCCGAATTTCGAATTCTAAATTCTAGATTAGGCGAAGTTAGGAGAACGGAAAATTAAAGTGGAACTTCTGAATGGCGTGGGATGGGAAAGGGTGAGAAATCTTCAGAGAAGTTTGAGAAAATCGGATGCAGAGAAAAGTCACTTTTGGAGAAAGGCACAGTTTGAACGGTTAGCTGACAGTAGTGTCCTGTTAGAGTTAACCAATTGAATTCTCAATTTTCAGATTTCCTATGAAATGTTCGTGTTAAAACTCTCAGACGCAGCATATTACTTAAAAAATGAAGAAGAAAGTAATTGTCCCAACTTTGAAAATTATTCACACAAACTAAAATTTCTCACCCTTTCTCTGCTTCACACCTACGCCGCGTTTCTCAGCCCTCTCAGTTTCTCCCCTAAAATTAATAATATCTCGGCAGAAAAAGCAACCTCCGGTCGGTCTAATCACATGCCGGCGGCCTGAAAGATGAAATTCAGTCCAACTATGTATGTCTAGAGCGGACGAGCGCAGGTGGAAAATTGGAACAAGGAGAAAAGACAGAAAAAAAGTTAGACTCGAAAAAAAAAGGCGGACAACATAAAACAAATTGTGAGAGGAAACCCAAGGACTTCTCGAATTAACGGGTGCCTTCTGAATGCAAAAGAAACCTCCTCCCCCTTTTTATCCATCTTCAAGAACCCTTGGGGACTCGTGTGTACGTACGCGTGCAGAATTAGTCAAGCATGAATTTTCATTTATTTAGTGAGGAAGAAGGAAAGGGAAGAGAAGAAAATGAGGAACAATTTCTTGTACTTGTCCTTTGATTCTATCAATGAGTAAGATACATACATCCTTGAATATCTGGTACTACATACATTTGAAAAAGTTACAAAACGCAAGATATGCAGCATTAGGATGAATGAATATTTCGGGCCAATCATGTCCAGATCATAAGGTTCATGTTAAAGTGGAAGTGATGGAAATGATTACCAAAATTCATTGAGGTCATAACATTTTCCACTTCCTCTTCCCGCTTAGTTTTCATACTTTTGCACACCAGGGAGCTACCTTATTGTCTGGAACAGAGAACATCATTATATACTCGTATAAATAGATGAGGTAGACCCTCGTAAACACAATTCTAACATCTCGTCCCAATCTGAGCAGTGCTCAGCGAAAAATGAGAAAAAGCAAAGAAACGAAAGATGTTTGTGATGGCAAAAACGGGTGTCAGGTTATGGGAAAATCGTGTAATGCAATGGTGATGTCAGCATGTTTTGAGTCTCGCTATTGGACAACTGCAGTCGAACAAAGTCTGAGAAAATTATTTAAAAAACTGGTAGAGACGAGGAGGTTCACGAGTTGATGAATATTCATCGGTCAATTCTTGAGATGCTTAGAAAAAAAGAAAGTCACAAAAAAGTTGTGGTTGTAGATCTTTGGTGTTAAGTAAAATATTCTAGTCTTCAAAAAACGTCGTGAGATATCTTGTTTGTTAGGTGAAAAAGGTTACCAGAATACTGGAAGTCACGTTTTATCACACGGTCACGGGTCCGTGTGAAGTGAGAACCATATTTCCAAGAAAAAATTAGGAGAAAATTGGTGGTTTCGGTTCCGGTTTTGCACTGAACTTTCGGTAGGAAAGTTTCGAAATCTGGAGGAAATCACAAGGCAATCCTGCTAACAAAATCATGCATCGTTTTATACAATTAAAAAATGAAGTATTTGTTTCGGTAAAGCAGTTGTAGTCAGAACATTTCAACCAGTTCACTCACCTTCTTGTGTTTCTTTGAATCCGCTGCTCGTCAGTTCGCTGCGCTATTCCATTGGAGCAAAAGACAAAAATGTGTACACACTGCGCTCTCCGCCCATGCAATGCAATGGCAACGAAATTTATTACCAATTATACTCGCCATTCTCCCCCTCTCGTTTTCCTTTACTCTTGCCAAACCGAGGCAAACCCCTGCGCTCACTCATATCACACTGAATGCTGCCATAGAAACACTTTGGTGGTAATTTGATGGATGAGTACTGAAGTTGTCGAAAGTTTTCGGGTTCTGCAGAAAATGACAGAAATTACCTTGGAATACGACTTCTACGACTCACATTCAGAAGAAGACTTGTTGACATCCGACAAATCCGGCTATAAGTAAAACCAGTCGTCTTAAAAAAAGAGGCGGAAAACGTAAGGCAGACGGCGGAATGAGGACCGAGAACAATCATCCAGTCAGTCTCCATGCGATCTATAAAGTCTTAACAAAATGCGTTTTGCTAAAAAAAAGAATCGTACGCACAAACCGCCCAGAGCTTGATCGACAACCCAAAGTTTTAGGACGATGTGTTTCACGTTTTTGTCATCTGACGGAGTCACTCAGCGGCCTGTCAAAAAAATGTTTTATTCTTCGCGACTAAGCCTCGTTTGGTCCATCAGAACTCAGTGGGTCTGTCATAGGCATCTGAAACTGTGTCCAAATGCAACTCAACTTGAATTCTTACTTTAAATAGCTTGTCCGAAACAAGTCGTAGTCTGTTTTGCCTTGTAGTTCCTCTCCGTAAGTGATTTGTTCGAGAAACATGCGTGTCATTAATATAGGTCTGCAAGAAGAGCTGAATGACGTCTTTGTTTGCGTTCTGTCATTTAAGAAGGGCAAAACTGCATTTTCAAACAGCCAGACAAATATCTTCTCGAAAAATAAATAACAACTTCGGTCTATCCAATTTATTTGCAAACATTACAAGTAAAAAAATACAAAAGAGTCAAAAGTAGAGATGCATAGCATACAATTGAACTTTTTTGTGAGAAAAATAGCGGGTATGAATATTGGAGCAATGACATGGAACATATGTGTGGCTGGGATGAGGGGCAAAAAGTGGGGCATAGAAAGAACATTTCAGGAAGAAGAAATGATAAAACAATAGACGAGATGAGGGTTATTGGGGGGATAATAAGAGATATTTCTGATAGACTCGTGGCACAATAAACTTAGAGTGATATGATTTGATTTCCAATGCGCACAGTGTGTACCTTCAGTGTTTTGATAATATTGAAATATATTGAAATATTGAAGAAGTTTTAGCACCACTTTTTTTCACAAGAATAAAAAGGGACGGAGACAAAATATCTTAATTTCAAAATCCTTGGGACATGTACAGAAGAGCAATACAATCGAAGCAATCGAGTTTTTGTTAAGAGACCTAGTCAGATGGACCCATTTATTTTACTCATAAATTCTCCCAACCATCTCTGCTCTCATCGCTCTAACCTCATCTTCATCCACAGTCTCTTTCAATCTTATTTCTGGCAGGTCTTTGAAATCGGAAAACGATCGGTGCCTTCGTCTAACCGGACGCTTCGGCTCTTTGGGATACATAATTTTCGCAATGTCGGGCTCCTCTCGTTTTGCTTTCCGCAATTGCTGAAGCTGACCCCAGCCGTCAGTCTTTGGCGGACGAAGGTGCGGCAGCCAGTCCTTGATCGGAGGGAGAGCCGCTTCGAGCCGGTAGCTAGCCACCTCCAAACGATACAACATGTGCAACTCGTCTTCGGGACAGCGACTCCACAAGAGTGGCCAATCGTTGAGCAGAGTGTGGAACATTTGTCTGGCGACGGCTGAAAAACTCTCTTTAATGTTTGCTCTCTCTCCCTTTCGTACTTCGAACTTATTAATTTCAATCGAACATTTTGAAAGGAAAGCAAAAACTCACTGGTCAGATGATTCCGTGGGGCGTGTATCTCTCGTCGGACGTCGCCGAAATGGAGCGGTAGCCAAAAAAGGGTGTCCCGGAGGAGGAGATACTTCTCTCTTCCTTCTGCGCCGTCAAATGACACCGGAGCGTCGATATCCTGTTTTTCTCCGAACACTTTCTCTAGCAGAAAAAGAAAGTAGTGGCCAACTCTTGGATAACACTCGTTCTGGTGCGTCGCCTTCCACATCAGCAGGAGCAACCGGAATTTATGGCACATGTACCTGATTGCCGATTCTCTTTCTCTGAAAATAAGAGTAAAACTATTTTATGATTTTAAGTCGACTTACTCAGTCGGCAGATCAAATGCGGATGGACAAGTATCAAAAACGACTTCTCGGATGGATACTGTGTGAAGCTTATCGCTCAAATATTTCATAGCACTGAATGGTTCTTGCTGAACCACGTCGCTCCATTCCAGTTTCGAGTCTTCTGGTTCCTGCCACTCATCTTCGACAAGTTGGTATTCGTCGCCTGGCTTAGCTATGGAAAGATCAAAGTCTGGGCCCGGTTCTGAAATTAGTTGATTTAGTGCATGAACTAAGATAGAACCAACTTATGTATTCGCGGGCCTTCACGTGATCCCATCGCAGCATTCTTAACTCCCAAAAGGGGTCCTTCAGCATGTGGAAGTCTTGGCTCTTGTCTTTTATTTTTTTCTGACAGAATTCGTAGACTTCGAGCAGAAACTGATTCGTTTTTAATTGCTCGTCGCGAAGCAAATCCACACATTCCGCGTCGAGTGGGGCAAGTCTTAGAGGGTCAATTGGCTCAAACTCCTCGCCCCGCCACATGTTCGGCGGTTCTGAGGACGCCCTTTTCCGAGTGACGGTCTTTATTTCAGAAGTCGTGTGGGTGCGAGTCACTCGAAAACTTTGGGTTCTCTTCTGAGCGCGTCCGGCTCGGGCCAACTCTTCCAGGAGCTGCGCACTTCTTTGCTTTCTCTGATGGAGGAGCTTTCTCTTGTCTTTGGCCGCCGTCTTATTTACTCTCATTTTATATATCAAATCTTTCCGCGTTTCGGCCACACTTCGTCTCGTATCGTTCTTGGATTCTCTCTCAGCTTTCTTCTGACGAATTTCTTCTCTTCGTCTTGCCTCCTCTTCTTTTCTGGCGATCCTCTTTTTCCGCTTCTCTCGATCTTTCGCAGATTTGATCTTTTCCTTCTCCTTTCTTTTGAGCTCCTTCTGTTGGCGCTTCAATTCTCTCTTCTCGGCTACCTCCTTCTGTTTCGGAGTCACAAGCGAGAACTCATCCTCTTCCTCACTTTGCACTTCGATTCCATCGTCTCCCTCAACTTCCTCTCTGTAGCTGCGTGGTCCTGTACAAGAGCGACGAGGACGATCACTGCAAATAAATCACAATAAAAACAATTGTCTGTTTCAAACAGAAGCTTTTTATTCTCAAAATGAATGCGGATATTAGGAGCAGACTTTAGGCTTCCCTCATCAGGAGCTACACCCCCTCATTTCTAAAAAGTGCCTTCTTTGACGAATTATGCACAGAAAACTCACGTCGTGTTGAGATCCAAAATAGAATCATCTGAATCCGACTCGTCGTCGTCGTCGTCGTCGTTTTCGTCTCCGTCTGGCTTCACCCCTTGAAGACTAGTTGTTGGCTTCTTCTTTCTTTTCTCCGGCAGTTTCGCACTTGTTTGTGGATCGTTCTGCGGTTGAGCCGATTGTAGTGATGGCGAGCGTGACGACGATGGCGAGCGTGACGGCGATGACGAGCGAGGCGATGGTGAGCGTGGCGGTGCCGCACGAGTTTTTGCCTTTCCCTTTGGCGAGATATTATAACCGACCGGAGTGTGGGGAATCTGACTTGAGGCCCTGCAAAACGCAAAACAATAATATTGAAAGCATGACGTTCACGAGACTCACGTTTGGACCACTGGAGGCAATCCACAGCCACTGAAATCTCCTTCCATAGAGAAGACTGTGCCATTTGCCTCCACGATGTCGTCTTCTCGAGATTCCGACGAATCCGCTTCTGAAGCGTTGCTGCTAACATAATCACCCTCACAGAGATCACGAAGGCTGTGTGGAATTAGCCCAATTCTAAAAACGAAACAGTATCAGAACATTGTTTTTAATTTCCAGAGTAACTTACGGATCCCCGTTGGTGCGTGGTGCGCGATGATCGTGTGTGCTGCTCATTGTCGCTTTCATTGATCCTGTCGACTTTGTCGAGTTTGCAGAGGAGTTACGCGAAAGCACGGGCGTCGACAGGGAATTCGCGAGCGTGTCAATTAGGCTCCGCCGGCTCCCGGCTCTGTTTTCGTCTGGCGACGAGTTTTTGGGCGTCGACGACGATTGAGGGGCACCGATTTCGCTGAAATTATCCGCGTCGCTCTTCTCCTCTTCGACTTTTGCGCCGAGAACAAAATCGCGAAGTTCGTGGTGGCCGAGCTCGTCGTGAAAAAGCACGTCCAAGTGAATCCCGCTGTTACTAGCCCCGTCCTGGAGGAGCTCGTCTTGACGAAGGTCGTTCTGGCGGAGTTCATTGTGGCGGAGCGCGTTTCGGTGAAGCATGTGATCACGAGGCTCGTTCTGGCGGAACACGTTACGAGGCATGTTGCTGTGAACAGGCTTCGGGGCAGCGGAAGGACGACGAGAGTTCTTTGGACGAGTGGTTTGGCGACAGGTGCTGTAAAAACCGTAGTTTGAAAAGTGAACGCAATTGTTACCATGAGAATTCTCAAATTCTCACCTAGAGCTCGGTTGTCCATCCTCCTCACCCACGGCTCCAGCATCATTCACTTTTTCACGGAACTCCTCCCCTATGTCGAGTAGAGAACAAGTACCAGAATCCATTGGTGTTGCATCAGATACAGACCAATCCGACTCATTTGAACGAATCGGTAGAGGTGCGTCCATCATCTCGATCGGTAGGTCCGCGAATCTGAGAGGAACTCGGGCTTGAGAGCTTCGACGGGCGCTCTTTGGTCTTCCCGGCGTTCTCGTGTTCTTCCCGCGCGATTGGCTACTGTCTTGTGAGTCCGGATCCTCTGATGCAGCTCGCTTACGAACTGTTCGGCGACCTGTGCTTTTGGCCGAATTTCGTTTGTCACGAGAGCTGAAAGAACAAACATGTTTATAAAAAGGTAAATTGCCGTTCACTCTCACCTGGATGTTGGTTGACCATCTTCCTCGTCTTCAGATGTGTCTCCGGTCGTGTAGACCGCAGGAGTGGCAGGAACTCGTGCGCTCCGACGAGTGCTTCTGAAGCCTTGTCTGTATTGACGGGAGCTAGAAGATAAGCATAATTTTGCGAGTCTCACCTGGATGTAGCATGTCCATCTTTGGCGCCCTCCTCATCTCCCTCTTCGTCCGACTTGTCCTCTCTCGAAACCGCAGAAATAGCAGCAGAACGTGTGATCCGACGGGAGTTTCTCGACGTGCTCGATGCGCACGGCTCGACCCCTCTCTCACTGCTCTCCTGCTGTTGCAAATCTCCTTCTTCAGCTCTCTGGCCAAGAGCTCTGCGACTAGTACTTCTTGGCAATAGACGATTCTGACGCGAGCTGAAAAATGATATTTGAGAGGTGAACGGGAGCATTTCACTGTCACCTGGTAACACCTCGTTTGTTTTTGGTGGCTGCATCCTCTTCGTCGTCAGATGTGTGCTCTTTGGAGACCGCGGACGTGGTAGCACCTCTTGGGCGGGAGTTTCGCAATGTGCTCGATGACGACTTCTCAACTCCCCCATTGCTGTTCCCCTGCTCTTGTCGATCTTTGGCGCGGCTCTGGCCGGCAACTCTGCGATTAGTGCTTCTTCCTCCTTGTCTGTTCGAGCAGGAGCTGAAAATAGATAGCGCTTTATGAGAAACACCACAAGATTTCACTCCTACCTCGTTGGACCATCATCAGCGACCACATCCTCTTCGTCTCCCGACGAATCTTCCGCCTTGGGAACCGAAGAAGTCGCAGCTGCAATCCGTGTGCTCCGACGAGAGTTTTTCATCGAACTCGGCGTGCTCTGCGGAACTTGTGCTGCGGCTTTGTGACGTTTCGGGCGGTGACGAGAACTGCAAGGTGGTTCTGATTGTGAACGGGTTTCTCCAGAGTTATACGGGATAATCTTTGAAAATTAAGAGACGCTTACCTTGGGTTCGCATTGGTCGCCTCAACAATCTGCTCCTCCTCGTCTTCCGACGTAGGATTGGCGTCTGTCTCAACTGGATTTTGTCGTTTTGTTGGTGGTTTCTTCATTTTACCTGAAAAAATAGGATTGAAGATTATTTTCTCTCACAATACGCGTAAAATGCCAGGGGATTTCGAAAAAAAATCGGAATGCACTTAAATGACTCAAAAGTTATTTTTTCTAGAAGACGTTGAGGAGAGAATCTGACGCAAATTGACTAAAAGAAAGCAAAACTATTCAAAAGAAGTGATCAATAATTTTTAGAAGCCTCAAATCCACCAAAAGCTTTGAAAAAACGGACGGAAAAGCGAGAAAAACAGGGAAAAACAGGTGCGTTGGCCTAAAAATCTGCATATGCACGTGACGGTTTTTTTTGAATGTCGATGTGGCGGCAAATTCGGTGGAGCGTGTTTGCATTCAGGAAGTTGAGAGAACGTGGAGAGGAGTGCGCTGAGAAACGCTAGAGAGAAGAGAGAGACTACAAAGTGCCTAGGCGCAGAAAGTACGCGGGGAGCGGCCGGCGAGAAGGGGAGCTGGCCGGAACGGCCACCCGAGAGAGTGACGCGAAGGGGCACGATAGGGAACTACAAGTGCAAGGACGGTCAGCAGGACGGTCTGGGCTGCCGGCCGACACACGAGGTAACGAAAAACACCAATCGATAGGGTGCGAGATAGTGTGTAAAACGAAGAGTGTCTGCCGAAAAGAATGGAGGGCAGGAGGGCAGCGGGCCGACGGAATGACCGCCGAAGCGCTAACAACAACAACTGGGAGTGCCAAGGAGTGTATCACACTGTACTCTCGCTAAGGACGGGTGCGAGCTGGAATATTGCAGAAGTGGAAAGAGACGATGCTTCTGTTTGGCAGGAGTCTGATGAAATCGCGGATTCTGATAAGATTTTTGCGAATTTTCAGCGAGGTTTTCAAGCGAGAGCAAAAAATGCTAGAATTTGTGACATTCCTCGAGTTTCGTTTCCTATAAAAATGTCAAGAAATGAACGTGAGCGCTCTGAAATAACTGCATGACAAGGGAAAATGCTACAAGTCCTGGGAACAATCTGGAATTTAACATTCTAGACACAAAAAAGACAAAACTATCGGGACGAAGTGATCAATAAATTCAAGTATTATCAAATCCATCGTAAGCTTGAAAAAAAAACGGAGAAAAGCAGATGCGTTGGCCTAGAAATCTCCATATGCCCGGGAAGGTTTTTTGAATGCTGATGCGGCGGGAAATTCGGTGGAGCGCGTTTTCATTTAGGAAGTTGAGAGAACGTGGAGAGGAGTGCGCTGAGAAACGCAAGAGAGAGGAGAGAGGTGCCTAGGCACAGAAAGTACCCGGGGAGCGGCCGGCGAGAAGGGGAGCCGGCCGGAACGGCCACCCGAGAGAGTGGCGCGAAGGGCAGTGAAAGGGAACTACTAGTGCAAGGACGGTCAACAGGACGGTCTGGGCTGCCGGCGAACACACGAGGTAACGAAATCGATAGGGTGCGAGATAGTGTGTAAAACAAGGAGCGTCTGCCAAAAAGAATGGGGGGGGGGCAGAAGGGCAGCGGGCCAACGGAATGGCCACTCGCACAAAATATATAGCAGAATGAGAAAATACGCATGTGAAATGAGTAATTCGTGCACTTGTGGGGGAGGCTTTCTTCAGACTAGAGTCACAACACTGCTCGATTTTAGGGGGGCATGATTCGGAGTCAGCAGTTGCTACACGTTTCGTCTCCGTGATTGGCGGAATCTAAAAAAATAACAGGATCTGAGAAAATTTTGCAAATTTTCAGCGAGTGAGCCCGGCGGACATTTCGCCGGTCGACATAAAAGGTCGAAGACTGTCTTTGAGCATGCCGCTGTGCGAAAAACAAGTAAATGGCAGGCAAAACACAAATATTCATGTAAACAAATAAATTAACGTTTAGAAATATTTAATAAATTAAAATCACAGTTCTCGCTTGTCGGGGAACAAGTATTCATATCGTTCTTCCAGAGTTGCGTCGTTGATGAAGATCAGTTCACGGAACCACGTGTTCTTCCACAGTCTCGCTCTCACTTCCAGCAAGATTTCTAGTAATCTTTCTACCGAAAGTCCAATGATGCGGCTGAACATGCGTAAGCGGTCAGGATAAAGATCCGGCTTGCTCCAGTCGAATTGAACAGCGTTAATTAGCTGCTCTTTCTGAAAATGCCGCTTGATGTAACTGAAAAGCACAAGAATGTATTACCTGTTGAGGAGAGCAGTCAATGAGGTCCATGGTTAAAATACTGTTTCTTATGATTGAAAGAAACTCTGTGAAACTGATCAAGGGCTTTTTGAACACCTGAAATTACAGGTATGCTCAGATGGCCAGAACGGCAACTAACCTCTTTCAACTCGTCGTCACGTATATTTCGCTCCAGAAAGTATTCAAATTCATGGTCGAGCATCTCCTCGGACATGAAGCGAAACTCCTGGTGATGCTTCGTCAAGTTTCGGAGCATTATCTGCACAATGTCCGCTCTTTCCTCCGGCGATAACATGCACATGACCTAAAAATGTTCCAATTATTCCAGAAACTTTCACTCTACCAGATTCACCTCGTTTTTTCGGCGGTCAAACTTCCGTTGAACATCCTCAATCACTTGATGATATCCCAACCTTGCCTGGTCTGTGAGAAGTCTCTTCTGGCAGATGCAAGAGCATTGCAGCTCAATAGCGCGGATTCTCTGGAATAAAAATTATCTGCTCTCTCAAACTTTTCGAAAATTAAACTGACCAAATAGTTCAACTTCCGCTTCTCTATAGTCTCCACTAGATTTATGTATGCCAGTTGATTTGGAGTGAACTCAGGTGGAATGAAAGGCTGATGACCAGCTGCTTGTGGTTTGGTCAGAGCAGACCAAGGTGGCGGCATAATTCGTGGCATGATGGGTTGCGGCGTGTGCGGAACAGGAATCGACGTTGGAAAGCTCAGCCGATTCTGGATTTCATTTGGCTCGCTTCGAATAAAATCATCAAACGGCTCCTGTTTGATTTCTTTGAAGACAAATGTAGGCGGCTTTAGTGGCTGACGCTTGATCGTTTCCACGTAAATGACATCCGGGGAATCATTCAGACGCCGACGCTTGGCTTGAGTACGGTGGACGGTGGACTCTTTCAAATGTGGAGCATAGTCCACAACGAAAGCAGGACCGGTCACTTCCGACACATTTCTGCGAATGTACGAATTACGGGAGATTTTTGATGTTTTCGGAGCCTTCTTTCTTTTTCTACTGATCTTCTGCTGAGAGGGTGCTTGAAAAAGAAATTCGTTTCCGTTCGGAAGAGTCTGCTGAAGATTCGGTATTCCTCCCCACAATGGGATATTTGGAAAGTTTTGAATTAGATTGTTGAACATGGGGGCCAAGGTCTTGGCAAGGTCCGGGAAGAGAGGAAGAGAAGGAAAGATGGAGTTTGCGGTGGAAGCCATCTGCAACGTCCCCGAAGTCAGGGAATTAGACGGAGGCAACATTCCCTCCTAAAAACTCATGTTCGGTTGAATGAAAAAAAACGAAAAAAGGTTCTCACGTTAAAAAGCCTAGACATATCGACTTCCTACTGCTATGATCCTCTTGTTTTCCCACGGAGCGTACCTCAAAAACTGACGTTTTGGTGAGTTCGAGCGGGAAGAAATGTGTCAGAGAAATGCGGTGGACAATCAGAAACGCATAGCATTCATGCACGAGTAATAATCAGTCAGGCAGTGCTAGTCTCTGATGAAAACAACAAAAAAAAGTTTGTCGGGCCGAGCGGAAAGTGATCATTATACACCGACACGCATATATATAGATCTTTCTAGATTTCAAAAAGACTATGAGTCATTTTAGTCATTCTGCTTCTCATTTCATCTCCCGCGAGCTATGCAATTAGCGAGTTGTACGTAGGTAGTAGGTAGACGGATGATTTTTTTTCGAAAAGGGCAAAATATTTTTGGCTCTGAAGCTATGAAATGATGATTTGAAAGCAAGCGGATAACGAGCACGCTTATGGCTCGAATATGTTTCGAACAGGGACAATCAGAATGATTCAGATGTAAAGGGAAATTTTCGAAAAACTGCGAATCCTACTCAAATATGCAAGTAAGCCGACAGCTGATCGCGAACTAAAAGTGGCTCATGTCTCGCCAATTTTGCCAATTAGAACAACTTTTTTTCAAGTTCTTCTACGAAGAAAGTGAAGGTTTTGAAGTCATTTTGAAAACTACGAAAAAGGATGAATCCCTAGCCAATGAAACGGGGGATTATTGAAGGAGTTGAGACGAGACATGATGAACTCTTCGCGAATGTGATCTGCGTCAGGAAGGGATGATGAAAACATCCTTTTATCCGGAGTAATCCGTGCAGGTCTCATTGCTCGTGACCACACTTTTATATAGAGATAATTGTAGGGGGGGAGGGGTGGTGCAAAATTGGATGCGCGCTCGCTCGTCCGCGCCCACGGCATTATACGTTCGGTGACGTGGCGTACATTTGAACGGGAAATAAGACGTGGAAAGGGATACGGTACATTATTATCTCCTACAATGCAAAAAAAAAAATACAATTTGAAGAAATGGATTGACGCAAGACGGATCATCTGAAAAGGGGAAAGCTACAAATTTCTTTTTCTTCTAAAAGGTGCTCATTCACATTTCAGAACATTTCAAAAAAGGGGAAAACCACTACATGCGGCTGGCTACACGGCGGAAAGGAAGTCGGAAAAGAAAAAGAAGAAGAGAAAATAAATTCGGTTAGACGTTTTCGAGAACGACATAAAATGACACTAAAATTGGGTGAAGAGCACTGTGCTTCTGGCCACTTTATGGGTTCGCCGGGGTGCGCACGGTGACAAATAATAATAAAAGCACAATCGAATCGGAGGGATTTATGACTTCTTCACAACGATGTGCGTGTGCAAGAGGCGCCCCCGCGCGTTTTTCTTTATCGGAAGACGGACGGACGAGATTTCTAATGTTCAGAAACCACTTTCCGGAAGAAGAAAGTGCAGTTCTGCTTTTTCGGCGGGCCGACTGGAACACGTGATCATACGGGAGAGAACAAAGTTACTGTAGTTTTACCAGGCCCAGAGAACATTTTGGACAATGAACCGCGAATAATGAAAGATTAGAAAGATTATGGTAGGTCGAAAGTATACTGTACTCTTCAAGTTAAAAACTCCGAGCTTCAAGTTAAACTCACCGAGCTTCACACAGAACATTAGACTAAACCTTCTTTTCCTCAGAATCAGCAACACTAGTCCGGTTTTTCCAGAGGCTAGCCACGGACATTCGCCTGTTTTTTTCGGACAAAGATGTATGTTTGTTGTAAGAGTATATAAAACATTTTTACCGTAAAAAAACTTTATTCATCCAAAAAAAATAAATGTTTGTAACCAATAAAAGAGCCTCCTCACATAAAGCCATAATATAATTTGGATAAGAGGATATGAATAAGGGAATGTGATGTTATGAACATCAGAAATTGGACACTTATTATGCGTGTGGTCTAGATTGATCAATGATAGCCGACTTGTTGTTGCAAACGTCCTCTCCCAGGTTGTGCACAGATTGGTTGTGGACCAGAGAAGCTCTACCTGCAATAAAACGCGTTATTTTCATGTTAAAAAGAGCAACGAAACTAACCGGAAGGATCCTGGTTCTTCTGCCACTTGGGAATCCACTTTCTGACTGTTTTGGCAGCCTCGTCGGACGGGAAGAGCTCATGGAAGATCTTTCTCATGTAGAACGCTTCTTTGCTGTGCGGGGTGTTGTGTGGGAACACCTTGGACGCCTGGGCAAACTCCTTGTCGGTGACTTTTGAGGCACAGTGTTGCATGAGCGAGTCGATCCAACTGTAGCCGACTCCATCCGAAAACTGCTCCTTTTGTCTCCAGAGAATCTCGTGAGGCAAGTAATGCGGATGATCAATGTCGAAAGCGCTGCGAAGAACAAACTTCTCGCAGTTTCTTCCGTCCTGAAGCTTCTGCGGACGTTTGAAAGCGGGGTCCAATCCCATTGCGGCTTCCAGGAACGCCTTGTCGAGGAACGGGACACGGACCTCGACGGAGTGAGCCATAGAGGACTTGTCAGCGCGAAGACAGTCAGAAGTGTACAGATGAAGGACACGGTCCACAGTCTCCTTTTGGAAGTCCTCGTCGGACGGAGCGTTGTGGAAGTAGAGGTATCCACCAAAGATCTCATCGGCTCCTTCTCCGGAAAGCACCACTTTGATGCCCATCTTGCGAATCTCCTCAGACAAGAAGTACATTGGAGTGGAAGCACGGATTGAGGTGACATCATAAGACTCCAGATGCCAGATCAACTTGCGTAGGTTCTTGATTCCTTCCTAAATTGCAACTATCAGATTGATTGCGCAAATGCAAAGTTCTATTGCTTACCTGAATGCTGAAGTAGAACTCATGGTGAGTGGTTCCAATGAACTTGGCCACTTTTCTAGCGGCAACGACGTCTGGGGAGTTGTGATCGACTCCGATCGAGAACGAATGCACGTTCAGACCTCTCTTCTTCATTTCTCTTGCTGCAATCGAGCTGATGAGACTGGAATCCAGGCCTCCGGAAAGAAGAACTCCAAGTGGAGCGTCAGACATGAGACGCTTGTGCACAGCACGGATGAGAGTCGTCTGGAGGAGCTTCAGGTCCAGTGGATGGATGGCCTTTTTGTAGTCGAACCACACCGGGTTGAAGTAACGGACAAATCCGGTCTTCGGGGTGTAGTAATGACCTGGCGGGAAGGATTCAATCTTGATGTCTCCGCAGCTATCCTCCAGGCACTTCATCTCGTTACTAAAACATTTTGAGTTGAACTAGAAGCACATAAAGGATAAGGCTCACCTGAAGAAGTATCTTCCTTCGGCATCGATACCGTAGTAGAATTGTTTGACTCCGACCGGGTCACGAGCGGCCAGAAAGTCTCCGTCACAACACAATGCGAAGGCGAACACTCCGTCGAGCATGTTGCAGATGTGTCCATCGCGGTACTTCTCGTACAAGAAAATGATAACCTGCAGTGTGAAAATAAAAATGCAGTCTCAAAACTCATTCAGTGTACCTCTGAGTCGCAAGTAGTCAGCAGCTTGTACTTCTTCAGCTCGGTATCTCTCAGCGCTTGATGGTTATAGATTTCGCCGTTGTGAATAACCTGAAAAGTTGCCATTTCGAATTCTAATTTTAAACTTGGCAGCTGTCGGAAATAGCCAAGAGGTCACTCGTATCAGCACAAAGAACGCGTCTAGTCTTACACTTAACTGATTTTCTTTTCTTTTTTCTCACTTCTCTCTCATTTGTGAATGAAGTGAAGAGAGGGGGATGTAATGAAGGGAGGAGAGAGCGGAAATTTATAAGGATAACGACAATGAGAACAAATGATAAGAACTTATTGTACTTTGACTAGGACAGGAAATCACGTGAACTAAACGTTGCTGGTCTATCTATAAATACGTAATTTTGGTTTGTTTGCTCTAAGTGCACTATGCTCGGAGCGTGCCCAAAGTTCTATAAGAATTGCATTCGTAGTTCTAGAATTATAAAGTAGCCTACGACTTCCTGAGCCCACAGAGTGTCCCTTCTACAGTAACCTATTCTTACCTGTCTGTCCGGAGCAGTTCCTTGGAGAGGCTGAGTGATTCCTAGATCCATGATGGCCAAGCGCTCATGAACGATGATATCACCGGTCTTTTGGTCCTGGTAAGAGCCACAGAAGTCCGGTCCACGGTGATGTTGTCTTCTGAAAAATTGAATTTTTTAGCCTGATTCAGATCATGCAACCAACCTGGACAACTTGCGAGCTTCATCAAGGTCAAACTTTTTCTTGCATTGAGCTGCCTGTTGGCAGATAGCAAAGACGCCGCACATGATAGCAAGTAGTCGTTTGAGGATCCAAGAGGAAAACGAGACACAATATAAAACACAAAGGGAATGTGTTTTGTGAGGATTCCAGAGCCCGGGTCGCCTCTTATAAAGACTTCGGACATTCGGGCAATGGGCGGAGCTTCGAGATGGGCCGAGCGACAATCTGATGCAAGGCGCAATATAATGCAATCGACGGCCCGTCTCTCCGTTTTGTGTACTGTCTCGTCGCGCTGGCCTGGTGGCCGAGAGAAGAGAGGGTACGTGTGCAGCCAAGAACCATCGCGTCGTTCGCTCTAGAACGAACAAAAACATAGTGAAAAGTGAAATGATAAATTGGCTCAAAAACAAACATGAAGATAACATACCCGGCTACGTGTTTTTGTCAAAATCTGTGACATCTGCTGAAATCTTAGCAAAGCGGGAGTATAACTGTGGTTTGGGGAGCAAGATGGATAAAGTTGGGGCGACAAGTGATGTTAAATATAATATGCCAAAATTGACTAGAGTATAGTTCTTTGACCCTGCACACAAATATCTAAACCAAATTAACAAGTCATTCGTGATAATGTGCCGTCTCATCAACAGTTCTGACCGACTCATTAATCATTCCCATGTAACCCAGTTCATCCCGAAACTGCTCTTTGATGTTGTTGCCATCCTTGTTCGATCAAATGTTTATCATCTTTTTGTTGATATCAAAAAGCTTGAACACCATCCTCCTCTTCGACAAAAATTCCCATTCAGCCATCAAAGTGATTGTTCTCGCCTACCCATGGTCTATCTCTTTTCTCGTCATTTCCCAGAGAATTGCACAATCTGAATCTCTGCAGCGTGGGGTACAATGAGAAAAAGAGGAAGTTTGTCCGCGGAATGGAACAAAACCAAAACAAAAAGAGATTGTGTGATAACACATTAAAATTGGTCTCGAGTTGGCTGAAAATCTCTTCTCTTCCTGGAGAACAAGTTCAACTCGTGGTGGTTTGATCTTCGCCCTCTGGCACTACTCATGTTATATCCATTCATAGTCCAGATTCTGTATCCTGAGAACAAGAATGTTTATGGATGACGTGAGAGGAGACGAGGGGTATTCCCCCGACGGGATTTTCTCATAGGGGAGAAAGGAAACACGTGACCTTATCACATAAAGGACAGCACGGCGGAGACGCAGCAACATTCTGGAATGTTCTGAATTGTGGCCTTCATCTCATTTGCATAGTTAGAAGATCAAACATGCATGAGTTAGGTGGGAAATACAATAGCGGAATATGAAGATGAAGATGGGGGAAGAGTTAAATTAGATGGTTCTCTCCACTGAAAGAAGATGCCCATAGATTGAAGTTCGCAGAAGGATTACTTAAAGCTCAAACATTATTATAGAATAACAGAACATATCAAATTTCTGATTTCTGATCAATACCCTTTCAAGAGTCCACATCAACAAGTCCTTCGAGTTCTTAGGCATAACTTTTGCAGGTCCTCCTCTTTCTACCTTTCTCCTACATTCCCTACCAGACCCCACGGCCTCTTCCCAGGATAACCCGATCCATCACGACCTTAACCTCAAAAACAAAACAAAACACGTATTGTGTGTGTGTGTGTGTGAATGTCGCACGTGTCAAAAAACCTGGCAGACATGCCGCGACACGTGTTGTATTCTCCTGGAAATCTTTGTGACGAGGAAATTGTAATAGGTGATTTGCTCGGCGGTTGGAAAATAACAAAGTAACCCTCAACTTGAATGGATTTGGCGGGATTTCACAGTAAAGTGAGGTACTTTTAAAGAGAACCAGTTCACATTTTTGTATTGGAAAGAGCAATTTGGATTAAGTTCTGCTGAAAAAGCATAACTTTCTTTAATAAATTAAAACCTATTCCAACGCCATTCGAAATGACCGTAGACAAACAACACTGGAAAATGTAGAACACATCGAACTTTGACAACTGTGGTGCTCTTCTATCAGAGATCTGCTCAGATTTCTAACTTTTCTTTACCCAGTTCATCCAGTGTTATCCTATTCATAGTTCATGAAAACTCCTCAAATGTCTATCCGATCTTTTCTCGATCACATGACCGAAATAACTTTCAAAGAAGAAAAGGGATGTATGTTCTGTTCTTTTTCAGGCGGTCACCACGATTATTTTTTCTTTAGATTCTCTCAACACCCCATGATCTTCAAGAAATGGAGACACGAAAAGTTGCGATGATGATAAGAACTTTTCGTCTTCTCTTCTTTTCCCTGTTTTCTAAAGATTGTTATTGACTTCACTGTCGTCACAATTCCGTCTCATTATTGCAATAAAAACGTGATAAGATGTTGAAGATTGTAATTTTTGATTCCGACTGATTTTCGAATTTCGGGTTGTCAGGGGGCAAGAAGGAGAAGAACAAGAAGAGAAGTGAGAAGAACCAAAATAGATGAATGAGAAGAAGTGAATGAACATCGAAGATCGGCTGGAAATAGATTGATATTAGATCACAGAGATCAATCCTCGAACCTCTAGTAATTTTCACATACAATCCGTTGTCGGAACCACCACCTGGGGAGGAATAATCCACCAACAGTTTGTTTCCACACGATTGATAGGTTAGGGACTGCTTGGCCGAGGTAAAACTGAAAAAAAACATGTTCTGAACAAATTTGTTGCAAAATTTCTAAAATAAGATTCCAGAGTATGCATTCATGCAAAAAAGTGACATGAAAGTTCATACATCTCTATTCCTTATCCACTTCCAAGAATCATAATCTTATCTTAATCACAAAAACTTGTTATTGTACTTTTTCCTGATTGTTCTTTGATGAGATAGATTGTCTTATCAGCCCCGATTCCCAGAATAACCTTCTTGTCTTACCTCTCTTTGCTTATTTCGCCATTATAGCTCGACCAGGTCAAAGTGCCCGAACCTTTTCCAGAATCCGCCAAAAAGTCAATTGTCAGTCCTGTCTGAACGTCTGATTCTCCTTCCTGAAAAATGTTTGTTTCGCCTTTTGAACCATTCGAAGATCTTACCAGTTGAACTGAAAACTGTTGAATCACGGAACTGGAACGGGATTTTCCATAATCTTCAGACATAAGGATGACGGTATCGTTTTGGCCCATTGTGCGGGCTACAATTCCATCTGCAACACGGTTGGTTCAATGAGTTAGATAAGGTTTGTTACTTGAAACATCCCAGGAGTAGGATAGGGAAATGACGTCAGTTGTGGAGAATTTGAGAACCAAATAGTTTGTGAATAAGTCTTGAGGCAGTGGATCGTTCGTGTTTCTGTTGAGAAAAACAGATTTTCTAGGTTCCTCTCTCAACGTGCGAATGACAACTGTGGTATCAAAATACCAAAGCTTTCTGGCAGATTCTTACGAGTTATTGTCGCACAAAACTACCCGAATTGCGTTTTCAACACATTTTAATGAGAAGGAACGTATGAATAAGTGTTTGTGCTCTATTTTCCTACCCTCTGAGAACTTGAGATGAACTTACTGTGCAATCAACATATCCGAATAGGTAGTCAATCCCAAATAAATCTGCATCGGAATGTTTTTGGACAGCCAGAGATTCATGAACGCGCTTTGACTGTAAGAGCTATCCGAGAAATGTAGTACCTGAAAAATAATTTGAGCACATTTTCCTCTAAATACTAACTTTGTAGCAATTCTGTCCCTGGAGATGGGTATCCGATGCAGATTTCACCGTCTTCAAGCTATGAACAAGTGGTTCACAATCTCTTCCCAATTCCAAGTCCGTTATCATTGCCTGGAAATCGAGTCCGGCATTCAAGAATGTTGGATTTCCTCGGATATTAATAATTGCTTTTTCAGTGGTTGTGCTCAGAACCATCGATGGACCATTCTCGAAAATGTTCGAATACAAGGCTCTGGATCAAAAAACATTATTTGGTTTGGTCTGTGATCACTGACTTGTTATCAATGCGATCGGCGTCCATGGAATCGCCGTCGAAAATGTCGACGAACACTTGACTTGTGGTTTTAGTGAAGAAATATACAAAAATCTGAAAGGGGTGTGGAAATAAGCATTTCATGTGAAAAGAAGAAAAGAAACCTTATGCCCTTGCCGTCCATTTACAGAAAACTGATACGTTTTTCCACTTTTCAGATCCAGATTTGAAATGTCTTTGAAGATAAATCCGTCGTTAAAATCAACACTTTCCTTGACATAGTCTTCTGGAATAAAAAACTTATAGAAATTACTCTCATTGACTATTTCCACAAACTTTTTACTAAATTCAGACCAATAGAGAATCCTCTTCCAATTTGGTCTAATGGAAACGATGCCAAGTTATGGGAGATAAACTGAACGGTCACTGGGGATACGGTGGCCCAAAAACTATCAAAACCCAAATAATATGGTTGCATTTGCACTAAGGGATGGCCGTACGAGTCGAAAATTGACAAAGAATCCGTGTTATTGTCAAGTGTATAGCTGCGGAGGTTGAAATCCAGAAATTGCAGTTGAAGGTCATACAAGTCATCTTGATATTCCACTTTTGGCTGACAGAGAAGATTGGGACAATAGGAAATGGTGGTTGCATAGCCAGGAGAGGTCAGTACTCCATTTTTGACAAGAAGTGTAGATTGGGGACATGTACAGTCTGAAGTGTAGATTGGGGAGATTTACAGCCCTGAACTTGCCAATGTGTTGTAGAGATGCATTTAGACCAGTTGCTCCGACAATTGGATCGGATTGGAACAGGAAACTGATAGCTCGGCTGTTGGTGAAGAATAGATTGGAATATTGAAATCCTTGGTAGATGTACTGAACTTCCACAGTATTATTCTTTTGGAAACGGTCGGAATATTGATATACCTCATAAACAGACAAGCCGTCAATTGTCAAGAAATCACAGCACTTCTCGGATTCGTATTCAATAGCTGGAAAATGTTTTGAGCAATTGAGACAAACTATGCAAATTATGAAAGTTTGAGTCAAAATCAAGGGAAAACGTGCCATCAAATTGACCAAATGGCGAAAAGATATCACTAAACAGGAGAAAAATAAAGGAACATTCCACTAAACTCCCATTCTTGCATGCAAAAGACCACAACAACCCCCTCTCTCCCCCTCCATAACGGCCAGCGAACACACAGACGCACAAACACACTCTTCCTGGCGGCAGCCGCCAAGCGGCCGCCGTCGGCCCAGCTATCCTTGGGGTAGAGGGGTAAGAGACTCGTAGCATCGGTGGTTCAGTGGTAGAATGCTCGCCTGCCACGCGGGCGGCCCGGGTTCGATTCCCGGTCGATGCAATTCTTTTTTGCTTTTACGGAACTTTAATTTTATGCTAGTTTTATGAGAATTGTTTGTTTTCATGAACTAATTTGTGTGATTCAATAAACTTTTTGAGCTTCTTATTGATTGCACATACCTAGTGCGAAAAGGCTATAAGTTCCTGGTGTTCGAGTAAAATTCCAGGCACAATTCAAGTTGTTTGCATATGGATTTGTTCCAAATTGCCCGTTGCCTAATACTATGACATCATTCAATGCCAGGTCACGATTTCCAGTGTTAAAACAAGTTCCTTCAGTTGATCTGACTGAAAATAATCAGTATTCCTCTTTTTTCCCTAAAATTCTCGCACTTTCATAAGACTGAACCAGAATGTAGAATCTCTCCGGATACACTGTATTCTGTTGCGTGATATTGAAACTGACGAGCGCATTATTTTCGAAATAATAGACACCGGGCTCGTCCTCTGTTACGAATCCACTGCAAAAAGATGATTGAGAGATTGTGCTCTGTGCTCGGAAATATCAAACTTACGAAATCTTGGTGCCCGAGACATCCATAGCATCCTCTTTTTCCGTGTAAAAGTCATAAGCCGCCAGGCGGATTCCCTGACGAATTCCAGATGTGGAGAACTTTATTTTGCATCCGGAAATTGGTTCCGTGGGAGCTGATGGATAGTTGGGAGAAATCAGATAAAAAGTTTCACCAGATGACAAATCCACTTCATCATTACAATTGAAAAATGATGGTTTTTTAAGATCTGAACCGTTTTCTTTTAGTTTTTCCCGTTTCTCAAGTGCTTCGAGTACCATATGGAAGAAGTTTCGCTGCAATTCCAGCATGCGGGAACCCGTCATTTGGCTCTATAGACACAATCGTCACTGTCGCATTCCCAGGAACTCGTAAGATTTTCGGAACCAACCCGTGATCCATAGCGTCGCCGCATAAACTGAATTTTCGACTTTGTTTTCGAAAAAGAGACACTTGTTCAAGAGCTTACCTTGAGCAGCCGTCATTAGTACTTGGACAAGCTATCACACAATCGTGTGCACTTGCAAGAAACTGCTCAAACACCACTGCAACTCCCTGAGAATCATTCACGGATAAAGTTGTTCTCCTGGAAATGAGGTCTTGCAAATGTTATCTTCCAATCAAGTATTAGTTATCCCTCTAACCGAAAATTGACAGAAAGAGTGCTGTGCTCTGATTTCATAATCATTCTCTGATCCCCATCCGCCAAGTGCTCGCTCCGGCGATTGAACGTGACAAAACCCACGCAAAATGCATTCGGCTGAAGGGATCACGCGTCCGTTTCGTTTGTGGCACCTCACAACTCAAACAAACGGTGGACAAAAAAGCAATGGTTTCCGAAAAATAGCTCATCAATTGACAATAATTTATGAACTTCATTTTGGCAATTACATTTGGTTTTCCCATCTGACGGATAAACTCACTGGGACAACCGCCCCGTATAAGGCGTTGGATAGTTCGGCGTGGTAAATATAATTCCGTCTTGAAAAGCAGTGACGTTTATGAAATACTGTGCAGCAGAGAAACATAGTAAAAGTAGACAACGCATTTGTGTCGACATGTGGCGACCGAACTAAACTGATAAGGGCACCATGTTTGGATACTTTTTTTTATCAAACTGCATTTACATTCACATTTACGGTTGCTGTACACACTCATGTTCATTAGACTCCCTTCCGAACAAATATTGTGTGATAAGATTTCATACTTTTTGTTTTGAAGAAGACCGGGAAGAAAGTGTAAGCCATTAGGAGTCCAGATGTCTGTTCAATGTGAAAAGCTTCATCCAATTATTTTCAATGGTACCTTTGAAACGTTGAAGAGGAGTCGATGGGAAGAAAGGTCATTAAACCGATGGGGAATGATGAAAAGAAGATGGAAAAGTATCACTGAACTATCAGGAATTTGAGGGTTCTCCGGTTTCACAACGTAAATCCAAAAGATCATGATGGTATTTTCGGTTGGGCTCTGTGATAGATAACTTTTCCAAATCTTCTAGAAAACAGTGAATTTTTAGATTGTTCACGTGAGAAACTGGCTCAAAAAAAGGTAAATTTCGAATGAGCATCTTTCTAATGAACTTGCTTTCAGTTACATTTGAATTGTATTGTTCACCCTACAGGAAACGGGTAAAATATCGAAAGATGAAGTATCAGATTACCAACCAGTTTATCTTTACTCTTTGAGACCCGGGACACTTCCTTTCATTTCAAATTTCAAATTGTTCATTTGTCTAACGATTTTATGGTAGATATCATCGGCGATTTTCTTTATGTACTCGATGTGCTTATTATTGTTGTGTTGAAGCAGTTGCTTCTTTGGTGACCCATCGTACCGTGGGAGGAGGAGGAGAAGAATCCCACCGCACCGCGCCGGATAACCACATCCATAATACAATTGATTTCCCTCCACTCGCATGCATTCGCACTGAGGTCATACCATTTTGATTAAGTTTTGATGATAGTTTATGCAAATCTCTGCCGCCCCTCTCTGAGCTTCACTCATTCATTTCTCATTGTTGTAGGTAATTAACCGCTCCCTGATGATGATCGCAAGACCGTAACGTCGGATAAACCAACCAATTTGTACCAAGAGTTCGGACGATGGGTCAGCAAAGAAGCAACTGTTTCAACACAACGATAATCTAACGATTTGCTTCAAGATCTCAAAACCACCCACCTTCTACGTCATCATGTACCCGTTCCGACATTGCACACTGATTTCATCACACTTTTCCTTGTACCTCCCCCTGCTTCATCTCAACCTTTTTCTCTTTCTCCTTCTTCTTGGCTCATCCTCATCATCATTGAAAACTTTGTAAAAGTTGGAGAGAAAGAAGAGAAGAGAGTCGGAGTGCCATCCCATCCCTACACCTTTTGCCTCCTCCGCAATTTCTTCTCGAAGCATTCATCTTTCGGCTCTTTTTTCGTTAGTCAGTCGTTCTAGTGACTATGGGACCGCGAGGCGGGCAGAAAGAAAGAAAGAGAGAGAGAGAGAGAGAGAGAGAGAAGATTACAACACCTCCGACTGAGGAGCACCAACGACGACGACCTCTCGGCACTTTCGTCAGTGAGATCGCGCTGAGAACTACTAGAACTCTCAGTGTCTATGGTGCATCGGGCGGTGAGCCTACAATAGCCAAGGCATTGATCTTTACCCGTTTTTCTGTGTTTTTTGCTGCTCTCCACGCTCTTCTCAAAACAATGTTGACACATCCCTCTTATCCTTGTCCTTACCCCCTAGACAGGGACTTGGACACAAAAACAATATTTGCTTAGTGTTTTACGCCCACCCTCTTTGCGTAAAACATTCATTTTCATTGAGAACTACCGTTCCAACAAGACGCTTTTGCTTTAGATCTGTGAAATTGAATGAGAGATAAGAAAACACTTGGCAGATCATTTTTCATTGGCTCTCTCTCTCTCTCTCGTTTATCTTTGTCGGGGGGAGCTTTTCCTAGGCTCAGGACCTCCTTGATCAAAAAACATTCGGCCCTTCGCCCTCAAAATTCGTTATTTCACCTCTTCACCTATCTTTTGCGGTGTAAAATTTCCGCTCACTGCTTTCGTTTCGCCAACGTCTTTTCTATTTCTGTTATCCGTGGCAGACAGAAAAGTTCGCTTTTGAAATTCATTGCCGAATATCAATCATTCACTGGTTCTTTTTTTTCAGAAATGGCACCACCATCAATCTACGGAGAGCCAAAGATCAGATCGGAGAACGGATCAGTGTTCCTGGAGGTATGTGCAAAGAAATCCGGCATTCTTCATGATTAGCCTTGATTTGGACTATCTGCCATTCAACTTACAACCCGATCGGATGGCTTCTCTGTTTAAAGTGCGGTTTTTAAAACTTTAAATGATTCTATCTAAGAATCAGGTGATCCGATTAGAGGGAAAGTTTTACTGGAGATATTCCATACCAACACTATAAACCGTGCAAGGTCAGAGTCTGATTGGAAATCGAAATGTGGATCAGAAATGCATACCCCGGAAGACTTTTTTCTCAGTTTTGTCTTAATCCCAAACAACCCTTTTCCAGGTGATCGCTACCGGAGCCGACGTCGCTAAGATTCAATGGTTCTTCGGAGCCGATGAGCTCGAGGAGAACGAATTCCTCAAGTTCTCGCACAGCGACGAAGGAGGCAACCGCACCAAGTTTGTTGCCGAAATCAAGGTCAGTTTGACTCCAGCGAGCGGTGCTCGAGCAACTGTTGCTGCAGATTGCACGCGGCACATTCTAAATAAATCACATAAAACGAAACGACAGCACTTTCGGGTGCATCTCCGTTTAATGGGTACTTAATAGAGAAGTTAGACAATGCGTTAAAGATAAATAAGAAACTTGCAAAAATGTTTTCAGGACTTTGACAAACCGCTGGCCGGAGAGTACAAGGCTGTGTTCGCCAACGCCGATGGAGAGAACAGCGCCGCTTTCACTGTCACCGCTGGAAGTACAAAGAGACTTTTGAAGAGCTACAGTAGTAATTCTTGTTCTTTAGACGCTCCGGACTTCCACGACAAGCCGCATATTGTGCAGAGAGACAATGGAAACGTGATTGTGATCAAGGTCCGAGCCAAGTCGCACCTTGAAATGAAGGCTGAGTGGTTCAAGGTAAGCACTGAACGGGTTCACCTGTAAATTAAGACCACCAACACAATTCTGTGAGCTTTAAAGAACACTTCTAGCTTAACGATGAATGATCAAACGGAGATGGGACCGGGCAAATACATACTGTCCAAAAGATCACCGCATCAAAATCTTTCTAATTTTGGAGAAAAAGCGAATTCAATGCTTGAAACACTTTCAGCAGCAAGTTCAGTAGATCAAAATATTCACACTCTCCAAAAACAAACCCCTCGCCAACATCACCAAAATAAGTTTTGGGTTCCATCACTCTCTGAACTTTTTTCGTCCGTTTCCCCATTTCCCAATTCATCCAACTTAAGGCAAAGGGTCTCGAGAAGATGGATAGACTGACTGACGACAAAAAGAAGTTGTCCTAATTTCCACATTTATGTTAGTCAAAGTGAACCTCGCTTTCTCAAGGGGATACCAAGAGGGAAGGAGGGAATGGGTAATGTAAAGAAGTGTGGAAAGCGAAAGCGAGTTGGCTCTTTTTTTATCTTTTTTGTCTCCCTCTGACTCAAGAGTAGGAGAAAAAAGGAGAAGAAAAAGCTTCTAAGAGTGGAAAGAAGAAGAATTTTGAGTTGTGAACAGAAAAGAAGATGGATGCAAGGGGCGGCAGAATCTTGTGTAAGATCTCAAAAAACATTCTCAAGTCAAAGCTTAGAACAAAAGTGTTGTTCAGGATGAGAAGCCGGTCAAGTTCACGGACCGCGTCAAGGCCGTTGTGAAGAAGGACGACAAGGACAAGGACGGATACCAATTCCTGCTCGAAATCACCGGACCACAAAAGGACGACGAGGCCAAGTACAAGTGCATCGTCAAGAACTCCGAGGGACAGAACCAACAATCGTTGAACCTGGTCTTTGACTAAATTTTGTCGTCAAATTGCTTGTCATACAGTAATTCAAGTATTTTCTTAACTTTTCATGAACCTGCTAGCTTACTCTGAAAACGTTTTTCTTTTTGATTTGATTTAGATTTCAAATCTTTGTGCCTTTTTTCTGCTTTTTTTCGTCTTATCTGCGCTCATTTAGTCACAATGAACCTTGTTAACTTTTCGAGGTGACGTCAGAGTTTGAGAGTAGTCTTAAGAAACATTTGATTAAGATTTTCCTTTGAAAAAAGATTTTGTCCTCTTGACCTCAAGACATTCCAAACTCTGAGGAAAACACAAAACACCACACATCCCACACCAGTCGGCAGAAATGTTCCCCTGGGGAGAAGTACCACTCTGAAAGTGGAGGAGACGAAGGAGGAGCCTCAAAATGTTATCAGTGTGTTTTTCCAAACAAAAAGTTTTGACGAAAAAGTGTCTTTGTTCATTTGTACGTGTTCAGCTCGAGCTTGAAATGCATTAGTTTCTCTGTAGCATTTTCACTTCAAACCTTGGACCCAAAAAGTTGTGCACTTCATAATAAAATATCCTGTGAAGAAAAAAAAAACGGCAAACCTAACCGACAAGGAGCAGAAAAAGCGATTTTCAAGCGAACTTTGCTTCTCCACTCCTTTTTTTTCGTGAATTCTCTTATTTTTTGTTTTCAATGTCTGCCTCACCCAAACTCTTCTTTCACATGGACAGATTTTTCTCAGAAACGTGTAACCTGACCTGTGTTATTGTTGTTGTGAGGTATAGGAAGGACTTTTTTTATATTTTTGGCTAGATTTTGTTACAATAACAAGATTTTTGGCACGTCCCAGAAGAAAACGTTTTTCTCTGAAACCAATCAATATGAATGGGATTTAGGGGAAATCTTTACAAAAAGGTCTTTCGAAAAACTTAGAACAAGCAGGTAAATTCCCAAAATAATGCTTTAAAACAAATTTCCAAATAGAAGTGATTTGACAAAACTATTTTGCTGGTTCATCCAAGTCTCACTAGGGATTTGAAATTTTACTCTCCCTTCTGTCATCAGTAGTTTCAAAAACTTTAAGAGTATGGAAAACATACCAACTCCAGTAAATCACAGAAAATCTATGCTCATTTTTGTTGAACAGGATGTCAGTACTTTACTGCAAACTTTCATGGCAACACTTTGTGCAAACGTACACTCAAATCCAGGTATAATTGCCCATTCCTTTCCTCCTCCTCGCTCCCTACCGCTTAGACAAAATTCGGTAGGAATAGAAAACCAATCAAACTCGGTTGGTTGGTTTTGTTGCAGTTTAGCAGTGCATTTAGGCCAGGAGAAGGCTGAAGACAGAAAGGGGGTGGGGGGTACAAATCAAATTGCAATAGTGTGCGCTCGTCTTCCTCCCCCCTTCCCCCAAAACCGTTTTTCAATTTATTGGGGCCGTTCTCTTCTCTTTTCACTTTCCTCTCCTTCAACTTTTTTCCTGCTCTGAACTGACCCTTGAGAAAAAATGGAAGAGTGGGGGTAATGGTAAGGTAAGAACCCAAAGGGAGTGAAATGGAATGGCTCTTCTCCTTAATTTCATTGTCCTCGAACCACTTTGTCCTCCTATTCCGTGGACTTCGATTCAATTCGTCGTCTTCCTTTCAAACACTATTTTCGGTTCAAGAGGGAGGCTATGTGTACAACTTCTATTTATGGACAGAGGCTACACAGTTCACCTCCTCCAGGCGGGAAGAGGGGTCTGACCAAAAGAATACGAACAACTAGTAGATTAGAGTAGGATTAGACCGTAATAGGTTCCTCTCTTCCCTAATTTTCTGTAGAAAATGATTACTTCTCCGATGTCAGAAAAAAAATCACAATGTTCTAGCATTTTTTCCTCAAGTCATAGCATCATCCTCACTTCCGGTCAAAAGACCCCCACTTACTTTTTTCTTCCCTTTCTATCCAAAAATGTGTGTATATATATATATGGCAATAAAACTCGCAGCGAGACTACTCAAAAATAGCCGATTCAGGTTGTCAGTTCCAATTTTCCCCGGGGAGTGAGCGGCCCTGTGCGCTTTCTTCTGCTCTCAATGAGTCAGAAGGAATCTTTTTAAGTTTCGGCCGGTTGCTAGTCAGGTTTTTGAGTATAACACCATAACCGCGGTAGTGTATGTTTCAAAAGTGTGTTCGTTTCAAAAGTGTGTTCGTTTCAAAAGTATAGGGCCACCCCTAAAATTGAATATATTGTTATTCCCGAACAAAATACAAAGACAGGATCTTAAAAATCAAAATCAGCATCACAAATAACCCCCGGAAGACAATTTTGAGAGCAGTGCATAGGATAGTTGGGGAATGGTGCTGAAATATCTGAAAATGTTGCAACTGCAAGCGTTTCATAAGTATAGGGCCACCCCTGAAAACACTCTGGAAGCCTCTTAAACTGATAAACGTGATTTTGAATGGGGTTCTTTGCACCTTTAGGATGTCCAAAAAGCCTTTTTGAAATCATGTGCAATGACCCCGACGCCACCTAGGGCCACTCTCCCAGGTTTAGCCTCATATTCTGTGTGGAGCTCGGGAGTGGAGCCGGGGGACTCCGATGATCTCAAATCAGTCAAATCTTGTTTGAAACTAGTTTTTTGAGCACTTTCAAGTCAATTCTGTTTAAGCATGCCGAATCTCTAGCCCCTGATATCAGATTTTTGGCCAAAATGAAGCCAGGCCCAACAAGGATCAGACTGGATTGAGCGCCAAACTCCAGGCTGACATTGCCCACTTTTAGGACTTCATAAGGAAGGTTTGAAACATGACATGTTTGAGTTTGGTGTCAATCGAATCAGTTTGAACCGAGTTATGAGCTCCCGATTGTTGAAGTGAAGAAAACCAACAGAAATGTACTGAAAAATGATGGTTTTCTTCATTTCAGCAATCGGGAGCTCATAACTTGGTTGAAACTGATCCGATTGACACCAAACTCAAACATGTCATGTTTCAAACCGGCCTGACTTCATTTTGGCCAAAAATCTGATATCAGGGGCTAGCGAATCGAGAAGCTTGAACGAATCTGACTTGAAAATGCTCAAAAAACTTGTTTCAAACAAGATTTGATTCATTTGAGATCATCGGAGTCCCCCGGCTCCACTCCCGAGCTCCACACAGAACATGAGGCTAAACCTGGGAGAGTGCCCCCGGGGTCATTGCACATGATTTCAAAAAGGCTTTTTGGACATCCTAAAGGTGCAAAGAACCCCATTCAAAATCACGTTTATCAGTTTAAGAGGCTTCCAGAGTGTTTTCAGGGGTGGCCCTATACTTATGAAACGCTTGCAGTTGCAACATTTTCAGATATTTCAGCACCATTCCCCAACTATCCAATACACGGCTCTCAAAATTGTCTTCCGGAGGTTATTTGTGATGCTGATTTCGATTTTTAAGGTCCTGTCTTTGTATTTTGTTCGGGAATGACAATATATTCAATTTTAGGGGTGGCCCTATACTTTTGAAACGGACTGTAGAGAGGCTCAAAAATTGGTTGAGCTGTCAACGATGGGTTGGGTGACAAACGTGATTTTTCTCAAAAAGGACCACAAAAATAGGATAATCGGGCATAATTCTAGGTTGTTTTTCTTCTAAGATCAGTGTCACGCAAACAATTATGCAATTACTCGTGCCTGTCACCGCCCACGTCGTCTTGCGGGTCCTACTGTACATAGTCTAGGTATAAAAGGAGTTTTTCTGAGCCGAAGAGCTCAGTCTCAATGTTCTGCAGCTCAATGGAAAAACATCGAAAATTCAGTCTGCAGGTGCGTTCTTGGACTACGTGTCTTTCGCATTTTTCAAGACATCAAACTTATCACAGATTCCCAAGTTTAGATATTCAGAACTTGAAGCTAAACTAACTTCCAAGTATCATCCTTCTTCCCCTTTCCCTTTTTCTCTTTTCTCTATCGGGACCCAAGGCGCTTTCCAAAATGCGTCACGTCAGTGGAAGCCGCCCAAATTGAGCAACAAGGTTGTGGAAAGAACCTTATAGGTTTCTTCTTCTTCTTCTTCTTCTCCTTTCCTCCACATTTTCCTCTCTTTTCTTCCATTTTTGTTCAATTCCTTCTTCTTCTTCAACCAGTTAGTTTGTCTTCTACTCCGCTCGTTACCCATGTTTCAACATCCTAGCTAACTTCGTTTGTTCTTCAACACCAAAGATTTGTTTTGCGTAGGGCATACTGTAGCACAAAACATTTGGAAAAGGAGAAGAAGACAATGACGTGTGTTGCACACGAGACAGAGGAGCGGATGAAAATGAAAACAAATCGAACAAAATTCCAACTTTCTCTCCCTCTCTCCTAGCGACCATCCTTCTTCCGTCCGTTTTTATTTCTTCCGTTCGACGCGGCGCCGCGACTGAATTTACAAACATTTTCCTTCCTTCTTTCCTTCCACTTTTCATCCGTCTTCATTGGCTCAATTTTCCGAATGACGCCGATGGTTTCCGATCGTTTTTTCTATATTCTTTGAGTCTGAGTCTGTTAGGCTCATTTTCAGTTCGGGTTTAGAAAAGTTAGTGTAAAAATTAATCTCAATGCTTAGATTTTGGTTCCTATTGTATTTAGTTTTGATGATCAGAACACAAAATTTTTGTAAAGAATAGTGATTCCAATCAGTTTTGTGTATATTGCTTCGAAACACCTGCACTCTAGCCTGCCCACGTTCCTACCAGTTCATACGTCAGTTCTGACTCAAAAATTGTCAAGTACATACTTCTTGAATTGCAATATGAGCTTTAGTAGCCTCCGAAACGGTTGGCAACAATGAAAGCACGCGGCGCACACTCACCTGAGCCAAAGACTATCCATTTCGGTAGACTCTATTCTATACTTGTTTATTTTTTCTCATGTGTGTTCATCGTTTGCTCGTATCTATTGGAATCGGGCAGCCAAAAGTCTACTTGAGAATTGTTTTGACTCATTTCATCCGTCGCAATATTTGATCTACTCGCAACAACTCTTTCACACGTTTTTTCTTACAGTTCTTCTTCATATCCCTGTGTGTTTTGTAGTGGAGTTTTCGCAAATTTCAGAATACTGTTGACCTTACGACCCAGTTGCAGTATTCCAATTCATTTCACAAAATCCCGGTCTTTTCGGTGTCTCATTCTCCGGAGGGTTTGGGTCGGAACGGAACACAGCAACGGAGGCAAGAGTTCATATCTTTCTCCCCATTTTATTCACAAAATGTCAAAAAGTATTCAGGTAAAGAGGCTTGTTATCAACTCGCAAATAATTGACTCGAAAAATGAGCCGATGACTAACAAGAGCGCAAACATTTTTAAAAACTTGTCTAAGACTAATTCGACGTTTAATTCCACTTTCAATTCATCAACTATTGTTCCGGAAGGTCGAGCTCACTTGCCAATTCAATTAGTGCCGTGAAGTGTGAGAAAACGGAAAAAGGAAGGGAAAAGCGAAAAAAAAGGAAAAGTACCGTAATCTCATAAACTTTTTCCGTTTTGTTCTGTGTTCTTCCAATCGAATAACGGCTTTCTCGGGGACTAACTAGTCTTGTTCTTCTTTTTCGAGGTCCAACAAAAAAGTATAGTCCTCGTGCATCCCCATCTTCCTAGCAGAACGCACGAAAAACCAAACCACTTTCTTCCCTTCTCTCTTCTTCTCCTGCAACATTTTTATTCACTCTCTTCCTACTACCTCCCGTGATTTTATTCCATCTAGAAAAAAAGAAACGTTTAGAGCGTTTAGCACACTGCTCAAATTTCATTGTCCTTCTCCTTCTTCTTCTTCGTCTTCATCGTCTTCATTTTCATTCCACGCCGCTCCTCTTTTCCTCTTCTTTTTCCGCTTTCTTTTCTTCTTCCTTGTCAATTCAATCTTTATACTTTTTCGGAAATTAGGAAATGAGAGGAGGCCAGTCTTAAGAGGGGTTTGGGAACTGGATAAATAAAAGAATAAGGTGGAAGATCGGGGTTGGACTTATCGAATGTCCAAAGAGACAAAAGGACAAATAGTAGAAGCTTGATATCACAACCGATATATGCCAAAATTGAAAATAGCAAAGTCTGGATCAAATAGAATAATTACAAGTGCTCTGGTCCCGATTGGAAACTAAATATGTTCCGAGTTCAGTCTGTTCATTGTATTGGCTTGAAAGTAAATCACAGCTAGGTCTAGCCTGACAGTAGCGCAAACTTGGGATCCGATGAGACAGTTTCAACTTGAAAAGATTTGCAGAATGCCCAGAAAACCACAAAAAGTCATTTGTCAAACTCTAGGCAAACTTAAAACAGATCACAAACTCTGTACTTTGCTCATGGTCCTGGGAACACAATTTTGCTTGAAATCTTCTTCTCAATCTCTGGAGCGTTTGTTTGCAGTTCAGTTTATTCCCAAAAGGAAGTGTAAACAGAGACATTGAACTTTCGGTCACCTATGGTCTGAGGGAGGTCAAAAACTTTGCGTTTTAATCAAGATTGAACATTCCGTTTCTAATTTTCACCTTGTTGCAAAAAATCTGATCAAATCAAATCAAATCCAAGGGATTCGCTCTTCATTTCCTTTTCGTTTGTTTACCAAACTAAATCTGCCCCTTTCCCTTTTCTCATTAGTCCCCAGAAGAAAAAATGGAAGAAAATCAAAGGGCTCACGACCATTCCCATTCCTTTCATTTTCAAGACTGCATCAACGTCACAAACGAAACAAAAAAGTAGGAAGACACTAATTGCATGCAAATTTCGTTCTCCTTTCTTTTCTTTCTTTCAAGTGACGCGCCACGCGCCAAAAAGAAGACAAAAACCCATATAAGTTCCCATCAATGTCCCATCCCGTCAGCTTCTCCTCCTTTTCTCCATTTTTCCTTTTCTACGTACCCATCACCGATTACCCCCATTTTTGTGTGCAAGCCCCGCCTCCTTCCTTTGCTCGTTCGGCCCCTTTTGTGGCGACAAAGAGAACCGCGGCCATCCATCCATCCATCTGAAGGCGCGAAAAGAAATGCGCCGTCGTGGTGAGAAATATTAGCTAATTACGTTCGTTCGTTACAAAATGTATGTACGTCGCTTCTTTTGTCTTTCCACTTTCACACCCTCTTGTCCCAAATATTTTCCCGACGCAGAACACTAATTTTATTGTGCATAGCTTCTAATGAAGGCGTGTTTGTTAGCTAAGAGGTCTTTCTGAACCTTGTCGGGTAATTTTTGTACTATGAACAATTCTGTTCTATATCCGTCATATTAAAACTGATGTAGACCCAATTTCATTAGAAGAATTGAAAAGACGTTGATAATGAAAACCAATCATTGATAAAACTCCTCAAAAAGCTGCATATCAAGATCACATGAACCAGGTGAAACTTTTTTGGAACATTAGCATTTTCACCTGTTTGCAAATTCAAAAGCAAGCACCTGATTGATCAAATGATCATTTTATTGATAATTCTCATCATCCTTACTCATACCAGGACAATACACACGCGAAAATCTGCAGGAATCTTTTTTCTTCTTCTTCTTCCAAGACGTATCTATTACTCATCCCATCCGCCCATCCTCATCTCAAGAACCAATCTGACCACGTGAAAAATTGTGTCCATCTTCTTCTTCTTCTTCTTCTTCTGCTTCCAATCATCCCTTCTGTATAGAACTTGCTCTAATTAGGTGCAAACGCGCATCCGTATCCAAATGAGAAATTAACGGAAGGAAGCGCACACTTCTCTCTAAAAATAGAGAAAAAAGTTTTTGGGTTGGTGTCACACATACTCGTACGTATCACCTTGGACCCGTGCCAGAGATTTTCCACCTGCTATTGCATCGGAAATCGGCGATTAAAGTTTCTCCTTCAGGAATTCAGTGTTTCTTTGGTTTTGCCTATCCCAATAAGTGTTGCGGCTCTCAAATACCTTCAAAAAGAGCGGGGAATGGTTAAAGTAGTCTTTTGGAGACATTGTCAAACTTGCAGTTATTCTTTTTCTCTAGTCAAAGTGTATTTTCTAGTACACATTGTATACTTTCATCAAATGCTGATTAGCAAAACAACTGTCTGATACTTCCTTTTTTATCATCATGGCCAAGGCCTCCGGCTGCAGACAGCTGCGTAATGGACAGGAAATTGAACGGAAGAACGCCAGAACACACATAAAATGACAAATGACGACAATGTCTATAAAATGTTCGTTTTTGTACCGACATCAGGCTCCCAACTAAACCAAAATCAAGCATCAGACCATGTGGTGACCATATCCAACTTGTAATTTGAAATCCTATTAGTCTTGACCTGTCAGGCCGAAGGTGTAGTACGCACTTTTGGTAACCCATATGTCACATTTTTAATGCAAACGTCGGCCGGACCGCTCGTCCAACCCCCGTCTTCCACACAACCGAATTTTCTCGCCTTTTCACTTCTCTTTTTGAATCTACGCAACTTTTATGAGCTCCTGTTGTCGTTGAAAATGAACCTAACTTCTAGAGTACTATTTCAGATGTCAACATCAAACTCAACGAATCGGGTCAGTCTAATTGATGTCATTATCTTCGGCGGCCTAGAATCTCTTGGAATATGTGCAATTCTGGGCAATTTGGCGTTGATCATAGTGCTCCTCAACAACAAGTACTTGCATCGTGCCAGGTACTCTTTTTTCAAAATTTTTAATGTGACGACCCAAATAGAGCACAGTAAGTGTTATGTCGAAAAAGATGGAGTGGGTGGGTGCGATATTGAGATGAGAAGATGAAATCGGATATCGTTTTGAACAGCAAACATAAAAGACGGGGGGAAGTTGCGCATTGTCCCACGCAATAGAAAATTTGCACTTTGTTTGCACGCCGGGCGTTCCGTTTTCTTAAAAATCCGAGAAGAGGGGTTTAGAAGCACAACACACTGATTTTGATGAGAAAAAAGAAAGATCTAATAGTTTTTGGCAACACAAAATCCGATTCTTTCCACGTTCTAGTACATTTTGAGAATGCAGAGCCAACTAAGGCAAGTAAAAGATATCGTATGTGTGAGTTGTGTAAACTAGTAAGAAATGTTCATTTACCTTCTTTGTCCAGCAAACCAAGGCATTCAACAAATTTGTTTACCCAGTGCAAGCCAATTGTTAGCAAAACTTAGAGCCGCTGGTTTTCAGCTTTCAGCCAGACTAAACGTGCTAACAAAATAGGTTTGCGACAACTTGAAAACAATATTGCAAGTTTGGCAGATTTTGAATAAGGGAACAGGGACCGCTGAAAAAAACGGAAAATATAAAAATGATATGGCATGACAATAAATTCGGTTGCAGTTTCATCCTTATGCTCAATTTGGCGATTGCTGACGTCATCCACGGCTTTGTGACCACGTGCCACTTCTATCCTCCCATCCTTCTCAAAGAAATGCACATCGGAGAGCTCGCCGTCCGCCTGTTCAACATCGCCGACTGGACCGCTTGGGCAATAACACTGACGTAAGGAACGAAATTTATGACCCGAGATCGAGATGCCCATTTATTTTATTCCAAGCTCGACTTTTGATCTGATGTTATCCGAGTTTTAGTTCCATTAAATTGCGATGAGTTGTTTCGAAATCGGGCATAAGACTTTTTCGAAAGCGGGGAGAAATGAAATGAGATGAAGTTTTCTAAGTATGAAATTATACATTCAAGCTCTAAAAAAACTCTCCTAAAGTTAGGTGAACTTCGTAAATTGTAATTTCAGTCACATGTCCGCCATCTGTCTCGACCGTCTCATCGCAATCATCCTTTACGGCCGCTACAACGTGCTTGTGACGGTGCAACGCATCAAAAATTTCAGCATTTCATGCTGGGTGCTTTTTCTGAGCACCAACGTGACGTTGTTCTTTGTGCAAGCGTGTTGCATGATCAGACCGTTGGAGACTTTGAACTACTACAGCTTTGGATACGTCGAGACAAGTGGGCGTGACTCTTTGCAGCATGTGGAACCAATTTTTTGCAGAGCAATTCAATGTCTACGTGCTCACTTACACGCCTGTCGAGATTCTCACCATTTTGATACTTTCCTTCAGCAATCCCATCACTCTAGTTCAACTTTATCGCCGTCACAAACGGAAAATAGCGTTGAGACAGTAAGTTTGAGTACAGTTCTTCCTACAAATGTGTTTTCTTCTTCTATCGAGCTCAACTCGCACTTTTCTTCCACTCATTCCGCCTAATCTCACCATTTTTTCTTCTTTAAGCATCAACTCAATTTCGAGCACTTTTTATTCTGAAAAATCAGCGTTTTTCTTGATCTGCATGGTGTTCTTGCACTTTTTACTTGAACAACTTGAAACTAAAAGTTTTGGTGATTTATTTTGTTCTTTAAAATCTAACAATAGCTTTGGCCAAGTTCTTTTTTGACCATTCATCCCAATTTTGCACGAGAGAGTGCAGTGCGTTGTTATTCAGGCAAGGAACCACAAAAAGTGTGTCGACTTCGTCTTCGTCGCTTTTGAAGCAGCAGCGATCACAGTGGCAACGGTGAGTGTACAGTAAGCCCCGCTTGAAAAAAAGAACACGTTTTGAACTGATAAAAAACTATTTTGGCGCTCCAGTGAGAACTTGTGATTGTTCGGAGTGGTCTTTCTCCCTATCCTCGACTCGTTTTTTTATGTTCTCATCTGATGAGAAATTCGGTTTTCCATTGCTAGATATTCTTGGGATTCTTTGGAGGTGCTTGTGGAAATCTTAAGTTTTGTTCAGTTCTCTGGATTTGATAGAAAATAGAAAGAAAAACTTGAACACCGTCTCAACATTAGCTACATAATTCAATTGAAATGTTGTTTCTTCTCCTTAAAATTCTTGCTTTGTCGCAGATTTTGATACTGAATCCATAATTCATAATATTCTTGAAAGCCCCGAAACCATCAAACTATTCATCAAAACAGTTGTCCATAGTTTCCTTGCCATGACCGAGTACATACATAGTTCCGGAACGTCTAGTCTAAGAATCAAGTAGCAATATTGCAGGAATGTCAGAAAACGCGACTCAAATGATCAATCGAAACTTTTTAGGTTGCGTTCAACATTCACTTCTCCATCTAGAATAGTGTTAGTGTACATAAATCCGCGGCGAGCAGAATTGTAACGACATCCCGCATGCGTTCTAACGGATTTCAATTTATTAACTAACTTTAAGAAGCATGCATTTATCTGTCGTTTTTTTTCTAGATTTTCATGACCTGGCATGCTTGGAACTGGAATGATTCTCATACTCACCGCTTGCAAGTTCCCCCACACCCGCACTCACTTTTCATAACCATACAATAGCTAATCCACACATCACTCTCTATTCATTTCTCTCTATCTTTTCAGTTTCTCGGCCACATCGCTTTCTCGCTATCTGTAGTCAAAAACGTACTCTTAGTTATTATAGATGTTCAGGAGAAGTGATAGAACTTCTCCTCATCACTTTAGATCGGAAAAACTAATTTTAGAAGTTACAGAGCAAGTACCATGCTTCTGGAAATGTCTATGAAAATGGGAAGTAAGCAGATTGGAAGTGATGTGAGAGAAATGGCGGCAAGGCGTTCAAATCGACAGCAACAACGAATTCTACTACAGGTCAGTGGCACTTGAAACTTTCAAAATTAACAAACTACTTCAGATTACTGTAGTCGCCCTGATTTTCTACGCCTACATGTCTGCCTACTACGTTTCCTACTACAGTCGCTTCCAATCAATTGCCGTCATGATCTTCAATAGTTATTTCTACTCGATCACACACATGATCAATCCGGTCATCTATTTTTCTTTGAATAAGGAAATGAGATCGCAGCTGAAGTATGTAAACTTGTCGAAAAGTCACTAGTATTTGTATGATCTGCTTTCAGAGAAGCTTTTGTCGACTTCCGAAAACTTTTCGATTGCAAGAAGAAGGATCCATACGGATTTGCAAACAGTTCCACCAAAGTCAATCATAGCACAAAAATGACGTGCGTTTCTCACATCACTTTTGATAAAAATATAATAATATGGAAAACATTTCAGAATGGTCAGAGCCCAAAGCACTTCCTGCAGTGAGACTTCACCTCTTTTCTCCTCCAACACCCATTACAAGTGAGCAAATCAGCCAGTTTTCGGATGAAATAATAATGTTGTGTTCAGATCCACGTGTGCCACTCAGAAAAACGAGGAGAGATCGTTGGATTCGTTGGAGGGAAGTAGCACTGGAAATGAGTCGGCCGAGATTCGGGCGATTGTTCAGAATGACGACCCTTGTAAGCTGTAAACGGTGTCCGAAGTGTGATATTGTGCCTCAATTTGATAGTTCACATAGTGTTCCGTCTTGTTATAAGTTTGTTCTTTGATCTCTATGTCTTCGTAGACATTCCGTCCCAATACCATGAAATCTTTAAGAGAAGAGCTTGCAACAAAGTTTTCTAAAAATGATTCACAAACCGGTCAAAATCCTGTGTGAGCTTTGTGGGTTGCCGTTCCGATTAATGGAACCTTTATGAGAAGTTTACTCTATTCAGATTTCTGGGTACCATATCATTCTTAACTGCGTTTTTGAACCCGGTTGGTGCAGGATCCCAAAAATAAGACCCCGTAACCTGAATTGAAACGGAAGGCTGTTAGAAGATTCAATAATATTCTCACACTTTCCGGTCAGAGTAACCTTCCTCATTCTTCAAACTTTGCTTCTTTCCTATGTATTCCGGTTGTCTGACTTCAACTGTAAATAAATTATCATGTTGTGTTGTTCTGTTTTAGACCTATCAACCCCGAATTCCAGCCGACCAATGTTCACTGCCCAAATCCGACATTTACATGACTCCGCCAGTGGAAATGGCGGCTAACAAGATGGGCGCAAAAGAAAGATCCACTTTTATAAACCAACTTGTCTCGGTAAGCCAATGTCAACCTCCCTGCTAAGTTTTACAAACTCAATTGGTTTAGGCATTGCAATACGCGAGTAACAAGTCATTGGCTTCGTCGGTGAAAGGACAAAACGGGAAGGAGGATGAGGAGGAGCGAGAACAATTGCAACCGGCCCAAGTCCTGAGGAAATTGGACAAATCGGCGACCACAAATGACATCAGCAGCATGATCAAACAACGGTTCTTGAAAGAAAACAACGTCATTTCTTGAATCAAGGGATTGTTTTTATTTCAGATATATTCGCTTCTCCAACACGCTTCAAGTGATCTCCAAAGACTCAATCGATAATTTTATTTCTGAAAATCACAAGTTAGTTTTTTAATTTCCGACACTGTCAATGAAAAATGTTGTGTTCCAGATACGTGTCAATGGGTAGTTTGGAACGGAGCTGTCTTTTGAATGACATGTCTGGAAATAGTGATTCCACGAGCACCACTATTCAAAAATCTGTGACAAGGTATGTGGAGTGGATGTTCACGTGGAAACATGTATTTTTTCCTGGAAGTAAGAAGTTGTGGTCCATACGGTCTTTCCGGCCCCCCATCCCTTTTTCTAATTGCTAGATGATCCGAGCGGTCTGAAACTTTCACCCAAGATACTTTTATCTGAGAAGCCTGCAAAGTTTACTACAAAAGATTTCTAACTTGCTTCAAAAACATGTTTTCAGATCCCAGTCCTCATCGTCGAACATGTTCCGTGGTAGCATGACCAACTGCAATGGTGACACCGGTCTCCTTCTCGACGACGAAATCGAGACCGATGATGAAATCGCTTACCTCTAATCCGCCCCAACTCGTTTTATTTACTACTTTTTTCTAATATTCTCTTAATCTTACCCATGTCAGTTGTTGTTTGTCATTAATTCCCCGTGTTTTCTGTCTGTCAATTAAATGGACAGAAAGGAAGATACTAACGTGTAAACTTGTATCTCATCTCATTTTTTCGCGGAAACATAGACAATCCTCCCCTATTTATCAGAATAACATCAGCTTGAAATTGGGTTAAACTGAACTTCTCCTGTCGTTTCACTCATAATTGACATCGATCCTCATATCTAATGCTTCTGATCTGCAATCCATGCGCTTTATGCACTTACTTACAGTATTTCATTCAAATATTTGAATTAATGATATGAAAAAGTTGAGCCCAATGCGTCTCCACCCTTTTTCTTGTTTCACTCACATCAATTCTTTCTTCTCTGCCGCCTCCGGAGCCTATCAACAATGTATCAAACGAAGAGATGTTGGGAGGCTCTCGGAAAAGTGAAAAACAGTGTAAACTATTGGATGGAGGATTGGCAGCAACTGATGGGGAGACGACTTGGTTAATTCGACGGAAAACAGACACATACACACGGGGAAAGAGATGTGGTGATAACAGGAGAAGGATAAATGATTCAAAGAACAAAAAGCTAATATGAGAGAAAATATGAAGTTTTCAGATGAAGAAGAGAGCTATTCACTTTATACACTTTGAAACTCATAAAAGTAATGCTATGAGTTGTCCAGATCCTGAGTGGTCCGAGCGGAAAGTTGTTCTTTCAAAAACCTAAACCTGTTCCTAGCATTTCACTTTGAAACTAGACGAATATAAGTAAATTCTGTATTTTATGTGAATTATCTTTTCGATCTCCTTTTATTCGGTTCAAAGTTGGTCGCAAGCTGCTATCTTTGAATCGGGAGTGGGTTGTAGTCTCAAATAGGAATGGCAGGAAGTAAATGCGCTCTGAAACAGAAACAGTAATCTCCAGTCCGGCGCCAAACAGAAACAAGGAAAGTGCTTGGTTTATTTTTTCCAATAATCGAATTGAGAATACCCCCTTCGCCTTCTAGCCACACTTGCCTCAGTTATTTATTCTTGATATCATTCATCACAAACCTCAAACATCTGCGCCCACACCTCAACGTATTTTTTCAACGTCTCATCTCAAATTTCAGTGTCTCGCCGCGAGCCGACCACCCGGGTGATGATTTCATTTTTCGCCTGTCAACTTCTCGTCAAAAATTGTTTTCTGAGAGCTTGCTCGTTGTTCACTTGACCTTTCACCGGATGTTTTTCAGAAACAGAAGAAATGTCACAACTACAGAAAAGTCAGAGAGTTGATGAGCTCAGCGATACTGTGGACAAAGCAGTGAGTTGCACATTTTCAGATGTCTGATCGCTTAGCGATTAATGAATTTTGGCTTCCGTCGCCAATGACTTGTCCCAGCACCATCCGCATCCAATATCATTATTTCCCGTTCGGAGATCTTCCCCCGTCTCTTTCCGATTTCCTCTCATTTCTCTGCCATCTCTTCAATAAATCTCGGCCAACGCAATTGGTAGGCACGGCACACGAGAGAAATCATTACAACATGCTCTGAAAGAGCAGCTATCTTTAGCAGACACAGAGACAGGTCCGTCCCGTGGGCTAGCGGCGAGGGCGGGGGTTTACGGCGGCTGTTGCCAACTCGAGGTCCCCTCCTCGACACACACACCAGTTGTGACATTGACATTCGATGATGGCAACCAGGGACCGACACACACTTTCTTCTTCTTTTTCTCACTTCTTCCCTTGTTTCAACATATTTCTTTGTCGATTTTTGATTGAATATGAGCTTTCAGATGAGTGAGGAAGCCGGAGAGGACGCCCAGCGCAAAGCCGCTGAGCGCGAGGCCAAAAAGGCCGAAGTGCGCAAGCGTCTCGAGGAGGCCGGAAACAAGAAGAAGGCCAAGAAGGGATTCTTGACACCGGAGCGTAAGAAGAAGCTTCGTGTAAGTCTACCAACCGAGGCTTATCACTAATTAGTTTTTCCTAATTTTCAGAAGCTCTTGATGGTCAAGGCCGCCGAAGATCTGAAGAGACAGCAGTTGCTCAAGGAACAGGAGAGACATAAGGCTCTTGCCGACAGAACCGTCCCGCTGCCTAACGTGGACTCGATCGAGGACAAGGGACAACTCGAGAAGATCTATGGAGACCTCTGGTCCCGTCTTACTCAGCTCGAGGAAGAGAAGTACGACATCAACCAGATCGTCAGTCAGACCGAGGCCGAGATTAACTCCCTCACCATTGAAGTCAACGATCTCCGCGGAAAGTTGTAAGTTTTAAGATTCATTTATTTGTTAATACAGCTAGATTCAGAGATAGGTAATAGCAAATGTAGCGTTCTAGTCTTTTAAGAGGTCAAGATGTTTGTAAACTTTCGAGGGTTATCACTTGCTAGGCGCATCCAGACGGCTTTACACTTTTCCCATTCCTTCACTCGCCTCACAGTGTCTTATATTTGTTTTTCAGCGTCAAGCCTTCCCTCAAGAAGGTGTCCAAGTACGACAACAAGTTCAAGAAGAGCGGAGAGCAGAAGGTTGGAGGAAAGGAAGATTTCCGCGCCAACCTCAAGATTGTCAAGAAGGACGTTCTGGAGTCCATCACCAACGTCGTAAGTTCATGATTGTAGTTCAACACAGTTCTTCTTCTCACAAACGAAATTGCAGAAGAAGAAGGACGAGCCAAACTGGTCGAAGAAGAACAAGGATGCCAAGGCCGAGGAGGCTGCCCCAGCCGCCGCCGCCTCAGAGCCAGTTGCCGAGCCAGAGGCCGCTGAGCCAGAAGTCGGTGAGTTACTGACCAATCTTTCTTTCTGTGCTCACCCGAAAATCACACTTATTTCAGAAGAGGAGGAGGGCGAGGAGGAGGAGGAGGAGGAGGAGTAGATCACCCACCCCAGTCACCAACTTCTCATCTCCTACCACCAACACCACTGCACAAACGTCATAGCAACAACAAAAACAATATTTTTTATGTAGTTTGTGAAATATTAATGGGTTCCGGATATCTAAAACTATTTGATGTGGCTGACGTGTGTGTAGTTTTCGTAAATAAAATCTTGATGGTCCATACATAGACTTGTTTGAAGAGGAACGAGATTTTCTTCAGGCACCTCACGAACAGGCTCAAATGAGACCAAGCCATGGTAACTAATAAGCAGGAAAGAGGAGAGAGTGAAAATCACTGACAAAATATAAGAAAAACAATTTTCCAGAGTCAGACCATACTCTGGTCCTTGTCATCTGCTCAGTTTTGTCTACGACGTGGTCATTTGTGTTTTTTTTTCTTTTCGCTCTAATTTCTTTTATCTACCACAAATTTCAGCGATATCAGGCTTACAGCGTGTGATACAATGTCATGGCTACCCCAGCCACGTGGAAAAGCGTTTTTCTTTGCGTCTCTCATTTCCTCTCCTCTCAAGTGTGATTGCGCGCAAACTACAGTGTCGCGGACGCAATATCTCCCTCCGTGTTTGCAGAATTGTGGGCCTAAAATCAATTTTGACGTATTATTTTCCGATTTCATATGATTTTCCGCACCATTTCTCTAACTTTTTGACTTCTTAAATTAAAAAAAAAATATTTTTCAGCTGTACATCATGGCGAAACCTGGGTAGTTTTACCTAAAAAATAAGTATTCCATCTGGAGACACTTCTTTTAGGGATTTTCTTTAATTTTTTTCCAAGTAAGTGTTTTGTAATCAGATTCAAATGTAGAAATTTGTTTTCAGAACGAATACCACTCAATAACGAATTTTTTGAAAAGGAAGATGGGACAAACCGTTAGAAGAGGCTGTTGAGAGACTGCTGGAGCTGACGGCCAACTATTTCAACGAGGAACATCTGAAGCTTGATTGAATGAATGGGAATCGAGAATGGGAAGTTGACGCCACTCGCAAAAGTGCAGAAAGTGGATAATGGGACAGAACTCGCGGAGAAAGTAGTTGCCGAAAGATTTAGAAGTGGATAATGTGAAGCAACTCGCGGAGAATAAGAAAGCAGAAAGATTAAGAAGTGGATAATGTGAAAGAAGTTGCAGAGAAACATATTGCGCCAAGATTAAGAAGACCTTCAGAAGACCAGAAAAAGAAGCCGAAAGAACTCCAGAGAAACAATATTATAAAATAATATCTTTATTTTAAAACAATAAAAGTATACAAAGTTCTCCATTTGTTTCTCGTTTTTTTAGCCTGATATCGTTGCAATTTAGCTACGAAGATGATCGTTTTTTCTTCGCGTCTCTCCTAAAATCGTCTCGGCCTAAGATCATTATTTTTCGAATTTCTTCTGATTTTCTACATCCTTCCGCTTATTTTTCGATTTCTAACCTTAAGAAAATTGTTTTTCAGCACTACATCTCGGCAAAGCTTGGGTAATTTAAGCAGAAACCTCGTTCTCCACTCGGAAAGACTTTTTTCCCGGCTTTTCTCTAATTACAAGTAAGTGTTATGTGATCAGAGTCACAAGTGGAAATTTATTTACAGAACAGATTCCACTCATTACCAACCTATTTAAAAGGAAAAGCCTCCCGAGAAAGGAAAGGCTCGAAGGAACGGAGGATCCAGTGGAGAAACGTGGTCGTGGAAGAGAAGTCCACGCGTGCATTCCGGTCCCAAACGTGGAGAACAGGCGCCCGAACAAACCTGGTGAGTGCTTATAAAACCAAATTAGAAGTCATGAACTTCTCAAATTTTCAGGCCGATTTGAGAAAAGAGACAAAACAGATCCACGAGGCTCGTCGGACTGACTTCGCAGAGAAACGACGACTGCTCGAGTCCCGTCCGCCATCTCAAAAAACCGGTGACCGTCACCAGTCCATGCCAATTTTCAAAAAATTCTATGGACCCGTGACCGTCTGCTAAAACTTCGGACTCTGTATTTGCAAGGGATCCGTGTATGGGACTTGAACCGAATAAACAAACAGCCTCAATTATTTAGAGGTGACTTCTTGCTTCCACACAACCAGCGTATTTGTCCGTCACGAATCTTTCAGTTGCTCAAGAACCATTCGTCTAAAAACTGACCCTGAAATTAAGAATGACGGGACCCCGGGTTTTTTTTTCGCGGGGTCACACGACAAATTTAAAGGACCAGGGAACCCAAAAATTTTTTGATTAATTTGTGAAATGTTTTTGTGACTGTTTGAATTGTCTCTTATTGCCTCATACACTGGTGAAATGCTGCCTCTCAAAAATGCCAATGAACGAAACGGCATGCAGTTGAAGTTGTGGCCGTGGCCTAGCGCCAATGGCCGAAAAAAATATATAAAAATATATGCGCTTCTCGGCCATTTTATTTTTTTCCGCTTTTTTTACAGGTTTTTCCAAAAAAATTCACGGTTTCTCCCATTTTTTTCAGTTGATTGACATTTGTTCGGCACTTACTTATTTTTTTTCACTGCTAAAAAAATTGTTTTCATTCAGTCGATATGAAGTGCCAAAATGGGAGAAACCGTGAATTTTTTTGGAAAAAAACCGGTAAAAAAAGCGGAAAAAAATAAAATGGCCGAGAAGCGCATATATTTATATATATTTTTCGGCCATTGGCGCTAGGCCACGGCCACAACTTCAACTGCATGCCGTTTCGTTCATTGGCATTTTTGAGAGGCAGCATTTCACCAATGTATGAGGCAATAAGAGACAATTCAAACAGTCACAAAAAAATTTCACAAATTAATCAAAAAATTTTTGGGTTCCCTGGTCCTTTAAACAAACGAATAAATGAATAAATGAAATTTAGAATCCTCGATATTGTCCGTCACGCACCGAGACGAATTAGTTATTTGCAACCACTCTGAAATGAACAAAACTCATTTAAAACTCATTTAGGTGCCAAAATCACTTTTCAATTCCTAAAACCACACCTAGGTTTCTCGTTCGTCATCCGTTATGTTTCATCCAGCATTCTCGCATCACTGATGGTTTTGAAAATGTTTTTACACTGTGGTCAAATTCTGAAAATTCTTCTTCTTGCTTGAAACAAGAAATTCTCACTCTTGTAAATTGTTCGCGGCAGTCAGCTCCTCCTATTTCGATAATAATACATAAATACTTAATACATAAATACTTAATACATAAATACAAATACAAATAAATACAAATAAATACTTAACGATAATAAAACCTGGAAAGCCGGATTATCCCTACCTCGTGGCTTTTTTGCGGATTTCCGGAATCCTCTGACAGCTGTCTTCCGCACTAATACACACGAACAGTAAAATAATCTAATTCTGCAACTATCGTCGAATAAATACTCGCAACGGGAGGATCTCTCACCTCGCCGTGTCTTTCATTTTGATCGAAGCGAACCGATTGTATTCAACAACATCTTAAGTATCTTCTTATCCCAAACTCGATGCCATCGGTTCCAGCCAAAATCCAAACAGTTCTTTTCGATAGGAAACTTACTGACATTTCTCAGCGGTCTTCTCCTCTCCATTTCGAAAATATTATACAAAATGGATAACTTACCTCTGATAGTAATATCTGAAAGCAGGATTACTGGTCCAAATCTATATGTGTGTCATGTCGGAATTATTTTTTATCCTGCCTGAAACAATGACTGACAACAGTAGCCTTACTTACCGGAGATGCTTCTTCATGTTTTCTGTTTTTTCCTTCAACCAGCCTTCTTCCATTCAACCATATCCATCGAGTTCTTCCGTTGCCTAGGCGGACCGCAAAACGTACCTTGAAATCTTCTGCTGCATTTTTCTAGCAACGATAAATTCTCACTCATCGTATCATAATTTTTTCTTCCTCACGGCTAGTTTCATTGTCCGTCACAAAAATTATAGTTTTTCAACGATCATCTGTTAAAAAATAGACCCTGAACGGAATGATTGCGCGCGGCCCGGGGGCTTTATTTGCGGGCTATAAAATAAAACTAACCTTGATGTCTTTGCTCCTAATAATAAAGATGATCGCAGCCGCTCAACATTCCACATATTAGTTGAATTACGCACCTGACTTCGTTGTAGCTCAGCCTCCATCTCCGATCGAGATCGGCGAGGGGGACCCCTCCGATAGACGCAGAGAAAGACATTTTTGGCGCAGGCGGAGTGTCATGACCAATCGAGTGAATGACGTGTTTCACGAAATTTCCGCGGTAGAGCGGTAAGTCTTCGGCGAGCATTCTGTACGACAAAAAGTTTCGAGATAGACATAATTAACGTTGTACTCGGTTTATATAGTGATAGTGAAATCCCGCCCCCTCGGCCACGCCCTCAACCGTGCTTCACCGCCACCACGCCCCTTTAGGTGACGATCACAAAGATGGAGGAGGCGGGACCGCAAAAATTTCAAATAATAATGTACTATGGTACTATAGTACATCCATTAAACATGTATCACACATAGCTTCTCAATGATCGTCTGTTGAAAAATAGACCCTAAAAGGATTGATTGCGCGGCCCCGGAGCGTTTTTTGCAGACTATAAAATAAAACTAACCTTGATGCCTTTGGTTGCTCCTAATAATTAAGATAATCGCAGCCCTCAACATTCCACATATTTCCGACGATAGCTCCTTGAAATAAATTCTTCGCGATAGTTATCTGTAATAAAGGGTGTTTCCGTCTAAAAATGTCTCTAGTAATTATTGAAATGAGAACACACACTCATTGTGGTAGCTCGGAACTCGAAATCACTCTATTTGGTGAACAAAGAGGTTCATTAACTTGAACGAGAGCAAATTGAATTAAGCACCTGACTTCGTTGCAGCCGAGTCTCCAATCTTCTCTTTGTTGCGAGGATCATCCATTCCAATATATGTAACCGTGATAGAAAGCTGGAAATTAGTCAGTTTGCGTCTTGAAATTTTTTTTCAACTCACCTTATCCTTTATTGATCCTTTCGGTCCCTTCCACAGTGCAGCCTCTAGCGGCTGTTCCGTTGGAACCCTCGATCGAGATCGGCGAGGGGGACTCCCGGCCGAAAGACGCAGACAAAAGGAGAGTGCGCGGTTTGGCGTGCGGTAGGTCGAAACGGACTCGGTGCGCCCCGCTCGACTTTTTTCGTTCGCAAATCATAGCATACCTTCTTTCTGCTGAAATTCCACAAAAATCATCATTTTTTCCGCTTTTTCCTTTTTTAAATCACTCGGAAAACACAATTTTCAGTTGTTTCATCGAAAAAACACCGAAATTGTATCGGTTTTGTGCGAAAAATTAGAGAACAAGCGACAAACCCTAACAATCGGATGACAACAGTCGGGACGGTGCCGGCAGTTCTAACTATTCGAAGACGGCCCAAGTGGAAGTCTAGTGAAATGCAGACAATTTAGTTTTTCAGAACATGACTAAATTTATCTTTCAAAATACATACAATGTTATCATATCACTAAGGAAAATGCAATTCGGCAGTTGACAAAAGAAAGCGGACCAAATTCATCACTGAATTATTCATCTCTTTTGTCGTGTGACCAACAACAGAAAACTGTGAAACGGAACATGCAATGCATTGTTAAAAACCAGTATAAAACGAGCGGAAGTGGGAGACTGACCAAATACAACAAAATGCAGCCGATTCTGTCAGCTCTTCTCCTCGTCATCGCCCTCGTTGTTACTTCTTTTGGAAAAGACACCTTTAGTGTGGATGAATTCACAAAAAGTAAAAATAGCAAGACTTCCCATGGAACCGAGATATCCCATCAAACAACAACCGTAAGAGAACACTGTTTTTTGAAATGTTTCTTAACCAAATATCCTATCGAATTCTATCTTTGCACTGTTATAATAGCTTCAAAAAGCCTTCAGCCCAGTCCTGATTTTCAACTTAAATACTGTGATTTTTCAGTGGACAGCATCTTGGAAAGTTGGCAACGAGACCCTCTGTACGTATTCCGAGTATCTTAAAGTTTTAGTCGTCGCTACTCCGGCACCAGCTACAGTTTCCCCAACAAATGGAGTTGCCAATTGTATTCAACAGCCGTACGTTTTACCTGTTTTAAACATGACGTGTCGTTTCCGAAAACCAACCTTTTAGCGTAGGAAAATTTGATGAAACTAATATAATTTCCAACATTTCTAGGTGTGACAAATCAACTGCGTTGGCCCCCATCGACTGCGTCACTGCTTTTGGAGACAAACTCGCTATCATTGAAAATCAGTGAACTTCTTTTATGTTCTAACGAATAAAGTTTGTGTGAATAAAACTGATTTAAAATTGCAAATCAAACTTTTCCCACAGTTTGTCAAAAAACTTCCAAAATTTTGAACTACCAGTGCGTGCGACTGCGGAGAAACTTACATTGGCCAGACGAGCCGTTCCCTGGCCAAATGAAACGAAGGCGACAAAATTTTTCCGCTACTCGGTCTGGATAAAACATTCCGTGGAGAAACACAAGTCCGAACCTAACACAGTGCATCTACGTCTTTGATTATTTTGGCAATTGAGACAAATACCACTCGGTGAAGGAACGTAGAGGAAACTTTTGCTGACTCCAAAGAAAAAATGTTTTAGACTGCACGGCGTTTTCTCTACAAGACTACCCCGTATCCAGGCCTGAAACGAGGCTGTGACCAGTTTTTACAGCGATTTTTTCAATCTTCCACCATTTCTCCATGTCGAAAAACGCTAAATTAGCCCGTCCGCTGATAACATTTAGCTCTATTCGCATTCTCCTGGTTTTCTTAAGTCGGAAATTAACCTTATCTCTCTGAATGGTCTTTAGCAAACCATATCCCTTTAGTCCCCTCCAAGAAAAACCTCATTCACTTTGGTCCCTCCAACGCTCGTAAGTCCTATTTTATTGAGGGCCTCCCAATTGCCACAAGTCCCAGCGCTCGCGATATCGGCCTTATCACTGACTCCAAGCTTTTTTTCGAGACCGCATCATCAAATGCTCAGCTATCGCCTTGCTCTGCTCTAAGAAACTCTTGAAATGCTTCCGCTCTCGCTCACCCTGCTTTTATCGCAACCTATTCCAAACCTACGCTTTCCCTCTACTGCATTACTTCTCTTAAATTTTGTCTCCATCCCCGTCGTCCGCCTTTGCTGCTAAATGAAAACGTTCGCTCCGTTACTTTTCTCGCATTCCCGCACACTCGTTTATCACGAGAATGAGGTTGAGCGGCGCGGGGTTTTTGAGCTCAAGTTTGTGAGTGCCCCGGCAGCCTCTAACTGTCTACGCTTCTATTCTCCGCTCCCTCTCTAACCTCAGCGGCGACGACTGAGAAGGAGCTCATTCCTTTCCATCTGCCCGTTTGTCCGCTCTCCTGGTGAGATTGCTTGGTGTGTGTAACAAATGTCTTTTTTGAAGTTTTTTTATTGTGTAGCGATGTCAAAAATGGATAGTATTTCACAATGACAGTCCGTATTTCCTGTCCATTTTTTAACAATGCTGCATGAAGAGAAAAAAAGAGATGAAGACATTATTTGCACATTTTGAAAAACCTCATCAGGAGATCGGACGGAAACTAGAAAGTGTGAATTCACTCGGATTCTATTCTAGTTCCCGTATTGTCCCAAATTTTAACTATTCAATATCTGTAACATTCTGTCTCCTCTGGTTTCCACTCGGAAACCCCCCTTTTCTCCCCCCTATTTTCTCTCACTTGCTATTATTACTACATACTATAAAGAACTTCTTAAATTCAAAAAAAATGGTACGCTTTATTATCAGTGTCCGTTCTCGGATCACAAATTTCAAAGAAAATTTATTGTAGTCAATATTAATGTTAAAATTTCAGTCAAGCTCAAAAACAGGAAAATTCTCTAGAAGTGCACTAAAATTCAAGAAACTGTAGAAAGTTGGAAAAAAAGAAGTGAGCTATGTATTCTCGTTGAAAGTATTTGCGTGCAGGCAGTTCTCAGCTTTTGGTAAGCGTCACAAGAAATACATCGTTTTTCTCAAGATAGTAAGAGCACAAACGATTCAGTCAGAATAATTTTATCGAAGCTTATTTTTAGGTCCTGTACAAACCTTGCTGCCAGCGAAGTCACCCAAAAATAAATTTTAAAAGTGGTCTGGAAAGCAGGATAAATTGACTGTGAATTATAGTTTGTCTTTTACAGATGCAACATTATTGTTGTGGCCGGAAGATCGTAAAGAACGATGGATGTTGCAATGGAACGATTCGCTGAAAATATTGAAGGTCGCTGCTACTTAAGAAAACGAACAAGAAGCATGACAAGGATGGTGTGAAGTTCGTGATGGAGAAGTTTCAAGAAGCGGCAAGTCGGAAACTGAAAATTTATCCCAAATTGATAGCGCAGAACTTCGTGAGCAGAAGAGGAATGGAAAATTGCAGTTTTCTCCAAATGTTTGGCCGAACTACAAACAAATCTTGAATTTGTATCACACATTCGGGAGGACCTGGTGTTGCAAGAGCTTAACTCGAAAGAATACGACGACTCAGATGACATTTACAAGAATTATGAAGAGAATAATGATTTCAATAATGTTATAGAAAAAGAGAGAAAAGATATTTTTCTAGAATGACGTGAAGTGAACTTTGATAAATAACCGAATTAAAAAATAAATAAAATATATTGCAGCTAGTGAACAATATTGTTTTTTTTTGTTTGAAATTAATTTCAAAAGCAAAAAAGTTGTTTGCAAAATTGAGAAGATGCAAAAGGCCCAGAGTTCTTTATTTGCAGAACTAGAAGGCTGTGTTCAGAAATGTGTTCTGGAAGACAAATTCTTGACTTTTGGGTGTGGATAATTGCAGAAACATTTTGCAAATATGTTTTTCGAACATTTAAATTCATTTGTACACGTAAACAAATCATTTCAATCAGCTAACAAAAGATTTCTTACAGAAACATGTGGAGTGAGCTTTAAACTTTTGAGCCGGGTTAAACTCAGACAAGGTGAATTCACTCACTTTAAAAAAAAATAAAAGACAAAGAAAAAATACATTTTTTTTCAGTATGTCATTATTCCCGGCGCCCCCTACTAAGACCCTAAAAATTAGCATTTCGCAAAGAATTATCCTAAGAATGGCATTTTTCCGCTCTAACAGCCCTGTTCTTTGGTAACTTTTCCGGGAAACCCAGATATCACCCGGGATTTCCTGCAGTTTTTTTATACTGACAATTTGGCTCAACTCTTGCACCCGTTTTCAATGTTTTATGAAAAAATGTGCAGTAATTACAAGTTCAGATAACAAAATACCTATGGGAGAAAAGTAATTGGAAAAAATTTTTCATCACACTCTTTAAATGAACTTTGCTCGGGCGGCCAGCCGCAATCAGAAATGTAATGACGTTTAAGAAGGTGCTGATAAGACAGAAACGATTGAGTAGAGGGAAAGGGAGAGAGAAGAAAATGTTTCTAAAATTACAGACATGGAAAGTAAAACGAATGATAGTAGTGGGAGAAAAGTTAGAAGAACAGAAAGCAAATCAGTTTGGAACATTTTCTTGGCGGAGTATCTTTCCGCCCCAGGCGAGAGTGAAAATGTTGTTGCGCCAACGGATATTTGGTTCCATTATTGCTTTGAAGAAAACCAGCGGAGCAAGCAGTTCACGATACAACCAGATTCGGGTGAAGTGGAGAGAGTCGTACCGCATTTTGTAGTCCTGAAAATGTACTGAATTCTTTTCCAAAGCTCATTTTCCAAAAGCTTTACTGTGTCAAACAGTTGACAAATCAAACTGACCCAGATGCAGGACATGAGCGAGAAATCCATGTTGATCCAGAATAAGCAATGCGCGGGGTAGGTGAGCCAGAAAGAGAGGCCGAATAGGTAGTGGAGAGACATCGACATGACGATTCCGGATGGGAAACAATCCTGAAATAACACTTTCTTTATAATCTTCAAAAGAATTGAGAATTGTGAGAATATGAACAAAAAAGTAAAGTAAATTTGCAACCTACTTGAATCGGCTCAACCAGCATGATATGAGGAAGCATAGCGGCCCTCAGTTTGACCCATCTGCTAATTCTGTCCATGAACGTTTCCATTGTCACTTCCCCAGAGTTTTGTAGAGCCGGATGAGTAGAGATTCCGGATTTGTAGCCACGGTTGGCAAGTTCTCTGCCGAAGAAATAGTCCTCAGCAAGATAGTTACTGAAAGCAGCGAACCCGCCGCACTCCTCAAGGGCTGACTTCTTGATCATCGATGACATTCCAGTCGGGCACACGAATTGCATACAGTTTCCAGCCAGATAAATCCTGCCGTGAGCGGTTCCAAAGTACATCTAAATGTGAAATTGTTTGGCAACGCAGAGTCTAAACTAACCTTTGATTTTTTGGATGGGACCTACATATGTGACGCAAAAATCGTGCACACCTACCGCTTATAACTCTAACCAATTACCCACTCGCCCACCCAGCTGCTTTGATTCGGATTCTTTATGAAATTCTCTTTCGAATCACATAGACCCCATTCCGGAAGTGCAAGGTAAGAAAACAAACAAAAATTGCAGACTTACCTGTTCGAAAGCGGCAGCGAAACCCTTCCGATTCTTACAATATGGGGTCTGAGTGACCAACGCCATCTTTTTATGACTCATCATAGTTTTTGCCATATTCAAAATTCCGTCAGGTCTGATGAAAATCGCACTGTCACTGATCATGATTAGCGGAGACTTGGCAGCTCTATACGCTGGCATCATGTTGTTGATTTTTGGGTTCAAGCCAACTTTCTCGCCTTCTTTAATCGCACACTTTTGAGCCTAATGAAATATTATTAAACTTACTGTAAAAAAATCGAGTGGACACTTTCGGGTACATTTCACAAAGGGACTTCACCACCTCCACTGCAGGATCTTTGCTGTTGTTGAAACAGAAAAGCAGTTCGAATTTGTGATACTCGGTCTTGAAGAAGGATTCCACATTCTCACGGAGGTTCTCGTCATTTCCAATTATCGGTTTGATGACAGAGACGCCAGGTAGGTTTTTGTCCTGTTTTGTAGGCTGGTAGAGATGATTCTTTCTGAAACAAGTTGAGTTGCAATTTGTTTTTCTTCACCTTGGCATTAGCAAATTTAAAAAGAAACTCACGCGTAGCAGAGAGCAATGATATGCAAGAGGTAGAGACTGCAGACAAAAAAGCATCCGATGACTGATAAGACGGTGTAGAAATCAAGAGACCAAATCAATTGGCTGACTGCGGCGATGAACAAAGATGGCGATTTGAGCATGAGGAGCGAGACTGGTGACGGCGTGAGCTCTTTTTCGAAAGGTGGCTCAGCGGCCTCGGGCGATGGCAGCATCAGACTAAAGAGAGTGAAAATTATAGGTTGCTTTTCGCATGTAGAGGAAATATGAGTTTTCTACTGGATAAAGTGCTGGGTTTGTTGAATTTTGACATCAAAAATGGTGAGATATCTTCATTTCACTTTACGCTTCAATTTAACCCACACAAAATTCAAAAATGATAAAGAAACTTGCATTATCTCATAGCCCCACATTTTTCAATGAAAAAGGAAAACATGTGAGAGCAAATCGCGTGAGAACTGTACTATAAACCATTTGAAACTCTACGACGTTATGAGCGCGCGCTTGTCTATAAATTGATAACAAAAAACATGCGAGACTCGGCTAAGAGTCACTCGGAATTCGGTGATAAGAAGTAGTCAAAAAATCGCAATTGACTAGTCGCGTCTCGCCGAAACGCTGATGATAAGAATGGCTCTTCGTGGTCTTTCGCCACTATATGCAACAAGTCATTAGTGGCTGTTACGTTTTGCGAACTCTTCCAGCAGCGATGTTCAATTTTAATGGATGTTGAACGCAAGTTGTACGGTAGACAAGGTACATGATGACAAAACGGCCTGGGAGACACGCAGAAGAGAAAAGTATCAATGAACCCTGCACTTTATGGAGTGAAACTCTCTAAGTACGTTTAGGACATCCGTAGGAAACAATCTTCACTAAAGAACCCCAGACTGCTTCTTAATTACGAGCACAAATCAATATGGATGCGTACTTGCCCGTTTTAGTGTTTCAGAGTAAAAAAAAATGCCGAGAAGAGAAGGAAGGAAGCGTACCTGTGAAACGTTGGAGCATCGCAGTAGGCACTCATCACTTGGAATACGATTTCGAAAAGTAAATCTCAGAAAGATATCTGAAAATGAGAAGAATTTTGGTCTAGTGGAAAGAGGTGGAGCCGGATGAAGACCTCGAGAATCTCGTGGATTGAGTTTGGAGTTTTGTACTTGTGACGCCTCGTTTTGCATCACACACTCCCGTTTGATGGCTCCCGTCGTTATGACAACCCGCTCGTTAATTCCTGTTTTGGGTTGGGTTTCGAGTGTCAGAGACTGCTGATTTCTGATCTCGAGAGACCAGATTTTTTGTCTCTTGGGCCATTTGAAGGTGCATAATTGAAGCGTGGAGAAATTTTGCAGTTGATTTGAACGAGAGAAGGAAATCGAGTGTAATGTAAGAAAGCATATCTGAAAAATTATTCTGGTTCAGAGAGAGTTTCTCACAAAAGAGAGTTACAAGTCCATTAGAAATCTAAAAAAGAAATCCCATCTTTTCATCATTTTACCGAGACATTGTATTCTCTTCAGACACTTACTTGTGAAATTCGATGGATTCAAGCACAGTACACAATCGAGTTGAAAAAGAAAAGACAAGAGCAGCAAACAATGTGAAATGTCGGCCGCACAAGTCGGCCGCAACCTTTTCCTTAACTCCATAATCTTGTCACATTGACGTCTGTCCGTAGTCCATGAGTTACCTTCATGGCTTTTAGGGGGAAGTTTTTCTTGGACTGTACCAATATTCTCAATAATTACAAGACAAATTAATTTCAACAACAAAGTGATTCATGAAACACAAGTATCAGTAACATCGTATTTTGTAGGCTTTTACATGAAAAGTTACAAGAACAGTGTAGGAAGAATTCCCGTACTGTTGGTGGGAAAATGAGATGCGAGTTGGAATGTGCAATTGTCCGCCCTTGAAAGTTTTTGGGAAAATTCGATAAATTATAAAGAGTTTTGGGAAAATTCGATAAATTATAAAGAGGAAGAAATGATAACAGAATTGAGATAGAAAACAGAGAAAAACATAGAGATCGGCGGATCTAATCAAATGGGGAGTGAGATTCATTTTAAGAGATGAGGTAGGTGGCAAATAAAGCAGAAAACATGGAAATCGGGGTCAAATACGAGACTTATGTAGTGTTACCAAAAAAAAACACACACAAAAAAAAAGAGAGGATAACCATTGAAAACGAGAGAACTTAAAAACGAAACACTTCTACTTCAGGATTTCCTTGATCTCAGAAACCTCCTCCTTGAAAATATCAAGGTTCGGTGCCAGTTGTTCGAGCGTGTTCGACACCGCTACGTGGCTGTGTGCGCGTCGGCGGGCATTCATGAAGAAGTTGCTGACAGTCGAAAACTTGAGCTCCAGATGTTCAGCGATAGCCTTTTGCACTTTTCGTGAGGGGTGCGTTGTTTGCTTGAATATTGCGTCTAGCGTGCGTTTCTGGATTTCGGTGAACACTAGTCGAGCCTTCTTTTCTTCATTCTTCTTTCTTCCACCTTCTTTGTGCTTTCTGGAAAATTTTAACAATTAAACGTCTACTCAACAAAAACGCTTGAGCGAAAAACTAAGTCTTGCCTTTTCGCATCTATCTCGCCACTATGGCGCGTCTTGGCTCCAGCAACTGTTCCCGCTTTCTCAGTGCTCATATCCACAGTGACCATTTTTTGATCGTACGCGAGGTTAAGCCAATTGTGCATTCGAATAAAAGTGGCACGTCCCGATTTAACCAAAGCCCACGGTTTTGGATTGCGGAGAAGGTCCGAAAGTGTTCCTTGACTGCGGCCCAGGACATTCCTCGCAAAAGCCGTCTGCTGAATGTTGTACTCTTTGATTTCTCTGGCGACACGAGCGCAGACAGCCTTCGTGTCGATTTTCTCGTGTTTGCCAAGAGGCTTGTCGAGCGCCTTTTCGATATATTCCATGGTGAGCTCGGCAGCGCTGTTTTTGGGATCATTTTCATCAAAGTCGTCATCTGACTCCTCGCTGTCCGTCATTTCCGAACGAGCATCCAAGTTCAGATCGAGGTTCTGCGACTTTCTTTCTTTGGCAGCTGAAAAAGAGGCTAAATCAATACTTTGTGTGGAGATACTGAAACGGATGACATTTTCGTTCGTTTTCAAAAAACTTGGTTAGATCCATACGAGTCACTACTACCAGAACATTCCATTTTCCGACCTTACAATGTACATGCAAGCATATTTATTCTAAAGACTTACACGTTTTAACAGAAGAACTCGTTTCCTCGCTCTCTTGACCGCTATGAGTGACTGGGTGTCCACCGTACTTCATACTAGTCAGTCCAGCTGCAGCATTGATTTCATCATCGAGGGACCACTCCAGGAACCCTTTGTAGTTTCCAACTTGTTGCTGCGGCTGCATGGATGGTCCGTTTGTCTTCTGGGTAGTGTGATAATTGGAGGTCGCCACAACTGTGTGGTTGATTCCTGACAGAATCGGGCTGCTGAAACCATGCGAGCTTTGAGTGACCGGACCAGGAGAACTCGGAAGGAACAGATCATGGTTATTGAGCAGCGAATCGACAAACTGGACCGGGTTGTCATAAAAAGAGTTCGACGTTCCCGCGTTGACGTCTACGTTGTTGTTGCTGCTGCTTGCAGTGGTTATGTTGGCGAGTGGTGTGCATGAGCGGCTTGGAGCGGAGGCAGTACAAGACGGCACAGAAGATTCAGTAACTACCGGAGTCACTTTCTCTTTTGGCGGCTCAAGGAAATCTTCCGGGAAATCGTCGTCATTGTATCTGCTCATAGATCTCGATCGCGAGAAGTCGTTCTGCATGTAGGTTCCCGACATGATCCTGAAATCAAATTGAACATGGTCAGGATTGAGTTTTTTATGAATTTTGAAAAAATAATATTTGAAAATACATACCTCACAATCCCGTTTCACTATAAAGGTTCTTCGAAGGTGTCAGATATGTGTTTCAGAACAAGTAGTGACTCGCACGAAGACTCCTAGCAGATGACTGGGTAGACTCTACGCTGAAAGCATAAAATAAGATGCAAAATTAGAAACGACTGATTTGAAGGAAGCAAGAAGGAGAAAATACGGTAAAAAAGAGAGAGAGAGGAAAAAGACCAAGCGGACTGCGGGTCGTGGGCACGCGGACGGTGGAAACGAATGAGGACATCGTGCGCGCGGCAAGACGTGGAAAGAGAGAGAGAAAGAGGGTGCAGACAAGAGTGACATGGAAAGAGTGTGCGGGACAGAGAGCAAAAAGAGAACATACGTACGGGGCTGCCGGCCAAAACGAGAGATGGCAGGACACCTGCCGGCCGACCTGCCCATCTCTCGACATGTGTTCTCTTTTGGCCCGCGAACGGCGAGAATTCAAATATGGGAGGACGACTGAAGGACGGAAAAGTGAGAACGAGCGCGCAAGCGTTATCACAAGGACAAACGGACACTGAAAAATTAAAAAATAAACAAAAGACTTAGAAGAATACAGTCCGTTTCATAGGCAACCCAAAAAATTGAATATCTCGTCTCTCCCGCACATAATTTTAGAATTTCCGGATGTGGTCTGTATTACTAGCATTACTTGGTTCCGTTCTTTTTTTTTAGGTCCGTTCTGTTCTCAGAAGCCGAAAAAAACAACTGATTGGAAAAGTGTCGGAAACTGTATGCATTTCTATTCATCAGAGAGTTTATTAAATTTATATTGCGATAACTTATTATTCAAAAGGAGAATGCTCAGACGGTGACTGTCATGATGGCAACAAGAATTGCGAAGGAGAAGTGGACAAGAAATTAGCTCTGCCTCATGCGGTTAGGCAAAAGGAGCACTGACGCTATAGTTTTCGAACGCCACAAAATGTGAGATGACCTCATACCTGCTGCCCCTCCATCCTATTTGCCTCCTTCGGCCTCTTGATTTCCCTTTCTCTCCCCCTCTTTCTCGTCCGCATGTTCACCACCTGACCTCCTCTCTTTCCATTGTCCCATGTGGTCTAGTGGTTAGGATTCGTGGTTTTCACCCACGCGGCCCGGGTTCGATTCCCGGCATGGGAAGTTTCCTTTTTGCTTGCTTTTTATGGTGGGTACAAAGGAAAAAGTGAATTTCTTTATTGAGTTTATGTCATTATTTCAAATTCAAATGAATTTTTGAAAAAAAGAATCCATTTAGAATTGCTTTGTCTGTCTCAACATTCAGTCTTTGATAAACACGTTTTCTACGTAATCCGTGAGAAAACCTCCTCTGATCGGAGGTTTGAAGATCTCTCCACTATTCGTATGCTCAAATCGTGGCTTGCAAATTTGCACACTGAAATTGAAACTTTTTTGTGAAACTTTGGCAGTTTTAGAGTACGTATTGGTAAATTTATTATATTTGCGACCGAAGCTCGTGTAGTTGCACCATATTTTGAATTCCAGGTTCAGAACATCCTGAAAGTTTGAACCAAAAAACTAGAAATATAAATCTATGTACTTACATTGCGCGCTTTGATTGGGAAATCAGTTGTCTTGGTGTGATCGAAGGATGTCTTATCAAAACACTTTATCGGGGCAGCCGCAACAAATTCGTTCCAACTGAGAACATTGTTATTAAATAAGGTTGCCATGTGCATTACTCACTAGTTCGGATTGCTCAATCTTAGTCCGTAACACCAACGTTTCCCGATGCCACAGTTGTAACTTAGTTTGAATTGAGTTGGATGATCACCGGATGAATGCATAGCGGCTGAGACGAATCAGAAACAATCACAAGGTATAATCGAGGAAGAAACCGGCAACTGTCGTATCCTTGTCTTGTGATAACACTGGTGACGTTCTTGACGACGGTTCACATCATTATCTTTTCTATCTTTCTTTTTTTTCCCCTCTGAAGAACGCTCATCTATCTATTCACTTCTATTTCGTGGACATCTTTGTTATCATCGTTTTCCCTTTCTTAGATACTTGAAGAATTTCTAATCTTATGACTTTTTCCTACAATCACAAGTTTTGATAACTAACTATTCCCTAGGGAACAAAGTTCTTCGTGTAGATTTCTACAAGATCTGGTGATTGATAACCGTTCTAACGAGGGAAGTCGAACAAGGACCAGCGTTCTGAAAACCGTTATTCTAACGTCGGCTTGACGTGACCGTGCGAAGCAACAATGCGCTGAACAAGCTTTTTATTCGCGACTGATGTTGGATAGTTACGAAAACCTCGAAAAAAAACCCAACGCAATTTATTCGTTTACTGTCAAAACACTTAAATTAAGAGACAAATTAGGAGAGACAATGACAGATGACATTTTTGTATGGATTCAGGAAACTGAAGCCATTACCGAAGAGAGAGAGAGAGAGAGAGAGAGAGAGAGAGAGAAAGCGAAAAAGAGGAAGAGAGTGAGGCGGAGAAAAAATAAAGAAGCGGACAGAGACAGAGTGGAAGAATAAAACAGAAAAGAAGTAGAAAAGAAGAAGAAAAGAAGAAGAATGTAAATTGCGAGAGAGAGAGAGAGAGAGAGAGAGACGAAAATTACTGGTCCGATGGCTTGGCGTCGCGCTTGTAGTAGTCTCCATAGCGACGGCCACCCTTGTATTTCTTCCCCGAGCGACTGTATTCGTCCGAACCGTAGTTGCCCTTCTGTTTCTTGGAACCCGATTGGAACTCCTGGTCCACGCCCTGGTAGTCCGGATAGTGATCCGAGCAGTAGTCCTCGTAGTAGTCGTTGTCCGGTGCGTGCTCCGAAGATTGATATTTTGGAGAATCCGCGCCGGTCCAGTCGATTACACCCGGACGGTTCATCTCGGCTGATTGCGCGAGGTTCTCGTTGAGCTTCGACAATTGGCCGTTCAACACGTTCTCGTGCTCCGCCATACCATCCATCACTTTCTCGAATTTCTGAAAACAAAAATTGTTGCAATATTCATCGTTGTTTTCTTTCAATTTTATTTGATTCACAGAAAATGTTCGTTTCCATAAACGTTTTAGCGACTCAGATAACTTGAGATGTTTAAAGTAACTTTTTTTTTAACCCTCTCCTTTTTTTAATTCAACACTTACGGACAACTCGTGCGAAAACTTCGCCATCTCGATCTGCGATTCTAGGAAGGCCTTCTTCATGTCCTGATGATACTGCTCCACCTGACACTTTACGCCCTCTTCGCGTTTGTGAGCCTCCTGAACGTGGAGTTCCTCGAACTGCTTGTTCATCATCGCCTTGGTCTCCTCCACAGCGTCGGCAATCGACTTCTCCTTCTCCAACTTCAACTTGAACACCTCCTCCATTAGCTTCTTGTTCTCGTGCTGGAGATTGATGTACGCGGCTTGATAGTGTTGGATGCCATCGATTGTTTTCTTCTGGTCTTTGGCCTGGCTAGTTCCGAGAGCAGTGCCGAAGACCTGAATGGAAGTCATAGCGCCAGTGAATTGATTACTGACAGTGGTCAACTTCTTCTCGAGCTCGGCGACGATGCTGATCTGGATTTTGCACTCGTCGCGGAGAGCTTCGTTCTCCTGACGAAGCATCTTGAAGGTGGGGGAAGTATTTTCGAGCTCCCTTTGAAGGTTGCTTTTTTCCCAGATAGCTTCGTCGCGACAGTCGAGATGTTCTTGAATGGTTGCGTCCTTCTCGGCCAGCTCCTTCTGCATGGCGTCGGTCCGGCCTCTCAGGCTCTTGATAGTCGCCTGGCAACCATCGCTCACCTTGTCCAGCACCTGGTACTTCTCAATCCAGAGATTCAATTGGGTTTCCAGCTCCTTGGTCTCCTTCGTGTTTTCCTCGCGGAAAACCTCGAACTCCTTCTCCGCGGCCTCCATCTCCGACTGAAGAGTGCGCAACTTCTCATCCGATTCCTCAAGCTTCTTTTCGAGTTGTTCCTTCTCCGCCTGCCAGGTCTTCTTCTCGTCGACCAAACGGATGACTTCCGCTTGCATGTCGACAAGTTTTTGCTGCGTCACAGCTTCACGTGACATTTTCGTCAGAGGTTGTACTGAAAATGGCTAAATCTAATATAGGAATAACAAGAGAAAGAGTAAGACGGCATTGAAAGAGAATGCGACCGATAAAATATGCGAGGAATTGTAGATTGCAAAGAAGAAACCTAAGCCTGCTCACCTACTATACGAAAAAAATGGAAAAGAGAATGGCAGTTAGGCGAGGTGAACACGTGCATTCGCCCTCTTCTCACTCTCACTTCTCTTATCACTCTCGTTTCCCCGTGATATCTGTGGAGAACACGCGGTCGCGTCGCGGTTTGCCTATTCAAATAGAACCAAAAAAGGAAAGAGAGACGAGACAAGCATAGCAAAGCAGGAAGAAGGGAGACGCGGTTGCGGGAGTGTGCGCCAAAGACGATGGATTGTGAAGACGAAGCGTGTCAGAAAATCATAGGAGGAAAAGAGAAGGGAGTAGGAAGCTGGAGGCGAAAACAAATTAGACGAGCTCATGAGGAATCACGTTTCGCGTAGGACAAGGCAGATGATGTGGATTGAGTGAAGAGGGTGTGAGTTTGAGCGGAAAACTAGAACGTTTCGGAAAGATGATGCATAGCACGTGAATATACAGTTGGTGATATGGATTCAGCTGATAAGGAGAAGAATTTGACAACTACGACTGCCGATTTTGCCATAAATTACGGTTCTTCAAATCTGAAAACATTTCCAATAATGGAAAAAGATCAGAAAAACAAGAGCACAATCAGTTTGTCAGAGCAGATGATGGAGAGGAAACAAGGAAGCCTTCATCCGATTCTTATCAGTAACTGAAACGTTTGCTTGGATGTCTCTTCTTGAGAGACAATACGCAAATGCTACTCTCTACATCAACAGCATGTGATCTGATTCGCTCGAAGACCAGATAAAGACTGCCCTCGCCTCAAGAGAAACGAGAAGAGAGGAGTAAAAACACACAGCGGGTCGACGGGCCGACCGACCGAGTCTGGCCTACCGCCCCGCTCTGTTCGCCGCTCACTGCGGGGAGACACCTGTGCCCTCTTCACGCTCACCGCACGTGTGCGTGTCTCTGTGTGTGTAAGTGAGCGCTGTGAGTGTAACATTGCTATTCGTGGGGCAGCCATCTCGGCCGGCCGCTTCGGTCGCATAAACCACACCACAGTCGTCTGCACTCTCCTTCTCTCTCATTCTAAACACGGAAAAAGCAATGCAAGTGCGCCCCATTGTCTATTTACAAACGTTTCCATTAAAAATTCAAGTAAGCGTCAGATTTCCGTGTATTTTTATAAATATTCAATTTTCAGATGAATTCCTGGTTTGCTTGCTTGAAAACGAATCGATTGATACCAAAACGAGCCTACTTCGACCATTTTCTATCGATTTTATTGAACCAGGTGTGTACTTGTCCAATGATTTCTTCAAAATGTCTCCTAGAGAAGATAACAATTGAGTTTCAGGTTGCTTAGGATATATCCCAATCAAAAGTCCTCCTCTTTAATCACTTGGAAAGCAGTTTCGACTCGTCATGAAGTTTATAGATCTGAAGCGAGTGATGAGGAAATTCTGATAGAATTCTGATAGAGACATGACGGTCATTTGTGGGTTTTCTCATTCATTTACGTGCCAGTAGTCATGGATCCAGGATTACTCGATGAGCAACAAAACCAAGTTCACAAACGTCTGCGTGAATCGTGTTGTGAATCGTGAGTTGTAAAATTCAGAATTTTCTCAAACATTTCTCTTTTTAGCATGAAATCAACGACCGAAGTCGCAAAAAACAACCATCGGAGACGTGCAATTCCAGGACGTGATGAAGAATTTAATGGAGGGATACCACCCGAAAGCGCTGTTGCATATTTTCTTAAATACCGAGTATTATTTGCCGTCGTTGTTCTATTAGACGGCGTATCTCACCATCAACTTTGTCTGTCAGCTCTCAGAATAGTTATCCTTGATTAAGAGACGTCACGTGCCGTAAGTCATATTCCAGAGTCTTATGTAAAAAGAGGTTTGTCCAGATTATGCTTGAAACTGAAAATCTGAAACTTTTTCAGCTGTCATACAGCAAAGATGTCATGACTATGCTCGGCAACGTGCTTACCACCATGTGTCTCGACGTGTGCAGTCTTCTACAGTTTGAAACCTACAATCCGTCCAATTAAATTTTCCGAATTGTGCTCAGCGTCAAATTCCTCGTCACTCTGCGCATAAAGAAAACCGGAGAAGCGTTCTAATCGGCGCACGCTATAGGAGCTGCCCTCAATGATCTGATGAGACACTATGTTGAACAATACCGGCCTCAATCCATAACCGGACGTCGAGTTCGGGCCAACTCTCACCAAGAACATGTCCCGAAGCATCGTTTACTCTCCTGACATATCTTTTCAGCCAAGAGAAGGCGTCGAGGCGGAACAGAAAGCATCTAGTGGTGCCAGAACAGGCAGATGAACGAGTCAGAAGAAACGCTGGAGAAGAAGAAGAGCAGATGGATGTGGAAATGTCTAGAGAGGCGCCGATTGCGGTTCACCAGGAACCTATCACACCTTTTCGACAAAGCTGTCGGAGTTTGGAGCCGGAATAATGTGCGAGGCGGAAAGAAGATTCAGCTGATCGGGGACAACATGCTGCTCATCGCGCGTGTCGTCAAAATCATGATGTCTCAGAGTCCAATTCAACGCATCACCAACACGTTTTTGTACGGAAAGGCCATGGAGAAAATTACGAAGTTGTCTCACATTCCGTGCATTACCTCAGAAGCCACGCACACGACCCACATTGCTTCCATCGGAACCATTATCAAGCATATTGGGGTGAGTAGGATATTGTTCTCAATAGATTCACGAATAATTTGGATTTTTCAGAAAACTGATTTCCGTACAAATCAACAAACTTCGACGGACCCAAGCTCATATCAGCCATTGTCAACGAGTTTCAGAAGATTGTGGAGGCATTGTTCACCAAAAACGACTTTGTCACAATGAAGGAGGCAGTAAACAATCAACCGATGGACACTCACCGGAGGACAACGAAGAAGAGAAGAGAAAATCATCGAAAGGTGTGTTGAATGATCATGGAGCCGAGATGGAAATTTGCTGGAGTGTCGGAGGAGTAGCAGGACTTCTGGTTGAAAAAAAAACCGCTTCAGGACATTATCGCCAAATCGCACTAACTGGTCTAGGAACTGCTCAATTTGATGAAGTATGTCTGATCAGCCTCAACTGTTCAAAAACTTGCATTCTCTGGTTTTTCAGGTTTTATAATACGATGAACACAGTTATCGACACGTCAGGCGTTTCCGGCTTACGACCACTGGCTTGAATCCCTTAAAGAACTGTGGTCTACGGGTCAGTTGTTGGCGTGTCGTGCAGTTCGGAGATCTTTTTCTATAGTTGGCAATTTCTTATTTTAGTGGACCAATGCGCGTGGGAAGTTCCCGTATATTCCCAGTGAATGACGTTTTCTGACTTCGTCTGACCAGACTGGTAGTTTGAAGTCTCCCCAATGCCATTTCATGAGTATTATGGTCCACTTCACTCAATTTTTGCATGCCATGCCCACCGATGGTTCATCCTCCTCTGATGCATAAGTGGGTCCTCTAGACTTTCTGTCCGTCTAATGTCCTCCTTTTGAAGGTCCTTCTCTCTCTCTCTCTCTCTCTCTCTCTGCTTGCTGCTGCTCTGACCTACCTGTCTGCCTCCTCTTTCATTTTTCTTTTCCTGTGAGTAACTCTGCGCAAATAACAGTTTTATAGGTGCTAAAAATAAAACCTTGACCTGTGAGATTTCAAACACGAATCGAGAAGTAAGAAAGAAATCTGACTCGTTTTGTGAAGACTATCTCTAGTTTGACGTATATAAATAAACATTTCCCTCACTCTCTTCTTGGACGGGGTGATGTGTTATGTGCGCCGTTTGCACTCTACTCTGAAGTCATGTGGAGTCAGCGGAGCTTTGGAGCAAGAGCAGCGAGCAACGAAACAAACACTATCAAACGGCTTTGCCAAACGTTTTTTAGACGCAGACTGAGACGTAGCAATTCGATTTTTTGTCTCTCGCTGCACGCCACCCGCTTCTGTGTTCTGTGAAACTTGAGAGCAATTAGGGCGAGCAAAAAGAGCACACAATTCCGCAAATTGATGTGTCTAGACACCCGTTTTCTTATATGTTTTGTGGCGCTGCTATAACATTTTCTGCGGCTTAGATTATACCATTAATCCTAATGGGAGCCGAAGCCGTATTTTTCTATTATGCTCCTCATGACTGATAACAAGCTTTGAGATCATTCGGAGCAAACAACAGAGTTCAATAACAAATGGAGTAAGTGACTGGTTTTAGTGTGTTAGTTCTCCCCCTTCCCTCAAATTCAAGTGATGTGTTCCCTTCTCTCCCCAAACATCTTATCATCATTTTCAGTTCCAGCAAAGTTCATCGAAACACTCCTTCTCACGCTCTCTCTCTCTTTTTCCTTTTGCCCTTCTCCCCCTTCTCCTTCCGCCGTCTTAAGGGGTTGTTTTGTGTTTGATCACTCGTCGCGCTCGCTTGCATTGTTGCACAGAAAGAAAGCAAAGAAGAACAATGTATGTACTTTTGTCACATCACATTAACTATTTTTCAGATACTTTTGAAGATCTCTGCCACAAAAATTGCGATATTTCTGAATGATTGCATTTTTTGAGAGCATTCCCAGAATTATTTCAAGACGGAAAAACATGTCAAAACTATGAATAATACATCACTATATTCTGAGAACTTTGGCAAGAACAGCAAGCGAGCGTTTTAAATTGAGGCCATTAATTTCTAGAGAAATATCTGGTTTACTTCTCTAATTGGAAATAGTGAAATTAGAACAATTTAGGGTTTTTAAAAGTGTCATGATGTACCAAAAATCATATTTTCTCTAACAAAAAACGAAAATCCCCCAGTGTTTTATGTAGATGACTAACTCTTTTGGTTTCTATCTGATCGCTAGCAATACACGTACGCACTTTTGTCTGTTTCTCCACAGCGCTCAAATCTCATTATTAATATTGTCATGTTTTTATCAAGAGAAACTTGTTATCCTTCTCTGCACATTGAGAGCAGCAAGTCCGCAGCAAGCAGCGTGTTCAAAAAATCAGAGGAAATTCTAGCGAGTCAACAGACAGTGAGAGATGGAGAGTTGACTAGTGATCCCCTAAAAAGAAACGCAAACAATGGAAAAAAGGGGTCTAGCTTGGCTCGAGAAGGGTTTCCTATCCACATGGCGTCAACGTAAGCGCGAGTCGACCTTTGGAACGAAACAAACGAAATAAAACAAACCTTAGAGCTCAAAGCTCTTGGCCGCTACCTCCTTCTCCTCTTCTTCTTCGTTTTCCGCTAGTTTTTCCGCCTGCGTCTCATCTCCTCTGTTCCCTCATTTTTTCATTCATCCCCCATCGCGCTCTCAACATCAACACCTTTTCTAGTTTTTTTTTTTGTTGCAGCAGTTCTCCAGTTGGTTTCTACTCGACTCAATTGCAATGCGGACAGAATGAATGGATGATCACAACGCCAACGCTTAGTCATCTTCATCATCATCATACTCTTCTGCCCTTGTGCCAGACACACAAACTCTGTTGGCCTGGAAACCTTTGTGACCTACTCCTCCCTGCACTTTGTCGGCGTCGTCCTCGAGAAAAAAAAGAAGGGGCGGCGCTTGTTCTCTGTCTCTTTCTTTTCCTCTTCCTTTTTTTTTAATTTAATGGATGCCCGGTGCCCGGCGCTCGAAACCTATCGTCGTTACGCCCCTCTCGCTTATCGCCCCACTCACCGCTCCGCCTCTTTTATATTATTCCTGCGTATTGTTGCTGCTGCACTAAAGGGACAACAACATTTGCTTCTTTCCCGGTGCAACTCATGAAACGACAGCGGGAGATTCAACCGGACTGCGAGCTCAAACCGTTCATAAAAAAGTGAGTATAGTAATCCCTAGGGTAGCGAATTCTTGTTTGTAACTGTTTTTATGTGAGATTGTGTGTTGGTGTGAAACGAGAATTTCTGATCAAAACTTCCCGTGTGTTTTCGAGTAAATCGTTCTTTTTTGGTCAGTTAATTAGCAAACTTCACAGCATTTTTCGAAAATCGTGTTCATATTTCAGTGATTCTCCCGAGACTGGACACCTAGCTGAACAATTGCTCGATTCACCGACTTATGGCCTCCTTTCCTACGTTCAAGGAGTTGATTGGGCATTTCTGTTCGTGGGAACGCTATCCGCTGTGATTCATGGAGCAGGACTACCAATTCTGGGCATTGGTAAGTGTGGGGATTACGGTAGCTTTAAGACTCAGCAATTCTGATAGCTCTGACGTAAATTCAAGTTCCTGTTACGGCAGATGTACGTATATTGGAATGGAATCGGAAGCGGAAACGAGAAAACGAGAAAACACTTGACACCCTCACTTGATCTTTTCATCTTCATTTGCATATTTTCGAACAACGTGCGAAATTGAAGAACATTCATGTTTCTCCTTCATTTACATTTCGAAACTGTGCATTTGAAGAAGATGAGACCCAGAACGTATTTGAATCTAAAAAGTGCATATTTTGTTTTTAAAAATCTGCTGGAATGTGAACAAACAATATTTTTGGCTGACGTCACTGTGGTACAGAACTAGGTTTGACTACAAAAAACGACCCTTTTCACCTCTTTGCTCGTCTTTTTCTCGTCTGTTTTGTTTCGTTCCAAATGACTGTCCGATCTTTAACTTGAACTATGTACCCTCCGCTAATCGGGGCTTTGATTGGCGAATGACATCATTTCTGTGAACTTGTGGTCTCTGCCATCGAAAGTATAGTGAAGGGAGAAAAGAATGCACTAAACAATGAATTTCAGTACTCGGAGGAATGACTACCGTATTCCTGAGAGCACAAAGCTCGCCGTTCGTCACTGGAATTGTGACGAATGTGACCACTAATGGATTGGAGCCGATTACACAGTGAGTTTACGGGGAGAAATGGCTGGAAAAGAGAGCAGAGAACAATTTTGTTGTGAACTACACTCTTGAACTCTACTCTCTCTCTCCCGTACTATCTTTTATCATATTACGAAACTCGATTACTCCTCGATTTCCGATTATGCACGTAATTAGATTATTTGTACCTGAAAGTGTTTCTGATCATGTTCTCCAGAAAACCATTTTGTAATTCTATGTACGCTCAACCACAGCACACAAAAAAAATTGACCACTTTTTATAGTCCACACTGATCAAAGCTAATTGCGGCGCGCCGCAAAAAAGAACAAAACAGCTGATAAAAAAAAAGTGTGGCGCAATCAATCAGATGTCACTTTCAGTTTCCGATTTTCGATTCCAAATTTGTGATCAGACTGCCCTTTCGTCTCTAAATTATTTTACTTCCTTGTTGAACCGAACGCCAATCAAAAGACGACAAAACGTTTTTGCAGAAATGACTTCGACGCGGAAGTTTTCAAGTCTTGCCTTCAATACCTGATGCTTGGAGTCATGGTGTTTGTGACGTCATACACACAAATTGCATGTCTGGAATCGTATGCGGAAAGATTGGTGCAGAAATTGAGGGAAGCGTACTTGAGAGCAATCCTCAGGCAACAAATTGATTGGTTCGATGGACATCCCACCGGAAATTTGACCTCCAGGCTCACAGAGTAATTTTTTTGAAATATTTCAGAGTAACATCAACTTTGAAACAAAGAAAACATTCGTTTTTCTAATCAATCACATTTTCAGCGACCTGGAGCGAGTTCGTGACGGAATCGGGGACAAGTTCGCCATGTTCGTCAATCAATTTTCCGCTTTCTCGGCCGGACTTGTTCTCAGCTTCTACTACAGCTGGTCGATGACACTTGTCCTAATTTTTTTTGGTCCTTTCATAGTGGCATCCGGCTTCTGGATGAGCAAACACAGTTCAAAACGATCAAAGGTGGAGTTGGAATCCTACGCAGTCGCTGGATCCATCGCCGAGCAAGCATTCTCGTCAATACGGACGGTTCATGCGCTGAACGGGCATTCCGAGGAACTGAACAGATTTCATGCAGCTCTGGAGAATGGAAGACTAGCTGGTCTGGTCAGATACATTTATCTAGGATGTGGTGTTGGATCAAGCAACTTCCTGACTTATTGCACTTACGGAGTCGCCTTCTGGTTTGGAGCATATCAAATATCAAATGACCCGCATATCGATAGAGGGACTGTGTTTACTGTAAGTATCTACCCAAAGACTGTACCTGGTTTTGCAAAATTGTTCTTTTTCAGGTTTTCTTTGCCATGTTCTCCGGATCCAATGCGCTTGGACTCGCTTTCAATCACTGGGCCAACTTCAGATCAGGATGTGCAGCCGCTTCTACCGTACTCCGTGTCATCAACACCCATCCAACTATCGACCCGTATTCCAAGACAGGAATTCACGTGAACAACACGAGAGGAGCAATTTCTTTTCAAAATGTGCATTTCCGGTATCCGTCACGGAAAGATGTTCCGGTTCTAAATGGACTTTCTTTGACTGTGAAATCAGGAGAGAAGATTGCACTGGTTGGATCAAGTGGATGCGGAAAATCCACTATCATCAACCTTCTGCTTCGTTTTTACGATCCAACGAAAGGAAAAGTGACTTTGGACGGGCAGGATTTGACGGAAGTGAACGTGCAGAGTCTTCGAGAACAGATTGGGATTGTGAGCCAAGAGCCAGTGCTTTTTGATGGGACAATCCTGGAAAATGTGGAAATGGGTAGTGAGAATGTCACTATTGAGCAAGTCGTAGCGGCGTGCAAAATGGCCAATGCGCACGATTTCATCAAGAAATTGCCGGATGGTTATCGAACAAGAGCTGGAGAAAAGGGATTGCAGTTGAGCGGAGGACAGAAACAGAGAATTGGTAAGATTTTCGAAATTTCCGATAAAAAGAGTTCCCCCCTTTCAGCAATCGCCCGTGCCCTTGTCAAAAATCCTAAAATCTTGCTCTTGGACGAAGCGACATCCGCTCTGGACTCAGAAGCGGAGAGAGAAGTCCAAATGGCATTGGAACGAGCGCAAACAGGAAGAACCACCATCATCGTGGCCCATAGATTGAGTACTATTCGGAATGTGGATCAGATTTTTGTGCTTCAATCTGGTAACATTGTGGAGACGGGAAATCACGAAGAGCTCATGGCAAGGAAAGGGGTTTTCTATGAGATGACGCAAGCTCAGGTTGTCAGACTGCAAACTGAGAGAGGTTTTACTGAAATTTTTGAAACACGGAAGGATAAAGATGAGATGTTCAGATAATGAGGATTCGGTTTCTATACCTGGAGACATCGTAGTCAGCAGAAAGTCTTCAATCCAATCCGCCATGTCGTTTGCAGCATCTATCCAAGAAGGAAAAGGTGATAAACTTAAAGTACGTTTGGTTTTCGGGCGACAGCAGAGATGTTTGTTTTTTACAGGAACCGACGCCAGTTCCAACGCCGTTATTAAAAATATTCGCGTACAATATGGAATATTTCTGGTGGTTTTGCGGTGGAGTCAGCGGTTCGGCTGTTTTCGGACTATTGACATCACTCTTTGCCGTGGTCTACGCAGAAATTATCAGGGTGAGCATGATTTGAAAAGTGGTTCTGACGAAAGTGAAAAGATTTTTCAAAATTGTTTCGAAACTTTGTTTATTGACAATAAAGACCAGCATTTGGCGCAGAAATTGAAAAAAGTCAATAAATCGTATCCGAAAATTGTATTCCAAAAATTGCTTTCCAGGTGTACTCGGACCCGGCAGACACCATCTTGAACGACGTGATCCCGTTGTGCATCATATCCATTGTCATCGGTCTCGTGTTCTTCGCCGCTTTCTTCATTTCTGTCAACTGCGTGGGCAGATGCGGAGAAGCAATGACAATGAAACTCCGCTACGAAGCATTCAAGAACATTTTGAGACAAGATATCGCGTTTTTTGACGATGAGAGACATGGAACTGGAAAACTTTGCACGAGATTCGCTTCGGATGCGCCAAACGTTCGCTACGTCTTCACCCGTCTCCCACACGTTTTGGCATCAGTTGTTACCGTCATCGGAGCCCTTGGAATCAGTTTCTGGTACGGGTGGAAGTTGACGTTTCCCCTTCTTCTCGTTTTCCTCCTTCTGCTTGGCGGAGGGGTCATCGACATGCGAGTAAGAAGCGGAAAAAAGATGAAAGATTCGAAACTCTGGGAAGAAGCTGGAAAAGTCGCGGTACAGGCTGTCGAACACATCCGAACTGTTCAGGCATTGAATCGTCAAGGCTACTTCCACGAAATCTTCTGCCGACACCTCAAGGAGCCGTATAAAAACAATATGCTTTTGGCACACTTCTACGCATTCATCTATGGATTCAGCCAGTGTATGTTGTTTTTCATGTACGCCGCCACTTTCTATCTTGGAAAGAATTTTGTGATGAACGACGAGATGAAGCCGATCGACGTATTCAAAGTGTTCTTTGCTTTAACCTTTGGGGCGAACATGCTCGGAACGACTTCCTCCTTCATTCCGGATGTGTCCAGAGCACGGATTGCTGCTACCAAGCTCTTTGAGCTCATCGAATATCCAACGGCAATTGATAATTTGTCAAACGAAGGAATGAAGAAAAAGATCAATGGCGACATTTCAATAAATAATGTTCATTTTACCTATCCTACACGTCAAGAGACTAAAGTTATGCAGGGTTTAACACTTGAAGTAAGCCAGGAAAACAATTCGTCCAAAAATTGTAATATTTTCAGATCAAAGCAGGTCAAACAGTCGCTCTAGTGGGTCACTCTGGAAGCGGGAAGTCAACTATCATGAGTCTTCTTGAGCGGTTTTACAATCCAGACAAAGGAGTCATTGTGCGTACCATTACTGTCATCTGATCACCAAACACTTTTCCAGACGGTGGATGGTGTTAATATTGAAGACTTCAACATAGCCAATCTCCGTCAACAGTTGTGCATCGTCAGTCAGGAACCGACCCTGTTCAACTGTTCCATTTCGGAAAACATTCGATACGGGATGAAGGAGACAGTGGGCCACCAAGAGGTCGAGGAAGCCGCCAAGATGGCCAATATCCACACTTTCATAGCCGGGTTACCAAACGTAAGTCAATCTTTCCCCTGAATTTTTGTTTTTCTATGTTTTCTATTATCTTAAAATCTGATCATTCAAAAGCATGAGTGAAGATGAAAAAACAACGTTATCCTCTCAAAACTAAGCGCTGTCTCGAGTCACTGTGTGAAATATGTTTAAAAAATTTGCTTTCAGGGATATGATACGATGGTTGGTGAAAAAGGAACGCATCTATCTGGAGGACAGAAGCAACGAATCGCTATTGCACGTGCACTGGTCAGATCTCCCGCTGTTCTTCTTCTAGACGAGGCCACTAGTGCTCTGGACACTGAAAGTGAACGGGTTAGTGAACACACCCGATTTTCTGTAAAATTTGAAAACTTCAGCTTGTCCAGGAAGCTCTCGAAACAGCGAAAAAAGGTCGTACATGTGTAGTCATTGCCCATCGCCTGAGCACAATTCAAAACTCCGATCTAATCGCTGTGATCAAAGATGGAGGGATTGAAGAATCGGGTACTCACGAAGAGCTGATGCGGCGCAGCAAGAGTTATCAGAAGTTGGTGAAGTCGCAGCACATCATGGATCATCACTGAATTCACGAGTAATAAATGAACTTTTTCCGGAGTAGTTTATGGGTAGATCCTTTTTTTTCCCCCGTTGTCTTTCCTTTCTTTCCCGGCGTTTTCCCCTAATTTATTAGTTTTTTTTGTGAGGTTCGTAATAAATATGTTTTCTGGTTGCATTAAAAGTTTAGTTTCGTTGAGATGTTTCTATTTTTACTGATTTTTCGGATTCAGTCGATAATACGATTATTGCCCCTTTTTCACTTTGATCTTTTACGAGATCACACCACAAAATGTGAACTTTGTTCTTGAGAACTGGCCTTGATCTTTGTTACAAAATGTTTTCAGACGTACAGAAAACTAACCTCGTGTTTTGTGCTCGCCCCATCTAACATTCTTCCGGAACAATGTGTTATCAGTCACAGCCAGCCCAAATTATGTCCGGATGAAGAGAGCAACGGAACATTTTCGCAATTCAACAGCTGTGGAGAACGAAGAAGAACAGACAACGTGAATCTAATTAGCATATCGTTGAAGTTTCTTCCACATTTCCTTCTCTAGCGGGCTGATTGCTGGGCGCTGTGCTGGTCAAAACATTCGACAAATTGGGAAAAAGCCTCTTTCGGACGAAAAGGCACATTTGCCTACTATTTTACCCACTGTTCTCTTCAACGAGATACTGAGGGATATCGGCGCATTCCTTCTCGATTCGAAATTGTTCAAACATAACGTTCAGGACCAAAAACCGGTCACAGTCACAGTTTTTTTTCATTTTACTCTTATCGCATTAATTTTAGTTTTTTTGGCTTATCGCATTGGTCATTTCGAGTTCAGAATCGTCATCGTCGCAATGGTTACTGAGAGCGCTACGTTTTTCAGAGAGGGGTTAATCTGAAATTAATTCTCAAGTCTATTTGAACTCGATTCACTTCAATAATGTTTAATTTTGAGAAAATTAGAAGGTCGTTTTCGCCAGCCGGTTTGAGAGCATCCGGGAGACCGTCGAATACTTTCTCCATTGAATTGAACTTCTTCTCATCCTGTGGATCGAAGATATCGACATTCGTGGCGAACGAAGAAAATACGAATGTCTTGCTCAAATCGTCGAGTTTTTTCGGAACCTTCTGATTTGCTCGCAGACTCTCCGCAATTTCCCGGGCGATAGTTTCCACTCTGGTGTCTTCCGTTTCTGCGAGATTGTGGAACACTGAAAGCAATTTTCGTTATAGAAACTATTTTCCAAAATCAGTTAGAACTCATTTCTCACTCCATCCTCCCGCATTTTTTGGGGGGACTGGTGCACACTCCGCGCAGTGTGAGTGAGGAGGATTGAGAGAAAAATCGGTGAAAGGGGCGTGGCCTCGGTGTGCTATTGGTTGACTGGGCAGCGGCGGGCAAAACCTGCAATACTTCATTAGATAAATTGGAAAAGAGAATTTAGAGCTTTAAGCATCAAAGATTTTCACTGTATTTTGGAGAAGAAATATTGAGAGCCTGTGCATTAAGCTATGTTAGTTTATAAAGGAAACGTTTATTTCTTGAGATGAACAGCTACTGATAGTCCAGGCGCTGAGAAATAGAAGAGAAGCCGTGCATGTCCGCGCTAAGTCTAAAAGGAATCGAAACAAGACAAAAACATCGAACTTCAAAACTATAACCCACTAGGCTACGCACAGCACAGCGTAGCTGACCGCCCAGGTTACCTATAACAATATCATCCTCGCCATTGTCCGGCAAATAAAATTTGAGGATTCTGAGCGATATGAAGACTAATAGTAAAATAATTTAAATTGACCCAAGAGAGTAAAGCAGAGGTGGAATTCATATTTTCTAGACGGAAAGCGGAGAGCGGAGGCGGAATTTAATTTTTTTTTTGCGGAAGGAGGAGAGCGGAGACAGAATCAAAAAAGTGGCGGAGACGAAAGGCCGCCAACTCTGGTCTGGATTATCTCACTTTGCTGACTCAATCGAAAGATCGATAAAAACACATAAGCCTTTCGAAGTTTGATGAAGAAACTGGAAGTGATACAATTTATTGAATTCAAAAACAACAGTTGATCAATATTCAAAAACAGTGTAGTTTTTAATCAAATCGAACGGCTCCTTAGCCTCGGTCTTGATTGCATCAATAAAGCACTTTATGAACGGTTTTTCGGCGAGCTTTTTCGTAATGCAATCGTGGCAAAACGAGTGACCACATTTAAGGATACGTGGTATTCTTCCCGGCTCGGATTGATCGTACCGTTCTTCGCATATCGGGCAGATTGGGATCAAGTGAGAGTCTCGTGTAAGAGTCGCGCAACACTTTGAGTCGTGGATGAAGCGCAGTTCTCGTCTCTGATCTGCCTCATTTAGGAACTTCTGCGTGTCGTTCTTCAAGGTTATCATAACTTCTTCATCCTTTTTGAGACATTCACGAAGACGACGAATTCCAGCAGTTTCCCTTCTTTCTAATCTGATTAATTTCGAAAACTGCAGGCTATTTTCATCAATAATTCTCGTCAGTTTCAAATTGAATGCTTCGTTCACTTTAGCGATAATTTTCATTTGCCTGTCGGCATTTCCAAGCCTGATTTCATCTTCTAACTTCTTGTTCTTAATGTTCGTGATCTCGAGTTCCACCGTCTCCGACTCCAGCGCTTCCTTCATCTTGGCGATTTCCGTCTCTAAATCGGTCACAGCTCGCTCGGCCCGAGTCGCGTTGCGCGTGCGTTTCCGATCGATTATCTGGGGCTGCTCATCCTCGGTTTGCTTGGAGGTCCCGGCGTAACTTCTCTTGCTTTCGCGAAGCTCCATGACGACAGGCTCTGAAATACAAACTTCAATAAATAGAGAAAATCAATACAAAAGCAACAGGGAATAAAAAAAATAAACCGAAACTGCTTCTTTCGGTCTTAAGAACAGAATGGTAGGAGAAAACAAGAACAAGGCAACAGAAGAGTAATAAACGAATGAATTTGGATCCGAGAGACCTTTCGTATTGGATAGGAATGAATGAGTGAGCCGGAGAACATTTACGATGCGACGCGCTCCGTGATCGATTTTAGTGCCATACAAAACATCTTAATATGCCACCGGGAAACAATCTAAAGAGCACTCAACTTTACGAGCAGCCCAAGAACACTGTCATTCAAACCCCTATGTATTGAATGGGATAAATCCGGGAATTATTGGAACCCAATTATTCAATGCACAGGGACAACGTTTTTGGTTTAGATTGAGAATGAAACGAAGCAGATGAAAACGTAATTTCCAAGTCTAATGACAATTGCGCATCTTCAAAACCTATGCACTCAGAAAGAAGGTAAATGAGAGTGAATGGACTGATGACGCACACAATATCGGTCCGTTGACCTAGATACCGTCGGTGGTATCGGTCAAAGGAAAACGGTCGTGTATGTGTACGTCCCTGCGTCTTTGCCAACGTGGCCATGCAGACCGGACCACGAGAGAGTTCAGTTACGTAAATATTTTAGAAATCACCTTGACTACGTCATTTGAGGCTAAAAAGTGTCTAAAAATGGCTTATAAAGGGCGTGTCTTTTGAAATTGGATTACCGGATTTATTTTTTTTTTTCAGCAATTTTTTTTTCTCAAGGCTGAATCGAATGGTGTCATTCTCTCGACAAGTTTTTGAGTGCCAAGGCAGTATCGACAAGTGAAAATCATGCCGCTAGGACAAAAAATGCGAAAATAAAAAAACAAGTGTTCATTCAAGCGTCAATTGAAGAAAAAAACGCTAACCTCTTCTGTATTATGTTACCCAACACCTTCTTCACCCCCTTTGTTGCCTATTCTCTCAATGCCTGCTGTTCAGCGACGGAGAATGCGCAGGGAAACTGGATGCCGCCTCACTACCTACACACTCGTCTACCCCCTTCCCCCCTTCTATCTTCAATGCTTCCGTGGCGCAATAGGCAGCGCGTTCGGCTGTTAACCGAAAGGTTGGTGGTTCGAGCCCACCCGGGAGCGAAACTTTTTGCTTATTTGTCGCTTAAGGAGAATTCAGAAAACAGTATTGAAATATCGATATTTTCTTAACATTATAGTGCGGATCTGCGTTTCATTTCTTGTCAATTCCAAGTTGGTTGCTGTCAGTTACTAATCCCTCCTGTCAAAACAATTGTAGCAAGATGTCCACTAATCGAGTGGTGCAATGGTCTCATGTGCATACGTGTATTTACGCACAATTGACTTGATTGCGTCATCGACTCATTCGCGAAAAAGTGAGGAAAGGGGGAGAGATGGCCTGACCACGTGCGCGACCACTTTTCTCTCTTTCCTTCTACTGTATTAGATACAACACCTGGGGGTCAATGTCCTGTAATAACTGAAAAATCTGTTTTCGACAGGTTTGCAATAAAAAAGCGCTATTATCTGGCTGATCATGGGTTGTTACTAGCCAAATTCGTGTTCTCCTTTTAGATGTGTCCCCGCTTCTCATTGATGATTTCTCGAGATATCGAAAAGCCTGAAATCTGGCCGAATCGACGTAATTATTGTCAGTAACTGATCCCACAAGTGCATGCATACATTGCAAATTACTCGCTAATCGGAAGGCGCGTGTCCGAGGGGAGGGGGGATGTGCACACGATTGACCCCTATTACGTCATCGACTCACTCTCCGGGAAGTGACAAGTGAGAACCGCTGCAACGACTCGTCAACTGCTGTCACCTACAACATGTTTCGTTGTCAATGTCTTCCTGCCAATTTCTTCAACATTCATCATCGTGAGTTTGCATCATATCACCAATTTCGAGTTAATGTGATTCATTTTTCAGATCAGCTTTCTGACTACTCAGGATCTCTTCTGCCCAACCCAATTCATCATCAATCGGAATATCGTCTTCTTTTTTACTGACGCTCATCGTCATCTGCATTTGTGAACTGCTCTTCTGGACTCCAATGCTCTTCCTTTCGTCGGAAAAGCAACAAGTAGCAGCTGCTTCGCCGTTTCACTTCTCAATGACTATCATTTTCATAGATAATCCTTAGTCATGTCATACCTTACCACTTCATTAACTTCGTCATATTTATTTTGTTGCTCATTCTCGGCCAACTCATAAATTATCACTTCCACATCACACTTTATGCATTTCTGTCCCTTATTCCCCATTTTCAGTCCCTTATTTTCCTATGTCCTTTTTATATCATTTCATCATAACCGCCTACTGATATTATCATTTGATAGTTAACGCTATTGTCGATTTCCTGCAAATAAGCACGTTGTCGTCATCCCTTCACCCTTCCGGCCAATCCTCTGAACAAGCAACCTCACAATAGAACCGGCCACAATATAACTGTTCGGAGCGCCTTTTAAACCTTTCTGTTGAATAATTGTTACGTAGAAAAAGATAATTTTTGAATCTCTTGATCGATTTATTGCATTCATTAATTTCACTTCCGCCGTGATCCCTCTTCTCTACGGTAACGAAAACCCACAGAAAATAATTTTATTCTACTATTACACTATTAGACGAAGAATTTTGCTAAGCTTAATTGAAAGGAACGGACAAAATGCTCACATAAATACACAAAAACAGTTATATTATGTCGCGGTTCTATTCTGCGCGGTTCTATTCTGCGCGGTTCTATTCTGCACAGTTCTATTCTGCGCAGTTCTATTCTGCGCAATTATATTATGTTGGCCCGCCGTTTCCGATTATTGTACAAATGCATGAAAATGTTGTGACTAGCGAGCCTACGGGTTGCTGAGCTCAGCTATGTGTGATACATATTTAATGGATGTACTATTGTACCATAGTACATCTGCCTTATTTGAAATTTTTGTGGTCCCGCCTCCTCCACCTTTGTGATAAGCCTAAAGGGGCGTGGTGGCGGTGAAGCACGGTTGAGGGCGTGGCCGAGGCGGGCGTGATTTCACTGTCACTATATAAACCGAGTACAACGTTAATTATGTCTATCTCGAAACTTTTTGTCGTACAGAATGCTCGCCGAAGACTTCCCGCTCTACCGCGGAAATTCCGTGAAACACGTCATTCACTCATTCGATTGGTTACGAAACTCCGCCTGCGCGTAAAATGTCTTTCTCTGCGTCTCTCGGAGTGGTCCCCTCTCGCCGATCATCGATCAAAGATTTAATTGGAATATTGAGCGGCTGCGATTATTTTTATTGTTAGGAGCAAAGACATCAAGGTTAGTTTTATTTTATAGCCTGAAAATAAAGCCCCGGGGGCCGCGCGCAACCATTCCGTTCAGGGTCTATTTTTTAACAGATGATAGTTGAAAAAATATTTTGTGACGAACAATGAAAGGAAAAATATGATACGAATGATGAGAGTTTCTTGTTGCTAGAAAAATGCAGCAGAAGGTTCCAAGGCCCGTGTCGCGGTCCGCATAGGCAACGGAAGAACTCGATAGTTAAATAGAAGAAGGTTGGTTATTAATGAAGGGAAAAACAGAAAACATAAAGAAGCATCAAAAACGGAAGAACTCGATGAATATGGTTGAACGGAAGAAGATTTGTTATAAATAAAGGAAAAAAACAGAAAACATGAAGAAGCATCTCCGGTGAGTATGGCTACTGTTGTCAGTCATTGTTTCAGGCAGGATAAAAAATAATTCCGACATGACACATATATAGATTTATTTGACTTCGAAGATACTTGTCGGATCATTTTAGGAGATGTCGGTTGCTATGATATCATTGAGGAGGGGCTACCAGCTACCCCTTTTGATTCTACTTTTCTCCTAACCCTGCAAAAACTCCGGTGACCAGTAATCCTGCTCTTCAGATATTAATATGAGAGGTAAGTTATCTATTTTGTATAAGCTTTCCGAAATGGAGAGGAGAGGACCGCTGAGAAAAGTGATGAAGTTGCCTATCGAAAAAAACATTTATTGGATTTTGGCTGAAACCGATGGCATCGAGTTTGTGATAAGAAGATACTATGTGTTGTTAAATGCAATCGCTGGTTCGCTTCGAGCAAAATGAAAGACTAGGTGAGAGATACTCCCGTTGCGAGTATTTAGTAACATTGCAGAATTAGATTACGGGACTATTCGTGTCTATTAGTGCGATGGACAGCTGTCAGAGGATTCAAAAAAATCTGCGAGGAACCAGACACGGTATGAAATGATGGCTTCGGCAAACGATGAAAACTCGCCCGGCCCAGTCGGCCGGGGAGTCATTCACTGTGTGCAGACATTTTTGGAGACATTCTTTTAGTATCTTTTGTATCTTTTATTCGGATATCATTTTGGGTCGGATGTGATTTCATGGGACCAAGCAATTGAAATTTAACAAGACTGCAAAACAATCTCTGTTTATTACAGTTCGCAGTTCGGATTGCGGTAGCGCACGATTGCAGAAAAATTCTGCCATAATATGATGTTTTCTTCCGTCCCCAATTGAAGTGAGCAACTTTTATTAGCTCCAATTATTCGATAACCACGCGGAAAATAGAATGAATGGATGAAGTTGGATCGTCCTCGTCCTCCTGGTTGCTACGCTGTGTGTATTTTGTTGGCCAAAGTCACCGTAAAAGCGTGAAGGCATTTGAAATTCAGTGTTCTTTTACTTCTTTTGTGCACTAAAAAGCCTGTGTATATTGAAAAATAGTGGACAGGGTATTGATAAGAGATTTCAGACGACTTTTACGGAACATACCGCTTTATTCGATCGGAAGGATCTACTTGTTCAAGTCGCTTACACAGAGGTGAGTGTCCCTTTCCGGTAGGTCATTTGTTACGTGTGTTGTTGCCCAAATTTCACCGTAAAAGCGTGATGGCATTTTGAAGTTTTTGGTTTCTTTTTGCTGCTTATACATATGCTGAATCATGTGTGTCCTTTTCTTCTTTTCCTCTACTCCCAATGGACCAATAACAGTTCTTGTTTGAGGAATAATGCGACCAATCACTAAAGCATTGGCAGAATCTTAATGGCTTGCATCGTCATTTTTGTTCTATTCAGCAAGTTAGCAGAGCCGGCGCCAACCAACTCAGTTTGCAAATGGGCGCATGCGACCAATTTAAATTATGCCGGAGAAGACGTTGTTGCTTCTGATTGTTTGACTGTGTGTCTTCTGGTCTATATGTGATTCTAGTTCAAACCTCTACGAAGTTCCAGGTATAGAAAATGTTTTTTTATGTGACCTCAAGATGAATTCGCAACTTTTATAGGCTATAGTCAATCTATTACCACGCGGATGATGAGAAGACGAATGCAGTTCAAAGCTGGAAGTACGCCAAATCCTGGGGTTGGCCAGAATTCACCGTAAAAGCGTGACGGCCTTTTAAGTTTAGATTATCTGTTTTCTCGACTGTCTTTCCCATGGTCGCGTTTCATTTTGCAGAAGGCACCGGGCGTTCAGGCACTTTTCAGGATAGCGTTGGGCGGGCGCCGTATTATAGAACGTTTTTATGAAAGTGAAAGATTACCGGTCGTCAAGCACGACGCTCTCCTTGTCCGAGTGTGCCTTCAGAGTTTAGGATCCACAAGTAGAAAACAGGTGGACATCGGACAGAGATGGCGCCGACGGTTATTTTCATGTGGGTGTGTTGGGTAGACGTCATCAGGATTATCCAGGACTGTAAAGCATGGGCTGAACCTTTATAAAAATTAATTATAAAATCGGCCCTCGTCCCGTGAACTGCCGGAGGCTCGCTCTCCAAGCCAAACCTTCGGCGAAATAAGCATCCAACAGTTCACGGACTTTCTCCCTCTATCCACTGCACCCTCGCATACAATCACCGTGTCTGACTTTACCCCGACTGTAACAGGTTGTCAGGTTGCTCCAACGGACTGAATCCATTCTGTGAGAAAAAAAAAATGTCCAGATTGCAGGGTGCTGCAATCTGGACATTTCTCAATTTACCTCGACTATACTAGAAAGTTCACCACAAAATTACTGTGAAAACGTCTGAAATTTGGGTGCACACCGTTTTGGATGCATTCTTTGTAAGAATTTTTCCGGTTTCGTTTCCACCAATGTAAACACGAATGAGATACAAAAAAAGTGTCATGAACATGCTCGGGTTGGCAGCGGATCACAAGATAAGTGGCTATGCAATCAAAACAATCCTTGGCAGCGGGGAAAAGAGAGCGAAAACCGTCTGACATGCTCGGAAGAAGATTGTCTTGGTGCGCGCGGTTTTTTTTTCGAGGGGGTTAGATAGAATTAATGTTGAATCGGGAGGGAGCAGACCGGAATTCGCCGCCGAAAATTCCCGGGGGTCGGCTCCACCGCTATTGTCCGTCGAACGGTAGTCGCCCTCTCCCGGTGGTCAACCGCCCGCCCGCACACAGTTCTCTCCCACTTCAATGCTCTTTTCATGAGAGCAACCAATTTTTTATGCACTTATCACAGAAAAAGGACCATATTTATGAGGCATCAGTATTATCTTTTTATAGTCTTTTTATGTTATTTTCCAATTGCCACCGAAGCGGTTCTTGACAGAAATTGCACGTATTTGACAGCGGATGGAAAAGTAGGTTCGGAAAATGAATTTATGAAACAAAGAAAAACGTTTTGGTGTCACTTTTTGATTACACTCCTTCCTTTTTCCAGTACGCAACAAATGCCATCAATTGTGAAAACATCTACAGTGATGACGCGTGTACTATGATATACGGTAGTAGTGTTACAGTAGGCACTACTGTAGAAAGACCTCTTTTATGTTTTATGGTAAGTACAATATTGTTTTTGTTCTCTCAAAGTTTTTATAGCTGAACGGAGAAAGGAATGAGGAGATGAAACGGATTTCTATCAGTACCTGCCCAAAAACGTGCGGATATTGTTGTCAAACTGAAGCATTTGACTGCAATAACACTCCATGTAACTCATTCTTCCTCGATTTTGTGGTTTCATCGCAAAGCTATTCAGATCCACGTATAAACTGCGCATTGGTAACCAGTCGAATGTGCAAGGATCCGCAGTGGCGAGAAGTTCTCGTGGAGGATTGTCCCAATGTCTGCGGATTTTGTTTGGAAGGTACGAATCCATTTTCCGTGATTGTAGTTGTTAGTGCCCGGCAAACCGCCGAGAAAACCTGTTTGTTTGCAGGAGGATGTTTCGACAAGGCCGTCGATTGCACAACTGATATCTCCATTTGTATGAACATTGGAATGCAGGATTTTGTCAAGGTATTTTTTGAGATATCTTGAGCACAACACAGTGATAATTGAAGTTTTTGAGTAAAATTTCGTGTTTCACTCAAAAAGCAGTAGATATAAATCACTAAAACCTTTTTTTTCAAACTCAATTTTTGGCAAAAGTTTGGGTGCATTTCACACCAGAAATAAATAATCATTTCACATTCTCGGCCTCTTTTCCGGTAAGGATTGAAAGTTGACCCCCTTTTTTGATTCAATTACTCTTCCATTCTTCTCTCCTAAAAGTAGAAAGTAGAAGCAATAAAATATCGCGACGAGTACAAATGCACTTAGGAAGTATGTTCTCATTTCCGGAACACTGACCACCACCATCTTATTTGTCTGCGCCGCCTCTCCGGCCCGAAACAAAAACGTTATGGGTAAACAAACACACTTGGAGAGGCGAGCTCGTCGGTTTTTTGTTTGTTTGCATGAATGAATTGAATAAAGTTATGGAATGGGGGGAAAACAAAGTTGATATACATATAATTAAAATATTGATGAAGAGGTAATTTGAGTGAGTTATGATGTCAGTTTTTATAAAACAAGTTATTCAGGAGTATTGTCGGAAAACTTGTGGATACTGTCGCCCAACCGCCACCACCACGCCTGACCCTGAGTTCCGCGGTACCAGTCCGGATTGCGTGGATTATAACACAAAGTATGTTGATGACCTTTCCGTTCAATCCGCTATTATCCGTCGCCGTTTTTCAGTTGTGCCAGTTGGTCCTATCGCGGATACTGCTACAGTCCGTTCTACAGTTATGAGACCAAATTCCGTAATTGTGCAGCTACGTGTGGACTTTGCTGAGAGAATATTAATTTATTTTATTTTGATCTCAACCTCAATTTTTTTTTCAAATGAAGTGCAGCACCATGTCATTTTGATTTTCCATTCGTTTTCTCTTTTCCTCCCTATCTTCAGAACAAGAGCAAAAAGGATGAATCTAGAGGGACCTCCGAGGCTTCATGTCAATTGTAATTACATGGCGGGCAAGAGGAGGATAATTGTTCTCGAGTCCTTTTCCCCCCGCTCCTCTTTTTCTGTCCTTTGTGGCTCGAATTAATGTGCGGCCAAGTGCATAGGTGTTGTGTAAGAAAAGCGCACGAATTATTCATGATCCTTTCCACTCTTTTTCAATTTTCCACCTTTTTCAGACAGCTTTTCACTTTTTCACCTCATCCATTATTTTATTACTTTAGTACACACCTTGTAGCAATATTTCATTTTATCGAAATTTCACACGACTTGTGGTCTCTTGATCTTTACTTTTTTTGTAGGTTATTTATAGAAAAAACGTGAGTTTTCTCCGGGTGGTCTTGTAAAGCCAAGCATTAAAGTAGTAACAATTGTAGATGCCTGCTGCTAAAAATCAATTAGACAACATGAAAAATTATGCTGCTAGACTTCAGATTTCATACCAGAAACCCAAAAAAACCTAAACTGTAAATGTTTGTGCCTAGTTTTTCTCTCGTTTTTCACCATGTTTATTCACAAAAACGGCGGTGTCCGCTACAATAATCCGGTCGACAAACAGCATTTCCTTATCACTCCACTCACCCCGCACAACCAAATTTTTATTCCATTTTCTACCTCTTTTCCTCCCTCCGTACAATAACGCGGTTAGACTTCTTTCTGTTCAAGCCCATACACACTCCATTATTGTCGTTGTTATTGGGTTTGTTGTGTTGTTTTGACGCTCTCATCATTTGAAATGGGACCACGAGAGGTGTGGCGGATGGCTCTATTTTATGAAAATAAGTGGATAACTGGATATTGAATACGGTGGGTCAGGTCCGAAAACAAAGCGAGAAATTCTTAATGTGAAGCAGGGTATCGCTAAAAACAGTCATGCAATGGCCCCAATTAGTTTAAGACCCCTCTGAAATGTGAATTGCTTCCTATTCAGTTCGTTTTTACCCCCTAAACTGAATTTCATCCGTCCATACCAGTCCCTCACTCCTTGGACCTTCTTATCCGTCTCTGAGAAGCGTTTCGCGCCTTTCTTCTCCTCCACTCTGTATAATCCACACTCACTCAACCTTTTATCCGTCTCCGCCCGCCTTCTTTTTCATTCGCCTCTTCTTCCTGCCCATCCAAACTTTTCCATTATTGCACTGAAAACAAGAGGGTCCTTCTTTCACCCCCCCCCCCCTTTTTCCTTGTAGTGCATTTATGTATGCAGATTGAGAGTGTTTAGTGCGTCGAAAGTGTGTGACTTCACTTTTCATTTTTGTTTTCTAGACCGCCTATTATTTTTGTTCTCGAAAAGGGAATTTTTAATCAGTTCTAGGAATTTCTGAAAAGTTTTTCAGAACAGATATGAAGAACATCTGTAATACTAAAGAATGTTGACTATTTTGTTTTAGAAAAACCGTTTTTTTCTTTCCAAACATATGACAAATAACGAGCTAGAGTGCCAATAAATCTCAAAATTTTATGGGTCAACGTCACAAGAGTGTTTGTCAAAAGCTTGCCTCAACAAAACCGCAACATTTCCTCAAGAATTGGTCACAAGAGACCCGAAAGTTGTACATAGTGAGAGTGATTAATTCACGTGGTGTTCTTCTGCTTTTAGGGACCTCCTACTCGCCGTACATGTCCTCCAGAACACGAACCACTCCTAAGATTCCCGAGGGATACGCGCTTATTTGCAAAAAGATGCGCATTATCTACTTTTTGCGCGAAATGTTGGGAGTCTTGGGGCTCCTTTTTTTGTTGGTCTGTTCCTTATAACACCAAACCAATCACATTCCCCTTTTTGTCGGTCGTGTCATTTTTTGTCCCCCCCCCCGCCCTCCCTCTTCTTTACGTGCGGTGTGTAAGAAGAAAGATGTATGTATGCGATACATTCCTTTTGTTTTTTTTTCTGTTTTTAGCATGTTCTGAGGGAGATGCACAAAATAGATTTGGTAGGAAAGGGGAAACCTATTCTATTTGGAGAATTCCAAGCTTTCTTTGTTCTGTGAGAGAAGGAAGTGGAAAAAGGAACCTTATCAGGTATTCATTGCCTCCCAAAAGGCTCAGAGTTCAAAAAACTGAATGCCATTTTCTTTAGGGAAACCGTAATCAAGGAAAGTTGTCCTCCTTCCTACCACCTCCCGCTCAAAACCCTTGTTCCTTTTCCCGTGTCCAGGTGCATAAGGTAACTAGGTCATAAAACGTTCTCTTTCTCGGAGTAGGCGCATAAATTTCCAATGACCTTCTTGCTTCTTGCTTTCCCCCCCCCTTTCACTGAAGCTCATTTTATTGCCCACTTCTTTCTTCCTTGTCGTTCTTTTCGCTTTCCTTGGAGGTGTTTCCTACTCTCTGTCCAATATTTACCTTTTCCGCAACACTAACTTTTTCATTCATATCGCATCAAACGCATTTATAATTTGATGTGCGCGCATTTCTTATCACTGTTTTTCTGCTTCTCTGCTCGAGTCGTGGCCGCGCTTGTGTAACACCCATTAAAATAACACATCTTGACTTTTTCCATTGATTTTTTAGTCCCCCCCCCCAACTTTTCCCTCGACTTCCAAAAGTTTAAAAAAAACGCGTGAGGTGTGTCGAGCCGGGCGAACATTTTTCACTTGAATGTTCTCATAATTCGCATCGAGAGGCCAAGCCCACACACACACACACACACGCAAAAACGGCTGAAGAGATGTGCTCCGTGAGCCGAGCCTCGGGGTCCTTCTCCTGCTGCAAACATACACACGTTTCCCCGTTTCGAACGCCGTTTTCCTATTTTTCTTCTCCTTTCCTTTCCATGCTTTCTTCCTCTCGGAAACTTTTTCCTTTTGGCTCAGCGGGCTCAATGACGTCGCGTGAAATTTGAAATCGCTTTCAGAATTCATTGAACTATGCTGTTTTAGAAAGGTTCCAACCACCAGAAATTACGTCTTTTTCCCTTTTTTTTTCTGACTTTTCATTCTATTCCTTCTATTTTTCCAGATTTCAATTGTCGACTAGAACTACTCGAAACTACAGTAATCCTAGTGCATTTGATGCTAGCACTTCTCAATGAATCACTGGTATTTCATCGGAATAATCGCATTTCTCGTGGGCGCCACGTTTTCGCGTTGTTCTGGCTCAAATTGTGATAAATTTTCTTGCGTGTCAGGTATCATTTTGTCAATTTTTCGTATGTAAGCCTCACATGTGTGCATAATCAAGTAGGGAGAGTAATGAAAAGGCAAAAATGTTCTATTGACAAATACATATTTCTATTCATATCAAAAATTAAGAAAGTTCACACGTAATCTAGTTCTTGCCAACGTCATAGCCCACAATTTTTAAAGGTTCTTCAGACGGAAGTGTCATAGTTCTCTAGATGCAAAAAGTTCAGAAATTGGGGCGGTGGGAGGGATGGCGAAAGGTTCATTTCTTCACGCTCTTTTGACTCTCATGCATAAATAACTTTCTGAATTTCGGAGTACGTCCGGAGAACCAGATTTGGCAATGAAAACAGCTGGAATGTAAGAAATCTAATATTTGTTCTAGCAGCGTGATTTTTTTATGCGGGAAAGTGGAAGTTCTTTTAGAGAAACAGTTGTCGTTGAGTATTTCTTATTATGTTTGGCAGAGATACGTCTAAAATAGTTTGAGTTGCAAAATAATCAGGAAAACACGCAGAGCTATAAAATATGCTGAATTTATACATCGAAACTTTCAGATTTCTACGTGCACCGCCCGCTGGACTCATTTCTCCGCCCTGGCTCTACATTCCACTCGCCATGTTCCTGTGCGCCAGATTGGAACACAGTTTTCTGCAATCAAACGTTGACCGCTCTGCACGACAAGATTCTGCCGTATCCAACAGTTTGTGTGTGTCGTGAATTCCGTGACAACGGTCCAAAGTGCTCACAGTTTATGGTCAGATGCTTCGAACGTAAAAACAATGAGTAAGTTTCCTACGTCGAACTTTACGCATCACTAAATCACTATTTTCAGGTGTTCGTGTTGTTTCAATCAGCCAAATGAATGGTGCAATAAACTCAAGTGCAAAAATCGTGAGCCTGACTTCTCGTAAGTCATCCGTTTCTCTTCCACCCACCCGCCAAAAGTTAATTAATTCAAAAATTTCGACATTGCAGTGGTGCGAATACAACTTGCGTGTGTCATCACAACACTGCGGATTATCCTTATGATGTATGCAAAAATTTGTACCCAAGGGACAGCAATTTTGCGAATCGGCAAGCGATTCTGAGCAAAAACGAGGAGAAGGTTCAGGGAAGGGTTGAGGTGAGCATTGATTCAATTATCGAACGGAAAGAACTTATAAAAAAGTTCTCAATGAACATTCTCTTTGATTTTCTAAACGTTTTGAGTGTTTCAAGTATAGAAACAGAAATGGAAATTCCACGTTTGAAAGTATTTTTCCAACTGGCCCAGCTGTTTCCATGAGCGTTGCCGTAAAATGAATCAAAGAAGAATGTGCATGAAACTTTATGCCCCACCGTTACGAAGCGGATATGCTAACTTTTACCTTATTCAACTTTTTCAGTACGTCGAACTTCTTGGCAGAAGGATATCGACCTCCGCAGTGAGCTACATCATCGTAGGCCTTCTGCTTTCGGTGTCCGTTTTAACCCTCGTGATGCTTCTTTACGGTGGAAAACGTCTCCGACAAAAAAGAAGCGAACGACAACGTCAAATCCGGCTAGCTCGAGAAACTTTAATACTTCAAAGAGCAGACGATGATCGATATTTGCCGTCCGCTTAGATTTTTGCTGTATATAATTACCTCGTTCAACTTTTCAAGTAGTTTTTGTCAAATGGGATCATCAGCGGATGTTTTTTTTCCGTTTTTTACGTTGTTGAATTGTATTTTTGACGTAAAAACGGAAAAAGAAACGTCGAATAACCCCATAATATCAGAATATCAAAACTTGCTCATGTTTGTGTACGTCGCCTATTGGACCACTAGACAGTCTATGGATCTCTTTTTCATAACAATTCCCTTTGAAATCACTTACATTTTATTTCTAATTTATGTGAATAATCTTATTCGATTTTTGAGTTAACGGGTCGTTTTCTTTTCAAAATGTTGTCTTCTATCTGTATATAAACTTTCACAAAACAAACGGCATGGCACGCAACAGGTACACTGCGCCCAATAAGTATAGGACCCCCCTCAGTTTTGGGTGTTCCGAGAAAACTAAAAGAGATATCAAAAATCTGCAAGCGCCATTCGATTTGGAATACAAAATAACCCCCGGACCCAAATTTTTACAATCTGAAAACTATTTGTACCCGCCCACCATCAAAAAGTCACTTTTTCCACCGCCCAATAAGTATAGGACCCCCTCACAATTTTGACGGATTTTGGTAAATTGAAGGGAATTCAGCCATTTTTCCATATTATTATTATAATTGTTGTTTTTTTATTGTTTTCATATTATTTCGACTTTATTTCCCAACTTTCTATCATTTTCTGATTGGATGATGAAGGATCTTTGAATAAATCTGTGAAAAATGGATTTTTTTAAAAGTAAACATTTTTTTATTCAACAAAAATCAAACGATAACAGGGAAAAAATTAATAACTGGTCTTGCCTCCGTTCTTCTGAATGACTTGGAAAAGTCGATTTGGCATGCTCGATACCAGATTCTTCAATTCCGCGGCTGTGACCAAATTCCACTTGATAAGAAGGGCATCTTTCAGATCATGGACACTGGCATACTGTTTGCCATGGCGGTAGACACGACGAACCAACAATCCCCAAACGTTCTCAACTGGATTGAGGTCTGGGCTACACGCCGGCCATTGCAGAACCTTGATTCCTTTCGCAGCGAGCCAGTCTTGTGTCGAAATGCTTTACATTCTCCCATTTAGTAGCAAGGTTTCTTCTTGCAAAATCCATTCTCCTTGTTTTGTGTTGATCCGTCAATCTTGGAACCTTCTGCATTGTCTGACGAACAATGACACCACTGCGATTGATAACGTTGAGAACAGTACTCTTGCAGACAAGGAACCTTGCTACTAAATGGGAGAATGTAAAGCATTTCGACACAAGACTGGCTCGCTGCGAAAGGAATCAAGGTTCTGCAATGGCCGGCGTGTAGCCCAGACCTCAATCCAGTTGAGAACGTTTGGGGATTGTTGGTTCGTCGTGTCTACCGCCATAGCAAACAGTATGCCAGTGTCCATGATCTGAAAGATGCCCTTCTTATCAAGTGGAATTTGGTCACAGCCGCGGAATTGAAGAATCTGGTATCGAGCATGCCAAATCGACTTTTCCAAGTCATTCAGAAGAACGGAGGCAAGACCAGTTATTAATTTTTTTCCCTGTTATCGTTTGATTTTGTTGAATAAAAAAATGTTTACTTTTAAAAAAATCCATTTTTCACAGATTTATTCAAAGATCCTTCATCATCCAATCAGAAAAATGATAGAAAGTTGGGAAATAAAGTCGAAATAATATGAAAACAATAAAAAAACAACAATTATAATAATAATATGGAAAAAATGGCTGAATTCCCTTCAATTTACCAAAATCCGTCAAAAATTGTGAGGGGGTCCTATACTTATTGGGCGGTGGAAAAAGTGACTTTTTGATGGTGGACGGGTACAAATAGTTTTCAGATTGTAAAAATTTGGGTCCGGGGGTTATTTTGTATTCCAAATCGAATGGCGCTTGCAGATTTTTGATATCTCTTTTAGTTTTCTCGGAACACCCAAAACTGAGGGGGGTCCTATACTTATTGGGCGCAGTGTATAACATTGGACATGGCCATCGGACATTCAGTCTTCTCCCAAAATTACGGTAATCTCAAAGTGGCTCATTTCATTGAAAAGTAACTCGATATCATCCACAACTGGTCCTCAACCAGTCAACTTCCTCTCGCTCTTTCTAAAACCACACTTCTCCATATTGGATCGGTTCCACGCCAATTATGCCGTCCTCCTCCGCCCTCGATCTCCGCCTTCTCACCGATCCTTCTCTAAAATTTGAACTCCATATAAGCCAGAAAGTAGCTTTATCTCTTCTCCGCTCCAAACAGATCCTTAAATCATTTAGATCCTCTAATCCTGCCTTCTATTCCGCACTCTTCAAAACCTACGTTCTTCCCATCCTAAAATACTGCTCCCCCCCACGCCTTCTCCGATACTTTTCCAAAATAACTCTTCAACGTTGAAATATCTCCTACTCATCCTACCAACACCGCCTTGACCGTCTCAACTTGCCCTCCATTACACACCGCCGCATCAAATTTCAATTGCTTCGCCAATCTCAACTCATTCATTGCTCCTTCTTCCTGCTCTCGTCGTCCCATGTTAATCCTATGTCTTAATCCTTATCAAAATTATTTCTTCTCTTGTACTGTTCCAATCTGGAACTCTATCGTGCAAAACACAAATGGTTTTCTGTGTGAAAGTAAATATGAATCTCTGATTGACGCGTCAATTTCCTTCATCTCAGGAGTGCAGGTTCATCCGCTTCTGACGCTTTAGAGTTTTGTCCCTAATTAATGATCAAGATGAGTACACCGCTGGTCAAGGGAAAAAAAGAGAAACTCCACAAAAAGTTCTACCGCACACGCTACATCTTTATAGATAAAGTGTCCATGTTCTCCAGGAAGCTCTGGACGTGAAAGAACCGTTTGGGGATCTTTCGGTGTTCCTATTTGGAAACCTCTATCAACTTGCTGGAAGGGGAGTTCCTGTGTCCTCGGGTACGTTGTCTGCAAAAGTAAAAGTAATCTTCAAATTTTCAGATCTCCCACCGACTCATATGGCTGTCTGGCGTGCCACTTCTCCAGCAAATACGGACACTCTCTGGAAGCTGTTCAGTGTGTACGAGTTCTAAAATATCAGAAGGAATCCAATCTCCGAGCAGAACGCGGCCTGGAGAAGACTTGAATTTCTCTTGAAATGAGTTTTTTGTTTAAATGGTCACATTAGAAGCAGCAAGGAAGTTCGCCGATGACGAATCAAGCGAAAAGACCACGGCGGTGAAGAGTGTAGCAGAATTTAGACGACTTGACACACTCATTTGAAATTTGAATAATATTTATTCCTCATCAGACAGTATTCCTCATGAATGCTTTTCTATTTTTTCCATTTCCGGTGATGTGCTCCCACTGATAAGGTCAACTATAAAATGAATGACGGCGATAAGCCAATTATTGTTCACTATTATGGAGCTGACTAAAAACAAACTCCTCATTCTCATTTGGCTTTGGTCACTATTTTGCATTGTACTTACTCTATCCATAACATTTGGGACTTCTTTTCAATCCGGATTTTTTGAAAGAGTTCCGAACTTTGTTGCTATTTCCCTATGGACTGCAATTCCAATGCTTCTGATTATTGATATGTTCATAGTCAAGGTTTTCTGGGTTCTGGTGAGTATTACTTTGGAATTATTTGATATGAAATAAGATAAACAGGCTACTGCTGGAAGTCCATGTTTGATATTATCTCTAATTGGAACATTTTCTCTTATTGGATCGAAAAATTGGAAACTAATTTTCCTGTATCTGTTCTTTGTGTTCAGTAAGTTCGAATCATTTCTTATCTACGACTACAAGAGAATTTCCAGGTCTGATTCCTCATCTCATTGTTGTATTTTATATGAGAAAGTACTTCAAGAGTTGTAAAAAAGTTGCTCGTCAGGACGCAGAGAACCAGAAGCTGGAAAACGAGAGGAAACAACAAGAATCGGAATTAGAACAAGAGAAATTGAGAAATCAAATGGAATTGGAGAACCGAGAAGAACAAGTCATGAGACTCCTGGAACGACAAGACGTTGAGAGAGGTCTACTTCAGGAGCAATTGGGTCGTGGGAAATCAAGAACAAAAGTAGATAACAGAGCGAGAAATGGGAAGAGATGATGATAACTAATAGTGCTTGTGTTTCTGTACATTTAACTTCTTCTGAAATTAAACTATTTTCATCTTCATTTACCTTTTCCGACGCTACATAAAGAAGTTTTATCGAAGCATTTTCCAACACAAGTTGGTGTAAATTGCTTCTTGAGAACTCGCGAACAGCGGTCAGAGCTTCACAGCCAATCTGAAAAAAATACCAAAAAACTACCAAAATCTATTCTAAAGGCGTGCACAAGCAGTTCGGTCTGTTCAGAAGAGGGATGCAAAACAGTTTTGCTGCGCTTTTCTTTTTCTTTTTCTTCGTCTTTGTCTCAGTCTTAGTTAAAGTCACCCAGTTCTATATCTTCTTCTCGCACTGCAATTTTGTCTAATTCAAACGCTTGTGTACGAGCGGGAACGCCGAAATATTTCGCGCAAGTATAATGCAAGTGCGCCCCACCGCACTCGCCCGCCATTTCTCTCTCATACTCGCACTTCTCGCCACTCTATCGCCGAACATACGTTCCGCGTGCGGTCTTCTCTCATTTTTTGTAATTTTCAGTGTTTTTCTCGATAATTTCTGTGTTTTCAGGTTGGAAACCGCATAAATGATCACTCAACGAGCACCATCGGAAAGGGAGAGGTACTTCAAATCGGTCCGTCGTTTGAAATCGTTTGTTGCCGCCGAAAACTGACATTTTCAGGCAAAATGTCGGTCTCCGCCTATCGTAGCCATTACAGTGAACACGAACCGTTTGCTCCCAGGTAAACTCGTATCGATTTCAGAGAAAATGTTTTTTTCCAGCACCTGCTCAAACGATCGGCGCCAGCGTCTCGATATTCTCGTCGCAAAACTCTACATTTCACGAAATTCGAAATAACCTGAAAGAACACGGACCGTATTTAAATTCCGGCGAAAACTATATATCTATTTGACCCGGAGGACTATTGTCGGACGATGTTAGCCGATGTCGGCTGCTAAGATCTTATTGAAGAGAAGCTACCTTTTTTGATTCTACTTACTTGTGACTCTGCAAGACACCCCGGGGTCCCGTAATCCTACTTTTCAGAGGGCTTTTCAGAGGATCAGAGGTGAGTTATCACTCTTGTGTAATACTTTCAAAATGGGGACAAAGGAGTGCTGATCAACTCCATAAAGATTACTATCGTCAAGAATTTTTTCGACTATCACTGGAAAAGAAGTTATTGAATCCCGAACATGAAGACTACTTTGTTCTAGTACGCGGAAGTGAGAGGGCTGACCTACTCTTCCGTCTTACTTTCTCACCGTCTCTCAGCGACTGGCCACGACTACCAATTTGCCAGAACTGAGAGTAAAAGAACCGGAAATGGAAGAGTTATTCATTATTTTTTATACCGGCCAGTGATAGAACTTCTAGCAGATTTTTGTAAGTTATCCCTTCAACAAACCCGGTTAATTATTTGCTTTCGGGCGGGAGCAGCAGAAAGGATTGGAAGGCTTAACTCGAGTGATAATCGTCGGGACATTGTCTGATTTAGAAAGAACATGCGCATTGCACGGTTTGTCATTATAACTTCCAGGAAAAGTTGCAAGAAAACGTATGTTTCAGGACGATGCTGCTGAGACACAAGTAATAGTGCTTGTCGATGGAGATTATTCATGTGTGTTCGGACAAAAGAGTCAGTCGGAAATATGGACGATAATGAGGTAGGCCAGGAGTACAAGTTGTTCTGACGGAAACACAATGTATTACAGAGTGGTACCGAAGTATTATTTCGACGAACAGCACAATCGTCAGCTAGAGTAATAAGCCGGAATTGGGAGGATTATCAATAATTCTAGGTAATTTTCAAACTCAGAAAACCAAGAAAACTATCAGTTTCAGGCAGAAACAACGGTGTTCAATGGTTTTTATTTTTAAGGTCAACGAAAAACGGGACGGAGCTACGGGAAACAAATTGCAGGTGGGGTTTGGAAATATTTTCTTCTTCCGTCTTACTGTAATTATATGAAGAAGGCCCAAGTGGGAGTAAATGAAAATAATATGCAATATTTACGGTAGGAAACATTCAGATTGAATCATTACTTTAGAGCTTAACTTTTCCGGTACATGAAAGACAAATCACGTCAGGCTTAGAAGGACGATAACCTGTTTGTTCGCACAGAAGAGTCAGTCGGAAATATGGTCGACAATGAGGTAGGCTTAAGGCTGCAACTGTTTCAACGGAAACACCCTTTATTACAGAGAAGCATCGAAGGATTTATTTGACTCAAGGCGCTATCGTCCGAAATATGTCAAATGTTGACAGCTGCGATTATCTAAATTATTAGGAGCAACCAAAGACATCACGGATAGTTTTATTTAATTCAGTATAGCCCGCGAAAAACGCCCCGGGCCGCGCAATTATTCCGTTCAGGCGCTATTTTTCAACAGATAATGTTAGAGAAATTATGACTTTGTGAAGAACTGTGAAACTTTGATGCGAGGAAGACAAAATTATGATACGAAGAGTGAGAATTTCTTTCTCGGGCCGCCTAAGCAAACCAAAAACGGAAGAACTCGATGGATATGGTTGAATGGAAGATTTGACTAGGAAGACACTTGTCGGATGATTTTAGGAGATGTCGGTTGCTAAGATATTATTGAAGAGGGGCTACCAGCTACCCCTTTTTATTCTACTACTCTCGTGACCCTGAAAAACCCCGGGGACCAGTAATCCTGCTTTTCAGAGGTTACTATCAGAGGTAAGTTATCCATTTTGTATAAGCTTTCCGACATGGAGAAGAGAGGACCGCTGAGAAAAGTAATGAAGTTGCCTATCGAAAAAAAACCGATTGGATTTTGGCTTAAACCGATGGCATCGAGTTTGTGATAAGAAGTAACTATGTGTTGTTGAATACAATCGCGTGTGTTAGTTGGTTCGCTTCGAGCAAAATGAAAGACTCGGCTAGGTGAGAGATACTCCCGTTGCGAGTATTTATTCGACGATATTAACATTGCAGAATTCGATTACGGGACTATTCATGTCTATTAGTGTGAAGGACATGATTCAGAAAGATCTGCGAGGAACCAGACACGGATTGTTATTCAAACTCGCTGGCCCGTTTCTATCTGAATGGGACGTGCCCAGACAAAGATTATGCTGGCCCGCCCGGCCCAGCAAAATGCAGACAGTTCTATCTTCATAACATGACTAGAGTTACACTCGGACAGCGACAAACAAAATCAACAGAAAGAAGAACAAGAGCGGTGCTGTTCATGACTGTCAAAGACTTCTGGACGGCACATTAGCGGTGACAATTCTCTGGCTCCGGAACCGTTTCTATGATGTATATTTCAGAGCAGGACGACAGAAGTTCACATTGTGTTGTGATCGGGAAGAACGCAATAAATAAAACTCAACGGAGTTCATGTTACTCTACGTTTCAAGCGACTGGCCACGTCTACCAATTTGCCAGAACCGAGAGTAAAAGGGCCGGAAATGGAAGAGTTATCCATTATTTTTTATACCGGCCAGGGATGGAACTTCTAGCAGATTATTGTAAGTTATCCCTTCAACAAACCCGGTTAACTATTTGCTTTCAGGCGGGAGCAGCAGAAAGGATTGGAAGGCTTAACTCGAGTGATAATCGTCGGGACATTGTCGGATATAGAAAGAACATGCGCATTGCACGGTTTGTCATTATAATTTCAGGAAACGTTGCAAGAAAACGTATGTTTCAGGACGATACTGCCGAGACACAAGTAATAGTGCTTGTCGATGGAGATTATTCATGTGTGTTCGGACAAAAGAGTCAGTCGGAAATATGGACGATAATGAGGTAGGCCAGGAGTACAAGTTGTTCTGACGGAAACACAATGTATTACAGAGTGGTACCGAAGTATTATTTCGACGAACAGCACAATCGTCAGCACGGTGCCAAACTTTGAGGGTTACGAAGAGCGTATTAATGGGAGCAACCGACAATATCAAATACTCTTCATTTTATTGCATATTCTTCTGTTGCCCCCGCTAAAAAAATGGGGTTCTGTTATCCTTCCTTTCAGGTTCAGTTTTTAGACGACGATTTTTACCGATTTGACAGAAAATAGAGTAATAAGCCGCAATTGGTAAGATTATCAATGATTCTAGGTAATTTTCAAACTCAGAAAACCAAGAAAACTATCAGTTTCAGGCAGAAACAACGGTGTTCAATGGTTTTTACTTTGAAGGTCAACGAAAAACGGAACGGAACTACAGGTAACAAATTGCAGGTGGGGCTTGGAAATATTAGAATGAACAAAAGTGTCATGGCAATGAATTTAGAAGTTTTGTTTTCGGGGAGGAGGCAAAGCTGTTTTGCCGGTTCAGAACAGAGAGCTGTCTGTCGATCTTCAGACTGGAGTGCAACTCGCTCCAGTGCTCTTCTCCAAGCAATCCTCGATAAAGGAGACACGGTGACTGGATATCGCAAATGACGTAAACCACAAAATAATCGAATATGCCGGCGATATCGACGGCTCTGAAGGTTTAGTGTTCGAAGAACGGATGGATTCTTGCCACAGTCAGTCACGCACACGGCCCTTGAGATAAAAAAAAAAGATACGTTTCAGGATGTCAATTCCGCTAACTTGCCGAGACACGGACAGGCTTCATTCAATTCGAACATTCCACTGAGACTGTCGGCTAATGAAAGAACATGCGCATTGCACGGTTTGTCATTATAATTTCAGGAAACGTTGCAAGAAAACGTATGTTTCAGGACGATGCTGCCGAGACACAAGTAATAGTGCTTGTCGATGGAGATTATTCATGTGTGTTCGGACAAAAGAGTCAGTCGGAAATATGGACGATAATGAGGTAGGCCAGGAGTACAAGTTGTTCTGACGGAAACACAATGTATTACAGAGTGCTACCGAAGTATTATTTCGACGAACAGCACAATCGGAAGCACGGTGCCAAACTTTGAGGGTTGCGAAGAGCGTATTGATGAGGAGCAACCGACAATATCAAATAATCTTCATTTTACTGCATTTTAATTATATTCTTCTGTTGCCCCCGCTAAAAAAATGGGGTTCTGTTATCCTTCCTTTCAGGTTCAGTTTTTAGACGACGATTTTTACCGATTTGACAGAAACTAAGATTATCAATGATTCTAGGTAACTCGGAAGTGAGAGGGCTAACCTATTCTTCCGTCTCACTAATTATATGAAGAAGGCCCAAGTGGGAGCAAATGAAAATAATATGCGATATTTACGGTACGAAACATTCAGATTGAATCATTACTTCAGAGCTCAACTTTTCCAGTACATGAAAGACAAATCACGTCAGGCTTAGAAGGACGATAACCTGTCTGTTCGTACAGAAGAGTCAGTCGGAAATGTGGTCCACATTGAGGTAGGCTGAAGGCTGCAACTGTTTTGACGGAAACACTTATTTATTACAGAGAGGCATCGAAGGATTCATTTGACTCAAGGCGCTATCGTCCGAAATATGTCAAATGTTGACGGCTGCGATTATCTAAATTATTAAGAGCAACCAAAGACATCACGGATAGTTTTATTTAATTCATTATAGCCCGCAAACGCCCCGGGGCTGCGCAATTATTCGGTTCAGGGTCTTTCAACAGATGATCGTTAAGCAACTATGATTTTTGTGAAGGACAACGAAACTTGATGCGAGAAAGGAAAAATAATGATACGAAGAGTGAGCATTTCTCGTTGCTAGACAAATGCAGCAGCAGATTACAAGGTACGTTTCGCAAAATGTCTATCGCAGCCAAAGACGGAATATATGGTTGGATGGAAGAATTAGTCAATTGTGAACTAATTCGTGTACATATGCTCTTTCAACATATCCAGAAGGTTCCAAGGTACGTTTCTCGGGTCGCCTAAGCAAACCAAAAACGGAAGAACTCGATGAATATGGTTGAACGGAAGAAGGTTTGTTATAAATAAAGGAAAAAAACAGAAAACATGAAGAAGCATCTCCGGTGAGTATGGCTACTGTTGTCAGTCATTGTTTCAGGCAGGATAAAAAATAATTCCGACATGACACACATATAGATTTATTTGACTTGGAAGACACTTGTCGGATCATTTTAGGAGATGTCGGTTGCTAAGATATTATTGAAGAGGGGCTACCAGCTACCCCTTTTGATTCTACTATTCTCGTGACCCTGCAAAAACCCCGGTGACCAGTAATCCTGCTTTTCAGATATTACTATCAGAGGTAAGCTATCTATTTTGTATAATATTTTCGAAATGGAGAGGAGAGGACCGCGAAAAAAAAAAATAGAAAACTAATGAAGTTGCCTATCGAAAAAAACTGATTGGATTTTGGTTGAAACCGATGGCATCGAGTTTCGGATAAGAAGTAACTATGTGTTGTTGAATACAATCGCGTGTGTTATATGGTTCGCTTCGAGCAAAATGAAAGATTCGGCTAGGTGAGAGATACTCCCGTTGCGAGTATTTATTCGACAATAGTAACATTGCAGAATTAGATTACGGGACTATTCGTGTCTATTAGTTCGATGGGCAGCTGTCAGAGGATTCAAAAAAATCTGCGAGGAACCAGACACGGTATGAAATGATGGCTTCGGCAAACGATGAATCGTCCCCTCCTTCTCGTCCTCCTGGTTTCTACGCCGTGTGCTTGAGGTACAATGCTGTTCCCGTACGATTATTTTGTTGCCCAAAGTCACCGTAAAAGCGTGAAGGCATTTGAAATTCAGTGTTATTTTACTACTTGTATGCACTAAAGCCTGTATATACTGAAAAATAGTGGACAGGGTATTGATAAGAGATTTCAGACGACTTTAACGGAACATACCGCTATATTCGATCGGAAGGATCTACTTGTTCAAGTCGCTTACACAGATGTGAGTGTCCCTTTCCGGTAGGTCATTTGTTACGTGTGTTGTTGCCCAAATTTCACCGTAAAAGCGTGATGGCATTTTGAAGTTTATGGTTTTTTTTTACTGCTTATACATATATGCTGAATGTGTGTTTGCATGTCTGTGGGCCTTTTCTTCTACTCCCAATGGACCAATAACAGTTCCTGTTTGAGGAATAATGCAACCAATCACTAAAGCATTGGCAGAATCTTAATGGTTTGCATCGGCATTTTTGTTCTTTTCAGCACGTTTCCACAGCCGGCGCCATCCAACTCAAAGTGTTGCAAATGGGCGCGTGTCACCTTTTTGAATGATGCCGGAGAAGACGTGGTTGCTTCTGACTGTTTGGCTGTGTGTCGTCTTGTCCATATGTGGTTCTAGTTCAAACCTCTAAGAAGTTCCAGGTATGGAAAACAATTGTTTTAAAAGTGACCAAGATAAATTCGCAGCTTTTATAGGTTCTAATCGATCTATTACCACGCGGATGATGAGAAGACGAATGCAGTTTAAAGTTGGAAGTACGCCGAATTCTGGGGTTGGCCAGAATTCACCGTAAAAGCGTGACGGCCTTTTACGTTTAGATTATCTGTTTGCTCTACTGTCTTTGCCATGGTCGTGGTCGAGTTTTCTTTTGCAGAAGGCATCTTTGCCATTGGCTACGGTTGTCAGTCATTGTTCAGTCAGATTACATTTTTGTAAGTTATCCCTTCATTTTGTTGTGATCGGGAAGAACGCAATAAATAAAACTCAACGGAGTTCATGTTACTCTACGTTTCAAGCGACTGGCCACGTCTACCAATTTGCCCGAACCAAGAGTAAAAGAGACGGAAATGGAAGTGTTATCCATTATTTTTTATACCGGCCAGTGATGGAACTTCTAGCAGATTTTTGTTAGTAATCCCTTCAACAAAACCGGTTAACTATTTGCTTTCAGGCGGGAATAATGTCGGAGAGAGGATGAGAAAGAGCCCGACTTCTTGCATAGCAATAATGTCGGAGAGAGGATGAGAAAGAGCCCGACTTCTTGCATAGCAATAATGTCGGAGAGAGGATGAGAAAGAGCCCGACTTCTTGCATAGCCGTAATGTCGGAGAGAGGATGAGAAAGAGCCCGACTTCTTGCATAGCAATAATGTCGGAGAGAGGATGATGGGTAGAAATGAAAAAAACGAGACGGCAATAGATAAAATGACTACTTCTGCCTTTATATACCCCTGTGGGCGTGGCTACTGATTGTAGTTAGTGGACGTGGCCCCTGCACCTGGCTTTTCCTTCTTCCTGTTGTGGGCCTGGTATACTTTCCCATCAGACTCCTTTGTCGGCGTTCTTATCACTAATCTCCGCCTTTAATTAAGACCGCAGGTGTGGGAATGTGAGCTTCAAGCAGATTTGCGGCAAGCTTCAAGCAAGCAGACTTAATTACAGACGGAGATTAGTGATAAGAAAGCCGACATAGGACTCCGATCGTCCGCGTGTAGTTTGAAGCTAAACAGCTTGAACCCACGTACACCAAATGTTCCAAGTAAGGTTTATTCTTTTCCAACCAAAAAAATTTGTTTCAACAAAAATTGGAAAAACACTGAAGTACATAAATTGCTGGTGAATACGATCAGTTTTGTTTTTTGCAGTGCACAAAAAGAACTTGAATGTAAACGTCGGAGCGTAGATGTACAGAAGAGTTGAAAAACCAAAATTTGTGGAACCAACTAGAAAAATTAGACTATGGGTGAGGTGAATGTGTAAATATACAGAGATGTCGGAGAATCGTGTGCACATCAAATCAAAATAGTTTTTGAGAGTTACAGCGTCCGATTCGAAAAAATAAAGGCGTTTGGGTAGATACATAGACAACTGGCATGTTAGGTTCTCCAAAGATTCATCACATTTTTGACGGTGGTGCATGCGGAGGCTACGCTGCTTTTGGCCTTCTCGAATGTATCCGTCAGAGCTGACATGAGACCTAAAGCACGCATAATTACTTTATAGCTTCTCACAATTATCACTCTCTATTGGATTATCTGATCTGGAAATAGATGGAAATTTGGTCAGAAAGTTCGAACTATGTTTTCGCAAAAACTCGGTGTTTTCCGTCTCGCTCCGCTATAGACCACAAGACACCAGCCAGTTTAAACTTAAAACTTTTGAGGGTGTGAAGAGAAATCAATTTCACCGGTTCTACAGTAATCCCTCACCTTCATCCTCCTCCGCGTTCAAAGTCTCCAGAGCGACTTGCTCCGGAGTCTTGCGATTTCCAGTAATACGGCCAGCGATCTCCTCTTGAGGACCATCTTGCTTCTTCTTGAGATTGTACTGAAACAAAAACAGTATTTTCTGGTGGTCCCCACCACAACGGCATACCTTTTCACGAATATGCTGTCTGAGACGCTCACGATCAGCCTCCATTTTGCGATGTTTGTCTTTGCGACGTTTTTCTTGCTCCTGACGGGCGGCAGTGACCTTCAAAAAGTGACAATTAAAAATAATCCGGAACAACTTCTTGAAGACAAAAGTCTGGCCAACTAACAAAGAGAAGGAATGATGTGAGCTTGGGACTTGGAAAACCGATCGCCCTCCCATTTTTCTTGTAATTTCTTATTCATATGAACTCAAGAAGACAAGACAAGTGTGTGGGGTCAGAACAGAAAAAGAAGAAAGGAAAGAGCAAGTTTGTGTATGCGTGGGTGTAATTTGAAACGAGTTTTGGTCTGGCCCAGTCAGAATAATTGTTTATGAACTGAACTGCGGGTGGAAATTTTATCTTGGCAACATTTTGCAATGAAGCGGGAGAAGGAAAAGGGGTATGTCTTTTGTCGGAATGAATTATGAACATGCGATTGATTTACGGAGGTTTTTTTCATTTTTGTTTAGATTTACGACATTTCTGCTAATTTGAATTAGACTTGAGAGCATTGCTTACTAAAATTCTGTTGATGAACTTCTCAAGCACAAAAACTTGATAAAAAGAGGAATAGGACAAGTTCTTTTTCACTGGTGGGTGTCTAAAAACAAAAAAATGCTCGAAAGTAGTGCACTTTTCATGTCTGAGGCTTTCAAAATGGGAAAATGGAAATGGAAATGGAAGCGGAGTAAGTGGCCGCGTGACAAGCCAAGTGCTGTCCCGAACTCAATTACACTTTCAAACGGAAACGTTCTCGTGAGAACTAAAAACTAAAACCTTTCTTGTCTCCGCCAACAGCAAATTTACATACGTTTTCTCCGTTAAAAAATTAGGAAAAATTTAGAGAAAAATTACGTAATCTGCAACAAAAATAGGCTGAACATGTAGATATTTCAAGCCGTCGCTAATCCGCAAGTTGTTTATACCGGAAGCTATGCACGAGTGACTGCGAATCGGCGAGCTCAAAACTCAAACTTACATCGGGGTCCTCCATTTGAGGCGGCTCCGATTGTGTGTTAGTCAGACTGTCCAGTCCTGAAACATGCACATTTTATGCGAAATTTTAGAACAAAGCAAAATGTTGTCTGTACATCGCCCAAAAAAAAACCAAACATCAGTTCCAAACATACCCCAACCAATATCAGTGAACATTTTTGTCTCAAAATTGAGTAGCTTTCTGGCAGCGCATGGTAAAATATAAATAGTATAATGGTGATTGTGTTTTGACAAGCGCAAGTCTATTCTAGAAAACACGACACTGGTTGGCGTATGTATGTATTCACATTAAAAATGGATACGTTTCGTGTCAAATAAACTAGTAGAATGACTAAATATGGCCTTTTTTGTGTTTTTCTGTGCAACAACTCTGCTGGCAAACCTTTACTAACAAAGCCTGAAAATTTGAAAGTGCGAATAGTTAGAGCTAGGCGTGTTGTCGAAGAGTCAATGACAGAAAAGTGGATAAAATGAGAAGGTGAGGTTTGAACCAAGTCAGATTATCCTGGATTTTTAGACTTGTAAGATTTCGAGTACGTAATCCCGAAGATCGGAAAGATCAATTACGAATGAATCAAGGATTAATCAATTCAGAATGTGTCTGAAGGCCCGACTTTTCCGGTTTAAAATAAACAATTTTTTAAAGATCTGATCATATATTAGTAACAAGCCTGCTCCCCGGCTAACACCGAGTTTCAGGCTTGCTCGTTCTCTCTTTCTGCTGCTCTCAGCGGACATACAAAAAGACAGACAGACAGACGCCTCTTGTGTTGAAGATCGTTCAGTAGAAAACAGAAGAAAAAATTTGTTATCATTTTTTGGAACTCACTACTCGTTTTGCCAAGACTGCGAGAAATCCACCACAATTTGGCGGTCATCTTTTGTGCTCCAAAAAAGAGCAAAATTAGAATCGAAAAAGCAATAAATCAGATGACGTTGCGGGGGCGATGTTCAATTGCACATCCTGAGACAACGACCACGTTTATTTGGGCCTCCCTCGTGCTCATTTTCTTTTGTTTGATTTGAGATGGCAAATGGCTCGAGTGTTACGAAACGATGACAAGACGACGAGGGAAAACAAGGCGAAAATGCGTGAATCGGAAAGTTTATTGCGATTTTATTGCCTCTGCACCTACACATATGCGCTATCAGTTACCGAGCTCATAGGGCGTCCAAATTTTCACAAAATTTCTGCTTACTTGCTCAGCATCCAAAAATTTGAACAAAATTGAAAGTGTTTGTAAGATGGAGATGTAAAAATCTGAACATTTTCGTCAGAAATGTGAAAAAACAAAAGCAAGTTACCGTATGCCGAGCACAATGAGAGTTCTGACTTCATAACCATAAAATAATGTAGGAGAAATGTAGTTCAGATCTTATTTTTCGTACTTTCACTTTGAATTTCTGTGAGAGAGCCCAATACAATTCCCCTACCACCATTCGCAGAAATACGATGTTTTCAGAACCGAGAACCACCTTTCACCGTAAGACTAGGAAGCAGATAACTGTTTTTTCTTCTAATATTTGGTCAAAGAAGTTTTGGTCAAAACCCAAGGGCCGACTGACGCGTTCGAAATCGAGCGATAGATCGCATCGGGCCGCCAGACCAGCAAACCGTTTGAGCCGGTCCCTATAAAAATCAGCAAAATGTTTTGTTGGATATCACCCGTGGTTAAAAAAACAAAATTCTTCTCCTGAAGCAGAGCATTCACACAGCCATGTTCTACGCCTCCGAGTCATGGAAAACGACTAGCCATCACGTGCAGAAAACTCAGAGGAAGGTAGACGCTATCTCCGAAGCCGCCGGAATAACTGACTGGAAACTCGACTGCAGCAGATTTCTCCTCCAGAAGAAACTCAGATGGGCGGGAAACATGGCACGGAGAGACAATGAACGATGATCCAAAGTCGCCGCCGAATGGCAAACGAGAAATGGAGAGAAGAGCCGAGGACGGATGAAGAAACGTTAGTCGGACGACGTGCGCGATGCTCTGAAGGTACACATCGACGAGTTGGGCCAGGAAGGTGATCCCAGGGAGGTAAAGAGGCGGAAACCTGGTTCCGAAAGTCACGTGGTCCTCCTACGCCCGAGATCGTCCAAAATCGATCAACTTTATCCGCAGCGTGTGAAAATTTCACATCGCTTGAACCAACGGACTCCAAGTAGGTATTTCAAGTAAGTATTGACCAATCAAATAAAGCAGGTACCTATATTTCAGTGTTTTACAAGAAAGAGTGCAGGATAGGTGAGCATCCGTGTGCAGAAAAGGAAACGTACAACTTGGGCGCCGAACACTTACCAGTACGGCGATCCGACTGGGGACAGAATTTTGGAGGCGGAATCTTCGACTCCTTCTTTGTCTTTTTCGAGCCGAACACCATTTTTGTTGCAGGAAAGTGGTTTTTTCCCGAAGTAAGCTGTGAGAAAAGTGTTTTAGAAAGAAAATTAGGCGAATAACTGTGATCATGAGATGCAGAGAAGGGCTAATACAATAGAGATGTCAGAAATACGCACGAAATCTTTATACGCATTACATTTGCTCATCACTTTAACCTATGTAACCACAACGACAAATGCTGTGAGGAAAACGTGACAATGAATGTCATGGGGGAGGATGGGCGGGGGTTTTTTTTAACTGTAATTGCTACATGACGCCATTTATAATTTGAAAATTGAAATTGGACTTTTTATGAGCTAAATCCCATTATGTTTTGCTTTTGAACAACACAAGAAACACACTTTTCTCCGCTTTTCGAAAAGAGCGAAGAAGAGGGTCGACCTGCCGATTTTCGGATATAAAATTTCGGTATAAAACTGAACGGAGAAGGGTTTATGGGTTTTTGTTGAAGAAATAAATAGGGAAAGGCTCTTTGAGAAATCGAAAACAAAAATTATGGAATGAAACTTTGAGAACTGTGCGAAAATAGATGAGCAAACAATAGAGCTTCTTCGTTTTTCTGAGTTATTGGAAAAAAGAAAGGGTCTTGAAAAGAGAAGAAGAACTAGAGAAAAACTAATTTGTACAAAGTGTCAAACGTACAAAATCGATGTTTATACAAAACATTCATGATTCAACAGAAAACACCTCTTTTTTTACTGTTTTAATTAAGGAACCAAAATCAGCAAAACGATTTTTGAAAGTTGAAAATTTTGCAATAGTTGTAACTACTGGTTACACAAAACTTCCAAGAGAAAATAGCTTTCCACTTTTTTTCTATGGTAACATCACTTTTTAATGGGAAAACATGCGTGTACGCCAATTTCTTGAAAGTTTTTCTTGAGACATTTGCGAGATTTTCCAAGTTCACAAACTTACTGTTCCAAAAATATGGATACAATTGATTGCCCAGCAGGTAAATTGAAGAATCGGGATGTTTTAGAAACCACCAGGGCTGGGCTAATTTTGGAGGTTTTTGAGGCCTGGACGGACTTTTGGCCCTCTTGCAATTATCCGATCGGGTACAGACTTTGTAGGCGTGTTCGGTCCGAGTTTCAGACCGATCGGATTATCCGGTCTCGAAATATAGTGATTTGAGGCCTGGAAGGCCGTGTTTTTGCGGATATTGCGTTCTTTTTGGCTTCTAGTCCACATATCTCGTGCCCAGATAATCGGATATTTATCGATAATGTATACTAAAGATAACCATCTAAAGCCAAGTGCCACATGTCAGTTTCTGTACTTTCTCTTCCAATTTCGTGTCGGTTCCAATTTTCAGTGTTGCTACCACCCGCCTCTCCAGTGTTTAAGGTCATATTTGTTTGCTCAGCACCGGTGTTAACATCAACAGTCGTGGCTGTCCGTCGTACCTGCAGCATCTCTGAATCATCGCGAAACCCTTCAACACTTTTGTTAGCATTTTCTCCAGAAGAAAATCAAAGGAAAGGAGGCTCTGTGTTGTGGGAAAGTGAGTGCGCCAAGATTTGAAATGAGCTACAAGTGGTTGGGAAGAGCCGGGGCAAGAGGATCAATTTTCTTCTAATGGATAACAAACAGTTAGTTGATGAGTGTGAAAATCCTCCCCACGAGATGACACTTCTCAAATATCCGCTTCCTTTCAAAGTGAAAACTTTTTGAAATCAGTCTCCCAGTGCCAGAATGCAATCCTCCACTGTACCCCATGAAAATCTGCTTCCCACTCAGCCGCCAGTTGTGCCGACAGAATTCAAATCACCTTTGACGTCACGTTTGAACGTATTTGAAGGCTTTGACCCATCATTTTCTGAACTTTCCAACCCGTACCACCAACCGGTTTTGCCGTTGAGAGACAGTATTTTGGGTTCACATGCTGGCGGGTACTATAGTAAGTTTTTGGTTTTTTGATCAAGGCTAGGAAATATGAAATGTGGCATTTCAAAGAACAGCTGGAAAGCATTTTTTTCAAAATGATAAACTGCGACACTTTCAGATGGAAATTCACAACCTCCACGACAATACGGTCAAATTCAGGGACATGAGACAATCAACTTGAGATCTCAACAGCAAAAACGAAAGCCAAGAGTCTTATTCACCCAACATCAGGTTTGCCCTTTCAATTCCTCAGCCTTCCCCTTTTTCGAAAATTTGAATATCAATTTTCAAGCCATTATTCATGCGATCTTTCCAATTTCTTCGTTTTTTGCAGGTCAACGAATTGGAGGAACGCTTCAAAAAGCAGCGTTATGTCACGGCTAGTGAGCGAGAAGAATTGGCGCAGAACCTGGGTCTCACCGCCACACAAGTATGTCTCGCGAAAGTGTAATCCGGAAATGAGGGTCAAACTTTGAGAAAACATGGCATGCTAGGCACGGTTTTAGAAGGTCTCATTATTTTGTCAAAGTCTTACAAGATACGTGCGAATTTTCATAATATTCACTGAAAATATTGCACTTTTTAATATCCGTAATGTTTCAAGGTGAAAATCTGGTTTCAAAACCGTCGTTACAAGTGCAAACGGCTGGCTCAAGATCGGACACTTCAATTGTCTCAAATTCCATTCAACCCGGTACAAATTTTGTTTTCAAAAAGCTTCAAAGTAAATAGATTTTTTAGATGTTTGCTTCTGCCCTTCCATTTGGTATCAATTGTTTTGGTGGCGCTTCTTCATCGTCTTCAGCCTCAAACCTTTAATTTTATTGGAGATAGCATTCATTTAGCATCTAAACTATCAATAAAAACGTACTCTTCAAAAAACCAATCCCTGAATACACAAACCAAACAATTCTGCCCTTCCGCCCTTTCTTTATTTCCTGAAACCGAAAGTTTTCACTAATATTCATAGAACCGGCCGCTGAATATTTTTTTCCACCTCCCTCTTCCCCTTTCCTGTGTCTGTCCAGTCAAATGTCATTCGTTCACACCTGTACATTCATTCTCTTCAGAATCACTGTGTTTCTTGTGCGGTTGAATACACTTGAACTTTTTTGTCATTGAGAAAAACTTTTCAACGAGGAATTAGCGTAACTAGCCGAGAAAAGAAAAGAAGGGGTTGACCGATTTACAATTGCGAGAATCACTTGACGTTTTGTTGCTTTTTTTGGAGTGGACAAAACTGAGAAGTGTGCTACTATGTGTACTTCAACTTTTTTTAAATGTTGAATTGAATTAGTGTTTATTCGCGCAATATATAGTCAGTCGGATCAGTAATAAGGAAAACAGGCAAATGAACGATAAAATGATCAATTGGACCGGCCGGTAGATCAAAAAGAGGGGAAGAGGAGGCTTGTTGAGAAAAATTATCCATTTTTTCAAGTCATGTAAATGTAAATGAAACAGATGTAGACTGAAAAATCGTCGAGCACTGACGTGCCGCTCACTAGTAAAATTGTTCACATTGATAATGACGGCCCGACTTTTTCCCTAGGATCTAGTTTGATAAGTTCAAAAAATCAAAGCTTTATTTACAAGTCATCCCTGCCTATTCGAATACTGAAGTCTCCTACGTTTTATGACTTTAGAAAGATAAAACATCAAGAAATCGAAACTGACTTTTCAGTCTTCCTTTTGTACAAACACACAGTACTTCTTCTACTAAAGTGAAGAAAACAGAACATTTTGAAGGTTGCGGTTAGACCAAAGTGTGCTAATCTTGAAATATGCAGAACTCAATGCCCCTTATCAGCACGCCTGTTTCTTTGTTCACCGTCTTACCAAACCTTACCCGCCCAAGATGACATTTAATTTTTCCGGATCATCATCATTGTTCTCCTTCTTCTCTTCCACACTCAATTTTTACAGAAAAATGCAAAATCTCCCGTGGGGACTTATAATATTCAGTGGATGTGTGATAGTGTACGTGGTGTTTCTGGGAGTCGCTACCTATTCCTCATCTATCGCCCCTGAAGCATCGTCATACGGTGTTTATCAAGCACTTGTGGGAAATGTCCCGAAAAAGTTTGAGAATGATAGCAGTTTCTTTACTGAAAATAATGGAGATGAAGACTCGTGGAATAGGTGTGCGCTCCCAAAATACGATGTGTGGGATGACGAGTTGATGCCAGTGAGTTATCATTTTTCAATTCATTTATCATCTCTGTGGTAATTGTTTTTTAAAAATCCTAATTTTTAGTACCTGAAACCCGACGCGGATCCGATGCAGAACTGTGACAGGTCGTTCAAGCCGCTGACAAAATTTGAGAATTCTTCTTGGAGTATTGTGAAAACGAATCCATCTTTGAAGTGTAAAGCTAGGTATGTCCAAATTTCCTAGTACATAATTTTAAAGTTTTTCACCCGAGACACCAAATTGTTTGAAACCCAGTGTAATTTCTTGAATTTCTTTTTTTCCAGATGTCACAGCAGACGATCAGATCGAAAGAACGAAATAAGCAATTGGACGTTCACACCTGGGCCAGTTTACTGTGAATTCCTGGAAACTGTGTGTTCAGAACATGACAAAGATGTTTATGGCTATTTACATTCTCAAGTAATTCCGCAGTGAGTTGTGTCTAAGAAAAGACTCTTTCCGAGACATTATTGATTTTCTCAGGTCAAAACGACAACCGAAAGTCGATACGAGCGGTTTGAAACAGTTTGATGTGTTTGTGATTCTTCTTGATTCACTGTCGTATTCACAGGCAAGAAGGTAGGCGAGAAGAGCAGTTTGTGGATATCAAAAATCTCATTCTTCCACTTCAATTTTTCAATTCACACGTGATACCTCTTCATTTCCAATCCAAACTACTTCAGATCTCTCCCACGGACGCTATCATATTTCACAAATCATATGGATGGCGTCTTATTTCCGTACATGAATAAACTCGGAGATAACAGTCGGCCCAATGGAATTCCACTCTGGTTTGGTAAGGTTTTCACTGATAATTTCAGAATAAATATGTATGACGTTATTCTTCAGGAAAATCACTGGAAAAAGTAGATAAAACCCTTTTTGATGATGGAGTCACTCCTGCCGATTGGTCGTTTGGTTATTTCTGCAATACCTTCAAGGATAATGAGACTTCTCTGTTCAGCGAATTTCAGGATTATGGATATAAAGTAATTTTCAATAGAAATGTGATGATTACGAACTACTTTTTTTGCAGACGTTGTTAGCAGAAGACTGGGCGGAAGGGACTATGAATTGGCCGAGCTGTGTTGGTTTTGACAAGCCTCCCATAGACCATTTTATGAGGTAATAATAAAATTCGATTTGATTTTATTTTGATCAAACGAAATCGTTTTTGTTGACAGACCATTCCAAAATGCATACGAGCGCAAGAATCAAGGCGCGAGTATCACACAACAGCATTTGAAGAAGGGACATTTGTGCAGAGAGACCCATCACACACTTTTGGATTACATGGGACAGTTCACTGATGCCTATCCCGGTGATTTTATGGGTTGCTCGTCGAAAATGTAGATTTTTGTTTCAGATCAACCCAAATTCGGCTGGGTTTGGGCTATTGACTTGGGTCACAACACGGAAAATGGGTTTGCGCATGCTGATAAAGATTTCCATAAGTACTTTTTGGACCACAGGAAACAGGTTTGCCATTCTTATTTGAAATAATTTAAGGACTCATTCTATGAAAGAATTCAAGTACTTTGGTTTTCTTTTCAATTCTAAAATTTCAATGTTTAGTTGGACAACTCCTTCGTGTTCATTCTCGGAGATCACGGACTCCGCTTTGGCTCTATCCGTGAAACTTTCGTCGGAGCCCTCGATGTGAATAATCCATTCACGGCGGTCTCGATCCCAAAATCTCTACGACGATCTACAAATATTTTGGAGATTATGGCAGAAAATGCCAAGAATATCCAAAGTCACTATGACACAAGAGCTACAATTTTGGATATAATGAAGGTACACTTTGGTCACTCAAATTTTAATCCGCACCTCCGCACTTCGATTAGAAATCACGCCTCAAATGTAAATAAATTTATCATGATCATACGGGTTTTTATCAACTATGTATACTTAAACTGTAGTTTGGACTTGGAATTTCGCTCTGATTTTTGTCTTATTCGATGAGAATATTTTGATAAGAAATGGGGATTTATTAGAAACGTTTTCAGTACCAAGCAGCCAACAACTTCACGGAAACCGAACCAAGACCGATTCCAGGAGAGAAAGGGCATTCCTACATAAGGAAACAGCCAAGTGAGCTGAGAAATTGCCGGAATATGCCGATTCCATTGGAGTATTGCATTTGTCAATTCAACAAGACCACTCTTCCGACGTGAGTTCTATTATGAATCAATTTCTCGCCTGATTTTTGGCTATTGATCATCGAAAATATCATACATCAATCATTTCCTATCAGTGACACCAAATTGGCTCGTTCGATCGGAGTATCACTAGCAGACACCGTCAATACGCAAATAACCGGCGGAAATTTCACTGATAAGTGTGTCCAAATGGAATTTGAAAAGGTAAGGGGCCTATTCGCAAGAATCAATTGAATGATTGATGATTGACAGACGCTATCTCTCAAAATGTTCGATCATCCATTCCATGGCGCCACTTTGTATGTTGTCTCTGCCGAAATGAAGGCGCCAAGCAAGGCGCAGTTCAAAGTACGTGTTTTATTAATTCACAAAGCAAATAAAGCTTGTGATTTTGTGATAACGATAGTGCTATTTCAGGGAAACGTCAAAATTCTCAATGGCGAAATTTTTGTGCTGGGGATGGTGGAACGAAGCAACCGGTACGGAAAAACAGCGGATTGCATCAAGTCGGAGTATCATCGACCTTATTGTCACTGCAAAGATTATAAGGAAAAATCGTAAAATGCTTCTCTATTGTTACTGAAGGATTTCTGGTTGTATCTGGGTTTTTTACGGGTTTCTCTGTTTTTCAATAAAATGTTTATTATATTCTTTCAGGAAAATATTCTGATTTCTCCACTACCCCTTTCCAATTATTCACGTCCTCATGAAGGACGAGAGTCCGTGAAGTGTCGTCAGGTGTTATGCAATGCACGCAGAGAATATCAAAATTTCCTAATTTTCGGGGAGGGGTTTTTTCTCCTCTGCTTCTTTCTTCCTTTTATAAGCTTCTTGATGTGCCCCTCTTTTCTCACATACTAATTAGGGGGTAGTAGAAAAAGGGCAAATGAGAGGTGTTGAAGCACGTGGAAGAGAGAGAGAGAGAGAGACCAGCGCCATGGATAATAATCGAGAGGTACGCCGGCAGACAAAAGGCGCCCGCATTGTGTAATCGATTCGCGGGCCGCCCTTCCTTCTTCTCTCGCTCCACGCGAACGTGTGTTTATGTTTGTGAGTCGTTTGTTTCAAGAGTACGCTTGCACTTTATATTGCTCGCGAGTTTTCAGAAACAGAGTTGAGCAGAAGAAATCAGCAGATCAACACTGACGAAATATAAAACTAAAGAGTTCTATTCATAAAAATGATTGTGTGCAGATGTTTTCATATAAATAAGCTAAGAACCTTCGCCCACTGAAAATGTTTGCGGAATGATTGCCGTGATTTAGGAGCACAGCACACACTTATTATTCATGAATAGAACGAACTCTTACAGTTCCGCCGATTTTTTCCGCTCAACTCTGCTCGGAAACTTCAAAATTAGACAATTGGCTCTTCTTGTCAAACGCTTGCTGGAGTTTCTTGCAATAATTCAATCGGAACCAAAATTTCGAAGGCTCCTTAGTTTTGATTTAAAGTTTACTTCATCTAAGGCTTACAGTAACTGGATAATTCAATCTGGAGATATGTGAATCGGTCTGAAACTTGAAACCCAGATACTTCAATCCAAGTCTAAAACCCTGCGAAGTTTTGGTGCGAAAGGATTATTGCAGGTCTTCGAAAAATCCAAAAAATGGGCAGGTTTTCGAAAAATCTAAGCCGGCCTCTTGCCCAGCTTTGGATCGAACCAAAATTTTACAAGCTTCTTAGTTGTGGGTTGAAGTACACGTGGCGCCATATACTGTTTCTCCGGTCTCACATCGGCATACCTCCAGAGTAGATATGCCGATCAGTTTGAGACTCGGACCCAAGATACTCCATTCCAAGTTTTTGCCATTTCCCCAACCGACCGAGCACATAGCCGGCAGAAACGGGTAACCCGTGACTAGACACTTGAGAGGCCCATGACTAGACATTCGAGAGGATTTAGCTTATGCTCCAAAATGTCCTCTTTCCCCATAATCCTTTGAGATAATCAGTCATCTGCCTTTTTTCTTAGAAATGTTACCAAAAAACGTGACAAAATATAAAGAATTTTCGTACATGTTGTAAATATTCTTCTCATACAATAGATTATCATTCCCTTCTATCACTTCATCACATTTTTTCTCTTTGCTTCTCTCACTCCATCATTTTCCGCGCAAAACTTTCACTTTCCGTTGTCCTCGTTCTCTTCCTATCTTATTATCATTATTTCAAAAAAGTGTTCAGGTTGTCGAAGGTTTCCCGTCATTTTCCAGACAAAATGAACGGGAACAGTAACAATCTCAACGTGACGCCTCCAAACTTGCTTCCTCAAGGCATAATCCATCCTCAACCCAATGGTGAGTTTCTTGCCTACTTATTTTATGGACCATTTTTTGTTCCCAGGCGCATTCCTTCCGAATACCGTCGCAGGAGCTTCTTCCGCATTTTTAATGAATGCAATGAATCAAATGGCTTCCTGGTATCAATTGACTCGGGAGCCGAGATTACGAATGGCTTCAGGTACAAACAAGCCAAAACTTCTTCAAAAACGTTTACAATTTCAGCTGCAACGTTGACATCACCCTCTACGGTCAACCCATTCATGTTGCAACCGAAACCGAATCTCCTACTTCAGCCATCCCTAGACTTTCTTAATCTTAATATGGGATCACTTTTATGTTGTAAGTTTGAGCCGTTTAGATTTTTGTAATACATTGTTCTTACAGATAATAACATGAATGCAGCGCTTTTGCTCGCTGGAAATGCCGCCCAGGGAATTCCGAACACATCTTCTTCAAACAACAATCGTCCCGTTTCACCTGAACGGCCGGAAAAAGCGAAAGAAACTGCACGAGAATCAAGCGAGGGTTCATCTGTTAAAGGACCTCCGTCACTTCTCCGCGCTGAAAACCCGGACGAGAGTGACTCGGAAGTGGAAATTGGTGAGGAATAGTGTAGTGTATTTGCTTTTCTCTCAAAATCAAAACTTTTCAGATGTCGGCACTCATCCTCCAACCAATTCAATTTATGATCAAATTAAGTTGCAGCCGATGGCTGTTCCATGGGAGCATAGCTCCACTTCGTCTTTTCTGTTGGTCAATACTCTCGCTCCCTCTACAGGTAACATTTTGAAGCAACCAGCTCATAGATTAAAACACGTGGAAATCGGAATATCTTTGCAAACAAAAAGCAAACATTTAGTAGGAAATTTGGAAACCAACTGACAGATCTGCAGAAAGAAAGGAGTATAAATTCCATTATGTCCAAAAGTGGCCGACTGCAATGATCGCAACACATCTTGCAAGTCGTAAAAAATACTATTATTAGTGTTCTTCATCTGATTAGATGCGTTTGAGCAATAAAGTTGATTTTCAGCTGCTCTCCCGGCTTCCTCACAAACTGAAATTCCAAAACTTTCCCTGGAAGAGATCATTTTGAAAACTGTTCGAAAAAACGAGGAAAAACCAGTTCCATTGGCTCCAGTACCCGCGGGTAATTCCCAAAACTTGTATCAGCGGAGACAAAAGTTTTTAGATATCGTCACTCAAACGCCTTTGTGCACAGAGCCTGTAAGCGAAATTTCCGCACAGGCACCCGTTGCACTGGCTTCTTCCACTTTGGCTCTTCCGATGGAAAAGTTCCCCACTCATACTTCAGGTTAAAATATGAAACCATCACCTGGAAATCAATTTTCTAATTTCAGAAACTGATCACGTGGCAACTGCAATCGAAGACAATGTGAAGTTAGACAACCTGGACAAAAGATCTCCACTAGCGCCATCAGAAAAGTCCGGGATATGTGAAGGACAAAAGAAAGGTTCGCATTACCGACAAAAATGAACTAAGCACGGGCGGTTTTTGTTGTCTTCTTTGTTTTTAAATATGCAGGCTCGGCAGGCAACGAGACTGGCCCGAAATAATTCAAATCTGAATAACATAATGTCTTCCAGTCAATGAAAAGTCAAGCGTGGTCGAATCTGCTCCGATAATCGAACCTTCACATAAAGCTCCGATTGCGGATCACGCTATGTCTCCTATGAAGGTTTTCAATGGACAAAAACAACGTCCGATGATTCCAAATGCTCAGACAGCTGAAGATGTTCGAACAGACTCAATTGAGAAGGATGATGCGTCTCCAGTGAAGGAACTTCAGGATCAACGCCCAATTACTCCAAATGCTTGGACCGCTGAAGTTGGGCACAATGCTTTATCTGATCAGCGTAGATTGTCTCCAATGGATGTTCACGAAACTCTGGATCCGGTTCCAATGACTTCAGATGTTCGAGTTGCTGAAGCTTTGCGGAATGCTACTGCAGAAATTTGCGACGCTCAACGTACAGATTCGATGGGTGCAGCTGTTTCGTCGGCCGAATGTCTGCAAAACGTTCCGTCCGAAAAGCACAAGATGCCTTTACTGGAGAACATCGGCGCGCAGGACCGACCAAAAAGTTCAAATGCTCTAAGGTCTGAAATTGTGCAGAATGTTCCAGCTAAGCTGCGCAATACGCTTCTAATAGAGGTCTCCAAAACTAAAGACCTACTGCCAAAGATTCCCGTCATTCCGTCAGCCGAAGTCGTCCAGAACGTCTCAATGCACAATATGCCTCCAACAGAAGTTATAAAACCTCAGGATTTACGTCCGACAACTCGAGATGCTCCAGCTGATCTTCCGGGTTACATCAAACCGTCTGAAACTGGTTTTTTCACTCTTTTCCATAAAAACATCAAATAGCGAATTTCAGATGTACGTTCAACAAAATTGTTGAAAAAAGCTACAAGGCTGGAGGCTCTCGTTGGCAAAATAGCAAAACTCGGCAATAAACGTTCTCAGAGACGCAAGAAAGAAAAAACCTTTCGTTCAAGCTCTTCTGTTTTCCTCGACAGAAATGTGCGCAGCTTTTCTGCAAAAGGAGGTGCGTTATTGACATTTTTTTTAAAGTTAATACAATACGTTCAGAAAAACAAAAAAGTAAAGCAAGGATCATAAGAGTTTGCACGTCGAGTCGATTGTCGGAAACCAGGATGCATCGCAGAAGGAGAGAAGCACAACTTGTACGTTTTCGAGTGCTTGTCTGAAGCATGGTCCCCTTTTTTCCAAATAAGACTTTGGTTCCACACGAATACCCGTTTTCTTTCTTCTATTTGGAGTTTCTCAAAACGTTTTATTTTCAGAAAGGGAAAAATGAGTTTATGGACGAAGATGAGTTGTGCTTGCAGCACATGAAGGAACAGGTTGCACGCAATCGAAAACAAACTGGAAGAGAAGGATTACCTGCACTCCCGTTGCTTTCTAGAAAAACATGTACTGAAAAAGTGGATCATCCCACCACACTAACTGCAAGCTCTTCCACAGTTCCTCATCCGGACAATGCCATGCTAATCACTTGCAGTGATTCCACGGGCACACTGCTCAAAAAGTACATCACAACTGAAACTAAAAAGGTCTGATTTCAGTCTGGTTCTATATTTTTGAAAAAATTGATTGCTTCAGGGATTTGGACAAAATCTAGCCAAGAGCTCACCAAAAATGGATGAAGAAGGCCCTCAAATCAAAAAATTGAAGCGTTAGAAAGGTTCGAGCAGAAAAGAAATAGAGAGAGAGAGAGAGAGAGAGAAATATGAGTTGTTTAGAGCATCAAACTGTACTCAATTTCAGATTTGTCAGTTTTTCTTCGAATTTTCACAGCGTCTCAACTTTCCGGCTCAATTATGTTCACAATTTTGTGATTTTAAAGTATATATGCCACTCTTTTTTCACAACACTGTCATTTCTCAATATTTGCCAATTATTATCAAATCTCGTGACTTTGCCTGAATTTTTTTTGCCATCAACTCGAAAATCCGCCTTCTGGGATTGTAAGTGACATAATTTTCCAGCCCCGTCTGCATCAAGCACATTTTTCTTGATTTTTGTTTATTCAAAGTAGTTCACATCCTTCAACATTTCAATTATACATATGTTTTTCCTGGCTCTTATGTGATTTTTCTGTCATCTCTTCTTCCCGCTTTTTCTAGATTTGGCCCGCCGGTTTTTCAGCGGCGGGTCCGGATTCCAATTCGTGGACCCAAGTGATAACGCAATAATTTTTACCCATCACACGACTAATTGCAACATTAGTATCATCCGTATACATAATTCATATAATGTAATATTTATTGTTTGTTCAATCATTAGTTACAAGTTTATGCAGTCCTCCACTTCGTCAAGCGATATGAACGTCAGCCAACTGGCGATGAACGTCTTTCAGAGAATTCAAAATATCGTCGAATTTGTATTTGGCTTTCTTTTCTATGTGATGACGCGAATGAAAAATTGCGAAGTCTATGAAGAGGTGGTGTTTGTTTCGCAAGGTGATCAGAAAGTAGAGGACTTGAATGACGTCGTCCAGAGCGTCCCACTTCTTCTCGAACCGTGCGCTGAGGCCCCAGTCAACAGTGGTCAACTGAACTTCCCTCTGAAAACAAAAATGATTGCAACAACAACACTGGGTTCTCTTGCTCACCTGGTTCCGCTCCACCAAGATATTGTCCGTCTTCAGATCTCTGTGCAACCATCCGGCGTCGTGGCAACAATTGAGAATGCAGAGGATCTGGTTACCGGCTTTTGCGACGACCACAGTTCTTGCAATCTGGACATTTCCGACTTTACTCCTTCCTTTTAATTTTTATCAATTCTGTCAAGCCCTTCTTCAAGTTTTTCCCGGAGAATTTCTCCGATTGGCCAAGAATACGGAAAAAGAATATTGCGTGCGCACACCTTGCAAAAAGGCATGCCGCAGTTGCAATATGCCCCGAGACGCCTCTCGCTCCATTGATTCTGGTTAAATGAGATGTTTTGTACTGTTCCAAACGAAAGAGACCCGGCAATTTCTTTTTTTACATTGTGATTCACCGTTTCCTATACTTGTCGAGTCTTTTTTCAGTACTTTGAGGCAGAACCCGGAGACAAATCTGTGATGTGCGTGCAAGTGCGCTCCACCGAACTCAATGTTCGATACGGTATTTTTCTGCTAGAAAAAGCAGTTTTTATCGTTGATTTTGATATAAAGAGGTTAATTTCAGAAAGAAAAGATGAAGAAGGAACAACTTGTAGGCGGAATAGACGTGACCGGTCAGAACATGTCTGGAACTCTCTACTGCGACCGAGAATAAACGAAGATTAGCAGTGCGAGCAAATTCGATCATGACTCGGTTTTGCATGATTCTCATTGGAACCCAGAGACAACAAGACGACAGCCCTCGTGACGCTCAGCTTCATAAAGCCATGGAATGTCATCCTGTTCGATTCGCGAGAAAATTCTGGATGACTATTACGAAAGAATAGAGGAAGTCCCAAGCTCGGATGGTATCGAAGAGGACCGGAGCCATTCAGAAACAAAAGGTCGAGAACTAAAACTGAAGTATTGTTTGGAGGAAGAATGGAGCCGGATAGGAGAGAAGTCTCTGGGTGAGTTTCAACAAATGAAGTGGAGACGAAGAAAAGAGTCCGACAAAAATATTTTTTGATGCAGAAGAAATACGACGACAGGAGCATGTTCAACCCGAACAAATTCTATGTGAGTGCGGTCAACAAGGTGTATGAAACAGTCGATCGAACGAGACGTTACTTTTCAAGAAATCCTGCAGCTGGAATCAAAGGAATAGTGAAAGCAGTCTGGAGAGCATGGTTCTTAACTTTGCTCTCGCTTTGATAACTCGGCTCAGAAGAAGAACAGTTCGAAGCCTCCAGCCGCCGAAACGATGATAATCAGGAGCTTGTTGACAATGCGACAAGCTGATCTACACAACATGTTTCGAAATATGGAAATAGTAATTGAAATCAGGGCTGGGCAATTGGCCGGCATGGGCTTTTCGTTGGCCGGCCCTTGACCTGGACTTTTGAACCACTTGCAATATTCCGATCAGACCCAAACTTTGCAAGATTGTTGGACTTGGATTGAGGGCCATTGGGACCAAGTTTCAGCCCGATCGGATCGTCGGGTCCCAAGATATGTGGATCATTGGCCGATTTTTTCCAAAAAGCCCGGGCTTCCGGCCAATTACGGCCAATGATCCACATTTCTCGGGACCAAAAAATCGATCGGGCTGAAACTTGGTCCCAATATGCTTAAATCATGTCCAAGAAGCCTGCAAAGTTTGGGTCCGATCGGAATATTGCAAGTGGTAGAAAAGTCCAGGTCAAGGGCCGGCCAACGAAAAGCCCGTGCCGGCCAATTGCCCAGCCCTGATTGAAAGACACATGCTAGCCGAGTGAAGAAAACTCAAGGGCTACTCATCCAGGAGGAACGAATCAACGCGGGCAAAATGGGCAGTGAGTGACAGCAAGAAGCGGAGGAAGGACTAAGAAGAGATCACCGAATGAAACTGACGAGAAAACTAAACAACTCTACCATGGAACAGCGAGCAGTGGTGCCCGCGAGCGGAAACCAAGGAAACGCAATTAACCAGCATGTTGTACGGAAAAAGAGTATCGTGGTTAGTTTTTCTGGATCATAAAGTGCTTACAAGAAACAAACCTATTTTTCAGGCATTCTAGTCAACGAATTCTTCCCGTGCTTCTCGAAAGCGGACACAGTTTCCCGGTGAAATTCTCAACGACAACCAATCAATGGCAAAAACGGTCAGCGACAACATTGTTCCACGCAGTGCTCCGTGATTGCGTTCATGAGGGAATTCTAAAATGCACATCGACTTTCTTGGCCAGGTGGACTTTGAATGTACGATACGGAGGTTCTGAACGCAGTCGCCCTCAAGTCAATCAGCTTCCTGCTCATTTCCGGATCTGCCATCCTTCCAAACAGTCAGGGCATTGGGACGAGGTAACCTAAATAACATCTTCGGCTTACTGCAACGTGAAAAATGCAAAAAAAGTCGATTGTGTCAGAACACGCAATCCTACAGTTTTGCCACTTTTCATTGCTTCCGAGAGAAGGATTGCAGCTATGAGTAATTCAATTTCGATTATTTCCAGAAATCGAGGCTCTGACGATCTTTAGGAATGACAATGAGACAAGCGCGCCGCGTCGAAGTCCCATGCGTGAACAAAATTTGTGTTGAGTGCGAAGCATCTTCGTGAGAAAACATCAATGGAACGTTCCAAGTGCAACAAAAGAAAATAATGTGCACCCGTTTAGCGGAAAAAACGCGTGCCGTGCTTTTCTTTTGCTGCCTGTGAACTGAACATATTTCGAGACTGCTCTTGGCTCCGCATGCCACTCAAGTAGTAGTGGTTGCTTTTGTCATTTCAGACTAAATAAAGTTTATAAACGTCCGGAAATGTCTGAAAAAATCTAAGTGGAACAATGTTTTTCACTCCTTCTTGCCCGTTTTGTGTGATTTACACACACTGCTGCAAGTTCTTGTCTAAGCTCTGATCATTCCAGCCAGGATTCCCCACGACTTCAAGGAGGGGCCCAAGGAGAGTGAAAGATAATGGCCACTTCCGATTGAATGCACTGGCAACTAGTTCAGTTCAAGTAATTTTTCGCTATTGTCGAGATGATCGGTCGAATTCGATGCACTTCTTGAGTAGGAAAAGTGTGACTGTGTTTGAAACATTCTCGACGTCTTCTGGATTTACACTTGTCCTTGGCAATCAATCACCTCTAGAAAGAAGCTGCAAAACTGTGCTCAAATGATGTTTTTTCGTCTACAGTTTGCTGATGAACTGAACTGTGAACTTGCCGGGCGTTTCTGAAAATAACTGTAACCGCTGTACTTTTTTTACTGGACATTAGACCATACACGTCCATGTTGAAACCAGGTGCTGAAAGCGACAGCGTTGACGTGTCGTGAGCTTGCACATCTGTCGTCCAAATGGCGCCAGAAAACAAACTCTGGTGTGGTCTCAAAATTTTTTCTGGATAGTCTGATCCTTTTCTGGTAATTGCAGAGGAAAAATTAGTTCTGAAGATTCCCACAAAATATGTATGCTCTTCTGCTCGCAATTTCAGATCACTTTTCAGATTTTTCCATCCCATACGTATACGTCGATTGTGGAACCGCCGGATACGAACGAAATCACTGAAAGTGAGTCACCTTCTCGATAAAAATTGGAATGTTTTCTTTTTTCATCACACGCCAGCTTCAAATCAATGGATTACTCACCGACGAAAAACATTTGTGAAATGTGTTACTGGAAATGCATTTCATCAAAATGTCTATCCAGTTTTTTGTCTCGTGGATCGTTCCGTTCCCGGACTGTTCGGCTTCGAAGGACAGTGGTTAGCTGCAGCTGCTCCGCACGTGCAATGCCACGATGGACGGTTCATTTACGGCAGATTTGTCTATTCAATCCCGGCTCTTACTTTCATTTCTTCTATTTTCCGCTTTTATGTGTTTCTTCTTCTACTTTTCAGGCGTTCTTTTAAACTTCTTCAAAATGCACTGCAACGGAGAGCGTAGAGACGAGAACGTCGATAGTCAGGCTCGGAGAGGGTGCATTTTCTGGCATTCCATCTCCAAAACCACTTGAATTTCAGAGTTTTGGGAGAAACAATTGCTCGTCTGAGAAACCTTCGTCTTGTCAATTTTGTGAGACGTATCCCAGTGCCACCCCCAACGACACCCGTACAAAACGACGAGAGACGCATTCCGCCACCGGTTCCTATCCGCACTTCTTCTCTCCCACACAACAACGCAAAGTAAGTTTCTCATTTCTTTTTTTCATTATCATCATATTGTCTATTTCAGCACGCGTATCTACGTGTACACGCACGGAGCTCAATTGTGCTCGAGGGATTCCAGACCAAGTGAGCGAGATACGTAAGTTGTTCATGGTTAAACTGTATTCTTTTTCAGATATCCGTTTTGGTTTCAACCACTTCAAATTCGTGAAGGTGATAGGACAGGGCGGTTTCGGAGTAGTCTGCGAGGTGAAGCGACACAATACGGGCGAACCGTGGGCCGTCAAGATAGGGAGGGTGGAGGACATGAAGACAGAGTTCAAAATTTATGATGCCCTCCGAGGGCTCAAAGGCATCCCCTCCTCTCCGATTTACTTCGAAGAGAAAGGCTGCGCGCTCATTTCGATGGAGCTCCTGGGCCTGAACATGAGCGACTGGCGGGAGTTGAAACAGCAGCTCACCATCAAGGAGGTCTTTGACGCAGCGCGTCAAATGATCGAGTTGGTCCGAATCGTACATGCGCATCGCATAATACATTGCGATATAAAAGTGTCGAATTTTGCGTTTGGGAAAGGCGTGAAACAGGATAAACTTTTTGTGAGTAACCGCACGGCTACTGTTCCTTGAGCGCGATGATGTTCAGATTATCGATTTCGGACTTGCCCAGGAGTTCAAGAATCGGGATGGGAGTCGGATCGAAAAATGTGAGCCCTACCCGATGAAAGGCACCATCGCCTTCTGCAGCGCACGCATACATGACGAAGCCCGTGAGTTCCCAGCACAAAGCACTTTCTTTTGTATTTTCCTTCTTTGCAGATCCCGCGCCCCGGGACGACCTGGAGTCGGTGGCATTTTCGTGTCTGGAGCTGCTGGAGGGAAAGCTGCCGTGGGACGATTTGGATTACGATAATCCAGATCATAGCGAATTCTACCGACTCAAGAAGGGCGGCACTGATGGCAGAGGACTGTTCGCCATCCCTGAATTTGAGGAGTTACTTCGGAAGATCAGAAAGTTGGAGTTTTCCGATGAGCCGGATTACAAAGCAATGATTGAACTGCTGACTGTGCCTGAGTCCCGTCTCCGGGAGTTGAGCAGAAAGTAAAAAAACTAACTGCTTCGTCAAAATCGGAGTATTTGCATTTCAGGTTTACGATCCCGCGCTCAGAGTATCGTCGCAGTGCCATACCGAAAGAGCTGAGTGGAGTGACGAAAGTAAGAGCGGAAAAAACCTGAAACATAGGAAAGTACGATTTACTTGCAGCAAACGTTGCTCCGGTTCAGAGTCTGACCGTCACCAGCCAAAAAAGTTCGTCTCCATACACTTCAATGCAATCCTCTTTATTCTGCTCCTTCAATCGTCGTCTTTTTCTCGTCTCTGCAGCTGATTTCCCGCATAGTTCTAATAATTTTACACGCATCCTTATCTTCATTCTGATTGTATACCGTATTCCTGAGCAGTCCTTGTATTTTCCTCAAAATTTGTCCCTACTTCTAAAGGCCCATCCCCCCAGAGTTCCCTTTCCCAATATTACATCGTAATTGTTTTGTTTACCTTTTTCCAATTTCCCCATCAACACGCCGTCTCATATTTTCGCATATACCGTATCTTTTTCGAAACTCATTTCATAAAAAAAACATTGCCTCCATTGTTTGCTGATGCTTACTCATGATCCCCTCACCTCCTGATCCCTCCTATTGTTTTTGAGTATTTCCCCTCACAATTCAAATTTTTGTCCTTCACAACTGTTCAAAATCTTCAAGGGCGATGCATAAATTTTCTATAAACAAAGTTAACACGCAACTGTCGCATTTATTAGTGTCTGAGTCTCGCCCTTTCCGCAAGTCCGCATTTCTTCCTCAATTATCAGTTTATTTCATACAGCCAACCGCCATGAACTTCATGCTCAACTGTGATACGACGTCCGAGGAAATAACAGCAGACGGGTAAGCGCAATTTGTCTTTCTTCTCTTATTTCGTGACGAAATATGGATTCTACATCTTGATTCTTAGTCTTTATCCCCATTTTTCTCAAGGCCATTTACTGAAAGTTCAAATATCGTTAAAATTCTGAATGCACATTCATTCATTAAAAGTCTGCGGCAATCCGAGCCGACAAACCGGCTCAGTTCGTAACTTATCTTTGTCGGTAATAAAACCGCATTTTTCTAAGACTTAAATTTTCCGCCAGTTTCGCAATGTCTCAACTTTACGTTTTTCAGGAAAATGTACGTGTACTGCGCATCATACACCGGCGAAATGCTCGAGAAACCGAGAAGTGAGTGAAGTCACAGTCCAAAAGTCGTATTTATTCAAATTTTAGAAATTATGTTGTACAACGGACATATCGAGTTCGAGAAGGTCGTTGGTACCGGTACGTTTGGCGTGATCTGTCAAGGTTCATGGGCCAGCAACGGTTCGAAAGTGGCAGTCAAAATCGAAAAAGCCGGAGGACACTTGGCGCGCGAGAAGGAATTCTACGACTCTCTGAAGGAAACCGCTGGCGTCGTTGGTATCTACGGCGATCTCGTTCAAGAGAAAAATGTCGAGCTGCTGCCGATGGAGCTTCTCGGAATGAACCTCTCCCACTTCATAACATGTCAAGTCGGAGTGGACATTCCAAAAGTATTTGACGTCGGAAAAAGGCTTGTCACAGTGCTGGAAAATGTCCACGCACACGGCATCATCCACTGTGACATAAAGCCCTCCAACTTCGCTTTCGGAGTGGGACCAAAGAAAGAAGAAATCGTGGTATGTTTGAATCTGACTTTTATTTTTTGTTCTTGTTTTTCAGATATACGACTTTGGCCTAGCTGACCGTTTCGAATTGGACGGAGTTCACGTTGCGGACGGAGCACAACGCTACCGCGGATCCATGCCCTGGAGCAGCGCGCGCGCTCACAAATTAAGAAGTAAGCAGATTACTGTCACATACTCAACATGAAAGACGCAATTTTAGGGCAGTCTCGTCGAGATGATTTGGAGTCGATGTCCTTCATTCTTCTTCAATTCTTCCATAAGATCACCTGGTTTCATCTCACCGCCAGTGATGATCATGAGCAATTGTATGACTACAAATTAGGAGGAACCGACGGGAAAGGACTGTTTGACATCGAAGAACTCGAGGAGTTCCTCCGCTATATTCGTTCGCTCAATTTCAACAAGAAGCCGGACTACAACAAACTCCGACAATTCCTTAGTCCGTCAGAGGATCGCATGAAAGCGATTCAATCCGAGTTGGTACCAATGATAGTTTTTGAGGATTATTTCAATCACCTTTCATCTTCAGGTATGAGAAAGGCCCAGAATGGCTCGAAGAAGTCTCACCATCGCCGCTGAAAAAACAGTTCAAGGTGTGTTCTCTTTTTGCTATCTTGTCTTGTAAAAACGAGTTCTTCCCAGAAGATGCTGCTTCAGTTCGGAGCTCCGGAGGACGAGGCTGTTTACCAATACTCTTCTTCTTCTGATGACTCTCTGTGAATTGATCTTTTTTCCTTCTTATACCGTAAATTTCGACTTTTGTCACGCGTTGCCTCATTCATTCGCTTCTCCTTTGCTCCATTTACATTCTGATAAACTAATATCCTCAATCCCGTGCTGATTTTTCACCGTTCCATTCGTTTTTACGATTCAAATATTTTACACGCGTTCGTCTCCCGACGTTGTCCTCACATCGCCCTCAGACACATGTCTCTCCTACCCAACACATGCTATTTCGCCTGTGTGCCCTCTATATGACTCAACCTACACTTATCGTCCGCGTCTCTCTTTCTCTCTCTCGTTTTTTCCTTCTTCTCACACATTGACTGTTCCTTTTACGATCGAGTTCTCACCTCCAAAGATGACACGTCGAATCGCTAAACGAACACCGACGAAGAAAACGGAAACCAAATCGATGGAAAAGAAGGTGAGCACATGAGAAATAATAGTTTTCGCAGAGGCGTGCTCGTGTTTACACTGGCCGCTCCGCGCTATCGCACGTAAAAAAGTGTGCCTAGGCTTCAATCGGAGCACAAAATTGCTGTTTTTCCTAGAAGAAATGTTTAAAAATCTCTAAAAATTGAATTTTCCAGAAATCCGATGCTCTTCCGCCGACAGAGGCCTCAGAACCGTCAACTTCGCGCCCAAAACGGAACACCCGAAAGAATGTGCTGTACAACAACGCGACATTTGATGTTCGAGTTCCGGGACAGCCGAAGAATGATCCGGTTGCCAGTTCTACGACAGAAGAGGAGTCTCTAGCCGCAAGCAGCACAGTTGCCGTTTCCGATAGCCCGGAAGACGCTTCTGAACCGCCACAGGTACTCGAAACCGCAGAAACTCCGGAGCAGATTCTGAGCGGAGGGAGCGAAGGGAAAACAGAGACAGTTTCGACGAAAAGAGCGAGAAAACAACCGGAGAAGGAAGAAGGAGCGAAGAAGAGCAAATTCGGCCAGAAAACGGAAGATGCAGCAACGAGTTTAAGCACTGGAGCATCTTCAAGTTCATCGCCACGCAAAAAGGTCAGATTTGACCGGAAACCTCAAAAGGAAGATGAAGTGCACGACCCGGACACTGACGCTGATACCAAAGTCTCGAAGACGGACGAAGCAGAAGACGGGCCTCCGATCCTTGGACCAGAAGCTGAGACTGGTGAGGGTTTCAGGGATGAGCAAAACTTCTGGTAATTTTAATTTTTCAGATGGTTCGGTCGATGAAGAACATAACGAGACCGATAATGGGGATGGCGATAGCGATGACGGGGAGCCACCGAATCTGGAGAGACAACCGTACGGAGTGTTTCCATCGATTTCACTCTAAAACGCTCAATTTCAGACCTGCGGGAAAGCTCGAGCGTCCACGTCCCTCGACTCCGAAGAGCAAAAAGAAACCGCTGCAGATCCGGTTGAACACGGCTCGCCGAGAGCTGGAGAAACCGCCAAAAGTTGTGCCACCGCCAGTAGTTGTCGATCGCCCTGGAAAACCGCCATCTGTCGTCAACAAGGCCTCTGTGAAGCTGTTCCAGGATGACTTGGAGGTGACTGAGCAGGGAGACAACTACGCTGTAGTCATTAACGGATGTTTGACGGAACTGCTTCGTAAAGAGAGGATCATGGACGTGTTAACATGTGAAGATCGGGGTCGTTACATGTAAGTTGTTCATTTTGGATCAAACTGTGAACTACGGGGAACAGTTTTTTAGGACAAGCAACGGATGGATGCTGGACAAGCCACCGCGTTTGCCGCCACTTACTACGGACAGTGTTTGTTTCGCGTTCTACATCGACGGCTCAAAAGTTGTATCAACCAAAGATCTTTCCGTCGATGACCTGCGTCCATGGAGCTCGTCGTCTTTGGAAAGCCATGGTCCACTGGTTCCGATCATCAAACCGACCGTTAGAAAACACCCAGTAGCTTATCAGGAAGGGAAATGGGTGCACCAGAAGATGGAGCGTCGCGCGGATGAAATCTTTCTGATCGAATACTCGGCTCGTCTCCCGAGAGAACCAAGATTGAGAAAAAAGGTGAGAAAATCAAAATAACACTCAGCGTTCAAAATTTTTTCGTTGAGATCTACTACTTGTTTCAAAACCAGAAGATCATCGGAAACGTCCTCATTCTATACGACTACGCGTCGGAAGGCAATGCTCCGGTCGTCATCCAGACTCCGCGCGAGAACGCACTGTCGACGAGTGCGCTGAGATATGTGGAGGAAGAGTTTGACGAATCCGGGGTGCTCATCGAATCGCCGGTGAGAGTTTCCTTGTCCAGGTTCTTAGAAGGATCAGAATTTTAGTTTGAAACCGAATTGGTGAAGGGCGAACGAGGCGGAATTTTCTTGAAGTGCCGGAATAACAAGATGGGATTGGGCACAGATAAGAAAAAGATTCTCGAGTATATCTGGAATAAGCCAGATTCGATGTGAGTAATTCTCAAATGCGCTGAGTACCTAAAAGTATTTGTTTTTCAGCGGAGATCTAAAAGCTCTGAATAAGTCACTGCCGGATCTTCCGCCGTTGACAGAGAAAATTGGGGTTTTTGTATATTTCGTCCCTGCAGCCAACATTGCAAGCCAAATGCTCCGTGCGTCGGATGGCCTCTCGCCGTGGTCGACAAACCGTGAGTATTTCTTTACTTTTGAACATTTGTGTTCTTCATCGTACTGAGCTCGAAAATGGAGGGATGTGTCCAGCAACAACTGCGCAAAAAATGAAATTCGACGCTTAAAAATGCACACATTTTCAGCTCTTGACGCCAACGCGAAATGCCCACGTGTCAGATCCACGAAAAGATCTCTGGTTCAGAATGCCGACGGAACGGTCACGCTCTTGCGCAATCATGACCGTGACGCAGTATTCAATCTCGTCGAGTTGCAGTCGACACTCGCGAGATGCACAAGAATCAAGAAGAGAGTGAGTTGACGAGCACACTGAGGAAACTCAGACTTCCAATACTTCTTTCAGGTGCTCTTCATCCAGCAGAACACCATCCTTATCGTTGGATATGTGTGCTACATCTATGAGTTTGTTGAGGAGGGTCCGTTGCCAGTTCTATTACCCAACAGTAACACGAATAAGACTTCCCAAAGAGCAAGATGGAGACCGCCTCCGAAGCAACAAGCTGTTGCTGAAGTGTTTGAGGGCTTGCAAGAAGAAGAAGAAGAAGAAGAGTTCGATGAGATTGAAACGGAAGTGGACGCTGAAGAATCTGGAGAATTCAATGACGACGACTATGCCATGGGGCCAGACGGCATGGTTGGCTCGATCCTGCAGGATGAACCGTTCGATGTGCCGGGACCTGCGCCGGCGCCAATCTCAGTTGCCGAAGAACAAGTTGTAGACATTCTGAACAACGGACGAGACGACGAATTCCAAGAGGATATGATGATGATGAGCGAGAACACGGATCCGTACTACTCCGGAGTCAGAAAGTTGGAATCGGGCCACACGTATCTCACTGTCCGCCACAATAAATTGGCTTGCACGTTCGACTCCGTCTTGGAATATATTGCAAATTCGAACGTTGTGTAAGTTGTCTTGTTTCTGTAACTATGTAGTTATTGTATTTTCCATTTTTCAGGGAAGAAAGTGGTGTTCTCAACACTCGGAAACCCGGTCACCCGCCGATTGTGTCAAACGCACGGGCCTACGTGTTTTTCGTCGTGGGATCGTCGATATTCCCGCACGATATCAACAAAGACGACTTCTCGCCTTGGTCTCACAACAGCGATGGTTTTTCACTCATCAATGAATATTCGAAGAAATCAATTGTCATGTTTTCAGACGAGAACCCTACGTGTTACCGTACCAAAGTGCGCAAACTTGGAGTGGTCATTGATCCAGCCACACAGCGTTTCCTGGTGAATTTTAAAGCTGTATGCCATGATTTAATTGTGAATTGTTTCAGATGAAAACAGGGTGTGATTACAGAACGTGTCCATTCCATCTCACTTTCCTGTACAGCATTAATCCGAGAGAGCCACGACTGAAAAAGAGGGTAATGCGCACTGGAATTGATGGATATTTGAAAATAAAAACTAACTTTGCTTGCAGGTCTATTACCTCATGGAGACCGATTCGAAGATGGTCGTCAGTCACGCGTTGATCATGTACGATTACACGACTGAAGGCAATTTGCCCAAAATTACGGCCGGCAACTACAAGTGCGCCAGAAAGAAAAAAGATCCGAATGCTCAGATGTACGAGGACAGTGACGAAGAGAGAGAGGAGTACACTGAAGAGGAGAGAGAGCCGCCGTTCTCTCTGCACGTCGAGACAGCGCTCGACGGATGCGTGTACATGAAAGTCAATGACGGCACCTTCTGGAACGACCGTCGAACTCAGCTCGAGTTTCTCGTCAATCCCCATCGAGCCATGCTGTGAGTTGCTGAGTGAAATGAGCAGACGATAACGCCATCAATTATCGTTTCAGGGACGAGATGGGCGCACTCAACATCGTCGTGCCCGAGCTCCCACCAGCAACAACTGGGACGGGTTCTTTCGCCTATTTTGTTAGTGGATTAGAAAAATGTTTTCTACAACTGACGTCAGACAAACTCGTCCCGTGGAGCAGTTCGTCGCACACAAGTGAGTTGTATTCCTTCCGCTTTTTTCCTTACAACACGATCTTGCAGGCGGCACCACGATACGACCAAAGACAGTGAGAATTCCGTTGGCGCTGAATCGCGGCAACCGATTTCGAATGTGCAAGCGTCCAATCGATGAAGCGGAATTCATACTGCACACGTACACGGCCACTCTGCCAAGGAACAAGAGACTCAAGAAGAAAGTGGTGTACGTGGTGAGAGATAATGTTCCGTTTGGAAATGCTCTGGTTCTGTACATGTACACCGAGCCTGGAGACGTGATATTGCCGCTCGAAAAGGAGTTCATCAACTTTGGTCCGTGGCTCGCCTCATTTGATCCATTCATTCGGAATGAGTTGTACTACCTGCTGCAGAAGATGGAACCAGCACAGGTGTGCCAAGTTATGTTGGACAGCTACAGAGTGCACGTCAACGTTAACATGTTGTACTACGTTCAAGGCCAGGACATTCGAGCGGCGTTGGAGGAGTTGATGGCTTTTGAGGAATATGTGCAAGACACCGACTCGCCGACCGCTCCGGAGATCATAGTGGAACAACCGAACGAGTATTATGCTGAAGAGTTGATTGAAGGCGATTCGATACTCGTCGAGAGCACGGTGACAGTCGAGCAGGACTATGAGCCAATAATGAATGAGTTCTTGGAGCAGGATCTGGTATGTTCTTTTTCGAATTGAATATGAATTTGTGCACAAAAATCACTCAATTTTTACAGGCGGTCGTTGGCTTCGTCAGAGGAAGTCAGAGAGATGATGCTTTCTGGAGAATTGCCGGCAATCAGTTCGGCACGAAAGACGCGGACGAAACCTTCGATGAGCTGTTCAAGCTGCTCCACGCGAAGAATGAAGAGCGCCTGTTTCAAAATGTGAACCAGATGTTTGGAGTGGAGATTTGCGACGTCGAAGAAGTGCCCATGGAGCAAGAAGAAACGGTGGACCAACTGGTGGAGCAACCGGTAGAAGAGTCAGTCGCGAAGCCGGTGGAGTCGAGCGAGCTGAAGTCGGTGTCGAAAAACTCAATCTAATTGTTATTTATTTCATTAATTTGAAATAATTTGTTGATTTTTCATTAACACCTTTCCGGATATTCTTTAAAATTCAATATTTCACGTGTTTGTGCATGCAAAATGATTTTCGATTCCCTTTCAATTGCCAATCATTCTTACGTGTTCTAATGTCAATGAAATTGTTGTATTTCCGCATCCGTTTTGTCTTTCACGTCAAAACGGAGTTATCTGAACGACTATGTGGTGATATTTTCTGGTTTACTTTTACTGCAGGGATAACAACGGATTCTAGCAGTTTCAGCACGAAAAGGCCAAATTTTGAACCAATGTCGTCGAAGAAGCATCTGAGATGGAGAGAAACGAGCAAGCAGCGGCTAGCGACTACGAAGCTCAATGGAAGGATCCAGATGACATTTTAGAAAAAGACTCAAGGACGAAGCGATGCTGATGGTTTTGACACGGATCAGTCAGTCTAATCATCTGATATGGAGCTATAGACAGGGCGACCGTTTTTTACAAGAGAAGGAAAAGGACTAAGAGGTCAAGAAAAAGAAGTTCAAGCCCTCAGAAGATCACGAAGGCGGACGGTAAGAACGCGTAGTAGGAGGCACTAAAAGAAGTGAACAAAAGAAGATTCCAGAACGAGTAGAAGTCGGGTGAATGGAAGAAGGACGAGGAAGAGGATAAGAATGCTTGAGTCAAAAAATCGAAGACTTGTTTACCGACAAGAGACTAAGTGCGCTGGGACTGGAAGCCATCCACAATCGGTATCGACGCGGACAGACCGTTATAAGAGCAGTCGGTGACGTTAAATAGGAAGACGTGTCTGGTTTCCTTTCGAACGGACTGCACGTTGCTTCGACTGTTGCTTATCTCCTTCCAAAGTGAGCTCTTTCGGCCGGAACTGGAACCTGCAGTCGAGTACGAAGCGTTTTGTAAAAGTGTAGGAGTCAAATTGTTACCAGAATGTCTGATCCACAGGAAAATATAAGGTCTCGTCATTCTGAAATTTCAGATTGCGCATAAGGATACTTCACCGAGAACCTGCTCGACGTCAGTTTCTAGGAAGAACCATATTAGCCGGATCAAAGCCCAGAAAATCGTTCGGGGACAATTTCCAACGGTTGCATCACACGGCCGACGTCATTCAACACTACCGAGAGCTTAACTTTTGGGAATACTGCATCAGTACATGCAAAAGTACGTCGCCAACGTGTGAAATCGGACTCATAAAGATCATCCCGCACGTTTTCCGTCATTCCGCAAATGACGGCTCTTAGACATTACGGACTGATTATCCGCAAATCGGGTACAGCCAGTCAGCACTAAAATTTACATTTTGCCGGCTCTTTTGACTTCCAACAGACGCTCCTCTACCGAGAGTATTGCTACGGAATCAGCAAGCGGACCAGTAACGAAAAGACACGCTGCGCAACCGCAACGCGCTCACGGACCATCGACTCAATGTGGATTTCTTTTGGTTAGTTTGCATTGTGTTTTTGGTAGTTCCAGTTTGAAAGCGATCGTACAACAGGAAAACATTGCAGAATAGGACACAACCAGATGAAAAAGAGTATCGTTTGTCAATAATCCAGGCGGATCACCATCCTCGCCATAACTCTAGTCATCGCTGCAATGTGCATCGCCGTGAGGGTGAGTTTGAATCGGTTTTTGTCTGTATAATTGGGCTTTCTTCAGGTATCATTGATTCTCTGTTCTCTCACGTTCTCGTTATTGTGCGTACGGAGAAGAGACGAGAATGGGACCGAGGTACAATCAGCCATCCACCAATTCTCACGGAGAAAACAGCAATCCCATTTGATCCCGCAGTCGAGTACGAAACGTTCTTCAGAAGCCGAATTGATACTACTATGCTCTATGAAAAGGAAAAACATGGATTTTTTCATTCTAAATTTTCAGAAAGCGCATAAGGATGCTGCTGGATCCAAATAAAAGACGACTACCGAACTGCCCAAAAATCACCGTCCCTCCGATGATCACAGACGTCTTAGGCGAGGAATAGTCTTTTCCGGATCAACGAATCCCGGATTTGGGGACAAAATCCACACTACAACGACGGAGACTTTCGGAGCATGTTCCTGGTTCACTCGTTGCCAGAACTACGACATACGCTGATGGAATTGTCACCAAACACGTTTAGTTCATCCAAATTGGTTAACGTTTTGGATTTCTGGTTTCGTTAGCTGATCTACCTGAATTTAAAGTTGTTTTGCGTATACAATTGTTTTTTTTCAGCTGTCATCGGCATTCTCGCCACATTTTCGTGGTTGCCCATTTGGAGCAGAGATGGAATAGCACGGGCCAGGATTATGTTTTTTGGCCATTGGAGCTCTTCCGGTCGGTTCATCAAGGATATCAACTTTTTGTTCGGTGGCCTTCGCAAGCCTCGTAACGAGTACTTAATGCTGAACCGCCGCTGACTTTACTGTTTCTCGAGCTCTGTAGCCGCAAAGAAGGATCCAAAGTACGAGGTACTAGCAATTACAATCCTCAGAGCAAATTTTTTTCAGAGGCTGCGCAGATTAGGCGATAATCTGTTTTGACCAGACTAGCAAGCTGAAAGAAACAGTTCGAAGCGCCAACAAAAGTAGGGAAGGCGGATGTGAATGATCCACAATACGAAATGCTGAACGGACTTGGCGATGACATGTTCAAGAAGGAGGAGAAGGAGCCCAAGAGACATTCTCGTGGTTGCACATGCGGAGAAGAGACGAGAACGGAACCAGGAGCACGATCAACCATTCACCAATTCTCACGGACCACCCGATCGTTTTGGACAATGCGTGTGCCCACTTTTCAAACAAATAGCATCACCGACTTCACGGATTCTCCGAAGAAGAGCCGAGAAATAACGTCAACTCATCGAGGACATATTCGTATGATGATCTCGTTGGTTGAGCTTATGACTGAACACGAAAGGCAAGTTCACAATCGGTAGCGACAATGATAGACCGTCACAAGAGCAGCCGACGGCGTGTTTCGTTAATTTCCGAGTGTATTGGACAGTCAAGAACGAACGGATTGAAAACCTGAAAATCTGGTACTTCCAGCGGATTGGGAAAGAGGCCTAACTACGAAAGAACACGCTGTGCAACCGCAACGCACGGACCATCGATACAGTTTCTACATCCATTGGCCGGTGTTAATTCACTTTTTTTTCGTTCCTTTGTGATTTTTGTAACGGTTGTCTATCCAAAACTTTGCAGAACTGGAAGGAAACACACGTCCGCACCGCGCCCTCTCAAATCGTTTGAATTTGGCATTGACTCGTTATAGACAACGCCGTTCCAATAACAAAATTGATGGTCATCCCCGTTCTGGATTCGCCTCTACGTAAGAGTGACTTCAGCAGCCGAAGCTCTGTAGGAATGCACACCTTCATCGCCGGTTTTACACCCAATATTTGTGCAGATTGTCGCTCAGCACCACCGGACTAACCAGAAAGAAGATGTCCTGTGAATTGGCGGCGGAGGTTTCGCCAAGCGCAGATAGAGATTTTAAGGGCACTTTTTTGGTTAGTTTTTTGTTGAAATCAGCTCGAGAAAAGTTTCTGAAGCGTATCTTCACGAGAGAATTTTCAGCAAAGTGACAGATGCTAGAATTGTGGAGACTAAACCATTGACGGTAGTGTCTCATCTCTAACAGTTGTCACAGCGTTGAGTTTCCTCGTCCATTGAAATTTCTGAAAATCGGGAAATCAATGAAAAAAAAAGAATTTCCGCGCCGGAAGACGCGTTTGATTTTGAAATACTATGAACGAAGAAATTCGGGCACACTTTTATTACGTGACGTGGCATATTAGTCATAGGTTACAGTAAGAATGGGTGGATTAAAAATGAATGAAAAATATTCGGGGGGGGGGATGGTCGGGAGATAAACAAGAAAAAAAGAGAGAGGAAAAGGGTAAATTTGGAAATGAGGAAGAAAAAGAAAGAGAGGAGTATGCGTCGGTGAGTCATTGATGGTGGACGTCTCACTCGAAGGCTTTCTTCGCGGCGAGGAACTGCTCACGTCTCATCTCCTTCTCCTCCTGCTTCTTCTTCTCCTCCTTCTCGTCGATCTTCTCCTCCTTCCCGTACTTGTCGTTGTGCCAGTGATTGCCAGAACACTCCGTCTCGAACAACACGCCCGCCTTGTGCTCTTCGATCTGTAACAGTGATTTCGTAAGGAATGTTTCATGCATTTCGAGTTACCTTCTCTTCGAAGAACTTCGCCGCCTTCAGAACACCTTCCTTCGCGACGTCGAAGGTTTGCGCGAGCTTCTTGATGACTCTCGAGCAGACGAGTTCTCCGCTGACAGCCAGACGGAAGATTTGGAGGAATTGTCCTTGCGAAATCAATCCATTTCCGTCCTGCACCACCTTTCGGACAATGCTCTTCAGAGCGATGTAGGTACGCGCTTCGCCGAGCTTCTCCATCAAGAGCTGGAGCTCGAAGTGCGAGACGAAGCCATCCCCGTCCGTGTCGATTTCTTTGAACGTGTTGATAAATCCTTGGATCTCTTTCTGGGTGAAATCCACGAATTTTTCATGGACATTCGACATCTCGACCTGAAAAAAAACGGGATTTTGAAAGAGAAAGGAAGAGGTGCGGTAGCTAGCCACCAGGAGAATGTGACTAACTGAATGAAACGAGCGCCTGAGGAAAAAGGGGCGGGCGCGTGATAAAAACTTCTAGAACACTGGGGGCGGTGCTTCTCATACCGCTTCTTCCGATGAATCATCTCGAAAAAGTTGAAATGATGAAACGGGCTGACTAAACAATCGACGAGGAGAGTCTCGGGCTTCGGAGAAGGCCAATTGGAGGGAATAATGTAGCTGTTTGGAGTGAGAGGTTGATGCTCTGGATACTGGAATACGAATAGATTAGATTCATAAACAATTTACTCGATCACAATTACATCTTCAGTGCTTCGTTGATTAATGAAAGGGAGGGACATTCTCGTATGAAGGAGTGCTGAAGAGTATTTGGAGTAAAGAACTTGTGGAGACCCTCATTGATCCTGCCATTTCTCCAAGTCGGAAAAAAAGAGCGATTACAGAAATAACTGCAGTTTGTCCGGAAATCTGACGAATGCTGGAATGATACGCTCGTACCCGTCGAATGGATCGAATCCTTCTCCGAGTGAGCAGTTGATCTTCGCGCCAGCAACATTACCAATCTCATTTTTTTCACCATTTTCCTTCTCTAAAAAAATGTACGTTAATTAGGAAATTGCGTCGGGTCTGATGCGCTGTGCACATTCACTGTGCACAGATCTGGTCTTTTAACCTCCTCTCCAATATCCACTTGCGTAACGAGCAAGGCCTCCGTCCCCCAAACTACGAAAGAACACGCTGCGCAACCGCAACGCGTCCGACGTCCGTAAAATATCACTTCCGCTGAAAATGCCGTAAAATCCGTAAACGTAAAATCTCAGCCCTGCATCCGACCTCCAATCCGGGAATTGACTTATCATCTTCAAACATGACTGAAAAAGCACATATAATTTTAGAATTTAACAAAGAAACCACATCATTGGGCCGGAAAATATGAATTGATAATGTTTCTCCATAAAACAAAAAGTTTCAGAACTGGACGGAGGCAGGTGCCAGCAAACCGCCATCCGATATCGATTCACTCTGCACCGATTCGTCAGCCAATATGGACAACATCGTTCTCCGCGCCGCAACATGGCTGGACATTCCCATTCCAGAATCGCCCGCCCTGATATTCACGAAGAAGCAACGTAAAAATGATTTTCTGCAATGTGGCAGATGCTAAAGTTGTGGACACTAAACCATTCACGGTAGTGTCTCATCTTTAGCAGTTGTCGTAGCGATGAATTTCATTTTTTTCATTGACATTTCTGAAAAAGCTACCGTATACGTATGACAAGCCTCCAGGACTCCAGTGTGGACAGCGGGGTGGCTGACTTGCGGATAGACGAAAAACGAACGTATACGTGGACAGTGGGTGCAAAAACTAAAGTATGACCTTTATTCAGAAAACACCAGATTCTCGTAACCCAAAATCAACCAAAATTGTAAAATAATTGAGAAGAATTAATTAACATAAAATTTCTACTTTTTGTTCGACTTGACCGGCTTCTTTATGACCGACTTCGAGACCTTTTTGAGTCCGCTTCTCGAAGTCGTCGCTCTTTCTTGCCGATTTGTGGCTCCTTCTTGCTCTGCTGGCGCCGCTGATTCCGCTGTCGCCTGTCTTCGGCTCGATCGCGCACCTGCTCTTCTTCCTGCTCCATTTTGTTCGAAGTGGGTGAACAGCTGAAACGAAATCGTGTTTTTAAAAGAAGTTTTGATAATTTAAATACCTTTTCATGGTTCACGGTCGTCAATGTGAACGTGATCGTGTTCGAAGTCCAGGAGACGTTGTTGTCGATCGACTTGAGCGTGGTCGAATCCGACATTGCCGAGAAGTCCGTCATTCCGCGGGAATTCAGCTCGGCTTTTGGAGAGGTGAACCTGAAATCGAACAATCACAACTGAGAGTGCTTAAACTTTGACTCACGGTTTGGACGTCACAATGCGAACACCGTGGTTCAGCTCCTGAAGCAGCTCGAAGACAATTCGGTGCATCAATTGAGGGTCGAATGCAAAGTTGTTTATGAAGATAACCGTCGCCTCTTCACAGATCAGTTTTTTGAACTGCGGGGCAAGGAAGTCGCCCTGGTGCAGCTCGAACTCAGAGCACTCCTTCCCGAAGTGAGCCGTGAATCTGAAAAATGAAAAAGATAACGAAAAAATGATTTTGATTACTTACTGCTTAAAGCAATCCGAGTAGCTCGACGCAAGCTGGGCAGGAAGCGCGGCAATTTCGACGCCTACGCACTTCTTGACATTTGCGTAGGTGGCCGCAAAACAGACCAATTGGCCAATTCCACTGCCCAAGTCCACGAAGACGTCCTCCGGTCCCAGACGCAGCTCGTCCAGGATGCTGGCCATCTGCTCCAGATTCGTTTCGCCATATGTCTGAAATCACAGAGTCTTACTATTTCATGTATTGATTGTACTTACTTCAGAGCTGAAACTCTTGTAATGCCTGTTCAGCTGCTGCGGGCTCTGGATGCTCGTCTGAGCAGCAATGGTCGAAATCTCCATCGCCACTTTCAGAGTGCAGCGGGGGAGATGCCAGTCGGGCATCGCGGCGGCCAGCGATTTGTTTGGCTTCTGAAAAAACAATTATCTAATTGCTATCTCAAAAGTATACTCACCTCGGCCAATTTCTGCTCGAAAAGCTCGCTATAAACGAGCGAGAAGACGTCCGCGTCTTCTCTGGTGATCTTGGACAGATTTCTGTTCCAGTCGATCGCTGCTCCGGCTGGGCAGAGATCCATCAGTGGTTTATAGCACCTGAACAAGCTAATCAAAAAGACTACAGAAGATGTAAGCAACTCACGTTCTGAGGAGAACGTAAAGCACTCTCCACGTCCGCGGTTCCGAGGCTGGGAACTCGATGACGGTCCCCGACGGGAAAAGAGGCTGAAGTCTGAACTTCTCCGCCGGGGTCACAACTTGGCTTCCGTGAGCAGACTGCATTATTTGCTTTTTCTGAAACAATCTTATTTTCAAAAACGGGAAATTCGTGATGAGATAAGCTATGAGATGAGCAAAGCATTAGTGTAAGAATAACAACGAGCAAGCGGAGGTGGTCGCAAGAGCAAGTGATCCGGGCAGTCAGAGTTTCAGCAACATACAAACCCTGGGGAAACGTTCTAAAAGTACTTGATGAATGGGTTGTAAAAGATTGGGATGTTCCAATCCTAGAAAAAGTGCCTAAAGAGCGGCGGCATTCTGTGCGAGATTCTGGTAATATTATCTGGTAACTCCTACTTCATAGATTGTTTGCTTAGATATTCGTGCATTGCGTCAAGGAGCAGCAATGACAGATGAGATTCATCTGTTCGATTCACTACATAGGTCCCAACTAAATCAGCAATTAAAAAACGAAGGTGTGCCGTTTTTTGCGCCCATCCCGTTTTTCCGATGCCGTTTTTTATGGCATTTGTGAGAGAGCCATCAAAGAAGAGGAAGACGCATCAAATCGAGCCTGGAAACTTTGGAATTCGTCGGGAACCGCATACACCGACGTCGAGGACGAGTATATGGTTCACCAGTGATTGGTCAGTTAATCGTTTGTATCCATATAATATTCACACTCTATTTTTCCCCGGCTCTATTATGCCGGCATTTGACTGCAATCGCGCTCTACCGTGGTGAAACAAATGAGTGAAAATTCGGCCGAGCAATAAGCGAAGTGGGAAGAGCGGTGGATGTGATAGGTGTTGTGAGGTGAGGGGCAAAGGAAGAAATGTACATACATATTTACGTCCAAACGTGTGGGTCGCAAATCGTGGGAACGATCGGTGGTATTCAAAAGAGAAAGTGTTTTTCGATTAGATACGAGAAAGTTAACTGTCCACTAAAAACGTTGTTTGCTTATGAAGGAGATCAAATCCGCATAGAGGCTCAGGAAAAGGTGTATGGGACAGTCCACAATAAGGAGAGTTGGTTCAGAATACGAAAGTCAAAAGATGAGATCAGAGCACTGTGGAGACAAATGAAAAAGACATGAGAAGCGCTCGACGAGCTCAGAAATGAATAGATTGCCGCTCACGGTCAACTGCTGCGCACTATCTGCCGTTCGTTGCCAACTGTTGTGGACGTCTGCCACGGAATGACAATGCCACAGAAAAAATACGCAGAGATACTGGGGAGAGCGAGATCTGCGGCCAACCTGGCCACAAATTGTACCGCAAGAACGCATCACACTGGTTGTGGGGTACGCTCAACAGCACAATAATGTGTTGCGAGGTCACCAGTCTTACGTGATGAGAGGTCCGTTGTCTCTGCACAGCGGGTTACACCAAAAAAGACTCGTCGCTGGCCGTTTGGGCCGGCCGTGTGTCTCTCGACCATCTGCTCAGTACACGCATATGACGGGTCTCCGAATATGCGAGTTATCGACGCTAAATCAAAAATAGCACAATCGAGTGATTGACCAGGACTAATACACGACGATTGGAACTTCGAAAAGTATAATATGTTGAATAAAACCGGAAAAATCTTTAGAAGAGCCGTCGTAGCGCTGGAGACGACGAGATCTTAGTGGACGACGAGCACTGCGGGTTCTTCGCGTAAGAATCAGGAGTAGAATGCCATTCTTTGCTGAAATTAGAACTTTAACAAGAGCTGAGATGGGGTGAAGAGCCCCTCCCCCCTTTTCTCTTCCTCTTCTGAAAATGTTGCAAGTTCATGCATACGACAGGCCTCCAAATATTCTTATCGAGCCCACATCAGATGGAACGCAATCGAGTGATCGACCAGAATGCAACAGAGTTTTTCCTGGGGAGATTGCAACAGTTTATTGATAGCTCGGCGATTATCAAGACAAAAATAGTAACACACGAGGATCGGAGGTTCGAGAATCATTATGTTAATCAAAACCGACAAATCTATTTAGATCAGACGCTTAATTGCGGAGACGTTGACTGCGACGTCTCGCCGGTGGAGACGAAGAGATCTCAGACGTTGATGGGATCTTAGCGGACGACGAGGCCTTAGTGGAGGAGGAGGTCTCAGTGGACGAGGAGGCCTTAGTCGACGAGCAGCGCTTAGTGTACGACGAGGGTTTAGTACACGCCGAGGCCTGAATTAACGACAAGGCCTTAGTCGACGACGAGGTCGAAGGCAACGACGAGATCTTTGTCAACGACATGCTCTTGATCAACGACGAAGTCACAGTCGATGACGAGATGTCGGTGGACGACGAGACCGTAGTGGAAGGCGAGCACTGGACGATCCTCCCGGCAGACACGAGACCCGGCTGTTCTTTGCTGAAATTAAACTTTATCAAGAGCTGATTCTCATAAACAATCTCTCAAAAACTGGTATTTTTTACAGGGCCTCGCGCAAAGAAGGACGAGAGCCCCTCGTCCCACTTCGCGTGGCGACGAGGCAAGGAAGGGCCCTTTGCCTTTATGTTAATGCTTGGGAAAAACGCCTAAATGAGTCTTTGCTAATAGTTTCATCTTAATAATAGGGGGACCCGTTGTCTTCTAGCCCAATACGATGTACCAACACTTTCAAAAACACACCTTTTCTTAGTCTTGGCGCACGCGACAATGTGCTCGTACAACTCGCCGGAACCTTTGAATCCCGATCTCTTACAGAGCGTGCAGACGATACGGCTGCGATCCCTTGTGTCTGGAGCCACTCTCGCGACGCTGTACTTGAGATTGTCCGGGAACAGCCCAGTCTTATCCTCTCGCTGAAATTGGTACTGAGAATTGAGAGGAAAGATCGAAATTTCTCACAGTTATGTGCTGGTAAGATGGCAGAATTTTGCTGCATGGACCGTTGTAGAGGTGCATGTTGTACTGACTGTAGTGGATGAAAAGCGCTTTGCAGTGGTAGCAGAGGACACCGTCCACCAGTTCACCTGGAGGCTGCTTGTAGTTGGTTTCCGGCAGAATGTCGTTTGCAGGGTGGAACACTTTTGAAATCGGGAGGAAGATTTGGGGCACATGAATCAAATTCTTCTCGTTCTCCGGACTGCTGAAATCACACGATCTGCTGTAAGGTTCAAATGATTTTTCCACAAGACTTACTCAGGAGCGTGCTCGATAACTTCCACAACGTTCGACTCTTTGATGATATTTGTGGTGAAGAAGTCGATCGCATCTGGGTTGAACGCCTGTTCCAGAGCGCACAGCGAGTTACTCTTCCAGTTTTTCACCTGTTCGGTGGCCAACTTGTTCCCTGAAACAACGCGCTTTATGAGAGATGAGCACATTTTGCCAGAAACTGACACTTTGAATCGTCGTACTTCCCGAAGTACAGCTCTTGGCGCATGCGCTTCAGCTTTCTTCTGTCCAGTTTTTGGCAGGAGTGCCCTTTGATGAGCGAGAACGTACAGGTTCTCATAAAACATCTGAGGCATAGGAACGGGAAGCGTCTTGGCACTTTTGGTTTCTTATACTTCTTCAGAATCTGAAGAGCTTCCCGGTTGTGCTTCGGCATCGATACCCATCTTCGGCGATGACTGAAAATAAAACAAATATACACATTTTTGGATGGACAAGTTCTCGACTCACCCAGTCAAGACTCTTGCGTACGCGGGGTGCAAGTACTTTGCCATCTGTTTTGGCAAGTCTCTGATGAGCATTTTTCTGTTCTCTGGGCGTTTGAAACGACGCTTCGCCACCTTGTCGTTGCTCGTCTCGAGACCGCCGGCCTTTGGATCCTCAGTACGGGCTCTCTTCTTTCCACACGATTGAGTCTCCACCGATGACTTCGTCTTCTTTGATCCGCGAACTCCGTCTTGAGCGATCACACGCTTAACTCCCGTTTTGACTGCTGGAACGGGCGCCACCGGATCCATTCTTGGTGTCGCCTTCTCACTGGCGGATAGTGAGTTTTTGGTCGTCCTGACCGTCGGGATCTTGTTCTCCACCTCGACAGTGCTTCCGGCTTTTGTCATTGTCGTTTCGTTATCTGTAACAGGAAATAATTCCAGAGTTTAGGAAAGAGAGAAAGAGAGTAATGGGTACTGTATAAATGCGTGAGAAACACTTTTCGAAGAGAATCATGAAACAACAACAAGTAAGCGACAAAGGAGCGGCGGTGAACTCGGAAAAACTTGGGTAATGCATCCGAACGGCGTTCCCTAATTCGAAAAAAGGCGCCAAACGTTCTGTTTCTCTTATCGTGCACTATCTCGCCGTGGTGACCTAGCCTTTCTCTGCGTATCCGAGGGTGGACGATGTCTCGCGAGTGAAGGGGGTAGACTACAATGTACCTTACCATTCGGGAGAGAGCGAGCAAAATTACGGTAGCCCTGGCTGAGGGGAAAAGTGATAAGTACCAAAGAAATCGCGATTCCTTTCTGGATTTTTTGTGATTCCAGGAGAAAAATAGGAAATTTACCAACTTAAGGAAACAAAGTGCGGTAGACTGTTTTCGCCAAGAAGACGACTCATCTCTCCTAGCCGGGTATTGTACAAATTAAGCTCAACACTAGGATGAGCAGAAAACTCCTAAATCGATTAAGAGAGATGACGAACGCGAGGGCCCAAAGCGATCAGGAGGAGGATGGCCGAATGGGATGGGCCGTGGAGACTGTTCGCGGCGAGGCGGGAATATTGATCGGAAAACGACGAGCATACGAAAATATGCGTTCAGAGAGCCGCCCGAGAGAAAAGAAGGTACGTGTACAGAGCCGTTTAAAAAAGAGACAATGTGATTACAGAATACGATGCGATTACATACAGGGCTGCTGTTTGCAACAGGTCACGAGCTCCGATGGAAGATGTGTGTGTTCTGGCACTCATTTCATATTTTCAGTGTGTTTTACTAATAATTATCGTCATTTCGGTCCGAAACAAGTGTCGGTAAGTCTTTTTTGAAATTAGTTATGAATTTTTAAAGTATTCGATCCGAACTAGTGGTGTCCGCCCTTAGTGCGGGGAGATCGGACGATGTGAACATTCTCAAACAGATTTCGTATTTTTTCAGTGTTCAATGTTACAAAAACAAAAAAGGAAAAACGTTTGACCACTGAGCGGATCGAACGCCCAACCTTTCGATCTGGAGTCGAACGCGCTACCATTGCGCCAAGCAGTCATGTTAGAAACAAGTGTACGATGGCTATGATAACGGCGAAGCGCATCATCGGAGAGATAGGACAGGCCTGCACCTCTGGCCGTTTTCTGATTTGTAGTTTCTGTGTTTCCGTGTGCAAAGTGATAAGAACGAATACACTGCAACTGATTGAGAACTGAAAGGTTGTCGCAAATACCCGCGGAACTATTTTGTCCGACGTACATTTGAAGTAGAAGTTATTGAGAAGAGATGAGTTATAGAAACCTCTTTTTGCAGTGATCTCTTTCTCCACTTCCCCTTTTCATTGGTGTGTAAAGTCTACGTATCTCTTCATTCGTTTCCCCAACATCTCTTTGATATCATTTCTATCTCAGTTATTATCATTTTCTAAATGAGAAACTTGCAAGTTTCTCCTGTCGAATTCAGTTTGTCCCCACTTCCAAAATTCTCTACACCTCCAAGACCCTCTCCATGTTTGGTAAATCTCTCGAAACCCGCTTATCTGGTTCACAGCAGAACACATGAACTTTGCTGGTCTCCACGTACCGTTTTCTCTATTCCCCCCCCTAAACTCACTAGTCTTTTGTTCGCTCACTGATTTTTGTAATACCATCTATTTTCTTCAGACTCGTGATTTGTCGTTGGCAACTAATACGCGTCAGGAGTGTACGCAACTGTTATCAGTTCGACTTCATTGCCTTTGTTCCCAAATTCTTTTTGAATGCAAAGATAATACCTTTTCTCAGTGGGACGCTGATTTTTGCTTATTTCTTTAAATCAGTTTTGTCAATTATCGTTTTTCAGAGATGCCTTCAGTGAAGAGACGAATGCAGAGCGAACTTCGCAACTATCAGTTGGAGAAGAAAGAGGAAGACGGAGTTTTCATTGAAATGAAGGGCGAGGATGTTCTCGATCTCAAGGTTAGAAAGTTCCAGCCGTGATAGAAAAATCTGAAAAAAATTCGCAAAAATCGGAAATATTCTGAATACTCATCCGAATTTTTTTTCGGATTTTTCCTGAATTTTCTCGATTTTATGTGAATATTTGAAGTGTTCAGTACCGCTTGTCAGATGTTTTCGGCTATTCTCGACCTTTTCTGCTTTATTTTTCACTCACTGAGTATTTGTTGCAAAATGTTAAATTCAGAGAACATTGCGAGGCAAACGACTGAAATCTAATACTCAAATTGCAGTTTTCAGGGGTATATCAATGGAGTTAAAGGAACTCCATACGAGGGTGGCATTTTCGAGCTGGATATCAAAATTGGAGAGGATTATCCTTATCGAGCTCCCATGGTTCGTTCACTTATTCTGGGCTCCAGTTCACCTCGACCAATTGCAGATCAAGTTCGTCACCAAAATCTGGCATCCGTCTGTGAACCCTTTTAATGGAAGTGTGTGCCTGAACGCGCGCAATGACGCGTGGCCGGTACCGATGACAATCTACAAAACTCTTCTGACGATCCAATCGTGGATGTCGACAATTGACGCGAAAGAGCCGATTGATGTTGAGATTTTGGAGCAGGCAATCAAGAACACTGCAGTTTTCGAGGTAAATTTCACGAATCTTCGAAATGCTTTACTTTTCTTCGCAGAAAACTGCAAATTACTGGGCGTGGAAGTTCGCAGGCGGGAGAAGACCATCAAATTGGGATTATGAGAGTAAAGTTCAGGTTCTGAACAGGTTGACCAGAGATGAGGTGAGGAAATCTGACAGATAAGTGAAAAAAGTTCGTTCACTTTTCAGAATCTGGCAATTATTGCTCTCAGCTATCACAATTGGGTTCTACCAAACGGTGTCGGACCACGTACCCCCTAGCCACTCATAATCACCTTTCAACTTTTCAATCTTAAACTTATTTGTGTAGTTTCTTAGCGTAACACCCGTATTTCCTCTTTTCTTTTTTCCCTTTGGCTACTGTGAAAGTTTTCGGTTTTATTTTTGGCATATTTTCAACGCGGTGACGTTTATCAATGACTTTCTCTACCCTGCGTGCAAATTGGCATACTTGTCCCCGATTCTTATCTCGGCTGACAGACGTTTGCAGGTTCTTTGGGTCCTTGTCTATTGCTAAACGTCGAGCCAGTAATACAAATGTGAAGACATCCCCGTTGGGCATCAGGAAACGTTGGTTTTTCCCCGGTGACTCTGCGTGTAGTTGACCTTGTGATGTTCTTGTGATGGAACGCGGGAGAGATGTAAACGTTGAAACTACAGCAATCCTCAAAATTTGATGTGATTTAATTGAGAGAACGTCGCATTATTTCAAAAAACAAGGAACAATTTGTCAGAGTAAGTGGCCGTCATCGGACGCATGTGTAGTTGTGACGGTGAAGTGAAGCGAAGATGTTTGGAAGTTTCAGAATGAGATAACGGAAGTTACATTTTCTGATAGATCTCATCGAGCTGATAACTCTTGTACTGATTTTGATGTGGTAATCCGAACTGATATCAGTGATGTGAATCAATCCTTTTCCCCAAATTTTTGAATCCATTCAGAGATTCACGCCTTCGTGCTAACCCGACACCCGAACATGTGTGCCTAGATATCTTCGTTTTGCTAGTCGCACTTTTTCATGAGGAGAGGGACCAATTGTACGTCCGATTACGTATATGTGTTGCGGTGTGCGATGAGCACAGGCATACTCCTTCCCAACCGACGTGCGTCTTACGTCACCAACAGTCCGCACCCCCCTTCCTCCCTCCTCCCCACCGGTACCCCTCTACCCCGCCTCACCAGTCTTTGTTACCTCATTTGTCAATCTACCGGTCAATTACCATGTCCTTGCCAACCGCTGATACCAAAAAAGATGTTAGTCTTGTCAGTGCCGATGAAACGAGTGATATGCAGGGCAAACTCAGATGCTTGCAAAAGCTGTTGAAGAACCCGGTAAGTCTTCGCGTTCAAAAATATATTTTTCTCATAATATTTATTTTTCCAGAGAGCCCGCATACCGGAAGTCGTCTATACTGTCAGACAATACGTGAAAAGCATGAAGGCACTCATGAATCTCAACAAGACGCCATATCATTCAGTAAGTTCGCACTTTAAAAAAACTGGCATAATCAATTATTTTGCAGGAAAGTCGCGCCAAGATCTCAATCGTCTTCAAAAACGTCGCCGCCGTGGAGGACTACCTGATCCGCGTCATTCTTTGCGCCGAAGATCCCGTGGTGGCCTGCCAGACGACGATCACTGGAAAAAAGAGGGTTGTGATACCAGTCAACCTCTAATTAAACCGCCTTCGTGCACCTTCTCTGCTCTTTCCCTTATCTGATGTTGTCATTTTCTACTTCCCCCTCCCTTCCTTTTCTGTATGTAATGTTTTAACGTTTTGTTTAGAAATACGGTTCCTTATGCTTTCACATAATATGAAACATTGATTTGTGCAATGAAGCTAAACAATCTTTTTCAAATTCCAAAATCTGATTTCCATTCAGTTCTCTCTGGTTTTCGGTTTCCATTGCCAAAGTTCAATGCTGACTAGGACTGATACGGCTCGGCCTGATAAGGAGGTTTCTTTTCGATTGTGCAGAGTCTTCCTCTCTCACATAACCCATTTTCCGATCAAGTCGAACGCACATCGTCACATCGTCTGTTCGCTCTCTCTCTCTGGTCTGTAACACATTCCTAGACATGCCTCTCCCTCTCTCGCGCACTGTCTCGCCGCGCTGCCTTGCGGATTGGCGGTGCGCGCGGTTCGAGGGTTCCAGGTGTCCCAAGAGGGAGAAAAAGAGAGAGAGAGAGAGAGTGAGAAGAGTAGAGAAAGAGGGTAGGGGACGGGAGAACTGTGAGGACAGTCGTCCAACTCATAAAGACGAAAGTCCAACCATTCTAGCTTACTCCATTTCGTACTCATTTGCTGTCTCATCCCAATCAATTCTTCCTTCTCCGTTTCCTTCTCATTCCACCTTACCGTAATTCAACATGCGTGTGCAGTCCATTCCTCCAGTCGTCCCCATCAGTTTGAATGGAGTTCACTAGGTTACCATTCCTACTTTTCATATTTGCGCCTATCTTATCCTCACATTATTCGCGTTTTGGCCTTCAGTGTTATCATTCTCATTGTCGATAGTCCTGGGAGTCGGCACATTTGTCAGTTCGCATGTTGACAGGTCTTTTTTATCTTCGATGATTTGGGAGAGTGATATATAGCTCTATTTTAAAGGGGGACTCCACACCAAGGGTGCTAACATACATCACGCTGCTAGGACTGTAAAGCTGGGCCTTCTTTGGGACAACTCCGGGTCATTATGTGATAGTTACCAGACTTTAGGAAGTCTCGAATACGGATATTATGAAACCGCGACGTTTTGAAACGTTTCGAAACCAGATTGTTCACAGTACCAGCGAGAAGCGTATTCCCCGCACACCCGCTCCGAGGAGAAGAGGGGGTTCCCATAGTGGGCTGGGGGTCGTCTCCTCGCCTTTTGGGACTCACGGCCATGGTCGCCCGTGGTCAAGCCTTATTGACATTGTCGTTGGCCTCTTTTTGCTCGCAGAGTCAGTAACTGATCAATCCATAATTCAAATGTTGGAATTTTCATGGATATATTTGCCCATCGTGTATCTCTTTTTATCCTTTTCGTACTAACAAAAGTCTATTACAGAGAAATGTCAAATCAACCATCCAGCTCATCCGCTTCGGAGAGCATCCGTCGATCCAAACGGAAGAGAAGCGAATTTGATGTGGTAGCCGCCGCCAACGGTAATAACCAGAAAAAGAGCAAGCAAATGTTAGACTTCGACGATTCGGATACGGATTTGGATGAAGACAAATATGAGAGCACGGACACCCCGGTGATGAGAGCGTTGCTCAGAAACAGCAGAACGGATGACAGTGAGGAGAGAAATCGGAAGCACAGTGGAGAGGAGAACACGGAGACGAGCGCCTCCAGAATGCCGCTTGTCAAACCGGAGATCAGAACGGTTAGTCATCCAACAGTAGAGATGTGTCCTAAAACAGATGTAGTTAGAAACGTAGCGGGTTTGAGTCAATCAGAAAAGCGCCGAGAGCGAGAGGGTCCCCGATGGTCACAGTTGTAAGGCCCGGGCCAGAAAAAAACTTCAGAAAAGAGAGCCTTCCCTTACAATGTAAAACGTCATCGTTTAAAAAATCATCTTTGTTTCAGAAATCTGGAAGGCACGAGTGCCCGAAATGCCCAGCCCACTATGACAACGTGCGTGGTTTGGCGAATCACAAGAAGATGCACTCTGAAAAAAAAAGAGCGTTTGTATGCACAGTCTGCGACTTTTCCTCGGTCACAGAGAAGTACCTGAAAAAGCACACCGTTCTGCATCAGCCTTCCGCAGAGGTGGTCGCTTTGAAATCTCTGCTCCGAGCGCCCGGAAGCAGAAAACCGTTCCCACCGTCCGTCAGCTTCCAAGACGACTGTAAAGCTGCTTCCCCGTCTCCGCCAGGGTCCCAGCCTGTTGAGCTGCTCCCCGCCGATGCTGATGGTAATGTCGAGTGCCTGGAAGAGCACCTCGTTGTGAATCAGGCCAAAGCCGATCCAAGTGTGACGGGCAGTACGGAGGGAAGCTCCGACCCAACTCCTAGTGCATTTTCTTCCGCAGAAGTGGTCCCGTCAATGTCTGCGATTCGAGCGCCTGGAAGCAGGAAGCCGTTCCCACTGTGCATCGATTTTGAAGACGACTCTGAGGATGATACCCCGACTCCGCCAGAGAACCAGCCAGTTGAGCTGCTCCCCGCGCAAGCTGATGATCATGTCGCAGAAGATGATGCTGATAGACAGGAAGAAGTTGCGGTGAGAAGATCAACTCGAACGTCTCACCAGATTGTGCAAATTCCCGCTGCAAGAGTGATCAAGAAGAGAGAGAAGACTGTCCGGAAGCCAAAAGCCGTGTTGGATGATTTGCAACTGCCGGAGTCGTCTTTGCCTGTTTCTTCCGCACCTGTGAAACCACAGAAGAAGATTAGATCCGCAGTGTTGATGAAACAAATGGTTGCGGAAATGATGAAAACGTCGATGTCGGCGAACAGACATGAAACCATTAGTAAGTCAATTTTGTTTTATTCGACGGGCACACAATAGCATTTCAGTTCACAAGCATCAGTGCAAAGAGTGCCCCTACGGATCGTCGATCGAGAATGAGCTCCGTGATCATCAGCTGTCGCACACTGGACCATCTGATGCTCGCCCTTTCAACTGCTCTGATTGCTCATTTGCCGTCAATGATGCCGCCATTCTGCTCAACCACGTCGCGTTACACGATAACGAGTCCGGGCGGCCAGTCGAACCAATGTCTGCGGAGCGAGATGATGGCCGCGTCCACTGTAAAAACTGTACGTTCTCCGCTGTATCTGCCGAGAAGCTTGCGCTTCACGCTGCTCTGCATCGGCAAGACCTCGTTAACACCCTGAACTTGGTAGTTATGAAAAAGCTGTCGGCTCGGCAATTCCAACAGCAAAAGATGTGCCCGTCCATCAACAAGACTTCCTGGTCGCTATGGGTGAGGACGGCGAAGCCGAAGGCATGCAAAAGTTGCGTTTTCGAATGCTACATGCAAAGCTCATACGTCGAGCACATCGATCGGCACGGATATCGTCAGAAGCACATGTGCACCGTATGCGACTACTCCGACAACAGCAAAATTTTGGTGGATTTCCACGAGAAGTATCATCACTCGAAACAAATGGTAAGATCACTTCGAATCGTTCCCAACTCTATTCCCTTATTTCAGGCGAGAGGACCTGGAACTGGAGCCGTTCTCGACTGCATGTTCTGCAGATTCAAGTGCGACGAGAAGAAAAGTCTTGCTCACCACATCACCGTTCATCACGGACGCGCTCCTGGAGGCCACGAAATCGCTCTCACTCTGCTCATGCCATTGCTTTGAGTGTAAAGCTCAAGAATGTTCAACGACAGCTGTGCACCTCATTTATATCTTTTTTCTATTCTTTTCATTGTTTTGATTTTTTTACTGTAATTTGTCACTAAATAAATTTGTTCTTCTCCATTGGCTTCCGTATGTTGCATTTGTGTTGAGTTGCGACACTGTTCCGAACATTTCGCTCTGCAATATCTTTATTTTATTTGTTTTTCTCTTCTCATTCTTGTATTCATTTATCACAAGTTCATTTTCTCTTAAAATTGATTATTATTGTCGTCCACCACAAAATGGTCAGAACCAGAAATCAAGCAAATGAAACACCATAAGCTTTTTCATTGATTTTCGTCAAACACGCAAAAACTATAACTAGGGACTACATAAATTCTTTCCAAATTTTAAAATCAAACCCTATTTCAGCTAAAAATGTGAGTCCAAAATTATCGGTTTCCTGTGAAGAACCCCGTCTGCTTTCTCAAACAGCACGCAAAAATGCGTCACTTTGACCGGCTGTAACTCAAAAACGGCACATTTAATTTTTATTCTGACTTCGAAAACGGATTCCTGATATAAAAATCTGCCGTATTGAGCAAGCATATTGCCGCTAGAGGACGCTCGAGGAATTCTGTGACCACTTTTCTTAGTTTGGCTAAAATTGTTCAAACATTTTGTTTTTTCAGCCAAACCAGTCATTTTAACTGAAATTTCTATTCGGTAGAAAATTGTCAAACGCTTACAGTGTCGAAAAGTCTGCAACCGTGATTTTGAGAGACTTTCGTTGCGCTCCCAAATCATAGCCTTGCAAAACTTATTTTTCAGTGACATTCATGTCTACACGCACGGAAGAACTCCTGATTTGGACGAAAAACGTGACGGTGAGCTATTTTCTTTGATTTTCAATATTTGTTTTCATTTCAGATATCAAAATGAAATGGGGGCGCTTTAAATTTGACAAATATATTGATTATTGCAACTACGGAGTCATCTGTGCAAAGTCTCCGACACTCGAAACCATCAGGATGTGGCTCTCAAAATCGGTTTGAGTCGCAAGGAAATTAAAACTGATCTGAAAGTGATGAACGATATGGTGGGGACTGAAGGATTCCTGACATGCCATGATTTTACGACGGATTTGCTCGGACTGAACCTCTGGGAGTGGGCTGATCTCCAGAGCTGGAGGATTCCAAAAAAGAAATATCAAGCCGCAAAATTTTTTCTTTGGACGATTCGGAAGTTCTCATATATTACTAGTTCGAAGAGATTCCATTTCAAAATGAAAACACGCTTTATTATTCAGCTTATCGACTTCGGATCCGCTTGCAAATATCTCACCAAAGAAGGGAACCATATTCCGCAGAAGACTTGCGACAATCCACTCGGTACTTCTAATTACATGAACTGGAACCTCCACTGCAAATCGAGTAAGCACACTTTTATTCTCACTAAGATGCAGTGTTTCGTTGAAGAATATTCAACATCCTATATTTTTTTCCAGCTCCTTCCCGTCGTGACGACATGGAATCCACTGCGTTCGTCTTGCTCCAACTCTTTTCCAATTGTCTTTGATGGCTTCACATCGGTCATAAACAGGAAAGTCTTGAGGAAAAGCTTTGCGTCATCAAGCTTGCAAAGCGCGTTCTCATGTACAGCCCGTCAGGATTCAAGCAGCACTCGGCAGAGCTGATGATGTTTTACTACATGTGCACCAGAATGCAATTCAATTCAACACCAAGATACGAAGCTATGACAAATCTGTTCAACGTCGAAGAAGATCGAGTTTGTCAATTGAACGAGTGAGTTTTGGGTCTCTCGAAATGATCAGCAAAATGTATTCACAGAATGACGACCCGCGGAAGAGAGTGGTACCTGTGTACGCTGCCGGAACAACACAAGGTACTACAATGACAACGTATTGTTTTTGAATCGCCTATAAATGCAGAAAAGGCTTGAGAAGTTCCGGGTTCAATAAGCAACGTCGCAAATAATCCAAACTTCCCGGCGCTTTTTTCGTCCGTCTCTTCCTCCCGTTCTCCTCAATATTTGGACTCCCTTTATAATAGCACATGTTCTTTTTGGATACTCGAATTCTTTTCTCCTTTTTCTCTCTTCGACATGTCTTCGTCACCCCACCAGAGGGAAGATATTTTGAAAATTGGAAGAATAAGGGAAATGGATAAGGGCGATTGGGTGAGTTTTATAGAATTGATGGTCACCCGTTCAAGCGAAGAGCAACTGTATGGTGAACCAATAGTAACACATCGAGTAGAACACGATCAGAAATCCTGCAAAAAATAAAACATTTATAGAGACAATGTTTGACATAAACTCTTACCAAGCAAAAGTTGGAGCGAAATTATTTCTAGGCCAACCCAAAAAGCAGAACATATTTCACAGTAGGTCTTGAGACCGGAGAAGACGCTGTAAAGAAATACATTTTGAACATCTTAGCGATTTCCAACTTACACAACGAGATTGGACCCGATTAGAAAGAAGAAGATGAATCGAGGCAGTCCACGAATTCGAGGGAACTCCGTCTCGAACCAACGCTTCAAGATGAGCATAGCCTGCAAGGTGATTTGCGTCAGAAACTATAAACAGTTATAACTTACGGGATTAATGTAGTTCAGTTTGTTGTACACGTCTATCATTTTACTGTGAGTCTCGATTCGCTGCGAGTCCTGCCCCGCATCGGTCATATTCCATAGGAGATCCGAAATGAGGAATAAAACCTGGAAACATGAATAAAGGTTTCTACTATTTCTAAACTCGCTGCTGCTCACGATTGTTCTGCACAGGGGACACCTGGCCGGGTTGTTTCAAACAACTTGTTTGGCAACGCCTTGTCGAGACTCGAAAAGTTTTTCGTAGACAGAAACCACTGGATGAAGCACGAAGCTGAAAAACAAATTTAGATCTTCGGAATGCTCGATATTCATGGGCCAATTAGTACTCACTGCAGAACCTATATGATCACAATCCGTCACGATCGGGTCTACCGCCGTCTCTCGGCAAACCGCGCACTTCAAATCCTGAAAATTGTTCTCAGAAATCTTCTTAACCCAATCAAACCTCTTCGTTATCTGATCGGGGAGTTACAAGCAGATCGAAAGAGCGTTTGACCTGCAGACAACTGAAATTAGAATATTTGTTCAACTAGATACGATCCCAATGATATCTTACTATTCACGAGCGGTCTCACGCGCTATAAAGGCTATGAAAGCAAGGAATATGAAGAAGGTCCATATAAGATCCAACATGTCTTCGTCACCAAAGAATGTACCCTGAAAATTGCAATTAGGCCAGCGCAGCCCGGGCTTTTCGAAGACCTGTTGAGGCCTGAACTTTTGACACATTTGCAATAGTCCGATAGGGCCCAAACTTTCCAGGCTTCTTCAATTTGAATTAAAGTATGTTGGGTCCAAGTTTTAGGACGATCGAATCATCCACATATCTAACCCAATCGGTTTGAAACCAAGTCTAAGAAGCCTGCACAGTTAAATAAAACCGAAAACGGAAAGAATGTTTCAGTCGGAGGCGCTTCTCTCCCCCTCTTCACATTTCGGATGTATGAAAGTTGACGAACAAGTGAGAAATCAATCGAACCGTCCGCGAAACAGATAAACGAATGTCGCATAAAACTAAAGAAATATAAGAGGGCGCTGAGAGAGCAAACGGAGGTAATAGAGAGCGACACAGACACTTTTTGTCAAAACATTCACGCAACGGAACGGAATATTCCGTCCCGCTCTCTTCGTTTTCCGTTCTTATGAAATAACAGATTGATCAGTGAGTTATTTACTGTTTTTCAGCGGTCAGATCTGAACTTTATCACATCTCCTTATCAGCTTTTCTTTTTCCAAATTCTCCTCGTTTCCTACCCAGCTAAATGATCGCATTGGAACATAGAAATTGCATGAAGCAAAACGCACTGCAAAGCGTAGTACTTTCCCACCACTGACTGTCCATTTTGCAACGTTTATGGTTCTATCGTTTCAAAAAAGAGAGGCGCGAACACAAAAACAGTATGCAGCAGACACCGTCCCCCCTTTCCTCTCAGACTTTCCTCGTAACGGCTGCAGAGACGCAGAGACTTTGCTCTCGCTTATTCGGCGTTGGCGGGAATATGGCCCATTCCAAAGTTTTGAACGTCGTTCAAATTTTTTAATCTTTATTCCCCTTTATCATACATTGCGCGCGTCTAAAATTGGGATAATTATGAATTAAAAATATCACAGAACGTGCATTTACCACGTTTTCATCATATTTCTCGCGAGAAACTGTTAAAACAAATACTTTCCTTCTCGTTTTGTAGCATATTTCCTATTCAGACTCCGTACTCCTCCGCCACACCACACCACACCACAACATGACGCCGAACACCAAGGTTCTGGACAATGACAAGGTACTTTGCAGAAAAAGAAACAAAATGTGATTGAAATTTCTATTTCCAGGTCATCCGCCTTTACAGAATTCTTCACCGTCCTGTCGAGATCCACAACAAGATGGCGAATGGTAGGGAGCCAGAGATCTCGTGCTACCCGACACTGAGTACGACGCTTTTCGCGCTCATTAGTTTCTACCTGGATTACTTTCGGTGGGTCTAAAAACAAACGTTCTTTCCAATGAAATCTACAATTTTAGGGACCAGGGCATCCCGATCAGAGAAGCTCGCCTCGTCGGTGGCGCCGCGTCGCACGTCCTCTGCTTGGAGCAGAGGTTTACGGACTTCGACGTACTATTCGTCGTTGACCCGGAGAAGCAGTGCGGGAATCTGCGACAGCTATTCAGCAGGCCGCTTACCGCTGCGGAGATATTTCTGAAGAAGTTGCTGTGGTCGGATGGAGAAGGTAGATGGCCGATGAATCGAAGGATTATGGAGAGTACCTATATCTCTAAAAAGTTTCTTGTAAGTGAAATGTTGAACAGAAGTGTAAAAGAAACATTGACATTCAGCACCTCTTCCCGGGCTCGCCGGATGAATGGTCACTGCTGACGTTCCATAACATGTATGGTTGCAACGTGGAGCTCAAATTTGTGCGGAACATGGCTCGAGAATTCGAATTTGCCACCGACTCCCTCCAAATCGATCTGGCGCCGATGTTGAAAGAGTTTCTGAACGGCAGAGAGCAAGTGATCGTCAAATCACTTTTTGCAAGTGTAGACTTGGTAAACTATATCGACCTCGAATTTGAACTGTTATAGAAACTTTTTAGGTAGAAGCACACATCTCTCAGCAGCGAATCGACACCTTGAAGCCATCCGAAATCAGAGGAGGAGGATTCTTGAAGTTTTGCCTTCTCAAGATCAAGGGATTTAAGGAGTACAGGAGAGGAAGAGAACTTCATGTGATGAAAAGGTTAGTTAATTTCGTCAGATTAAAAGTTGGAATAATGTGTTTTACAGAGAAATGGTCGAGACGTTCCTCCGAGACTTTGATGGGAAGTTATCGGTAATATCGGCTCGACACCCTGTTATCATGTACATGAAGGTTCATCTTCCCAGGGAGAGCGAAGAAATGAAGATGAAGTTCATCAACCAGGTCCAGTTGGTAGTCAAAGAGACGTACGAAAGCCATGAAAGCCAAGCTGCAGACAATGTACTTATCAACATGATGGATTTGGCGGCCGACTCGGTAGGAGATAATTTCACTGGAGTACGGAGTTGATGAGAAGTTTCAGGTGATGCTCGACAAACTTCTCCGATGATGACCGGCTCACTCACCTTCCTGTTCACTGCCTGCCGCCCGTCTGACTTTGTCCTTCCGTCCGCTTACTGTCTTCGATCTTGTAACTTCCCCGTTTGCTCTCTTCGGTTTGTATTATATATGTAAATCCTGATTATCCCTAAGTTGAGTTGTTTACAGTCAATCGTAACCACCTCACCCAATCACCTGTACACTTTCAGTCGAATCTCATGCATTGTCGGGTAATTCTCTTAAAAAGAATCTCCCGTTTCTAGCCCCACTACCCCCGATTTTCACCTTTTCAATCAATTTCTTGCATTTTTTTTATTAATAAGTAATCAAAAATATATTGGTCACCAATTGAACAAGTAGGCGGCGAGTTTGAGGGCGAAGGATGCGTTCACAACGTCTGTAAGAAAACTACAAACTAACTATAGAAAAATTTAGTGCATACAGATTGGTCCGTTCATGCGCTCGTCAATTTCGTATCCGAAGATGTAGACGAATGCCATTTTGAAGATTGCTCTGAACGCCAGGACCCTGTAAAAACAAGACGTTTACTATGTGTCCACGGAAGAAATGATCACTTACAGAAGGACGAGAAAGATTTTGAAGAGCATGATGTTCTGTGTTTGCGGATAGGTTTGCGGTCTGAAAAATTGAGAATGTTGCCGAATTCTTACAGATGAGGATAATGCATGCATTTACGCGCAGATCATGAGCAGTTTTCGTCACACAAGTTGTTTACGCTGATTTCGTAACTTGTTCAGCAGCCCTTCGACGTCGGAATTGTCATACCGGCCGAACAGATCAGTTTTCAGACGTAAAAACACGCATTTTGAGTGTTCGCAACTTTTTTCGAAACAATTATGTTAATCGCCTCTTTTTTAACTTTTGCTCGCCATGAATAGTTGATTTTCTAACTAACAACAAAAAAATTGATTGAAATTTCTATATTGCCGGATGAGTCATCAAGTCGCCATGGCCGTTTCTTCGACTTGCCCATCGATTGAGAAATTATTCTCACGTTTTACATATGTACGCGATACTCGTTTTCATTGTATCAGGTGGAAGCAAAAAAAAAACCGCCAAAATTATCATATATTGGGCGAGAAAGACATTTTATTTTATGTGCACATCGAGTAAAAGGTGAAATAAAAACGAAGAGACGAAATCTCGATTTAATGGAACACTTTTCTCTCATAATTTTCGAATATTTGCATATGTCGACTCCCACTTTTTGCAGTCCTGCCACACGTACATAGTTTTTCGGAATCCATTTTAATTTCCATCGACACGTTCGATTAGATATCTGTCTGATTTTTTGGCTTGTTGGATCAGTTCCGTTTATTTACTCCCGTTTTATAGTATAATTGCCCGAAACCATCCCCATTTGAGCAAAGATTGGCCCGCGGAGGGGGAAATAAGGAGAAGGGAGAGCGAAGATGAAACCCATAATCGTATTGCCATTCTCACCGATGGCTCTAACATTTATTTGTTTCAGAGGAGGGGAAAATCGAATGAAATGGGAACCATAGCGCTTTTATATGTTCTTCTTTCCCGCTGACGGACAGAGGGAAACGTCTCGGAATACAAAAAGGCACCTCGGCGCGGATGCCGACTGGCCGCGGCATCCGCGCCGATTCCTTGCCGTCCCTTTGCCGTCCCTTGCCGATTCATGCTATCGGCAATTTTTAAAAACGATTCAAACATTGCAGGTAGTTGTTGCCAGATTCCACTCATCATTGTCATGTACCTTAACCAAGAACAAGTAAGTTTTCAATCACTAATGCTCCAGAAAATGTTAGTTCCAGCTTGTTCGCCTGCAACACGTTCTTTTCCGGAAAGAATTACAAATTCACAACTCGCAAGCAGTGTACTACAATGAGTGGATTGCCAAGTTCCCAACCATTCGGACGACACTCGCAGATCTTCTGAATTTTCTTTACAAAATCTTCGAGTGAGTTCCAATTCTTTCTTTCAGTTCGTACTATCTAACATTTCAGAAAGAACGATATACCAGTGCGTGAGTCATTTTTGATCGGAGGAGCTGCATCCTCTGTGATTGTCCCAGAATACTCATCCACTGACTACGACATTCTTTTCAAAGTACAAGCCACTGACGATTTCATCGAAAAACAATTTATTTCCGAAAAAATCAAATGTGCAATTGATGAAGCGCTCAAGCTTATTCTTAAGTCGGCATTCCCTCATCTTCCACCGGCCACGTGGGTGTACATATGCAAGAATGTCAAGGTGGAAAATTGAAAAACTTTAAATTAATCTGATCATCATCTCAACATTCTCAGATTATCAGCAAAACTGGGGATGCTTGGCTGCTGATTGCTCTGCACAACCTATTCGGAAAGCACATCGAGTTGAAGTTCGTGTGGGAAATGAAGAGACAGTTCGAGTTCCCGACGGACTCACTCCAAATCTGTCTGAATCCTCTGCTGACCGGCCGGACGAACCGGCACTTGGACGTGCCACTTAAATCGTCGTACGGAGACGTTAAAGAAGTCAGTGAGATGCTTCAATAATTGTATTAAAAGAAAATTACACTCTCTCAGTTTATGTGGCTGTCCAGGGCTGAGCAACGATCGGCTCGCTCTTTTTGAGGGTCTGTCTTGGCCTGAACTTTCCGAACTATTGCAAATATCCGATCCAATTTTTAAGACCAATTCAATCATTAACAGGAGATAAGCCTACAAAGTTTGAGGCCAATCGGAATGTTGCAAGAGGTCCGAAAGTCCAAGACCACACAGATCATTGAAAAGCCCGGGCCGATCATTGCCCAGTTTATCGGAATAGCATCGAGATATTCACTGCGCAAAACTGCTTCTGTTGTCCTTTTTCAAATAATTATTATGTTCAGGTAATCGAACTCATCAGTAGGAAACTGATCAAGTTGGTACGAGCTCAAGAAATGCGAGGAGGAGGGTTTCTGAAGTACTGTCTTCTCAAATCTCGAGGGTTCTTTGATGATCAGATGGACCTGAGTACACTCAACAACTTGAGAAAGTAGGATTTATTATTGAGACTTCTACAAATCGTTATTTTCAGCCAAATGACTGAAAAGTTCTTATCCGACTTTAGAAGTCAAATTGAGGGCGGAAATGCAATAATTTTGTCGAAGTATCTCGTCGATCATCTTGGAAATGGAACCGTCGACCAGCGGGGACTGTTCCTACAGACTGTCTTTCAAATGATGCATTACCATCATCCGGAGAACTCCAGACTTGCCACGAAGTTTCTGACGGTTGTGAGAAGATTGATGGACTTAGAGGCATGAGAATCCAAAGTGCTGATGACTTGACTGAATCAATTCGAAGAAATCGTTTTTATTTTTTGATGTCTGTGTTCTCCCCTCTATCCATTATTTAACTCCCATGTTTAGAAAAACGTGTTAATTAAGTGTTCTTTCTTTTCTCACGGGTCAATTGATTAGCGAAGCAAAAGTGTTCCGTGCGGCAGGCTGCAACAAACCCCTAGACACGGTGATTCTTTGCGAGGGTGTAGTGAGAAACGCGCCGCGAACTCGGCCACCATTCAAAGAAGGGGCGTGGTCTTGCGCAATTGCCGCACGCAATTTTGCAAGTTTGGCGCGCGCGCTTTCTGTTTAGCCGCAATTGTTTCCGACAGCATTTTGAAGACGTTCTTACTGCTCTTCAGGAATATTACACAGCGCTGTTATTGGTTTTTGCTGTTGGCAATTTTTCTCTGTTGATAACAATTACTAAAAATAATAAAGCTTCTATAAACTGCGTTCTTTCATTTTTGAGATAAAAAAATACAAAACTCAGCCCAAAAACAAGCATTAATTGACAGAGAACAAGCGCTAAAATATGAAACAAGCGCGAAATTCGTGAAACATTCACCATGGCCGAGTTTCTTCGGTTCGGCCTCCTGGCCTAACTTCTGGCGTGGCCTAATAATTTCTTGTTCAGCCGGGGGACTCGGCGGAAACCGTGGCCTAGTACCACGGCCTGCGACCCCGGGGCAAATGGACTAGAATTTTCCTCGTCACCCTCGCAAAAAATCACCGTGCTAGACGTGCCTCAAGTTCTGCATAATTTCAAAGAGCCCAAGTGCCCGATTTGCTCTTTTTTTTTTCGCAAAACCAAGATCTTAACGAGCTACAATCTTGTCGTTCCCGACTTTACCGCGACTGTAGCAGATTGTCAGATCGTCTTTCTGTCTAAATATCTTCCTTTGGCCATATTCTTTCAGTTTTAACTCAATTGAGCCCTCTAGAATACCTGTTCCGAGCCTCACAATCACTAATGACCAGATTGCGCAGGAGTGTTCTCAACGAGCTGCAATGAAAACGCCTGAATAAAGTATTCCCAAACACACTTCTCAGACGTCAGAATGTGTGTGACGTGAGCTCTTTCCACTGAAAAGACCCTCACTGAGCTCTCTCTTCTTCTTTCTCTTCTTTTTCCCTTTTCCGTCTTCTCACGTGCTCCCCACATGCCCGAATGATGTTAGTTTATTTTCGAGAGACCAGAGTCTATCCCTTCTCGTTGTGCCGCTTGGACTCACCGCACATTCCATGCGCATGACGAATATCTGAAAGAACTAAAAGTATTTCACGGAAATCCACCTTTGCACTGATTATCTCATCTTGTTCCCTGGTTCTTCTATCAGTATCTCTCATGTATCTCACATAAACACTCCAGGTTATTAATCACCACAAAGCGGATTGACATTCGAGAAAAGACGAAAGAAAGGCAGCTGCTCTTTCCGGATTCTTGCTCGCCCTCCACTTTCCCTTGAGAACTTATTATCAACTAAAGTGACTTGTCTCCACTTGTTTCTCTGAGCTTTCTTTCTCATATTATCACTTTCAATGCTTGAATCCCAATTCTCTTACTTGTTTGTACCCGGACCAGAGCGCAGTCAACATTCGTCATGTGACCTTTTCGAGATGTTGTTGCAACGCCAAGCAGCTAGCAGAGAAGAGTTTTCACACTTCCGTTCCCTAGGCAACGGCCACAATTTTGACTGCGTGCGTTTAGAGGCAATTCAGAGTGAAGCGATAGGAGACGAGTCCAACAGGCACCGAAACTCGAAGGATTCCCTGGTCCTTCGGTCATTATTATTTTTCGGTCCTCCTCCTGATAATGTTCTTTGAAATGCATGTTTTTTCTCCGTCTTCTCCTTTAACATGTGCCATCCGGCTCCAAGAACTTGCATCAGTTTCGTAGTGTAAACAATTCCGTGCCTACTGGGTTCATTGTGTCGATGTCATGTTTGATAAGAAGTCACATTCCGATTGACGGTGTAAACAACAGAAACCCTTGATGAATTTGAACCGAATTGACGAGTTGATCGAGAAAACTGAGGGAAAAGAGATAGCCCAAGGAGCAACGGTAAACACATTTCCAACCTCCAATTTGCTACTCAACATACTTGAATGTTTATCACAGAAACTATCATCTCGTCAATTGTTCATTTGCATCATACTATTCTATCCATATCAATGTGGAATGTCTCTGCCATGTCAATTTCATCGCCCGTTTCTGATTCCTTATCAAATTAGTTCTTTCATTGGAGCAGTTTGTACTGCATTTGTTTTCATTCTCATCGCGTATTTATTGTTTTCCAAAGTTTCCTATCAGAATATTTTTAGGCTTTTCGGGATGAGTGGAAGAGACAGGAGAACACGGGACCGTTTCAATATTCCACCGGCACCAAGTATGCTGATACTTGACCCCATTTCGGAAGAGGAATATTATTTACTAATGTCACGTCTGAAACCGATTCCTCCTCCACCATTTCAAAACGAATACTGGGACATTTTCGAAGACTATCATACCAATTACGGAGAGCAAATCCTACGGCTGTAAGTTGTTTTGTTAATGTGTAAATAAATTTCTCATTTGTCGTTTCAGCCGTGCTAATCGTTCTTCATTGACGTGTCCTTCGAGATCTATCAAACTCAGCGAAGAAGTTGTGCAAAAGCTCGAGGATGAGTGGAAGCTGCGTCGAAACCAATCGATCGTCGAAATATTTGAGATTGCTAACAAATGTGAAACCAATTTCGATAATGTAATGCGTAAAAATGCACTGTCTTTGCTAACGGTTTTCTTTTCAGGTTCACGATTGGTTTCAGAACAAGAGAGAAGAGAGAGCGATGGAAGAAAGAAGAAAATGGGAGGAAGAGAGGAAGGAGAAACTCGAAAAGGAAGAACGAGAGGCAAGGGCCAGAGAAATAGCGGCACGCATACCTAAGGAAGCCTATATTCCGGCCAATGTGTATAAACCACCCCCAAAAGATAAGTGTTGTCACCGAGTTGGAAGAGATGAAAAAAAACTGAATACACTCCCATTTACCGCACCCAATAACCGCCGGGCCCGATTTGGATTAATGTGATGTGGGTGAACATTTCTGGTTCCCCGCACCGTCAAATAATTGTTTTTTCAGCCGCCCAATAAGTAAAATACTGAAAATTAGCAACAAAAAAAAATCAAGGATGGCGCGGAGCACCAAACATTTTCAGAAGTCTGTGTATAGTTTGATGTAAAACTTTCCAACTATGTACGTTTTCTTTTCTAGACACAGTTTTATGATATACCGTACTACCCATACTCCCCTCGCTCCCCTCTTCGTTTTATTTTTTTATTCCCTTTCTTATCACCGAATTGCACTTTTCTCAATGAAAACTAGTGGAAGACGCGTGTCGTTTGTTAGTTGAATAGAAATAGAAATAAAGTTTTACTCTATGTATACTATTGACTTATTCTGAAAGATTTGAAGATCAAAAATCGAAAAGGTGAGAGATTCCAGTTGATGCACATCAAAATGTGTGCAGATAACTATTCAGGAACACATTTTCCATCATTATTGACTGCAATGAGTGCACATACGAGCAACTCCTCTGCCAACATTCGTTCGTCCGCTTTCCGCCCATACTATAAACCACCTCCAGCAGTTGACGTCACCATTCATCCTCCTATCAGGATACCGAATTCCCAGCAAACATATTTCTTGCCTCCGACACAGCAAATTCATTTTGTACCAATTGTCTCGTATCCCGTTCCTCCTTCTCATTTCCTACCACATCAATATCATGTTTACGTGCCATCAGCGCAGCAAAAGTGAGTTTGAAATGAAACCCGTACCAACTAGGGCTGGGCAAATTACCGACCCGGGAATCCAAGTTTCAGACGGATAGAATTATCTGGTCCGGAGATTTAGATCCGAAAAGCCCATGCTTTACGAAAAAACGAGAACTGTTAGGCCCTAGATCAGTATTGTATCTCCCGTAGAAGATCCCAACGATCTGAAACTTGCACCCCAAATACTTCAATCCAAACTCAAGAAGTCTTCATAGTTTAGGTTCAATCGAACTATCGCGAATAGCCAAAAAGTCGGTCCAGGCAGTCCCTCGAAAAGATTGGGCCGACCTTTTGCGCAGCCCTGGTTTTAATTACACCTCAGTTTTTAATTTTCAGATCAAATTCGGAATACAGTTTTCCGGTTTTCCAAAAGCATTATCTGGAAGGAAAGTTCAAAAATAACGCGGAGCCGAGCAAGACGCAACTATTCGAACTTGCGTATCAATTGGGAGTTTCCACTGAAAAGGTAAGCATTACATCGAAATGATTTCTTGCAATGTTCACACTTTTTGAAGGTGACTGACTGGTTTGAGAAACGAAGATTGGAGCCGACGAAAGAGGGCGATTTTAACAAAATGTAGATTGTTTTCGCAATGCATCAAGAAATAAACATTTCCATGTTTGATCCTAACTCTCCTTTATTCTTTCTAACCGCGTGCAAATCTTGCCAAATCGTCAACAAATTTTTTAACTTCTCCCATATCTCCGACAAGGTTTCACAGTGCATGGCGTCAAGAGGATGGATGAGAAAAAGAGAAATTCGGTCGCAGTTGCAGGCACGAGACCGGTGAGAAAAGGCTGATAAGGAGAGGCAAGCGACGGTACACTTGACAAAAGATAAGAAACATTTGGCAGGGACACAATCAACGTCAGTGGTGGAGAAGAGAGAAGGGAAAGCGGAATTGAGTTGTGTGAAAATGTTTGTTAACGTTGTTCTCCTAACTAATCCACAATCTAACTGCAAAGCTGATAATGCTGCCATTGGCTTTCATCAGCTTATGAGAAGTTGGAACGTAATTTCAGACAAAAAAACGTTTGACCACTGAGCGGATCGAACGCCCAACCTTTCGATCTGGAGTCGAACGCGCTACCATTGCGCCAAGCAGTCATGATTGCGACTGATAAGTAGGGGTATGATAATCAAGCGGGAGTTAGAGGCAGTTCATTAGGCGCGAGAAAACGTGTGGTTAGGTATACAAGAGAGATAGCAAAGAAGAAAAAGAAGAAGGTGATGAAAACACGAGGACCCAGAAGGCTACCTTGTTGCAGACGCTATCTATGCATTTTTGGGGCATTTTGAAGCAAAGCCGCTCTAATTGTGGTCTCCGGTCTGGCGCTAGTTAAAAATAGACCAAACAAAAACACTTTTACGGCCTAAAAACGGTCCTGTTCTCTCTAACCTCGGAACGGGTGCTCTCTGTTCTCATGAGGGTGTGTGTGGCAACTTATCATAGTCATGGGAGTCTTCAGAAACTCGAAACGACATGGCAATCCTGTTTCTTTCATGCCAAAAACGAAAACGCAGTGTTTCTCTCTGTATATTTATTCAATATTAAGTGACAATTTCATCAAACAGATTATTGTTTTTGTCTCTGTTCAGAGCAAATGCCGTTGGCGCGGAGGCCAGGAATGTAGCGGGTCCCGCTGAGAAATTCTTCAATTTCGTGGCAGACCCCGCCCGGTTTTGCAAGAGACAGTCGTTATCAACAAAAGAGAGACGGATAATTCTTGGAACAATGGAACGATGCTGATTGAAAAGGAGAATAATGCTACGAGGATGAGAGGGGTGGTTAAGTTTGGGAGACTTGAGATTATGTAGTTTGCGAAGAGGTCCTTATTTTTGCGGCAAAACAGCCCGTTTTCGCAACAAGAGGCAATCGATATCAGCAAAAAGACGGCGAATATGTACTTGGAAGAATAATCAAGATGCTCGAAATGGAGATAAATTCTACGAGGATAAGAGGGGGATAACGATGAATACTGAAGTTCTGGAGAGTTGAGGTTACAATGAAAAGAAACGATCCCATTCGGAAAAAAAGATGGTTCTATGTTGGTCAAGGGAGTACGGAAAAAATTAGAGTTTGTTGAGGTTATAACAGAGTTGTGATACTGAATAAGGGGTTCTTGAAACTGGTAAAGAATGGGATAATAGATATTTTTCAAGCGGAGGCGGTTGTTAATAGGCATTCACACCAATAGAAGGAAGAAGAGGGGAGTACATTGTAGAAATACAGTATTTATGTTTGGGAGGTATTCAGAATGGGAGAGTTGCAGAGGAGACGGATACTTCAAAGCTGCTCAGCCGATTGTGGCTTCACACCTGGATCTCAGTTGGCCATATTCTGAAAACACACCCTTGTTTCAGATTGTTTCAGCGATTATCTCACCTGTTCATTCTGCTGGTCAACAGCATTGTTTGCAGCAGGTTGTGGCTGGTCCGGTTGAATCATTTGAGATCCCTCAGGGAACGGTGGTCCCTGAACCAACGGATGCTCATTCGGCTGGAACTGTATGAGATGAAGAAGATTGTGCAGATTTTGGACTTGTGGAATCTGCGCAAAAGGGTGCATGAACACGCCGAAATGAGGAAGATTTTCCATCTGATGTCCGAACACCGGTAATTGTGCTTGTTGTTGGTTTGATGGTTGGATTGGAACCGGCTGATATTAACATGTCTCGTTATAGTTTTTAGCTTATTCTGATGATTTACCGGTTGTGCTTGGTTCGGAGCGGTCTCAGCGTTCGGAGCGGTCGCAGCGAGAGCAGCAAACAAGTTTCTTCTGACATCGATTGGAATATTAGGGAAAGGAAACCCGAATGGGAGTGGTGGCTGCAAAGATGCCATTTTCAGTTATATTGTTTCTTTTTCTATTTATCTACTCACAAACGGAATGAGTGGAGGAATCTGGAGAGGACCGTTTGCTTGCAAAGCTCTCTCATCGCGATCGAGTTGGCTTTGACGTTGGATCTCGTCCATCATTTCTACAAAAACGAAAATTGGTGTTTTATGTATTTCAAATCCACTCCTCTCTGACCTTGTTTCAGATTTTGCATTTCTGCTCTGAACGCGGTGTTGTTCCGCCCGATCCAGTGTTGAATGTTCGCCACTTCCTGTCTCATTTCTTTCAGGCCTTGGTGAAATATGGGGAGATTAGCCATCTCGTTGTTGATTCTTGTGAAAGCGGCAATTGCACGATTCTGATGCCGTTGCCACGTTTCTTGTTGCTTCTGGACCTCCTCCAAACACTTGGAGTTCTTATCGTCCAGCTTTTTGATCTCATCGGTAAACTGGCTTATGCTCATTGCGATAAATCGCATTGCCTGCTCATGCGCGCCGGCCATTGTAGCTTGTTTTTCGATCATAGCGGTAGAGCGTTCAGCTGACGAAATGGACAAACTTTCGAGCTTTTTTATCAGTTGATCCATGGTTCCAGTCACTCCTTCGATAAGCTTAGTGAAAGTACAGCATTTCGCTGACAACATCTCATTAAATTCCGGAACAATTGCTTTGATAGTAGATTTTATCTCCTCGAGTTGTTTGGAAATGTCCTGCTGATTCCCCTCCAGCATTTTTACTTGCGTTTCAATCGGGTCTGAAAAAACTGTCGATCCATCAAGACTCAGGATATGTTAAAAGGCCGATGAGCGGGATGTTGTATTGATTTGAGTCAAACCAATCCAATCAAAACCAAGATAACTGCTACAATTTCATTTACCGACAAGTTCCTTCTTGACTCTCCGCGTCATTATAGCGTTTCTATTGAATGACGGAAGTGACATCACCTAAGAATAAAATTGGCTCAACATTAGCTCTATCTTTCTTCAACTCACATCAACTGGCTCTCCAGCATTGTTGATCGAACGGGTTTCTAGTGGGCGTTCGGTCTCGACTCTCGACGTTCCATGAGATCCCGTGTTTGAACTGTAGTTGTTGTTGCGGTCCGAATCAGTTTGAGCGCGATGGTTCGAGTTTGGAGTGGTACGGTAAGTCGCGACGGTACGAATGTCGGGATACGGCTAAAAGTCGAAAAAGATGGGGAGAATTTCATTTGCACACCTACCCGTTGATTGTGTCTATTCGTTTTTCCGTGATTCGAAGGATTTCGAGTAGGGGGAGTCATGATGCCAAGCTTGGGTTTGGAAACTGAAAGTTGAAAGCTAGAAATACAGAAAGAAAAAAGGAAGGGAAGGAAATGTGGCAGAATCTACAGTACACTGGCAAAAAGAGTGGCGAGCCAATCAAAAAGAGAGCTGGGAAGGAAGAAGAAACAAGGAAGAAGAAGAAGAAGAAGAAGAAGAAGAAGAAGAAGAAGAAGAAGAAGAAGAGGAGGAGGAGGAGGAGAAAAACAATCCGACCAATCGGTTAGCCTGGGATGATTGATGACTGAGGGGGCACTGTGCAGCCGAAGGAAAATGTGGGCGGAGCTTCGGAAAAAATCTCGAGAACGTTCTAATTTCCGGCGGAGTCGACCAGTAAACAAAGCTACCCGGATTGTGCCCGAGAAGATTAGAGAACGAGCGAAAACGTACAGTTGGTGAAGACTACAGTACTCCATACTGCAACACGCAGATGTACACGTTTTTTTCTGAAAAAAAGGGTAGCACCTGTTGCAATAAACATACTTTTTTTTTCGAAAAACCGCTACCATCCACGGAAACCCGAACAGCCGGACAACAGGTGCCCGGAAGCTCAAGAGAAGGAGAAATCTGGAGCAAATGATCGGGATCATGAGCTCAATTGCAAAGAAATAAGAAGTATTGATGAGTAGGTTTTCGAAGCCAGTCAAGGTTGAACAATAACGTCGGTACGGCGAAATCCGATCGGACTCCCTAGCTTTGCAGGTTTCTCAGACTTGGACTAAAGTATCTTGATCCAAGTTTCATACCAATCTGATTATCTGTTCCGGAGATATCTGGATGTGAGGCTGAAAATCAAACAGGCAAAGAATTTCAGAATTTCTTTCAGATCCCTCATGTTTTCCCGGTCTTGTATTCTGCCTCCTCAAGTATATCGACAATATTTTCCGACAGTGTTTACTTCCAATTGTCTGTTTTTCCAGACAATGATTCCTTGTTATTCAGTAAGGACCAGACAATTTGATGTTTTCTGTCTGGCGGACTGTCCGGGATACTGTAGCCGACTGAAAATGTGTTTTCTCGGAGGAACAACGGAAGATTTTCGTAAATCGAATTAGTTATGAATAGAGTGGTTGAATGCATTGAGACCATGTAATATGGGTGGAAAAAAGAGAAAGTGGCGTCGTTGGCAACGTCAGAACTTACGCATTCTGTTCTGAGGGATGTGCTAACGTCATATGACTACGTTTCTGATTTACAAATTGAGAGGTTCAGAGGACGGAATAACTTGTGGTTGTCAGTGCGGATTCTGTCTAAAAAAAAATTGAAATTGTGGGGTAACCAAACTGAGTAGACGGGAAGAGAAGAGAACCATTTTTCTTTCAGATCATTGCTGTCGAAATATGCTTCCGTTTTCACACGCATGTGCCAATCCTCATCGTATTTTAAAAGAAAGCAAGGAAGCGGCAAAACGAATCTCATCAGAAGATCTGAAAAATTTCCCGAAACCACAGAACTTCAGGAATATCAGACTGTTTTTGTGTCTTGGTGGGCTGCAACTATATCCTTTCATTGTTTATTTTTTGCTCAGCTCTCATCTTTCTTCCGCCCCTCTGGCAATGTTACGAATTGCGGTCCATTCATAATTTCCCATCAGAAAACCAAAAAAAAGGTGTGCGTCATCCATTATTCTGTCAGGCAAACGACGCACTTGATTAAAGAGCTCGAAAAGGGCAGAATTGCAAATAAACGTCAAGAAAAAGCGTGCGTCCTAAATTCATAATTGGTTTTTGTGTGCTTCTCGGTCACTTTGCATGTTCTCTTCTTGTTGGCGTTGTACCAATAAAAATGGAAATTGAGCCGGGTGGGGTTGAGCAGGATGTATGGATTCCAATTTTTCATTTCCAGTGAGATTTCTGACGTTTTTAGGGACTCACACAGAGGTGGATGGAAAAAAAGCAAAGGGATGTTCAAGTACGAAGCTTTGTGCTGAAAATGATCGATTTTCACAAATTTTTTGGAAGTTTTCTTTGAATCCAATAAGCCGACATAGCTGCTAACCGATTCTCGAGGCGGCAGGCCTTCTTTTTGAATCATTTACCTGTTGCTGATCCTTCAATTATTCCTAACATCTGGCTCGGATTAGAGAAAATTAGTGCCAAAAATCGCACCGAGAGAAGCGGTTTTCTAAATGGTCCGAAAAGGGACAAAATGAAATTTAATCCTATAATATCCGCAGCGGACTCTTCATTCTTGAAAGGATCAAGAAGCCGCGCACATTACCTCCAACCAATTACACAGAATTACCAGGCGGGTGGCATTGCACTAATAGTCCCGTTCCCCGCTCACCTTTTTTATTCAGCATTTTATGGTACAATGGAGGGTAACAAAGTCCCATTTATACGACAAAACTAACAACATGACATTGAAATACAGTGAAAATACAAAGCAGAATACAAGAGAAGCGAAAAAGAAATGAAGTGTTATAAAAGAAGAAAAATAAGATTACAATTGTTCAAAATAGTTTGAGCGAGAGATCTGAAAAGCGTACGACATTCGGAATTATGAACTGATAGTGAACAGAACGAACAGAGCAAAGTGGTAATCATTGAAGCGGGAGGAGAGGTCCAAGGGAGAACTCTCCGGGGATCCAAGGCTGGTTCCAGACCGGAGGCTGAGGAGCAGCCGAGGTGCTGGCAGTGGGGGCGACGGAATTGGAGACGGCGGCGGCGACGGCAGCGGCTTGTTGGCGGGCGCTCAGCTTTGTTGCGATCTTGTTCATTTTGCGGTCGAAAGTGTACTTTCTGACTTCATCGATCATTCTGCGGAGTTTCAAGTAATCCATTTCGACAGTGAATACTTTGTGGTTTCTCATGACGGCCTGAAATCAAAATCGTACTAACTTTCCTCGAAAGTCCTCTTACGTTTTCTAAGTGGATGACAGAAAGAGCATGGATCATGTAGGTGTGCTGATCCTCCATAAACTTTTGACAGACGTTGCAGATTCTCTGAAAAATAGTGTACTTTTTCAAAAAGAGATGAACGATTTTGGTGACTAACCGGCGAGAAAACTTCAGTAAGAAGGATGTGAAGATGTTGTCTCTCGTCGAGATCCAAGTTGCTGTACTCCATCAGAATACGTCTTGCCAGTTCGAGCACGGAAGACACTGAAATAAGCGTAAATAAAGGTTCTCTGTGTTCAAAAACCCGGCTATTATCTCCGGACCAGCTACTCCGAGTGATCTGAAACTTGGACTGGAGATACTTCAATCCAAGTTCCAGAAGTTTGCAACGTTTGAGTCTGATCAGATTTTTGCAAGTGGGTCTAAAGGCTACGCCTTTGAAAGGTTTAGGTTAAACTTTTGCCAAGCCCTGCTTTCCTCTTTCTCAAAACTCAATTTGATTCTTCTTTTTTATCAATCTTCCTACACAATTTGCGTCATTCCACCTATCCCATCCTGAAATTGCAGTTTAATCCATCTCAGAAAGTACATCTGCCCTCGCTTTCTCCCGTATCCCTTCTCTTTCCAATCTCTTTTCTTCTCCCAAGACCTGTTTGCAGAGGATCCCGTTTTCTTCCACTCACATGGCAATACTTGTTCATCGGGCACCTCTCCGGCCACTCCGGTGATAAATGGGCAATAGTCGGAGCACGTGAGGTTGCTCAGAAACGTTGCAAAGTTGAAAGTGAGCGGATTGAAGCCGTTGTTAGGCTCGAGAGCCAGAAGCGAGACGTTGGGGTGGATCTCTGGCAGCGGCCACTTGCCGCGGAACTGCGAAAGACGTTTCGGGAAAAAATAATGAAGTCCGAAGAGATCTTGGAGATCACCTGCAAACAATGAGGAATGGGAATGAGATGCAGATTGTATGTATTAGTTTTGCATTTCTTGTGTCAAGTTGTAGGGTTGCCGATTTGTATTAGAACGGAAAAACTTGAAAGAGGCAGGTTGACTAAAAGTTCAAATACACACTTTACACTAGCGAAACGACGTTACGTCACTGACTTGAGAGTAAAGCTGCGCGAAAGAAGAGGAGCTGGTTCTAATGCGATGAAATTCGATTTGCTAGTCACAATCACGTTTGAAAACTTACACACTGTTCCAAAATAGTCCAACAACACAATTTGGCCTCTCTTCCTGGTTTCAGATATCTGAACTCTGGTTGGAAACTCTAGTTTTCCTTCCAGGTAGAATCGGTACATGTCATCCGAAGCATATGGACCACTGAAAAAGACTACATATTAAAAAGTTGAGATCTGAAAATCACGTACTAAATACTGCCATTGTATTGCCAGATGCTGTAAATGAGCTCACAATCGGCAATCTGAATAAGATTTCCGTGTTTATTGCGATGAAAAAAGAAGTTCCAATTCATAATATTAGTTTTCCGCATTAGTAGTCCAAGCACGCGGAGCGAACTCGAATAAATCTGTTCAGAAAAGAGAAACGGGGAGGACATGTCTCCATAGTTACTCGGACCGCTGCCAGGATGCGGCGAGCGGCGGACCGTTTAAGTTGATAAGTGTGGACTCACCCCTCCGAGCGCCGGCATTCTCTTCCTCTTCTCCGTGCGGTCTGCGTGTTGTTGTTGGTGTCAGCACGCAAAAGGAGACACCTCGGCCGCCTGAATTAAGAGGGTTCGTCTTGAGAATGTGAATTAAAATTGAGGAAGCGAGCGGAAAAAAAAGAAGCGGGGGTGAGAGGAATGAATAATGAAGAATGCGAAAAGTGTTCGATCGCCGCTTCTGGGCGAGTTTGTTGTAAAATTGAAAGGGTGGGGCAAGGGGGAGGGAAGACTAAAAAGAATTACGAAAGTCTGGGGAACCGAGAAAGAAAAGAGAGGCGTATTATCGTTTTTTCAAGGCTATCAAAACTTTGACCTACTTTTCAGGAGTCAGTTTCTTATCATAAATTCTTACTATTCTTCACTGTTGAGTCTTCATGCCTGAATCGCTATGCTCCGCTCGAAAAGTGCACATCCATCAACTCTTTTTTCTAATCCAAAAAGACAGAAAAGAACAATTGTCCCGAAAAATCACAAGACGCGTGAAACGGAAGAAACGACTCGCCCAAAGTCTAGACCCCGATACGCTTATCCTTTCGTTTCATCTCTATCAAGGTGAGCGAGATGCGACGGGAGAGAGGGCACGGGCCCCCGAACGAAACGAAAAATGAGAGAAGAGAAAAATGATGGTGGGGACGGGAAGAAGAAGAGGAGGAGAAGGAGGTGATGCGACTGAATGATAAATGCGACGATCGGCAGGGTCTTTTCAAGGACGCTTCGTCTCCCGACACGATTTCTTCATCGCCGTCGCCGCCGCCGTCCCCGATGCCGCTTTTCTACATCTCGATGTGGTGGTGGCGCCGTAGGAGAACAAAACACGTTTTTTGGCGTTTGGAAGAAACATTTCGACAATATTGAGATCTGTATGAATGCGAAGAAGAAGAAGAAGCGAGTAGACTGAGAAGGTATATCAGACAAAGCATTACACAAAGATTTCTTATTGAACTGACGGAAAGACCACTGTCAAAAGTGAAAATCGCTTGAAAATCAATTTTTTTATTAAACTGTGAAGGGCCGATTCAATTTTTGACAAGTATGATCAAAACTAGATATCAGTTAAACTCAAAAACCGTCCAAGACTCATTTCGTCCTCATTTTCTGGTTGAAAAGCTAAAGAAGAGAAAGACACAGAAATAACCAACGTGAAAATGAGGGAAATGAGGTTTTTCTTCTTCTAACACCTCCGAGAAGAACCAACACGAAATGCGATAGACATCTCCTTGATCTTGATTCCATTCTCGCGCCTCTCACGGAGATCACCGAATAGTTCACAGAATCTAAACGATTTTGACGGGAATGTTGGTCAAGAACGACGTCGACTCAAAGAACCGAAAAAATTGGATAAGGCTTAGGCATGGCTGCTTTTATGAAAGCTTAGCTTAGCCAGATGAGGGGAAAGTGCTTTGTTGATACGATAATACATCACATTTATGAGGAGAATGGGAGCATCTCCATCTAAATGTTGCAATTTTATAGTAAAGTTTTGAGATTTTCATAGACGGATACTATGTATATTCATACGGTCACAGAATAAATGTATTGACAATTCATGTACATATCTGTACATACTTAAAGGACCACGGAACTCCCAGAGTTCACGTGTCTGTCTGAACTGTCTCTTTTTGACACATTCGCTGTGTGAGTCCTAACTCTTAGACTTGCTTATGAACGTATCAGCGCGTAGTCAAAGTTGTGGTCGTGGCCTAGAAAAATGCTCGCCCTTGTCCTCTTTTCCGGATTCTTTTGTTTGAATTACAATATTCAGACATTGCCAGTCATTAATAGCGCACAGGAGTCAACTTGCCAACAGAGAACAGTTTTCACACATTACTAGGCCACCCACGGCCACAACTTTGACTGCGCGATGTTACTTTGAAAGCGTTTCTGAGAGTTGGGATTTAAACAGCGTATATGTCAATAAAAAGTGTGAGACAAAAACATAAACTCGACGAGTTTCCTGCTCCTTTAAACGTGTTCGGTGAATTCATTGTACTGAGCGTTTTGCTTTCTTTCCCTTCTCCAATCCATCGGTCAAGCGCTGAGTTGAACGGGAAAATTTCCTCTGTGCCCTTCGACAGATACCATCGAACTGAAAATTGGGTAATCTGATCAAAAGCACCGTTACCCGTCGAACTGACCTGATCCTTCCTCACGTGTTCGAAGTAATTTTTTCTGAAATGCTCACGGTCCACGGTTCCTCTTGGCCAGAAGCCTATTTGCGCGAAGTATCGGATCACTTCTTGGTGGTCTTCTTTCTGGAAAACTTGATTTAATTGAAATCGAGAATTGATAGATTTCGCACACTCAACATACCTTCAAATGAGGTAAGCGTTGCTTCGACTGCTTCTGGTTTCCCTCTGGTTCTACTCGGTTTCTTCCAGTGTATTGACCAGTTATCTGAAGCATATTAGTGTTATTCGGGTAACAAACTTTGTCAACTATCGGACTAACCTTGTAATTTTCAATTTGAAGAACATGGGATAAGTGCAAACGGTCCACGGATCCTTTTGGATGAAGACCCATTTTCTTCCACTCTTCGACTTTCTCTTTCTCGTATTTCTCAAAGCGATTGAAGTTATGTACACGAATTGAGCACGTGAGACTTACCGTAATGTGACTCATTTTCTGTCTTTTCTGTCTGTTTTTCGATAAACGATAAGTGTACGTGTCGGTTGGTTCACCGTTCGTTTTCTGCTGTGAGTAGACCCTCCAAGTGGTCGCATTGCAATCCAACGGAACCTACAAAACATTTACAGTTCTCATCAAATTTACATCAGACCAGTGTGGCCGAAACGTGAAATTCTGTTGCCCGGTCGATTTAATATTTCACAAAAAATTACAGGGATTTTTTCAAAACTGGCCGAGCAATGGATAGCAAGCCTGTTACTCTGTTTTAGCAACTTTGTCGCACGCGTTTTTCATATTTTTCGGCAAAAATACGTTCAAGGAGAAGCATCCGGAGTCTTGGAAGTCTGGTCAAAACTTACATTGGTCAAGTTTGAAGAGGAACTTGCAGAAACCGATGTTTGATTTTGTGTGGGTGTCTGAAACTGAAGTGTATAGTTTTGAGTACAAATCCTTCTTCCACCAACCTGTAAACACCCCATTCCAGCCGAGATCTCTGAATTGTCACTGGAACTTGCTTTCGCTCTGTCCACACTGCTTTTTTTCGGGATCTTGTAGTTGAGAAGCATTTTGAACTTAACTGTCGTTTATCTGTTTAAGATCTGATCAGTTAGGACAGAAAATATAGTAGAGAAGGTGAAAATTCGGTGCGTTTGAGCAAGTAGGAGATTAATAACAAAACGAGTCGACCGTGAGAGTACCAACCGAAATGAGTCAAAAATAGCGGATAAGTCTGATTTCTGGTCAACCGGGAAAGCTTTAGGAACAATGAAACAACTGAAAAATTCCGTAATAAGAGATTTTGGGCCTAAATCAACTGCTCACAAAGACAAAGAGTGTGTTCTGAGCAGACCTGCAGTACCCCCAAAGGATATAAAGTGGATCCGTTCTCCAAGTGCGGGGCACTGCGGATCTCTGTTTTTGTATTGTATTCTAGATACAACTAGTGAAGAACAAACTAAAGTCCGAGCTCCAGACCCTTCCTACAGAGGAAAACATGACCAATTAGCTCTACCTATTCGAATGTTCCAACCAAAAACTGTCATTCTTTGCAAAAAAATTTCTAAAATGATAGGTTCCACCGAGATTTGAACTCGGGTCGCAGGATTCAAAGTCCTGAGTGCTAACCGCTACACCATGGAACCGCACGACCGCTCTCTCCCGTCACTTGTGTACTATTGCCGAGCGATCACTAAAACCCTCTCTCTCTCTCTCTCTTTCTCTCTAGCGACTGATCAGTTTCTCTCCCCGCCCGCAGTTCTTCCCCGTCTTTCCCGAAAAAGCACACTGTTTGCGAATTGTGGCAGTCAAAATGAAAAGAACTTGCAATGCACCTGTCCTTTATCGAAATGCGGTCGTGCGGTTCCATGGTGTAGCGGTTAGCACTCAGGACTTTGAATCCTGCGACCCGAGTTCAAATCTCGGTGGGACCTATCGTTTTTGCTCAACTTTAGAGGCCTGCTAGCGTAATTTTGTGAATTGGAATCAGAATCTGAACATTAGAACTGCGCTAGATGCTCGAATTCCTACAAATGTTTCAATGAGAACGAAAGTTTTAGAAAGCGACAGTGAACAACTATATGCACGTTACATGTAAGAACAGTAAGGTGACTGTATATGGAAATGGTAAAAACAAAAAGCAAAAACATGAATTGTTTGCCTAAAAGAACCTCAAATATTGTGAGAACAGAGCAGATTTCAGCTCTCTCCAAAAGGAAATAAAATACAAAAACGGTCAGAAGTGAGTCAGAACGTATCATTTTACACTTCCGCACTTTTTTTGGGCGGATTGTAGACTCGGGATACTTAAATTGTGGCCAATTTGTTCCTTCTCGGTTCACAGATTTCAAGTGCCGATTTCAATGATATCGCATTTCAATCACAATCTTCTAGTTCTTGAAACAAATGGAGAGTCTTATGGATCTTCCTCGCAGTACTTTCTGAAACTTATCATAAAACCACTATAATGCACAATATATTCACGCACACTTTCATTGACCTCTTCGTTCATTCATCTCGACTCCACTGTGTATTATCCGCTTCCATTTTGTTTTCTTTTCACCAAAACGCTTCTGATCTTAAGAAAAACCAAATTTACTATTAGGTGTCTATGATTCCAATCCTAGCGTGTATTCCTCGTTCTTGTGAGTAGTAGCGACCACAATCATGTGTTCATAATTTAACGTTCCCCCGTTCCATGTGCGGTCATACTAACCTTTCGGAAAGAGCGGTTTGGCTCAAAGTTTGTTCAGGTTTATTGGAACAAAAATTAATTCAATTTACCCGAAGCTTTGACGGATCAACGATGGTCGGCAGCCAGAATTTCTCCGTGTTGTTCAATTGGATATTGTCGACTTTGATGAGCAACTGCTCGCACACGCATCTCACCATCAGCATCATGAATCGATCGGCGAGTTCCAGTAGCTTTGGCGCAGTGTTGGCTGAGAACAGTACGGGTAAACTGTGCTCAAGAGTCGTGCGAAATTTTCATAATCGACGTCTTCGATCGGAATCTCATTCATTGACGTTTCCTTGAATTCGGACGAGAAGCAGGCGCGGAAATAATCGGAATGGACGGAGAGGAACTGAAAATTAAAAAGTTTCGACCATTTTCCATCTGATCATTTACATTTCTGTTGACGTGCATCTGTTTTCCGTCGACGAAAAGAATCACGTCGGTTAGTTTGGTGTGCTTGAAGTTCATCTCCAGAATACTTAAATCATCCTTCTTACGAGTCGGTTTCAGTTCAAAGTCGAACTTGTAACTCCAACATTTGTCATTCTGATCCAATTTTCACGGGCCGTGTGAGATCCGTTTGTCGGACTGTTCCAGTTGCACGTCGAATTTGTTCGGACGGAAAGTTCTACTGGAAATGCTGAAAATAGTGATTTCACCCTGGAATCCGGCGATTCCGTTCGTTTTCGGGTTGTCCCAATTGAATTTCCGCGCCAAATAACCCATTTTCTCTTTGCAAGGATCGGTTGTGATCATATCGGCAGATCCGAACAGTTTTCAGATAAAATCAGTGTAATACAAGCATTTTGAGCGTTTGAACAGCGACATTTATCGAAAAATGACTGAAATTTTAGCAAATTTGTTGCGAGGACAGAAGGCATCGACGTGCACCGGCTTCGGATGTTGTTCCGCACGTGTTCGACGAATTCGCCGAATTCTCCGTGACGATAGTCACACTCCCGATGCCTGTGCAAAAATGGTCCTCTTCTATCTGGTAGATCCTTTTTGTGGCATCCGCAAACTCGCGGATGCCTGGATTCCGCTTCTGTCCATTTGTTTGATCGTCTTTATTTGACGGGTAGCGGAACAATCTTGTAGCGGTGAGCGAAGAAACTGTTCCGCCTCTCCGCAGAATATCTCTGAAGATGTTTTCACTGAAAAAAACGACAATAATAATAGAACCGGATTGACAGGAGAACTGACTTACTTTCGACTTGTGTCTGGTCTCCAAAAATGTGCGAAACCATCCAATAGCAGGCTTGCCGAGTCTCCGTGTGATTGGTGACGTGTGCCGAGAGACAGCCCGAACAGAACCTCAGAAGACGAGTTTTCATTCAGTTCACTCTGCTCTTCCAGTTGTACAGCAGCAAAATGTGATTTTGGCTCAAGCATTCAAACTGTTGTTTGTCATTGGCAGCAGATAAATCAGACGGATCCGGCAAAGGGATATGTGATTCTTGATCGCGATTCCATTGCCGGTTGCTGAAAAAACAAAGCATGGTGTGGGATGTCTAAGATCAGATTTTAGCAAAAAATCATTTAGGGCCTTTCCGAGTCAGAATAAGAGTTCGACGTCCGATAAATAAAGATAATTATTTCGCAATACCTTCCAATTAGAAGCTAGATCCTCGAATGTGGTCGCACACTTGTGTGTCCGTTGAAAACAGCCATTTCCCGCGACTTTTGGATGGTTTTCCGGGATTTATGAAGTTTGGATTGTTTGTGACGGAAATTGACACATTCAAACGTGCACGCCAATTTCTCGTCTTCAATAGTGATGTAGACGTGTTTAGCCTCGAATTGACTTGCTCCGGCGTAGTAGGGATTCCTTCGAAGACGTTCCCACTGAAAAGAAAACAATAATAGAACCGGATTGACCGAGGAACTGACTCACTTGCCACTTACGACTGTTTTCAAATAATGTGCGAGGAGTCGCATCGTGTAAATCAACCGGAGCACCTTGAGAGAGGACGGATTGATACAATATCAAAGATACTCGAATTGAGATGACTGGTGAAACATTAGATTGACTGAGAGAGGATTAAGAAAAATAATTGATTGACTTGAACACTGACTCACTCAAATATTGCGTCTGGTTTCCGTTGTTGCTGGGTGTGGTCCAATAGCAGTTGAACTGGTTGACGAGTCCTCGTGTCATCGAATAAATCAATAAATCACCTCTCCTCCACGAGTTCTGGTGTCCGTACGGTTCACCGTTCCTAATGCCCACCTCCTGATGCCCACCTGAGAAGGTCCGGTGTGTTGCATCCACCGATGATTCTATTTCATAAACAGATTTTACCGATCGATTGAGAAGTGCAATGATCCAAAGTTAATCAACTTCTTGTTAACGAAGATAATAAAGGTATCACCACAGATTGTATTCATTCTCTGACAATTATGGGGCTATTCAGCGTATGTTTGTTTTCCGTTTTTTTCGTTTTTTTACATCTCTGAATTGGATTTTTTGACGTAAAACAACGAAAAAAACGGAAAACAATCATTTTTTTCACAGTCTGAATAGCCCCATTATGGCAGACTCCTCCGTGACAATGGTCGTTCTGCTGATTCCTGTGCTAAAATGATCCTTTTCTTGCCGGTATAGGCGTTTTGTGGCATCCGTGACCGCTCGAAACAAACACGAACATGTCTTGATTCCGCTACTGATTGTCCGTTTGATCGCTTTCAGTTGGAAGGCGGTAGAGTGGAACAAGGTGGTCGATCCACACAAACTAGTGGCTCAGCTGGTGAATCTATCTGGAATAAGGAGTTTCTTGACACTTGACTTGTCGGATCGGTTAACCGTCCTTAGGGCAACTACATCATGGCCCTCTATCCCTAGCATCTTCTCAAGCACGTAGTGGTCTTTTGACAGACGTTCCTGCCATTGGTGCGCCTCAGGCTTGCTACGAACAAAAAATAATTCGCGTCTTCATAAATTCGTTTCAGGAGAAGTTCAGTTCACGAATGATAATGCAGCAGTCTGCGCAGGTCACTTTGAGGACGTTCTCACTGAAAAGAGAACAATAATTGAACCGGATTGACCGAGGAACTGACTCACTTGCCACTTACGACTGTTTTCAAATAATGTGCAACGAATCATATTGTCTAAATCAACCAGAGCAACATGTTAGAGGACGGATTGATGCTAGCCGGGAAGATTATTGATCAAAACGAAGAGGGTTCCGTCTCACTTCTTATCTTTCCTGTAGCAGTCTACTTTATCAGAACACAAATTAGTTGCGTTTTTCTCTCTCATTTTCGATCTCAATTAATGTAGCTTTGAGTGTCATCTTCATGGAACGAGTCAGACAAATGAGCAATATCACGACGCAAAAATTGAGTGACCAATCATCGCTCATGCAATCGGAACTGATGGCTGGTTATGTATACGATCAAATTAATCCTGATCGACACTAAAACCTGAAATTGTGGTTACTTGCAACAATGTCAAAGATACTGAGATGACTGGTAAAGCATTAGATCAACTGAGACAGGATTTTTAATGCAACAGTTTATCGAAAATAGAGAAGAATTTCGTCGAATTGAGATGATGTCGTTCTTCTCAAACGAGCTCATCTCTTCTGGGCAGTCTCTTCTTAATCTACCACGATTAGCTCCTCTTCTTCAGAATCCGTTTCCACCACAATCTCTTCAGGAGCCGCTGGAGCAGAAGCGACGTCTTCAATGGGCATGGCAGCCGCCGCAAACAGGTCCTCATCTTGAAGCATTTCTTGATAGACTTCTGAAGACTTCTTTCATAGAAACATACGCAAAGTGGCAGTTTTTCTTACCGTTGTGCTCACCCAATTCATCTTCTTGTCCGATTTGAGAATCCGTTCCAGACGATCGAGAAATTCCTTCCTCCTCTTCCATTTCTTCCAGACTGATATAGGATTCTGGTGATCTGGGGGAAAGTGGAGTCCCATCAATTTGGTCGACTGAAATGTTCGAGTCTTTTTCGGTCTGTTTTGAATGGGAAGACTCACGGATCTTATCTTCTTCCGCTTCTGATTGGCTGAGCGATGAAGAACTGTCATCGGAATCTTCCGGAATCGGCATTGCTGGTTCTCGTGGCAGATGCACCAGCTCGTAAGTCGGCGGAAGCCAGGGCGGTTTGTAAAGGGGCGGCCACATCGGAACCCCATAACCGTCAACCGAATACTCCTCTCTTTCGCCGCCGATTTCCTCCTTCGCCACCAAGACACCCTCCTCCGAAAGTATTTCATTGCGGGAGTAACGGATCTCCGACTCATAGAACAGCTTCCCTGGATTCATCTGCAAATTGGAGAATGTATATGTGTACTCAAAGCAGTTAACTGCAATCGCGCTCTGTTGAGAATCTTTTTTTGCAGTGCAAAATGCAATGATGTCGGCGACGAGTTTGAAGAAAATTGAACAAATTCGGCCATTTTCCTAGTAAGAAACAACTAAAAATCACTACAAAAAACTCGGTCAGATTGGGAACAGAGCGCGATTACAGAGAAATGCCGTCACATTTTTCTAGTTGACAATATTTGTCCTTCCTAAAAAGTGTCGAAAAACTTAAATTTGAATGTGTTGTATGTGTGTGATTGTTTCAAAAAATTGAAACTGGCAATTGACCCCTGAAACCAAAAGAATTTGAGTAAATTCACAAAAAAACAAGAATCAACTTGGAAAACTAAAAGCAAAAACAAGTGAGAACAAAAATAGGAGAGCGTTTCGTGTGTTTGAACTGTCAACCAGTGAAAGAGAAGGGCGGGTTTTAAAACGCAAATCGTGCACAGTCGCTTGGCAAGTATGCCGCATGCGTGTGCAGATTTCAAACAACATTATTGCTTACAAGAGGAAAACGTCCGAAACTTTCATTTTTATGTTGAAGTTGTGTTAATAAAGTTAATACAAAAGTTCACTATCAAATAAATGTGTTTATTGCTTGTTGGAAAGAAACACTTGTAGAAAATAGATAATATGTTTAGGAGACAACCGGTTCGCGGTAAGAATACTGAAGAAAAGAGGATCCGAACTTGGAAGCAAACAAAAGTAGGTGTTCAGATATTGAAAAACCTTGGAAGAGAAGATCTGAAAGGTGATGAAACGCAAATTGACGGATCCCGTGTCTCTGAGATACAAATTAGTAATCATTTGAGATCCAAGTTCGGAGTCTCGGATAGCTGCAAACTCTCTCTAGACGGGCGAAAACACTGTAAAAGTTCTTGATAGGCTGTTGTGAAGTACGACCCCATCATCGGAAGAGAAATGAAGCTTCGGAGTGACGGCACCGCCGCAACGTGTTGCTGATTTCAGCGGGACGACTTGCTCGATTCGGTAGATCGGTTTTTTTTTCTAAGGATAATTTCTTCAATGACGCCTTTGAACTGAATATTTATTGACCTTTACAAACGAATCAAGACGACATAAAGAATCAGTAGAACATAATCTGTAAAAACAATTAATTCCTGTATCCTAATGCTAAATCGTCAAAATTAAGTTTAATGAGATGAAGCCTCTCGCCGTCAAAAAACAGCGATTTGAGCAGTCCGACGGTCAGTCGGTGCTCGTCCGCAGGCGAATCGTAATTGCCTTCGTACAGCAAGAAGTAGGTCATGATGTCCTCGTGAACTACATTCAGATCAAGCATCGCAAATAACTGCACGCGCTCGATTGCGTACTCCATCCAGATGAACAGAAACTGTAAAGGAACTTTACATAGAACTTAACATAAACTATAAAGGACCTTACCCTCCTGAACGGCTGTGTTTCAAAGGCCTCGCACCACTTCTCCCACATGACTTTTCTTAGCTCTGCCGGAACAAAATTTTCATTTATAAAAGATTCGTAGAGGTTCTTCCACCCAGGCTGAACTTCCGAGTCGTCAATGACAATTGGCCCATCTTCCAACCGGAACTTGGAGTAGGCGGCTTTAGTGGCCGCACATCGCCACTGCGATTCTGGATCCGTCGTTCGAATCGCTTCGAATCTCTGGCTCATCATGAATCGCTCAGGAGCCACACGAGCCCGTACAAACGGCAAATTGAGTTCGATTGTCCGATGCTCTCGAAGAAGCTGAATTTCCGTTCTGCGTCTCTTGATGGGAACGTTCGGGACAATAATCTGAAAGTAGATGCGTAATACATATCACCCTTTGTTGTTGTACCAGTTCCGGCATCGGTTCCGGCAGCGGTTCTGGCACCAGCTGTGGCTCAGCTGGCTGTTGAAGTTGTTCCGCTTCAGCTTCTTCCTCCACAGCTACCGGTTCTGGCACCGGTCCGGGAACAAGATCCGACGCAGGCTCCGGCGCCTGTTCCGGTTCCGCCTTGACTTCCACACCGACTCCCTGACCACTCCGATTTTCGGATGATGACGAGAGGTCCACATTGACGTTCATCTTCTTCTCATCGCCTTCCGGCTTTCCGAGCTTCTCGATTCCATTGGATCGAGTGGGAAGCGCCGCTAAGGTATCTGTTGGAACCTAAAAATGAAGGAAATTGAGTGTAAAGTGGTGACTCTTGTCTTACGGCTGTTTGATGGCTTTGACTAGGCGGTTCAGCAGCTGGTCCCCCCCGCACATTCGGTACGATATTCCGATCCTTGGCGCAGGAAGGGCCTGTCGGGCGATTCATCTGAAAATTAGAGTTTGATTCATATTAAATGTTTTATTTTTCTCTACCGGTGATCCTATCCATGTCGTTCGTTCCTGAATTGGTTCAGTCACCATTTCCTCAAGCTCAGCTGGTCTGCTCGGGCTCGTCGGCGTAGAATTCATCGTAGAATTGTGCGTTCTGAAGAAAATCGATAAATTCATCGAGAGAATTATGCATCTTAAAAAAAAGAGAAGGTTAAATCTCAAAAAAGTGTAATGTTTGAACGTTAAAAAGAGCCAAAATTTATATACATAAACGAGATGATCAATGTATGCCAACACGTCCGACGCAAGAGTGTATGGGGGGTGTATAGAAAACGCTCATAAAGTGTGTGTGGACGAGCGGAGCGGAGTGTGCGTGGAGCGTATGAAACACGCTCCTCAAGAAATCATGTGCGGCAAAATATATCAGAAATGTGATGGAAGGAGGATTGGAAGACGTTGCGTGCGGGGAGGATTATATACTCTCCGCGTTTGCAACAATTATGAACAATAATAATAAGAGCCACATTTACTCGACGGGAAAAACAACGAGAAAGCAATTACAACAGAAATAAACCTAAACAAAAAAGGAACACGTTTTTGACTTCTCGGCAAAACTTCCACAATACCAGCAACTTTGGTGCATTCTTTTTTAGTGTAAATGCACAGAAGAATTCAGACCACAATCAGTTAATGATTTATTATGTATGGAAAGTGAATGTTTCACTGACTTTCACCAGATCCTCAATTCGAGTATCTTTGCCATTGTTGCAAGCTACCACGAGTTCAGAACCTAGTGTCTATCTAGATGGGGAGGCGCTGATTTGCTGTTGGAGCTATAGAATAGTCATCAGATTCGGTTGTCGTGGCGGTCCAGGCGAGTCCGTTGACGTCACAGCCATCTCATTCGGTTGTGGTGCCGGTGGAGGCTCTGCTTTTGCTGTTGGAGCTGGCACAGTCCTCAGATTCGGTTGTCGTGGCGGTCCAGGCGAGTCCGTTGACGTCACAGCCATCTCATTCGGTTGTGGTGCCGGTGGAGGCTCTGCTTTTGCTGTTGGAGCTGGCACAGTCCTCAGATTCGGTTGTCGTGGCGGTCCAGGCGAGTCCGTTGACGTCACAGCCATCTCATTCGGTTGTGGTGCCGGTGGAGGCTCTGCTTCTGCTGTTGGAGCTGGCACAGTCCTCAGATTCGGTTGTCGTGGCGGTCCAGGCGAGTCCGTTGACGTCACAGCCATCTCATTCGGTTGTGGTGCCGGTGGAGGCTCTGCTTCTGCTGTTGGAGCTGGCACAGTCCTCAGATTCGGTTGTCGTGGCGGTCCAGGCGAGTCCGTTGACGTCACAGCCATCTCATTCGGTTGTGGTGCCGGTGGAGGCTCTGCTTTTTGCTGTTGGAGCTGGCACAGTCCTCAGATTCGGTTGTCGTGGCGGTCCAGGGGAGTCCGTTGACGTCACAGCCATCTCATTCGGTTGTGGTGCCGGTGGAGGCTCTGCTTTTTGCTGTTGGAGCTGGCACAGTCCTCAGATTCGGTTGTCGTGGCGGTCCAGGCGAGTCCGTTGACGTCACAGCCATCTCATTCGGTTGTGGTGCCGGTGGAGGCTCTGCTTTTTGCTGTTGGAGCTGGCACAGTCCTCAGATTCGGTTGTCGTGGCGGTCCAGGCGAGTCCGTTGACGTCACAGCCATCTCATTCGGTTGTGGTGCCGGTGGAGGCTCTGCTTTTGCTGTTGGAGCTGGCACAGTCCTCAGATTCGGTTGTCGTGGCGGTCCAGGCGAGTCCGTTGACGTCACAGCCATCTCATTCGGTTGTGGTGCCGGTGGAGGCTCTGCTTCTGCTGTTGGAGCTGGCACAGTCCTCAGATTCGGTTGTCGTGGCGGTCCAGGCGAGTCCGTTGACGTCACAGCCATCTCATTCGGTTGTGGTGCCGGTGGAGGCTCTGCTTCTGCTGTTGGAGCTGGCACAGTCCTCAGATTCGGTTGTCGTGGCGGTCCAGGCGAGTCCGTTGACGTCACAGCCATCTCATTCGGTTGTGGTGCCGGTGGAGGCTCTGCTTTTTGCTGTTGGAGCTGGCACAGTCCTCAGATTCGGTTGTCGTGGCGGTCCAGGCGAGTCCGTTGACGTCACAGCCATCTCATTCGGTTGTGGTGCCGGTGGAGGCTCTGCTTTTGCTGTTGGAGCTGGCACAGTCCTCAGATTCGGTTGTCGTGGCGGTCCAGGCGAGTCCGTTGACGTCACAGCCATCTCATTCGGTTGTGGTGCCGGTGGAGGCTCTGCTTCTGCTGTTGGAGCTGGCACAGTCCTCAGATTCGGTTGTCGTGGCGGTCCAGGCGAGTCCGTTGACGTCACAGCCATCTCATTCGGTTGTGGTGCCGGTGGAGGCTCTGCTTTTTGCTGTTGGAGCTGGCACAGTCCTCAGATTCGGTTGTCGTGGCGGTCCAGGCGAGTCCGTTGACGTCACAGCCATCTCATTCGGTTGTGGTGCCGGTGGAGGCTCTGCTTCTGCTGTTGGAGCTGGCACAGTCCTCAGATTCGGTTGTCGTGGCGGTCCAGGCGAGTCCGTTGACGTCACAGCCATCTCATTCGGTTGTGGTGCCGGTGGAGGCTCTGCTTTTGCTGTTGGAGCTGGCACAGTCCTCAGATTCGGTTGTCGTGGCGGTCCAGGCGAGTCCGTTGACGTCACAGCCATCTCATTCGGTTGTGGTGCTGGTGGAGGCTCTGCTTCTGCTGTTGGAGCTGGCACAGTCCTCAGATTCGGTTGTCGTGGCGGTCCAGGCGAGTCCGTTGACGTCACAGCCATCTCATTCGGTTGTGGTGCCGGTGGAGGCTCTGCTTTTTGCTGTTGGAGCTGGCACAGTCCTCAGATTCGGTTGTCGTGGCGGTCCAGGCGAGTCCGTTGACGTCACAGCCATCTCATTCGGTTGTGGTGCCGGTGGAGGCTCTGCTTCTGCTGTTGGAGCTGGCACAGTCCTCAGATTCGGTTGTCGTGGCGGTCCAGGCGAGTCCGTTGACGTCACAGCCATCTCATTCGGTTGTGGTGCCGGTGGAGGCTCTGCTTCTGCTGTTGGAGCTGGCACAGTCCTCAGATTCGGTTGTCGTGGCGGTCCAGGCGAGTCCGTTGACGTCACAGCCATCTCATTCGGTTGTGGTGCCGGTGGAGGCTCTGCTTCTGCTGTTGGAGCTGGCACAGTCCTCAGATTCGGTTGTCGTGGCGGTCCAGGCGAGTCCGTTGACGTCACAGCCATCTCATTCGGTTGTGGTGCCGGTGGAGGCTCTGCTTCTGCTGTTGGAGCTGGCACAGTCCTCAGATTCGGTTGTCGTGGCGGTCCAGGCGAGTCCGTTGACGTCACAGCCATCTCATTCGGTTGTGGTGCCGGTGGAGGCTCTGCTTCTGCTGTTGGAGCTGGCACAGTCCTCAGATTCGGTTGTCGTGGCGGTCCAGGCGAGTCCGTTGACGTCACAGCCATCTCATTCGGTTGTGGTGCCGGTGGAGGCTCTGCTTCTGCTGTTGGAGCTGGCACAGTCCTCAGATTCGGTTGTCGTGGCGGTCCAGGCGAGTCCGTTGACGTCACAGCCATCTCATTCGGTTGTGGTGCCGGTGGAGGCTCTGCTTCTGCTGTTGGAGCTGGCACAGTCCTCAGATTCGGTTGTCGTGGCGGTCCAGGCGAGTCCGTTGACGTCACAGCCATCTCATTCGGTTGTGGTGCCGGTGGAGGCTCTGCTTTTGCTGTTGGAGCTGGCACAGTCCTCAGATTCGGTTGTCGTGGCGGTCCAGGCGAGTCCGTTGACGTCACAGCCATCTCATTCGGTTGTGGTGCCGGTGGAGGCTCTGCTTCTGCTGTTGGAGCTGGCACAGTCCTCAGATTCGGTTGTCGTGGCGGTCCAGGCGAGTCCGTTGACGTCACAGCCATCTCATTCGGTTGTGGTGCCGGTGGAGGCTCTGCTTCTGCTGTTGGAGCTGGCACAGTCCTCAGATTCGGTTGTCGTGGCGGTCCAGGCGAGTCCGTTGACGTCACGGCCATCTCATTCGTTTGTGGTGCCGGTGGAGGCGTTGTTTTTTGCCTGAAAGACGTATTTGAAAGTCTCTGTTATTTCTATGTACTCGCGTTTTCACTCACTTTCCTCCAGATTCTTCTGCTTCTCGCGTGTTTTGATATGTATTCGACGTTCCGCAGAAAACAACACCATGATAACGTAGAAATAGGACTTTTCTGTGAAATCGGAGACAAACAAGAATCCGTGTCATTAGTAGTACCAAGTATCCGTGTCATCAGTAGCATCAAGTATCCGTGTCATCAGTAAAATTGACTCATCCAGTAATCTTTCTCGTAATACATAATGTGTGCACCGGCAGGGAACTGTTGTCCATAACCACTCTGCAAGCCTGGTTTCGTCGTAGATTAAGCGGACCACTTGAGGAAAACCACGGACTTTTTGAGCTTCCGTTCCATTGTTATCTGTCGTCAGGTGATGTCGCGCAAAAACGTGCAATTGGATACTTCTCTGAGGATGTACTTGCTGAAAAATACAATATTTTAACCCTTTCGATAGTAAAACTGACTTACTTAGATATTGCGCCTTGTTCGTGATCGTGACAAGATCCCGTGTCATCAGATGAATTGACTTCTTCTCCATCATTCTTCTTATCCAACAGCAGAGTGCCGAACTGATGCACACGACTCATAATGCTCATCTCCTCCCGGGTATTATATCAATATAATTCTGGTGCTTTGCACCCATTGCTCAAAAAATAGGTCCTCTTCAAGTGTCGTCGGAATGTCCCGGCTGCGGACGGAGTACACTTTGTGAGCGTTGACGTGCACTCCGGCAATTCCACAGTCCTGAGCAGATCGTTGAGCTCATTTCAATTGAACTGATCGACAAGAAAAGCCACGGACCGATGCTAATGATCTCCTTCTTGCTCGGCACGATGAGCTTTAGGTTTGATATACTCGTACTTGACTGTACAACTTCCATACAGAATCTAATTGAGCCTGAAGTTCCTCCGCGGAGTGGCCGTGTCGAGGCAGGAAATTCTATTCCACACTCGGTATTGGCGATGCCGTATCAACGTCAAGGCATCACTTTGGTTTCTGGTCCATAGTCTCGTATCATTCTCACAGTCATTCAGCGTGTTTTCAACTTCTTCTTCGACAACTCTGACAGACGCAGGCCGGGACGTAGGTGGCAAATCACAGCGGTTGTCGAACACTGGTTATCTGAAAGCAAAATACGTAATGAGAGCAGTTTTCACATCTCAGCATCTTTTTCACTTTCCTCTGTTGTCGCATTCGCTGCCCCTCGACAACAATCAGCTTTTGCATGGAGCTTTTCGATATAGTGGTTCATCCGACGCGTGATTCTTTAGCCAGGGGACTGAACGTCTTCATTACCGTCGATCGGCCGGCAGACGACTGAAATAGGATAAAATGAACTTCTGAATTGAATAAAAATCACTCATCTCTGGTTTTTCCGTCTTATTCGTTGTGGAATTCAATTTGAAGATACTTTTTGGTACCAAGACCATCTCATACGTGAATCAATAAACTACAGATCAATAAAATAAACAAAGCAATTTCTTTTAATTTTCAATCACACAATTAGGGCGAAAAATTGGGAGAAATAATGCCACTGGATGAGAAGAAGGAATGTTATGGAGAAAAAAAAACAATTTTACTGAGCGAATAGATTATCTTTTGGAGACAAGAAAGGGACAAGAGCGACCCGGAGGAAAAGACTAATAGAATCTCAAATAGGATAGTGACTAGAAATAACCAATGAGAATCAATGGAAAAAGCGGAAAAGGGGGGGGGGGGGAAATCATAACAATTTGGGTAACATGTCCAGGAAACCCTTGGAGTTTGTGTGTCTGTCTGAGAAGTATTACCACATACGCTGAGAGGTCTTTTCAAGTTTTTTCCATTCATATACATTTTAAAGTGTTCTGGATCGGATTTTAATTTTGAGGGGAATTCGGACAGACACATAAACTTGGAGAGTTCCTTTCATGACCGTCTGAATATCGATCAATAGAAAAGGTCCTGCACAGCTTTCTCGACTTGCCAGTTGTGGCAGCTTAGTACGCCAACCGCTTCAGTCTGGAACATCAATTTTTGTGGAAATTGGCGTCAACGATTTGAACATACCTCGCGGATTCCCATCTCGACGAGACGTCCAACCTTGTCGGTGTAGTCGCGCGGCACATCTCGTTTCGCTCCGGCAAAGTGGACGGTCCAGAACGAGGCAGTGTTCTGAAATCACAGGTATGAGTGAAACGCTTGTCCTATGTATATTTTTCCTATCTTACCTTGAACATCTCCTGGCGTTCCATGTACTGCTTGGCAACGACCGCATCCTGAGGGTCCGAGGGTTCCGGTGAACAGAGCATCGCCTGTATCGACAGAAGAACGGTGCGAAGAGTGAGAGTCGCAGCCCTGAAAGTGATATTGTGCTTGTTATCCTTGATTCATAGGCATACCACTTGTCTTTGAGGATATCGAGGCAGATGGCTCCAGTCTGCGAGCTGATGTTCGGGTGCCAGATTCTGGTCACAAATTTTGCCTGAAAATGATCGTTCAGCTGAGCTGTGATCTGCGACTGTTTCTGTACCTTTGGAGGGTGGAACGGATATTGCTCCGTGATTTTTATCTCGATTTCGAATTGTCCTCCTGCGTATGGAGTATCGTCCGGTCCCTTGATGGTTCCCTACAAATCACTGTATTAGCCTATGTGCTTGCACGGTTTTAGAAACCGGGAAATCCGCGCTAGATGTTCTCTATTTGTTCCGTTTTTCCTACGTACACTCTTCGAATTAGTCGGATTTCTTGCCCAGCACACCAATCTCTCTACGGGTTACATAGGGTTCTTGTAAGAATGCCGTGCGCGGGGGGCGGACAGGTGAACGCATCGAGAGAGGGCCCACTCAGTGACGCGTATCGATTTTTAGACTAAGCCCTTCTGCCAGAATTAGTTTAATTTTGAAGGTTTTTCCGCGAAGTTTATAGAATTATTGTATTGAAAATGCTACCTTCAGGTTGAGTAGACTGTTGTTGATCATTTCCACGTGAATGCCAGCCTCCGTGATGTCTCCAGCGGTCGCCACTTCCTTGCACTCCCGCTGAACTCGCGCCATCGCCAAATTAGACATACTCTGAAAGTTTAACACAAGGGTTCTTCAAAATATTTTCTATTTACCGAAAAATAGCAAGAAAATGAGCGTCTAACGTGGCTGCCAACGGCAGAATACCGAATTTACGTTCGCTAAACCCGGAGAGTACGCGTGGAGTGTTGTAGGAGCCTGCGTCTCACCAGTCCGCATGGTGTATGCGGGTTAATTAAGGCCGGAAATTTTAACGCCTGAAGGGCGCTGTGACATCTCTCAGTTCTCTGAAATGTTCTCTTTGTTTCATTTGTTTTTTTCAAATCGTCTCGCATTGTAAAAATCGTTCGTCTCGACTTTTTTCATTTTCAGGTGACCAGTGTCTAATAATGGCTCAAGAGCAATTCAACGATCATCTAGACGTCGTCCTCGCGGCTGGATTTCTACTCGTCGTTGTCGACAAGACGGAGAAGAAACTTCAGGTGAGTCTATCACAGCTCAACTGATAGACTGTGATCCGATTACAGCTCGACGTCGCCGGTCCGGCGAACACCTCATGCTTCCAGAGACATTTCGTGGTCGACATCCAGTTTCCGGACTTCATCAAGGTAAGAGAAAACAGTCATTCAATTTTCAGACAGCTCTTTTTCAGGATACTTTAGTCACGAAGATCTGGCATCCACTTATCGACCCGAACACTGGCGATATCAAGTTCACCGGACAGTAAGTTTTTAGTCGGATTCATCCGTTTTTGGGGTGGCTTTATAATTATGTCCTTTTTCCAGGTGGCATTTTTGTGGCTTTATATTTATGTCCAGGTGTGTTATTTTCCAGAAAACTGCTCAGTTCTGGTCGGGTCAATTTGCCGGAGGATTGGAACCGATGGAGGAGGACCTCGTCAAGATCTTGGGAGGCGTCATGCTGATGGGCTTCGACATGGTGAGTCGAGTTCCCGACTCTCATTCCAGTTTAAACCGGATACATTTTTCAGGAGAAGGAAATCATTGCTCTGAGCATGGCTCAGTGGAACTTCGACAGAGCCATCGACAGCCGAACAATAGAAGAAGGTCCCCGACCCGACCCGACGTCATCTGTGTTTCCGCGTGTTCCCTTTCCCCATCTCTATCCTATCTAGTCATTTATTCTGTTACACCCGTAACGGTTCTCGTAACCGCCAAGCCTTTAGCCAGCCATTCTAAGTGGAAAATGACATAATTGCTCGGAGATTGAAAGATTTGCCCCTCGATTGTTTCTCGCTTCCGCCCTAGTACCTGTCCTTCTCACACTTTTCCATAATTGTTATCTATCTTTGAATGTTTTCTAATCAAATCTTGCGGTGGTTTTCATCGAATAGCTTTATTTTTTCAAAAATCAGCTTTAACAATATGGGCTAAAAATCATGATAATAACGTGAAATATTTCAGGGAAAAAATTATCACAAGCCGTCATACACAGACGGCTGCTTGCCCGTTTCAAAGCAGAACGAAACGTACTCGGACTCAAGAGATGGCAAAACTTTCTGCCTCTCCTCATGGGTCATCAGCCATATTAGAGTAGGCATCATGAGACGATGACAATATCTTTGGATGGCGTGGTACAGCACTTGCCGCAAACTGTCGTCGGGGTTGCTCGACATGATCAAGGCATTCTCGCGAGTCCGGATGAAAACCTGCAGACGTGCTTTCTGCTCCGGGTCCTCGCAAGTGGGGTAATTCTTCACAGACCGCATAACATGCTCAAAAAACTTTGGATACTTCTTCGGCTTTCCTGTAACGTTTTCGATATTCCTCTTGCCAGATTTCTGGATAGTTGCTCACCTTCTTTCTCACTCATTTCATTATCCGCCAGGATTTCGACAAATTTAAGCATTCCATTAAAAACGTTCGCAATTTCCGCAGGATCTTGAATTTTCCCTCCGTAATTGAATGCGAACATGTGCAATGACTCGATCGTTGCTGATATTCCAGCTTGTTTCGAATTTTCTGGAAAAATACTGACTGTGAAGTAAAGGTGGAGGTGGACACTTACCGTAACTGACACCGTAGAAATCACAAGTTGTGCGTTTTGGCAGGTTCCGAATCGTCTCGAACACTTTCTTTCTCTTCGCTTCAGCAATTTGTCTTTCTTTGCGCTCCGCCTCCTGCGCCCTTCGTTGATTCTCCGCTGCAATCACAGCAGCTCGCTGTTTTTCCTCGTACGCGGCTCTTTCTATTCTGCCTCTTTCCATCGCTTCTTTCAAAAACTGATCCTCTTCTTTTAACTCTTCCTTTGTTTTAACCCGAACATCGTTCTGTTTCTTCTCCTTTTTGCTTTTCTTCTTGTTCTTCTGCAACTTCCTTTCAGATGAGTTCGATTTAGATGCGGAAGAACTGGTTGGTGATGACGTCCCTGGAACTTGCGCTTCGACATCCGTTTCTTCAGCTTGTAGTGGGTCAGAGGGTCCGTTCAGGTCTTCTTCTTCTTCCACTTCTTCATTTTTTGGATTCGTTGTTTCAACAACCTCCGCTTGAACCTCAACGGTCTCAGATGACACCGGAGATTGAGTGGGCACTTCCACTTCTTCTCTTTCCGGATTCGCAGCCGTTTTCGGTTGGATCTCAACGGTCTCAGATGATGAAGCCGTTCTTTCAAGTGACACCGGCGGCTCAGCGGGAGTGGTCTCTTCAATTTCTTCTCTGTCCGGACTCGGATCAGTCTCCAGTGGAATCTCAACAGACACAGATGATGGAGAAGTGATTTCAAGGGACACCGGAGTCTCGGCGGGAGCTGTAGTTGTTTCCTCTTCTTCTGAGATTGCAATCATCTGAGCAGTGGCACTGGGTCCTGCCTGTTCAATAACAGGTTCGTCCCATTCACTTCTCGGAGGATGAGCAGATGTAGACGGCGTTGAATGAGTTGGCAGTGAATTAGCAACTGAACCATTGATGTTGCCGTTAGTCCTTTGTGGATTCAGTTCCGTCCGCTTCCGTTGGTTGCTTGGAGTGTTAGATGGCCCATAGTTTTGACGATTACCGTTTGAGATGTTGGACTGTTGGTTAGAATGAGAAGTTGCAGAACTGGCTGATCCAATTCTTATGTTATAGGACATTTGAGTGTCCCTTGATGCACTTTGATGGCTTGTTGATTGTTGTGGTTCGGATCTCGAAGAATATGCATCGGTTCTGTTATTCGCCACGGTCGGAGATGATGCGATCAGAGGTTTTGGTTGGCTTGGACGAGAGGTGATGTTTGGTTGTCTGGCGCCAACCGAACTGGCATAAGTCGGTGGAGTTCCAAATGCAACCGAAGATTGCGTTTGACGAGGAGGTGGTTGAGCGTTGTTCGGCCGATTACTTGAAGGGATAACTGGTGGGTTCGCATTGAGTGATGCAGTTTGGCGGCGAGTCGATGATGAAGATGACGGCTGGTCCGTTCTGGCCACATTGTTCTGTCGGCGGTTATCACTTGTCACAACCGCTTCAACTTGACGATTTCCGCTCATTGGACGGTAACCGGTAACGATCTCATTCTGTTGTCGGTTTGCGACGACCTCATTCCGATTGCGTTGAGGCGATGAGAACGTTCCGTTGTAACCATTTTGGGCATATGCAGCAGTAGGAACATTTGCAACTGGTCCCATTGTATTGGGATGTGGAGCAGGTCCATAAGGAGTTGCCGTTGTCATATGGTGTGGCGGAATCGATCTATTCATTTGTCCGTTCTCGATTAAAGATGGCCTTTCATGCTGAGTTGAGGCATGTCCCGCCGAAAAGAAATCAATTGGGAAATGCTGGTTTTGAGCATAACTGAAACATTTCCAGATAAACAACAACTTTCACATCTTTTTCTACTAACCTCTGAGCATTTGAATAAGGGCTTGGTTGCATCGTTTGCGTCATTGCTGGCTGATTAGCACAATATCCATATGAATACGGAACAGCATAAGCGTATTGTTGCTGTGGGATCGGTTGAGATTGTTGAAAGCCAGCGTAGTTGTTATGAGGCATTGCACATTGATGTTGAATAGGCACTCTGTAAAATGAATACATTTTTCTCAAATTTCCGCAGATAACTAACATGTGTCGTCCTTGATAATTTTGTTGAGGCATCATTGCGGGTGGACTATTGTAGACGAACTGTGGCGGCAGATTCTGATGCATTTGATAACTGACGTTCGGCTCATTGTTCATTCTCTCGTTGTACTGGTTTTGTGGGTAATTCTGATAGTACTGCTGCTGCCGTTGCTGCTGATTTGGATTTTGACCGTGATGTTGTTGCTGAGAATAATGTTGTTGAAGAGATTGTTGTTGAGGATGATGTTGTTGGGGCTGCGGTGCTTCAGAGACCGCTGTGGGAACGAGCTCTGGAGGACCATAGAAGTGAAGGCCGTCAGGCATGATAATTGGATGAGTAGGTTTAGTAGGAGGGGGAGGAAGTTGGTTCCTTTGCGCAGCCGGTTGATAATTCTGGATTTGCTGCTGATGATAGCCTATCTGCTGTTGATTTTGCTGATTCGGCGGAGGATTTGCATACTGCGGTACCGTCTGCAAAAGAAATAATTTGTTTTCATCAGAAGGTCAGGTTTTTCGAGGGCTTTTTGAGGTCTAAGCGTTTGGCACTGTTGTGATTTTCTGATCGAACCCGAATTTCACACGTTTGAATTAAAAAGTCATCGGTTGAAAGACCGGGAAACGCTGCGAGTTTTTAGGAGTTTCTGTCGTCACATACGCTGTCCAAATCACAACTCACAGCGCGCAGTCAAAGTTCTTGCCGTGACCTAGGAAATTCAGGTGCAAAAACTCTTCCCTGCTGACAATAGGACGACATTGAACTTTGACGGATTGTCGATTTGTTTTAATGTTTGGCAACGATATTAGATTGTGTCGAACACCACAAATCCGGAAAAGATGACACGGCCGAAGATTTTTCTAGGCCATACACGACCACAACTTTGATTGTGCGTTGTTTTGTTTATAAGCATTTCTGAGCGCTGGGATTCGGAGAGCGCACGTGAACTCGGAAGGTTCCCTCGTCTTTCAATGTTTCAGATTGATCAAAGGTTCAGGCCTCAATAATCTTGCAAAAGCCCGAGATGGAAGGGAACTTGCCTGTTCTTGGGCGACCGGTTGAGAAGGTACATGCCGCTGTGAACTACCACTCGACTGTGCCCTTTGATTATCCGTAAACTTCTGCAATAATCATCCTCTCATCACATTTCTCGTCACATTTTCTCACTAAGTTCGGCACGATCTTTTTGACGAATGCGTTTATCTCAAAAGTCCAGAGTCCATCCTTTTCGACATTCTCGATGGAGCTCAAGTACATTTTCCTCGTTTCCTCATTATGAAGATCTAAGTCATTAAGACCAGAGACCACCTGAAATGTAAAATCTCAAAACCCCGCTATTTTCGCAAATCGACTACGGTAAAGTTCATCACTGATCTTTGTGTAACAAACACTTTACAGTAATATGATAGGTGTTTCGGCTGCATTCAGTCATTACCCGTCACGAATAGTTCACTTTAAACCTGTCTGGCGGACTGATCGCGCTGACACCCGTCGCATGCAGACTTATCACACTAAGAAACGGATACATTCGATCGGAAAAAAAACGCGAACCTGATTGAACATGTTCAGCCGACGATTCCTTATCTTGTCGGCATCAGAAATCTTCTCTTTTTCTTCCATCACGATCTTGATCGTTTGAGGTTTCAAACACTTGCAAAAGAGAAGAAGATTTTAGGCACTTTCCGAGCGAAAAGGAGGGCAATTTGTTCAAGTCTGACTTTTATTCTGAAGAAATTTATAGAAGAAGAAAATAGAGGGACAAAAAAAAGCTATTTCGTACAGTGACAAGAAATGTGAATAATTTTTGGCGTAAACATGCCAATTTCTCATGTGACTTGCTCGAGTCGGCAATACGAGGAGAGAGGAAGACTTTGACAAGATTTCCAAAGATAAACACAACGTACTAAGGTAAGAAATGTCACACTTGGCAACGAGTCGCATTGGACGAGATCGGGAGGCGGGAAAAGAGAACAATAGAATGACGTCAACCCCATGAAACTTGTAGTTGGAAAGAAGGAGAGTGCGATTCTTGTTCAGCGGGTCCAAGTAATCAGTCCAAAAGAGCTTGCTGACATATAAACTCTGTTTTAGCGGGCTCAATGCAACAAGGTTGCCAATCTTAGCCACCTCTAACATGCGGGCTGTTTTGCCGAATACGCCCTCGCAATTGCCATCCTCTAACTGAATTAGTCGGCGCGGCACGGCGCACGAAGAACATTACGATTCGGAACGTTAACCTACGGGACCAATAAAAGCTGAGAAAGAATTCAAACGCTAAATGAGCGTGGGCTCGCTTTGAGCTCATTAAAATCAACATAAAAATGTGATAACGTTTTGCGGCGGAAAGAAGAAGAAGTTGCCGACTTATTAGGTCGCTTACTCAAGTGTAAACAGTGAGAAGGAAGTATCTGTTTCGAAGGAAATGTACTTTGTCGAAGATTTGTCGATAACTGTTTCGTGAAAGGAGAAGAATGGTGAGACTGCGAATGAGAGATCAACTTACTTCAAGGTCAACCGCTTTTCAAACGCGGACTGTGTGTGTGTGTGTGTGTGTGTGGAAGTGCGTGGCTGTTCTGATGCAAGCTATCAATCAAACGAAACGAAGCGATTTTGCATGACTGTTAAGAACACGCCAAAACTTGCCCGAAAGGAGAGTCTGCGCGCGCCCCGGCCGTCATGACAACTAAACCAAGCTAATAATTAGCGAGTGCCGCTTGAGTACGTGCATCTGATTCTGAATAACAGCAGAGAGGACGGGTATGGATAAACAAATGGGGGGAAATCAAGCCGCAAAAAGCCGGCCGAGGTTTTTGAAGACCTGCCCAGGACTTGGTCCTTGAACGCACCGGCAATGTTCCGATCGGACCTAACTTTTGCAGACTTTTTGGAATTGAATTGAAGCGTTTTGAATCCAAGATTCAGACCAATAGGATGGTTTTTTGTGGAGATACGTGGATCAGATGTCTAAAAGGCTACATTTTTCGCACGAACTCGGTCTTTTCATCTCGAGACCTAATATCGATCTCAAACTCAGACCCCAGAATCTTCAATCGATGTCTAAGAGACTTACACGGTTTGGGCTCAATCGGAAAACTAAAAGTGGGTCAAAAGTCCAGGCCTCGGTCGGCCAGCGCTGGGGAAAACTGAACTGGGGAGAGAGAAGAAAACTATTTCATGTCACGATTACAACAAAAGAAACTTGATAAGGGTACGGTACTGTACTGCGGCATTCGCATTCGACTGCCGCCATTTTAGGGATATGAAAAGAAAAGAGTGGGAGAACTGATTAACGTGACGACATGCGACATGACAAAAAATGAAACGGGGATAATGAAAAGAAATATCGATCAGTTTCCTTCGATGTAGTGAACGAGGAAGGCGGTGATCGCGGTCAGAGTGAATCCGGAAAGAAATAGGACGACGTTGACGGACGGGCGGAGAACTCTGTTCTTGAATTCCGGAATGAGGATCTAGAAATTTAGAGATTATAGGTACATATTTGTGAAAGAATCGTTCAGCTAACCTCCACAACGGCGATGTGTAAGATGGTGCCCGTCGAGAATCCCATCAAGCACAAAACGGTCAAGTCCGACCAGAACGACGGTTCCATGTTGCCGAAGTAGTGGCCAACAGCAATTCCGAGAGGGGTCATGCAGGCGTGGATAAACGATCCGAAGAGCGCGTGCCACTGAAGCAAAAACAGAATAGTGAGTCTATAATAATGGTTCGGGGGATCACTCTCACTTTTTTCTGGCGGACACCGGCGCAGGCGACAGACATCGCTTCGAGCACTTTGTGAACGAGGAGAGGGTAGAAGAAGGCGTCGATTTCACTGTTCAAGTTCTGAAAAACACATTATTATCATTTTCCAGTTTGAAGTACTCGCCTTGATTCCAAGTGGGATTCCCTCAACGAGGCTGTGCACCGAGATGAGGCAGGCGAAGATGCAGTATTTGACCAGTCCACCTCGCTTCTTGGGCTGTTCATTCTCGGCTGGCTCGGCATTCACCAAACTGAAAACGTTACTGCTGATTTAATAATAGAACATCTGATTCTTACCGGTCCTCCATTGGAATTTCAGCGGGAGATGTCTCGTGAGTGTGCGAATGTTCGGATCGTTTGGGTTTCAGGAACTGTAAAAGGTCGCATACTTCTTCTAGTTTTGTATTAGCCTAACCTTAGAAACCATATCGACAATTACCATCGAGAGGAAGCCAAAGGTGATCAAAAATCCAACAATGAGAAAGACGGGGAGTCCGATGTCGTAAGTTTTGGTGAACTGCTTCGCCATCACTCTGTAAAAGTAACAATTTGTTGTGCAAAAACAAAAAAGAATCCTCACATCAGTTCGGGAATGAGAATGATCGCTACAATGCCAAAGAACAGTCCCCCGGTGGTCATGTTCGAACCGGACTGAACGGTATTGGCGTACGCGGACGCCTTTTTGAAAACCTGAAATCTACCTTTTCCGGGCGTCACTGAAAGTTTCCACTCACCAGAACTATAATGACGCCCGTCAAGAAGTTCGAAACAACGAGCACGAGCGACATCAACGCTTTCCGCCAAAAGGGTGTCATTGCGAACGGATTTTGAGACCGCCTGACTTCGAGATGAACGGGGACACGAACCTGGAAAGGAACTTGTTGAAAAAGAGTAGAAAGAAGGAAAAACGAGGAAAAAAGAGAATGCAATCCCTATATCTGAGCCGTGTATGCTGAAAATCGGAACAAACTCAAACTGAGCTCCCCGGCCAGAATCCAGTCTTTTGTAGCCCGCCTAAAATCAATTAAATAGAAAGTTTTTCGTGGGTGTTTTTGTAGGCGGGGGGATTTGGTCGGGGAGAACGGATGTGAGAATCCATTGTTTCCCTACTTTTGTAGCCAAATATTTTCAGAAGAAACAGCGGACAAAGATGCTTTTGTGTAACAAATAGTGAGGTGCTGCGGTCTCTTTGTTTCCGGCCGTCAGACACCTTCTCGCAAAGATAAGAAAAAGCGCTATTGTGGAACGGAAAAGTGAGAAAGTTTCAGTAAAAAGCGCAACCATCACGAGAAGTGCGTATATGGTAATGGAAAGGGGGGGGGGTGTGGAATGGTGGCCGAGTGAGGGGGAAGGGAAGGGAAAGAGGAAGAGAAAAACGGCGCGTTCGAATGAGTTTCCGATAGAGTGAGGGCCAACACCACACCACCTGGTACCGCCAGCCATAAAATCCATACCGAACACTCATCGGATGTGTGAACTCTGCGTGTGAGGACATAATGAGTACGCGCGCGAGTGGAGAGCACGGCAAACTGCGATAAAACATGGAATCCGAACGGTTTTGGAAATCAAGAAGAACGCTTCTTTGCGTACAGACGGGGACGAAGAGGGAAAGTCTGCGCGGGCGGCTTCTAATTTGTTGTCGGGGGGAGCTCCGCCCGATGAACTCGGAAGCTGATTTATGATTCTCCGACAGAATAACACTCGCGGCACTTTGTAACTCGATACCTTGCCGACAGTTTACCATCTGTTGTCTGGTGATGAGAAAAGGAGGCTACAGTACCCGGAAATCAGATCTCTGGACATGCTTTTTTAAACTTACATGCATGCAATACTTGCAAAAAGGGGTGACTCAGGTATTACGGTGTGAAGACCACAGGATCGAGCTTTCTTTCTCTCAAACTCACTCTAGAATTCTTTCTTCAACCTTCCGACTTTAATCCTTCTTCCTGTCGTCCGTCTTGCCTTTGGGTTTGAACCGTTTACACACTTCCGGAGTCGCCACGTCCTTCAGTCAGGTCTGAAAGTCATCACGATCAGTGTCTAACCGAGGCAAATTTCTTTGCACTCGGCGGGGCTCGAACCTGCGGTCTTCAGATTGCTAAGCACAAGCTTAACCGCCTACACCACCCTGGCCACGCGGCTCAATCACCCATGGGGCGTATATATAATGGCGACGGGCGCCGTTGGACGCTGTGGTGTCGGTGATATCTCGAGAACGGATGAAGCTATCGAGAAGCATCCAAGAGCAAAAATGATCAGAAAAATGTGCTCCGTTCATCTGAATACATATCAAAAAGATTCAGAAGTCATTTAAGGATTCAGATGACACCGAAAAAAATTGTCCAAAATATGACTTGATGTATACCAAATGAATGGCGAAAACACGAAGATTCAAGCTAACGTCGTCAATATCAAGAGGCGCTCTCCCAGGAAAATCGACATAGTCACTACTGGTCATGGCACAAAAAATTCAGATTGATCCAATTTGTCCCATATTAAAACCATGAGGTTCTCTCATGAGACTGACACCCAAGAATAATATTTGGTCCGGCTCTGCAAGCCCTGTTCGGAGCACTGGTTCTAAGTACCTCTAAACTGTAACTTTAAAAAAAAAAATCCTATCGACTCAGGCTCAACGCCATTCGATTCCTCGCATCTTTTTGAGCATGTTTTATGTTCACATTAAAATTCTAGATCTCCTTCTTCGGGTAGAAAAAAATGATTTTTCTCAAATTTCAGAAAATGTTTTCGGTTTTTTCGTCATACTGAAAAATTTTAGCACTAACGTGCAAAGAGTTCTTTTAAAATTCGGATTCTACCTAATAATACGCGTCGACAAAAAAAGTTGAACCTAAATCGGAATACGCGTCAAAGTTCTGTACCTGAATTCATGGATTTTGTTCGCAAGTATTGCATGCTTTTTTAAACTTACATGCATGCAATACTTGCAAAAAGGGGTGACTCAGGTATTACGGTATGAAGACCACAGGATCGAGCTTTCTTTCTCTCAAACTCACTCTAGAATTATTTCCTCAACCGTCCGGCCAGAATCCTTCTTTCTCTCGTCCGCATTACCTTTGGGTTTGAACCGTTTACACACTTCCGGAGTCGCCACGTCCTTCAGTCAGGTCTGAAAGTCGTCACGATCAGTGTCTAACCGAGGCAAATTTCTTTGCACTCGGCGGGGCTCGAACCTGCGGTCTTCGGATTGCTAAGCACAAGCTTAACCGCCTACATCACCCTGGCCACGCGGCTCAATCAGCCATGGGGCGTATATATAATGGCGACGGGCACTGTTGGACGCTGTGGTGTCGGTGATATACATATATCAAATGAATGACGAAAACACGAGAAACGCACTGTATGTATAGGGATCTTGGGGGATTGTTGATCAAAATTTCCGTGCTTTTCGAAAGTTTATCTCTTACCATAGCTTTCGCTTCCTGATTGGAGAATCGCGTTTCCGGTAGATTTTGTCCAACAATTGAGGAACAAAATAGAAAAAACGGACAATCTTATCTACATAGTTACGAGTCTGAGAGAGAAAGAGGAAAAAGATTGGGAAAATACTTTGAGTTGGAAGAGTCGCGAGTTGTTTGCCGTTTGTGAGATCTCGGAATAAGCTCTTTGATGTCCATTGATACTCGAAGTATGTGAAACGCTCAGCTTCGAACACTGTCACCCTGAATTCTTTACTCGGTTCCCTGATCCACAATAGTCAGGGAGGATGGTAAACGGTTTCAATAGGTTCAGCTCTCTTTCTAGTTTTTTTGACCAAGTGAATTGCAATTTCCAGGAAATCCGAGGCCTAGTACTTGAAACGGTTTCTGATCGCCTCCCCAGGATTTCTGCTCTGACATGAATGATGTGGTGGAAAAGCGTATTTTAGTACCAGATACTTTGCAGAAAAGCCATTGAACACGGGGGGTAATGGGCGATTTTCCGGAAAACGGGCGTTTACCTGGAATCTGATTCCGTTGTTGCTCCGCCTTGTAAACACTTCTGGAGTCACAACTTGTTCACAGTTTACTTTTCTGCACGCTGTTCATTTTCAAAGACCGTGAAAACCAATATGAAATCGACCCTCGTGATACTGTTCTTTGTACTCGTCTTCACCTCGACCAACGCCATGCTGAGCTACTACCGGCGAGAGGATCCTCAGGAGGTATGCCTATACGCCCTCTGAACTTTTATAATCAGACATTTCAGCTTGGTTTTTCTTTTTCCCGCCTCTCTAGGGTCATAAGCGACCTTGATTCCAACGACGAAAAGGTGATGGTAAGAAGATGGATGATCCCGGCCCCGATGAAAAAGTCCATCGCCCTCGGCCGTGCGAGGTTCCGCCCTGGGAAAAGATCGCAAGAAGGATTCATCTCTAAGCTCATAGTGATCTGATCACGCTATGACATCAACTTCTCGTGTTTTGAACTCTCATTTCATGAAATTCCATTCAAACTTCAATAAATACGTTCCTGTTATTTTGGTTATCATTCACACCGAGCCAATTCAAACTCTTTTTGCACAAAACAAAAAACGAGAGGTAATTTGGACTCAAATTCCAATAAACTGAAATAATGGGTGCTCGCATAGTATTTCCGCCTTAATGATCATTGATCAGGAGGGCTCACGTGCCTTTCAGATTCCAAAGATGATGATCAGTTCATACAAAGAAACCAAGTACAAAGCAATGAGGAATATGTAGTAATTGATTGGAAAAAGTGGAGGAAAAGGGTTCACTTCGTGCAAGATCGCTGAGGTAGACTGTGTAGATTAATCAAAAATGGAGATGGTTGGAATTACTGGAATCGAGGTTGTACTGAAAGTAATGAAGATTCAGTGGAAATCTAAAGAAATCAACTTACTGAATTTTTTCGGGGTTTGGGTGGATTAGACTTCGTGAGAGTGTGATTGTTTCTTTGGTGCATGGTCTCCAGAATGTCCTTGCTCATCTTTTGGGGACAGATCTGAATCTTTGTCTCCGATTGCCACTCTGAAATAGCCAGAGAAATGAGTTAAAACTTGAAAAATACCTGAAACCTACTTCTTTTCCTCTGTTGCCTCCTGATCTTGTTCCGGCAAAGAGCACAACGACATCAAATCCGGCAGCCCGGAAGACCAGGGGACTGAAAAGGGAACCGTCACTCCGTCGGGAATAAGGGAATGAGCAGAGCCGATCGAGTGGGACTGGAACCTCCGGCGATTCGAGCATTCTGTTCGGCACATTGTGCATTGCCAAGCAGTTGATGCATTGGATCCGTGAGACACCATGTGCATCCGGAAGATGATGACGTCGGAGAAGATTATTAGGCATTTGAAGCAGCTCTGAAAGAAAATATTCGTCCTGTGATGCGAGCATACAGTGCGCGTCATAATGATAGCACACCCCCCTATTTTGACGATATGGAGAGAACTAAAGAATATGACGGAAAATGGTGATTGCCATTGTTTTCTACGCCTAAAAAAACCTACGTAGCCAATTTTCTAGGTATCCCACGCAAAAAATAAGACTAGGGTACCAAAAAGTCGTTAAAACAGGCGCGTCATAAAGATAGCACACCCCTCAAAAAATCATACACTTTCATTCAATTCTTAACTTTTTCTCTGGGTTATAACTTATTTTTGATTTTTAATTATGCTTTTGATGTTTTTTTGTTTTATTTATTCATATTTTGTTGGAGTTACAGTAGTACCAAAGTTTTACTACAGCATCCAGTGTGATGTGCAGGCTTCAGAAGAAGGATGATGTGCAGGCTTCACCAGAATTTGGGATTCACTTGAATTAATATTTGGGATTCTCCTAAAGTACTCTCATTCACTCCTTTCTCAAAATAGGACGCTCTACTCTGCTGACCCAATCCGAACAGGATCAAGTAAAGCTTATGGATCAATTGGGACTCAATCATAGCGATATGTCTCGTCGTTTGGGCCGATCAAGGAAATGCATCATCAACTTCTTGCGTGATCCGATAACGTATGGCGTGACAAAGTCTCCTGGACGACCAAAAACACTCAATGATCGCGATGAACGTGCAGTGGTACGAACTGTATCCAACTCTATGAAGTCTGCCAATGATGCTAAGAAGGAGCTGAGCCTTACGGTCTCCACGTCGACTGTCCTTCGTACAATTCAACGCTTTATGGTTATCGGTCATTTTAGGAATCGGTTTCATGATTTGACGAACGATAACTCCAAAACGTTGAATTGTACGAAGGACAGTCGACGTGGAGACCGTAAGGCTCAGCTCCTTCTTAGCATCATTGGCAGACTTCATAGAGTTGGATACAGTTCGTACCACTGCACGTTCATCGCGATCATTGAGTGTTTTTGGTCGTCCAGGAGACTTTGTCACGCCATACGTTATCGGATCACGCAAGAAGTTGATGATGCATTTCCTTGATCGGCCCAAACGACGAGACATATCGCTATGATTGAGTCCCAATTGATCCATAAGCTTTACTTGATCCTGTTCGGATTGGGTCAGCAGAGTAGAGCGTCCTATTTTGAGAAAGGAGTGAATGAGAGTACTTTAGGAGAATCCCAAATATTAATTCAAGTGAATCCCAAATTCTGGTGAAGCCTGCACATCATCCTTCTTCTGAAGCCTGCACATCACACTGGATGCTGTAGTAAAACTTTGGTACTACTGTAACTCCAACAAAATATGAATAAATAAAACAAAAAAACATCAAAAGCATAATTAAAAATCAAAAATAAGTTATAACCCAGAGAAAAAGTTAAGAATTGAATGAAAGTGTATGATTTTTTGAGGGGTGTGCTATCTTTATGACGCGCCTGTTTTAACGACTTTTTGGTACCCTAGTCTTATTTTTTGCGTGGGATACCTAGAAAATTGGCTACGTAGGTTTTTTTAGGCGTAGAAAACAATGGCAATCACCATTTTCCGTCATATTCTTTAGTTCTCTCCATATCGTCAAAATAGGGGGGTGTGCTATCATTATGACGCGCACTGTATGCGAACTCACCAAAGCGATCTTATTTGCTGCCTTCAACTCTTCTATTTTTGCGTAAAAGGCCTCCTTACGAGATAGCTCTTTGGCTGATTGCGATGTGTTCATGTTGAACGATTCTAAAGCTGAAATACTGAAAACTATCAGCCGAGAAGTAAAGGCCTGAAACTAAAAGACTGAAACTTCGGTAGTCAGCATCATGCGAACTGAACTTCACCTGATGCAAAAAAGACGGAATCTGAAGCGTGCACTCGAGTGTGTGATTCAGCGTCGGTCAGTCTGGAGGCACGTCATTGAAAGTGCAAATGAGGACGCCGAAAAGCTCAAGAAGTCATGTCTGGCGTATCACACAAAGAACGGGATCAAATTTGAGACTCTGCTTGGCTCGCTGCCAAGTTTCGAAAAGAGTATACTCTAAAAGCGGATCTTGCCCCAATGACCCGCTGCCTGGCCGAACTTTATCATTTTTTTCACAAACTCGGCCACTACGAGATTTTCGAAACATATCGAATTTGATGATGGTTTTTTTGTTTTTCAAATGTTTTTGGGAACTTCCGCCATCGTTTTTCTGCCTTATCCAGATGTCAAAGTGTTTTTTATTGTCCGTTGTCGGAAGCAGAGCTCAACTACAACATCTAACCTGTGCATTCATTCATTCGCTGAGCAACGGTTGTCTGCGAGTCTGGGCAACGAGATTTCAACCGAAAACCTATAATTACGCGCCCTTTTCCGTAGACTTGCACATTCATCCTTACGCCTCTTCATCTTTTCTATTCTTCTTCATTTCTCTCATGTTGCCTAGCAACATTCCGAAAAGATAAACTCCAATTTCATCACTCAAACTTCTGAACGTGTTGGGATCTCTCTTCTGATCGCTCTTCCTCACATGAGCATCCGACCGAAACGATTCGTTTGATAATTCAATTCTTGGTTTTTCAGTTCTGCACACTAGCAACATGTCGCTTCCGGAGCCGGTTGAACCCGAACCACTCAATCGCCCACTAGTCGTGGAAATCGATCGAAACTACATTGAAAACTTCATTGACTACGCGGAGGGCTTTGCGAGAGAAATGGTGGAAGACCGTGAGAACGTTGCGCGAGGAGAAGCCAACAGAAACGCTCATTCCGCTGAAATCCAATTCATTAGGGAAGAGAGCAATCGAATCATTCAAGGACTTGACGAATACTTGGCTTCGATGGAGCACTCCAGAGAATTCCTTTTGGAGATGATCAACATGATTCAGGCGCGCAGGAATCAGATTAGAAATGGCAACGCGCTGGCGCCACCAGCCGGAGAAGCTCAAATCCAGGCCATACAGGAGCGGGCCGTCGAAGAGCCGCCATCTTCGACTCGTAGCGCCCAGCAATTGAGAAATACTGCGCGTTCGGCCGAGGTGAGAACGATTATTGCCGCTGACTGTTCAAAATCACAATTCAGAACGGGACACCAGGCTCCATCAAGCAGGAGGAGTTAGAAAAAGACGAAGACGGCCAGCCTGGTCCGAGCAACCGAATCACGGTTAATCGCGATGAGCCGATGAATACCAACGAGTGATTTATTTACTGGATAAGTGAGTTTGACTACTCATTCTTTTTGAATTATCTACAGAGGTACCTTTCAGGAGAATCCGTTCATCTGCCCGGCCATCAATTCTACAAACACCAATTTAATGTCAATCTGCATTTTTTGTATCTTCTCATTTCTTTCTTTTTCCTTATCAGTTAAAACCAATAATCTTCATTCTGTAACACTTCCTTGTTCTTGACAACTTTCTATCTAAAGCTCGTACATAATTTCGAGCCACTTTCCAGCCAATAAAATACATAAATACAGAAACACACGGTTTTACATTATCATCACCCGACCTATATTGCAATAGTCAATATCAAGCGATTCTTGCAAGAATTGACTGCTCAACAATTTTCTAACCCTTTTTAGCCATAAAAGCGAATAGGTGAGGGATGTGGCGACTGAAATCATTGTTAGCCGCGTTATCAGCTCGGAAACCGGAACAAATGGACAAATTTGATTGAAACTTCGAGCGAATCACGAGAATGGACTGCCCAACAACTTTCTAACCCTTTTTAGCCGTAAAAGCAGACAGACGAAAGTCAAGAAGCTCAGCGAGCAAAAATTTACAAAAATTTATCCAACACTGGAGAAAAAATATTCGCTGATTAATTGTGAAATTCGGGAATAATAATGGAACGTGCATATGTTACTTTTGGTCGTGGACTTCAGGATTTTGTGGATTGAAGAGTGGCGAATGATTCGGGGACCGCTGCTGGCACGATTGTGAGGTTGCTTCAACGCCTATTCCCCAGCCGGAGCCGAAGCCGTAGCCGCCTCCATTCCACACGGCCGGTCCTGCAATTGATCCGATCCCGAGAGCCGGCGAGCCGTGGCCGCCTTCATTCCCGTTGGTCGATCCTGCGATTGAGCCGATTCCGAGAGCCGGCGGAGCGTAGCCCCAGCCTGAGCCGAAGCCGTAGCCGCTTCCATTCCACACGGCCGGTCCTGCAAATGATCCGATCCCGAGAGCCGGCGAGCCGTGACCGCCTTCATTTCCGTTGGTCGATCCTGCGATTGAGCCGATTCCGAGAGCCGGCGCTCCGTAGCCCCCGCCTGAGCCGAAGCCGTAGCCGCCTCCATTCCAGACGGCCGGTCCTGCGATTGATCCGATCCCGAGAGCCGGCGAGCCGTGGCCGCCTTCATTCCCGTTGGTCGATCCTGCGATTGAGCCAATTCCGAGAGCCGGCGCTCCGTAGCCCCCGCCTGAGCCGAAGCCGTAGCCGCCTCCATTCCAGACGGCCGGTCCTGCGATTGATCCGATTCCGAGAGCCGGCGAGCCGTAGCCCCAGCCGGAGCCGAAGCCGTAGCCGCCTCCATTCCACACGGTCGATCCTGCGGTAAAGCCGTATCCCCAGTAGCTCGAGCCGCTGCCCAAACCTGGTCCGGAGAAATTCAACGGCCCCGAATTGCCGAGGTTCGAATTTAATTTCGGCGCAGTCGGGGCGGTGGTTGGTCTTGGCCAGTAAATGCACTCGCACTTTCCGCCTTCAACATCCAGACTCGGGCAGATCCCCCTCTTCATAGTTCCGTCCTCGCGGCACTTCAATTGGAAGAAGTGCTTCAGGTATTGCGGGCACTTGTAGGAACTTTGTGACGCAACTGAAATAAATTGTTTGATAAAAAGTGTATTCCATTGTTTTTAAGAAAATGATAAAAATTCTGACGAGTCTTTATGAAAACTTACGCATGAGATCGGGATTGCCCATATTGATAATGAGACAAAATATTTGGTCTTCCATATCTTGTTCAAATCTTTTGTTGCCCTCAAGAAAGGCGACCAGGTTTGGTTTGTTAGCGTGGTCACTTTGAATTTGACCTGAAAAAATAAACGATAATATAAAAAGCATCTATTAAATTCACCGCAACAAAGCCAGATGAGCTTGCTTCCCACACTGTTGTGTTTGATGAAAACGGCCGTTCTGCGCAAGCGTTCCTTGAACGGTAGCGCTTGGAATGCTGCCCACTTGCTAGCATCCGCGGGATAGCAAAGAATATGATGACGCATGTTTCGAAACTTGGAAATAGTACCTGGAAACGATAAAATTGATAAGGGATACTATGGTAAAAATTAGGGGCTCGACACAGACTGTTTCACTCTGACCTTCAGCAATTTGCGTACTTAAATAAACCTCCAAGCTCCCAGAAAAACCAAAAACGAAACAAAAAGAAAGATCAGACCACAGCAAGGAAGCAATGGTGGATGGGCTGATGAAACGAAATGAAAGGGGGAGGGGCGAGGCCTGCGATAAAGTGACAAAGCGAGTACCCGGGAGAGTGCACGCTGATTCATCGGTGAATACATTGACATTTGGTCGTCTTTTCTTAGGGCTACAGTTCACCGTTGTGTAAACAAAGAAAACGTTTCATCACCCACCAAGTTGTCCAATCCGCGACTTCCGTCCAATTCTTTTCCTTGTGATGAGCAACTGAACGGCGATGAGGGGGCAAAAACGCGGATACCTTCTACTTCTACAGAAAAAAAAAGCCAAACACACGTGCTCCAGCTATTATATTCTTCTCCGTGTACCGCGATCAGTAGAGAAGATTTGTTCGAGCATCACGTTCCCATTCGTTCACAAAACGGGCCCATTCCCTCTTGAGATCGGATTCGAACTGTCAGTCACTCTGGAAGCCAATCAGATTGTCCGAATTTCGGTCAGCGGGCTCTGAAAATGGGAATAATTGGTGAAAGAAAGTAAATCTCACATCACTTTGATTCGTCGAAGAACATTCAATCATTATGAGGCAGAATTTATGCGGGAACATCTCGGTAAATGTTTTTCTGACGTTTTCAGAACTTTATTACGCTCATTTAACCTCCATTTCGTCCGCTGTTCTGAGTGTTGCTAGCTAGTGTGGAGGAAGTTCGAAGCACTCGGATCTTCGCTGATCGAAGGATTACACACGCTTGCGAAGATCAAATTCGGATCTCTGACAGTTTTGTCGCCTTCAAAGGGCAAACCGTCTTTGGACACGCTTGGTGTTAAGATTTGCGATTTCCGGCCGAGAAGCACGTCTGGAAAAGATGAATTCAGTTCAAGATAAACCAAAAGAGTAAACTCACGATAGCTGAGTCGCGAATGATCATTCCAAGCCAGAAAGCCTTTATCATTCCTCTCAAACATCGCTTCCCGTCACAAATTTGCAGGAGGATTTTCTTATCAAAGACCCTCTCCTTTTTTCCGAGTGGTCCCACGAAAAAAATGAGTGTTGGCACTACGATCCATTCGCTCGTTCTGATTCTTCTGTCGATTCACTGGGAATTGTCAATAAATCAATACGAGAACCGTATATTCGCTTTGCGGCCGTTCCTTTCGTTGACTGCACCTTTTGCTGAAGTCCTGAAAACAATATTTATGAAGCATTACTGTTTGAAACATTAATTACACTTCAATATTTTGATTGGAGACCGGGACCACTCATATCAGCGCACACGAAAACCCATCCACATGCACTGCATCCAAAACAGCACCGTTCGATTCACTGTCCCAAAGGAACCATCTCCGTTTTGCTGTGCACGCTTTCACGGTCGTTGTATGTAGTTGCCAGTAGCGGTCACTCCATCTTGGCACATCTTACAAACTAGTTTTCCCCGTTTTTCTTTCAAAAGAGCTTGATCTGTTTCTTTCGATCAGCTGAAATTTTCGGTTAGAAGGAATACTTGATGAGTGAAAAAGCGGCGAAAATCAGCAGAACATATGCAAAGCACTGAGAGCTAAAATTTTCAAAAATTTATTAGGCATGCACGGGAGCAAAAATCGACTGGGCTGGACAAACATCACTGTAAATTTTAGATTCGATATAGGGGGGAAGGTTGAACGGGGAAGTATAAGAAAATGCGGAATGATGGCAAAACCGGGTGAGACCAAAAATACGGAGAAGGAGGGTAAATATGTTATTAAGAATATAAGAGAAAGGCATTTTGTACACTCACTTAAATTATCCGTTGCAATCCAGATCAGCTATTCTTTTCTGGAGGTATTGGATGTTGAAGGTGAGAACGGGAATGGACAGAGTTTCGTTTTTCAGGTTGATCTGCAAGAAACATTTGGATTCGAAAAACAGTAAAATAACTCTTACCAGAATAATAATGTTCTCCGTAAAGTCGGCGATATGAACCGACGAATCTCCGATAAAAATGTGCTTTGTGTGGGCTTCGCCGGCGGCCTTCCTAAAAAATAATCGTAATGGGCGTTGAAAAAGTATAAATACTTGAGAAGATCGTTCTTGAAACTCTTGAGCGCTTGCGTTGTCTTCTCGAGAATCGAATCATCTCGCTGCGGCTCAATCTCGATATGGTGAATTTTAAGAAGAGACTGCTTTTCGAAGAGAGTCACTTCTCTCGCCTCGATGATCTCGCCCATCTTGCGGAGCATTTCCTCGATTCTCGGAGCCTTCGGGACGATGAGCTCCATGCACCGAGACCACGCGTTATAGACCGAACAGTTCCAAATGGTGGTTCCGATGACATCGAACACAACGTTAATCGGTCCGCGACGCGTTCTGATCTCGGCGTAGGCGTTGATCGCTTTTCTTTTCTCCTCAAATGTCTGAAAAACTCTGATTCAAAATGCAAGAACAGTCCTCACCTCGTCTCTGATCGTCTCCTCGACAAGGTCCATTTTGTTGACCATGACCACGATCTTAGCCTCTGGCGCTTCCTCGTAGAGCGCTTCTACGCACTTACGAAACATGCACAAATCTTTCTCCCACTCCGCCGACTCGACCTCAAAAACGTAGACCAATACATCAATTCTACCGAAAAAATGGGTTCTCTGCGAGTTGAGCCGGTCCTCCATGTAACCCGTCTGGCCTCCACAATCCCAAATGTGGAGCATCAAACTTCCGAGATATCTGTAAAATTTTGGATGGTTTTCTTTCTGCAATAACAATCCTGAAAACTCACTTGACGTGGTGCTGATCGACGTCATGAGTAGGAGGACTTCCGACGCAGCTATCCGGTGAGTAGTCGGAAAAAACGATGTTTTTCAGCGACGTCTTCCCGGATCCCGCCGACCCCAATAAGACGATCTTCCTTGTCTTCTCAACCGGCGATATGGATGATGAAGGAGACAACATACGTAGAAACTGAAAAAAGGTATAAATGATATTCATTGAAAGACACCTTCTTAGGTTCTCGGTAAACTTGAGTGTAAAGATAATTGGCGTCCAGTATTATTTGAACTGATTTGAACATTTAACACTTTGAAACGCATGCATATGTTTTATTTGAGGTCAATGAAATAGAGAGACATTGGTAATGAAAGAAATGAAAGGTGATGAAAGCTGTAGGAATTTGAGAGAAACCAAGGTTGCGGTTATTTTGTAAGTGCGGGTGACGAGGAAGAGGATGCAGATCCCTCTGTGGAACAATCGAGAAGGTCGGTCGCGGACTGCTTCTTTTTGAAGAAGCTATCTGCTCTTTCGAGCAAGTCCTTTCCCTTCCTGCTCGCAGCCTGTAAAAAAAGATTTTTCTCCGATGTGCCCAGAACAAATTCCCCGGCTGACGAGACCGATCGGAGAGAACCTCACGTTCTGGGCTACATTGGCGGGAAGAGCACTGAAAACAATTTGTCATCTTCGCACATTAACATCAAAACTTACAACAGGAAGGAAGTTTCGGTACAAGACTGCCGTCATGCAGCCGTGCTTGTTTATGTCTCCTGCGAGAAACACATGCCTGTTTCTCTGTAAATCGCGTTTGAAATCAATATTTCTAATTGTGGACTGACCTCTTTTCCAAAATGTTGCTCGTTGAACTGGAACGACAAGCTCGGGTAGTTCTCGTGATTGAGGCAAGCGTCGAGCCGTGGCTGAAGTGATGGCGACGCTTCGAAATAGGCGACGTACTGATCGTCGAGGTACACGGCTGAGACACCGAGCGGTCGCACCTCGTTCAGATTGATCGTTCCGATTCTGAAATGCATATCAAACTATTTTAAAGAAAAAATGTTATTCATCTTTCTCACTTCAAGATTGCGAGCCAATCGGAGATATTTTCCGTCCTGAGCGGGTTTCCGTGTTTGGCAGGCACAAACAGAATAGAGTACTTTTTGTACCCGTCGTTGCACCTAGAAAAAATTAAACTTAAACTAAACTAAACGTTTTTATTTACCCTTGATTTTGAAGCGATCGATTGGGACGTGTCGGAATCATCGGACAGTAGGGATCCTCGCGACGGCGCTGTTCGTGTTGGTCCATCTGACGGATTCGGTTGAGTGGATGAACTGCCATCAATTGACGAATTGGGGAAATCGGGCGGACTGGCAATACATGTTGGAATGGCTCTTCAGGACAGACCGGCTCAACTGGCGGGACAGAATTCACAGGACCGGCTGGATTCACTGAACGGCCCACTGGACGGACCTCCAAAACGTCCACGCTGATGGTCTCGTCTCCGTTTGCCTCTTCACAGCTGATCCACATTCAGCCTTGGCGCGTTGACGAACTGGTACTCCGTCGTCTTCTGAGAACTGACGTTGTACAATGACTTCAATTGCCAGGTTCAGTTTTTTTTTCTTTTTTTGAACGGACTCGCCGATCGAAGCATTTGCTCATCTTCTAACCGTCGTTTCAGCCGATTCAGCTCGGCGGCCGTTTCCTGTTGTTGTTTGTGTTCTTTCGCAAACACTTGCAGCAGCATCTACCGCCGGCCCATTCGCCTTCTGTTCCCGCCATCGGATGACGACGCAACGCTGCTTCAAAGATTTGATGCGCACCATGGAGACCTGTAAATTTCTCGAACATTTCTAAATGACAAATTCAATTTGTTGCAAATAATCAATATGGACCAAATTTCTTCTTGTAAGAGTTGAAAAACGCACTTCATAAACTTCGTCATTCGGTAGTTTGAACTGAAGAATGGTTCCATCGATCTGACAGGCAATTGTTCATTCTCGAAGGACATTTCTTGGACAAACCGCGTCCGCCGATGTATTGCGTTCATTACTCTCGAGTTTCTTAAGTTCCTTTTTAAAACACGGCACTTTCTTGAGCATCTCCCACTTCTTCTCTTTTATCACGTGCTCCAAATTGTCCTTTCTCAGCTCGTTGTTGGTTATCGACTGGAAATGTTTTTAGTGAAAACTTGACAAAAATAAGTGGCTAGTCAACTCACGCGTGTCCAGAAAATGTGTGAAGTCTTGAGCTGAATATTTTCCATTTCTTCGAAGGTCTGAAATAAAAGCATGTCAAGGTTAGAACAAAATTGAACGATATCCCGAGTTAGTTGGACGTAACCTTTTACCAATAAGTTAAATAAAAAAATAAAATACCGGCATTAATGATCCAGTGGAAACACAAAAAATGTGACCAAACACAATGGCTAACTTTTATTCAACATAGAACATTCATTATTTCATTCATAACTCTTTATTTTTCCAAGAAAACAAGACAATAATGAACTTCTGGAACTCCAAACAAGAACGAAGGAGCTGTGAACACTGGAGGAATCATTCCCGAATATCGTCGACGTCGAAGGAGCGCCAACGAACGGTTTTTGAAGAACAAGGCTGCTCCGGATCACTCCGACAAGAAGATTGATAAGAGCGGCCTATGACGACGTCTGATTTTTCTTGTTCATTCACCAAGCAACGATTCTTCTCTGCAACAGTAATTTCAAACTATGTTATTTGAGGATAGACGGGAACAGCTCACCTAGAACTCAGATCGAAATGCCATTTGTGAGAGTGGCAATCACTATCACTCAGCAAAAAAGCTTTCCCGGGTCAAGTCATTGCCAATGTATTGTAATAAATATGAAGAAGACGCGTACCAAGATGAAAAGAGCGGTACCGAGAATAGCGAATGTCATCGGCCACCACAGGTACCCAAAGACAGGGAGAGGAGAGGGCGGGACGAGCGAGTGAGAGACGAGGCAGGACGGGGCAAGAGAGAGAGAGAGAGAGAGAGAAAATAGACGTAGGATGGAAGAGGATAGAAGTACGGTAGCAACATTGACATCCGATTGCAATAGAGCGCAAGAAACCTGTAAAGTGAATTAAACGTTTTCAACGTATAGAAAATCTTACTTCGAACACTGTCGTGTCAGAAAAAGGAGTCCTTTTCCGACAAAAGAAGCGACGGAGAAGATTTGGAGCTGATTTGAGCTGAAACCGGAAACTTTTCAGACAACATCGAAAAATTAATGTACTGCGTCGGCTCGTCAGTACATTCGAAAAACGCGGTTTGCAGCGCACATGGGTCTTCTTTTCTCAGGTGAAAGACACTGCCGAAAAGTGATGACAGTCGGGAGGGCTATGCAATAGCCCATATGACGGTAATCGGGGACGCTCTCCGCTAGACAAGCATGTGCGATGTATCTGCTGAGCCCCATGCTAAAAGGGGTTTACGTAATCAGCACTCACTGACAGTTTCTGCAAACGAAGGAATCATTAGAAGACAAGAAGTTAAAGTAATTGGCATATCAGATTTGAACTGATCTGTTTTTAAACTTGAGACAATTTTCTTGCAGTTTAACAGGCTTTATTTGAGCAAAATAAAGCAAAATAACAGAGAAAAAGGCGAGGAGGAGACTGAAGAGGAGAGCAGATCGTCTCTCGGTGTATGAAGTCCCTGAAAATTGAGTTCAACGGGTACGACAAACAGAAACTGACAGTCTCAGTCCTCCTCCTTATTCTTCATCAAACGAGCGGTTGGCGGTGTTGCCGTTCGCATTATCTTGGAGTTGTGGAGGGGGCGCCGGCCCAGCTCCACAATCGCTTTCCTGGCTTGCCTGACAATTTTAGTTAATAGTCTGATTGAGCTACACAACACCCACCATCTTCGGTTTCTTCTTCTTCGGCTCCTCAGGTCCAGTTGGAGACGACGCGGAAGAAGCAGCAAGTGGGACTGCGGCTGGTGGTGGTGCCGGGCCCGCCTGGCTGGTGCTGCTGTTCACATTATCTTGGAGTTGTGGAGGGGGCGCCGGCCCAGCTCCGCCATTCTCCTCCTTTTTACCCTGAAAATGTTTGTTTATATTCTGATTGAGCTACACAACACCCACCTTCTTCGGTTTCTTCTTCTTCTTCGTCGATCCCTGAGATGCAGAAGCAGATGCGGCTGGCGGCGGTGGCGGCGGCGGCGGTGGCACACGTCGACGAGGATGCGGGCCTCGCGGAGGTGGCGGAAGCAGATTACGTAGACGGGCATTGTGTATGAGTTGCATATTAGCCAGAGTATGCGCCACCTCGATCTCCTCAGCTGTGAATGAGGAGTAGTCGAGGTTGCGCATTTCGTAGCGCATCCGCTCTTCGAAACTGAGATTGTTTCTACTCATTAATTACCTGAAAAAATGACTGCACAGTTCGAAAAGCAAGAAAAAAAAATAATGTAAAGCTACAGGAAAGGATTATAGAGGGTGGGGGGCTCCTCATCTTTTTTTCCTGCAAAATGAGGAAACCGTCTGGCAGATGAGCGGAAGGTGTAAATTGATTGCTGCTGGATGAGAAGAAACAAAGGAAACGACAGAAACTTGCGGAAAACGTGACAGAGGGGATATGGTCACTAAAAATACTGTAGTTTTCAATTTAAAATCCACAATAAAGAAGTCAATCGGAAAAAACTGGTTTTCAACAATTAAAGAGCCTTTAAGGCGTTGTGTAACAGAGTGAGAGGATCACAATTTCGAATTTTGGTTTGAAAATGGCGGGAGAAGTAGTGTGCTTGCACTGTTCCATCCGCAATAGTGCGTCAACTTTGGCGCCATACAGATGACGAAAGGCAAGAGAGGGAGAGCGAGAGAAAGAGAGAGGGGGGGGGGGGCGGAACATCAAACAGATGCCTGCTTTTGAAAAAAATCGATATGTGATCCGAAAATACGGAGAACGGCAAGAACAACATTGACTTTTCACAAAAAATTCGTAAATTTTTAAATCCAATATCAATTTTGAAAGTATACAACAGTTCCAAAGAACGATTGAAGAGACAAAACGAAAGAGAGAAATGAGAAAAGTTTGAGAGAATCACTCTCCGGCTCGCTGGCCTCGGATATCGTCCGACTGCTCGACCTTGGGGGGCCGTCGTATCAGTCCAAAGTTGTTTCAGTTCATGGGTACATGCGGCGCTCCGTAATGCGCGAAAGGAACTGGATGCACTGCCGCGTTCGGAACAAAGGCCGGATGCAGTCGGGAGCCGCCGGTCCCGGATGATTCGCAAAACCACCGGATGCAGGCATGTGATGGTCCTCTGATCCTGGATCTTCGACAAGTTTTCGCTTGTTGGCAGAACATTTCATCTCTGCGTCGACTGAACTTCTGGTGAATTAGTATGGAACGAATATTCGTGTCTTCGAAATGAACTTTCTACGCCGAAATTCAAAATGTCAAGTTTATATGTAAGTGGGAAATAACAAAAAGATAAGTGATTGAGAAAGAAAAGGAAACCAGCGTTGCATTCTCAAAAGACAAAGAAAAGTTAGATGGAAAGTGACTCATATGAGAAACTGAAGAGATGCGAGCAAGTCAAAGCATATATGAGTCGTTCTGCGGGCACGATACTGTCACTATTTCGAGAAGCAGACAGCGAAAGAAAGGATATAGCCCCGCCTGCGCGTGTCTCCCCCCGCCCCAAACACAGTGACTCACAAGCGACGACTGGGATACAGTATCATGTTTGAGTGAGGAGCGTTACGAAATTATAATGGAAAAGACGAAAAATAGCTTGACAATATTGTGTTGAAATCATTTTGCATGGCTCCAGCTGGACAGACGGGAGCCAAGGGGACTGCCACAGCCTTCTGAGCCCGTCGAGCCAAAGGACCGAGAAGCAAAAAAATTACTACCGTATACCAAATGACTCAGAAAGGCACGGAGCTTAAAGAAAAAGGACTTAAGAGTATTTCATACGATTTATTTGATAAAAATATTAGCAGAAACTTCGAAAATTTGGGCAGTTTCGGAAAATCAAAGTTGAAATGGATTCTTGCTTTGGCTCGACGTCCATTGGCTCCTTTTTGATGTCTCTTCCTGTCATTTTAAAGAAAAAAGGAACGATTCCCGCATTTTCGGTCTCCGACTCTTCCTTTACTCGCTCATCCGTGATCTTTATGACCACCTTCGAATAATCTTTTTCAAGATACACTTGTCTCTGAAAAAAGTTTTTCTTTCGGATTATGGAAAAGATTCAAAGTTCTCACTCTCTTCCGCATGTTCTCCAGTCGTTTTTCACGAGAAATTCTTGCCTGATGCAAATAGTTGAGAGCACATCAATGGCTTCTCGTTGAAACTTACCGATCATTTCGAAATCGGTCTGAAGAGAAATGAGTTGATGATACTGCAAATTAAGTTTTGCTAATTTCTGCTCGAGCTCGTCCGACTTTCGTTGCGCAATTTTCTAAGAGCGTGTAGATTGCCCTGTTGCGCACACAGATGACAGTACGCAATAGGAGGACACGCGCATCCCCCGGCCTCCTTTTTTCTTTTCTATATCGTTGACGTGGATAGGCTAGAGCGGGGGATCCTTAGAAAATGGGTAAATTGAATGTTCTTGAAGCTAACAGACATTCTCTACCAGAAAAAATGGTGACACGCGTTCTCGAAGCGAACGCGAGTACGGTAGCAGTCGTTTCAACTGTTCGCACCCCGGTTTTCGCGCAAATTTCTGCCGACTTTGGACTGCAAAATCTGCGAAATTTGCAGGTTTTTTTTTAAACTTTGGGCGCGGCATTCAGGAATACGGTATACAAACAGAATGAAGATAAGGATGCGTGTAAAATTATTAGAACTATGCGGGAAATCAGCTGCAGAGACGAGAAAAAGACGACGATTGAAGGAGCAGAATAAAGAGGATTGCGTTGAAGTGTATGGAGAGGTGACGGTCAGACTCTGAACCGGAGCAACGTTTGCTGCAAGTAAATAGTATTTTCCTATGTTTTCAAGTTTTTTCTGCTCTTACTTTCGTCACTCCACTCAGCTCTTTCGGTATGGCACTGCGACGATACTCTGAGCGCGGGATGGTAAACCTGAAATGCAAATACTCCGATTTTGCCGGAGCAGTTAGTTTTTTTACTTTCTGCTCAACTCCCGGAGACGGGACTCAGGCACAGTCAGCAGTTCAATCATTGCTTTGTAATCCGGCTCATCGGAAAACTCCAACTTTCTGATCTTCCGAAGTAACTCCTCAAATTCCGGGATGGCGAACAGTCCTCTGCCATCAGTGCCGCCTTTCTTGAGTCGGTAGAATTCGCTATGATCTGGATTATCGTAATCCAAATCGTCCCACGGCAGCTTTCCCTCCAACAGCTCCAGACACGAGAATGCCACCGACTCCAAGTCGTCCCGGGGCGCGGGATCTGCAAAGAAAGAGATTACGAAAAAAATGCTTTGTGCTGGGAACTCACGGGCTTCGTCATGTATGCGTGCGCTGCAGAAGGCGATGGTGCCTTTCATCGGGTACGGCTCACATTTTTCGATCCGACTCCCATCCGGATTCTTGAACGCCTGGGCAAGTCCGAAATCGATAATCTGAACATCATCGCGCTCAAGGAACAGTAGCCGTGCGGTGACTCACAAAAAGTTTATCCTGTTTCACGCCTTTCCCAAACGCAAAATTCGACACTTTTATATCGCAATGTATTATGCGATGCGCATGTACGATTCGGACCAACTCGATCATTTGACGAGCTGCGTCAAAGACCTCCTTGATGGTGAGCTGCTGTTTCAACTCCCGCCAGTCGCTCATGTTCAGGCCCAGGAGCTCCATCGAAATGAGCGCGCAGCCTTTCTCTTCAAAATAGATCGGAGAGGAGGGGATGCTTTTGAGCCCTCGGAGGGCATCATAAATTTTGAACTCGGTCTTCATGTCCTCCACCCTCCCTATCTTGACGGCCCACGGTTCGCCCGTATTGTGTCGCTTCACCTCGCAGACTACTCCGAAACCGCCCTGTCCTATCACCTTTACGAATTTGAAGTGGTTGAAACCAAAACGGATATCTGGAAAAGAATACAGTTTAACCATCAACAACTTACACATCTCGCTCACTTGGTCTGGAATCCCTCGAGCACAATTGAGCTCCGTGCGTGTACACGTAGATACGCGTGCTGAAATAGACAATATGTATGATGATAATGAGAAAAAGAGATGAAAAACTTACTTCGCGTTGTTGTGTGGGAGAGAAGAAGTGCGGATGGGAACCGGTGGCGGAATGCGTCTCTCTTCGTTTTGTACGGGTGTTGTTGGGGGTGGCACTGGGATACGTCTCACAAAATTGGCAAGACGAAGGTTTCTCAGACGAGCAAATGTTTCTCCCAAAACTCTGAAATTCAAGTGGATTTGCAGATGGAAGTGCCAGAAAATGCACCCTCTCCGAGCCTGACTATCGACGTTCTCGCCTCTACGCTCTCCGTTGCAGTGCATTTTGAAGAAAGTCAAAAGAACGCCTGAAAATCAGAGGAAGAAACACAAGAAAGCGGAAAATAGGAAAAATGAAAGTAAGAGCCGGGATTGAATAGACAAATCTTCCGTAAATGAACCGATCATCATGGCATTGCACGTGCGGAGCAGCTGCAGCTAACCACTGTCATTCCAAGCCAAACAGTCCGGGAACGGAACGATCCACGAGACAAAAAAGTGGACAGACATTTTGATGAAATGCATTTCCAGTAACACATTTCACAAATGTTGTTCGTCGGTGAGTAATCCATTGATTTGAAGCTGGCGTGTGATGAAAAAAGAAAACATTTCAACTTTAATCGATAAGGTGACTCACTTTCAGTGATTCCGTTCGTATCCGGCGGTTCCACAATCGACGTATACGTATGGGAAGGAAAAATCTGAAAACTGATCTGAAATAGCGAGCAGAACAGCACACATATTTTTTGGGAATCTTCAGAACTAATTTTTCCTCTGCAATTACCAGAAAAGGATCAGACTATCCAGAAAAAATTTTGAGACCACACCAAAGTTTGTTTTCTGGCGCCATTTGGACGACAGATGTGCAAGCTCACGACACGTCAACGCTGTCGCTTTCAGCACCTGGTTTCAACATGGACGTGTATGGTCTAATGTCCAGTAAAAAAAGTACAGCAGTTACAGTTATTTTCAGAAACGCCCGGCAAGTTCACAGTTCAGTTCATCAGCAAACTGTTGACGAAAAAACATCGTTTGAGCACAGTTTTGCAGCTTCTTTCTAGAAGTGATTGATTGCCAAGGACAAGTGTAAATCCAGAAGACGTCGAGAATGTTTCGAACACAGTCACACTTTTTCCTACTCGAGAAGTGCATCGAATTCGACCGATCATCTCCACAATAGCGAAAAATTACTTGGACTGAACTAGTTGCCAGTGCATTCAATCGGACCTGGCCATTTTCTTTAACCCTCCTCGGGCCCCCTCCTTGAAGTCGTGGGGAATCCTGGCTGGAATGATCAGAGCTTAGACAAGAACTTGCAGCAGTGTGTGTAAATCACACAAAACGGGCAAAAAGGAGTGTAGAACACTGTTACACTTAGATTTTTTAGACATTTCCGGACGTTGTAGAAACTTTATTTAGACTGAAATGACGAAAGCAACAACTACTACTTGAGTGGCATGCGGAGCCAAGAGCAGTCTCGAAATATGTTCAGTTCACAGGCAGCAAAAGAAAAGCACGGCACGCGTTTTTTTTCCGCTAAACGGGTGCACATGATGTCCTTTTGTTGCACTTGGAACGTTCCATTGATGTTTTCTCACGAAGAGGTTTCGCACTTAACACAATTTTTTTTCACGCATGGGACTTCGACGCGGCACACTTGTCTCATTGTCATTCCTGAAGATCGTCAGAGCCTCGATTTCTGGAAATAATCGAAATTGAATTACTCATAGCTGCAATCCTGCTCTCGGAAGCAATGAAAAGTGGCAAAACTGTAGGAACGCCGGTTCTGACACAATTGACTTTTTTTGCATTTTTCACGTTGCAGTAAGTCGAAAATGTCATTTAGGCTACCTCTTCCCAATTCCCTGACTGTTTTGAAGGCCGGCACATCCGGAAATGAGCAGGAAGTTGATAGACTTGCGGGGGACTGCGGTCAGAACCTCCGTATCGTACATTCAAATCCCACATGGCCAAGAAAGTAGATGTGCATTGTTGAGTTCCCTCATGAACGCAATCACGGAGCACTGTGTGGACCAATGTTGTCTCTGATCGTTTTTGCGATCGATTGGTCTCGCGTGGTGCGAACAGTTGAAACGACTGCCACCGTACTCGCGTTCGCTTCGAGACCGCGTGTTATTTCGACACGTTTTAAACGTGTTTTTCCCCATTTTTTCAGTTTTTTCAGTTGACGTTTAAAACGTGTCGAAATGACACGCGGTTTTGAAACGAACGCGAGTACGGTAGCAGTCGTTTCAACTGTTCGCATTTAAATTTCCACGTTGCCGAAATTTTTCACAGATCCTCAAACTGCCAGAAAAGTTAGCGGAAAATTTTCAGCGATGACCCCTTTTTTTTATTTTCAGAATCTATAGATACACTCTCTGAGAACCCAAATATAAATTTTCAGAGCTCTAGACACCCTAGGAGCATTTTTGTGTTCGATTGAGTAACGCCTATTCAGACGAAATTTTAGTTTTTCGAGGATTTGAGGGTCACAGATACCGTTCACACGGCTAATTTTTACGGAATCGGATTCTGCGTGAAATTCTCGACAAAATTCCGTTTAGAATGACAATTTTCCACGTTGCCGAAAAAAGTTACAGTCAGATATGTTTCGAATTTCAGCGCGAAAATGCACTAACTTCACCCCTGTAAAGGGCCGCTCACACCGAGCTTTTCAACGTGATTGGCGGTGGGCGCGCCTCCGCCTGGGTGGCGCAGTGGCAGAGTGCTCGCTCGGCTATTTTGAGGTGTCGGGTTCGAAACTTTTGACCTCAAAAGTGGTTTTGCTTTTTTAGAACATCATTTCTGTTCATTTAAAATGTTGACTCTTTGGTTTGGTCCACCAGATAATGAGAAAAAACGCGTGCGGCAAACTTGCAAGCGAGGCCACGCCCCTCCGCAGCCGCCGACCCGGGAGAAAACAGGGCAACTTTGAACGGGTGTAACTCGGGATGTACCGAAAATTTTGGAAAAAAAAATTGGGAGCGTACTCATATAGAGTGGGGGAACACAATCCGTCAAAAATTTTATGGAAATTCGGAGTTTTGCGAAACCCGTTGCGGTCCCTACGCAAAATCCGCGAGATTTGCGGGCTTTTTTTAAAATTTGGTCACGGCATAAAACACGGCACATTCTTGAGCATCTCCCACATCTTCTTTTTTATCACGTGCTCCGAATTCCGATCTGAAATCGCCGTTGATCATCGACTGGAAAGACAATAATTAACTTCGGGAACTCCAAACAACGAAGCGGCACTACAAAAGACAAGTCACCTGAAAATGCAAACAAAAAAACGCACATTTGAGTCTCCTGTTGACGGTGCGGCATTGCCATTGTCTTGTAATAAATATGAAGAAGACGCGTAACAAGATGAAAAGAGCGGTACCGAGAATAGCGAGTGTCATCGGCCACCACAGGTACCCAAAGACAGGGAGAGGAGAGGGCCGGACGACTCTGCTGAGCCCCATGTTAGAAGGGGTTTACGTATTCAGCGCTCACTGACAGTTTCTGCAAACGAAGGAATCATTAGAAGACAAGAAGTTAAAGTAATTGGCATATCAGATTTGAACTGATTTGTTCTTAAACTTGAGACGCCTTTCTTGCAGGTTAACAGGCTTTATTTGAGCAAAATAAAGCAAAATAACAGAGAAAAAGGCGAGGAGGAGACTGAAGAGGAGAGGAGATCGTCTCTCGATGTGTGAAGTCCCTGAAAATTGAGTTCAACGGGTACGACAAACAAAAACTGACAGTCTCAGTCCTCCTCCTTATTCTTCATCAAACGAGCGGTTGGCGGTGCTGCCGTTCGCATTATCTTGGAGTTGTGGAGGGGGCGCCGGCCCAGCTCCACAATCGCTTTCCTGGCTTGCCTGACAATTTTAGTTAATAGTCTGATTGAGCTACACAACACCCACCATCTTCGGTTTCTTCTTCTTCGGCTCCTCAGGACCAGTTGGAGACGACGCGGAAGAAGCAGCAAGTGGGACTGCGGCTGGTGGTGGTGCCGGGCCCGCCTGGCTGGTGCTGCCGTTCACATTATCTTGGAGTTGTGGAGGGGGCGCTGGCCCAGCTCCGCCATTCTCCTCCTTTTTACCCTGAAAATGTTTGTTTATATTCTGAATGAGCTACACAACACTCACCTTCTTCGGTTTCTTCTTCTTCTTCGTCGATCCCTGAGATGCAGAAGCAGATGCGGCTGGCGGCGGTGGCGGCGGCGGCGGTGGCACACGTCGACGAGGATGCGGGCCTCGCGGAGGTGGCGGAAGCAGATTACGTAGACGGGCATTGTGTATTAATTGCATATTAGCCAGAGTATGCGCCACCTCGATCTCCTCAGCTGTGAATGAGGAGTAGTCGAGGTTGCGCATTTCGTAGCGCATCCGCTCTTCGAAACTGAGATTGTTTCTACTCATTAATTACCTGAAAAAATGACTGCACAGTTCGAAAAGCAAGAAAAAAAGAATAATGTAAAGCTACAGGAAAGGATTATAAAGGGTGGGGGGCTCGTCATCTTTTTTTCGCTGAAAAATGAGGAAACCGTCTGGCAGATGAGCGGAAGGTGTAAATTGATTGCTGCTGGATGAGAAGAAACGAAGGAAATGACAGATTCTTGCGGAAAACGTGACAGAGAGGATATGGTCACTAAAAATACTGTAGTTTTCAATTTAAAATCGACAATAAAGAAGTCAATCGGAAAAAACTGGTTTTCAACAATTAAAGAGCCTTTAAGGCGTTGTGTAACAGAGTGAGAGGATCACAATTTCGAATTTTGGTTTGAAAATGGCGGGTGAAGTAGTGTGCTTGCACTGTTCCATCCGCAATAGTGCGTCAACTTTGGCGCCATACAGATGACGAAAGGCGAGAGAGGGAGAGCGAGAGAAAGAGAGAGGGGGGCGGAACATCAAACAGATGCCTGCTTTTGACAGAAATCGATATGTGATCCAAAAATACGGAGAACGGCAAGAACAACATTGACTTTTCACTAAAAATCGTAAATTTTTATATCAAATATCAATTTTGAAAGTATACAGAAAAGTTTGAGAGAATCACTCTCCGGCTCGCTGGCCCCGGAAATCGTCCGACGGCTCGACCTTGGGGGGTCTGATGAAAAATGAGTTGATGATACTGCAAATTAAGTTTTGCTAATTTCTGCTCGAGCTCGTCCGACTTTCGTTGCGCAATTTTCTAAGAGCATGTAGATTGCCCTGTTGCGCACACAGATGACAGTACGCAATAGGAGGACACGCGCATCCCCCGGCCTCCGTTTTTCTTTTCTATATCGTTGACGTGGATAGGCTAGAGCGGGGGATCCTTAGAAAGTTTGAAAATTGAATGTTCTTGAAGCTAACAGACACTCTCTACCAGAGAAAATGGTGTTGAAGTCAAAAAAAAAGTCAAAGTTGTTCCTTCCGAGAAAGGTTGACGTGTGCTTTCCAAATGAGCGCATCCCTCTATTCCTACTCATTTCAGATGTTTGCGAAAAAAAACCCACAAATCTCGCGGATTTTGCAGTCCAAAGTCGGCAGAAATTTGCGGGAAACCGGTGTGCGAACAGTTGAAACGACTGCCACCGTACTCGCGTTCGCTTCGAGACCGCGTGTTATTTCGACACGTTTCAAACGTCCACTGAAAAAACGGAAAAAAAGGAAAAAAATTTAAAAACAAGACTGTGTATTGTCGTTCTGTTGAGCACAAGAAGAAGCTTGATACAATCTATGATTTCCATTTTCTTACATGAGTTGATGCTGAAATTCAGCTGATTATCACATTCTCTTAGACATTCGTCAGGAAATCACTTCCAGGGCCGCCAAAGACACTTCTGAGACTAGTTTAGAGCGGTCTTTATCATCTATATTCTCAAGTAGTCCGACCAGGAACACTTATTTTCCAGAGGCCACCCTTTTTTTTAAGGGGACCCTTGTTCTACACTAGTACCATAGTACATTTGCCTGGCCCTATACAAATTTCAGCCAGAGTATACGCCACCTCGATCTCCTCAGCTGTGAATGAGGAGTAGTCGAGGTTGCGCATTTCGTAGCGCATCCGCTCTTCGAAACTGAGATTGTTTCTACTCATTAATTACCTGAAAAAATGACTGCACAGTTCGAAAAGCAAGAAAAACAAAATAATGTAAAGCTACAGGAAAGGATTATAGAGGGTGGGGGGCTCGTCATCTTTTTTTCGCTGAAAAATGAGGAAACCGTCTGGCAGATGAGCGGAAGGTGTAAATTGATTGCTGCTGGATGAGAAGAAACGAAGGAAATGACAAAAAACTTAAGCCCCATGCTAAAAGGGGTTTACGTAATCAGCACTCACTGACAGTTTCTGCAAACGAAGAAATCATTAGAAGACAAAAAGTTAAAGTAATTGGCATATCAGATTTGAACTGATCTGTTTATAAACTTGAGACAACTTTCTTGCAGGTTAACAGGCTTTATTTGAGCAAAATAAAGCAAAATAACAGAGAAAAAGGCGAGGAGGAGACTGAAGAGGAGAGCAGATCGTCTCTCGGTGTATGAAGTCCCTGAAAATTGAGTTCAACGGGTACGACAAACAGAAACTGACAGTCTCAGTCCTCCTCCTTATTCTTCATCAAACGAGCGGTTGGCGGTGTTGCCGTTCGCATTATCTTGGAGTTGTGGAGGGGGCGCCGGCCCAGCTCCACAATCGCTTTCCTGGCTTGCCTGACAATTTTAGTTAATAGTCTGATTGAGCTACACAACACCCACCATCTTCGGTTTCTTCTTCTTCGGCTCCTCAGGTCCAGTTGGAGACGACGCGGAAGAAGCAGCAAGTGGGACTGCGGCTGGTGGTGGTGCCGGGCCCGCCTGGCTGGTGCTGCTGTTCACATTATCTTGGAGTTGTGGAGGGGCGCCGGCCCAGCTCCGCCATTCTCCTCCTTTTTACCCTGAAAAATGTTTGTTTATATTCTGAATGAGCTACACAACACTCACCTTCTTCGGTTTCTTCTTCTTCTTTGTCGATCCCTGAGATGCAGAAGCAGATGCGGCTGGCGGCGGTGGCGGCGGCGGCGGTGGCACACGTCGACGAGGATGCGGGCCTCGCGGAGGTGGCGGAAGCAGATTACGTAGACGGGCATCGTGTATTAATTGCATATTAGCCAGAGTATGCGCCACCTCGATCTCCTCAGCTGTGAATGAGGGAGTAGTCGAGGTTGCGCATTTCGTAGCGCATCCGCTCTTCGAAACTGAGATTGTTTCTACTCATTAATTACCTGAAAAAAATGACTGCACAGTTCGAAAAAGCAAGATGTAAAGCTACAGGAAAGGATTATAGAGGGTGGGGGGCTCCTCATCTTTTTTTCGCTGAAAAATGAGGAAACCGTCTGGCAAATGAGCGGAAGGTGTAAATTGATTGCTGCTGGATGAGAAGAAACGAAGGAAATGACAGAAACTTGCGGAAAACGTGACAGAGGGGATATGGTCACTAAAAATACTGTAGTTTTCAATTTAAAATCGACAATAAAGAAGTCAATCGGAAAAAACTGGTTTTCAACAATTAAAGAGCCTTTAAGGCGTTGTATAACAGAGTGAGAGGATCACAGTTTTGAATTTTGGTTTAAAAATGGCGGGAGAAGTAGTGTGCTTGCACTGTTCCATCCGCAATAGTGCGTCAACTTTGGCGCCATACAGATGACGAAAGGCGAGAGAGGAAGAGCGAGAGAAAGAGAGAGGGGGGCGGAACATCAAACAGATGCCTGCTTTTGAAAAAAATCGATATGTGATCCGAAAATACGGAAAACGGCAAGAACAACATTGACTTTTCACAAAAAATTCGTAAATTTTTAAATCCAATATCAATTTTGAAAGTATACAGAAAAGTTTGAGAGAATCACTCTCCGGCTCGCTGGCCCCGGAAATCGTCCGACGGCTCGACCTTGGGGGGTCTGATGAAAAATGAGTTGATGATACTGCAAATTAAGTTTTGCTAATTTCTGCTCGAGCTCGTCCGACTTTCGTTGCGCAATTTTCTAAGAGCATGTAGATTGCCCTGTTGCGCACACAGATGACAGTACGCAATAGGAGGACACGCGCATCCCCCGGCCTCCGTTTTTCTTTTCTATATCGTTGACGTGGATAGGCTAGAGCGGGGGATCCTTAGAAAATGGGTAAATTGAATGTTCTTGAAGCTAACAGACACTCTCTACCAGAAAAAATAGTGTTGAAGTCAAAGAAAAAGTCAAAAATGTTCCTTTCGAGAAAGGTTGACGTGTGCTTTCCAAATGAGCGCCTCCCTCTATTCCTACACATTTTCAGATGTTTGCAAAAAAAAAACCCACAAATCTCGCGGATTTTGCAGTTCAATGTCGGCAGAAATTTGCGGGAAAACCGGGGTGCGAACAGTTCAAACGACTGCTACCGTACTCGCGTTCGCTTCGAGACCGCGTGTTATTTCGACAAGTTTCAAACGTCCACTGAAAAAACGGAAAAAAAAAGAAAAAAATTTAAAAACAAGACTGTGTATTGTCGTTCTGTTGAGCAGAAGAAGAAGCTTGATACAATCTATGATTTCCATTTTCTTACATGAGTTGATGCTGAAATTCAGCTGATTATCACATTCTCTTAGACATTCGTCAGGAAATCACTTCCAGGGCCGCCAAAGACACTTCTGAGACTAGTTTAGAGCGGTCTTTATCATCTATATTCTCAAGTAGTCCGACCAGGAACACTTATTTTCCAGAGGCCACCCTTTTTTTTAAGGGGACCCTTGTTCTACACTAGTACCATAGTACATTTGCCTGGCCCTATACAAATTTCAGCCAGAGTATACGCCACCTCGATCTCCTCAGCTGTGAATGAGGAGTAGTCGAGGTTGCGCATTTCGTAGCGCATCCGCTCTTCGAAACTGAGATTGTTTCTACTCATTAATTACCTGAAAAAATGACTGCACAGTTCGAAAAGCAAGAAAAACAAAATAATGTAAAGCTACAGGAAAGGATTATAGAGGGTGGGGGGCTCGTCATCTTTTTTTCGCTGAAAAATGAGGAAACCGTCTGGCAGATGAGCGGAAGGTGTAAATTGATTGCTGCTGGATGAGAAGAAACGAAGGAAATGACAAAAAACTTAAGCCCCATGCTAAAAGGGGTTTACGTAATCAGCACTCACTGACAGTTTCTGCAAACGAAGGAATCATTAGAAGACAAGAAGTTAAAGTAATTGGCATATCAGATTTGAACTGATCTGTTTTTTAACTTGAGACAATTTTCTTGCAGTTTAACAGGCTTTATTTGAGCAAAATAAAGCAAAATAACAGATAAAAAGGCGAGGAGGAGACTGAAGAGGAGAGCAGATCGTCTCTCGGTGTATGAAGTCCCTGAAAATTGAGTTCAACGGGTACGACAAACAGAAACTGACAGTCTCAGTCCTCCTCCTTATTCTTCATCAAACGAGCGGTTGGCGGTGTTGCCGTTCGCATTATCTTGGAGTTGTGGAGGGGGCGCCGGCCCAGCTCCACAATCGCTTTCCTGGCTTGCCTGACAATTTTAGTTAATAGTCTGATTGAGCTACACAACACCCACCATCTTCGGTTTCTTCTTCTTCGGCTCCTCAGGTCCAGTTGGAGACGACGCGGAAGAAGCAGCAAGTGGGACTGCGGCTGGTGGTGGTGCCGGGCCCGCCTGGCTGGTGCTGCTGTTCACATTATCTTGGAGTTGTGGAGGGGCGCCGGCCCAGCTCCGCCATTCTCCTCCTTTTTTTACCCTGAAAATGTTTGTTTATATTCTGAATGAGCTACACAACACTCACCTTCTTCGGTTTCTTCTTCTTCTTTGTCGATCCCTGAGATGCAGAAGCAGATGCGGCTGGCGGCGGTGGCGGCGGCGGCGGTGGCACACGTCGACGAGGATGCGGGCCTCGCGGAGGTGGCGGAAGCAGATTACGTAGACGGGCATCGTGTATTAATTGCATATTAGCCAGAGTATGCGCCACCTCGATCTCCTCAGCTGTGAATGAGGAGTAGTCGAGGTTGCGCATTTCGTAGCGCATCCGCTCTTCGAAACTGAGATTGTTTCTACTCATTAATTACCTGAAAAAATGACTGCACAGTTCGAAAAGCAAGAAAAAAAGAATAATGTAAAGCTACAGGAAAAGATTATAGAGGGGGGGAGGGGGGCTCCTCATCTTTTTTTCACTGCAAAATGAGGAAACCGTCTGGCAAATGAGCGGAAGGTGTAAATTGATTGCTGCTGGATGAGAAGAAACGAAGGAAATGACAGAAACTTGCGGAAAACGTGACAGAGGGGATATGGTCACTATAAATACTGTAGTTTTCAATTTAAAATCGACAATAAAGAAGTCAATCGGAAAAAACTGGTTTTCAACAATTAAAGAGCCTTTAAGGCGTTGTGTAACAGAGTGAGAGGATCACAATTTCGAATTTTGGTTTGAAAATGGCGGGTAGTGTGCTTGCACTGTTCCATCCGCAATAGTGCGTCAACTTTGGCGCCATACAGATGACGAAAGGCGAGAGAGGGAGAGCGAGAGAAAGAGAGAGGGGGGCGGAACATCAAACAGATGCCTGCTTTTGAAAAAAATCGATATGTGATCCGAAAATACGGAGAACGGCAAGAACAACATTGACTTTTCACAAAAAATTCGTAAATTTTTAAATCCAATATCAATTTTGAAAGTATGCAACAGTTCCAAAGAACGATTGAAGAGACAAAACGAAAGAGAGAAATAAGAAAAAATTGAGAGAATCACTCTCCGGCTCGCTGGCCTCGGATATCGTCCGACTGCTCGACCTTGGGGGGCCGTCGTATCAGTCCAAAGTTGTTTCAGTTCATGGGTACATGCGGCGCTCCGTAATGCGCGAAAGGAACTGGATGAACTGCCGCGTTCGGAACAAAGGCCTGATGCAGTCCGGGAGCCGCCGGTCCCGGATGATTCGCAAAACCACCGGATGCAGGCATGTGATGGTCCTCTGATCCTGGATCTTCGACAAGTTTTCGCTTGTTGGCAGAACATTTCATCTCTGCGTCGACTGAACTTCTGGTGAATTAGTATGAAACGAATATTCGTGTCTTCGAAATGAACTTTCTATGCCGAAATTCGAAATGTCAAATTTATATGTAAGTGGGAAATAACAAAAAGATAAGTGATTGAGAAAGAAAAGGAAACCAGCGTTGCATTCTCAAAAGACAAAGAAAAGTTAGATGGAAAGTGACTCATATGAGAAACTGAAGAGATTCGAGCAAGTCAAAGCATATATGAGTCGTTCTGCGGGCACGATACTGTCACTATTTCGAGAAGCAGACAGCGAAAGAAAGGATATAGCCCCGCCTGCGCGTGTCTCCCCCCGCCCCAAACACAGTGACTCACAAGCGACGACTGGGATACAGTCTCATGTTTGAGTGAGGAGCGTTACGAAATTATAATGGAAAAGACGAAAAATAGCTTGACAATATTGTGTTGAAATCATTTTGCATGGCTCCAGCTGGACAGACGGGAGCCAATGGGACTGCCACAGCCTTCTGAGCCCGTCGAGCCAAAGGACCGAGAGACAAAAAAATTACTACCGTATACCAAATGACTCAAAAAGGCACGGAGCTTAAAGAAAAAAGACTTAAGAGTATTTCATACGATTTATTTGATCAAAATATTGGCAGCAACAACTTCGAAAATTTTGGCAGTTTCGGAAAATCATAGTTCAAATGGATTCTTGCTTTGGCTCGACGTCCATTGGCTCCTTCTTGATGTCTCTTCCCGTCATTTTAAAGAAAAAAGGAACGATTCTCGCATCTTCGGGCTCCGGTTCTTCCTTTACTCGCTCATTCGTGATCTTTATGACCACCTTCGAATAATCTTTTTCAAGATACACTTGTCTCTGAAAAAAGTTTTTCTTTCGGATCATGGAAAAGATTCAAAGTTCTCACTCTCTTTCGCATGTTCTCCAGTCGTTTTTCACGAGCAATTCTTGCCTGCCTCCAAACGTCTCTTTTCCGCTTTTTCAGTCCTGTGAGCCATTCGCAATTCTTTTCTACGCTGCTTCTTGAAATACTGACCCATGCAAACGTTAAAAGTTGACAGCACATCAATGGCTTCTCGTTGAAACTTACCACGATCATTTCGGAATCGGTTTGAAGTAATCAAGAGAAATGAGTTGATGATGCTGCAAATAAAGTTTTGCTAATTTCTGCTCGAGCTCGTCCGACTTTCGTTGCGCAATTTTCTAAGAGCATGTAGATTGCCCTGTTGCGCACACAGATGACAGTACGCAATAGGAGGACACGCGCATCCCCCGGCCTCCGTTTTTCTTTTCTATATCGTTGACGTGGATAGGCTAGAGCGGGGGATCCTTAGAAAATGGGTAAATTGAATGTTCTTGAAGCTAACAGACATTCTCTACCAGAAAAAATGGTGTTGAAGTCAAAGAAATAGTCAAAGTTGTTCCTTCCGAGAAAGGTTGACGTGTGCTTTCCAAATGAGCGCCTCCCTCTAATCCTACACATTTGCAGATGTTTGCGAAAAAAAAGCACACAAATCTCGCGGATTTTGCAGTTCAATGTCGGCAGAAATTTGCGGGAGAACTGGGGTGCGAACAGTTGAAACGACTGCCACCGTACTCACGTGTTTTTCCCTATTTTTTCCGTTTTTTCAGTGGACGTTTAAAACGTGTCGAAATAACACGCGGTTTCAAAGCGAACGCGAGTACTGTATCAGTCGTTTAACTGTTCGCACCGTGTTAGAAAGTTCATTTCGAAGACACGAATATTCGTTTCATTTGAATTCACCAGAAGTTCAGTCGACGCAGAGATGAAATGTTCTGCCAACAAGCGAAAACTTGTCGAAGATCCAGGATCAGAGGACCATCACATGCCTGCATCCGGTGGTTTTGCGAATCATCCGGGACCGGCGGCTCCCGGACTGCATCCGGCCTTTGTTCCGAACGCGGCAGTTCATCCAGTTCCTTTCGGGCATTACGGAGCGCCGCATGTACCTATGAACTGAAACAACTTTGGACTGGTACGACGGCCCCCCAAGGTCGAGCCGTCGGACGATATCCGAGGCCAGCGAGCCGGAGAGTGATTCTCTCAAACTTTTCTCATTTCTCTCTTTCGTTTTGTCTCTTCAATCGTTCTTTGAAACTGTTGTATACTTTCAAAATTGATATTGGATTTAAAAATTTACGAATTTTTTGTGAAAAGTCAATGTTGTTCTTGCCGTTCTCCGTATTTTCGGATCACATATCGATTTTTTTCAAAAGCAGGCATCTGTTTGATGTTCCGCCCCCCTCTCTCTTTCTCTCGTTCTCCCTCTCTCGCCTTTCGTCATCTGTATGGCGCCAAAGTCGACGCACTATTGCGGATGGAACAGTGCAAGCACACTACTTCTCCCGCCATTTTCAAACCAAAATTCGAAATTGTGATCCTCTCACTCTGTTACACAACGCCTTAAAGGCTCTTTAATTGTTGAAAACCAGTTTTTTCCGATTGACTTCTTTATTGTCGATTTTAAATTGAAAATTACAGTATTTTTAGTGACCATATCCCCTCTGTCACGTTTTCCGCAAGTTTCTGTCATTTCCTTCGTTTCTTCTCATCCAGCAGCAATCAATTTACACCTTCCGCTCATCTGCCAGACGGTTTCCTCATTTTGCAGTGAAAAAAAGATGAGGAGCCCCCCTCCCCCCCTCTATAATCTTTTCCTGTAGCTTTACATTATTCTTTTTTTTTCTTGCTTTTCGAACTGTGCAGTCATTTTTTCAGGTAATTAATGAGTAGAAACAATCTCAGTTTCGAAGAGCGGATGCGCTACGAAATGCGCAACCTCGACTACTCCTCATTCACAGCTGAGGAGATCGAGGTGGCGCATACTCTGGCTAATATGCAATTAATACACGATGCCCGTCTACGTAATCTGCTTCCGCCACCTCCGCGAGGCCCGCATCCTCGTCGACGTGTGCCACCGCCGCCGCCGCCACCGCCGCCAGCCGCATCTGCTTCTGCATCTCAGGGATCGACAAAGAAGAAGAAGAAACCGAAGAAGGTGAGTGTTGTGTAGCTCATTCAGAATATAAACAAACATTTTCAGGGTAAAAAGGAGGAGAATGGCGGAGCTGGGCCGGCGCCCCCTCCACAACTCCAAGATAATGTGAACAGCAGCACCAGCCAGGCGGGCCCGGCACCACCACCAGCCGCAGTCCCACTTGCTGCTTCTTCCGCGTCGTCTCCAACTGGACCTGAGGAGCCGAAGAAGAAGAAACCGAAGATGGTGGGTGTTGTGTAGCTCAATCAGACTATTAACTAAAATTGTCAGGCAAGCCAGGAAAGCGATTGTGGAGCTGGGCCGGCGCCCCCTCCACAACTCCAAGATAATGCGAACGGCAGCACCGCCAACCGCTCGTTTGATGAAGAATAAGGAGGAGGACTGAGACTGTCAGTTTTTGTTTGTCGTACCCGTTGAACTCAATTTTCAGGGACTTCATACACCGAGAGACGATCTGCTCTCCTCTTCAGTCTCCTCCTCGCCTTTTTCTCTGTTATTTTGCTTCATTTTGCTCAAATAAAGCCTGTTAACCTGCAAGAAAGTTGTCTCAAGTTTATGAACAAATCAGTTCAAATCTGATATGCCAATTACTTTAACTTCTTGTCTTCTAATGATTCCTTCGTTTGCAGAAACTATCAGTGAGTGCTGATTACGTAATTCCCTTTTTACATGGGGCTCAGCAGATACATCGCACATGCTTGTCTAGCGGAGAGCGTCACCGATTACCGTCATATGGGCTATTGTATAGCCCTCCCGACTGTCATCACTTTTCGGCAATGTCTTTCACCTGTGAAAAGAAGACTCATGTGCGCTGCAAACCGCGTTTTTCGAATGAACTGACGAGCCGACGCAGTTCATAAACTTTTCGAAGTTGTCTGAAAAGTTTCCGGTTTCAGCTCAAATCAGCTCCAAATTTTCTCCGTCGCTTCTTTTGTCGGAAAAAGACTCCTTTTTCTGACACGACAGTGTTCGAAGTAAGATTTTCTATACGTTGAAAACGTTTAATTCACTTCACAGGTTTCTTACGCTCTATTGCAATCGGGTGTCAATGTTGCTACCGTACTTCTATCCTCTTCCATCCTACGTCTATTCTCTCTCTCTCTCTCTCTCTCTTGCCCCGTCCTGCCTCGTTTCTCACTCGCTCCTCCCGCCCTCTCCTTTTCCTGGGAAATAACAAAAAGATAAGTGATTGAGAAAGAAAAGGAAACCTGCGTCGCACTCTCAAGAGACAAAGAAAAGTTAGATGGAAAGTGACTCATATGAGAAACTGAAGAGATTCGAGCAAGTCAAAGCATATATGAGTCGTTCTGCGGGCACGATACTGTCACTATTTCGAGAAGCAGACAGCGAAAGAAAGGATATAGCCCCGCCTGCGCGTGTCTCCCCCCGCCCCAAACACAGTGACTCACAAGCGACGACTGGGATACAGTATCATGTTTGAGTGAGGAGCGTTACGAAATTATAATGGAAAAGACAAAAAATAGCTTGACAATATTGTGTTGAAATCATTTTGCATGGCTCCAGCTGGACAGACGGGAGCCAAGGGGACTGCCACAGCCTTCTGAGCCCGTCGAGCCGAAGGACCGAGAGACAAAATTATAACTACCGTATACCAAATGACTCAGAAAGGCACGGAGCTTGAAGAAAAAAGACTTAAGAGTATTTCATACGATTTATTTGATCAAAATATTGGCAAAAACTTCGAAAATTTTGGCAGTTTCGGAAAATCAAAGTTGAAATGGATTCTTGTTTTGGCTCGACGTCCATTGGCTCTTTCTTGATGTCTCTTCCTGTCATTTTAAAGAAAAAAGGAACGATTCTCGCATCTTCGGGCTCCGGCTCTTCCTTTACTCGCTCTTCTAAGTTCTCACTCTCTTTCGCATGTTCTCCAGTCGTTTTTCACGAGAAATTCTTGCCTGATGCAAATAGTTGAGAGCACATCAATGGCTTCTCGTTGAAACTTACCGATCATTTCGAAATCGGTCTGAAGAGAAATGAGTTGATGATACTGCAAATTAAGTTTTGCTAATTTCTGCTCGAGCTCGTCCGACTTTCGTTGCGCAATTTTCTAAGAGCATGTAGATTGCCCTGTTGCGCACACAGATGACAGTACGCAATAGGAGGACACGCGCATCCCCCGGCCTCCGTTTTTCTTTTCTATATCGTTAACGTGGATAGGCTAGGGCGTGGGATTCTTAGAAAATGGGTAAATTGAATGTTCTTGAAGCTAACAGACACTCTCTACCAGAAAAAATGGTGTTGAAGTCAAAGAAAAAGTCATAGTTGTTCCTTTCGTGAAAGGTTGACGTGGGCTTTCCAAATGAGCGCCTCCTACACATTTTCAGATCTTTGCTTGTGTGGATCTTGCTTTCTATTTTTCATTGAATCCAATCGAGATTAAATACCTATCTCTTTCTCATCAAATCTCGCTCTTGTTTCTCCCTCTCAAAGTGCAAAAAGCTCATGCGTGTTCTTGACATTCGCCCCTTTCCCCCCGTTTTCTTCTTTTTCCCATCCCTTCTCGCCTCCGGCAGCTCTTTTTGCTCCCCTCTCTCATCTCAAAAGTGACTCGCCCTCAAGAGGCTCTCTCTCCAACGCCTTCCAATTCTCGTCACAGCGTTCCCCTTCAAAGAATGAGTGCCAATTTCGGAAAGAAAGGCCAGTATGCAAAAAAAGAGACAGGGAGAGGAAGTGAGAGAGTAGGTGTCACATGACGGCACCGACTGCAAGAAGAGAGAGACAGGAAGGACGGCTGGGGAAAGGAAAGAGAAAGAAGACGAATGCTCGGCCGCTCCCAATTCAAATTGGCACTGCGGGCGTCAAGGGGGTCCACCCAGAAAAACATTGTGTTTTTCCTTTTCGCGTTGATGCCTCCCATTTCCATTTCTGTCTTCTCTCTTTCTCTATATTGTTCTTTTAAGGAGCAGACGTCTTCGTGTTCTTCACTATGAAAATTAGTCAAAGTACTAATGCTTTTTTGCCGAGCTGGTCGGAACACGGATTAGTGAGACGGATTAGACAGGATAAAAAGGGCGCATCCGCTGAATGACATGACACTTCCGTTGAATACCTTTCAATTGCATCTCCCTTCGTACCTTCTCAACTTTCTTCTCACATTTTTCATGTCTATATAACTTTCAAACCGAGTGTGTTCTCAAAATTAACAGGAAAAATGCTATCAGAGATCCCCCCCCCCCGCTCTCATTAGCTAGAATTCCAGTTGAATTATCTTCCTATTTATCGCCCTCTCTCTCTCTTCCACTTGCTTCACCATAGTAACTCCATTGAACCAAGTTCTTGACTCAACTCTCTGCCTTTCTCATGGCTCGTTAGCTCACGAAAAAAAGATCTCCGGAGCGCCGCTCTCTTCTTCTCTGCACTCTTCTTATGAATATTTCAGTTGTGCTCTCGACTTACTTACTTGAATACTACATAGTTTCGCACTCCAGATTAGAGAATGAGAACATGTAGTCCGAACAGAGCACACTTTCTTTTGCTTAGAGTTATCCTGAAACATTTCTCCCCAATAATCAAGGTCTTTCAGGTAGCTCCACTAGGAACTCAACATGGCTGACATGATTGTGAGTTGTTATCTTCACCATTTTTCTAGTCATTCAATGTTTTCAGAGCTACATCACTCGTTTCAAAGTGCGATTCGAGACTGAAATTTCGAAACTCGAGACTCATCCGCTTCCGCAAGCAGCCCTTCACAACCTTCAAATCACTAGAGCCCGCCGCGTTGTCGACGCCGTGAACGTCATTCTGAAAATGGGTCCGCGTGCAATCGCCATTGTAAGTTCTAGAAAAGAAATCGCCGTCTTCTTCTTAGAGCGTTGTTTTTGTCTTCTTCACCCGCTCTCCGTAGGTCGAGACAACCCTCTCACCCACTCTCCCTGCGCATTCTCAAAAACCGCTGTATGCGCTCCACGTCATAGTCTCGCGGGCCTTGCCCAGAGTAGTGTCTGAAGGAAATAGAGAAGAGGGTACGGACTAGACGATCAGTCTGGGCAAGAATTCCAAGTAAATTCTAGAGAGAGAGTATGATTTTCAGGATCACCGAAAGTTCGAGGATACTCGGGCGATCATCTTCAACAACACTGCGGCTTTTAGTTGCACCCAGCGTCTTATCCGAGACGGCGCCATTAATCCGCCACGGATGGTCCCACAGCACCTGCTCCCACCGATGCGACGCCGTTGAAATTCATCTGATTATTCTGGAAATTTCTCTCCCCCCCATTGCTTCTTTATGTAATTGTGTGTTATCTGTAAACTGTCCCTCTCGTCCCTTTTCAATTTTTTATCAATTCATCTACAATTATTCTTCCCATAAACTCATTTATCCCTATTATTCTGTTGCAACAATCTTTTCTGGGGTGGCGGCCGACGGAGGTATTCTGAAGGGACCTGTTGAATGAAAACTAATAGAACAAAACTAGGAGAGTGTGTCAACATCATTGGATCCCATACGTAAGCGATGGGATCCTTAGAAATCGCAAAAGCCTGACGGACGACCACTTCTTTGTGCACACTGTCAGGTTTTTAGGGATGGCGGCCGACGGAGGTGGTCCGAAGAGCACAAAGAAGTGGTCGTCCGCCAGGCTTTTGCGATTTCTGACGATCGCAATAATTAGGACTGGGATCCAGTGATGCCAATGCACTCATCTACTTGTGTTTCATTTGTTTTCTTTCAATTGGGCCGTTCGGAATATCTTCGTCGGCCGCCGTCGAAGGAATGACCAAGCGGTTTCGTGAAAATTTGAAACTTAAGTGAGTGCTGCAATTTCCTTTATCATTGTGCCCAAAACTTTTATCAATTCTCATCACAATCACCCCATTTCTCTTGTCGTCTGCAGTTCTTTTGTCGACCTTTTTGTGTAACAATCAGCCCACTTGCCCTTTGAGAGATTGATGCCCCATCTCTTTTCCCGCGTCGGGAGAATGTGCTGTGTCGGTCGGCATTCGGCCGTATCAGCTTCCTATTTCCTCTCGCCGTCCTCCTCCCCCCGCTGCCACCACCTTCATGCTGTTTCACGCCTTCTCTATTTCACATGCTCTCTCGCGCCGATCGATAGCACGAATAGTTTTCTCGTCGTTGTTTTCTCAGCCGAATAAAGAACTAACGTTTCGACGGCCAGAAACGAAACGAAATGCAGCGCGCGTGTGCCGCGGTTCTTGGCATTCTCCCTCTCCCTTTCGAGATATTTTCCCTTAAAATGTCTTCCGCTTATCAAGAATTGTTTCAGAATCGGCCGTACAGAACAACTAGAATGCCGGAAAACAAAACTGCCCGCCCATCGGCGGCAACAGCCAAGTAAGTCTATTCAAACACTGATTGTCAGAGATTACAAGTAAATTTTTCCAGAAACAATAACAAAAAAGAGAATCCGCCGCCAGAAAATTGTTTTTTTCTCGGAACGGTAGACTTGACGCTAGAAAAATGGATAAAGGACCCGACTGTGAGTTGAATATTCGGAATAGTCAGTGTAATGTAGAGAATTCATTTTAGAAAGACGCGGCGAAGACATATACGTACTTGCCGACGGATCACATCATTGATGGACGGGTGAGCGTTGAAATTTGGATTATCCCGATCATTAATTGTATTTCAGTGCTTTTTCAATCTTCTGTCTCTCCCACAGGCCAGGAAACAAGTCGATCGAGCTCTCCGTCGCCAAAGGGAGGAGGCCAAGAGAGATTCGTCTGTGACTCCCGCGACGCCCACAACTGTGCCACCGAAGCCCCTAGTTGTGGTAAGTGCCCAGTCTTTATAACACTGTCTTTCTTATAGGTTACCCATTATGGCTTGGCGTTCAGTTGCTGCAACTGTTCTCTAGAGATTTTCTTTGTTTCATGACTAGTTCTTGATTTTAATGTTCACATTATTACGCTGTTGAGATCTATTGTTGCTTTCAGGTGAAGCCACTCGATGAGGACATATGCATCCGTTTCGGACACAATGGAATGGAGTACAACGTAAGTTGTTCACAAAAAACCGAAGGATTGTCTGTACTGTTCAACTTGAGGTCTCTAAAGTAGAAGTTTTCGATTTGAAAGTGACGAAAGTTCGCTGTCACTGGCCCCTGTGGTGCAAGAAGAACAATGTACCTCTTCCCGTTCCGAAAAAGGCACATACGGCGATAATCTCAGCGGAATCGTCTAGTGATGTTGGTACAAGCGCAAGTGAAGCTCGAGAAGAATCTCCGATCGTCGTGGAAGGACCAGCGGAGGAGGCGTGCGCCAGCACTCAACAATTGCAGAAGAAGAAAAAGAAGTCAAAGGAGAAGATGGTCGCCATATCCGCGAATGGAGCGGAGCAAGTATGCCCTCCTGAATCTTCTTCCGAACTGTCCACGCTTCGGCACCGTTCACCCTGCTCCCTATCGAACGATGGCTTTGCGACGCCAGCAGCACGGAAACAGACTCCGCCAGATGAAGGAATCCATACGACGTCCGCTCCCTTTTCATTTGACAAGCTTCTCGCGTCAAGAGAAGCGGAGATTGTTTCTTTGAAGGCACAATTAAAGGACACGGCAAAGTCATTGGACGAAACGGTGGTTCGTCTGAACCGGTCCCAAGAAGACCTCCAAAGATGCCGGCAAGAGCTAAGCCGTGAAAAGAGGAGAAATGCTGATCCGTTCATGACGGCGACCGGGCAGCTCGCCATGTTTCAGAATCAAGGACCATCAACCGGCGAGTCATCCACACAAAACCTTTGAGTTGGCAATTATCTCCTCTACCTGTTTTCTTTCTGTTTCTGGATATACGTCACTAGTTTTCGCTCTTCTTTTTTTCCTTCTTTTTTCATAACATTTCAATCTCCCTGTTCGATCATTTCCTTTCTACCGGATCTAAACTAAACCACATTTCTTCTCTCTTTTTATTGGGAAAAGGCTTTATCACAATGAATGTTTCACAAATTCGAATTGTTTCCTTCTGTTCTCACCACCAGTTTGTTTATATTGACAATTGATATATCTTTTCACATTGTTTATTCAATTCAATCACCATGAATGTCCCCTTTCTCGTTCAATGTTTATATTTTCAGAGTCACTGAAAACACCCGATTTCTTCAAATGATGTCTGCTGACGACGACAATTTTAGGTATCTGATGAAGTGAGCAATTTTGAAGATCACGTCAATTTTTCAGTCGAAACTATTTCCTTGCCGCGATTAGCGACAGAAAAACATGGGAAATTGAAGAAGTTAGTTAAAAAGCACATTCAAGAAGGAAATTCGCAAACATCGCTTTTCCAGGGATCGACTAAGGAGGTGGTCCACTACTCGCCGAGCTACCATCAACTCAGCGAAACTGTCAGTGAAAAAACGTCTCAAGTATTTCCGGCGTTTGCTTTTTCAGGATTTTGAAGCTTTGCTCAACCTCGACGGTGTCAAGAAAGAGGTTCTGAAGAACCAGAAGCTTCGCCCCACGGTCGTCAGTCGTTTCAACCTTGACGCGAAACACGTCTCCGACCACAGAATGTACGAAGGGTGTGTGCCGTATGCAGTGGTCAGTCACTCCAACTTCAACTATCCACAGTTGTATTTTCTTGCAGGCTGAACATTTTGTGATTGCACTCGAAGAAACAAAGAAAAAGCAAGTGCACATCGTATGTTTGAGCGTCATACATACAGTTTGAGCTAAATTTTCATTTTCAGGTCAAAAAGATCGAGATCATAGATGTGGAGAGAAGGAAGATCCTGGTGTATTGGCCGTCGATGGAGTTGTCGGAAATGAGCACGCTCTCAGGGCCTGGAGGCCGCAGTCAGTTTATCAGGAATACTTGTAGATTTTGATGGATTCTTGCAGAGGAACGTCCTGATAAACTGAACAAAGGGAAACAAAGTGGGACGAGCCAGCCAGCAGAAGACGTCGAGGACGTGGATGTATGCGGCGACGATTCACAGCGTGCTTCTCCCGAGCCGAGCACGTCGTCGCAAAGTAGCAGTTCAAGAACGACTCGGAAGAGAAAGAACTTCTTCATGTACGTAGAGAAAGAGGAAGTTGTACCTGATCCGTCCCGACCAAGAACTTCCGCGGAATTGTTTGAAAATGGAAGAAAGACCCGGAACTCGCAGAGACTTCACGGTCTCGAGGTTGATGATTCTTTTGAGCAAATATTGGGAAGCGTGCGCCTAGAACCAGATGTCGTTCACCTAGAAAACGAAAGGAAAAAGCTGAAGAGAAATGTGGAAACGGCGAAAGAAGGGCCGATTGATGAGCCGGCCGATGCTAAGGAAGAAGGAACTAGTCAGTGCGTTTCTTCTGCGTCGACCACAAGTTCGAAAAGAGCAAGATACTCGTCGCACAATAAAGAATCCGAAGATTCATGTATACTGGAGGGAGAAAGTGAGCAGGACGAGGAAGAGGACGATGAGCCGCCAATCAAAAAGAAGAAGGTCATTGTGACTGACGGCGACGACGATCATTATCCGGAAGACGAAGAAGACGAAGAAGAAGAAGAAAAGGAAGAAGAGAAGGAAGAGGAAAAAGAGGAAGAGAAGGAAGAAGAAAACGAGGAAAAAGAAGACAACGTGGAGCCCCCACGTGAGCCGGTGCGAGCTCCTAATTTGCTAGAACGTGTCGAGCAAATCCAGGCAAGATTGCCAACCGTACAAATGTTGGAAGACTTGATCATTCGTGTTGTGTGAGTTGATACACCTGCTTCTTCATTATAAATGTTAGACATTTCAGAAGCGGAGAAGACGTCTCGAATGCCGACATGAGACGAATGTTCGGACTTTGAATTGGTAAGTAGTCTTTTTTACTTTGTTTGAGTGAAAAAATTCGAAAACCAACTACTTGTTTTCAGAAATGTTGATCGTCCTGTTCCAAAAACTTCAATGACTTCCGCAGTCGCTCTCTCTACACACGCACACAAATACCCCGCTTCATATTCCAGTTTGATATTATTGAAACTCCTACACACATATTTCGTTCATTTTCAATCCCATCCGTTCATCTCGTGACTTATCCCTATGTTTCCATTTTTATAGAATCAATCACCCCAGTTCGCAATCATACATTGACTAACTTGCAAATTATCTGAAAATAAATTCGAACTGTTTACGCTTCATTTTTTCTTTAACCAATCAGGTTCATCTCTCTCTCTCTCTGAAACCTGAAAATGCTACGACTAAAATGCAATAATTGAATGTTTGTTTGCATATTTGCGTCGCGGTGTTTGCACACAAATATGTACATCGTTCGCCTCTCCCCCTTTTTTGACTGTCTATCCACGCAACCTGCAAAAATCCTATTGATTAGGCGTTTTTCTCTACTCACACGCCGAATTGACGAAGCGAGTGGGACATGTCACGTAAGTTTCAAGAAAAATGTAGAAAAATAACGGACAATTTCAGACGATTTCCAGCAGCGCTAAAAATATGGCGAACCGACGCGACGACGGCAAAATACATAGCTGGCATATCTTCTTCTGCACGCAGTCAGCTTGGCAAAAATAGTTATAGATTTTGATGGATTCTTGCAGAGGAGCGTCGTGATCAACTGAACAAAGGGAAACAAAGTGGGACCAGCCAGTCAGCAGAAGACGTCGAGGACGTGGATGTATGCGGCGACGATTCACAGCGTGCTTCTCCTGAGCCGAGCACGTCATCGCAAAGTAGCAGTTCAAAAACGACACGGAAGAGAAAGTATTTATTTGGGTACGTGGATAAAGAGGAAGTCGTACCTGATCCGTCCCGACCAAGAACTTCAGCGGAATTGTTTGAAAATGGAAGAAACACACATTGCTTGCAATTCGTAATTCACTATTCCAGAGACGAGAACGAAATTAGCGAGCACAGCAACATTGAAGACCTTGCCCTCGGCGGAGATGAAGTCCCGGAGCTCATGGCCGGTGCGACCCCGGAACAATGAGCGATCCGTCGGCTGAGATGCGCGAAAAGATCCGAAATATCGGAAAGGACGACAGCGCTTATTGGGTGCCATCAGAGATTGTCCATCAGGAGAAAACTGCCAAACTGCAAAGAAAGACGAGGTAGAAGAAGGCGAAGAGAAAGAAGACCAAGGGAAAGAAGGCAAAGGAATAGAACACAACTTTTGGAGAGTACGAGCACTATTTCCGCGACATCCCGGACAAAGAGCGGGAGCGCGAGATTACTGATGCCAAGTGCCATAAGATTGCCGATGAACGGAACACGTTCCTCTCCACGCCGCAAATCTACATGAAAACTCCTGGAAAGGAGCACAAGCCGCACGTGGCCTTCACCACGAACAATCTGTTCTCTAAGGTAGACTCGCAAGTGCCGCCGCCAATCAGATCCCAAGCAGGAAAGGGACCAAGGACCCCGATTTGCTCAATTTGCTGCTCACCTTCCACGGATTCAGATGCATTAAGTAGGTTTTTATCGCGCGAACAGCCTAAATTACTCTTCTTTTTAGAAATTCGTAAAATGACGAAGATGATCCGATGTACAGAAGCAACGGAAACGACATGCACGCAGACTTGTTTTCATTTAACATCAAGATGTTTGATTTCAGGACGACGATTGCTACGTATACCATCTGAGAGACGCGCAGAAGTTGGCCGCTCCGCAGATGAAAGCTGACTCTAAATAATTCGTTTCTCTTTTTTGTCTCTTTAAACCAATCCTTTTTAGCATGATTCTCACAGAGTCGCTTCACTCATTTTTATCATCCGATTCCCTTTCCCCCAAATATCTGCTCTTTCCATGGTTGCTTTTAACGCCTCTCAAAACTGGATGATAAGTTCCTTAAAAACCGCGTTCCATTCTCTGATTCATTGCGATCTCTCGCACTTGCGCACCTTCGGACATCAAGTCTCATACCACCCACCAAGTGTGGCATTCTCCACGCTGCCGAAGATCTCGTCAAGAGAGGAAGAAACAACTGGAAGACTGCTAAGTGAGTTCAACCTTATTTCGTGTCTTCAACTGATTGATGTTAGTGCAGGTCGTGTTCTAAGAAAGCACGCGGACTACATCGACGACAAGATGCGCTTGTATTTATCGTGAGTTGTCCATTACTTTCAAGTGTTTTCAACTAATTTTCTAAATTAGGAAACAGTCCGCAAATATAAGATCCTGTGGAACGATCCTTGTTCGTTGGATTCAAGATAACGAATGGATCAGCGCACTCTACGATCAAATGCGTTCGCAAATGAATGGAAGAAGAAGTCGTTAAAATGGTACGCAGACTGTGTCGACAGCAAAATACGCAAGGAGCTTGTTTTTGCAGGATCACTTTGATCTTGGCTGCGATGAACGCAATGACCATCGGGCATTTGCAAAAGGAGCCACGGATTGATCTGGACTCAGTCAAAAGCATAGAAGTAAGTGAGTAGGATGCTTTGAATTGTTGCAGCAAATTCTTGTTTTCCAGCATTGTTCTTGGCTACTGGAACAATAAAATGCCAGAATCGAGTGAAGAGAACCCGGAAAACGCCGAGATGAGCACAGAGAAGCGATGAGCGAAAGAAGAAGTTGATGACGAGGACCCAGCGATTCAGTCGGCACACTGTGAGAAGAATGCGCAGATCTGGAGAACGCTGGGGACACTGAATCCTGTCGAGAAAGTTCTGAATCCACTAGAAGAGCTTCCAAAAGCTGGAGAAGATGTAACTCGGATATAATTAACGTCCAATTAAATGTTCTGTTTTTTCCCTGTTAATTACTCTCTCCTCTTATTTTTGCCAGTTCGTTTGGAAATTTTTTGGTTCTCATTATCCATACTCTTTCTGTTTTCCACCTTTTCCCGACATTGATCGAAATGAAATGAAGAGAAAGTGCCGGAGGCTGAAGAAAACTGAGAAAGATGAGCTCTACCCGAGTAATCAGGTTCCAAAGGCAGGTAATTTTCTACTGTAACTTTCCCATGAACCACAGTATTCCGTCGCAAAAATCACATTTCCAAAGTGGTCATAGCTGTTTTTTATGAGGCTATTCACATTATGAAATCAGTCTCTTTCCCCTTTCTGCCGACGTGTTCGCAGAGTTTCCGGCTGCACAAACGCATACTTCCCCCTATTCTTTCTATCCTTCTTCTCTTTTCTCTTTCTGCTCTTCGGAGCGGTGTTTATTACCACCAGCAAAGACTGTACGCACGCCCACGCAGCTGTCGGCTCATGTTTCCAAATGAACAGCTTGTCACCATACGTTTTACGGTTTCCGCCGATTTCCGCCGATTTCCGCCGGTTTTGACCTGCTTTTAGAACAATTCTGTAAAAGCCCTCAGAATACTATTCAAATAAACCCCCAATTGTTCTGAATCCGAAATGAGCAGCTCCTGAGAAATTGCTCCACTACCCTGTTCCCTAAGTGTGTCTATTGCCACTTTCTCCTCTCTCTATGTAATTTTTTTTTCGATTCACCCTCTGATTCATGGTGATATTAGTCATCAAATCACTCGCGCTGCTCCCCACTATGACTCTCCTCGCGTTCTTTCTCTCTCTCTCTCTCATTTGCTCTCCGGTCGGAATGGTTTGAGGCATCATCGCGTGTATTTTTTCTATCGCCCACTCCCACAGTGATCAATATAGCTAAGGTAGTTTGTTTTCAAAACATAGTTCTCCAATGTTTGCGGCGTCAAGTCACTTTCTTCTCTTTCTTCCAGTTGGCCTTCTTTTTCGTACTTTCCCTACAGTACGCGGGCAATGTGTGGCTGCTGAGCAGGTCCCTTTATTAATTAACAGATGATTGTGGTCTTCCGACTCTAAGTCTTTTGCGCGGTGCTTCCCTTCTCCTCCGATCGCCTGTTCGCATCATCAATTACTAGAAATTGACACGTTTAACCCCTTAGAACGCGCGTTATGTTAAGTGTTTCTTTGTTTACTGGAAAATGGGCATTCAATTCACGTGAGAACGCAGAATATGGTCGTGAAAAATTATTCAATTATGAATCAGACTGTTGAACATTATCTAATTAGTACAACGACCTTCAAAAGTCACATGTCATCGGTTAGGTGACTCTTCCGCAACCTCCCTCTCATTACCTGCTCCTTACCCTTTGCTCTTTCTTCTCGAGACGCACACAAATTATAAGGTACCTTTCAGTTTTCGGAGCAATCGAAAAACGCATTATTGCGAGGCAGTCTATGTAATTTACTCTACGGAGGTGCAAAAATCTCGTCCATTTCCAAAAAAAATCAGGTATCAGGAGTGATTCTTTCCCTCTTTGACTCATATTAATTTTGTTTTGACCGGCTCGCTCACAAATCGGTCTCCCTCTTTCGGAAATCCCCCACTAATGAGACCCTGGATTAGGACGGGACCTATTGGTCCGTAGCACACGGAAGGAAGCGATACCTATTTCGATTCGTTTGAAAATCCTTCAATTATGCTCGGATCACATCTGTCTCTCCGCTCGGGACCCCATTTGCTATTTGCTAGATGCAAGTAAAACTACAAAAATTCAATGTCATTTTAGGCTTTGTGAAAGTTGTGAAGTTCAAATTTGCTTTTCGATAACCGTGGCCTGCGGCCTAGGTTTCGCAGACACTTGGTGCTGCGAAATTTGAATTTCGATACACAAAATTCACCGATTTTCCCCGTCCAACATGCCAATGCGGTGTGAAGAGACATTTTGTCTGCTCTAGTCAGTTGTCATTTTCTAGTAGCGAATGTTCTTTAGTCTATCTGAACTGACGAATTCTCTTATCGTTTCAAGCTCGCTCTGAATTGCTCATGTGTTTCCTCATTTAGATCATCTCACTCACAGCACCTAAAGATTCAATTGATTTCAGAGTGATGAGCAAACGTGACGAACCAAGTACCAGCGAGATTGTGCCGCCGAATTTGGCGGAGCGCGAAGTCAGTACGATGGAAACTCCGGCCAAGAAGTCTAAATTGAATGAGGACGGTTCGTTTTACTCTCAAGTTCATTCGGAAATCAGCCAGTTTTGTTCAGAGAAATTCAAGGTTTCTGGACGCATCGCGTCAGTGAAACTACAAAATTTCATGTGCCACGCAAACCTGCTGATTGAGTTTGACACGGACAAAAATAACTGTTTTTACATCGGCGGTCCGAACGGAAGTACGTTTGAACGCAATTTTTCCATAAAATTTTGCTCAATTTTCAGGCGGAAAGAGTGCGTTGTTCGCAGCGATCAACTTGGGTCTCGGAGGAAGAGGATCGGATAATGAGCGAGGAAATTCCGCTCAGCAATATATCAAAGACAACGCTTCGTTCGTGGAATGCCTCTCCTTCTTAGAAATCTGTTATTTTTACAGACAGGCAAAAATCAAAATCACACTCACTAATGAAGGGTTAAATGCCCACCCGGATTACGGCAAGCTGGTTTCCGTGGAACGTACAATCAATCAGACGTCTTCCACCTATGTTATGAAGAGTGTCCACGTGGCGTCAAATGGTCAGCAGTCCGAGAGAGTGATCAGTAAGAAGAAGGTTGACATCGATAAGATCGTCGCCAGGTTCAACATTCATCTCTCGAATCCAGCTTTTTGGATGAGTCAGGACAGATCCCGCAGTTTTCTCGCCAACTTCAAGCCTTCCAATGTCTACAAGGTAACTTGAATGTTAGCAAAACTGTAATTTTAACGATTGTTTCAGCTCTATCTCGAGTCAACTGATCTCGAGAAGATCCGGTTGTCGTACGTGAAATTCGCTTCAGTGTTGGACGAATGTAAGCGGATCACTGAAGAGAAGATTAATAGCTTGACAAACGAGAATCGAAGATTGAAGAACATGCTCGAGCAGAGAGATTTGCAAGGAAAGCTTGAGAGCTACAAAGCCACGTTGGCCACTTACAAATGGAAACTAATCTTCTGCACGCTGCGCGATTTCGACGTCGAAATCAAGATCAACAAGAAAAAGGTGGAAGTGCAGCAAGAAGCTCACGAGGCTTTGAAGGCGGACTACGGTCAGAATCGTGCTGAACGACGTGCGCTGGATCAACAGGCACAAGATTTGACGGACGAAGTGGAAGTGCAAAAAGAGGAGATGGAAGAGGCGGCGGAAGCTCTGAAGAAGAAGAACCAAGTGGTGCAGGAGTGTCGAGAGAATGTCAGTGAAGTTCTGCACGAGAAGAACAAGATAGAGTATGCCCTGAAGTCGAGAAAAGATGCGATTCAGGAGGCAGAGAAGAATCTGAGGAAAGCGATGGAGCAGCAGGGATGCGAAGAGCTCACGAGCAGACTGAAGAAGGCTGAAAATGAGCATAAAGTTGTGCGCGCGGAGAAAGAAAAAATGGAAAAAGACGGAGAACTGGACAAGCTCAGGAAAAAAATTGATGAGTTGAAGAAAGAAATCACGAAGACAGATAGTGAAAAGTTCACAGCAACAATGGAAGTCTCTGGACTGAAAAAAGGATTGGAAACGAACAAGGCGATCATGGCGAAGACACGAGCGATGAAGACAGATTCCATCAACAAGTATGTTGCTATTTGTTAGAGTATCAATCTATTTTCAATCTTTCAAGGTTCGGCCGTCACACTTCTGATATTCTCGCGGAGATCTCGCGGAACGAGGCAATGTTCGAGAAACCGCCGAAAGGTCCGCTCGGCAAGTACATTACTTTGACCGATCCGAAGTGGGCTATTCCCGTCGAAGAGTGCATTGGTCCCATTGCCTCAACGTTCCTGTGCAGCTCGCACAACGATTCGAACGCACTCCGTATGTGCTTTAGGAATCTCAGAATTCCGAATGATGAGCAGCCTTCCCTCTCCGTCACCAGCTTTCTTGAGAAAGCCTATTCAAACTTAGAGGAGCCGAGTGCCCAGTTTGAAACAGTATTCAGAAAGTTGGTGATCTCGGACGCAGACGTTCAGTGAGTTGACCAGGCAAATTGACAGTAACCCTCAAACGAAATCTTCAGAAATGTGATAGTGGACAGAACTTCCTGCGAACAAAGTATATTAGTCGAGAAGAAGGAAGAAGCAATGCAGCTTATGGACACTGATTATCCCCCTCGAAACGTAGTGAAAGCTTACAGCTCTGACGGCGGGCAGGCGATTGCAGGCGGACCAAACAGCTTCTATAGATTTTACTCCGGAAAATCTCGAAAGGAAGGTGGACGTATGTTCGGAGCAGAGGGGGTAGTCGATGAGAAAGCATTGGAGCTTGCCATAGAATCGACCAAAGCAGAAATTCAAAACTGCGAAAACAATAAATTGAGGATCATAGATGTCAAATTAAACGAGCTGAAAAAGGAGGAAAACAACGCGAGATTGGCAGCTGAACATTTGGAGAAGAAAAAAAGGGAGCTGACGTCGCAGGAACTGAATTATGAAAGACTGGTGAGGGACTTGAACGAGCAGCTGAGAAAGTCTGCAGAAGCGGAATCGATCGACGCCCTGCAACATCAAATCGACGCACAAAAAAATCGTATTCCTGTGATTGAAAACGAGATTCGAGAATTGGAAGAGAAGGTGCTCGAGTTCAGACAGTCTATGGCTTCTGCTTGTAGTGAGAAAAGCAAGGCCGAGAAATTATTTGCAACGTTGTCACTGGAAGTGAAAGGCTTTGCGGAAAGCAATACACAACTGCAGAGACGAATGGCTGCGCTGGACGAGAAAGCGGGCGAGCTGAAATTTCACATCGACAAGATGAAGGCAGAGCAGATGATTCTCTACACGAACGATGCGAGACTCAAGACTGAGAAGGATGAGGCCGTGGCACATGTGGAAGAGGAGAAGAAGAGACCGGAAAATGCCATGCCGGCGGGTGAAACTGATCCTCCAGATCTCACTGATTTTCCTTCAACTCAAGCCGCCCAACAAAGAATCGAGGAGCTGCAGAAGATTATCGATTTGGGAAGTGTCGGTTGTGATATGTCTATCACTGCCAAGTCTGTCGCCGAGTTCCAGAAGATGATCAAGACGTGTAAGTACCAATGCAAGAAAGTCAACGAAGTTCTATCCACGCTGAACAAGATTCACATGATTCGACTGAACGCATATCCGTTGTTGAAGAAATATACGGAGATGAAGGTGTGCGATAAATTCGAAGAGCTGCTTGCAATCCGAGGAAACTTCGAAGGACACCTTAAATTCGATCACGTGAAGCAGACGCTGAATGTGAATGTACAGTCAGCCAAAGATCTAGTGTCACGGCGGGATCAAATCGATGACGACGAAGACGATGAAGAAGAGGGCGACGGACAATCTGACGACAGCTATTCTGAGGGGCCACGCAGCAAGAAGGCCAAGAAGAAGCCGAACAAGAATAAGGAGAAAGCCAGAGATCTGAATGGTCTTTCCGGTGGAGAACGATCTTTTGTGACTGCCGCTCTCGTCATGTCTTTGTGGGAAGTTATGGAGCAGCCGTTCCGAATGATGGATGAGTTCGATGTCTTCATGGACATGATGAACAGAAAGGTTGGGTTGCTAGCGATTTCCTAATGGTTTCTTCACTTCATCATATGCTGTTTCAGTTGGTAATGGATCTTCTCGTCGAGTTGGCCACTCAACAGTTCCCACATAATCAGTTCATCTTCTTCACTCCACAAGGAATAAAGGAACTCAATAAGGTGGACGGCCTTCAAATCTTCGAAATGAACAAAGTTCACGACTAAATTGTACTTTATTTTTTCCTTTTCTATGTTATTCGATTCACTGTTTCCATTTTTGCATTTTAAAAATCAAATTACTGTTTTATTTAATCCTCTCTTGTTTTGTAATAAAAATGTGAAGCAACCAATGTTTGGAATGTTGAGAAACGAGTCGCAACATTTGCCTCATAGTCCAGTCTACCTCTTCCTCTTCACCTTGCTTTTTATGAAACCCTTAAAGATCTTGAGGTACGGAACAGCAGCTCATTTGGCTATTCGAAGAGAATCCCATTCCTGTGTTCATCGTTCGCGCCACCCGGACCACCAGCGCCTACAAATATGGGTTTTTTCTTCAACTTTCCGCTGCCTTCCCAATTCTCAGAATTTCAGTCTCCATATACAGTGCGCGTCATAATGATAGCACACCCCCCTATTTTGACGATATGGAGAGAACTAAAGAATATGACGGAAAATGGTGATTGCCATTGTTTTCTACGCCTAAAAAAACCTACGTAGCCAATTTTCTAGGTATCCCACGCAAAAAATAAGACTAGGGTACCAAAAAGTCGTTAAAACAGGCGCGTCATAAAGATAGCACACCCCTCAAAAAATCATACACTTTCATTCAATTCTTAACTTTTTCTCTGGGTTATAACTTATTTTTGATTTTTAATTATGCTTTCGATGTTTTTTTGTTTTATTTATTCATATTTTGTTGGAGTTACAGTAGTACCAAAGTTTTACTACAGCATCCAGTGTGATGTGCAGGCTTCAGAAGAAGGATGATGTGCAGGCTTCACCAGAATTTGGGATTCACTTGAATTAATATTTGGGATTCTCCTAAAGTACTCTCATTCACTCCTCTCTCAAAATAGGACGCTCTACTCTGCTGACCCAATCCGAACAGGATCAAATAAAGCTTATGGATCAATTGGGACTCAATCATAGCGATATGTCTCGTCGTTTGGGCCGATCAAGGAAATGCATCATCAACTTCTTGCGTGATCCGATAACGTACGGCGTGACAAAGTCTCCTGGACGACCAAAAACACTCAATGATCGCGATGAACGTGCAGTGGTACGAACTGTATCCAACTCTATGAAGTCTGCCAATGATGCTAAGAAGGAGCTGAACCTTACGGTCTCCACGTCGACTGTCCTTCGTACAATTCAACGTTTTATGGTTATCGGTCATTTTAGGAATCGGTTTCATGATTTGACGAACGATAACTCCAGAGGACAGTCGACGTGGAGACCGTAAGGTTCAGCTCCTTCTTAGCATCATTGGCAGACTTCATAGAGTTGGATACAGTTCGTACCACTGCACGTTCATCGCGATCATTGAGTGTTTTTGGTCGTCCAGGAGACTTTGTCACGCCGTACGTTATCGGATCACGCAAGAAGTTGATGATGCATTTCCTTGATCGGCCCAAACGACGAGACATATCGCTATGATTGAGTCCCAATTGATCCATAAGCTTTATTTGATCCTGTTCGGATTGGGTCAGCAGAGTAGAGCGTCCTATTTTGAGAGAGGAGTGAATGAGAGTACTTTAGGAGAATCCCAAATATTAATTCAAGTGAATCCCAAATTCTGGTGAAGCCTGCACATCATCCTTCTTCTGAAGCCTGCACATCATCCTTCTTCTGAAGCCTGCACATCACACTGGATGCTGTAGTAAAACTTTGGTACTACTGTAACTCCAACAAAATATGAATAAATAAAACAAAAAAACATCAAAAGCATAATTAAAAATCAAAAATAAGTTACAACCCAGAGAAAAAGTTAAGAATTGAATGAAAGTGTATGATTTTTTGAGGGGTGTGCTATCTTTATGACGCGCCTGTTTTAACGACTTTTTGGTACCCTAGTCTTATTTTTTGCGTGGGATACCTAGAAAATTGGCTACGTAGGTTTTTTTAGGCGTAGAAAACAATGGCAATCACCATTTTCCGTCATATTCTTTAGTTCTCTCCATATCGTCAAAATAGGGGGGTGTGCTATCATTATGACGCGCACTGTATGCACTGCGGTTGGCCGATCAATAATGTGGTCACCATTCTACACTCGCCCTCTCTCTGTCATCTTTCATTGATCCAAATGCGCAAGAGACTATACTCAATCTGCTGTGTCCTCATCTGCGAATCCCTCTCCACTTCTCATCAAAAGAGTCTCCGAAACAGATTGATCTTCTGCTAACTCTTCTGAGTTCTTCTGAAAACGAGCGACGAAACTTTTTGAAGGATTGGAAACCGGCAGTTCTTTGACTCCAACAGGTATGGGATGCCTCCACGTTTTCCTCATTAAGGTTTCCGATTTCAGTCGTTGGTCTCCGCAACGAATCGAGCGCTTCCGAATCGTTCTCTCAATTCGTCAAGAACAAGCCGCAATCCGATTCTGACCGCTCTCCAAATCATGGCGTTCGATCGAACACGGACTTTCGATGAAGAGCCGATCAAAATCATTGAATTCACAATATCCCCAATTGCTGTAGCTGTTACCAATTGGGTGAAAAACTTTACTCGAAAATTTAAAGTTTTGAAAGTGTGGTTTTCAGATCTTCTGTGCTATTGGAGACATTATCATCACCTTTCTATACTCTCAAGGCGCATTTTAAGCAATAATGATCTCCATCGTGTTCTCCGTTCTTGAATCTACGGCGGATGACGACATCAAACGTAAGGAACGATTATATGATATGACGGCTCATCGATTTTAAGAAAGAATATATCCATACAGTTCGCTTTTCGATATCTGGCTTTTGGCACGGAATTGTTCCCAGAAAATGACTGAAGAATTTACAATCACTAGTCACTTGCCATGTACGACACGGCCGTCAGCGCTCTTTATAACGAAGACTGGAAAAATGCGACCACTCTCCTCAATCTGGCGAGCTTCCACTGGGATCTGAGCAATCTGGCTGAATGCTCTTCAAGCAGTCTGGAAGCACTTGAAGAAGACCAGCAAATTCATTTGACGCCAAAATATTCCTTCTCGAATTGAATAACTGCTAGGTTGTTGCTCACGTTTTCTCGGAATGGACTGCTCTGTGTGGAACTCACCTTATTCGACCTAATTACTCTCTCCTGGCTCCTATTCTCCGTTCAGCGGTGGTGAAAATTATGCTGTAAAAGCAGTCACCTGACATATAAGTCTCACTATAATGTTAATTCAACTAGACATAATTTCATTTCAGACTAGTTCAAGTCCGTCTACTTTGAGCAATCGATCGTGTTCCGCAGCCATCACATCCACGTACCCGTCGCAAATCCGGTCTTGTGGAGTGAAATTGCGTATCGAGGAAATCAGATGGAAGCGGAACGGTTCTTAGTATCCGTCAGACTGTCTCCAGCGTGGCACAGGAAATACGGAACGGAACGTCGCTCATCTCATCTATTGGACACATAACTTTTCGAAGATGATTACATTCGTTTGTGTGTTATTCCAGTTTTGTTCTGTATCCAATTTCTATGTTTACCGCTAAACGATTTCTCAATTACAATTCAGGTGATGCGAAAGTATGGTCTCGACACGATTGACAGCCAGTGCAGTCTTCCGCTCCAACAGACGAGCATAACGGGCGCGTCGACGATGGGACGCGGTTGGATGAAAACTTGAAACAAAAGCATTGATTTGAGATAAGAACGAACAGGATCAGAACCTCCATCAGAGGTGCTCCGGAGATACTTCTCAAGAATGGAGAACTGCCGGTCTTACTTCTTTTACCCTACTCTCCACGCCGCCTCCTTTGTGTGCTCCATTGTTATCCGTTCCGCTTCTCTCTCAAGAACTCTGAACCCTTCAATTTTCAAGTATGTATTCCGAAAATTCCTCTGATCACTCAATACCGAATTGCTGGTGGCATCAATCGCTGTGTTTTTCTCGAGTTCGGCAATCTGTACTTCTTTTTGCCTTTTCTGTTCAATTCCGGTCGTTGCGCTTCTCGATCAAGGAGACTCGTGCCAGAAGATGTATTTCGATTCGATCGGCTTCTTCCGAGCCTTTTTCAGGGCTCTCTCAGACCTTACCAGATAATATAATCCTTATCAGGACAACCTTCCGAGCCTTTTTCAGGGCCCTCTAAAGACCGTGCAAAACGGTGCAAATGTCATGTTTCGAAAACCTTATATACCTTCGTGGCTTTCCGCCAGGGCAGATCCGACCATGTGGGCGTGGCCAACTGTTTGGTCGAAAGGTTGTCCTGAAAAGGATTATCTTATCTGATAAGGTCTGAGAGAGCCCTGAAAAAGGCTCGGGGGGGGGGGGGTTGTCCTGAAAAGGATTATCTTATCAGGTAAGGTCTAAGAAAGCCACAGAAACACACAGGACTAGATACTTCAAATTATTGTCAAACAGAATATCATATTCACTTTCGAATTATTCAAGTTATTTGGCGTCGAATGACATACATATTGCGCCACTTTCAATTCAGTCACATCCAAAGAATTTAGATGACGTCATCGTCATCTGGAGCACAAAACACGGCAATCAGAAAACGGGTACAATGTGGGTATCAAAATTTCTCTCGTAACCTTCTCTTTTCGAATATTGAGGAATTGACGGTATAGCCAATCAGAGTTCAGAATGAGTTCTACAGTAACCTCTAAACTCGGACATTTTTATTCAATTCCTTCCATTGACGATCATTTTTGTTGTTATCGCCATCTCAATGTTTTTTTTTGGTCTAGTGAATCCGAATCTTATTCTCACTATCCCCGGACTCTTTTTGACAGCGGACCCTAATGCCGCACACCTTTCCTCCTCGGTGTAAGTGCGCCTGCCGACGGAGAATGCGTCAGTCGTCTCCGCTTGCGCACGGACCCGATTTCTTTCCCTACCGTTGCATTTCCCCATTCCATTTTCGTCTTTAACTGCAAAAAATCTGTTTTTTTTAGTTCATTTGACCAAATATTCGCATTTAAAAGACGTATTTATGGTAAAAAAAAATAGAAATTCGATAAATCAATCAATTTTTTCCAGAGCACCAAAATAAATTCTACACGGCTGTTTAACAATAATTTCGCTAAATTGTGAGTTTTACATGTTCTCTCCGCTTCACCGTCAGCCGATCCGCCGACGGGATGCGTGTTCATAACAGTTTCACTGATTTTCTTTTTTTCAGACGTGGAAGTGAGTTCCGAACAAAGGTATCTTCCATTCGATCTAGAGATGTCGGATTTGAGTATTAGCATTTGCTACGGGTTATTTGGAACGATTCCGAAAAAATTTTGAGCAACGACAACAAACGGCAAGAACGATTTCAAGTAACGTCTCAACCAGCGGCGACATGGGCATTCAGCCGAACTTTGGCAAATTCGCGTTCACTGCGAATGGACGCCGGACTTGGCTTCAATGTGAGCTTCTTTCAGAATAAGGTTATTACTATCTTGTTTTCAGACTGTTCTCTTCGTCTTTCCCATCTGTTGCCCGGATTCTCGGTTCTTTCCAAGCCCACGGACGCCAAGCAATAACGAATTTGGACAAATTTGGAGCAGAAAACACATAGTTGACGACAGAAATTGCTGGTGAAATTGGTTCACGAGAAAGAGAAAGGACATGAAAACCTCCTACCTTCTTATTCCGACGGAAAGAATCAGGGGAAAAGACTCGAAATTTGTAGGAAAACACAGGAATCAGCGCTTCAGTACAAACGAGAGGGATTGTGGAAGAGAAATCAATGTCTTCGATCGCACGGGTACTCGCCGGAAACCAGATGCATGTTTTAAGTGAGTTAGTTTTCAGATCTTTCCTGCCAAATGTTGTTGTTTCCAGTGAGCACAGCTTCGGATGCAACTCGAGAAACCGCAGATGCCTCTACATACACTGCGCCCAATAAGTATAGGACCCCCCTCAGTTTTGGGTGTTCCGAGAAAACTAGAAGAGATATCAAAAATCTGTAAGCGCCATTCGATTTGGAATACAAAAATAACCCCCGGACCCAAATTTTTTTACAATCTGAAAAACTATTTGTACCCGTCCACCATCAAAAAAAGTCACTTTTTTTCCACCGCCCAATAAGTATAGGACCCCCTCACAATTTTGACGGATTTTGGTAAATTGAAGGGAATTCAGCCATTTTTTTTCATATTATTTTTATAATTGTTGTTTTTTTATTGTTTTCATATTATTTCGACTTTATTTCCCAACTTTCTATCAGTGTCTGATTGGATGATGAAGGATCTTTGAATAAATCTGTGAAAATGGATTTTTTTAAAGTAAACATTTTTTATTCAACAAAATCAAATGATAACAGGGAAAAAATTAATAACTGGTCTCGCCTCCGTTCTTCTGAATGACTTGGAAAAGTCGATTTGGCATACTCGATACCAGATTCTTCAATTCCGCGGCTGTGACCAAATTCCACTCGATAAGAAGGGCATCTTTCAGATCCTGGACACTGGCATACTGTTTGCCATGGCGGTAGACACGACGAACCAACAATCCCCAAACGTTCTCAACTGGATTGAGGTCTGGGCTACACGCCGGCCATTGCAGATCCTTGATTCCTTTCGCAGCGAGCCAGTTTTGTGTCGAAATGCTTTTATGAATACTGGCATTGTCTTGCTGAAAAGTGTGACTGCGGCGACGGTGACGGAAGAATGGGACGATGGCGTTTTGGAGCATGTTCTGATAGGATATTGAATTTTCTTTGGTGGTGATGAACTGCAGCGGCATCTTCTTTCCGTCACTTTCCGTCACGTTCATAGCGGGTTGTCACTTTCCGTGGTCTTCCTTTCAACGCATTCGTTTTCTTTCCGTAGTTGACCGGATCATCAAGGTAATGGCGGATAGCATTCCGGCTTTTCTTGATGAGTTTTGAAGTTTCATGGAGCGACACACCCATCTGGCGGAGAACGTCGATTTGTGCTTGCTGTTCAGAAGTGAGAGCAGGAGCTCTACCCATGGTGAGAGTAGATGATAACTGACTGGATATTCGGCAAATCTTTAGGATTCATTTACTATTCAGCTTTTGAGTACTGTATCTGAACATCTAACTCTCGACAAGACCGATTACGGTAGTCAAATTAAGCTGAACAATGTCAAACCACACTGATCCTTTAGAAAATTCAAAGATCCTTCATCATCCAATCAGACACTGATAGAAAGTTGGGAAATAAAGTCGAAATAATATGAAAACAATAAAAAAACAACAATTATAAAAATAATAAGAAAAAAAATGGCTGAATTCCCTTCAATTTACCAAAATCCGTCAAAATTGTGAGGGGGTCCTATACTTATTGGGCGGTGGAAAAAGTGACTTTTTGATGGTGGACGGGTACAAATAGTTTTCAGATTGTAAAAATTTGGGCCCGGGGGTTATTTTGTATTCCAAATCGAATGGCGCTTACAGATTTTTGATATCTCTTCTAGTTTTCTCGGAACACCCAAAACTGAGGGGGGTCCTATACTTATTGGGCGCAGTGTAGATGTTTGTTGGCTAAACTCTTCGGTACCTTTTCTGGAATTCAATCGGTCCAAGGCTTTCGTCTTCTGATGGAATAATGCTGCGCGTCGTCGTCAGTGTGCCGACCGGAAAAAGATTCTTCCCCAACAACCCAAGCGCTAGAAGGTGAACACGAAATGGCAACATTGAGCGGATACAGGCCCACGCTCGCTGACGATCCCGACGACCGGCTGTGTGAATACGTGGAGTACATTGGAGAACGTGTCGAACCGATGAGATTGGTGAGTAGAGGCTGGGGCCTGGACGTGTGGACCAACTGAAATAATTCCGCGCTTGAATGCATTTGTCTTATTTTGAACTCGAATATCCAACCGAAAAACTGATATTTCAGCAAGCTGTGGAGGGAGCGCGGACGAGATGAGCACTTGCACGTCACTTCGTCAGACTTCCTGAAACTCTTTCTTTCTTCGATTGACTGCAGATAATACATTTGATTCGAAACGCCCACGCTCATGACGAGAATATGTCGATCGACACAGAGGATTTGGCAATACATGGGAGAAATGTGCAATTAAGGAGAACCTGATATCGTTTTTCTCGAAATTGTTACCGATATGATGAACTATCCTTTACATAGTTATTCCGAATTTCGCAGTTTCCATGACCCGCTCGATATCACAAGTTGAAATTCATAAAAAGTTCTTCAAATTCTTATTTTTAATCGAATCACACCGCCCTCAAAACCATTGTTGCCGCGTTGAATTGTTCATTTTTGCAGAAAATGTTTGTCAGGAAGATGTTTTCGGTCAGTTGTATTCTTTTTTCTTCTCAATCGCCGTTTAATTTCAGATATTTGTGATGTTCTCCGTTTCATTTGCAATTAAGTGCTTGACTAACAGCGACTGCTCGGGAATGATTGATCACGAATGCGAGGTCGATAAGCAAGAGTGTGTTTGGGTCATCTGCCACTATGACAAGGATTGCGGGGGAGAGGATTTGGTTTGCGAGGATGGAAAATGCTGGGAATGGAACAATCCGGACCGTCCGAGCAAGAAAAGTCCCACCAAGAAGGTTCATCCACGCAACAACGCCCGACAGGAGAAGAAGCCGTGAATTGGTCTGTTTTGTAGCAAAAATCCGTTGATAACCTCTTCCAATCTTCCAATAAACTTTTAATTCTGGTTAAACGACATCAACTGGAAGTGAGTAAACATTCTCTTCTGGTAATGCAACCACAATTCTAGCGTCTGACGTTGCACCGAACGGATCCTTGGCCATTTCAGTTGGCGTGCCGTTATTCGTCCGGGTCTTTTTGTCGTTCTGGCAACACAGGAAGACTAGCTCAATAATATAGATTACTTCTGTGATTGATAAAAAACTGAAAAAATTAAAAGAAGAACAAAATACAGATGGCGCCACTGCGGACGTCTGCACCACATCTTACGGCATCTCTGATTGCTGAACTAGTAACCGATTCTGAAAAGGAAAAAACAGGGAGAGAAAAGAGAAAAACAGAATTTGAAGCAACAGATCTTCGCATTGTGAGAACTGGAATCAACAAGTAGCTGCGTATTTGGAACAATTCGAAAAGAACAATTTTGTTTGCGTAGAAAAACGCGAGTTGAAACGACAATTATACTTTATTAAAAACAGTTTGAGAATATGTGGCAATAAAACTGATTGGATTAAGTATGTTAGGAGAGAGAGGGGGAGAGTATATAAAAATTATTAAATTTGATCGCGGCTCAGAGGCGGCTGCAGGCGTATAAATATGATGGGGACGGATGGGCTCTGGGTTGGCTGTCTACGGCCCGGGGGCGCCACGGTTGTCCATCGGTTGGACGAAGACGGAGGCTGCTGGAATGGGTGCGGAAGCAGCTGCGGGTCGTGCAGATCCGCGAGCACCCCGATTGTCCGTCGGGTTTGCAAAAACAGGAGCGGCTGCTGACCAAGCATAGCCGGGAGCGACTGCCGGCCAAGCAGAGCCGGGAGCACCATGATTGTTCATCGAGTAACCAAAACCCGGAGTGGCAGCCGGCCAAGCATAGCTGGGAGCACCATGATTGTTCATCGAGTAGCCAAAACCCGGAGCGGCAGCCGGCCAAGCATAGCCGGGAGCGTAACGGTTGTTCATCGAGTAGGAGAAGATCGGAGCGACTGCCGGCCAAGCATAACCGGGAGCGTCACGGTTGGTCACCGAGTAGCCGAAGACGGGGGCTGTTGGAATGGGAGCGGAACTAGTAACCGACGGCATCCTGAAATAAAACAGTTTTATATATTTCAGCTTTAGAAGTTTTCATCCATGTGCAAGTCAGTGCAACATAGTGTTAAAACTTGAATAACTCACAGATTATTGTTCACGACGCTCTGAAATTGACTGGTGGTCTCGTTATTTCCGCCGTTCCTGTTCAGGGCCTCGATCTGTTGTTCCAGATGACTTATCCGTCTCTGGGAGGCTGCCCACATTTCCGCGGTTGGGTGCTCGGCCGGGACGACGGCATTCTCAACGGACACCGTTTCGACGTCGATTTCATCTTCTTCCAGGTTGTCCGCCATCACCGCATCACCTCTTTCGCTCCCTCGCTGTTGTTCCGTGTCCGGCAACGACTCCGAACGTCTCTCTTCCACCGGTTTTCCTGAGACCTCTATCTGTCCCGACTCGGCTACATTCCCGCCCACCACTCTGTTGCTCGAGTCGGCTGGGAGCACTTGATTGGCGACGATTCCCAAATCTGTAATAATCAATTTATGTATATTTCTGAGTTCAGATCTGATACCGTTTGACGATTCGTCAAGCTGGACTGGAATCGATGAAGCCGGGGCAACCGGGTAGTTCAGCTGATTGGAGTTGCCTGGTGGCGTCCACAGAACAGTCTCTGGCATCACGGATCTTCTGGTCTTCTGGTCTTCTCTCTTGCCGGCTTGTCCCGCCTCACCTACTCTGTTTGGAACTGCCTCCATTATCTGTCCGGCTTCTTCTCTGGCCCTTGCTTCGCTCCTACCGGCTTGTCCCGCCTCGCCGCCACTGATCGGAACAATCGGACGCTGAACAGCTTCCGTCGTCGAACCGGCTGGCTCTCTCGTCTTCAGGGCTCCAATTCTTCCGGTTTGTCCCGCCTCGCCGCCACTGATCGGAAAAATCGGACGCTGAACAGCTTCCGTCGTCGAACCGGCTGGCTCTCTCGTCTTCAGGGCTCCAATTCTTCCGGTTTGTCCCGCCTCGCCGCCACTGATCGGAAAAATCGGACGCTGAACAGCTTCCGTCGTCGAACCGGCTGGCTCTCTCGTCTTCAGGGCTCCAATTCTTCCGGTTTGTCCCGCCTCGCCGCCACTGATCGGAACAATCGGACGCTGAACAGCTTCCGTCGTCGAACCGGCTGGCTCTCTCGTCTTCAGGGCTCCAATTCTTCCGGTTTGTCCCGCCTCGCCGCCACTGATCGGAACAATCGGACGCTGAACAGCTTCCGTCGTCGAACCGGCTGGCTCTCTCGTCTTCAGGGCTCCAATTCTGCCGGTTTGTCCCGCCTCGCCGCCACTGATCGGAGCAACCGATCCCTGAGCAGCATTCATCGTCGAACCGGCTGGCTCTCTCGTCTTCAGGGCTCCAATTCTGCCGGTTTGTCCCGCCTCGCCGCCACTGATCGGAACAATCGGACGCTGAACAGCTTCCGTCGTCGAACCGGCTGGCTCTCTCGTCTTCAGGGCTCCAATTCTGCCGGTTTGTCCCGCCTCGCCGCCACTGATCGGAGCAACCGATCCCTGAGCAGCATTCATCGTCGAACCGGCTGGCTCTCTCGTCTTCAGGGCTCCAATTCTGCCGGTTTGTCCCGCCTCGCCGCCACTGATCGGAACAATCGGACGCTGAACAGCTTCCGTCGTCGAACCGGCTGGCTCTCTCGTCTTCAGGGCTCCAATTCTTCCGGTTTGTCCCGCCTCGCCGCCACTGATCGGAGCAACCGATCCCTGAGCAGCATTCATCGTTGAACCGGCTGGCTCTCTCGTCTTCAGGGCTCCAATTCTTCCGGTTTGTCCCGCCTCGCCGCCACTGATCGGAGCAACCGATCCCTGAGCAGCATTCATCGTTGAACCGGCTGGCTCTCTCGTCTTCAGGGCTCCAATTCTTCCGGTTTGTCCCGCCTCGCCGCCACTGATCGGAAAAATCGAACGCTGAACAGCTTCCGTCGTCGAACCGGCTGGCTCTCTCGTCTTCAGGGCTCCAATTCTTCCGGTTTGTCCCGCCTCGCCGCCACTGATCGGAACAATCGGACGCTGAACAGCTTCCGTCGTCGAACCGGCTGGCTCTCTCGTCTTCAGGGCTCCAATTCTTCCGGTTTGTCCCGCCTCGCCGCCACTGATCGGAGCAACCGATCCCTGAGCAGCATTCATCGTTGAACCGGCTGGCTCTCTCGTCTTCAGGGCTCCAATTCTTCCGGTTTGTCCCGCCTCGCCGCCACTGATCGGAAAAATCGGACGCTGAACAGCTTCCGTCGTCGAACCGGCTGGCTCTCTCGTCTTCAGGGCTCCAATTCTTCCGGTTTGTCCCGCCTCGCCGCCACTGATCGGAGCAACCGATCCCTGAGCAGCATTCATCGTTGAACCGGCTGGCTCTCTCGTCTTCAGGGCTCCAATTCTTCCGGTTTGTCCCGCCTCGCCGCCACTGATCGGAACAATCGGACGCTGAGCAGCATTCGTCGTCGAACCGGCTGGCTCTCTCGTCTTCAGGGCTCCAATTCTGCCGGTTTGTCCCGCCTCGCCGCCACTGATCGGAGCAACCGATCCCTGAGCAGCATTCATCGTTGAACCCTCTCCCTCCCTTTCTTCTCTCCTGTCGCTTGGTCCGGCGTCGCTGCGTCTCATAGCCTGGTATCTTGTCTCGGGAGCCTCGATCCGACTTCTGCGGTCCTTTCTTTTTCTTACTCGTTTTGGAGGGATGTAGTCGTAGTCCTCTTCGTCCTCATAAGCGTTCTCATCTCGCCTTTTGATTGTCCTGCTGCGTTTCGCCCATGTTAACTTCACCCGTCTCAGACTCATACTCAAAACCTCCAACTTCGTTGCCTAAATATTCAAACTTGAATGTGAGTGTGGATCAGGCCGTACCAAGCACTTCTTTTCATCTCCAACTTGAAACACCATTTTTGTCTGTTCGACGACGGGGAGCTGGACTCCGTTCTCGAGCTGCTCCTTGACTTCGGGGAGATTGAGCACTTTTTCGAACAGCTCATTGTGGAAGGTGTGCTCGGAGGGTTCATACATATCCTGAAAAAGAGTATTTATCTGTTGATAAGCCTGACAAATTTTTACCTCCTGGTCTAAGTACCAACGTTTCCTGTAGTTGAGTTTACCTTCGAGCTGAGCCATTTTTTGTTTCTGATCGCTTTTAAATCTGTAAATAACAATTTTAATTTAAAAACTCGAGAGAATGTCTGGAGGCATTTTCAAACTTTACGAAAAATGCTCTAATTAAGAGTTTTTCCGGAATTTCAACGTTTCATTTGAAAAAGCAACGTGGAATTTGCAATATTTGGGCTGAGAACGCTTGATATAGAAAAATGTTTGCTGTTCGAATGTTCAAACTGCTTGTAATATTTTCTTTCACAACATTCTCACCACTTGCGGAGGCAGTTCCTATTATTCACGAAAAACAATGAAAAAGCGCTTCAATTCGACAAAAAATTGATAACAAACCCTCCCAGTTGGAAAAGACTGAAAAGGAGAAGTGACTGGAATGCAGCTGGTGAGAGATGCCAACGCCAGAGACAGATGTTCTCGGATTGGGCGCGGTGCCGGTGTGTTTATGCGTCATAGGAAAAAGGAGTCACTCCTGTCGTCGAATTTTTTTGAGAAACTGATCAGATTTTCGTGTTTGCACCTCCATAAAGTGGGAATAAAAGGAATGACGGACTTGTTAACGAGACTACGTCGTAAAAATGGGTTTTTGCTCGCTCTAAAAATTGATAGGTGTGAAAAAAGATAGGCTGCTTTGATGGAAAGAGACCTTATAATTTGTCTGTTTGTTTCGAACAAAATAAAAGAGAGGGGAAGGAGAGAAAGAGGTATTGCAGTTGCGTCACCAAACCGATGCGAGTGGTGAGATGGGGGCGGATCGGTAGAAATCAACTCCTCAGGGAATGGTGTGTTCATGCTTTACTGAATGGGGGAGCTTGCTTTGGATTTCTTCGTGTGACTAATTAGCAGCAGGAGGTATGAAGGAATAAACGAAATATTCGGTTTCGAGAGAAAGAGTTAGAGGAAAGTAGGAGGCACCAACTCATTCAGCATGGTGTTTTTTGAAGCCGCGCATGACAGCGGACTTTTGAAGGTCCATCTGCCACATTTGAATCTTGACAGTCACAACAATAACGCGCGAGTACTAATTGAATAATGTATTGTCTGCTTCATGATTGAAAAATTTCTCAAGGCCATATTCTGCGCTCTCCCGCCAATTTTTTTGAAAATTGGGGGATGCATTCAAAATTTGCAGACAGGACGATTTTGGGGTGGCGGAAAACTCGCTTCAAAATCAAAGTTGTGAGTGGAACCACATATCAGATTGTAGATCTCGACGAGTTCTACATATGCGACAACAAACGAGATTGTGGCGCGGGCCGACCAGAACTTTAATTTTGAAGAGAGTTATCCGCCGGCTCGTACCGACCCGAAATCGACCCGTTTGCGTAGCTGCTAATTAGAAGTGAAGTGACGGATATGAAGAAATACGTGAAAGATTTGAGATAGAGAGAGAGAAAGAGCACCCGCTCATTGAGCATACATAGTGTCTTTTTGATGCCATCCATGAGAGTGAGCATTTGAAGGTTCGTCTGTCACATTTGAATCTTGACGTTCTCGCAAATAGCGCGCGAGTACTAATTGAATAATAGATATAGTCTGCTTCATAATCCAAAATTTTTTCAAGGCCATATTCTGCGCTCTCACGCCAATTCCACGCCTATTTTCAGAAAATTCAGAGGCACTGTAACCAGTGTCTAAGATTTCTATTGCTAGTAATTCACAATGTGCACAGGCAATTTGGAAGCCTAATGTCCGTGTGTCCCGACTCAGCCGACTATTCGAATCTACGGAGGAGGGGGAAGCACACCAACAAAAGAAAGTGGTGGGCATTGGAAAATCACTAAGATCATGAGAAGTTTCTACGCTAATGAATCAGGCGGAGTCGTTTTTGCTGCCACACGACGCCCGCGTGCCGGAGTGACAATACGAAGGAAGAAAACAGAAATAGAAGGGCAGCCGGAAGAAAGAAAGGGGAGTGACTTGTGTTTATTTTACAAGCACTCAACAACTCTGTTTTGAAAACAATCGGAACTTCTAGTAAGGACTGTGAAAAAAAGACACGTGATAATGCCACAAACCATTCCGAGCGGGGAGAAAGAGAGAGAGAGAGAGGAAGAACACGTAAGAAGGGTGATAGCGGAGAGCAGGGCGAGAATTTGATGACTCACGTTGTGATGATGATCGTCTTCTTCGGTGGTAGCAGAAATCTGTGAAGCATACCTTTCCTTCGGACGTCTGCACCAGATCTTACGGCTTTTTCTGAAATCGTGAACGATTCTAAAAAGAAATACAAGGACAGAAGGGAGAAAAACAGAAATCGGAGCAGCAGATCTTTGCTTTGTGCGAACTAGAATCAACGAGTAGCTGCGTATTTGGAACAGTTCAAAAAGATAAACTCCGTTTGCGTAGAAAAACGCGAGTAAAAAACGTTGAATTAACAATGAATGCAATTATATGTACTTTATTAAAAAGTGTTTGAAACTGTGTGGTAATAAAGCTGATTGGATTAAGTATATATTTTAAGGGGGGCGGAAGAGTATATAAAAAAATTTTTAAATTTGATCGGGGTTGACGGGCGGCGGACTTGGGACAGGGGGCGGGTGGCATCTGAGGATGTGGCCTAAAATGTAATTTTTCTATTTAAGCTTCAAAAATTGTAATCCATGTGTAAGTCAATACGACACGGGGATAAACTTTGAAACACTCACAGAAAGTATGGCAATAGAGCTAACAAGAAGGTTTGAGTTAGTTCCAGCTCTTTGATTCTTCTCTGTGCCGCATACCAAATTTCGGCTGTCACGGGAGCGGCGATGTTTAATGGGGTCAAAGGGAATAGCGGGAACGGTGGTCTAAAATGCAATTTTTCAATGTAAGTCTTAGAAATTTTAATCCATGTGTAAGTCAGTACGACAAGGTGATAAAACTTTAAAAACTCACTGAACATTAAGCAAGAGAGCTATCAAGAAGGCTTGAATTATTTCCAGCTCATTAATTCTCCTCACCGTTTCGTCCCACAGTTGAGCACTGGGGACGAAGTCTGGATCGCCGTCAAGGGCGCCGCCAAGGATGGCGGGAGCGGCGATTCGAGTGGCGATCGGAGGGATGACGGTATGGGCGACAGGAGTGGCGATCGGAGTGGCGAATCGAGTGGCAATTGGAGCGATGACGGTATGGGCGACCGGAGTGGCGTTCGGATTGGCGATTCGAGTGGCGATCGGAGCGATGACGGTATGGTTGACAGGAGTGGCGATCGGATTGGCGATTCGAGTGGCGATCGGAGCGATGACGGTAGGGGCGACCGGAGTGGCGATCGGAGTGGCGATTCGAGTGGCGATCGGAGCGATGACGGTATGGGCGACCGGAGAAATGGCGGGAGCGGCGATCGGAGTGGCGATCGGAGCGATGACGGTATGGGCGACAGCAGTGGCGATCGGATTGGCGATTCGAGTGGCGATCGGAGTGGCGAATCGAGTGGCGATTGGAGCGATGACGGTATGGGCGACCGGAGAAATGGCGGGAGCGGCGATTCGAGTTTCGATCGGAGCGATGACGGTATGGGCGACAGGAGTGGCGATCGGAGCAATGAAGGTATGGGCGACCGGAGTGACGATCGGAGTGGCGATTGGAGTGGCGATTGGAGTAGCGATTTTAGTGGCGATCGGAGCGATGACGGTAGGGGCGACCGGAGTGGCGATCGGAGTGGCGATTCGAGGGGCGATCGGAGCGATGACGGTATGGGCGACCGGAGTGGCGATCGGAGCAATGAAGGTATGGGCGACCGGAGTGACGATCGGAGTGGCGATTGGAGTGGCGATTGGAGTAGCGATTTTAGTGGCGATCGGAGCGATGACGGTAGGGGCGACCGGTGTGGCGATCGGAGTGGCGATTCGAGTGGCGATCGGAGCGATGACGGTATGGGCGACCGGAGTGGCAATCGGAATGGCAACCGGAGAGGCGATTGGAGTGGCGATCGGAGTGGCGACCGGAGTGGCGACCGGGACGCTGTCCTCATCTACAGTGACGACGTCAATGTACTCTTCCTCTTCCATGTGATCCGCCTCTTCGATGACGTCCTCCTCTTCGATGTTCCTCTCCTCTTCGATGACGTCCTCCTCTTCGATGTTCCTCTCCTCTTCGATGTCCTCTGTCTCTGCGATGTCGTCTTCTTCTGCGATGTCTGCCCCTATCGCCGCATTTCCACTTCCGCTCTGGCTTTGTTCCGTGTCGGACGACAATTCGGAAATTCTCTCCTCGGACCTTTTCTTGTACGTAGCACTTCCTCGCGCTTTGGCCGCTCCCGAATTGGCAAAATTCCCACCCACCACCATGTTTACAGATTCGGTTTCCACTGCCGACTCTACAAATATCAATTTATGTATAATTCTGAGTTCCGATCTGATACCTGAAGCCGCAGAGGATACGATTTGTGCCGAACTTGGTGGAGCCGGGACGTTCGGGTGGTCAGGATGATCGGCGAACTCCGGTGGCGTCCACCCAATATGAAAACGAGCCCTGTCTTCTCTCCCGTTGACTTGTCCAAAGTCGGCTTGTCCGGAGTCGGCTTGTGTTGAGTCGGCTTGACCGACGTCAATTTGTCCGGCTGCAATCGAAGCGGCCTGTCGACGTCTCGGAGCAAGCTCCCGCCGACGGTCCACCGCCATCCTCCTGACCTTTCTTGACGGAACATACTCCGAATCTTTTTCGTCTTTATCGTCGTCGTCATCTTCGTCCTCCTCCTCATATCGGTTCTCCCGTTTCGATCTGTTTTTGCATTTTGCCCACTCGATCATCACTCTTCTCTCCTTCACGCTCAAAATCTTCATCCTTTTCGCCTAAATATTCGAAATTAAATGTGACGATGGATAAGAAACACTACCTGACACTTTTTCTCGTCCCCCACATCAAAAAACATTCTCGTCTGTTTGACGACGGGAAGCTCGACTCCGCTCTGCAGTTGATCCTTTACTTCTTGCAGATTCAGTGTCCGTTCGAACAAGTTTTGGTCGAGCGTATGTTCAGTGGGAAGAAATCCCTGAAAAAAGTTGTTTATGTGTTGATTATGCTGGAAAACGTTTACCTTTTTGTTAACGTACCAGACTTCTCTGGTTTTCAATTTTCCTTCGAGTTGGGCCATTTTTTTCTAATTGTGACGAACCTGTGAAAAAAAAACAAGTTAAATTCACGATAAACAATAGGAAGCGCTTTAATTTAAAGAAATATTGATAACAAACCCTCCTCCCAGTTGGAAAAGACTGAAAAGGAGAATTGACTGGAATGCAGCTGGTGAGAGAGAGAGATGCCAACGCCAGAGACAGATGTTCTCGGATAGGGGGCCCTGCCGGTGTGAGCTGTCGCCAACCAGTAGAAAAAGGGGGTATGTCGTGTTGGAAAAAAAGCAAATTTGCAGATGTTGCCACTACTGTAGTTTGTACTTGTAAAGTACGTCGTGAAAAGCGTCTTTGTTCGCTCTAAAAATTGATATGTGTGAAAAAAGATGGGCGGCTTTGATGGAAAGAAATGTTATAGTTTGAATCAACGGAGGAGGGGGGAAAGCACAGCTACAGAGGAAAGTGATGGGCATTGGAAGTCTGCTAGGATCATGAATGCCTTCTGTGAATTAGTTTAGTTACCACACGACGCCCGCGTGCCGGAGTGACAATACGAAGAAAGAAAATAGAAGGCTCTGGAAGAAAAAAAGGGGAGTGACTTAATTTCGCAAACATTAGAAGGATATGTTTTGAAAACATTGGCACTACCGTAGTCAAATTGATTATTGTGAAAGCGGAAGACGACAAGCAGACACGTGAATGACACGAACCGTTCCGACCGGGGAGAGAGAGAGACAACGAGGAAGAGAAAAAGCGAACGCGCGAGGAGGGGGGGAGGAGCAAGGCGAATGATTTGATGACTAATATTACCAGGAATCAGAGAGGGAATCGAAAACAATTTACATTGGGAGAGGGAGACTTGGCAATAGACACGTCAAGCCGCGGAAACGTGAGACGTATGATGACAAGCTGTTCATTTGGAAAGACGAGCCGACAGCTCCATGGGCGTGCGTACAGTCTCTGCTAGTTGTAATAAACAAAGCTCCGGAAGACCGCAAGCCAGTAGAGAAAAGGGATAGGAATAATAGGGGAAAGTATGCGTTTGTGCAGTCGGAGACTCTGCGACACGTCGACAGAATGGGGAAAGAGGCTGATTTCATAATGTAAATAGCCTCATAAAAAACCGCTATGACCGCTTTGGAAATGTCATTGTTTCACCGGAATACTGTGGTTCATGGGAAAATTACAGTAGAACATTTCGTAGAAAACAAACATGAGGCACAACGGAGAAAAAACAGATTGAGTATACCAAGGTCGCTTTCTGGGATGATGAGCGATTTCTACCCAAATGAATCAGGCGGAGGCGGAGTCGTTTCAGCTACCACACGACGCCTGCTTGTCGCAGTGACGAAGGGAAGAAAGAGAAAAGAAATAGAAGACTCTGGAAGAAAGAAAGAGGAGTGACTGAATTTCGCATACATTGGAGGGCTATGTTTTGAAAACATTGGCACTACCGTAGTCAAATTGATCATAGCGAAAACGGAAGACGAAAAACAGACACGTGAATGACACGAACCATTCCGACCGGGAGAGAGAGAGAGCGAGGAAAGGAGAGAGCGAACCCGCGAGGAGGGTGATAGCGGGGAGCAGGGGAAATGATCTGATGACTAATATTACCAGGAATCAGAAGGGGATTCGAAAACAATTTACATTGGGAGAGGGAGACTTGGCAATAGACACGTCAAGCCGCGGAAGCGCGAGATGTATGGTGACAAGCTGTTCATTTGGAAAGACGAGCCGACAGCTTCATAGCCGTGCGTACAGGCTCTGCTAGTGGTAATAAACACCGCTCCGAAGGACCGCAAGACAGTAGAAAAAACGGATAGGAAGAAAAAGAAAAAGTATCTGTTTGTGCAGTCGAAAACTCTGCGGACACGTCGACAGAATGGGGAAACAGACTGATTCCATAATGTATATAGCCTCATAAAAACGGTTATGACCACTTTGCAAATGTGATTTTTGCGACGGAATACTGTTGTTTATGGGAGACTTACGGTCGAAAAAATCGGAGGAAACAAGCACGGGTCCAAACAGAGAAAAAACCAGAAGATAAAACCCCAAGTGTTCGAGCGATAATTGTCAGTTTTTCACAATATTTAGGCATCAACGCTACACCAAATGAAGCAAGTGGGTCACCGAACCAATTCTCACATTCGGGGACCACAAGTGTTGCATCTGGCGATTAGCGGATCACATTTTAAAATCAATTCTTTGATACAAAACATCTCAAACCTCTACACTTCCTATAAACTTTTCTTAGCCGCTCAGTGTGATCGAATCCTGGTGGAGAGGTTATTGAATGTGATCCACATTGCGTGCTGACGGTCCGTGCATCTCCTCCGATGATTGTCGTGGCGCAGGTCCCTCCATTGGCTGAGAAGGCCAATCATCCGTCTCTGTTGTCTTTGAACTCGGCGCTGGCCACTTCTGTAGCTGTAATGATGGCCTATTCGTCTTTTTCAGTGGTTGTGAAGGTGCATCTTCCTCCGTTGGCTGAGAAGGCCGCTCACCCGTCCGTTGTCTTCAAACTCGGCGCTGGCGACTCTTTAAGTCGTGGTGATGGTCCGTGCATCTCCTCCGATGATTGTCGTGGCGCAGGTCCCTCCATTGGCTGAGAAGGCCAATCATCCGTCTCTGTTGTCTTTGAACTCGGCGCTGGCCACTTCTGTAGCTGTAATGATGGCCTATTCGTATTTTTCAGTGGTTGTGAAGGTGCATCTTCCTCCGTTGGCTGAGAAGGCCGCTCACCCGTCCGTTGTCTTCAAACTCGGCGCTGGCGACTCTTTAAGTCGTGGTGATGGTCCGTGCATCTCCTCCGATGATTGTCGTGGCGCAGGTCCCTCCATTGGCTGAGAAGGCCAATCATCCGTCTCTGTTGTCTTTGAACTCGGCGCTGGCCACTTCTGTAGCTGTAATGAGGGCCTATTCGTCTTTTTCAGTGGTTGTGAAGGTGCATCTTCCTCCGTTGGCTGAGAAGGCCGCTCACCCGTCCGTTGTCTTCAAACTCGGCGCTGGCGACTCTTTAAGTCGTGGTGATGGTCCGTGCATCTCCTCCGATGATTGTCGTGGCGCAGGTCCCTCCATTGGCTGAGAAGGCCAATCATCCGTCTCTGTTGTCTTTGAACTCGGCGCTGGCCACTTCTGTAGCTGTAATGAGGGCCTATTCGTCTTTTTTTCAGTGGTTGTGAAGGTGCATCTTCCTCCGTTGGCTGAGAAGGCCGCTCACCCGTCCGTTGTCTTCAAACTCGGCGCTGGCGACTCTTTAAGTCGTGGTGATGGTCCGTGCATCTCCTCCGATGATTGTCGCGGCGCAGGTCTCTCCATTGGCTGAGAAGGCCAATCATCCGTCTCTGTTGTCTTTGAACTCGGCGCTGGCCACTTCTGTAGCTGTAATGATGGCCTATTCGTATTTTTTTTCAGTGGTTGTGAAGGTGCATCTTCCTCCGTTGGCTGAGAAGGCCGCTCACCCGTCCGTTGTCTTCAAACTCGGCGCTGGCGACTCTTTAAGTCGTGGTGATGGTCCGTGCATCTCCTCCGATGATTGTCGCGGCGCAGGTCCCTCCATTGGCTGAGAAGGCCAATCATCCGTCTCTGTTGTCTTTGAACTCGGCGCTGGCCACTTCTGTAGCTGTAATGAGGGCCTATTCGTCTTTTTTTCAGTGGTTGTGAAGGTGCATCTTCCTCCGTTGGCTGAGAAGGCCGCTCACCCGTCCGTTGTCTTCAAACTCGGCGCTGGCGACTCTTTAAGTCGTGGTGATGGTCCGTGCATCTCCTCCGATGATTGTCGTGGCGCAGGTCCCTCCATTGGCTGAGAAGGCCAATCATCCGTCTCTGTTGTCTTTGAACTCGGCGCTGGCCACTTCTGTAGCTGTAATGATGGCCTATTCGTATTTTTTTCAGTGGTTGTGAAGGTGCATCTTCCTCCGTTGGCTGAGAAGGCCGCTCACCCGTCCGTTGTCTTCAAACTCGGCGCTGGCGACTCTTTAAGTCGTGGTGATGGTCCGTGCATCTCCTCCGATGATTGTCGTGGCGCAGGTCCCTCCATTGGCTGAGAAGGCCAATCATCCGTCTCTGTTGTCTTTGAACTCGGCGCTGGCCACTTCTGTAGCTGTAATGAGGGCCTATTCGTCTTTTTCAGTGGTTGTGAAGGTGCATCTTCCTCCGTTGGCTGAGAAGGCCGCTCACCCGTCCGTTGTCTTCAAACTCGGCGCTGGCGACTCTTTAAGTCGTGGTGATGGTCCGTGCATCTCCTCCGATGATTGTCGTGGCGCAGGTCCCTCCATTGGCTGAGAAGGCCAATCATCCGTCTCTGTTGTCTTTGAACTCGGCGCTGGCCACTTCTGTAGCTGTAATGAGGGCCTATTCGTCTTTTTTTCAGTGGTTGTGAAGGTGCATCTTCCTCCGTTGGCTGAGAAGGCCGCTCACCCGTCCGTTGTCTTCAAACTCGGCGCTGGCGACTCTTTAAGTCGTGGTGATGGTCCGTGCATCTCCTCCGATGATTGTCGTGGCGCAGGTCCCTCCATTGGCTGAGAAGGCCAATCATCCGTCTCTGTTGTCTTTGAACTCGGCGCTGGCCACTTCTGTAGCTGTAATGAGGGCCTATTCGTCTTTTTCAGTGGTTGTGAAGGTGCATCTTCCTCCGTTGGCTGAGAAGGCCGCTCACCCGTCCGTTGTCTTCAAACTCGGCGCTGGCGACTCTTTAAGTCGTGGTGATGGTCCGTGCATCTCCTCCGATGATTGTCGTGGCGCAGGTCCCTCCATTGGCTGAGAAGGCCAATCATCCGTCTCTGTTGTCTTTGAACTCGGCGCTGGCCACTTCTGTAGCTGTAATGAGGGTCTATTCGTCTTTTTCAGTGGTTGTGAAGGTGCATCTTCCTCCGTTGGCTGAGAAGGCCGCTCACCCGTCCGTTGTCTTCAAACTCGGCGCTGGCGACTCTTTAAGTCGTGGTGATGGTCCGTGCATCTCCTCCGATGATTGTCGTGGCGCAGGTCCCTCCATTGGCTGAGAAGGCCAATCATCCGTCTCTGTTGTCTTTGAACTCGGCGCTGGCCACTTCTGTAGCTGTAATGAGGGCCTATTCGTCTTTTTCAGTGGTTGTGAAGGTGCATCTTCCTCCGTTGGCTGAGAAGGCCGCTCACCCGTCCGTTGTCTTCAAACTCGGCGCTGGCGACTCTTTAAGTCGTGGTGATGGTCCGTGCATCTCCTCCGATGATTGTCGTGGCGCAGGTCCCTCCATTGGCTGAGAAGGCCAATCATCCGTCTCTGTTGTCTTTGAACTCGGCGCTGGCCACTTCTGTAGCTGTAATGAGGGCCTATTCGTCTTTTTCAGTGGTTGTGAAGGTGCATCTTCCTCCGTTGGCTGAGAAGGCCGCTCACCCGTCCGTTGTCTTCAAACTCGGCGCTGGCGACTCTTTAAGTCGTGGTGATGGTCCGTGCATCTCCTCCGATGATTGTCGCGGCGCAGGTCCCTCCATTGGCTGAGAAGGCCAATCATCCGTCTCTGTTGTCTTTGAACTCGGCGCTGGCCACTTCTGTAGCTGTAATGAGGGCCTATTCGTCTTTTTCAGTGGTTGTGAAGGTGCATCTTCCTCCGTTGGCTGAGAAGGCCGCTCACCCGTCCGTTGTCTTCAAACTCGGCGCTGGCGACTCTTTAAGTCGTGGTGATGGTCCGTGCATCTCCTCCGATGATTGTCGTGGCGCAGGTCCCTCCATTGGCTGAGAAGGCCAATCATCCGTCTCTGTTGTCTTTGAACTCGGCGCTGGCCACTTCTGTAGCTGTAATGAGGGCCTATTCGTCTTTTTCAGTGGTTGTGAAGGTGCATCTTCCTCCGTTGGCTGAGAAGGCCGCTCACCCGTCCGTTGTCTTCAAACTCGGCGCTGGCGACTCTTTAAGTCGTGGTGATGATCCGTGCATCTCCTCCGATGATTGTCGTGGCGCAGGTCCCTCCATTGGCTGAGAAGGCCAATCATCCGTCTCTGTTGTCTTTGAACTCGGCGCTGGCCACTTCTGTAGCTGTAATGAGGGCCTATTCGTCTTTTTCAGTGGTTGTGAAGGTGCATCTTCCTCCGTTGGCTGAGAAGGCCGCTCACCCGTCCGTTGTCTTCAAACTCGGCGCTGGCGACTCTTTAAGTCGTGGTGATGGTCCGTGCATCTCCTCCGATGATTGTCGTGGCGCAGGTCCCTCCATTGGCTGAGAAGGCCAATCATCCGTCTCTGTTGTCTTTGAACTCGGCGCTGGCCACTTCTGTAGCTGTAATGAGGGCCTATTCGTCTTTTTCAGTGGTTGTGAAGGTGCATCTTCCTCCGTTGGCTGAGAAGGCCGCTCACCCGTCCGTTGTCTTCAAACTCGGCGCTGGCGACTCTTTAAGTCGTGGTGATGATCCGTGCATCTCCTCCGATGATTGTCGTGGCGCAGGTCCCTCCATTGGCTGAGAAGGCCAATCATCCGTCTCTGTTGTCTTTGAACTCGGCGCTGGCCACTTCTGTAGCTGTAATGATGGCCTATTCGTCTTTTTCAGTGGTTGTGAAGGTGCATCTTCCTCCGTTGGCTGAGAAGGCCGCTCACCCGTCCGTTGTCTTCAAACTCGGCGCTGGCGACTCTTTAAGTCGTGGTGATGGTCCGTGCATCTCCTCCGATGATTGTCGTGGCGCAGGTCCCTCCATTGGCTGAGAAGGCCAATCATCCGTCTCTGTTGTCTTTGAACTCGGCGCTGGCCACTTCTGTAGCTGTAATGAGGGCCTATTCGTCTTTTTTTCAGTGGTTGTGAAGGTGCATCTTCCTCCGTTGGCTGAGAAGGCCGCTCACCCGTCCGTTGTCTTCAAACTCGGCGCTGGCGACTCTTTAAGTCGTGGTGATGGTCCGTGCATCTCCTCCGATGATTGTCGTGGCGCAGGTCCCTCCATTGGCTGAGAAGGCCAATCATCCGTCTCTGTTGTCTTTGAACTCGGCGCTGGCCACTTCTGTAGCTGTAATGAGGGCCTATTCGTCTTTTTCAGTGGTTGTGAAGGTGCATCTTCCTCCGTTGGCTGAGAAGGCCGCTCACCCGTCCGTTGTCTTCAAACTCGGCGCTGGCGACTCTTTAAGTCGTGGTGATGGTCCGTGCATCTCCTCCGATGATTGTCGTGGCGCAGGTCCCTCCATTGGCTGAGAAGGCCAATCATCCGTCTCTGTTGTCTTTGAACTCGGCGCTGGCCACTTCTGTAGCTGTAATGATGGCCTATTCGTATTTTTCAGTGGTTGTGAAGGTGCATCTTCCTCCGTTGGCTGAGAAGGCCGCTCACCCGTCCGTTGTCTTCAAACTCGGCGCTGGCGACTCTTTAATTCGTGGTGATGGTCCGTGCATCTCCTCCGATGATTGTCGTGGCGCAGGTCCCTCCATTGGCTGAGAAGGCCAATCATCCGTCTCTGTTGTCTTTGAACTCGGCGCTGGCCACTTCTGTAGCTGTAATGAGGGCCTATTCGTCTTTTTCAGTGGTTGTGAAGGTGCATCTTCCTCCGTTGGCTGAGAAGGCCGCTCACCCGTCCGTTGTCTTCAAACTCGGCGCTGGCGACTCTTTAAGTCGTGGTGATGATCCGTGCATCTCCTCCGATGATTGTCGTGGCGCAGGTCCCTCCATTGGCTGAGAAGGCCAATCATCCGTCTCTGTTGTCTTTGAACTCGGCGCTGGCCACTTCTGTAGCTGTAATGAGGGCCTATTCGTCTTTTTTTCAGTGGTTGTGAAGGTGCATCTTCCTCCGTTGGCTGAGAAGGCCGCTCACCCGTCCGTTGTCTTCAAACTCGGCGCTGGCGACTCTTTAAGTCGTGGTGATGGTCCGTGCATCTCCTCCGATGATTGTCGTGGCGCAGGTCCCTCCATTGGCTGAGAAGGCCAATCATCCGTCTCTGTTGTCTTTGAACTCGGCGCTGGCCACTTCTGTTGCTGTAATGAGGGCCTATTCGTCTTTTTTTCAGTGGTTGTGAAGGTGCATCTTCCTCCGTTGGCTGAGAAGGCCGCTCACCCGTCCGTTGTCTTCAAACTCGGCGCTGGCGACTCTTTAAGTCGTGGTGATGGTCCGTGCATCTCCTCCGATGATTGTCGCGGCGCAGGTCCCTCCATTGGCTGAGAAGGCCAATCATCCGTCTCTGTTGTCTTTGAACTCGGCGCTGGCCACTTCTGTAGCTGTAATGATGGCCTATTCGTATTTTTTTCAGTGGTTGTGAAGGTGCATCTTCCTCCGTTGGCTGAGAAGGCCGCTCACCCGTCCGTTGTCTTCAAACTCGGCGCTGGCGACTCTTTAAGTCGTGGTGATGGTCCGTGCATCTCCTCCGATGATTGTCGTGGCGCAGGTCCCTCCATTGGCTGAGAAGGCCAATCATCCGTCTCTGTTGTCTTTGAACTCGGCGCTGGCCACTTCTGTAGCTGTAATGATGGCCTATTCGTATTTTTTTCAGTGGTTGTGAAGGTGCATCTTCCTCCGTTGGCTGAGAAGGCCGCTCACCCGTCCGTTGTCTTCAAACTCGGCGCTGGCGACTCTTTAAGTCGTGGTGATGGTCCGTGCATCTCCTCCGATGATTGTCGCGGCGCAGGTCCCTCCATTGGCTGAGAAGGCCAATCATCCGTCTCTGTTGTCTTTGAACTCGGCGCTGGCCACTTCTGTAGCTGTAATGAGGGCCTATTCGTCTTTTTCAGTGGTTGTGAAGGTGCATCTTCCTCCGTTGGCTGAGAAGGCCGCTCACCCGTCCGTTGTCTTCAAACTCGGCGCTGGCGACTCTTTAAGTCGTGGTGATGGTCCGTGCATCTCCTCCGATGATTGTCGCAGCGCAGGTCCCTCCATTGGCTGAGAAGGCCAATCATCCGTCTCTGTTGTCTTTGAACTCGGCGCTGTCAACTTCTGTAGCTGTAATGATGGTCCGTTCATCTCCTCCGATGATTCCTCCGATGATGACTCCTCCGATCGCGCAAGTCCCTCCGTTGGCTGAGAAGGCCAATCATCCGTGCTCAATGCAGTGGAAGACGTGAGTCTGCAAAAAATAATGTTTTCTAGAAGAAGATTTCGTTACTAATAACTTGTTCGTCTTCTCAAAAATTGAAAATTATGAAGAGTAAATCGGAAAAACATAGGATAGAAATAGGGGATAATTTATTTTCCGAGAGGAGTCCGAGGCGTACTTCTAGTCCCCCAGCCGTTGGTAACACTCCGAGAAGTGTGACGTCATCAATATAAACCAGCATTCAAGTCGTTTTCTCATCGTATCTTCCAGAAAAGAGCAGAATCTCATCAAATTTAACATAATCAAGTTCATTTGAATTAGCCGGATAAAATGGGAAACAAAAGGAAGAATAAGAGAAGAGAGAATTCAATGGGAAAAGAGAACAGGAAAGTGTATTGGACATCAGTTATTTAACAGAAACAATTCTTCCAGCTTTTGCGCGTTCCTCCAATGAATCCTCAGCTTTCGCGACGTGATTCTCGACATTTTCCTCGCACATCATGATCTCCAACGTTCTCCGCACCCGCGCATCACGCTTGTCCTTTGTCGCAATGTGCCGGTGGAATCGCTGGTTTCTCGTCATCAACTTCTTCTTTCGCACATCGTCTGGAGAGCCCGTGTTCGTTTCGGTGTCTGCCGGGTTCTCTCCGCTCGACTCCAACTCGTCACTGTGATGCCAGTAACCACGAACAATTCTGGAAAAGGACAGTTATTCTCAAAAATTCAGAGCGTTCTACTCACTTCAAAGCTTTTGGCTGGGTCCAGATCACTCCTTGGTTCTTTTTGCGGTTGCCGAACAGCTTCCCGACATGGAAATCCGTGTCGTTGTTCAGATTGAAAAGAGAAACCATATTGCGGTTCATTGGGCTCCTCAGATGGCTTGGCATCATGAACTTGCTCGTTTTTGGTGATTTCGGAGTGAATCTCGGAAGTTGACTGGTTCCTATGGATCGTTTCATCACTTTCTTCTGAGCCAATTTTATGGGCATTCCAACAGGATGAATCGTAGAGAGCTTGGGAACAGTTTTCCGGCTGGAATTGTAGAAGCCCCCATTGAACGTCTCGAATTCACGCACTTCGCAATGGGTATTGAAGGTGACGCGTCGTTGCTGGTGTTTTGTCATTGCTGAAAGTAAAGTACAGATGGGAAAGTACGCCGAATGTGTAAGAAAGGGTTGCGAGTCGAGAAGAATCACTCAAGAGGAAATGTTGCCAAAGCCGCCTAGAGAAATCGAAAGTGAACGTGCAAACATGATCAGCGCCGAACTTGTGCAGATTTGTCTACTCATAAACGAGAAAAACACAACAGCAAGTGATAACAGACAAGAAAAACGGATGCGCCTGTCGAAGAAACGGACAAAGATTCAAAATACGGAAGCAGAGGAGCGTGGGGCAGGCGTTACTTCCTCCGCCCAGTCATACCTCCCACCCTTTTTTGTCGGGAGGTTGAGAGACACGAGGTGATGATCATGAAAGGGCGGCAAAGACAGAGAAAGGGTGACTGCATGCCACGTCATACGACTCTCGGTCTGGAGTTGAATATTTGAAAAAAGAGGTGAGAGAAGGCAATTGTAAAGAGAAGGATGAGAAAAGTACATCAAAACAAGTGTGTATTAGTTTGGGTTTAAGACTTCCTTAGCAAATTCATTGAAAAGAAAAGAAAATACGGATTTATTGGGCTGCTCCCAATGTCAAGTAAAAATTGGGATTGATCGACGTGTTTGTTGGGAGAACAGAAGCTCAAAATTGTCTATCGTCTGTTTTCCGCTGTTGCCAGTACACATACATTGTCCTGATAGACAATCTGACGGGAACCGGAGGCTGAAATGGCCCGAGACACTTGAACAAGTTTCCACACGAAAGATGGTGCCTCATGCTGGACTCGAACTAGCGACATTCGGTTTACTAGACAGACGTTTTGCCAGTGAAGTAACAAGTCGTCTAGTTGAAGAGTTATGGCGCCACAATCTAGTAAAGTCGTGAAAAATCCGTCCTGGCGAGCGATAGAGCGAACATGTTTGTCTTTATATCCTGAGTGTCGAGCAACGCAAACGTGTCACGTCGTGGCGCGATATGTTGGCTCGAAGAAGGGACAATGTCAAAAAGAAGGTCTCTGCAAAGGGGCTCTTCAAAAGACTGAAACTCACTGTATTTGTAGACGCTTCTCTTGATGACGGGTTCGTCTTTGCTTTGAGCGCGCGAATCTCTTTTTGGGATGCGGTTGAGAGCGGGGCGCTGGAGTTGTCTTTCCTCGTGATTTTGTCTAATGGATCCGACATCTTGATTCAACTCTGTATCAATTCCTGAAAAAACGTTTATATCGTGACAAACAGAAACAGGAAAAAGCAACTTTGGAGAAGAAAAACGCGAAAAATGATGACGAGCTCTGCCGCAAACATAACAGTAGAGCGTCGAACGCGCCAAAACGGACTGAACGAATAAATTGGTCGGAAAAAAAGAACACTTTCTTTCATGTAATATTTAGTACAAGTGAATGTGATAAAGAAAGGAACGGAAAATGGAGTCTAATCCATGTGATTAAAAATGTCATCGATCACGTAAATCAATGTATAGAAAATATCAAAGTAGACAATGATCTCCAAGAAGATTTTGAAAATGGTGATTAAAAGGTTGTCCTTGGCGATGGCCGGGAGCCCGACGGTTGGGATTCCGGTGTCTGTGACGATGACGATGTTGAAGCTGTAAACGCAGAATTACGGTTGAAAAAGAAGAAGCTAAGGAAGGTTAGTGCGAGACGAGCACAGTACTCGCAAAGATGTTCCATCGGCATTCTTCAAGAAGCCTTTACAAAACTCACGATTTGGTCTTGTCGGTGGGGCAGTTGAGATATCCAAGAAGACGAATGAAGGCGCTCATCTTGACGACAAGTTTCGGGTCGGTGGAAGAGGTCAAGAAGTCCACCGTCTGCAGGTTACACTTGGCGAAGAAAATCGTAGCATTATCAGAACGTTTCCTTTCCATCCTGACTTCCAGGCCTGAAAATGATTGTCTTTCAATCAGTTCCGTCTGATTCGAGGGTCTTTTATGTAGTTATTTTCTACTTCTGTTCTGAGAGTATGCCTAGTCAGAACTCACCCGATTCCATCTGCTTGGTCAACGGGACCTGGTAGCTGTAGGTAGTCATGAACTCCTCCTGCGGGTAGTGGTTGAGGTGAACAACATTCTCGTCGATCAGCCTTTTGACGGGGGCGAGTTCTTCAAGAACCACTTCTGCGATCAAGTTAACAATTATCTGTCCAACAGTGTACTCAGTGGCCGTGATGGCGATTTCAATGCTGCAAACATGTCTTGTTTTGATGAACCTTTCGAAAAAAACGAAATACGGCCCAAGGAAACCATTCCTGAAACTACTATTGATTGATGATGAAATAATGACTCACATAGTTTTGTCTGGAGTTCCGAATCCATTGTTCATTAAGAGAAAATCGAGCCATCCGTCTTGGAAGATGAGATTTTGGTCAGTGATCGGCTTTATATTCCCGAAGACGGCGCGTTCACTGACGAAGAGTTGGAAGTTGATAGGAGCCTTTGCACCAATGAGCATATCGATGGCAAATTTATCTGTTTCCGCTGGAATAGCTTCATTTCTATAAACTACAATTTAAATAATCAGTCTCACCATTGAGGATCAGTTCGGAAATGTCGATACGGAGAGTGACTTCCGTACTGACTTCGAAGCCATGAGAAATCTCCAAAAGTCTGTTGGCGGACACCATAAATGGCATCAGAACCACCAGGGTCCAGGCATTCATTTCGTTCTTTTTGAATGTCGGCTCCAAGTTCTTTCTGAAAATCACAAGATATTTCGACCGGAGAAAACAGAAGAACTGACTGAAATGAGTCATCAGACGGTATTTATACAAGTTTCTCATGAGGGGCGGTGCTTCCTCAACGAAATAGCATTCAATATCGATAGAGAACTCTGCTATTCTTTGAAGCGATTTCATTGAACGAAGTAATTGATTTCAAAGTTCACAGGAGTTCTACCGCTATGAAGGTATGGGTGTATTTCACAAAACACCGGCAATAGCATCTTTGACACAGTGCTGTCCATTGAAACTCTAGGCAAGCCGACTGCCAGCGGCAGGATACGGAAGGGAACGGCATAAAGATGAGACAAATTTACAGTTTTGCACTCATATCATCACAACCAGTGTGTAGGTGTATGAGGAATTCTCGGGCACGGAGGAGAAGACGTCGACAGTGTTATCGAACAGCTGAAAGTGTTTTTTCGGGTCAACGATTCCTTGGACGAGTGTGACAGACATGTCAGTAGGTCTTGACAGTCCTGAAATGCACGTGCTCCACATTCTTAGGCACATCTCGGCGATATTTCATTGGAATTCTTCCTGTACACAACAGTGATCGTAAGTGCATGACCAGGAATGCCGTCAATCTGAAAATATACCACTTTCCGAAAGAATTTTAATTATCTCATGTGCAGTTTAAATCATTTTTCATAGTGTACGTTGAAGATCTCTTGTCGGCTCCGAAGTTCTGATAAATCACTGAAAACGTGATTATCTTGAAGGAAATTACATTAAACATGAGTTGCATCGCTTTTTTGGGAGAATTTCAGTGGTTTCGCAGCTGAAAATAACGAGAATGAGCACCGACAACGGATAAACCACACCAGAATTACGGAATACAAAAATGTCATTTTGTCCGAGGGGAGTCCGAGGCGTGAAAGTCCTAGTCCCCCGGCCGCCGTTGACACGCAGGCAACAAGTTGTGGACAACTGGAAACAAAAAGATTACATCTTCTGCCCGTCATTCCAGTTCGAGAACTAACCTTCGCCATCTTCGTGTTCTTCTTGTCGGATCACAGCAGTCGGAGCATCATTTTTGGGTTTTGCCCCGAAATTTGATAAACAATTTTTTCTTCGGCTTATTCGGATTGTCGTCGTCTTTTTCCTCCTCGTTATTTCAGAGTTTACGATTTTCATTGGCCACGTTGTCTTTTCCAGTTGTTGCCTGCGTGTCAACGGCGGCCGGGGGACTAGGACTTTCACGCCTCGGACTCCCCTCGGACAAGATGGCATTTTTGTATTCCGTAATTCTGGTGTGGTTTTTCCGTTGTCGCTGCTTATTCTCGATATTTTCAGCTGCGAAACCACTGAAATTCTCCCAAAAAAGCGATGTAACTCATATTTAATGTAATTTCCTTCCAGATCGTCACGTTTTCAGTGATTCATCAGAACGGCGTAACCGACAAGAGATCTCCAACGTCCACTATGAAAAATGATTCAAACTGCACGTGAGATAATTAAAAATGTGAAATTCTTTCGGAAAGTGGTGTATTTTCAGATTGATGGCGTTCCTGGGTCGTGCACTCACGATCACTGCTGTGTACAGAAAGAATTCCAATGAAGTATCGCCGAGATGTGCCTGAGGATGTGGAGCACGTGCATTTCAGGACTGTCTAGACCTACTGACATGTCTGTCACACTCGTCCAAGGAATCGTTGATCCGGATTTTACTTTCAGCTGTTCGATAACACTGTCGACGTCTTCGCCAGCGACGACGACATGCGGGATTCGATCGCGTCAGGGTCGAACCCACGCCGAGGAAAGAAGTCGTCTCTAAGTCAAATAAAGCGACACTTCACCCGACAAGCCAACAGGCTGAACAATTTCGACCGGCTTCTTATCGTTTCATCCCCAAGTTCTACCAGTGCTTGCACAAAGTTAGTTTCTTTTGAAAGTTTTTCCCCCAACAAAACAAATTTTCAGATGAACCTGATGGATGCTGTCTTGCGCATCCGAAAGATGAAAGTGCGCTTGCTGAGCAACGAGGAACACGATCGTTTGCTCAGAATCGTTTGGAAGAACTGCAAAGGAGGAGCTGATGCGCAACGACAAGTTATGAGGGGAGATGTTCTGCACGTGAGAACATCCTGTACGTTCTCGTTTCCTGTTACTATTTTTCTAACATTTTTACTCTTTCCCTGTTAGCTCTCTGCATCGCACCTTTTCCTGTCATGTTTCTTTTCCCTTTCATGGTTTTTACAAGGTTCTCGTTTTTACAATAAATTTTCAAGGAACCAAAATCCTTTTCATGTTTATTTGTTTTAATGTAGAACACATTTTTCAGATATGTCTTTCTGATTCTTGTTCCCATCCCTTCTAGCAATTTTCCATAATTTTCGGCAGCAGAAACTCAACAAAAACTTATCAATTCCTCTCCGTTTTCTGCCTCGGTGCAATCAAACCGTTATCTTTCTTTTAGGATGGGTAATAAAGTCTAACGAGAACTGTTAACAGGCAGTAATAGCTGTTTATGAATGAAAATGATGTCTTTCATTCAACCGGTGACTTCGTTTTCATAATTCCGCTTTCGGTTTCAAGTTTTAGATTCTGAATTCATTCACGCTTTCTGAAGAAATGGCTGAAAACAGATGCAGTTTAGAATCAAATAGCATCGGTCAAACCGAGATGTAAGACGACTTGCCAGTAATCCTGCCATGCTTTCATTTCAGAGCTCCCATTGAATTAAAATGTAAACCAGGGCTCCTCTTTGTCCCTCTACAATCCATGGATCCAGAAAACATTCTCGAACTTGCCGCAGAGTATCCAGTAGGACTTCTTCTCTCAACCCCAACATCTACCGACCATTTCCATGAAGAAGTTCTGTTGATGAAAGTTTTCGACAAAGTGAACATCATGCCCGAAGTGATCGGATCGGGCAGTCTTCAAATTGCCAAGGGAAACGTTTGGAGGGAAAACGGAGATATCAAAATGATTTTGAAGATGAACGGTGAAAATAAAGCTAACTCTGAAAAGGAGAAAGAAGAAGATGGCCCCATTGATGAAAACAATTCCAACTCCCATGATTCCGAGGACGAAATGCCAGTGCTTGAGAAAGAAATCGATTCAGAATTCCGGGAGTCGACGAATGAAAAGGAACTGCCACCTCAATTGACGGCAGCAGAACCGCTCACGCCTCGTCAAATCAAAAGTGGTCAGTTTACTTTTGATTGTAGACTCAATCGAGATATCATGGCCGACATCGTGGCCCAATACGTCGGGAAATCCAAATGCTATGTGAAACGATACATTGAGAGGAACTTCAATCGACTCTTCGGAGAGGCCATGGAGAAGTTGCTGTCAGCAGTGAACGAATATACTCGGCAGCAGTCCCAAGCTGCTCGGACTCCACGTGATTCACTGCCGGACGCTCATCAAAGCGAAGAAAATGGTGGCCAACAATTGAATCAGGTTGCAGAAGGCTCTGCGGATGGCATTCCGGTCAACACGATTTTTCAGACCAAAATCCAGAGAAATGGACCAATTCGACACAAAAAGGTACGAAGTGAATGAAATTCTTTCAATTTTCCACCCGTTTCTTGAATTCACAGGCATCGTGCTCAAAACTGAATCGACTCGGACCGTTTACGCGACCGTCGGCTCGAGAGTGGACCAATTCAGCAAACATTCCATGTTCAGAATGAATAATATATTGAGAAAAATGAAATATTATAATATGCGATAATATGCGAATAGAAGATTAGAAAAAATTAGAAAATAGAAAATTTCACCATTAATGGCTCAGGTGCGACGAAGAGTTCGTGAAACGTTCATAGAGCTGGATCCTTGATTTGAGTCATTCAAGTGACAATCTGAAAAATGTGAGCCTGTCCCATAGAAAATCTTCATAGAATTTACCCGTCTCCTTTTGGATTTAGGCTCTGCTGGTGCAGCTTGCCGGAACATTTTTCCGGACCGAAGGCGGCTCCTCTTCTCCACCAATTGAGCTTGCTCCGAGGGTTGGACCTTCCTATCGAGGAGTTCTGAGACTTCGGATCTCCTCGCCTAAAAACAAAATTTTTGTTGGAAATAATACTGCATTGCTTGTGCCTAAGTAACACCATCTCTAAGTTCAGTTGTATTTTCCCAGTCACCTGACAAAAAATCGGAAGCGATCTAAAATACAACAGCAAATCTCAAACTGTAGCAGTCCCCGTCTCTGTCTCTGTCTCTGAGGATATTAACAAATCTTACTCTTTTTCTTTTCGCTCCTCCCATTGCTTCAACTACTGCGATCGGCGGTGGCTGCGGAACAATTTCGAGCCCTTCGACATTTGGAGGAACAGGAATGGGATCCTCCATTAGGACTACTGGTTCCGCAACAGCTGGCGCAATCTGAGCAACGTTGTTCGTTGAATTATCAACGTTGTTCGTTGAATTATCAACGTTGTTCGTTGAATTATCAACGTTGTTCGTTGAATTATCAAAGTTGTTCGTTGAATTATCAACGTTGTTCGTTGAATTATCAACGTTGTTCGTTGAATTATCAACGTTGTTCGTTGAATTATCAACGTTGTTCGTTGAATTATCAACGTTGTTCGTTGAATTATCAACGTTGTTCGTTGAATTATCAACGTTGTTCGTTGAATTATCAACGTTGTTCGTTGAATTATCAACGTTGTTCGTTGAATTATCAACGTCGAAATTTTGCAGGACTACTTCCTCAGCTCTCGGTTCAGGAAGTAATGCTGGCCGAACTCTTCTACGTGCTCGAGCAGACATATTCGACAGTGTTCGAGGCTGTCTGGTGATCTGGCCTTCTAATCCTGCCAATCTGGCTAGCTCCATTTCACGAACAGCTCCGGCGAGAATATTTCCAACTCTTGATTCAACGGTATCCATTCTCTCCGGTTGCTTGAATCGAGGACGAGTTTCTTCAATGAGTAGTTCACTGATGTTTATCTCACGCGCGTCTTGTATATTATAGATTTCTTCGGGTGGAATAGGAATGCGGGCTTCCGATCTTTGCCTGTTTCTCTCAGCCAAGCCAGGAATAGGGCCTAAGGTGGGCTGATTGGTGGCATCTTCATTCGATTGAAGAAATCCTCCACGAGCAACTTGCATCGCATTGGAAATTTCTTTAACAGGGGAATTTCGTATGAGGACAGACGTTGTCCTAAAGTGATTGTCTGCATTGGAAGCATGCTGTGCAATGCTGGCATCTCGATTCGACTGATCTCTGTTCACATCCTGACTTGCGGGGATCTGTAAAAATTAATTCTGCACAAGAAAAATTTGGTACGTTCGAGCCATTATAAGCATGGATCATTGACTCAATACCGGTTTCCGGGATTTCAAAACAACGAGGCTTGCACAACTTAGGCCCCATGAAACTATCCGTCTTTTAACTTGTTCATTAAACTTCTGAAATATAATGTGACTATTTTATAGAGGCCTTGAATTGTTTTATGGGAACCTAATGGTGCAAAACTTAAATTAAGTTGCCGGAAGATTTTCAAGGAACTCGAAAACCGTAATTGTGCCAAATTATGCGTTAAACGAAATTTCGAATGTCACCGAGCCATTGGCTCGCTATTCTGTGCCCGTTCCATAGAAAAATTTCACAGAATTTACCTTTATCTTTTTTGCTTGTGGAACGACTGATTGCGGCACGGTCGCAGCTGTCTGTTCAGCCTGACGAATCTCATTTAAACTGTTCAGCATCATTTCACGGGAAAATTCGCCGAGCATATCACCAATTCTTGATTGAACGGTATCCATTCTCTCCGGTTGTAATCGTTCCATGAATCGAGAACGAACTTCTTCAGTGACTAGTTCATTGATGTTACTCTCACGCGCGTCTTCCATATTATAGATTTCTTCGGGTGGAATAGGAATGCGAGCTTCCGATCCTTGCCTGTATCTCTCAGCCAAGTCAGGAATAGGGCCTAAGGTGGGCTGATTGGTGGCATCTTCATTCGATTGAAGAAATCCTCCATGAGCAACTTGCATCGCATTAGAAAATTCTTTAACAGGGGAATTTCGCATGAGGACAGACGTTGTTCTAAAGCGATTGTCTGCATTCGAAACATTCTGTGCAGTGCTGGAATCTCGATTCGACTGATCTCTGTTCACATCCTGACTCACATCCTGACTCGCGGGGATCTGTAAAAATAATTTCTGCGCAAAAAACATTTGGTACGTTCGAGTCATTATAAGAATGGATCATGGGCTCAATACCGGTTTTCGGGATTTCAAAACAACGAGGCTTACACAACTTGGGCCCCATGAAACTATCCGTCTTTTAACTTGTCCATTAAAACTTCTGAAAAATAGTTCGACTATTTTATAGAGGCCTTGAATTGTTTTATGGGAACGGAATGGTGCAAAACCCAAATTAAGTTGCCGGAAGTTTTTCAAAGAACTCGAAAACCGTAATTGTGTCTAATTTTGCGTTAAATGAAATTTCGAATGTCATCGAGCCATTGGCTCGCTAGCAGAGTTGAGCGGAAATGGAATTTTAAAATCCGGAAGACAGCAGACGCCTGACGGAAGATAATGTTTTTTACGGAACACGGAAAACGGAAGACGGAAGAAAAATTTTCTCCCGGAAGACGGAACAAAAAAATCGTCAATGCAGAACCTTTTTCTCCGGTTTTTAAAAAAAATAACTAAACCACAAAAAATTTTGGATCTAGGTCACTGCCCGTGGAAATTCGCGTTCTTCGGGGCTAGTAAATGGCTTCTGAAAAGCTATTGCTCTTTTACGGTAAGAAGAAAAAATCCCGGAAGACGGAAGAAAAATTTGTTTACGGAAGACGGCAGACGGAAGACGGAAGAAAAAAATCCACGGAAGACGGAAGACGGAAGACGGCAGACGGAATTTCGCTCAACTCTGCTCGCTAGTCTGTGCCCGTCCCATAGAAAAATTTTACAGAATTTACCTTTATCTTTTTTGCTTGTTGCATTTCTGTTGGTTGTGGAGCAACTGATTCCGGCACGGTCGCAGCTGTCTGTTCAGCCTGACGAATCTCATTTAAGCTGTTCAGCATCATTTCACGGGAAAATTCGCCGAGCATATCACCAATTCTTGATTGAACGGTATCCATTCTCTCCGGTTGTAATAGTTCCATGAATCGAAAACGAGCTTCTTCAGTGACTAGTTCATTGATGCTACTCTCACGCGCGTCTTCCATATTATAGATTTCTTCGGATGGAATAGGAAGGCGGGTTTCCGATCTTTTCCTGTTTCTCTCAGCCAAGTCAGGAATAGGGCCTAAGGTGGGCTGATTGGTGGCATCTTCATTCGATTTAAGAAACCCTCCATGAGCAACTTGCATCGCATTAGAAAATTCTTTAACAGGAGAATTTCGTTTGAAGACAGGCGTTGTCCGAAAGTGATTGTCTGTATTCGAAACATGCTGTGCAATGCTGGCATCTCGATTCGACTGATCTCTGTTCACATCCTGACTCACATCCTGACTCGCGGGGATCTGTAAAAATTAAATCTGAGCAAAAAAATTTGGTACGTTCGAGTCATTATAAGCATGGATCATGGGCTCAATACCGGTTTTCGGGATTTAAAAAAACGAGGCTTACACAGCTTGGGCCCCATGAAATAATCCGTCTTTTAACTTGTCCATTAAACATCTCAAATATAATGTGACTATTTTATAGAGGCCTTGAATTGTCAAAACCAGGGCTGGGCAATTGGCCGGCCCGGGCTTTTCGTTGGCCGACCATTGACCTGGACATTTGAACCACTTGCAATATTCCGATCGGACCCAAACTTTCCAGGATTGTTGAACTTGGATTGAGGGCTAGTGGGAACAAGTTTCAGCCCGATCGGATCGTCGGGTCTCGAGATATGTGGATCATTGGCCGATTTTTTTCCAAAAACCCGGGCTTACGGCCAATTTCGGCCAATGATCCACATATCTCGGAACCAGATGATCCGATCGGGCTGAAACTTGGTCCCAGTATGCTTCAACCCATGTCCAAGAAGCCTGCAAAGTTTGGGTTCGATCGGAATATTGAAAGTAGTTCAAATGTCCAGGTCAATGGTCGGCCAACGAAAAGCCCGTGCCGGCCAATTGCCCAGCCCTGTTCAAAACCCGAATTAAGCTGCCGGAAGATTTTCAAGGAACTCGAAAACCGTAATTGTGCCAAATAATGCGCTAAATGAAATTTCGAATGTCACCGAGCCATTGGCACGCTATTCTCTGCCCGTCCCATAGAAAATGTTCACAGAATTTACCTTTATCTTTTTTGCTTGTTGCTTTTCTGTTGGTTGTGGAACAACTGATTGCGGCACGGTCGCAGCTGTCTGTTCAGCCTGACGAATCTCATTTAAACTGTTCAGCATCATTTCACGGGAAAATTCGCCGAGCATATCACCAATTCTTGATTGAACGGCGTCCATTCTCTCCGGTTGTAATCGTTCCTTGAATCGAGAACGAGCTTCTTCAGTGGCTAGTTCATTGATGTTAATCTCACGCGCGTCTTCCATACTATAAATTTCTTCGGGTGGAATAGGAAGGCGGGTTTCCGATCTTTGCCTGTATCTCTCAGCCAAGCCAGGAATAGGGCCTACGGTGGGCTGATTGGTGGCATCTTCATTCGATTTAAGAAATCCTCCATGAGCAACTTGCATCGCATTGGAAAATTCTTTAACAGGGGAATTTCGTTTGAGGACAGTCGTTGTCCTAAAGTGATTGTCTGTATTCGAAACATGCTGTGCAGTGCTGGAATGATCTCTGTTCACATCCTGACTCACATCCTGACTCGCGGAGATCTGTAAAAATTAATTCTGCGCAAAAAACATTTGGTACGTTCGAGCCATTATAAGCATGGATCATTGGCTCAATATCGGTTTCCGGGATTTAAAAACAACGAGGCTTACACAACTTGGGCCCCATGAAACTATCCGTCTTTTAACTTGTCCATTAAACTTCTGAAAAAATAGTCCGGCTAAATTATGCGTTAAATAAAATTACGAATGACACCGAGCCATTGGCTCGCTATTCTCTGCCCGTCCCATAGAAAATGATCACAGAATTTACCATTATCTTTTTTGCTTGTTGCTTTTCTGTTGGTTGTGGAACAACTGATTCCGGCACGGTCGCAGCTGTCTGTTCAGCCTGACGAATATCATTTAAACTGGTCAGCATCATTTCACGGGAAAATTCGCCGAGCATATCATCAATTCTTGTTTGAACGGTCTCCGTTTTCTTCGGTATTAATGGTCTCTTGAATCGAGGACGAGCTTCTTCAGCGATTAGCTGATCGGCGTGAATCTCACACGCGTCTTCCATGTCAAAGATTTCTTCGGGTGGCAAAGGAATGCGGGCATCCGCTCTTTGCCTGTATCTTTCAGGCAAATCAGAAATAGGACCTAAGGTGAGCTGATCGGTGGTGGCATCTTCATTTGATTCAAGAAATCCTTCGTAAGCAACTCGCATCGCTTTAGAAAGTTCCTTATAACGGGACTTTTGATAAAGGACAGACGCTATCCCCAAGCGAATTTTTGCATTCGAAAGATTCGCCGCGCTGGATTCTTGAATCTTGTGTTTTCCGTTCACATCCTGACCAGCGAGGCCCTGAAAAACTAAATTATAAGGAAAATGAGCAATAGTCATCACCTTCTGATATTGGTTTTGTGAATTCTTGCTTTCTACTCTTTGCATCTGTTTCGTAGGATGTTGTGTAATGGAGGTGTTTGGGCCTTTTCCTGGAGGACAGACGGGATCGGACATTGCAATACGGGAAACCTTAAAAAAGAATATGATGATACAAGCAGTTGGCGGAATACTCACGTTATAGTACTCTGGTTTTTTTGGTTTTTCTATAACCGATCCATCGAACATTACTGGCCGGGACGGCTGAGCTGTTAAAGGCCTAGATGTTGCCCGAGATGAAGAACCTTGCGGCGCTGGTGGATCTTGTGCTACTGATGATTGACGGATGACAACTTGTTGATGCTGGCGGTTTTGCAGATTGTCCATTGTTATAAATCCAACTGGCACAATGCGAGATACTGGGGCGCCTGGGATCGGGCGCGGAGCAATCATGACATATCTTGAGGGCGGCGGCGATTGAGAAGGCGTTGAACTTTGACGTGCAGCGTGATGCTGTTGATTACGCTGCATTGGAGGCACAAATTGTTGCGGTATCTTCTGTGAATCATTGTCAGTGAGTTGCTGATGATCTCCACGATTGCTTGCTTGCTGTAACTGTCGGTTGCGCTTGACTATTTCCTGATTTCTCGGCAGGACTGGATCTGAAATTTTTTGCAGAGCTGCCAGTTTCTGTGCGGTAACTTGTGGATCGTAATAATCCAGAGATGCTCTTTTCGATTGTACGTCCATCGGCGTCAGCGAAGACGAAGTACTTTGGAAGTTAGTTGAGTTCGGCATAGTAGGAGCGCCTGTACTTCTTCCCGCCAGAGCGTTTGGAGCGTTTGGAGTAATCGGAGTTGAAGCGGAAGCGGCAGTTGCAGCCATTTTTTGATGAATCGCCCACAAAACTGGATCCGGCTCGTCTCGACGTGAAATGTAGTGACCCGGAATGATACGACGATTTGGAACAGCAACACTTTTTTTGGAACTGTAGCTCGATGAACTTGTTGGATTGTGACTTCTGAGTTTTGCCATGAGAAAAGCACGCACAGTCGGACCTTCGAATGATGAGTCCTTATCCAAGTTGTCGTCGCGATCTACCTCCATCGGTTCTTCAGCTTGCAAAACTGGAGCTGCTTCCATCTCGATGACTTCCTCTTTCTCGATTGGTGCTTGCACTGCCGGACTTGTCGTTTCCATCTGCAGCTTGTTCATAGCAAACATCTTAGTCTCTGATTGCGTAGATCGTCGTGGGTATTGACTGTCGCGACAATTGGATGGAATCACTTCGCAGTTGAAGGGGGCAGTCGCAGCCATCATCTTCTTTGGTTCCCCAACTTCCGGTACATCAGCTCTCGGCTTGGTAAGTATTGCTGAACAAAGTGTTGCAGGCACTTGAACGTGTGGAGCAGTAGGAACGGGATCGTCCATTTGAAGCGGTTCTGCAGCAGCTTCTTCTTCCGGTACAATCTTGTGCGGAATGCCTTTTCTGCGAGCAGCACCTCTGAGTTTGGGCGTTCCAGATTGTTTTTCATCAATTCTGGTGATTTGGTCTTCCAATCCTGCAAATCTGGCCATCTCCATTTCACGAACAGCTAAGGCGAGAATATCATGAATTCTGGATTGAGTTGTCTCCTTTCTCTCCGGTATTGATGGTCCCTTGAATCGAAGACGAGCTTCCTCAGTGAGTGAGTTTGTTATTGACGCTGAAAAACTTATTGCAACTGATTGCACAAATCTTCTAGGGTACTGACCACAGTTTTGGAACAATACTTCCTCGATCTCCACTTCTTCCGGTACAATCTTCTGCGGAATGCCTTTTCTGCGAATAGCGTTTTTGATTTCAGGCACTCTCAATTGCTTTCCATTTTTTCTGATAATCTGATTTTCTAATCCTGCGTTAGCAGTTTGCATCGTTTCGGAAGATTCCATAACAAGAGTATTTTGCTTGGGGCCAGTCGTTGTTCTAGAGCAAGTATTTGGATTGAAAGCATTGGTCGCGTTGACTTCTTGATTTAAGTGCTTGCTGTTCACATCCTGACTCGTTAAGATCTGAAAAAAAAGTGAATTCTGAGCATTTCTTTTGTAGGATATTAGTTTTTTAAAAGCTAGCTATTAGGACTTACCGATATTTTTGTGGCTGGTGGTTTTTCCATCGGCTGTGAAACAGCTGATTTCGTCAAGATCTGAATTGGCTCGTCAGCAGCACAATTCACCGTTGGCTGAGACAAACTCGTTGCTTCTATTATTTGATCCAGCTTCTCGACCATCAGACCCTCAACTTTCAGGTTCTCAACTTTTATTCGGCAATAGCTGTGTTCCTCAGCCATTATTTCCATAGCCTCCAGCTTTTCAACTTTTAGTCGGCAATTGTTATGTCTCTCATTCATCAATTCCACAGTGTCCGGTTCAGTGAGTGATTCTACCTTCAATCTTCTGGCGAAATCGGAAATACGACCAGCGGGGAACTGAATCGAGTCGTCAGCATTCCATTTACGAATCCCTGCGTGGGCATCTGGGCGCATTTCGGGTGGTGGTGGAGCAAAGGCATGTGTTTCGCCAGAACGCAACAGGGGCGCTGTTTTAGAGATGTGAGCTTGATCCTCGGAATCCACCGGCTCCAGCTTTATCGTCTTAAAAACTAAATTGCTGTGGGAAACATTTTGAGGATACGCGAACAAATCACGAACTATGACTTGGGCACGTCCTACCTCTTCTTCTTTTGGAGAAGGTATTTGCAATTCTTACCCGTCTCTGTTGTTTCTCAAATTTTTGTAGAATGTGTGATTCCGGCACCGCCGCATCCGTTGCTGACCCATTGGAACTTGTTTGAAGTGGTTGAGTGAATCCAATGAATCCTGCACCAGCTGGGACGACTGTTTCCGTGGATCCGAGCGGACGTACACGCTCTTTGTGTCTTTCCGTGTCACTCGAATCGGCTTGCCTCATTTTGAGACCTCTTTTCAAGACACGACCTGAAATTAAATAGGATTTACGGAATACGTGTGTTCCATCGAACAGAAATCTAATGAGAAAAAAGCGATATTCCCATAATTTTTGGGAGAACTGCGGGAGTAAAATTTGGCTTATAAATAGGGACCGCAGAGTCTTCTGAGTGTTACTAAAAACTCAAAATCCAGAGAATTTGTTTGGGGGCATTATACGAGTTCCTTAACACATTCTAACAAAAAAACAAGGCGGTCATCACTGAAATTTGCCCTGTACAACGAAGGTGTTTAGCGGGATGAGGTCAAAAATAAGGCTGTTTGATTAGGATTCTGACTTCAAAAATGGATTCCCCACATGAAGAACTGTCGGAAACCATCTTTCCGTATAGTGTTCTCGACCTAGAAGGCCCCGAAATCTGCTACTCTTAAAAATAGTCGGGAAAAATTGCAGTTTTTCAGTTCGCCAGCCAAACTGGACATTTCCAGCTGAATCTGAATTTATAATCGAATTCTACAGGCTCGATTACATAGGGTTCGGTCAAAATGGAGAAAGTGTGCTTTTTTCGCAACCATCAATCAATCGGCTGGCGCGTGCTTTTCGTAATGTGATGACTCGCGGACCGTTGACCTTGTTCCATGCGCCTGTTCGTGGTAAGACCTGTCGTTTAAGTAAGTTTGGAGTGTTGTACGGCCCGGAATATAGCGACGAATTTACCGGATTGGATATTTGAATAATTCCCTGTTTTAATTTTTCAAAAAGTTTACCATTTTCGATTTTTTTTTTGACGCGAGACGTTTATTGAAACAAAAAAATCAGTAAATTCACAGGAGAAGAAGGGATAAGCGCACTGCAGTCAATTTTTTTTGGGGGTTGTCGTTAAAAACGAATGTTAAAAGTGAAAAAAAAAGCGAGAGCGAAAATAACTAATGAAGCAAGCAGGATACATTACGAGAAAAACGATTTTCGCTATTTTTTGACCCAGGGCTGAACAATTGAAGTTGTTAAGTGAATGAAGGAAAAGAAAATTAACTGAACTTATGGAATACTAATTGTTTATCCGTTGCTGTTCCTCCGCAGCCAGCAATCTTCGTTGATAATCCTTGATTTTTTCGTTATAGTCGTACCGATTGTACTCGTTCACCGCCAACTTTATATTTCTCTGGATCTTGTTGAGAACCCCGTAGGGTAGATTGAACTTGTCTATATCCTTGTTGATCACGAAAAAATCTTCCATCACGGTGCCATCAATGAGCTCCTTTTTCAGAATGGCGAAAAGATTGTCGTGCGGTGGTTCAATGAAGGTGGCAAACCAGTTCATCATGTCGGTCACCTGAAAGAATCATTGTTTAGCGGACTTGTGCAAAATCGATTCGGCCCGGACCCATTTTTGCCTCAAAGTTTTTGAAAAGTTGTTGGAAAAATGATCAATTTTTCAGAATTTTCAATAGAAGGAAATCTGTATAGGTATGCTCAAAAAAGTTTCGACCCATCAGAACCCCATGGGGTCGCCTTTAACCCTTTCCACCAGATATTTCAGCATCACATCCCTACTACTGCACACTCTGGCACCAAGCTAATGTTTCCGGAGAAATGCTCTCCGATTGTCAAGTCACGTTAGTAGTTTAGCTACAGAGGCAAGAACAGTAATATTTGAACTTCAGAAAACACCAACCTTCCATTCCGCAATGTTTGGGCCTTTTCCTGGAGGACAGACAGGATCGGACATTGCATAACGGGGAACCTTCAAAAAAGAATATGATGATACAAGCAGTTGGCGGAATACTCACGTTATAGTACTCTGGTTCTTTTGGTTTTTCTATAACCGATCCATCAAACATTACTGGCCGGGACGGCTGAGCTGTTAAAGGCGGAGATGTTGCCCGAGATGAAGAACCTTGCGGCGCTGGTGGATTTTGTGCTATTGACTGTTGACGGATGACAAACTGTTGAAGCTGGCGGTTTGTCAGATTGCCCATTGTTATAGTTCCAGAAACTGGCGAGATGCGAGATACTGGTGCGCCTGGAATCGGGCGCGGAGCAATCATGACATGTCTTGAGGACGCCGGCGATTGAGAAGACGTTGAACCTTGACGCGCAGCGTGATGCTGTTGATTACGCTGCATTGGAGGAACAAATTGTTGCGGTATCCTTTGTGAATCATTGTCGAAGTTTTGATGATGATCTCCACGATTGCTTGCTTGTTGTAACTGTCGGTTGCGCCTGACTATTTCCTGACTCCTCTGCAGAACTGGATCCGGAATTTTTTGAAGAGCTGCTAATCTCTGTGCGATAACTTGCGGATCGTAATAATCCAGAGATGATCTTTTCGATTGTATATCCATCGGCGTCCCTGAAGACGAAGAACTTTGGAAGTTAGTTGAGTTTGGCATAGTAGGAGCGCCTGTACTTCTCCCCGCCAGAGTGTTTGGAGCGTTTGGAGTAATCGGAGTTGAAGCGGAAGCGGCAGCAGCAGCCATTCTTTGATGTATCGCCCACAAAACTGGATCCGGCTCGTCTCGAGGTGGACTGTAGTGACGCGGAATGAGACGACGATTTTGATTTTTTGGAAACGATGTTTTCTTCCTTGTCCTTGGTAGTTCGGCTTCAGGTTGACTAGGTTGATTAACAGACGTTATTCTCACCGGAGCGCCAATACAAGATCCAATTGGAAACACAGCAACACTTCTTTTGGAACCGTTGCCCGATGAATTTATTTGATTGTGAATTCTGCCTCCTGTCATGAGAAAAGCGCGCACAGTCGGCCCTTCGAATGATGAATCCCTATCCAAGTTGTCGTGACGATCTACCTCCATCGGTTCTTCAGCTTGCAAAGCTGGAGCTTCCATCTCGACGACTTCCTCTTTCTCGATTGGTGCTTGCACTGCCGGACTTGTCGTTTCCATCCGCAGCATGTTCATGGCAAACATCTGGCTTGGGGGTGATGGGTCGATCGGCACCAAGGCTGGAATTGGGCTCTCCGGCGAGCGGTCACGTGCGTCCGCAGTGAGAGCTGGAGAATTCGTAGAGCTCTTGTCCGGCACGGAACTGACTGGTGATTCTTCTTTTTGCATCATAGGTTCAGGAGCCTTCTTGATAGGAGCCGGTGGGTTGATCAATTTCTTTGGAAGCGACGGAACTCTGAACGCGCTCTCAGTGTCAGTTCTTGTCGGAGTTCTTGTTCTTGACAAAAGCCTTGCTGAAGTTCTTGTCACAGAAGAGGCACGTGAACCAGTTGGAGTACGTGAAGGCGGTGCAGTTGGCGCAACGAACAGTTCGTCCGAATCTTTTTCGCTGATAACTGACGACAGTCGTGAACGTTGCACGCTTAAACGTTTCACGCTTGAAGATCTGCTTCTGTCCCAGTGGCTCGAATCGGTATCCATGTGCTTTATGGAACTTGCACGAACTGGTCTTGTTCTCGGTGGCGGTGTTAGAACAGGAGTAGGCTCTCTTGTAGAACGACGACGTGGCTCTGTCTCCGACACGCGAGCTCCTTCTTTCGGTCCAAAGTCCATGCTGAGCAAGCGGTCCGCCTCCGATCTTCTTGCCTGAAAAACTGAAATGTTGATTTTCATCCACGTTTGCCTACTCGCCTGAGTACATTTTCGGTTTTTGTTATCTTCCGTACTTCTCAAGTTACTCAACAAAAAAGCCACATGTGCTTAATACTTCTATATTTTTCAAACAAACTAGGTTCAGTCTCAAGTTCTAATAATTTCATACAATTTTTTATCTGTGTGTGCTGAAGAGAAAGAAGCTGTTGTTTCAACATGAGAGTCTGTGAAAATTTTCTTCCCAACTTGAAATTGAATTTGCCACCTCCTTCGGAACCCTCCCTCAAATAGACACGCGCACTGATGTGGATAATGCGGTAAGCCTCTCCCACCCCTCCCTACCTCTTCTCTGCGTCTCTCGATGTTTACAAAACATACCGGTCTCTTTTTGGCTGGTGGCTCTCCCATTGGTTGTGGAACGGTAGATTTCGGCGAGGTCGTAGCTGCCTTCTCAACAGGACGCTTCATTGTTGGCTCAGGAGAACTCGTCGCCACTGATTGCGTAGATCTTCGAGGGAACCGACCGCCACGACCACAAGATGAAGTTGGTTCGCGGCCAGCGGATTCAGGGTAAGTTTGAATCATTATTTCCTCCGGTTCCTCAGCTTTCAGTTCTTCAGCTTTCAGTTCTTCAACTTTCAGGTCTACAACTCCCAGTTCTTCAGCTTTTACTTCTTCAGCTTTCCGTTTCTCGGCCTCCGGTTCCTCAGCTTTTGGCTCCTCAATTTTCTGTTCCACGGTTTTCAATTCTTTAGATCTCGTTTCTTCAACTTCTGGTTCCTCAACTTTCGGCTGTTGCATACTTGTTGAACACTCTTGACTCTCAGCAGAAAGATCGGGTGACTCACTCCAATATCCTCTGAAACGATATCGAGAATTCTGTATAACGTTGCGCATTGTATTATGAAGAGAGGATCTTTCCGACGAAACTTCTTCGATCTTGACTTCTTCCGGTACAATCTTGTGCGGAATGCCTTTTCTGCCAGCAGCGCCTTTGATTTTGGTCGTTACTGATTGTTTTCCATTTTTTCTGGTGATCTGGTCTTCTAATCCAGCTAATCTGGCCAGCTCCATTTCACGAACAGCTATGGCGAGAATATCTTCAATTCTTGATTGAGTGGTCTCCATTCTCTCCGGTATTAATGGTCCCTTGAATCGAAGACGAGCTTCCTCAGTGAGTAGTTCATCGATGTGAATCTCACACGCGTCTTCCATGTTATAGCTTTCTTCCGGTGGCATAGGAATGCGGCCATCTGATCTGTGCTTGTATCTCTCAGCCAAGCCAGAAATAGGGTTAACGGTGAACTGATCCGTGCTATCTGCATCCCATTCAAGAAATCCTTTGTGAGCAACTCGCATCGCTTTGGAAAATTCCTTGAAAAGAGACTTTTTCTCGGCGACAGTCATGATTCTGGAGGAAGGGATTGCAGTTGAAGCACTAGTAGAGCTTGATTGCTGATTCGGGTCATTGGATTCCCTGTTAGCAACCTGAATCGGTAGGATCTGAAAAAAAGGAATTCTGAGAGAAACTGGCATCAACTATTACCAATGGAGTAGGCGCTATGAGTCTTTGTCTCTGCTGTGGCGTTAGAAGGAATCCCGCTGACGATCGCATCCTGAACTTTTGGAAGTGTTTTTGGTATCCGAAAAAACATGCAAAAAGAGTATAAGCTGGAATTGGTTGGTCACGATACATAACCATGACGGGTAGCCTTTCTCTCCGTCTCTCACAGACCACCCAAATTCTATACGCAAAGACCAACGGCAACAAAGAAGCATCGATTGAAGAAGAAGGAGATAGAGAGCACGTCGAGTGAAGAGAATCGCGACGGCACAGAGAGTGCGGTTTTGTATAGAGGGAGAGTGAAACGAGGATGCAAACGGACGAGAGAAAGAGAAGGAGGTCGTATACCACGACGAGTGCGGAAGGCGAGAACGGGAGGTGAGCGGAAAGATGAACGTCGAAGAATCGTTTTTATTGAGAGGTCAACGCGGTATACGTGGATAAGGTCATACTTGGCTAAAGATTCGCAGAATTCGTTTAGAAATTGAAAAAAAACCAGGCTGTCACCAGTTACGGGAGTTGTAGAAACATCTGTCGGCAGCAACAACGCCGGACGCCGCCAGTAACACAAATCTGTCCTTGGAATTCCCCTTACGGTGTCCTTGGAGACTCCAGGGACTGTGAAACTACCTCTGAATCACCACGACTCCTAGAAAAAAGCAGAAACCTGAAAAGCTAACTCTTGAATGACTAAATGTGGAGTTTTCTAAAAGAAATTGATTGGGAGAGAATAAATAGGGAATATTTTCTAGAAGACACAAACAGGCATATTCCTACGAATGCGAATATACGAATAAGGCGCAGTGACCGTGAAGTAGTAAGAAAAATGTGAGTGTGTGTGTGTGCTAGAGAGCGTGTGTGTGTGTGTGTGTGTGTGTGCTCGAGTCAACAGACGAGCACAGAGTTTGATCAACGAGAGAGCAGAGAAGCGAACAGTGACAACGAGAATTTTCTGGAATTCGAGACAAAGTTTACTTAGAATGAATCTAGATTACTACAGTTGAATTAAAATTTGAAAATCTTCAAATGATTCAGAAAATGGGCGTGGAAGCCTTGAGCCTGTGCTCATAGGGTTCTGAGATTGCTCTAGGAACTTGTCAAACTATTACTTTTTAGGAACGATTCAAAAATTTCTAGATGAAACAGTTCCACTTATGTATTGAATGAAACGTTTGAAACTATATAATTTTCAGTCCTAACATTCATATAAAAAAGTTCTAGGGCATTAGTCGAATCTAGATTGAGGCCATTTACAGATAGATTCTGAATTGAAAACTAGCGATTCATCTAGTATTGATTGAATATCGCCGATGTACGCAGCCAATACGAAACACAACGCCAATGGTTCCAAATCAAACATTCGTACGTATAAGGAAAGGAGGCCTCTATTGCGAAATCGCCAACACGCCGTGTTTGGTAAAGGACTAGGAAATTCACGGCCAGCCCCGCCCATTCAATGATAATCATTATCAGTGGAATCTTCTCAAAAACAAGACTCAGCATCAATATTCAGTTCCCCTTTGAATATTCACAAATTAATTTGCTTTAGATTAGAACGTGTAGCCGAAAAATGTAATTATTCTGTTTGCCGTTGATAAATCTAGTCCAGGAGATGTTTGTTGAGCATCCCTCGAGCACAATGATGCCAATGAACAATTTAGTTCTAGGTATGATTATTTCTGATTACTTTGGAAAATTTCGCAATACATATTATCGGAAAGCGTCCGACGGAAGTTATGAAAACTGATATGAGATGGAGGGGTTTGAAATGTCGTGTGTTTTCGACTGTTCAAAATTGGTAAGGGTAGCGGTAGTTTTCACAAAAAACCGGTTTTTAAGTCTCTCACTCTCATTGCTACACTTTCGAAAATTTTCGGGCAGTGTAGGAATGGAAAAAGGAGACGTCAACGCATCGCATCGCGACCCGTCATTCGAAACGCGACGATTTGCAACTGAATTGACCTACTTTGCGAGAAATTGTACTGTAAACGTTCACGTGGGTTTCAGAACACCTTTTTGCGCTTTGGGTGCACGGATAAAAGACGTTACAGATTTTCAGAACGAAATTGATTTGGTTATGGCAGCAGAAATTAGCAGAGATTTAGCGACTTGACAATTTGGAAGTCCTACTCTGCAGACTGACAAGAAAACAGAAACTAAAGCCTTGACTCACGCAAGTGTCGGCGACATCAGAGACTTCACGTGTGCCTCAGATATGTTACAACTCAGAAAACAAATATTTGTCCGTATTGGGGATGAGTAAGAAATTGTGTCAAAATGTGACCACAAAAAGCGATTACGCGAGTAGAATTATGTTTACATATCGCTAATTGGATTATCCATCTGATTACTTTTTTTCTACTTCTCGTCTTCTATGCATTGCCATTTCGTGTTCCCAGTTGCATTTTTTGAGAGAGGTGATAAATCTATCTAGAAAGTGTGATTACATGACACATTGGCAGACCGTTTACAATTGGAAGACCTGCTTGAGAACGTTTTACGCTTTGCACCTGATCCTTTGGAACAACTGTTTCATCTTGGACCATTCCCGTTTGAAGTTTCAGAATTTGAATTGTACACACATTTACCGCCAAAGTTTATACAACCAAGAACGATGTCTGTTGTCCGGGTTTACAACCTTTACCGCAAAGAATGCAAGACACACCGTGCGCTCGTAAAAATGACAACTCTATTACTTTTTCCCTGGGGAAAAATCACTTTTGAAAATGGTCGGAAAGAAGACTTTTGACGGCAGCTGTCCGCGTTACCCAACTCCGGAGAGAGCGGCTCTCAAAGGAGTGCGGCACGTCAGGTGTCGGGAGGATACAGTTGCGTGGGCGTATCGGGTGACTTGCAGACGGTTTGAGAAGAAAAGGAAGTTGAAAAGGAGCTTAGGAGTCATCTTACAACTTTATTAGAACAAATTCTGAAAAAACAACTAATGGATTGATTTTAATCTTCAAATACCGATTACGACACCTTATTGTCCCGGCTTTGCCCCGCTGTAGACTTGCAAGGGGCGCCCTCTTTGTTATTATGTGGTGTAGTGGCTAGCGCACTCTTTTGTTTTTCGGACGGCCGCGGGTTCGAGTCCCGTTGGTTGGGTTTTCAACAAATAGTGCATGATATGTCTCTGATGGGACTTGTCTATGTATGGCTACGTTTTTTTTTCTCTCTCCTACTATTGTTCAATCTTCCCTTCTCCGTTTAGTCTCAATATGCCAATTTTAAATTAAACTGTAAGCCGAAGAAGACCCGAGCGTTAGATGTATAACTTCTTGTGGATAACTCTTCATTTTGTAAGCAAAATATTGTGTCCAGTATCATATCCAGTTCAAATTTCGATACGTGTGTTTTTATGGGTTTTTATGAGGCAGCCACAATTCATTTATCCTCCCCGCCTCCCCCTTTTTCTTCCACACCAGTGGCGTCTTCTGACCGCCTATTAGTTGGCTCCGCCCCTCCAACTCTCAGATCCCGTGTGATCCGCGCTCCCTGCATCATTCCAACTAGTAGAGACCTTACTTACTCATCAACAACTATTGTCAGTGATGCCACGCGCCATTTCCAAGTCAACTTCTTCAGAAATTCCTGCAATGGTTAGAAAAGACAAAAGCCGCCAAAAAGAGCAGCTTCGAGCTCAGAACATCAACGTGGCATTCAATCAACTTCAACAGTAAGTATTCCTTCGGATTTTTTCTCAAATTATAATAATCGTTCCAGACACATTCCATACCTGAGTCCAGAAGAGAGAAAACAACTCCCCAAGATCAAAACTCTTCGACTTGCAGCCCAGTACATCGCTCATCTCAGTCAGCTTCTCGAAGGAAACGTGATGGTGAGTCTCAAAAATCGAGATTCAGTACTCATCAGAATTCTCTTTTTTAGCTCAAAACTGACTGCGAAGAGGAACCCCGTCCGTTGGCCCACTCCGACTTCCGATGCGCCGTTTCAAGTGAGATGAGAATTCGGAACAGTTACCGAGAACGAGCACACGCACAAGAAATGGATAGCGAGACCGTGCGGAGGATTCTCGCGAGGGAGGAGAGCAGAACGCAGAGAATGCGTCGTGAGATGGAACAGAAAGGTTTGTTAAGGATTTCAGAAAAGTTAGAATCTATTCATGACCTTTATAATTTTCAGACAGCTCTCCGCGTCCTTTCGGCTCTCAAGCGCACAACTCTCACAATTTCCGTCGGATTTCGGAGAACGAACTCGACTTTTATTCATCTCCCAACACCTCACATTCCACTAACTTTTCTCAGAGTCCTGAGAACCATTGCAATTATCCAATTACTCCTTTAATGTATCCCCCTCAAAACTTTGTCATGCCTACTATGTACAATATGCAACAGTTCCAGTAACTTTTAATGATAAGAACGGGTGAAAAGTGTATCAGCGTGTTCGAATAACCTTAATATCTTTTGTTATTCTGTATTTCTTTTCCTTATTTCCATGGAACGTATTATGAAGTTTTATTTCCATTTATATCACATCTTATGCAATAAACAGTTGGTAGGGAACACGAGTGTTTATGTAACAGGAGATCTAAATCCCTGGCTAATCCTTGAAGTGCGCTGACATGCGAGCAGAAGGAGGTTGGTGACGACCTTTTTAGGATTGCACTTTCTTGTGAGCAGAGTTGAGCGGAATTCCACATTTCGTAAGATTTTTTCGAACTCGAATGAGTTAGAGAGGCAGACAACTTAAATTACTTAACAGTATTCTATAGAATAGGAAGAATGTGACATTCATTAACTCGTTTATTTGCATGAAATATCTTATCTGCGTGATAGAAAAAAAGAAGCCAGAAAAATAATACATGCAAGTGGGGAGATACAAAAAAGGAGAAGAAATAGTACAAAGTTGGGTGGATGTTTGTGGGGCGGTGAGTAAGAACAAATGAAGAGGGAATATGTGATCCGAGTTGGAAATGATGCATTACAGCTAAAGTTTGTGTGCGCTAAGTGTTTTGGTAGTGATGAAGCGAATGATTTTTGATTTTGAGTGAAGAAGTTGGAAGTAGAGATGCAAACGAGCAATTTGTGGTGGTTTCTTAGCAAATGTGAGAAAAATGGAAAATGTTGAAGGCACAGGAGAATGATTTGAAGGACTTCGTAGAATTAAAGAGCCGGTTGGTCACATTACAGAGATAAACGGTAGTATTCTCAGTTACAAGACTCAGATCTCGCACAGAGGAGGAAGAACTCGGCGCGGCGTTTCACACATGCTTTTTCTTCAAAATGAGTCAGGTTGGAGGCAAATTTGAGGTTTCTGTGGGAAGTCAGAGCTTCACTTTTCCCGGACTGCGTGCATAGATATTGGGAGAAAATCTTAATATAGGGCCGGCAAATGAAGTGGAGTTTGGGAAGCAGATCGTTGACGAAAATGAGAAAAAGGAGTGGAATAGAGGTAGAGAAGATATGATGAGAGCGGTGAGAAAACAAAGAATTGGAGAAGATTTTTGGAAAGTAAGTGGAAAATACAACCGATACTTCTCAGCTTCTTCTCTTTCTTAAATGAAGCGCCCGAATGGGATTGATGCATGGTTAGACCAGTGTATTTTGACGAGCCTTGCTCCCACGTCCAATATCTCCACTTTTTTCGCCTGAAAATAGAAAAATAACAGGATTTATAAGAATTTTAAGAATAGTGTGTTTTTCGTTGACAAACTGAGAAAAAGGTCGCGCGCGGCGAGCGAACTTTCAAGGCGCAGCAACTCTTTTAGGAGAGACGGGTCCCGAAGCGAATTGAGAGAATGGCTGAGAGGGGCGGAATTTGAGTTCGAAACGCCATTCTACGGAATTAACGAGTCCCCCGGCCCACCCACCCACAAAAAGGAAGAGAAATCATATGTTGAATTGTTGCAGAAGGAGGAAAGCGGCAGTACGTCGAGCTGAGTTGAGTTGCAGGATACAAGCAGGCCCCGGTCTTCAGCACCTCGTCGAAATGTTGACGGATATGCCCTATCGTTCGAAAGCTACATCCACGGCCAAGGTGTATCGAGCTGAAAACGGGAGGAGGAGTAAATGGATAAAGGAGAAGAACCTTCCAAAAAACGAGTCGTCCTTCCTACTATACTTGCTCGAAAGGGCGACGGAAATCGGAAGCAGCGCTCTGGCGAGGATCTCGGCGGCTTACCAAGCGGCGAACGACGGGATTTCAAGGATCGGAGCGACTTTTGTGGCGGACGTCATAAAGGCGAAACGCAGGCTGGAGTGCCCCGTGAAGAAGAAGCCGATAGAGGTGACGATCGAGGACGTCGAGAAGACAGATCGCGATGCAATGTTGACAATTTTGTCGTTCCACGTGATGCTTCGAGCTTCAGAGGCGGAGGAGATCAGATGGGACGACGTCATTTAGTCAGGAGATCTGATCGAAGTAGTCGTGAAGAGGGCCAAGAACGACCAGATGGGGCTGGGAAGATCGTCGTTCTTCCACTACACGCCGGGCAGCGACGCAGACATCCTGATGTGCCGGTGGCGATTGAGGAATAAAAAGAGGACGTGCGAATACGTGTTCTCAAACGCGGATGGCTCGAGAAGACTGGCGAAGCAATCGATTTCGGCGGCGGCAACGAAGATGCTCAAGTTGGTCGGGAAAGGAGGAGCGACTCATCACGGATTCCGGAGAGGAGGAGCCAACCACTTACGAGCACAAGGGCACTCGTTGGAGGAGATCCGTACCAGAGGGCGTTGGAGATCTATGGCAGGTCTTCAAAGGTATCTGAAGGACATCCCGGAGGCGCAAGGATGCAAGTCGACGAAGCGAACCCGTGGAGGACTGGAGGAACTTGAGGAGTCCGACGAGGAATAAATTAGAAGTAGAGTAGCTGTGCCGAATTTTTCGCTTTTTGCCTATTACTGTTGTTTGCTAATATCCCCGTTAATCATGTTAGATTTGTGCTAGCCGTTGGGCAATCTGTTTCAATTCGTTTGTTCTTGTTTTGTGTCCAAGTCGTTGTCGACGCCGGCTCGTCGGCTACTACGAAACGACCTAACTAATCCGAAAAACCTAATCTTGTCGAATGAAGGCTGTTTGATGAACCTTTTTCGAAGTGAGGAAGCAGAAAAACATATTGTTTCGAAGCACAGAGAAGAGAGAAAAAATGTGCACTCACCTGGTAGAGGGGCTCCATACCGCGAACACGGACCGTGACGAACATCTTCCGCGGAGTCTCCTGGAAAAAAACTTGATAAATATGGAAAGTTCGAGGGAAAAACTGACGATCGTGATTTTGCGTGCTCTTTTCTGTCTCAAGCGGCACTGATCGGCGATGCGCGGAAGCTGGTCGAGGAGATTGGCAAAGTCCTGAAAATGAAATGTTTTTTCTTGTCTTTTGTTTCTTTCATTCACTTCTTGACCCAAATGGTGCTTAGTGGGCATCCACTTGCGGACTTTCTCATCGTTTCTCTGAAAAACAGTATTTGAAGCGAGTAGTTCGGAAACGTTTTCAATTACGTGACTAAGGGAAGGCCATTCGCTGTTGGAATGAGTAATGGTTCCAACAAAAATATCCAATTTATTGGACGGTCTAGAAAACTAATTATTGTGAGAATATTTGCTCTTTCATTCATTTACTTTGCCGGTTGTGGTTTTTTGACCATCTTATAGAAGATTTTGACCTTGTTTGAGTTCTTGTCGGGGAACTCGACTCGTCGCGCCTAAAAGTGTCGTTTATACGTACATTTTTATACTTATAGGTGTGTAACTCACCTGCCAAGACTGGTTCCACTGGTCTCTGATCCACATATTGCTGTGGACCAGCACAGCAGCCGCCTTCTCGTTCTCGATCTCCCCGAACTGTTTCGCTCTCGCAAACTGCTCCACCACCTCCGGCCTTCTCTTCAGAAGTGCGGCATCCTAAACGTTCAATTTACGGTAGAATAGAAATGTATGAAAACGTACATCTGGTTGGAGCGTGGTCATCCGCGGCATATAGATGACGAACTGTTTCGACTCCATCTGAACATACAGTCTTCTTTCAAAATCTCTGGGGGACACTCACCAAACACTTGGCTTTCCAACCGAGGTTTGCTGTACCAATATCCAATTGTTCATTTTCCATTTTAAGCCGGTAAATAAGTCAATCTGGAATAGAGAGATTTGATGAGAAAGACAAGCGGCGCAAATTCCATAGTCAGTAGAATCATCAGCCCTACTAGATTCTCTAATTATATGGAAAATTTCCTTTAAATTCCACCTTATCTCAAGATCGGATATTCAAATCGGGCTGAAATTCTGCGCTCTATCCAAAATTTATAACCGTTCATGCTTGCAACTGGAAGAGAAGAAGAAGAGAGAACAGGAAAGAATGCGATAAAGTATAACTTCAACGGCAGTTTTCGAGGGCCTTCTCTATTTCCCAAAATTGTGCAGATGTTTCCAGGGAGGAGACCGAAACTGAGAAGAAAAAGGGAGAAGGGAAAGGAGAGGCTGAATGTCAATAACTATCAAGAAACAGGATGTTCAGTGAAATGAAAGCAAAGTGACGGCGAAAAGATTGAAACTGGTCATTCTAAATTGCATGTGTTTCGATGAGGGCTCACAAAAAGAGAACGAATGGGTTTGAGTGGCGGTGGGCTGGGGAACGACACATGAACATTCGAAAATGACCCATATGGAGTAACCAGTCATTCAGTCACAGCTCCCGAAACATCTGCCGGCTTCTCGCACTTTTTTTCTCAGGAAAGCGCATAAAGGTCGGTCGAAAAATTCGTCAAAATGGGCACCGTGAGAAACTGTGCTGGGTTCTGGGCAGTGTGCGCCGGCAGCAATTTTTTTTTTGGAAATTTTCGAAAGTTATGTCGACCGAGAATCGTTGTGCGAGTGTTAACTATAAAACTGCCCATTTCTACATTTTATTAGGGGAAAACTTTCGGAAACCCTTGGGAAATTTCCAAAAAAAATCAGTAGGCTACGCTTACATTAATCGAAGAATTCTGTCAAAGCTTTCAGAATAGAGTCAACTGATTTTACTATCAAATTAATAATCTTGCCTCCGGTTCCCCGCCGCAACACGACCGTTTCGCAGCTGAAAAGACCACGCCTCTTTCTGCGAGTGCCGCACATGCACAAGCTGTCAATTAATTATTTTTCTTGAAAAATACACAAATCAAAGCTACTCCTAACGGAAATTAATTGCTTTTGAGTGTTTTTAGAGAATTATCTTTGCAAACAGACAGATTTAAATGAGATTCTGAACTTTAATTTGTGTATTTTCCAAGAAAAATAATTAATTGACAGCTGACAATTGACAGTGCACATGGCATGTGCGGTACTTGCAGAAAGGGGCGCGGTCTTTTCAGCTGCGAAGCGGTTGCGTTGCGGCGGGGAACCGGAGGCGAGATTATTAATTTGATAGTATGTGAGTTTTATATGAGTCTTTCTGTAGAACACAAATAAATGTACTCTGACTCGATCGGAAGGAAAATGAAGCTGACGACTATTGTCTTAGCGCGTAAGTTGGTTTGTGAGGAGCGATGACAAAACTTCGTATGGGATTAACGTCTAGAAAAGAGTCTTTTTGTCAACGATTTGTCAGCGGACTGATGTGCGGTAATGGGCGGGCGCCACACCACAACGGACTTCGGTGTGTGTTTATGCAAACGAGGCAGACAAATGATAAAGCTAGACAGTGCGAGAGGTTGAAGGACGCAGAGGGAGGCTACGGATGTACTTTTGAGAGGACTGCAGCGTTCTGGCAGAAAATCCGGGTAGTACAGTAAACACATCTCTCTAGTCTCTAGTCACAAGATGCACAATAGTGTCACCTGAAAACATGTGTGAATTTTCAAGCCAAAACACGTAGCACACGCGGAAATTATTTCTCAATCACGAGAATTAGATTTTTTATGGTTAGCACTCGCACTGTTCACAGAACACATCACGCACTATTTGGCCGTCTCTAACGTCCTCTTCGCACGCTCAAACACACCAAACGACAACGGGCCCGCTCAGCGCTGATCGGATGCATTGCTCGGTTCCGGCAGAACAGTTTCGCACTCGGAAAGGAACATGATTGCCAGAGAAAGGGATGAAAAAAGCGGGAACTGAGAGACGAGGAGAGCGGGTGCGAAAAGTTCATGGCGGAAATTTCTGACCGAAATCCGAAATGAGCAGATGAATCAGTTTGAAACCGGGTCCGAAAAAGCGTTCCGATGAGCAAAAGGTGAGGTGCTGGGAATCTGTCGATCGGTTTCGAAAGTAAAGTGATGAATAACAGATTGCGGGGCTCGCTCGGAAGGCAGCAACGAAAACACGTGAACAGTGACTAACTGATTTGTGACTAATGGAACGAAACCGTCGAGACACTGCTGAACCGATTTCAATCTAATTTTATAGACATTAACTGCAAAATATTATAAAGAACGAAAATCCGTATTATTAAATTGCTAATTGTCTGAACAGAATCGAAACGGAACTAATTGCCTTCGGAAAATTTATTATCCAATTAGTTGAAGTTATATTCTATCAAGAACGTTTCGTAATCTAATTAGGCCTAAAATTAGATTGAAATCGGTTCACCAGAGTAAAATCAACTGTGAACCATTGAAAATAACATTTCCATGAACATGGATTTCAACAACAAAAAGCGAAAGTGTTCCATAAAAACGGGATGACTTATTTCTAAAAGCGCATGAGAGGGAAATAAAGTTTAGCGGTATGGTCTTGTTCGAGAATGAGTTGGAGAATCTGAAAAGACGGTTGGTCCCTTTGTGTGGGCGTTTCATAACCATTTACCGAATGAGTCATGTGTCCGATTTTGATGACGAGTCGATTGTTCTCGATTTTCACCTCTCCCCTCTCTGTGATTGTGCTGCGTACACCGGGGAGACGGAGAAGACGGGCCCAGACCTGGAAAAATAAACATTTCCAATCGAAAAGAGAGGGAGGCAGGGGATACGTTGTCGGAAACTTTGAGCGTCAGTGGAGCGACAGTGAGAGTTCGGAAAGGGATCATCTGGAAAGCGGAGAACATTTTTGGGGGTTTTCTGAGCAAAATAACTTGCAATAATTTTCAATTCGAAAAGATCGATGAAAGTCTCCACGACAATATCCGGCATTCTGAGCGTTTCTGGAATGACTCTGTTTGTTTTCCGAAAAAAAAAGTGTTTTGAAATCGGGCGAGGAATATCGTCAAGGGAATGAAGAGGAGAAGATAACTGGTCAACTGACGACCTTGTTTTCAGAATTTTTTTTAGGTTAATGGGAAACATGACTGCTCTACAAGGCGTCCGCTTTTCAAGCCGGTTATTTGGAGAAAGATTCGGATTTTTTAAGTCTTTCGACAAAAAATGAAGAATTGGAGTGACTCTTTTGGAAGTGAGAGGCAAAATTGCGTACATGGGAATGTGTGGTCTAGAACTTTCTTTTCTCCCACGCGTACGGCAAGTTCAAATGCGCCCTATCGAACTGTTGAGGAAAACACGGATTTTTGTAGGTAAACTGCGAAACTCTTCGCGAAAGATCAATCGAACATCTCATAGATATTCCCTGGCTGTGCGCTGAAATCACCCGACAAAAAAGAACATTTTTATTGGATCAAATTAGCCACCTTCATTAGTATCAGTTCAACGAATAAAATGGGGGGGAGATGGAGGGGTTCAAATTCTCTTCCTTTTGCAGCAAGTGCAAAATGATCAGAGCTCAGCTCAGAGCGCTTCTCGTTCGACTATTATCTTTTCATAGAAAGGTGAAAGGTATGCGACCAGACGCGAGCAAGAGAGGGAATGGGAGTCAGGATGGTGACTGGAGCTAGACAATGCGTAAAATGATAATTGCCCTGAATGTGAAAGTAATCAGTAACCAGACACCGGACACCGTTGGGATTTCAAACCCTCCGACGCACGCGACTGCAAAGACTACATTCTCCTCTTGAGCGGGTGATTCAAAAATGAGCGAAAACTTGAAATCAACGGTGCTACGAAGTACACGGTCTGTTTACATCTCATTCAATCGGTGCAAATGTATACACATACAAAATGTGAGAATTCCAAATTGCACTATAATTTAACTGTGTGAAAAGGGCTCCGAAAGGTGGCAATTTGGATTTTAGTGAAATTGGCGGGGGAAATAACGAGTGTTCGACACCTGGAGGGGTGGGTTAGAGGTTGTCGAATCTTCGTCAGAATTTGGCATTCCTCTGTTTTCGTGCGTTATGATCAACTCGAGAAGATTGTGGAACAGGCGACGGCCAAAGACGTGTTGCTCGCTGATATTGTAGACACATCCATGAGTGACCAACAGGTTTTGGAGCGCGTCGCGGCCTGCGCAAATGATTCTCTCGAATTGAGAAACGTTCGCCATGACTGGAAAAGTTGCACATTTGAGAGTGTTATTTGAATACTTAGAACACACTTAATCCGCACACTTCGTAGACTTTTCTCATGTCTTGGGCTGTGAACTTTTCTCTTGCACCAATGTATTTCTGAACGATATCCCGGTAGACGGACAGGAGAGATAGAGGAATGTCCATACGGTTTGCGTCTTTGAGAATCTCATAGGTTTGTGGATCGTAGATGTTTAATGGACCTGAAAGAGTATTTGGAAAGTGGAACTGACTCGTGGGTTGCTTACTGAATTCACAATCGGCAAGCCCATAAGACTTGTTCACTTCCCGCCAGAGATAGTTTATTGTGGCTGTTTGGAAAGCTTTCCGTTTGTGATTCGAATGATCTTCGCGATTCCCTCTTGTCTTATCCATTATTTTTTGGCCCAATTGCCTGTACGCCGTCAGATAAGGTTTGACTAAAAGAAAAAAGCATAGAATCGTCTAATGCTGAAGCATTTTCAACTTTTTTTCTTGTAAATTTTGATAAAAACTCACTCAATTGATGAAATCGGTCAGGAAGTCGAATTGAAGTTTCAGAAGAATTGCAGTTTTTCCAGAGCCAAACAGAAGCGTCGTAAGTGAGGTGCTCGATGGAAGTGTACTCTCCGTCCAGCCAGAACTTGTTGCCACCTCAATTTTAGCGCAGTTTGGCACGTTGTTGCTGAAAGAGAATAAGACTTACTGATCGAAATTTGTGTTTCATTCGGAACGTCACGTGGACGCATGATTTTTCGATGAGTAGTCCCTGGAAAAAGGTTGTCAGTGGTTCGATTGTGGCGCCTCAACTATGAACAAATTTTCATAATTGAGAATGTTCGAGAAATAGGAAAAACTGATAAAAATAATGACTTTTGATAAGGAGGGTGGGAATGCAGTTGAGTGATTACGGCGGCGCCGTCTTTCCGCCGAAGTGCACACGGGAACCTCCCTCGTTGCCAGGAAACGAAGCGAAAGAAGGCGGAGAAAAAAGGGGCGGACGCGGGGATCGGAAACTCGTTCAATCTTGTTATCAGTTTTCGAAAAACTGACAGAAATCGAAAATGAATCAATAGCTGAGTGGTGCAATTCGAACAATTGTTTACAAAGAGTTCAAGTGAGTCATAAAGACCGAAAACCAACAAATTCGAACGACATTTAAATCAACCGGGCTAATCTACTCTCGACTGAATTTAGAATAAAAGCAGAACACAAATTTGAGTGGAAGGATAAAAGACGTCGAGAAAAAAACTCAATTTCGCCGTCCTACGAATTAGAATTTCCGTCGGGCGAGTTGCGCTGACGTGTATAATGTTTGCCTCCTCTTTCATGAGCAGCCATTACGTCAACCTGCGCGGCAGTGTAGTGGTAGATGTTCGAATTTTAATCGTCTGTTGCAAAGAGATGGATCTTTACACACATTCAGTCAGTCGATTTATGTACATATATTAAGCAAAAAAAAGAAGGAGATATAGATATTTTAATTAGTTTAATAAATGCATATGCGAGAGAGAATTAGCATAGTTAGTTATCAGAGACCCTTTATGATTGGAAATCGGAAGAAGTCTGTCGTTGACGTGGTTTCAGCTCGAGGATAAGCAATCGAATTCCAGCCGACCAGCGCTGATCAATCTTAATAAATAAATGTTCTTTAAGTTGGAAAATTTAGAACAGTACCTCGTTTGGGTAGTTCTTCTGGGCGAATTCGAAGTGCTTCCAAGCCAGTATATAATCTTTCCGATCGAGTGCTGAAAAAATAACGTTTCACGAAACAAGGCAACACATTTCTCACCATATACGAGTTCCTTAAGTGCTAGCACGACACCATTTGTCAGAATTTTGTCTCGAAGTTGTTTATCGAGATGTTTGAGACGCAGTCGGACGCCTTCCGCTTTCACCTTTAAGACAATTCGTTTACACGACAACCTGAACTCAATTCCAACTCACTTGCGGTAAAAGTGTCGTAGCTTTTAATAAAATCGAAATAATGATTTCATACGAGTCGGGAGACATATCGCCTACGATGAAAGGCTTTCTGCAAAAAAAGAGATGAAAAGAGGATTGGATTAACGAATTACCCATTGAGTCGAAAGCCAAAATTATCTTCAACCGGCTTGGGTGGGATGTAATTGGGGAGTCCGATCTCGATTGGTGGAATCACCATTTCCGTTGGCTCCGAGGTACTTGTCTGAAAAAAATTCAATGCGTACAACAAATGAAATTCCTAAATTACTCACTGAGGATGATGAATTGCTATTCGAGCTGTTGCCAGCCTGCGATCCAACATACCAAAACGGCTTCATTGCACTTAGAGACTGACTTGGAATAATAAGATAGAGTCTAAGAAAATCTGTTTCAATATCAGGTGCTCGATGTGAGTAATTGTTACTAAAATGTGGCACCTGAATCGTAGGTCGTAGCAGGATCAATGGCTAATTAGCCGTGAAGAGCGTTGGGCGAGAAGGGATTATGGAAGGCAAATTAGAATTATACTATGATGCATTCTGGTGCGTACGATGTCCGAAATCCGTTTAAAATTACTACTTTCCCTCACCTTTAGATAATGACTCTTCACGCCAGTTACTAAAGGGCATGAGGGTCTCGGGGGAGTTGCTGAAAAGTGCAGACTAGTTGAGTAGGATGTTGTGGAAGCAGTGTTTGGTATTTATCAGAGACTAGAGGAATCGGTACATAGAAGGTAGTCAGTTCTGCTAGACCTTGTAAGAAAAAAAGAGGAAAAACTTTGGGAAAATGAAAATTTATCGTTAACTGCTTCTCTCAAATGACATTTGCAGTTTTTTGTATTCAGTCTCGATTTCCTTTAAGTAATCTTCAAGTGAGCAATGGAGAGATTGTTGCCGATTGATATCAGCCTGAAAAAATAATGAATGACAGATCAAAAAACCTAAATTAATTGTTACCTCTTCGAGATTCTCATCTTCATCCTTCTTGATTACTTGTGCCTTTTTACTTTCCTCAAATTTTCTTTTTCTTTTATTCAGGTTTTTCGGTTGGCGAGCTGCGTGAATTGTGTTAAAACGAGCAAGAGTTTCAGAGGATAGCAGTTCTGACTCCAGAAGATTCAGTGGTTCTTTCATGAGGTGCCTATGATTCAGAACCGACATATCTCTCCCGTCCAGAAGTTCTGTGAAGGACTTGGTTCTGAAAAAAAGATAAGTTCAGTTGAAAAATTGTTCAAAAACTGACTGTTGAACCACTAGTTTCTTTCTCAAAGCGGTCAGATTTCCGTGTTGAAAGATCTGGTGACAACGTTGAGCAAGTTCGCTCGGATGAATAATCAAACATTGTGGACAGGTCTTTAAAAAATAGTAAGCATTTTCCAGAAATATGCTAAAACTTACAAAAGCTGGTCTATTGAGAGCTCTGAGCTGCCCGGTAATCTTGAAAAAGCTCTTTCCTCGAAGCAGCTCGTCTTCCGAAAGTTGTTCTGGCATTCACGACGAAGCTGAAAGCAGAATCTTGAAGAAATCCGGAATTTTCATGAAATGTTAATGGGATGAAGAAGAGAAGATGGAATTTACATATGTCTGCTCAACATTACGCCTGACCGAACAGACAACGAACTAGTGACCGCCAATTAGTTGTCGAGTGACGTCAAAGTTGGACTTTGGAAATCTTATAATGGTTTTTGTTTATTATCTACTTCAGATAAGGGATCTGAGCTAGTTAGAAAAGATTCGGTCGCAATATGTAGCAGAAGTTGGAAGAGGTGATAAATAAAGTGGTCAAATGAAAAAGCGGAGAGCAATGGGCATGTATTATATTAAACGTAGTCAGACGTTGTTGTCCGTGAAAAGAAAGCGCTAGGCAGATTACCGAGCAGGTGCAATGAGGAAAATGAGAGGGAAGGGAAGGGGAGAAGGGGCAAATTACAGGATAACGTTTTCGTTATTAGTGATGGTTCCTCGCAATGGTGCAGGTCGTAAACAATAGAAATAATGGAGACGATTGTTGAGATAATCAGTTGGCTCACAGCCAAAGAAAACTCGAAACACAACTTTGCGAGAAAAAAAGGGGATTGCACTTTTAGGGAGGCACAAAAATGATATCTGATCCGAAAGTGGTTAATTCTGTTCGCTAATGAGGTTCTGTGCGAGTCAACCCTCCCCTTAAAGAGAGCGCCGAATTGAAAGCCTAATTACCTTTTGAATCCAGCGCAACATGTTCAGAAAGCGTCGGTATTTGTCTTAATTGTCCATATCAGTAAGACAGAGGCTTACGTATGCTTTGAAAGTAATCTATGACACGTGTACAACCTATTCGCTATTGTGGTTCACACAGTTCACTCCAAGTTCTGGGTAACACATCACTTCAAGAAAAGTCTAGCCGGAGAATGACGTGCATAGTGCCGTGAACGTCTGTTGTTATTGTTTTTGTTGTTTCTTTCGAACTGTCTACCTTGTGTGTTTCTTCATTTTTTCGATTTGTGTAGCTATTGTTGACTCTATCGTGTTGCACCTTGCACCCCTCTTTATTTGTTTGCTGTTCATAAAATTTTATTGATGATAAAAAGACCTTTGTCGAAAAAGAGCAGCAAACGATAAAATGAAAAAGTAATGAGGAGTTTATCGTTTTACGGACAATTTATTACCACCGCGTACGGGGTACAAAAGCTGCAAACGAAGAGTGTTTGATAAAGGGGACCAAAATGATTCTGGTATTTCTAGCACTGATCACACCTTCTGAAGCTGAGCAGTTCAAATTCAGTGATAAACTTCTTGGTTGTGGAATTTTGGTCAGTCTGCTCTCTACACGATTTCACAAACAAAAATTTGTAGTCTGGAGACTTTCGAAATGAGTACGTAAATCTCACGTTTCCTCTTCAACCAAGAGAGTCAATAATTTGGAATGGAACCGTTTGGAACAATGCGTCATCGTAAGACTGATTTCTGCTCGGATTGGATTGACTTCTTCTTTTATAGGGTCAAACTGAACATCTTGTTCCCAGGGCATACGATTCCATTCCATATGAGATCAACTCTGAGCCAGAACAGAACCGGATACCACGTGTACTTCAACAACCGCTGGGACTACGACTCGGAAGAGTTCGAGTCAGGGAAAACATTTGAAAGTGGGAAACCGTTTCAAGTGAAAACGATGTAAGCATCAAAAGGAATCCAGACTTTCAAAAGTGGAGCATTGTTTTCAGATACACTGGCCACACTTTTATTGTGTATTTCAATGACTATTTGGTCCACATTCAGATAATGACTACCGACCCGTGTATTCCGCTCACAAGCATCCATGCTGATGGTGATCTGTCTACTAACTGGATCAGCCGAATATGTGCTCCTGCCAAAGCGCAAATAATTCGCTCGACGAAGTCTTCTCAATTCACATGTGACTGTTCAAATGTCTGTTCGGTTCCAAAGATTACTTGAGGATGTTGCTTTGTCGTGCGGTACTTGCTGAAAAAAAATTCGAGAAAAATAAATAAAATTACGGGTTTAAACCTGCCAAGTGTCATGGCTCAACGGAATGTCATTGGCTAGACTGTCTTCACCAAGTTTTGTAACTGGTAAATGCACTAGTCCTTGAATCCCGTCGGTAGACATCTATGAAAGATGAAGTGATCACACCTGCAAGTAAAACACATTTAGGAAAGGATTTTTGGGAGCGCCGGCGGAATTACCTGTACTTACTGACGTACGTCACCATCGGGCGTTTCATGAACATTCATCGGGACTTCTCGCCTGAAATACGATCTTTGGAGAGTAATACGATCATTGCTTTTCCTCTATTCGAGCAGCTTTGAACAAACGTATGATACGTTCTGGGTCGATAGGACTGGATTCGAAGACTCTTCTCTTCTTGGCGAGTAAGACCACTGTTTTTTCACTTAACTTATCAGGGCAACAGATGTTGCCTAAAGGTCTTCTCCATCCAATAGCATTCTTCCATCCAATAGTATTCATAGAAATTGCTCGCGTTGCTGAAATAATTTTGCCGCTGATGAAATCTTCCGGAAACTTTGACTCGACGCTATGTCACCAGCTATACTGGGGTTACCAAGTTTCTTGATTGGTAACCCACAAGTATAGCAGTTGACGACATGCGGAGCTTTTTCAATTGTTGTACTCAATTGGCAAGTTTTTGCGACACACCCTCTCGTATCTCTGGAACAACTACCGTATTGTTGGTCCACTCAATATTGTTGCAGTCTTACATTCAGTTGGTGTGATCCTATCCGTACCTGGTCGCATCGTACGAGGCGACGTGACGCACAACGTGTTTCGGATGAGAATAAGCAACAGATTTGGATCAAAAGTACCTACCTGCGATCGAGCACAGGGTGCGTCGATTCGACGAGCAATTTCCCGGTAAGAATTTCGGTGCGTTTGGGCCCTCACGCTGCTTTGACCGGCAAACGTGCCGAAAATTATCTGAATTAAAAACTATTTTTGTGGAAATGATGTCGGCACCTTCCAAAACACAATCTGCGAGCGCAGGCACGACGATTTATTTTTCTCAGCCTGTTTCCTTCCACGAAAATAGTTTCCGCCAAATTGTCCAGTTTTGAGTTCGCACGGTCATTGAATTCTTCAAATAATGCTTGTTCTTTCTCTTCTGGTCCTTTTTTTGTTCATCCCATCCGAAATAGCGAGCTGTGCGGTCGTGTACAGGGAAGAATGACAGGCCGGTCATTGGTTTTTTGAGGATAACTTTTTTTCTAGTTATCCGGGGACCCTGAAACTTATACGGTAGAATGTCACCAGCTATACTGGGGTTACCAAGTTTCTTGACTGGTAACCCACAAGTATAGCAGTTGACAATGTGCGGAGCCATTTCATGGGTTGTACTCAATGAGAAAATTCTTACGACGAACTCTGTCGTCTCTATAGAATCGACAGAACTGTTTGACCGCTCCATCGTTCCGTATTGTTGGTCCACTCGATCGTGATGTGGCCGTAGTTGGTTTCCTCCTGTCCGTAGCTGATCGCGTCGGACGAGGCGGCGAGAAGCACAACTTCTCTGGGAGCGAGCTCATGGCGGGTCAATTCTGGAACGTTCATGTTGGTCGCCTCGATTCCGTTGCCGATTTTGTTGACGAACTTATCACATCGAGGTGTTCTAGTCGTCGTACGTTGCGCTCACATGTAATTTGCGGCAAATTGCTGAAGACACCGGCAATTTGCGCTTCAAAACGGCAAGAGACAGTAAGTTGACCAGCATTCGTAATGGGCGTCTCTCTCTGGAACCACTACCAACAGACAAAACTGCTTGGCGGTTCCATCGTTCCGTATTGTTGGTCCATTCGATCGTGATGCGGCCGTAGTTGGTTTCCTCCTGTCCGTAGCTGACCGCGTCGGAGGAGATGAACAGAAGCAGATGATCCGACTTCTGTTGACGAAATTGTTCGCGTGAGATCCAAGCAGCCGCTGCAGAAATCTGAAAAAATATATTAGTATTAGTTCCCCCTGTATTTTTGTTAAAATGAGGATACTCACTCTCAGTATCAGTTGAATTGGATCCGGAGTGTCCTCTGCTCTTCTCTCGCCAGAATCCGTTGCAACCTCGTTCAATCTTCTTGGAATAGAACTCTCCAATCTTAATATTCGCTATTTTGATTCTGTAGACAATGCGAGGGTTCGACCAGCTTACGGCGCGTCTAAGACGATCTTCGCGTTCGGTTGGCTGAGTGGCGACATCTCCTGGTGGGACGAGTTGGATCGAGACGGTATTGGAAGGTGTTGTTGGGTAACTGCTCTGTTGCAGTGCACTTTGTCGTGATTTGTCTCCGGGTCAGAGTGGAAATGATGGCGATTACTTTCAAATCTGCGAGAGAAGACTCAATCATTGATCTTTCTCAGTCAGCCTGTAGCCGCAAGAAGAGTTTCTGCCGCATTCTTCACTTTTCGGTCCGCAGGCTCATTGAATTCTTCAAATAACGCTTGCTCCTGATCTTCTGATTCTCTTCATGTTCATTCCATCCGAAATAATGAGCTGTGGGGTCGTGTGCAGGGAAGAATGACAGGCCGGTCCCGTTAATCGCGCTCTGCAAGGCGGAATATCGATTTTCGAAGCGTCCACGTAATAGATTTCTGAAGAAAACTGTTCAGAAAACACTTACCGATAAGAAAAAGTCGCTGAATGTCTCGGAATATGGATAAAATTCAGCTGAAATAGTCTGAAATACGGTAAAATATATTATTTGTTAAAGACGCACACTGTGCGGCTGGCCGGCAGGTCTCGAAACGACTTTGGCGTTTTCTAGGCCATCGTCTCGGTCTCTTCGATTCCCATGCTATTTTTCGCTTGATTTGTGAACGTCTTCATTTTTAAGCAGAATTTATTCTGAAACGTATGTTTTCAGCTTTTGACAAAAGAAACAAATATTTCAGATAAAGAACGAGAGGAAAAAGAACAAGGTGACTCCCTAACTATCGAGCAGAGTCATGATTTCTGCAAAAATGCATAAGCCGAGAGGGTGGATGGATTTGGTGTTCGAATCCAGTGATCTTCGGGGAGCAGTGGGAGCCATTGGCAGAGCTCAGATACGAAACATGTGCAGAAAAGAAATTTGGAAAAAAGGCAACTGCGGATGACTAAAAGCTCACGATCTCAACAGAGGAAGATATTGTAGCAACTCTTACTGCTGGCGAAGACCCCTGAAGAACAAAGACGAAGAAAAAGAAGAAGAAGAATGATTTGGCAAAACTAATTTCACACCACCTGCTCCTCGCTCCAGCTGAAGCGGTCAAACCTCGTAGATCAAGGAATCCCGGTGACCGCCGTCCAGAATAGAGGCCGATGGAGGTCATCAGCAGGACTCGCTCGATACCTCAGAGATTCCCCAGAATCCCAGGGCGTAAGTTTATTACAGAAAAAGGCAAAGTTAAATTTAAAAACGAACAGAACATTCTTCTCAGATTTCCGCTCTCGCCGATTTTCCAGCGCCCAGCTCGGCTCGCTCTCAGCTCCTCTTCCCTTCGGAAGGACAACTCAACGCAGACAACATCATCCAACCTTCGGAAGAAACAAAAAAAGCCCAGCACAGGAGATTTTGTCGTCGAGGACCGCTCAGGGCACCAATAAATTTCGCCCGCCCTTCTATCGGCCCCGTCGCTCATATCATGTAAAATTGTTCTATCGGCTCAAGCCCACATTGTTGTGACGAACTTGAGGCTCATTTTTAAATAGAAGTGTAACGGCGGCAACATCAATGCCCGCGCTTGTGTCTCAAGATGATTAGAGTTGCCACAACATTGGTTTTGATTGTAATACTAATATTTGTCCATATCGGTGATGATGCGTAGGGGAAAAGTATCAAACACGGCCGCAAAAGATGATTACGCAATCCGGATCAGGTCGGCTCACTCTAATTGGATTGGCATTCGCATCACTTCCATTTTTCTCAGGCATGCGTAACACAAATACCTATTTACCTCGGACATTTAGGTATTATTGTGAGTTCTCGTAATTACGCCTCAAAAACGTGATATTGCATGGTAGTTACCAGACGATGACGCTTTACGATTAGCACTTGCCACCATAAAAGAGGTACATCTGTGTTGCACTTAGTTTTTTTTACAGATTCGTCAGACGCTTTCTTGATTTGAAACGTGTTTCTTTTTCAATTTTGAAAACTGTGCAGTCACGACCATTTCTGCCCTTTCCGAGCAGATTTACAACCTTTTGAAAGGCTCGCCGTGCCCCGTAAACAGCTCACTGGCCGACAACATTCTTCCCGATCGGCAAGTCGGTTATTTTTCAAAAAAAAAGAGCGGAAAGGTAGTCCCGTCAGTTGGCCGGTTGCACAATACCGTTCGGCTCACCTTTAAACGTCTTCAAAGAAAATGCGGTACATCAGGTGTCGGTCGGCGGAAGGTTGCGTGATTGCTTGCGGAGCACTTGCCGACACGCGCGTTAGAATGTGAGGAGGAAGAGTGCGTAATAGACGTTGATTCTCGGGAAAAAAACGCGACTTTTGTGACAAAAACTGTAAAGAAATTGTTGATAAAACGCTAACATTTTAAGAAGTGGCGTCGGAGAATCTCTAGTTTTGCGTTGCAGGTCTGGTCAAAAGCGAACTGGCCATTTCATTGTCGAGAATTGTAGATTTCCTCGAAAAAAAAAACGAAACCTGGAAAATAATAAAAATGAGTAAGGTTTCTACTCTTTGTGCACTTATTTCCGAGTTTTTTTCAGGTAATTCTGTTCTTCTTAATTGAACATTTTCCATTCCTTGCGGCACCCGTTTGTCTATTCTCCTTTGGCCACGCGGACCGCGTGCCGACGGATCACGGACCCATACTCTCCGCCCTTCTCTCTCCGCCCCGCCCGCCTACCTCAATCACTGCAGCTATTAGTTGGTACCTCACCACCATTCTTCGTAACATCTCTTATTCGGACTACTTCCCATTCTACCAAGTCAATGATGACCAAGCTTCAAGTCAACTCTTCTGAAAAATCCGGTGCTTCCAAAACAAGAAAGGAAAAGAGTTGCGAGAAAGAACACCGTCGAACCCAAAACATCAATGGAGCTTTCGCCAACCTGCAACAGTGAGTTTCCTCTTCTCAATCAGCTATCAGAAGTACACATATTTCCTATTTCCAGGCACATTCCGTACCTGCGACCGGAAGAAAGAAGGCAACTGCCGAAGATAAAAACACTCCGGCTGGCCATGCAATACATCGATCACCTCAATAAACTTCTGAGCGGCAACGAAGTGGTACATTTGCAACTGAATATGTACATACTAATCGCACCATTTTCGTTACAGATGGAGACCGATTGCGAGGAGACACGTCCTCTGACTCATTCCGACTTCCGTCAGGCGATTTGTAGTGAAATGCGGGTCAAAAACAGCTACCGGGAACGAGCTCACTCTCAGGAATTGGATGCGGCTACTGTGCAACGGATTTTGGCGAGAGAAGAGCAGAGAACACGCCGGCTCCATGTCAATTCAACTGATAATGAAGGTGAGTGGCTTACTTCTCAAAAAAAGAGCAAGTGAAAACTATAGGTTTTTACAGATTTCTCCCCGCGACCGCTTGGTCCTCACTCGAACAGTTGCGTCAACAGCAGCCAGATCCCCAGCAACCAGTACATGACCTTCGGAACACCGGTCTATTCCAATGTTCCTGGAAACTCAACAATATATTCACAAAGTCCTGAGTCCCAACCAATGTATCCAGATTCCTCTCCTCAGTCGGTAGAGAACTATTCTCATTACATACCAACCAACTTTTTTCCTCATCCTTTCCACTAAACCGGTGTCGTTTTTGTTATGTTTTGCTTGTTATCCCACCAAAACTGTTATACAAATTGTTACCCAATAAACAATTGTTGAAGTGCACGGCCGAGCATAAACGTTTATGTAATCAGATCCAGAGACCCCCTGCTAATCCTTCGGAGGAGAGAAGATCCCACTTGACCTGTAAACTCACCCCCATATAAGGAATGTATATGTGAGCAGCAAAGAGACACTCTTGAGAAAGATCAACAGCAATTTAGACCGGGCATGAAAAGTTTGACAAAATTTGTTTCCCCAACTTCAAATTCAGTAGCTTTTTGAATTCCTTACCTCCGTTACTGTTTCATCAAATGATCTTTGGTGAAGACGTATCTCTTCAAGTGAAAAATCTGAAAAGTTCCGTTAAACCTGTTTCGGTGAACAGACTAATTCAATTTTAAAAAAAGAACTAACGAGTAAGAAACCTTCCACTAGACAGTTTCTTTGTTAAAAGTCTCAAACTGTATTCATTTACCGGTTTACCGACTCTAGATTTTCTTCAAATTTGTTGACTGAACTGCAAAACCAGTTAGATAATCAGTGAGGCTAGAGAACCGACCACTCAGTATCAGTTCACGGACGGCTAGACTCTGGCCAAATGATCATTTTGTATGTCAAGAAGAAACTACAACAGCCTACATATTTCTGCGTCTTCAGTTTTCAGAGATCTCTCTCATACTGGATGTAGTCGGCGTGACCGTTCTCCTCATATAAAAGGAGAGTTCAAATGAGTGGAGATCAAGCAAACCAATAATGGCTCTTTTTCTGCCCATTATTCTCGCAATTCTTCTGACTTTCATTGCGGCCTACTGGAAGTTTTTCCGACAGATTTGGAAGTTCAAAACTTATGATGAGAAGGTAAGTTGAAAAAACGTTTCTAAAAATGAGTGTTTGCTTTCCAGATTCCGGGACCTGCAACCCACCCAATCTTTGGAAACGCGGCATTGTTTGCGGGGAAGAACACTGCAGGTGTGTGTCTAATCACTCTCTTCTCACAGCAATCAGTGCGGCCTGTCCCCGTGCCGTCGATAGCTCAGTTGGTAGAGCGGAGGACTGTAGAGTCAGTGGTTATCCTTAGGTCGCTGGTTCGAATCCGGCTCGACGGATTTCTTTTTCCTATTTTTGTTTGCTTCAGACATCTCAACGTTGTTCCGAGAGACTGCCAATGAATGGAGAAGTAAGGGATTCGATGTGATGAAGTATCGAATTGTGGAGAAGATGTACGTGTTTCCACTCAACGGAAAGTCACTTACGGTAACAAATAAAGCACAAAATCTTTAAAGCTGAACAAATTTCAGAAAATTCTCGAATCAACAACCGAACTGAACAAAGGAGACGACTATAGGTTTCTGGACCCGTGGCTTGGTGGCGGCGTACTTTTGGAGGGGTACGGAGACCGCTGGAGGACTCATCGGAAAATGTTGACCCCAACTTTTCATTTTGCAAAACTGGAAGGATATTTGGAGGTTTTCAACAGTGAATCAAGAGTGAGTTTCGCACGGTCACATACAATTTGATGACTTCAATTTCAGATTCTGGTCGGTTGTCTCGATAAATTTGCGGAGTCTGGAGAAACAGTGGACATCTTCAGTTACATAAAACGATGCGCACTGGATATCATTTGTGCAACAGCAATGGGAGCGAAAGTCGATGCTCAGTTCAATCACGATCATCCGTATGTGAAAGCAGTGGAAGGAATCAATAAGCTATCTGTAAGAAAACGTTTCCAATACTCAAAAACTGTTTTTTGAGTAGGTCACCCATTCTATGAACGCTATCCTTCAAAACAGAGTCGTTTTCTGGGCTCTCGGCTACAAGAAGCAGAAAGATGACTACTTGAAAGTTCTGAAAAAGTTCACGAATGACGTGATCACGGAAAGAAGAGCGGCTCTCGCTTCCGGAGAAATTGAGAAAGAGACATCAAGACGGAAGATGAACTTCCTGGACATTCTGCTAAGCAACGAGGAATCGCATGAAATCACTCCAGAGGATATCAGACAGGAAGTGGACACGTTTATGTTTGCTGGACATGACACAACTACCACTTCCCTGTCGTGGGTTTGCTGGAATCTCGCGCATAATCCGGATGTTCAAGAAAAGGTTTACGAGGAATTGGTTAGTATTTTCGGAGAGGATTCGAATGAAGACGTCACTTCGGAAGGAATCGGAAAACTGGAATACACGGAACGAGTGCTCAAAGAGTCCAAACGAATCATCGCGCCAGTGCCAGGAGTACAGAGAAAACTGAGATTTGATATGGAAATAGGTTTGTTTTTAACCATCGGATTGGTAATTTCAAGCGGAAATTCAAATATTTTCAGCTGGCGTGAAAGTTCCAGCCGATGCGAATGTCTCCATCTCCCCTCTTGTTCTCCACAGCAATCCGGATGTGTTCCCAAACCCTGACAAGTTCGACCCTGACCGTTTTCTTCCGGAAGAAATTGCCAAGCGACACACCTACGACTACATTCCGTTTTCCGCTGGACTTCGCAATTGCATCGGACAAAAGTTCTCGCAGCTCAATGAGAAGGTCATGCTCATTCATCTTCTCAAGAACTACCGGATTGAGCCGAAACTCGGGTTTTATGGAACCAAACCGACTTTTGAGGTAACTAAATGGGTCTAACCGTTTTCATAAGATGTACATATTCAGGTTGTTGCAAAGCCTTCCAACGGAATCCCAGTGAAACTGATCCGAAGATTCTGATACAGACAACAAAACGAAGGTTTCTGCCATATTCACGCTCATATTTAACTCGCTGTACATATTTGAACGATGTAGATTTCAAAAGTTCTCACACACTCGGTTGCCTAATAAAACTTTATATCAATCTCGCTCAGAATGTTGATGAGCTAAGAATTAACGATAATTTATTGAATTGAGCATTTGTCTCCGCTTTTCTCGGCAGTTTGGCCCTTCTTCTCGTCGGTAGCAGTTTCTTTGCTGGCCAAATCGCAATCTTTCTTCTCATTCTTCTCGATTTTCAATCCTCCCTGGAAAATAAATGGAATATCAGATCCTGACCAAAAGAGACTAACGTCGAGCAAATTTTTCTTCCATGATTTGTTCTTGTTGGAAGAAGCACTTTCTTTGTCGCTGTTAAGATCGAACGACTTTTTCGATTTGTCCGAGTAGGTCTGCAGAAAGCACAATAACGATTATCGCATTGTTACCGTCTCACGTTCGACTTTTTCACTATTGTGTCTGGTGTAGGTCTGGACGACAATCCGAATGATCTCTTGTGAGACGTGAACCAAAGTGCTTCAGGGGTCTGAAAAAATACCGAAACATTATTTGAAAAACTGGGCCTTAACTCACTTCAGGTCTGTCAAGTACAAGAGGAAGTTGATTTCTGTCCATTTTCGATATCGTTGAGTCGAAACAAGATCCGCAAATGATTTTGTCGAACGATGTGCATTGAGCAACGTGTATGGTTTTCATATGAACACGTATTGACTATTCAATTATGTTGACTCGATCCAACAAACCGTGAGAATGATGACGCGGCATTGGAACACAAAAGATGGAATTGTTCTTTTAAGGGATACTTCAAAAGAAAAGTTTGGCACAATAGAAGAAAAACGTTTAGCTATAGGCATGCAAACGATCTATTCATGACTTTTCAATAGAGAGGATTCGTGGTGTTTGCTGCCATCATCTTGAAGGAACTGACACGTTCGAGGGTTTTCCGCGACTTGATCACAAGGAAATGCGTTTCGATAATGCGGGAACTCGACAATAGCCGACAACGCGTTGAGACAGATCTGAATGGATGGATGAGGTTCATTCCTTTCGTCTTTTGCTGAAAAATATTATCCCGTTTCATAGAGGGCCAAAAACAGAAGGAAATGAGTAAATTGATGGATCCTAGCACGATGACTGTCACGTAGATAGCTGGAGGCCAAAATGTGAATGATAAAATTCCAATTCTGAGCAATGTATCATTGTTATAAGCAGTTCTCCAGAGTTGAGCGGAAGAACACGGAAGAATTTTTATCTTTTTTAGAAAAATGTTTCATGGAATGTGATCAACTGACGAAATGTATAGCAAAGTGAACTCTGCTCATAAAAAAATAATTGTACATTTAGCTATTCATACAAAAAAGTTATTCGAGTTGGTCCGTGAAAATGTCCTTCCGTCTTCCGTTAGCCCTTTTTTCACGGAACAACTCGAATAACTTTTTTGTATGAAAAGCTAAATTTCGAAACGATCGAACGCCCTTTTCACCACCTTCTTTTTTCTGGAACCGTGCAGATGTTAACGGACAATACTGTTTATTTGAATCACCTTTCGGATTCCGGAAAAGTTCTGTTGTTTGATCGCCTGAAGATAGCGCCGTCAATCATGAATACCTGAAAAACCGTTTTAATAACGTTGAAAGGGAAGGTAAACGGACCTGTAGCAGTAGTGTGCACATCAGAATCCAAAGCGCCAACTTCATGATTGCGAACAATGATTGAGAGAGGTGTTGGAATGGGAGGATCAGTTTCTGATGTAACCATTGGAAAATGAGAGAACTCCTCTACATGAGAGTGCCGAGATGATAAGGTACATTTCCCGGTCGGATCGAAAAGATGCTGAGGGTTAGCAGAGGAAAAATAGCTGATGATACGAATGAATCATCTTATCCGTGGCCATTAGTGTACTGAAAGTATTATTGTCATTCTTGCTAACTCTTAACCTCGTAAACATGTTGACAGTTTTTTTCATATTCTTAGTCACTGATAGTCATCAAGAACATGCAAAAATGGGCGGAAAACTGATAACGGTGCTAGTATTTACAATTTCCCAGTTCTTCAGTTTGTCTTTTTGCTGAGAGAGTCACACTAAAACCATTCCAACATCTTCATGAACTGCTTGACCATTGGCCCTTGTTTTTTGATAAGAATTCTGTTTAAGAACTTATTTGGGAAAAAAAACCAGGTGAGACTAAATTCCACATTTTCCTGATAGAAAATTGATTTTTCAGAGTAAGAGATGCCGCACTAATTAAAGGACCAGGGAACCCAAAAATTTTTTGATTAATTTGTGAAATTTTTTTGTGACTGTTTGAATTGTCTCTTATTGCCTCATACACTGGTGAAATGCTGCCTCTCAAAAATGCCAATGAACGAAACGGCATGCAGTTGAAGTTGTGGCCGTGGCCTAGCGCCAATGGCCGAAAAAAATATAAAAAAATATATGCGCTTCTCGGCCATTTTATTTTTTTCCGCTTTTTTTACCGGTTTTTTTCCAAAAAAATTCACGGTTTCTCCCATTTTGGCACTTCATATCGACTGAATGAAAACAATTTTTTAGCAGTGAAAAAATAAGTAAGTGCCGAACAAATGTCAATCAACTGAAAAATGGGAGAAACCGTGAATTTTTGGAAAAAAACCGGTAAAAAAGCGGAAAAAATAAAATGGCCGAGAAGCGCATATATTTTTATATATTTTTCGGCCATTGGCGCTAGGCCACGGCCACAACTTCAACTGCACGCCGTTTCGTTCATTGGCATTTTTGAGAGGCAGCATTTCACCAGTGTATGAGGCAATAAGAGACAATTCAAACAGTCACAAAAACATTTCACAAAAACATCAAAAAATTTTTGGGTTCCCTGGTCCTTTAAAGATCTGCGTATTGAGAACGTGATTAAAGAGTCCTCTGGGAACGATAATTCTAAAAACAAAGAAGCAGAAATCAAAACAAAAGAAGATCTGGAGGAAAGTCGCAGAATTTTGATGGCACAACTCGCACTGGTGTAAGCTATTTATTTCATGAAATTTCAAGTTCAAGTTCGTTGAATTTAAGTGAAAAAAAATTGGGAAATAAAGAATCTAATAATGGTGAAGAATTTGCAAAGAAACGAGAAAAGATGCAAGAGGAACTAAATCAAAAACTGGAGAAGCAGATCAGCGAAGAACTCATGAAATGCGCAGAAATCCGTCAAGAAACAGAACAAATTGAGGTGGGTGCTACATTCCAAATCGAATCTGGGCTAGAGACTCATCTTTGTTTCAGTGAGAAACTAAGGAACAATTTGAAAGTTCTGGAATGAGCTACAGCTACACCACCAATCAATAAAGGTGTAAAAGAATCCATTATTCCGTTCAGACCTTTTCAACTGCTAAAGTTGCTAATTGAATAAAACTCTACTTATATCCACGACCATATTTGAAATTTAAGAGGCAATGTCTGAGAAGTTCAAAAACTGCAGGTCACTAAAAATTCAGAATGCTTCAATTTGTCTAATATTATACCCAATGGGTACTTACATAACAGTGATACATCAGACAAGTTTTGGTCCGGCTCCTTGGTCCCTAGTCCGATCACGGTCACAAAGTAGGTCAAACCTGTAACTAATTTCAAAAAAATGGTAGCGTCTCAGACTCAAGGCCATTCGATTTCTCGCATCTTTTTAAGCATTTTTTATGTTGGCACGAAAAATTTATCACCTTTCCTTCATGGAGAAATTTCGGATTTTTCGTGAAAAAGTTGAGGTGTTCTGCAGTTTTCCTCCGTGGTGAAAATTTTTTGCACTTCATAGCCACGATTTTATTTCAAATTCTACGGGCAATTTTACGTCGATATACCATACTGTCGCACATTTGCCGATTGACATCAAAGGAGTTTTTTTCAAAAGTTTGATCCGGTCTCAAAAAAAAGTTTCTGTTCTGCTTTTGGAAAACTTACAGAAACAAGGGAATTCCTGTTTATAGACGTTTTTCATGCTAAAAACTGTAATTCTGTTATGTATTCGTCAGGTACAGCTTTGTAAACGTAGCGATTAAAACATGTTGAAATTTTTTGTCAGCCGGATAGATTTTTCGAGATGTGTTCGCTTTTACCCAATATTTTATGCTTTCTCTCGTTTTTATTTTTCAATGTTCATCTAACTTTTTGTGAAGCACTTATTAGGTCGTTCTCCGATAGATTCAAGAACGGTAAGAAGTACATACACAAGGGGCAACACTCAACAACAAAGGTACATGAGAAAAACCTAAAACAGGAAAGTTATAAATAGTGGGCGCAAAGGAGGGGGCGTGGCCTGACGAATTTTCTCCCGATTTTCGCGCGCGCATGTTTGAGGACCTGTACCGAGGTCCCCAGATCAAGTACCATACTCGTAATGTTTTACTTTATGTAATCGACCATGCTGAATCTAATGAACAACTCCGTTTCCTACGAAAACGCACCATTTTCTCAAAAAAAAAGGCAACAACGAGAATGGAAGTCAGTCTGAGAGCCCGTGTGGCCACATTTATGGCTACACGCGCCTACCTTCAAGTGATTCCAACAGTTTAAGGGATGGGGAATCCGTTTTTTAAGTCAGAATCAGACAATTTAGTTTCCGATTTTTTTTACAGGTCCTCAAACTGGCACAAAAAATTGTGAAAAAATTTCAGCGATGACCATACTTTTTTATGTTTGGAATCCATAGATAAACTCTCTGAGAACCCAAATACAAATTTTCAGAGCTCTAGACAGTCTAGGACCAGATTTGTGTTCATTTTAGTAGAGCCAGTTTGGCCGAAATTGTAGTTTTTGGGGGTTTTGAGGGTCACAGGTACCTTACACGCGGCTAATTTTCCCAAAATCGGATTCAGCATCAAATTTCCGACCGATCCATGCCAAACTTTTCCATCTATCTAGTTTCCGTTTTTTGAAAAGTGACTGTAAAGTGTAACAGTTTTGGATTTGAGCACGCAAAAACACTAATTTGACACCTAGAAGTGGACCGCGCGCAGCCAATTTTTCTATGCCATTGGCGGCCGGCGCGCCTTCGCCCGGCTGGCGCAGTGGGAAAGTGCTCACTCGGCAATCTAAAGGTGCCGGGTTCGAAAACTTTGACCTCGAAAGTTATTTTGCTTTCTTAGAACATCATTTCTGCTCATTCAAAATGTTGACTCTTTGGTTTGGTCCACCAGACAAGGATAAAAAACGCGTGCGGCAAACTTGCTAGTGAGACTCCGCCCCCTCCTCGGCCGCCGACCTGAGAGAAAACAGGGCGACTTTGGAGTGGTGTAACTCGGGATGTACCGAAAATTTTCGAGAAAAAAGTTGGGAGCGTACTCATATAGAGTAGGGGAACACATTCCAACAAGAATTTTGTGGAAATTCGGAGTTTTGCGAAACCCGTTGCGGTACCTAGTTATAAAGCGTCTTTTCTTCACATTTCAGTTTCTTCCATAGCAAAAATTGGATCACTGTGTTCCATCAGTGCGTAATAAAAAGAATCACCGATAGTCCAAGTGCTTTCAAGTTTCAAATATCGGATCACTCCAGCATCGTCATGCTCTTCCTCTGGAATAGTATAGTCTTCCTTCCACGATTCATCCTTCATTTCTTTAGCGCGTCGCGATCATGCTGCTTTTGATTGCCTTTTCGCTGGTTCACGGGAGAAGAAACCGGCAATCTGACGGAAGGGTTTCCTTTGATCCACTGAAAACCGCCCATCCGCCCTCCAATTCCGTCTTCTCGTTCGTTTCCTTCAGTTTTTTCACAGCATCCCAAATTATTGGGCAACTTTTTGACCACTTCTTCCAAACCACGAATAAAATTTTTCAATGAAAAATCACGAAGTGTCTGCCGTTCAGGTCGAATTATATGTTGTCCACGTTCAACATGCTTGACCACGCTTGAATATCTCAAAAATGTAGCTGAGCATCCTTCCTCTGGGCATGTAAATATCTTTCCCAAAGCGTCTTCGTACCGCGGTCTCACTTCATCGCTTTCCACTTCATTTTCATCTTCTTCTTCAATGCAAGCAGTGTTTTGAGAATCAAATCAGTTGACTTAGTACATTCCAAAAAGTACAAAAACTTGGTCTGCTTTTGCGACAGTACAGCATTTCGTTCTTCATTAATAGACCCAATCACAGTTGAAGTGTATCCGGCATGTTCGAACTCGTATGTTCCAGTCAATGACTTAAAATTACTTTACGGAACAAATTGACCATTGCAAGAGCAACTGTACAATCAGGAAAACAATGAGTTTCATTATAATCTGTAATATTGACCATCTAATAATATCAGAAGTTTGAAAATAGTAAGAAGAATAGCTACACAAAATTTGCTTTGTGCTTTTATACCTATTTGATGTACTTTTGTGGTTGAGTGTCGCCCCATGTGTATGTACTTCTCGTTTACCGTTCTTGAATGAATCGGAGAACGACCAAATAAATGCTTCACAAAAAGTTAGATGAACATTGAAAAATAAAAACGAGAGAAAGCATAAAATATTGGGTAAAAGCGAACACATCTCGAAAAATCTATCCGGCTGACAAAAAATTTCAACATGTTTTAATCGCTACGTTTACAAAGCTGTACCTGACGAATACATAACAGAATTACAGTTTTTAGCATGAAAAACGTCTATAAACAGGAATTCCCTTGTTTCTGTAAGTTTTCCAAAAGCAGAACAGAAACTTTTTTTTGAGACCGGATCAAACTTTTGAAAAAAACTCCTTTGATGTCAATCGGCAAATGTGCGCCAGTATGGTATATCGACGTAAAATTGCCCGTAGAATTTGAAATAAAATCGTGGCTATGAAGTGCAAAAAATTTTCACCACGGAGGAAAACTGCAGAACACCTCAACTTTTTCACGAAAAATCCGAAATTTCTCCATGAAGGAAAGGTGATAAATTTTTCGTGCCAACATAAAAAATGCTTAAAAAGATGCGAGAAATCGAATGGCCTTGAGTCTGAGACGCTACCATTTTTTTGAAATTAGTTACAGGTTTGACCTACTTTGTGACCGTGATCGGACTAGGGACCAAGGAGCCGGACCAAAACTTGTCTGATGTATCACTGTTATGTAAGTACCCATTGGGTATAATATTAGACAAATTGAAGCATTCTGAATTTTTAGTGACCTGCAGTTTTTGAACTTCTCAGACATTGCCTCTTAAATTTCAAATATGGTCGTGGATATAAGTAGAGTTTTATTCAATTAGCAACTTTAGCAGTTGAAAAGGTCTGAACGGAATAATGGATTCTTTTACACCTTTATTGATTGGTGGTGTAGCTGTAGCTCATTCCAGAACTTTCAAATTGTTCCTGAGTTTCTCTCTGAAACAAAAATGAGTTTGTCTCTAGCCCAGATTCAATTTGGAATGTAGCACCCACCTCAATTTGCTCTCTTTCTTGACGGATTTCTGCGCATTTCATGTGTCCTTCGCTGTTCTGCTTCTCCAGTTTTTGTTTTTGTTCCTCTTGCATATTTTCTCGTTTCTTTGCAAATTCATCATCATCATCAGATTCTTTATTTTCCAATTTTTTCTCACTTAAATTCAACGAACTTGAACTTGAAATTTCATGAAATAAATAGCTTACACCAGTGCGAGTTTTGCCTTCAAAATTCTGCGTCTTTCCTCCAGATCTTCTTTTGTTTCGATTTCTGCTTCTTCTTTGTTTTTAGAATTATCGTTCCCAGAGCACTCTTTAATCACGTTCTCAATACGCAGATCTTCAATTAGTGCGGCATCTCTTACTCTGAAAAATCAATTTTCTATCAGGAAAATGTGGAATTTAGTCTCACCTGGTTTTTTTCCCAAATAAGTTCTTAAACAGAATTCTTATCAAAAAACAAGGGCCAATGGTCAAGCAGTTCATGAAGATGTTGGAATGGTTTTAGTGTGACTCTCTCAGCAAAAAGACAAACTGAAAAACTGGGAAATTGTAAATACTAGCACCGTTATCAGTTTTCCGCCCATTTTTGCATGTTCTTGATGACTATCAGTGACTAAGAATATGAAAAAAACTGTCAACATGTTTACGAGGTTAAGAGTTAGCAAGAATGACAATAATACTTTCAGTACATCGTGATGGCTCGTCGTTTCAGTTCTGAAAGTTCTTTTTTCCGGGGGTAAATTAGGCCAGAATCGGGGGAAAGGCCACGCTGAGCAACACTGGCATCTTATGGCTACTCGTGTTCTTGAGGAATGATGCCTAAGTTCTCCCTGAAATCCGAACCTTAAACTTCAAACCAGAGTTGAGCGGAAGAACTCAACGGAAGAACACGGAAGTATTTTTATCTTTTTTAGAAAATTTTTTCATGAAATGTGATCAATTGACGAAATGTATAGCAAAGTGAACTCTGCTCATAAGAAAATAATTGTAAATTTTGCTTTTCATACAAAAAAGTTATTCGAGTTGTTCCGTGAAAAAAGGGCTAACGGAAGACGAAGACATTTTCACGGAACAACTCGAATAACTTTTTTGTATGAATAGCTAAATTTACAATTATTTTTTTATGAGCAGAGTTCACTTTGTTATACAGGGTGGGGAATAAATATAGCGCCCAATTCAAAATGTCGTAATAATATAAGTTCAAATCGCAAGATTTTTTCTGTAAATCTACTACATAAAAGCTCTATTAAACAATAACAAAAAGAATGAAATTAGCAGTTTTTCCCGATTGCACCTTTCTCTTCGTTGGCAGCCGTCAGTCTCCTCGGTCAGCGGCGGCACGAGGGTAGTTGACGTAAAGATCGTGTCATGGCTTCCGTAGTTCAAATTTCCGGACTCCCTATTTTGGTTAATTGTGAATGGATACATACTAGGCATCCCACCCAAACTCGGAGAAGTCCATAGAAATCATATCCGACTTGAAATCTACTCGTTCTTCTTAAGTGATAAAACTTGCGAAATTGGCTTTGCGCCACTGTTAGGTGGTTTTGGCTCGATGAGCAGGTGTACCGTCTTGCTGGAAGACCCTATCTTGTTTTCCGTAATCAACTAGACCCAAGACAGTTCCTTCGATCCGAGAATCTTACTGGAGTAGCATTTACGGTTGATTTTCGCTCCAATCTCAGTGATGTTTTGCCATTGGCGGAAATTCTCCAAAGAACCATTACTGAAGCCGGATAAAAAATTTTAAAAATTATTTTTCCATTCCGACGGACAGTCTCAATGTCCCCTGAGATGATCTTGTTGTTGTGATCATCATTTTCGATACCAGCAGCGTGTAGCCACTCATCTCCGATCAGAGTCTGCAGGCGCGTGCCTTGCCGCGTGCCGCCAACGGGACTTCCGGCTTTCTTGAAGCGAAAATCCTTGTTATGGAACGATCCTTTTGAATACGATAAGGAATCATATTTAGTTCCTGTCTGACAATAGCTTACATAGATTTTAAGCTCATACGGAACTCTGACGATATTTTCCACGCGCTTCTCTCCGGCTTTATACGATTTTTGCTCTAACCGATATGACCATCTTGGGAGTTGTCACTGAGACCGGGAGACCACTTCTCTACTTGTCTTCCAATGTTCCGAGGTGTCAGAAACATCGGGAAGTCATATTAACAAACAATCTTCCGACGCCGAGCTTCCTAACTATTTTAGACGATCGCATTCCTATCTTTCTGAACCCCATAATTACGGACCTAGGCGATGACGGAGCCACCATTTCTCTCAATATTAAGAGAATTGTCTGCAACTTGGACAAATGGTCAAAAATGAAGTGATGAATGGAAAAAATAACATCAGCGGCCATCCCATTGGTTTTGTAGGCGTCAGCGCTCACGCGAAGTTTGGGCGCTATATTTATTCCCCACCCTGTATTCATCCGTCCATAAATTAGCTCATTTTTATCTTGCTCTTTGCCAAAATGCATTTAGAATAGTGGTGCAGAACGTCTTTAACAAAACGATTCATTTGGGTGAAGGAAACACAGTTCGAGAAAAAAGCTGAAGAGAAAAGAACAAGCGATGAGTAATAGTGTTTTGCGGACAAGTGGCGGGGGGAACTGTGCTGCCAAGACGTGACGGTCCTACGGCAGTAGATGCGGACAGCATGCACGTTTCACCTTCTCCACGGAACATCCGAACTCGCAACAATTGGTTGCGATGTTCTCATTGGTGCCAGCTGAAAATGTCAGTTTTGTTTTCATCACGAGTACGGTTATCGACTGTAGCTTGTAAAGATCATCAAAAGGGTTTACTTACGTTCGCACTGGCCACATATCGCTGTCATGTACTTGAACATTCTTTCTCCACACTTCTTTTGTCCGTCTTCGTTATGCGTAGTCGTCCAACGCTCTGGGGTGGTCGATGAAGACAGTGTTTCGGAGTTGGTCGAGAAGGTCGGCACAGCTAGGATCAAAGAGACGACGGCGATCAGAAAGATGAGAAGGACGAGAAGCGAGTTCATGGTTAAGGATGATCGTGGATTCGAGCAGAAAGGTGTCTGAAACCTTTTTCGGAAGGGTCCAGCTCCCCAGCAAGGAATGGGCGGGACCTGTCTCTGACTCCCCACCCGTACAGTGAATGATGAGCTTTCAGTGCGCCGAATGAGCTTGACATCATCCGAATCGAAACGAATCTTCAGATTTCCAATTTAAATGTGGAATATGCGCCCCCACCTTTCTGAAAAATGACAGGGTCGAGACTCAATAGATGAGCCGCACGTTGCTTGACGTGGCTTTTATTTAGCATTTCAGTGTGAACCCAGAAGACGGATGAGATGAAAGATGAGGGGAAAAGCAAAAAAAGAAGAAGAAGAAGAGGAAGAAGAAGAAGAGTGACGTAAAGAAGGAACAGAGATTTCTGATGACGTATTGTCATCACACATCTGATAAGTAGCGAAAACTGGGAACGAAACTGACAAAATATTTATATATAATATACTACAGTAGAATTGACCAACTAAATAAGAAATATTTTTCTACTTTCCTACTTTTCTCACTGCCGGTATCAGTCTTAGTGGGAATCAAACAGGAGATTCTCATAACTAAAATATCGGTAATGGTCTACATCGAATCCGTGGCTGTCATCGAATGGGCTGGAACGACGAGCTCCGAAATAGAAGTGGCCTCCGTGGTCGAAACGATCGAACGCCCTTTTCACCACCTTCTTTTTTCTGGAACCGTGCAGATGTTAACGGACAATACTGTTTATTTGAATCACCTTTCGGATTCCGGAAAAGTTCTGTTGTTTGATCGCCTGAAGATAGCGCCGTCAATCATGAATACCTGAAAAACCGTTTTAATAACGTTGAAAGGGAAGGTAAACGGACCTGTAGCAGTAGTGTGCACATCAGAATCCAAAGCGCCAACTTCATGATTGCGAACAATGATTGAGAGAGGTGTTGAAATGGGAGGATCAGTTTCTGATGTAACCATTGGAAAATGAGAGAACTCCTCTACATGAGAGTGCCGAGATGATAAGGTACATTTCCCGGTCGGATCGAAAAGATGCTGAGGGTTAGCAGAGGAAAAATAGCTGATGATACGAATGAATCATCTGATCCGTGGCCATTAGTCAAAACGCACAGCGTTCGGGTTAATCGGAGAAGGGGTCTTGAAGAGTCCTGTGAGCTTGAGAAGCATCCAATCTGTCATTGTTATAAGCAGTTCCCTTTCTGTCTTCTGAAAATTTGGTAAATCCTCGACTATCCTTCATCACTACCATCAACTGCTATATTCTGTTCATTCGGTTTTTCCCCATCGCATCTAACCGATCACATGAGCAAGGTCGGACCACTATCAGCAGTCAGCAGGATAAACCGAGCTCCCGCCGCAAACAATTAATCTTCAAAACTAAAACACTCGCCGTACTGGGCACCAGAACTCGAAAGCACGGAAGCCGCTCTGCCGGGTGCCTCATTAATCAGAAACAGTCAGTTGTCGCCGGCGAAAAATTTCTGGTGGCGGAGCAGTAGTCCTTCGTCTGACTCATCTGGAAAACGTGCAGAATTGACAAAAGAACTCGGAAAGAATGGATGTACACAGGTTTTCAGATGGACCCATATTGGAACTGAAACTAAAGGAAACCCTCAATTTCCGTTCAAAGAACTGCAATGTGGCGTTGGATGTGGCACTGGGTACAACGTTTGCAACATTTCCTTTTTCGGTTTTATCCCATTTGTGATTATTCTCCCGTAATCAGTATCTTTAAGTTCGTTTCATGTTGAAGTAAATCTCAATGATCTTTTGGTAATTCCTATTCGGTTTGTACAACTGCTATATTTTAAAATCAAAAAAAAATCCACGAAAATGCGCTCCCTGCCGCACAATTGCGAAACTGCGTGCGGCAGTTGCGTGTCGATTTACGAGACCGATTTTCTCGAGAATTCGTTTATTTTTGACTGGAAAAATGGGAAGAACTGGATTTTAAAAGTAATTTTTGGGAAACATCGATGCCAAGCAAATTGAGAAGAGTTATAAGCAACATCATCCTTCCATTTGAGAAATCGACGTCCCAAAACAAGAAAAACAGTCGCATGAGGTGGAAAAAGGATCATTGTCTGTGAAACGTCCGACTTCTCATTCAAAGTTTGTCTAGATGCAGTACAGGCGCGATACAGAGCCTTACCTCTCTTCCACGAAGTTTCCGCCAAAACATGGATTTTATTGACAGCAAATTATGCAAAATTATTTGTATCTCATCAGTTCATGTCTAAATTTCTCTCTCATCGATCACCTATTCCAAGAAGGCATAATCGATTAGAAATGGATGCCTGTCAAACAATGATCAACCGCCACATTTCTAGTCACTAACGCCGGATGGAATTTAGAAGGAATCGTTGAGATTTGAAAAAAAAACTCACGATTGTGTGTTCGATGAGTGCTAGCGGGACGCGAGCAGCAAGGCCGAGAAGAACGACAGTTGTTCATTCATCGGATAGTTTGCATGGTTCTTTTGTTGGCATATGATTCAAGATATTTAAGGGGCTCGGCGGTGTCAGATACGTGCAAACGCATGGCAATCTTTAGCGTTTCACTGCAAAGCGATTTCTATCGCTTTCCTCATCATTCCGCCTCAGACTAATCCGAACCGCCTGATCACATCCGTCATCAACAGAAGATCATTACACAGAGTGTACACAGCATTGCCGCGCGGCAACGTTGGCTAAACAATTGACGGAGGAACAGTGGAGGTTATCCGTATGATATTGAACTGCCGAAATACTTGGGAATCTATGAAAAGCTGTTCCGATTTGCTCGATAAAACGCCAATAATCGCTCTTCATTTTGGTATCCGTATTCTATCCACCTAACCGATCGATACATTCATCTGCGGGACACTCGAATCATCGTGAACTTTCATCTGAAACGTAAAATAATTTGGAAAATGTAGTCGAAATTCAAGATATTTCACAACGGTCTCCATTCGAATTTCTATTTTGTGACTGCGCGCCGCAACCTTGCGAATTTGCGTGCGGCAGTTGCATGTCGATTTACGGGGCTCCGCCCCTTATATTATTTGTTTCGAAAATGATAATAGCACGGAATTTTGAAGGAACTCGACGGTTTTTCTCGTCAAAATTGCTAAAAAAAAGTGAAAAATAGAATGGACGAACAAAGCGGAAGTGTTCCCGCATTAATTTTTGACAGGATGATAATTTCGTCCAAAGAAGATTTTCGTTGCATGGAAGACCCCTACAATCGCAGCAGACACTCAATTCACTTCTCCGACATCATCTTACTGTCAACAACTCGGTTTTCTTCTGTGTGCTCCGCTTATTCTTATCAGCAGCCTTATCGCAAAGTCACGGGGCATTTCGAGCAGTTTCAAACGGGAGAAATGTAATTGCCAAGTACGGAAAACGGCAATGGGCAATGCCAATTTGGCATACGCGAATCGAGTTTTGAAAATGTGCTTTGAAATTGCCCCGACGCGGAAAAAAGAGGTTTACCAACGCATCCTACACAAAACATTCAGATTTGAAGTGTTGAACGCTCTACGTCTTCCGATTGCTTCAACCAAGATCCTTGACGATAGTTGACAATGAATGAAGTCTCAACTGTTAGACCAGAGCTGAAAAACGTGATTAGAATTCTAGAAATGAATTGAGAATATCTTGGCGCAAGAGATACTCAAGAATACCCTTATTCAGTGAACCAGAGAAGCAAAAAATCATTCAGACTGATGTAGATTATCAAAACTGCGGTGTGCTAATCACTGGAAATCCGAGGATCGTGGGCATAATGATGCATTCATAGATTTTTCTGAAAAGATAGACTATCTAAATCCCCCCTCGCCCTAATGAAATTGTGTGTTTGAAGACAAAGTTGGATGTGTGTTCAGGTTCCGGAACTGTGATCAAGGCTGTTTCCTGTGATTGTGAAAGTGATACCTAAATCGTATCTTATCTTTCACGTGACTTAGCTTTCTCAACTTTACACTGCGAACCTATCTCTGTGACGAACCTTCCATCGGTTCTTTATCATTTCCCCATTACACTTCAAGGATCTGAAACATCACATCCATTCGTTTGAAGGTTTGTTTTGTGCCAAATTCGCACCCTCTCCCAGTTTCAGATCTCTCGCCGTCGTGTGAGGTCCAAAATAATAGGTGAAATGAGAGAGCATTGGTCTGAAAAAGTGCAATAGCACGTGTTGCCGAGAGAGTCGAAAGAAGACACGGAGCCCGCGGTCGGGTCTCGAGCCTCACGCGCCGTCTTTTGCCCCCCGCGTACACATTCCAACGCGTTTCTGTTTGTTTCAGTGTGTGGCGCCGAGGATCGGGCGCCCGATTGTGTGGCAAGGAGGATGCCCGGCCAATAGTGAAACGCGAAGGATACTGTAGGTTGTCGCTTCGGTTCGGGCCTTCGCGTCTTTACAACGTGGCTTCGAACTGTCACTTCCATTTGCTTCTTTACTTCATTTTTTTGGACAATTGAAGGAACAATTGGAACTGAATCTGATTTTCATTGTTTCCTTCTTCAGAGTCCAGCGTTCTCGTTCCTGGTTGTCACAATTAAACCGACCAAACTAATATATTACGGTCCCCTTGCTCTGGCTGTGCTCTCATTTGTAAACAGAACGTTGGTCTACTCGTCTATTCATTCTTTTTCGGCGCGAGCACGGCGCACTTCTCCTCTGCTCTCTTTCCCGCTTCTTTTCGGTCTGAAGTTGCGTGGCGCCGACTTTAAGGAAAAACGGGAGAAGGAGAGAAAGAGGGAGACGACGGGCGCCCTTTGCGACCCTCCAGCTTTTTGAGTTGCAAACATGGTGGCTTGGCGAGATGGACGCGAAAATTGAACAATTCCCGGAGAAGAAGAGCAATTTTTCTCAAGAAGCTTGCACTGTTCCCTGAGTTCCAAATTCGATTTTGAACTTTTGAGGAAGAGCCATTCCCAGTGTAAAATTGTAAACTTTAAGAAGACTTAGGAGAGATTAAAAGTCGAAAAGAACCATGTGAACAAAGAACACAACTACAGTAATCCTGTCATATCAAATTCTGTTTGCAATCCATTTACTAGGTCGATTGAAACTTTCTCTTTTCAAATGAAACGCGCGTTGTGTTGTTATCAGTTTTAAAATCATTCATTCAAAGCGCAGATATAAGTCATGTCTAATTAGATTTTCGTATTCACCGGCATATCCTTGATGACATGTACTTTTGTCACTTTCTTCTGATGTCATACATTTTTCCGATTCCTTCTCTTCCTTCCTTCTCTCTGCTTCAAAGTGTTTTTTGCTCTCCCAACTAGATTTATTTCAGTTTCATTCTCAATCTTTGGAACTTCTTCTGAAGAAGATTCCTACTATTTTTCATCAAAATGGATGAGGTATAGCAGAACTGCTTCTCATTTTCAATAGAAACGTTGCAGAGCAATAAGCCTCCACCCGGAGACGACGTTTTCAAGAAGCCGTATCCACCGGGAAAATTTCCAAAGAAGAGGTTGACCAAGAAGCAGAAAAAAGAAAAACTTCTCAAGAAAGCCGAGAACTTGGCAGTCCGTTGGTGCCGCGAAAATGTTGAAATGCTCTCGAGATCAATGTTCGGCAACCCGATTCATCGTATGAATTCACTTTTGTTTCAGTATTTTTATTCTTTAACTCAGCTGCTCAACCTTACGTTCGAGATCCAAGAGATGACATTCCTGGGCCGTCCGACAGACCATCAGAGCCAAAGGTACTATTGTAGAGAAGATGAAAAAGAGAAACATTTTATTTCAGCAAGGTATAGTGTCCATAGAAGACTACGAGGACTTCTACGAAGATGGCGATTTTAAAAGGCATTTGCTTGAAGATCATGGGTCTGGGGGGCTACCAGCTGGAGGCAGAACTCAGCGCGGAGTGATCACGATAGACGACTACGAGGACATTTACGAAGAGGAATACGGATCCAATCAGTACCAGCTTGCCGGAGAATTCTCCGAAGAAGAAGAGGACGTGGATTCTGGTGAGTACAAATTGAAAGGTAGAATCAGGGAATGATGAGGCTTTTTGCAGATGGGCCTCCTGATGAAGAAGTGGAAGAGGTGGTCCGGCAGCTCAAAATGAAAGAGGAACAGAAAAAGCAATTGGAGCAGAGCAAAGTAGGCGAATCTCCGAAAAAGGAAGCGACGGAGATGTCTCAGGGAAACAGTCTGAGCACCCAGTTGGCTAATTCAATTCCTCGGATTTCGATCCGAGTGCTGCCGCATGAAGGACCTATACCAGAGACAAAAGACCTCACCATGGAGAAGTACGCGATTGACCGTGGACACGACGACAATCTCGTGCGATTTCTGAGATTTTTTCTGAAGGCATTCGTGACGGAGCGTTCAAGAAAATGGGAATTCCACGACAATCATGACGTCATGAATTGCGTGGCGGACATTCCCCAATGTTTAGCACAACTAGTGCAGATGTACGAGTGCTACAAGGAAGAGCGCCGCGACATTCCGCTTCAACGAAACGAGATTGGTCGCCTTGGGAGATTTGTGCTTGTCGTGCGAAGAATACCGCTAGGAGCTGAGAGGCATATCTACGTTTATGACAAACGGGATCCGCGCTACGATCCGCCTATTCTTGTGGATTTTGTTGATCGCTTCACGTATGAGTCAGAGAATAACGTCACTCATCCGCGAGCCAATCAATACGACAGCAAGCCTCCATATGGAGGAATTGCGTTTTTAGAGGATCCATTCTTCAGAGAGAGATTGATTCCGAAGCCGAAAGAGTGTCCGTGGGTTTGGCCAAACAATTGGATCGAGGAGCCACCGGAGAAACCAATGTCATCGGCAACGTCTGGAACGCCGTCTTCTCAATTGTCTTCAGAAGCGATTGTGTTGCATGGAATCGAAAAGCAAGAGCCTTTGAGATCTGTTCAAGAAGAAACGATATCTAATTAGTTTGTTTACTCCTACACTTTTCATTAGCAATATTTCACGTTGACAGCTTGTAGAAATCAATCTGTCTGCGAATAGCTTTTAGAAATTTATCTGTCTGCGAATAGCTTTTAGAAATCAATCTGTCTGCGAATAGCTTTTAGAAATTAATCTGTCTGCGAATCGGTTGTAGAAATCAATCTGTCTGCGAATCAGTTTATGTTTTCAAGGTCAACTTTCTATTCTCTCGATTTCTATACAGCATTGTCTAATTCGGTTTCTGTTTATTTGTCTGAGATTGATTCTCGCTTTCACTCTACTTTTCTTCTCGAATATGGTAAGCTCATCTGTCTTCGTTTTCTATTTTTTTCATGCGGTTCCGGATATTTTGATGAACTTTGATGAAAGGAGTGCGCATTCTCAGAGATAAGCTCTTGCAACGGAAACGATAACATTTCGGATGATCGCACTTGTGTATGCTTTGCCAAATTTTTCTGACATTCTTTGGTAATAAGGCTGTTCAGATGTGAATTGCGTAAACAAACTTTTTCTTGGGGTTTTGGCCATAAACAATCTTTGCGACTGCCATAGCCTTGTGCGACACACGCAAAAGAAACTGAAGAAGATGAATGGTCGCATCAGATAACGTTATTAACCAACAGGACGTTGCCACGTTTCTCCGCATTTTCTAATTGACGATATCGGGGTTGCAAGCGAAGTGTAACTATGATCATTTGTTTGTTGGAGGAGAAATGTTTCATCAACACGGCATCTTATCATTCATGTGACTTGACCATCCCAACATTACACTATGAACCTCTCTTTTCAGGACCTATCAATCTTATCTCTATCAGTTTCTTATTACACTTTATGGATAAGAAACGACGTCGTCATTCGTTTAGTTAGTTGGTTCACTTGCCCACCCTCTTTCGTTGTTCAGTTCTCTCGTCTTAGTGTGCGGTCCAAAATACTGGGAGAGGTGAGAGAGCAGTGGCCTTAAAAACTGCAATATTGCGTGTCGGGGAGAGAGCGAAGAGAAAACATGGAGCCTGCGGGCCGCCATTGCCCCTCCTTCTCTTTTCGTCGCCAGCACCCACCCCTCACCTCCTTCCTCGCCATCACTCATTTTTATGTTTAACGAGGTGTTGGCAGTTTCTTTTTGTGGTGCCTATGCTCGATGTAGTCTTTGTCCTTTGTGAATTTCAGAATCCTAAATATGTACCATTGTAGTGCTTTTCATTCCTATGATTCTCATCAGTCACTCTCATCATTCACAATGACCGTTGTGGACCTGCCCTTATCTAAGTGCCTCGTGCCTTTTAGATATAAATATAAATGCACTTTTTCCAACCACTCATTTTTTCTCTTTTCTCTATATCTACTCGATGGACGTGGGTCCAGTTGCTCATTCAGTTTTCTTGGGAGCTAACTAGGTGGGCCTTCCCTCTTGACATGCGCGTGTGTGGCGCCGGCGACGAAAAAATGACGAAGGGGAAGAAGACGGGCGGGCTGCTCGGCTCTCCGCAAGAGATATCGCTAGTGAAAACGGAGACGCTGTGGAAGGAGGAGAAGCACAACTGGCAGTGTGATATGCAACGTCTCCTCCTCCTCCTACCAACTTCGCGTTGATCTCCTGAACCTGTACTCCATCAGACACCGCCTCCTCAAATCTTAACTACCCATTCTTCAACGCCATATGTATTAGGGGTGTCTCGTACTTTCTTATCCTTCATTATCCTTCATGTCTTATCCTTCATGTCACTCCTCGCATTAATGACTACTTCACGAGTAACTTTCCTATTCGGAACACCACCCTTGAGACATTTTTTTCCGGTTCTTTCTCTCATGATTCCTCTCACATTTCCTCTAACTTTTTGTTTCCTCCTTGCATCCCGCCTTCATTTTTATTTTCTCAGTCTGTATCTTCTCGTTCTACCACCATCACTTCGTTCAAGGACGCGACTGCTCACGACAATCTGAAAATGGACAAGGTTAGTTCAAAATCACTCACAGAAATGTTGGTAGGAACATGATTTTTGTTGTTCCGTAATTATGGACTGATTTAGAACAAAAACCCTCCTCCGCCAGGGAAGAAGCAAAAAGAAAAACGTCTTACGAAGAAGCAGAAAAAAGCATTGCGTCTTATTAACGAAGAAACGGAAGAAGCTCGGGCCCTTCGCGAAAGAAACGAACTGTTCGCGGAAGCTCTGCTCTGCCCGCTTCCGGATGGTTTTTTAGCATCATTCGCTATTGTATCCTAGGTAAATGTTTTCAGATCCACCCGAGTATGTCAGAGATCCCAATGATGACATTCCCGGACCATCCTCGAAGCCGCCGGAGGTACACATAACACATATGCTTCAGAAAATTTTTGATTTAGTACCAGCCGCTTTCTTTCGGGGGTCTCGGAAGTGTCAATACGAATGCAACTGCCGATTTTGGGAATATGCTGACCAGAAAAGATTCCGAAGAGGAGGATGTCGATTCGGGTGAGTTCGAAATGAGAAAAAAAACTGGGGGAAATGTCTTGGAGTTTTGCTTTGCAGAATTAATACAATTTTTGTGATATTCTCTTGGAAATCTGGTATTGAATCATTATTATTGCAGACGGGCCTCCCGACGAAGAAGCAGAGGCAGTAGAGATGGCGTTGTTCATCAACTCACTTTCGCGAATCCGTTTGGAACAGGGAGACGTCGACCCTGTTCAACAACAGAAAGCAGCAGACTCCTTCAGACTTAACTACCTGGAAAGCCAGAGATGTCTATCGATTCCGCTAGTTACGATCCGTATTCTTGCTTACGACGAGAAACTACCGGAACCTGACTCATCTCCCTATATGACAATGGAAGAGTACTCACTCGAGAACGGCTACGATGATAAGCTTATTAATGACTTGGTTAGCCGGCTAAAGGAGAGTTTGAAAACACGCCGACCATTGGATGAGGATCCGAGTCCGGACTCGCACCCACAGCTCAAGATATGTCTTCCTAGCTTTATAAGATGTCTCCAAATGCTCGATCATATTCCGGAATGGTACGCAAACGCAAAACCGTCTTTGCCACATCAGAGAAACGAATTAGTTCGGATGGGACGTTGCCTCGTCGTTTTGAGAAGATTCGCACCAGGCACACCGCCCAGGATGTTCTTTTACGACAAACGAGACATACGTTACGACCCTCCGATAATGGAGGACTTTGCCAATCGATTCTACGATGAAGTGGTTACCAAAACCAAGCACCAATACCAGGATCAGTATCCTCCCACTTTCAACTATGCCATGGTTGCTTACAATGAAGATCCGTTCTGGACAGAACGAGAACATCATGCCTCGGGCGCAGGTTTACCGAGGGTTCTACCAAAGGACTTTTTTAGAAGACCACTGTTCGAAGATGTTGAAGTGCCAGAGGAGGACTTCAACTATGTACCTCCGCCCGGTACCCCACCGATTGACATTCCGCCCGAAGCTCTCGTTTTGTATGAGGAGAGAAAGCAGGAGCATTTTAGAAGACTGAGAGAGAAAGAAGAAGAGGATCGGAAAAAAGAAGAACAGGATCAGGAGAAAGTAGTACATGATCAGCAACCGCCGTCATGAAACAGTGTGTTTCTATCAAATTTGTCCAAATTCGCCAATAACTACGAACGTTTCTTCACCTTCAGCTGGTCCACAGTTTCAAAACATGTATGTTTCAATGTGATATTCTTCCAATTCACCATTTTTCATTTTCAGCTTCCTCTACTCCGTCAAAACTTCGATTCGGAATTTTCAAAACCCTTTAACGTTTCTTCACCTTCAGCTGGTCCACAGTTTCAAAACATGTATGTTTCAATGTGATATTCTTTCAATTCACCATTTTTCATTTTCAGCTTCCTCTACTCCGTCAAAACTTCGATTCGGAATTTTCAAAACCCTTTACATCTTTTGATTTATTATCACTATTTTCGTTAACAATAAATATAGTTTTAATGAGAAGATATCCATTTTTTTTATGTTTTTACAAAACCTGCAAATTGACAGGTTTTCCTGTATGAACTTCGACACAGCGCCAAGCGGTAGCATGCACAGACGCACGATACACACAGTGCACGCGCGCCAGCGAGTTTCTCGGTAAGCGGAATCGAAACGGTTGCCGTAACGAACGAGCCAGTCATTGTTGGAGGAAACGGCTGGAGCTGATAAAAACGAGCGAGCTCGAATCGGCTGGACGCGGTTTTCGATGAGCACGAAAAACCGTGTCCGCTATGGTGTGAGCGCGAATCGGCTGGACGCGGTTTTCGATGAGCACGAAAAACCGTGTCCGCTATGGTTTGGAGCTGTTGGTGAAACAAACTTTTTTCCGAGAGTACGTAAAACGAAAATTTAGTATAAAATTGCTGAAATCAACGGCAGTCGGATGAAAATAACTTTGATGCTGATCTAATTTTTCTTATTTTAAAGGTGCAAATACACTATACACAAACATCAGCACAGTTCCCTTTTCATTTTGCTTGGTGGCTACATGCGTTGAAACTTTCTGTTACGTCGTTCTAGACGTATGAATTTGTAGGATAATGCTAAGTGATCTACCTGTGATCTACCCGCTAGGTTATGCATTATTCTCGTTCATTTGTCATCATTCGGGTCGCCCTCCCTCTGAGGACGAACCCTCTCGATACATTCGATTATATCTGCTTATCCCGCTAAGGTTTCTTTCTCTGAATAAACCTATTGCGGACTCTCTTGTCTGATACGACTCTTCCCTACCAACGCGGTGGAAGATATCACAAATACAACACTTTCTATTTTGTGCTTGCAATGCTTTCCTCTGATTTCTTATTATTTTATTGTTTGAACCCACATTCAATATCTCTTTTTACAGATGATCGGGACCACTAATTTGCATCCCAATAAAGTCGGCTGTCTTATCGCCGGTCGATACCTGATCAATAAAATGATTGACTATGGAGTCATGGGAGCCGTATACGAAGTGAAAGATCACAAAGAAAATGATCTGAAAGCTGTGAAACTCGTCCGTACAAAAAACAAGAAGAACCAGGCCGAACCGACGTTGAAATCGGAAATTGAAAGCCTCCGTCGGCTTTACGGCCAAGAGGGCATCTCACTTCTCCACAGTGTTGAAACACTGGAGAATTTCACTGTTCTCGGCGAGTTTTAATATGATATTTGAACTTGATAATGATGTCATTTTCAGTACTGAGACTCGAAGGAAAGTCGCTGCGACGTGTGAGAAAGGCAAACGAGCTTCAACGTTTCCAGCCGAAGACAGTTCAATTACTTGCCCTGTCGGCTCTCAAGGCGGTTCAGACGATCCACAAGTTCGGAATCCTGCACACCGACATCAAAGAGGCCAACTTCACCCTCCCTCTGGAGAACGTGAGTGATCTGTGTCTAGTAATGGTTTTACAGTATGGGTTTGCAGGAGCCTAGACTCGTTTTGGTCGACTTTGGCCAATCGATCAAAGTCATCGACGACAACGGCGAACGCATTAAGTACACCAAAGGATCGTCCGTCCAAAAATCCGTTCTCGGATCCCTTTCTGTGAACAACGGAGGAGAACAAACAGAAGCCGACGAGATGATCATGTTTGGCTATTTCGTCCTACAGCTGGCTGGATACGACATGGCGCAAGCCAGACCTGGTGGAAGTGCTGAACGACAAAGAGCGAAAGTCGAACTGGTTGGTTGCAATTTAATTGCAATTAATAATAATGCGAGATTTTTTCAGAGAGACACTCCAGAAACGCTCCTCCTCTACGATCAACGTTTTCTGTGCTCGGTGCTCAGAGTGCTCCATGCCCAAGTCCCCGGAAAAGCAGTCGATTACAATGCTATTCAGCAGGCGATCATCGGATGCACGGAGTACGACCCAAATTACAGACTCGGCTGGAAGGTCCTCAAGGACACCTGGACTTTCGACTAAGTGATGTCCGTCGTTGCCCTCTTCGTCCCCAATTTTATCTTTGTTTTTCGGTGTATTTATTCGATAAACTACAATTCGGTCGAATGCATTTTTGGTTTGCTTTGCAGTTTCTTATACTGCGATCTGTTGAGACTATCCGTTGAATGGTTCAATTTTCTTCTTGCAAACTGGCATGATATTTGCCTTTCAAACTCGTTTCTGAATCAAAATAGAACGAATCAGTCCTGATTCGTTCACATTTGAACAAAACTACTAATTTAGAAGACAACTACACTGAAAAGATATCCGAAATCACTGTCCACATGATCCAGCTGGCACACAATTCCAGTCACCATACGTCAGACAATTTATTGGGCAAGAAAACGAGATTACAATTTGAAAAATGTCTTCAATTCGACTATTCAATTTAGCTGTTCCTAAGAGTTCGTTAGTGGGCATAGCCTCTCGTTTCAAGCGACGATTTCGGCCAAGAAGATGATGCAGGCCTCCTTGTCATCGTTGGGGCGCGTCAATTGCCAGTTCACTTGGATGATCTCTTTTTCCGGGTGGGACGACGCGATGACAATTGCCTGTTCGAAGATCTGATTCTCTCCGGCGACTAGTGGACATTTGACACCTGAAATTATGTAGTTTTGTGCCTGAATTGAGCAATGTCATTCTCACCGAATTTGCAGGCGTCCGTGTTCTTTTGGGGGAAGTCAACAAGCGCACCGCCTGTTCCCACCTTCGCACGGATGGACGTCTTCAAACTGTCAGAGTTCTTGCTCGGTTTGAAATGGATTTGGATGACCGGTTTGGTTTCCTTCTTGAACACGCACACCTTCTTGCCTTCTCGGACGACCAACTCGCATCCTTCCGCCTTGACGGCTGACACGGTTCCTTCGGACTCTGGAAACAACTGTCAAACAAAATTAATTGAAAAAAAAAACTCACTGCACGCTTTGTAGCCGATGTCGATGAACTCGGCGGCAGCGGCTCCAGCGAAGAGGGCAAGAATGAGGAAAGTCTTCATCTGCAAATGGTTTTGCTGACGGAAGGGTGAAAAGAGAGGGAGTGAAAGAGAAAGAGAGAGAGAACAGCGGACCATGTGAGCAGAAGAACTTGACACACACTGAGATGTGTTGGAGGGGAAGGCCTCTTTTTATACGTCCCAGGCATCCCCCAAACAGTTGCCCAAAATTCTCCGTTTCCATGTTCCGTTGACTATCTCTAACCCCCCCCCCTTTGTTTCGTTAAATTGTGACCTAGTTCTAGGTTTCGTACATGCCCACATTTCCAGAAGGTTGGAGAGAAAGCATAAGAAAGTTTGAGACGGAAAGAAATAAAGCAAAATATTACAATATAGCGCATGTGGGATGGCGGTATGAGTGGGCGCCGAGGCTTTTCACCGGTCGATTAGAGCAGAAGGGTAAAGAGGCTTTGGTTTTTTTGAACAGAGTTTGGACGATGGACAGCTCTTGGTGTAATTGTATAGAGACGACAACTGCATCGAAGAGCAAACCAAGGGGAGAAATCCTGGACTGAGCATGTAACTTGAAAGTTTTCCTGTGCTCTGCTCCCAATGAAATGAGTACCCGGACTCAATGCGCATTTTTTTCAGGGTTTATGGATCCAGACGTCCTCTCAACACTTTTGAGCTGCCCTACATGTGGCGATCGATATGGTAAGTGTCCAGTTTCCAGGTTTTGTATGAATTCAACTTTTTTTCAGGCAGTGGCAACACGACGCCGATGGTTCAGCCGCGGTTAAGGAGTTCGAGAATCAGCAAGCGCGAAGAGAACGGGAGCTCCAAGGACTGGAAGTAGGCGCAGTAGCAATACCGGAAGGCCAGATAAAACAAGATGATGACGTCGTTTTCCTTTTTGAGCAGATGGCGCCACCCCCACCTGAACCAGATGCATATTTTAACTGTTGTGAATTGTTTTGCACTTTTTAGGAGGGAAATTGTGATAATACTTATCCATTGTGGGCCACGAGACGGACCCGAAATTTGCGGCGAATAACTACGAAAAAACACGACGCCCGAAGCGATTGTAATTCATGAATAAGGCCAACATTTCTGAGACGACCAATGCCTTTGACTTTCAGCGCTGGGCAATTGGCCGTCACGGGCTTTTCGTTGGCCGGTCCTTGACCTGGACCTTTGAACCATTTGCAATATTCTGATCGGACCCAAACTTTGCAGGCTTCTTGGACATGAGTTGAAGCATACTGGGACCAAGTTTCAGCCCGATCGGATCATCTGGTCCCGAGATATGTGGATCATTGGCCGAAATTGGCCGTAAGCCCGGGTTTTTTGGAAAAACTCGGCCAATGATCCACATATCTCGGGACCCGACGATCCGATCGGGCTGAAACTTGGTCCCAATGGCCCTCAATCCAAGTCTAACAATCCTGGAAAGTTTGGGTCCGATCGGAATATTGCAAGTGGTTCAAATGTCCAGGTCAATGGTCGGCCAACAAGAAGCCCGGGCCGGCCAATTGCCCAGCCCTGCTTTGACTAGTGTAATGAGAGGGGCAGTGATTGCTCACTACTGCCCTCTTCTTCAATTGTTTGCACTGAGAGAGATCGCTACCCCGACTGCCGACTATTTGAGAGTCTAATCAAAGTGGACGAAAACTATTTTCCACGAAAGTCTTGCTCAATTATTTCTTCGGAGGCCGCATTCTTGCTCTTTTCGACTGTTTCAACTCTGAATTGGATCAGCAGTTGAATCATTTCGTTTCCGATTTGTCCAACATCCGAAATCTGACTTTTTGATGAGAAAATGAAAAACTTTAACGCTTCAACGCTTCCACAGATGCTAGAAATGAGCCAACAGCTTTGTGAAACTGGTGACCACAAGTCTAGGAACTGGTTCTACGCGGAGCTCAGCCGCAATTTGGCGAAAGATGCATCTCCTTCGCTAATGAAAATCTGAAATACTACTGCAAAACGCTTAAAACTTACTTTTTTCCGGATTACAGCACGATGAAATTGGAAAAATGAAAGAAACAGCATTTGAAACGAAGAGACCCAGACGATGGCCTAGAAAACGCCAATTTCGTTGCGAGACCCGCCGGCCAGCCGGACAGTGTGCGCCTTTAACAAATAATATATTTTACCGTATTTCAGACTATTTCAGCTGAATTTTATCCATATTCCAAGACATTCAGCGACTTTTTCTTATCGGTAAGTGTTTTTTGAACAGTTTTCTTCAGAAATCTACTACGTGGACGCCTCGAATATCGATATTCCGCCTTGCAGAGCGAGATAAACGGGACCGGCCTGTCATTCTTCCTTGCACACGACCCCACAGCTCACTATTTCGGATGGAATGAGCATGAAGAGGATCAGAAGAGCAGGAACAAGCGTTTTTTGAAGAATTCAATCAGCCTGCGGACCGAAAAGTGAAGTATGCGGCAGAAACTCTTCTTGCGGCTTGAGGCTGGCTGAGAAAGATCGATGGTTGAGTCTTCTCTCGCAGATTTAAAAGTAATTGCCATCATTTCCATTCGGACGCGGAGAAAAATCACGACAAAATGCACTGCAACAGAGCAGTTACCCAACAACACCTTCCAATACCGTCTCGATCCAACTCGTCCCACCAGGAGATGAGGCCACTCAACCAACCGAACGTGAAGCTCGTTTTAGACGCGCCGGAAGCTGGTCGAACCCTCGCTTGGGCTATAGAATCGAAACAGCGAACACGAAGAGTGGAGTGCTCTATTCCAAAAAGATTGAAGGAGGTTGCAACGGATTCTGGCGAGAGAAGAGCAGAGGACACTCCGGCTCCAATTCAACTGATACTGAAAGTGAGTGTTCTCATTTTAAGAGAAAGACGGAGAGAAAATAGTTTATTTTTTTAGATTTCTGCAGCGGCCACTTGGATCTCACTCGAACAGTTTCGTCAACAGCAGTCGGATCATCTGCTTCTGTCCATCTCCTCCGACGCGGCCGCCTACGAGCAGGAGGACACTAACAACGACCACATCACGATCGATTTAATCAACAATACAAAATGATGGAGCCGCCAAGCAGTTCTGTCTGTTGGTAGTGGTTCCAGAGGGAGAGAGATCCATTACGAATGCTGGTGAACTTACAGTCTCTTGCCGTTTTGAACTGTAAATTGCCGGTGTCTTCAGCAACTTGCCGCAAATTAAATGTGAGCGCAACGTACGACGACTAGAACACCTCGATGTGATAAGTTCGTCAACAAAATCGGCAACGGAATCGAGGCGACCAACATGAACGTTCCAGAATTGACCCGCCATGAGCTCGCTCCCAGAGAAGTTGTGCTTCTCGCCGCCTCGTCCGACGCGGTCAGCTACGGACAGGAGGAAACCAACTACGGCCACATCACAATCGAGTGGACCAACAATACGGAGCGATGGAGCCGTCAAACAGTTCTGTCGGTTCTATAGAGACGACAGGGTTCGTCGTAAGAATTTTCTCATTGAGTACAACCATTGAAAAAGCTCCGCAAGTCGTCAACTGCTATACTTGTGGGTTACCAATCAAGAAACTTGGTAACCCCAGTATAGCTGGTGACATTCTTCGGAGGCTGCATTCTTGCTCTTTTCGACTGCTTCCACTCTGAATTGGATCGGCGGTTAAATCACTCCGCTTCCAATTTGTCCAACATCAGAAGTCTAAATTTTTTATCAGAAAATGGAAAACTTCAACGCTTCAACAGATGCTAGAAATGAGCCAACAGCTTTGTGAAACTGGTGACCACAAGTCTAGGAACTGGTTCTACGCGGAGCTCAGGCACACTTTGGGGAAAGGTATATCGTCTTCGCGAATAGAAATCTTAACTACTTTTGCAAAACGCGTTTAACTTACATTTATCCGGATTACAGCACGATGAAACTTGAAAAATGAAAGAAATAGCATGGTAAACGAAGAGACCCAGACGATGGCCTAGAAAACGCCAATTTCGTTGCGAGACCCGCCGGCCAGCCGGACAGTGTGCGCCTTTAACAAATAATATATTTTACCGTATTTCAGACTATTTCAGCTGAATTTTATCCATATTCCAAGACATTAAGCGACTTTTTCTTATCGGTAAGTGTTTTCTGAACAGTTTTCTTCAGAAATCTACTACGTGGACGCCTCGAAAATCGATATTCCGCCTTGCAGAGCGCGATTAACGGGACCGGCCTGTCATTCTTCCCTGCACACGACCCTACAGCTCATTATTTCGGATGGAATGAACATGAAGAGGATCAGAAGAGAAGGAACAAGCGTTATTTGAAGAATTCAATGAGCCTGCGGACCGAAAAGTGAAGAATGCGGCAGAAACTCTTCTCGCGAACGGAAACTGGCTTAAAGGACCAGGGAACCCAAAAAATTTTTCTTTTTTTGTGAAATTTTTTAGTGACTGTTTGAATTGTCTCTTATTGCCTCATACACTGGTGAAATGCTGCCTCTCAAAAATGCCAATGAACGAAACGGCATGCAGTTGAAGTTGTGGCCGTGGCCTTGCGCCAATGGCCGAAAAATATATAAAATATATGCGCTTCTCGGCCATTTTATTTTTTCCGCTTTTTTACCGGTTTTTTATCCAAAAATTCACGGGTTCTCCCATTTTTCAGTTGATTGACATTTGTTCGGCACTTACTTATTTTTTCACTGCTAAAAAATTGTTTTCATTCAGTCGATATGAAGTGCCAAAATGGGAGAAACCGTGAATTTTTGGAAAAAAACCGGTAAAAAAAAACAAAATGGCCGAGAAGCGCATATATTTTTATATATTTTTCGGCCATTGGCGCTAGGCCACGGCCACGACTTCAACTGCATGCCGTTTCGTTCATTGGCATTTATGAGAGGCAGCATTTCACCAGTGTATGAGGCAATAAGAGACAATTCAAACAGTCACTAAAAATTTCACAAAAAAAGAAAAAATTTTTTGGGTTCCCTGGTCCTTTAAAAAATAAATGGCCGCGCCTACTCTCGCAGATTGTGTTTTGGAAGGTGCCGGCATCATTTCCACAGAAATAATTTTCAATTCAGATAATTCTCGGCACGTTTGCCGGTCAAAACAGCATGAGGGCCCGGAGAGACCGTAATTTGTAGAAATCGCCAATTTTAGCGGCAAACTGTCAGTTTTCTGTCTTGGAAGAGAGAGCAAGGGGACGGCAGAAAGGTAGAACAACCGAATCGGTAGGTGGCTTCATAAAACCTGCAGTTTGCCGGTCGAATCGGCGCGAATGCCGGTTCACCTCCTCTTTCCTGCCGTTTTCAACAGCATATATTGCAGATTTCTGCTGCAACTTGCCGAAAATTAACTGCAACCGCGGTGTACGACGACTGGGACATCTCAATGTTATCAATTCGGCGACAAAATCTGCTACGGAAGCAAGGCGATCAACATGACGCGTCTCGGAATCGTCCCGTCTCATCGCCTCGTACGCGTAATTGGCGTAATTACGAGAACTCACAATCTAATACCAAAATATCGGAGGTATTTGTGTTACGCATGCCTGAGAAAAATGGAAGTGATGCGAATGCCAATCTAATTAGAGTGAGCCAACCTGATCCGGATTGCGTAATCATCTTTTGCGGCCGTGTTTGATACTTTTCCCCTACTCATCATCACCGATATGGACAAATATTAGTATTACAATCAAAACCAATGTTGTGGCAACTCTAATCATCTTGAGACACAAGCGCGGGCATTGATGTTGCCGCCGTTACACCTCTATTTAAAAATGAGACTCAAGTTCGTCACAACAATGTGCAGTTGAGCCGTTTGGTGGAAATTCATGTCGATTTCCATGTTTTGTTGAAGGTCGCTTGAACTGCCAAGCCATTCTACTTATCTATGTGCAAAAGACCTCAGTTGACAATTTGGAAACATAAATCGCTTCACTTTTTGGAAATTGCACAACTTCACTGGAATGAAAAGCTATTAATTGACATAGAAGTAGCCCAAAGTCCAAAGACGTCAAGCTACGTGGATCCGCGAACGTTTGTATGAAATACAGAGGATCTAGCCCCAAAGCTCTCATGTTCCTTGGCCTATTGGTTTGCCAAAGTGAGGAATCGCGAACTATGGAAAGAAATTTCGAATTGCACGAAAACGCCAACAGCTGACTCGTCTACCACAGTTCTTCAAGGTATTAAAAGTATTTAACGCTCTGTCGTCCACTAGACTCGAGTCGCCGAGTATCTTTGACTGGCGGACCACGAGTATAGCAGCTGACAAAATGCGGATTCATAAATTTCCTTCCTGGTTTGAATGAAGAAAAAGACTCACGAATATTAGAGTCTTGATTGGAAGTGACTTTTGTGATGGAAGTTGATGCTCTTGGCGACTGCCGGCCCGGCCCGTCGAGAGGAGCAGGTAAACAATGATAAGACACAGTTAGGCGGGAAGAATGGTCCCAGGAAACAAGACAAACGGGTGGCTAACACATAGAGCATGATATGATTTGGATGGGTTTGTAACCGGACAACTGATAACAATAGAACGATTTTACATGATATGAGCGACGGGGCCGATAGAAGGGCGGGCAAAATTTATTGGTGCCCTTAACGGTCCTCGACGACAAAATCTCTTGTGCTGGGTTTTTTTTTTGTTTCTTCCGAAGTTTGGATGATGTTGTCTGCGTTAAGTTGTCCTTCCTAAAGGAAGAGGAGCTGAGGGCGAGCCGAGCAGGCGCTGGAAAATCGGCGAGAGCGGAAGTCTGAAAAGAATGTTCTGTTCATTTTTAAATTTAACTTTGCCCTTATCCGTAATAAACTTACGCCCTGGGATTCTGGGGAATCTCTGAGGTATCGAGTGAGTCCTGCTGATGACCTCCATCGGCCTCTATTCTGGACGGCGGTCACCGGGATTCCTTGATCTACGAGTTTTGACCGCTTCAGCCGGAGCGAGGAGCAGGTGGTGTGAAATTAGTTTTGCCAAATCATCCTTCTTCTTCTTCTTCTTCGTCTTTGTTCTTCAGGGGTCTTCGCCAGCAGTAAGAGTTGCTGCAATATCTTCCTCTGTTGAGATCGTGAGCTTTTAGTCATCCGCAGTTGACTTTTTTCCAAATTTCTTTTCTGCGCGTGCTGGGCTTTGTATCTGATCTCTGCCAATGACTCCCACTGCTCCCCGAAGATGACTGGATTCAAACTCCAAATCCATCCATCCTCTCGGTTTATGCATTTTTGCAGAAATCATGACTCTGCTCGATAGTTAGGGAGTCACCTTATTCTTTTTCCTCTCGTTCTGTATCTGAAATATTTGTTTATTTTGTCAAAAGCTGAAAACATCCGTTTCAGAATAAATTCTGCTTAAAAATGAAGACGTTCACAAATCAAGCGAGAAATAGCATGGGAATCAAAGAGACCGAGACGATGGCCTAGAAAACGCCAATGTCGTTGCGAGACCCGCCGGCCAGCCGGACAGTGTGCGCCTTTAACAAATAATAAATTTTACCGTATTTCAGATTACTTCAGCTGAATTTTATCCGTATTCCGAGACGTTCAGCAACTTTTTCTCATCAGTAAGTGTTTTCTGAACAGTTTTCTTCAGAAATCTACTACGTGGACGCCTCGAAAATCGATATTCCGCCTTGCAGAGCGCGATTAACGGGACCGGCCTGTCATTCTTCCCTGCACACGATCCCACAGCTCACTATTTCGGATGGAATGAACATGAAGAGGATCAGAAGAGCAGGAACAAGCGTTATTTGACAAATTCAATGAGCCTGCGGACCGAAAAGTGAAGAATGCGGCAGAAACTCTTCTTGCGGCTTGAGGCTGGCTGAGAAAGATCAATGGTTGAGTCTTCTCTCGCAGATTTGAAAGTAATCGTCATTATTTCCACTCGAACGCGGAGACAAATCACGACAAAATGCACTGCAACAGAGCAGTTACCCAACAACACCTTCCAATACCGTCTCGATCCAACTCGTCCCACCAGGAGATGTCGCCACTCAACCAACCGAACGTGAAGATCGTTTTAGACGCGCCGTAAGCTGCTCGAACCCTCGCTTGGGCTATAGAATCGAAACAGCGAACATGAAGAGTGGAGTGCTCTATTCCAAGAAGATTGAACGAGGTTGCAACGTATTCTGGAGAGAGAAGAGCAGAGGACACTTCGAATCCAATTCAACTGATACTGAGAGTGAGTATCCTCATTTTAAGAAAAAGACAGGGAGAAACTAGTATATTTTTTCAGATTTCTGCAGCGGCCGCTTGAATCTCTCTCGAAAAGTTTCGTCAACAACAGTCGGATCATCTGCTTCTGTCCATCTCCTCCGACGCGGCCGCCTACGAGCAGGAGGACACTAACAACGACCACATCACGATCGAATGGACCAACAATACGGAACAATGGATGTAGTGGTTTCAGGACCACGTCAGGGTTTGTTGAACTTGCCCATTTAGTACAACCTATGAAAAAATCCGCATATTGTCAACTGCTATACTTGTGGGTTACCAATCAAAACATTTGGTAATCCCAGTTTAGCTAGTGACATTGCGTTGAGTTAAAATTTGTGGAAGGTTTGTAACCAGTTATCTAGAATGAAACTTGCTTTCATTGGTAAAAAATTGCAGATGTCAGGTTGGAATACAATCGGATGGAGAAGACTTAGAGCCAAATCTGTTGCTCACTCATTCTCATCCGGAGCACTTTACTGGGCAATTCTTCACAAGACGACATTAACGAATTAAAGAAATGGAGCTCTGCTTCATCAAGAGAGAAGTGCACTAAAACGGCTCCGCATAGTGTAATTCGCTGTATTCGTGGTCCACCAGTCTCAGAATGTTGGGGACCCGAGTCTAGCAAACGACAAAGCGTTGAACCGGAGTGTCTGGGAAACTTGGAACCAGATACATTATGATTAACAACCATTTCATGAATTGGAACTTTTACAGAGACGCGCGGAGCATACTTTTTTTTTCGAAAAATGTATTATTTTATTGAATTCCCTCAATAGAAATGAATTAGTTGCTGGACGAGTCATCGGGAATAGCAATCTTGTGAACGGGACGGCGAGCTGAAAACAATAATTGGGCCAGTATCATCACTTCACATAAGTACAAAGGGCTTTAGCCTGGTATGATTCCTCCGAATCCGAGTCAGACACTTTGTAAGCAGGACGGCGAGCTGTAATGAGACATTAGACATGTTTCCGATCGTCTGAGCTTACTAATGGACATTCTCGGGTAGGCGCGGACACGAATCGGCTCTTCCGAATCCGAATCAGCACCGGTGATCTTGTAGGCAGGGCGACGAGCTGAAAGCAAGCGGACTTGGGACGTTTCGTATTGGTGAACACGTACTGATAGACAGTTTCGGGTAAGCAAGGACACGAATCGGCTCTTCGGAGTCGTCATCACTGTCCTTGTAGGCGACGACGGCGGCTAAGAAAAAGAAAGCGAAGAGAAGACGGAAGAACAACATTGTTGAACGATTGATGAGATTCAGCTCCTGCTAGGCCTTTTTATACAAAAATCGTGAGAATGACATGGTAAACTTGATCGTACTGAATTGAAAATCATGAGAATAGGTGGGAAAGTGCTTCTGAAGCAGAAAAGTTTTCAGAAAGATCAAACATGTGAAAATACGGAATGCATAGCAGTAGGAACAATAAAATATCAGTTTATTCTGTTTTTTTGTATTGACCCGAACGTATCAGTTTGTGGTACAGTAAACTATAGGAAAGACTTTGTCTGTACGGGATTAGCAATAACTATACGTTCTCTAGTGCCTTGAATCCGCCGCAATTCGACGTCCTTCATCTCTTCGTGCTCCTCGAATTCTCTCCAATTCCTCTCACGATACTCTTGCCAGAGGTTTCTGACCAGCTGAACCACGATCATATCGCCAGCATGATTAGATATCATTCTCAGCATCAACACCTGAAAATGACATTGTGAACCAATGAAGAATGCAAAGTTGTGCCTACCCCATCAGATTTCAAAAAGTCCGAGACAAATGAGTCGAGCAAGTGGGGAGCAAAAGCAATGACAGTGTACAACCTCTCAACAGTCGCATCCTTTTCAAACTTCTGCAGCTTTTTGTATTCACTGGACTCCGCGATTTGAATGTATTTCATCACGTAGTCCACTTTTTCCGAGTGAATGAATGAGTTGGCAATCCAATACATGAATGAGCAGGTTGTGATAATAGCGAGAATCATGTACCAGCACCAGAGGAATGCGAACACTTTTTCGTTGATGATGTTGATCAGAAGTGCACATTGAACTGTATATCGATTCAGGTTGGCTAGGTAACGAACTTCAAAGTCGCAGAGGGTCACTCTTGGAAAGTGACCGGTCTCGGTCCATGGACGACCTGCCCAGATATCACTCAGAACCTGGAATACGCAAATTAGAGACAGAAAAGGAAAGGAATGAATACCTGGAATCCGAAAAACAAGAATTCGCTGCTTTTCAGGCACGCATTGAGGATGAAGAATTGAGCGACCACGTTTACAGAGTAGAGCAGTTTGGTGAAACAGTAAACGATAGATACGCATTGTCCTGCGAGAAATCGGGAGAATTTGATGCGAGCAATCCATCCGCGTGCTCTGATTCTTCCATTTGGTGACTGTAGGTCAAGGTTGTCAACGAAATTGCTTGTGATCGCTTCGACGGCCTATAAAGAAGTTGACTTGTCAGAGCTGTTCCCCTATTCCTCACCTTTTGTCTGTCTGCGTAGTCAAGAAGAGCTTGAGCGTCGCATGCGGCGTTGATTAAGGTTTGAATATTGAGCCCTTAAATTTGATACTTTTAAAGAACACTTTGAGATTCCACTCACCTGACTGAAAGCTGCACAACCGCCAGAAAATGCAGGGAAGTGAATACATCAGCGCTTCGGCTATAAGGATGAACGGAACCCACTGATAGTAACCAATTTGCTTCTCTTCTCTAGCCGTATGATCATCCGGAACATTCTCATACATCGGAATCCAATAGGTGTTCTGTATCCAGCAATACGACTCGATATACTCCTCCATGGACTCTCTGCTGTGCGGATTCACCCAACACTCGATAGGTGTACCTCCGTATTGTTTTGCCGAGATGACAAGACAACAAACCGCCAGAATGAGAGGTGTATAATAATAATTGAGTCTATCCACGGCATCATCGTCCCCTCGCACACTGAGCGCATTGATGAAACTGCGGGCGAGAGTCGCGTGGAAGAACATTTGACGGTCTTGACGGAGACTGCAATCAGACTGCAAGTTGGGGGAGGGGGAAAGGAAGAAAAATATAAATTGAAAGGGTTGTTTAATGGGTTGAAAAAATGAATGACAAGCGAATCAGGGGTGGTCACTCGGGCGGATGCAAATCACTGGGCTCTCCGGACCCATTAAGGGGAAGCGGAACAAAAGTGTCAGTGGGGTGGGAGTGAGGGGTGCACAAGCTACTTTCGGTGCAGGGTGAAACAAGTGCTGGGGTCCTGAATTGGATTAACTACATAGAGTTTCGAGGTTTTTGTAAAGGTATCTTTCGTTGGGTTACTACGTTCTCTTCTTAATGAAATTGTGTTCTCAGACTTGAGCCTCAAACATACATATGACTTGGGAAATTGAATGTACTCAATCTCATTAGGATTACGAAAGAAACAAAATTGTATGAGAATCAAATGAAAATTGAATACTAATGTTAGGTTCTCATTAAATTTACACAAATCTTACGCACGCTCTGGGCGAAAAAAGAAGATGAAGACTGATTCGAAACATGTGGCGGTGGCCGTGATTCTCTAACCCTATTAACAAACTGGCAATCTCTTTTAAAGAATAGAAAGATAATGACGAGACGTATAATAGTATTGTCAATTCTAGCGTTCCACACCTCGGGGAGAAGCATGGAAAACATGGAGATACGAGTGGAAAGGATACCCTGCGGGTTGCATTGCATTTCGTTCATTCACACTTCTTTTCATCATCTTCTTGCACCCACTTCTTCGATAACCGAATTACAGAAAGATGGGTCACACTTTGAAGGGGGAAGTGGAAACAATATAAAAAGAAAAGAAGGGGGAGTACATGCAACAAACGTACGTGTTGGTCGCCGTCCGCCACATCCAATTCCAATTCTCACTTTACAATCCGAGCATACAATCCGAGAATGAAGAAATGTGTTCTGAAATGGAGCCTGAAATGGAGACTGAGTGAGTGTGAGTGGGAGCGGTGACTGAAAATCATGAGAAGTTAATGAAGTTGAAGGATAATCAGTTTTTGGTGAGAATCAGAAATCAGGTGGGAGATTGAGGAAATGTCAAAATTGGCTGTACTTTGAGAGTGTACTGGAAACCATAACAAATTAGGAGAAACTACAGTAATCCTAGCTCAGCTATCAAAAAAGATTCATGCGAACTGATCTCATCTCGGTGGGTGTGCTCTCCGTGCTTTCTTTTCATTCATATTCTTCTCAGGTGCCAATAAATAAAAGAGTTCCCGACTGGCGGATGATCCCATCTGTCACCCGAATGACTCTCAAATTGTTTTGCGTGCGCCGATTCGATCAGTGCTCCGGATAATAATAGAAATAATAATAAGACGACGATGAGAAGTACGCGGATGATTCCGTCAACCTCTAGTCGTCGCGCTAGTTTTCAATGGACGTGCTAATAAGCGCAACTTTACTGCGCCTCTTCGTCTCGCGCACTCTTTTGCGCATCGGAGCAATTAGCAAGGGAAAGGAGTTGGAGCTTATGAATGAGAAGCAGGAGATGACACGGGGAGATGAGGGGCGGAAGGCGAGAACTACTCAAGTTTTCAAAACGGGCGGATTAGAAAGCGGAAAGGATGCGGAAAGTGGACGGAAAGGCATGAAACTAATGGGAATGACGTGGCACCGCAGGGACTTGGCACAGTACTGAAACGAATTGGAAGTCTTCAATGAAAAAATGGTTGTATTCACAGTATTTGAAGTGAGTTCAGCTCTGGTCTGGAAGAGCTTCAATTGTAGCTGGATAAAGAAATGGTGAAAATAAGGGGTTTGCACGAAACCCGACTGAAACCAATTCGTTTTTACGACAATGGAGCAAAGGTATCATCGCATGTGCAACCTAATCCGCAAATCGAACCTTTGTCGTCCTCACCAGGTTTTCAGGAAAGTGTTGAATAACAACGGATAGAAGACGGGCGGCTTCCACTCCAGAAGCGAAAAGAAGGGAAACGAGGGAGGTGGGGAGCTCAGTTTACCTTGGCATGTCATATTCGCGCACTTTTCTTAATTAAATGTCTCGGGCGGGCAGTAGTGACACCGCAGTATACACTAGCAAAATCCGTGGGATTTGCCGGCACTCTCCCGGCAACGACAACTTTGTAGATTTTATTGAAAATATGAAGGAGAATAGAAGGATAAGGAGAATAAGAATAAGAGCACGGTGATTAGATTTCGTGAGTGCAACACACAATTCGTTGGGAATGATGAAAGGGAAACATGATGGAAACGGGTCTGGGAGAAAAATAAAAGTGAAGCGAAATGTTGATACAAAGATCTGGTGTTCACCATGAACATGTTATTTCCAGAGATCACGATTTTTCGAGCCACGGAAACCCCGAAACCAAGAGGAAACGAGAATAGATCAAAAACAGTGTCCGGGAGCCGATTTTCCTACTAACAGTCCATAAACAGAAGAGCAAACAAAGGTCAATATCACAATAAAAACAAAGCTAGGAAAGGGAGTGCCATAAGAAACCCTATTTTCCTAAATCACATTCCCTTCGATCGTCACTCAAAACAAACTCATTATGGTACATCAGCTCAACAAGAGGCACTCTTTCCAATCGTTATCATTTGAATAGACTTATTTACCGCTTATTTTCCATTCATCTATTCCAAATTCTCATTTTTAACCTCTCGCGCATAGTACGGTTCTCCCTTTCCCCAAAACGAGTCAGCTGTGCATCTCTCTGCTCGTCACCCCAAACTTTCACCTATGGGAAAAGAACTAATTGGCAGAGTATGGTCATCAATCGCGTGGTTTGACAAGTTTTCTACCAATTACCTACTAATTTGACCGAATAGTGAATCATAAGAGGGCTGAGAAGATTGCACTGGATAAACATGATTCCTGATTGTTTTGATGACAACATTCTGAGCCTTGCTGGGATCATTTTAGTCATATGTACATTCTCATACGTCCAAGTCTATTTCTACGAATCATTCTTCCATCTCTCGTTAGCAACTCAAAAATTTGGTAAGTATCATCTTTGCGTCTTCTCAGACCCTTCACAAATTTGCATTTCTCTCTGCCTGCCAACTATTGACAGTTGCACCAGACCCTTTTCTGCGTGGAAGGTGACGACAAGGAATCTGCAATTTCTTAGTGTGAATCCGAGAACAAAAGAGTCGGTTATAACTAGCTGAAACGTTTCCGCTGATTCGTATCTAGGCTTTGCACCCCCCGGTCGGTCTGTTTGCCTTTTGTTTCATCGTATCCACCGTTTTTTGCCTTTTTGAGTCATCTTTTGCGGCCGCCGGTCGCCAATCTTTTTTCTTATATAAACATGTCTTCCTGAAACTTGTCAGAATGTTTGTTCCAAGCTCTATTTGATAGAATTTTGTTGTGATTTGAGGTTTTGACAGTGCAAATATACTATTATAGATGTCATACGACGGCCTACAATCTGCTCACAAGGCGTATGCACAATATACTGAAATTGAAATCTGAAGTGCTTTTGATTTTTTGAGAAAAGATTGTAGAACTCAATGTTCCTTGACACTTCTCTTCGGTAGCTGATGGGCGGTTCCATGCCGATCAATCCTCTCTTTCTTAACATGCTCACATATGTATCCTCAAGACCATCACTCTTCTTCTCATCCTCAACCCCATTCATTTTTCCTCTCATTCCTTCCCTTCCACTCTTTTTTTGATGAATTATAGCTCCATTACTCTTGCACGTTTCTTTTAGTTCTATAGTGCAACCTCAACTGATTAACGTCTCACATTTCCTACACTTCTCAATCACGCTTCGTCGCTTTTTCAGACATACGCATGTTTTAAAACGGACGAGAAATAGTCCAAACCTCAAAATGAACACCGGTACAATCCTTCTGGTCCTGTGTTGTTCTTCTGTGATTTCGCAACTATTGGAGGGCGATTGTGACAGAGGAAACTCGTGTGGAGCTCATGGGGAATGTATTGCTGACGCTACGGAAGCGAAATTCTGGTGCAAGTAAGTCACGTTTTGTTTTTCAGTCGGTAGGCCAGACCATTGAGCAGTAGAGCACTTGGTTCGGTGGTCGGCATCATCAGACAGACACCGTCCGATGCCTTTACAATCACCTTCCCATGGTTGTCATCCAGTTGACAGTCTTAGTAGCAACCACACCATATAACCCAACAGGATTACGGTGTCGGCTCTTTCATTGACTAAACACCTTGCAGATGTGCTGACGGATTCGGGGGCGCCTTCTGTGAGCAGAGATGTCACCTCAAGTGCGGGAACGGCAAAAAGTGCGTGAAAACAGCGTTTGGAAGGGCTGAATGTGTCTGCGAAGGTGGGTAGAGTTTCTGGAATTCTACATGGAAATTTGAATTCTCCGAGACTTTCAATCTCTGAACTTTTTCAGACTGTGATAGTAATGATAGATGGAGTTCTTCTCGATTCGATTGCCCGCCCGGTCGCAAAGGTTAGTCTTTTTTCTGTTTTTGCGTGCGCAACACTGGGAGAAGAGGGAGAGGGTCAATTATCTCGCATATGTATGTCGTAGAATCTCGTACACTGTACGTAGTCAGATTTGTCTGCATTTGTGCGTACAATTTGAATAATTTTGAGATAATTTCTTATAAATCATCAAAAAGGCATTCATTTTTTTCAGGTTTCGACTGCTTCTTGTCGTCGAAGAATCAAAAGCGAGACCCGTGCTTCCTGAATCCGTGCAAACACGGCCAATGCTTGACATTCGAAGGAGGATTCCAATGTCTTTGTGATGATGGATACAGCGGATCGTTCTGTCAGGAGGGACAGAATTACTGTTCAGACAACAAGTGTCTAGCGGGTGCTCGTTGCACCAACTCATTCGGCGGCTACTTCTGTGATTGTCCGCTTGGAAGGTCCGGACAGTTCTGCGAACGGATCGATTGCTCTGATCTGCCCGGAGTTTGCAACAACGGAAAATGTGTTGTCCCCACCACTTCTGGAAAACCGTTCGATTGTGAATGTCAAGAAGGATTTGAAGGAGAGTTCTGTGAGAAGGACAAAAATGAATGTCTGGCTGAAGGACTCTGCTTCAACAATGGAAGTTGCGTCAACCTGAACGGATCTTTCCGGTGCGAGTGTCCGGCCGGATTCACTGGCAAGTGGTGTGAGGAACGGGTCGACATGTGCTCCACCATCAAGTGCAGCAACGGAGGAATGTGCATGCATACTGAACGACAACAGCCCGTGTGCCAGTGCAAAAACGGATTCATCGGACAGAGCTGCGAACAAAAGTGTCCGAGTGGATACGGAGGCGTTCAATGCACAATCCCTTTGACCGTCGGCGGATGTTCAAGACACGGAAACCGGTGCAGGAACGGTGGAAGATGCATCAGGGGGTTCTGTGTCTGTCCGCCGGATTTCACTGGAGATCAATGCGAACTGGAGAGACGAGACCTCGTTCGAGCTGCACAACATTGTGATTGTTCTAACAACGGATATTGCATTCAGTCGGATTCGGGAACTGGGAACAAGTGCATTTGTGAGCAAGGATTTGTTGGAAATCACTGCGAACAGACGGGTAAGCCACAGAAGATTATCGGACTTGTCATTCAGGGAGAATTTTCAGATTTCTGCGCCTCGAACCCATGTGCGAACAACGGGAAGTGTCATCTATCGCAAGACTCGTTTGTTTGCAAGTGCCCACCTGGATTCTCTGGACTCGTATGCGATATTTCTTTGTCTCCGTTCCAATTGACTCAAAAGTACCCTTTCCACGCCGAAAATGTGGTAATGTCAGTTATTTTCAGGTCAAAATTGCAATGTGAATATCCGAGCTGCGCAATCGTTTCTGGAAACGGAATTTGCAACGCAGAATGCAACAATGTCGCATGTGATTTTGACGGAGGAGACTGTTCCGGAAATCGAACTCCGTTTGCAAAGTGCAAATACGCTTGCGCTGACGTCTTCGCCGATGGAGTGTGCAATCCTGAATGCAACTCGGAACAGTGCCTCTACGACGGAATGGATTGCATGCCGACTATCGATCGGTGTCCCCTCGCCATCCGGGAGCACTGTTCGGTGAATTTCGCGAACGGTGCGTGCAACTCGGAATGTAACGTCAAGGAGTGTGGTTTTGACGGAGGCGATTGCGTGAAGAACATCGAAACAACTGTCTTGACGGATATTCGAGTGACGATGAGGATGAATCCCGAAGAGTTCCGGCAATCAGGAGGACAGGCGCTGATGAACATCAGTCAAGCCATTCAAATGACTGTACGGATTCAAAAAGACGCGGACGGACCGCTGGTATTCGAGTGGAACGGAGAAGCCGAACTCGGAAGAGTTGAGATGAACTGGGACCAGTTGCTCGAGCAGCAGATTCTGTCGTCGCGAACCCGACATACTCGGAATACTGGAGTTCATGGAGTCGTGGCTTACCTGGAGATGGAGGAGATCTGTGATAGGACGTGCCGCTTTTCCGATTCTCAAAGTGTGGTTGACATGATAACCGCGGGATTGGCCAAGACGAATGTAAGACTTTTTGACTGTATCAACTCGAGACATCGATCTTTTGCAGGGTGCCACTTCGTTTGGTGTTCCCATCACAGAGGCATTGGTCGCCTCACCCAGAAGGTCTTCTGATGCAGATTCAAACTGGAGCAGTGCCATCTTACTCGCAGTTGTCGGAATCATGATAGTATGTGTGGTTATCGCGGGAATGATTGCCGGACAGGATGAAGAGAGAAGTCGGACGAGACGCAACGTGACTGTTACATCCACGTGGATCCCTGACCCAGAAGACATACACGATCTGCGGCTTTGGGGACTCGCAGAAAACGATCCAAATGCGAAGCCTCGGTCGCAAACTGGTCGTAGGACGACAAGAATGGATTTGAATTGGCCAAGTGGGAGTGTCGGTGCATTCGTGTACAATCCCGACTACCGCAGTCAACAAGAATCCGGCTACGCTACTATTCAGTGTTACGGAAAATATCCTGGAACTAGCCAAGATTTTGACCGTTCCAATCAAAGCCGCGTCCAACATGGTCCGGCAACATCATCAGAAACAGTGCAGCAGTGTTTACAAGTAACGAACTGGAACTCGATGTAAGATTTTACGAGTTTGTCCCTGTAAATTGTTGAATTTTCAGACACGTTCAAGCTGCTGGTCCCTATCAAATCACGAACACACTCACCACCATGTCTGTCATTGAACGAGATTCGCATGGAAGAACTGTTCTGCATTGGCTGGCGGCCAACCGACAAGGCAAATCTGAAGATCTGATTGTAATGGAAGCGACAGAGTGTATCAGGATGGGAGCTGATGTGAATGCCAGAGATAACGATGCAAACACTCCGCTCATGTTGGCAGTTCGGACTCGCCGTTCCAAACTGGTGATTATGCTGCTGCGAGCGGGTAGCGACCCCACGATGATCGACAAGTCGGATCGGAATGTTCTGCATCTGACCGCTTCCTACAGTGACTATCCAATTATGAAAATCCTGCTGACCAACAGAAACCTCCGCAAGGATATCGATCAAATGGACAGGAATGGGATGACTCCGCTGATGCTTGTGGCCTCGAAGTTCGGAGCACAACAGCTGAAACTGGCCGAACTGCTTCTATTGCATGGGGCAAAGGTTGATGAAAATGGAGTGGAAAGATATGAATCGCCCATTTTTCACGGACAAACAGCGCTCCATTTTGCTGTAAGTGTTGACAATGTCGAGATGGCTACGTATCTACTATCTCATCACGCGTACAAAGACAAGCAGGACGAGGAGGGATACTCTCCGGTTATGGTAGCAGCGATGAAAGGACACAAGCAGTCAGTGAAGATGTTGACGGAAAAGAATGCGAGTCTGAACCTGACTGACTACAGAGAGAATACGGCTGCGCAACTTGCTCGAAAAAATCATTTCATCGAGATCGCCGAATATTTGGAAGCGAAAGCACTCAAACAGGAGAGCAGAGAAGGCCGGAAAGCAGAGAAACGTCCGCTCAATAAGACGAATCCAAACACCAAGGCAACGAAGAAAACCGGTGGTCGGCCCAAGAAAGTTGCAGCGACATCTAAGAGCGTACAAGTGGAGGCTCAGCTCACTCCACCACCTTCCGACGGATCCTCGTACCGCACAATGTCTCCTCGTTCCTTCCCTACTCCACCGGCAGAGACAACACGTTCGACACCACCAACAGCTGGCGCTCACACAATTACGGTAGGCAAACATAGTTTCACAACACAATTCCATTTTTTCATTTTCCAGATCCCATCGACCATACCACCTACCGAAGCAAAAATCCAATGCAGTGACGGTACCTACTGGAATCAGCCCTACGACTTCGCAGCGACCACCAGCTCGTTCCACTACTAATTTTTCCAGCACCAAGTCGTTCATTCGATCTCAGTCTGGTTGATTGCTTTAGCATGCGATGCCTTATACCCTTTGTAATTTTTGCCATATTTTGTCAGTTAAACTAAATATATGTTGATGAAATCATTTATGCTCCTACACATTGGACACCTGTTTCACACGGGTATTTGCAGATATCCCGATGTTTCTCACAAGAAAGTCTGAACCTCAAATGTCCAGTGATCATGAATCTTTGTATCTTGAACAGAAACTTTAACAGGAATACGTTTTATTCGACATTTTTACTCATCAGCGACACCGTCAAAGTGAAACGCACAGGGTGGCGCACTCGACGGTCCTGGCTGATCGCACGTGCAGCACAACCTCTTCAGCCGCTTTTCAACCGTCTCAATAGTTTCCTCCAATGGCAAATCTTCTTCAGAAGCCGACGTCGAACCTCCAGACAGCAAATCTTCAACAAAACCCGCGGGTGTTGAGAATCCGCTGTCACTTGTCCTGATCGCAAGACGAATCGGTCCAAGTTGCATATCCCGTGTCCTGTTCTCAATTTCCTTAACCACTTTTTGTGTAGTCTCCGGAAAAATAAACATTAGCTTCGGAGCTTCTTGAGTTAGAACAAAGAGCTTGTTAATTGGAGAGCACTCAGACGGCGTCCACTGAAAATGAAAATGATTTGCGATCGAGAGACGGCTGCCAATTTAGCGTGTGCTCACTTGGAATCTCTTCTTCTTCAACTTAATGTACTTGCCGCTTTGGAGAAGTTTTCTTTCCACCTCGGTAACGTAGTCCAAGTCCACTTGAAGAGACACCACTCGTCTTAAAACGAAGAGTTCGTTAGCAGTGCTGACTCAATCCGCATACCCGTTTTGGATGATCAGCCACTCTTCGGCACTGAAGAACTCGGTGACGTGGAATGGATGAATTCCAGTTATCTTCGATATAGCTGAAAAAGACGCAAAATGTGGCAAACGAGAAGATAAACGCACTCATGATCTGGAAATAGGTTTCCGTTTTGTAGAACTCTTCGTTTTCTCTGAAATATCGGCAGATCGCAAACCGTACGTGTCTAGCAAATGCTTTGCGGAATCTTGCAACCCACGGACATCCCGGGAATCCGATAAACCTCTGAATCACTGACATTCGGAGACCTCAAATCAAAAAAAGGCGGATTTAAACAGAAATAGGAACAACCGACTGAGTTCTATTAAGAAACGACCGTAACCCTCATGCCAGAACTGTGGAAAAATAACGATTCCTCCAATTGGATTGTGATTTGTGTTCAATTTATCCTAAAAGACGAAACTCAACAGAACTGCAGTAATCCACGACTGACCTTTGTAAAGTATCCCAACGTTTTATTTATAGTGTCGTTTCTTCTTGTGAGCACATAAAACATTATATTGTGTACCGTGTTGAAATCAAACTCCGCAGTGAAGAACAATTTGCCGAATGTAGCCAGTGCCTCACAGAATTCTCTAAAACCTGAACAATTTTAGACGTTCAGAAGCGACCACGGCCTCTACCTATATTTAGAAGGATCCACTTCATAGACGCTAAGCTCTTTGTACTGATAAATGAGGGTTCCGGGAATAACTCGCGAGCACTGATCCTTCTGCAGATAATTGTTTCCCTAATGTTTCGACAAACGGTATACCATGTGCCAAATCATATCCCGCTTTCTGGTGAACGCTTTGAAGCAATAATTGCACACAATCAGAGGCAGAGCTTTCATCTCCCTTGCACAGTACATGGACGAGGCCATTGCGGTCAGCTCGTAAGACGATCCGATGCTTGTCACTTGTATCCGAAGCTCCATCTTCTTCTTCATCTCCTTTTTTGTTTGCAGCGCCACTGTACCATTCCGACCCATTCTGTGCATCAGACATTCTATGAAAAACAGGAGCGAGCTGGGAAAAAGCTGGAAGAAAAAAAGAGCCGCGAAAAAATAATCGGAGGGAGGCAAGATGGCCGTAAAAGTGGGCAGCTATATGTCATTAAATTGTTGGCAGAATGAGATTGAAAACTTTGGGAGAGGATTGTACTACGGTAGAAGGGAGGCGGGACGCAGCGAGAGAATTTATTGTCTATCCATCTACCGTAGTTCGGATAGCTTCTGACTGACAAGAAAAAATACAAAAATGTAGTTGAACTTTATTCAGATCGTTATACGGTAGAAAGAAGAAATTCCAGTGTTTTTGTATTTGTGATGACAGAAAATAATGTGGATATTCGTAAATTCTGTAAGCACAGTTCTTTCGCTGAAATGAATGATGACATGAGCAATTTCGAACAATTTGAACAGCAGAAAAACTTCTGGGTCAACTATGTATTATCAGCTGCAAAGTTTTGGGTTCGGGTTGTATTCTAGTATCTTGAGCTCACATGAGAAAGTAAAGCAAACGGATGTGGGAAATGAGAAAGCCAAACGAGAGCATTCGAAATTGTAGCCAGGGCGATGGCAAGATGAAAACCGAAAGTGAGTGAAGAGAGCGTCGGAGCTCGATTCAAGATTGCCCTGGCTACCGGCCGATGCCTCCACCAACTCCATGACTCCTCCTACTTCTTCTCCTCATCTTCTTCTTCTTCTTCTTCTTCTTCCTCCATCTCCCTCCTCTTCTTTCCGTTTTTTCATTTTCCTCCGTCCCTCCGTGCTTTTCGAGAAAAACGAATAGATGAATGCGGCCAAGAGGCAAGCAGGAATAGTGGCATGGCGCGCCAATCGATGCAAAAAAGCTGGTGGCGAAAGGCTTGAGAGCACATGCTAATGTAGGCGTCCCGTCGTCCCGTCGGCCATCTGGCGCAGTGCATCTAATTAAATGGGGAACGAGATCCGGTTCATTCGGAAATGGCAAAGCTGAAGGAAAAAAATGGGAAGAAGCCGGCATAAATGAGAAATGAAAAAAAAACGTCTTGGTTGATTGAGTAGAGAAAATTTGATGAAGTCGAGGAGAGAGAAGAGGAGGGGAAGCTTCCGTAAACTCTAGAAGCACTCAAGTGCAGAAAACAAAAGTGGTTCGTTTGGCTTAATCAGAGAGATAAGTCATTATCAGAATTAAAACGAGTGGAAGAACATTTGAAGAAGAGAAATGAAAACAATTTGGGAGAGATGAAAACCTCGCGCACTTGGACTTTCCGATACCCAAGACTTTTTTAAGCTCATCCGGACCTGACATTTGACCATTTGCGCAATTGGGCACTCCGCGATTTATAGCCATACCGGCGGCACCTCCACATCAATCGATTCACGCTGAAACATTTAGGGATAGGCAACCAAAGTCAAGATTTGATCGGACAATTCCAACTGACTTTGAGTCGAAGTACGTCCCTTTTTGTTTGGGCGCGTTCATGATTGCAGATAAATGAATGTTTTTCTCTGGAAATCCACTAAACCTGAGCTCCACGTGATTTGGAATCCGCACGTCATGCTCATTCCGACGGGAACACCGATGTTTTGCAGAAAATATGTGGAGAATGGGAAATTTACTTCTAACTCGTCTAACAGATTATGAATTTCTGTCCCAAGTACCGAAAAGTAGGGCAGAAGTGACTGACTGAAGTTTTTTTTGTTAAGTTTTAAAACGATATGTACTTTTTCAATCATGTTCAAAGATGTCAAGTCAATTCCCGGATTGGAGTTTGGATTGAAAGCACTGTTCTCCAACGTCTATCTAATTCATGTCAATTGTAACGAGGACTATTATAATATTGTCGGCCAGCGGCCGAGGTTTTACGCCTCGGTCGATTGAAAAAAAAACCTACACAAAAATGACGACATTGTCAAAGTTTTACACAGCGGTGGCGGCCCAAGTCCAGCAAGGCAGGATTGCCGCCTTTTTACGTGGCTAAAAGTCACGCTGATAGGCAATAATAGTGAAAATTTGTTCGGATAATTACAAATGTTTCAAAATCCCGTTTATTTCCCTTTAAACACGTTCATCAGCGCAGATAAACTATTGTCCTCCGTTTAAAATCTGTTTATGTGACGTTCTTGGGATTTGGAATCAGTGCAATATGGTCATTCCGACAAGGAAACCGTTGTTTTGCAGAAGAAATGTGCAGAATGGGAAGTTTTGTGTCCATCTCCGCTAACAGATCATTAAATTCAGCCTCAAGTTCCGAAGAGTACGGCAGAAGTAACTAAAGACCGAGTATTCGAATACTCTTTTCTCGAACTGTGCACGCAGGTTGACACAGATTCTCAAACGTAGCGATGAGTCATTCCTAGGCTGCCAGATCATGTGACCACAGTTACCACGGCAACGACACGCATCACTAGCGCGCAATTGAAACGAGAGACAAAGCCCCCCCTCCCCCTGCTAATAGTCATCCTTTTTGTGCGATTCAGTTGATTTTTGGCCGGTTTCCCGGTATTCTTGAACTCGTTGAGTTTAGTTCTTCCCGTGTGTCCCTGTTTTACATTTTCCCGGTGGCAGCAGCGGTGCGTTTGCGGTACGGACGGTCTCTGGCTGCCCCGTCGCATTCGATCGAAAGACGGCGGACACAAACGTGTGCGCGGTTCGCCCGTTCGTGAGCATTGCCGGTCCGCAACATCGATCGAAAACCATCTCTCTCGTTCCGCCTGCGTTGCATTACTTTTCTGGGACGCGCAACTCACGCGATTCGCTTTCTCTCCATCATTTGTCGCTGCTCACCCCTTCTTTCTTTCGTGCGTCCGCTAAAACTGCTCCAAAACTACATATTTGACCGACGATTCCGACCCGACATGTTCTTTCTTTCTCTCCTCTCCTCTTTCTCATAATTGTCCCATATTTGGAATGAAATTTGGCATGTCCGTATTGTTCTCTCCCTTCTCCTTGAGAAATGCGTAAATTTTATCCGTTTTAGTAACGTTTTTGTTTTTTGCAGGTAATATCGCATATTGTGAACAATGTGGAGCCCACACCAACAATCAGTAGAACAACAAGAAATTCAAATTGCCCACCGGATCAGACAGATTCGGCAGGAGAGAGCCGAGTTGGTATGACTAGAATTCAATGGCATTAAATTGCATTAATTGTTCAGATCGCCGAATCCTGGAACTTCATCGATATTTCGGATCCATTCACCCGTCAGGCGATTCTCCAGACGGAAACCGATTGGAATCCGGACGATTTCGAGCAGCAGGCGATGGTGGACCGAACGGTTTCAGTGGTATGTCACTAAACTTTTCATTAGCCCATCAAGATGTTTTTTGTAGCAATTTCGCACTGTGCCAAATGGGCCGCCTATGTACTATCCGGAGCAACAACAGCAGTTCATGGGGCAGCAAATGGGAAACGTTCCATTCCAGGTGAGATACTTGTCAAATCACATTTATAACATTTTTCAGAATGGAATGGGAGCTCCAAGTCCACACGTGCCTCCGCCAACGATGATGGGACCGCCGATGGATATGAGACCGCCGATGGCTATGGGATCGCCGATGGTGATGAATCAGTGGTCATGCGCTCCAACTCCGACTCAAGCAAACGACGGTTACCAAGCTGGGATCTACTCGGAGCCGCCACCATTTGTGCCCTCCCAAAGACCACCAATGCCGACGCAGTGGAACGGGAACGTGCCGATGGTGAGAAAATTTCTCAGCCGAGTAACCATCATGCATCTCTTCCAGATACCACACCCGTCTCAGGTTCAAATGATGCCGCCTGCGTTTCCCGGTCCGCTGATGCAGATTCCACTCGTGTCTCCTGTTCCCGTGATGTCGATGGGACAGCCAAGAAAAGCGATTGGTCAAGCTCCGCCGCAGTTCAATGTAAGAATGAATATAATTTAAATAATAGCAACAATTGTCCTATTACAGCTGTCACACTCGTCGTACGACGGAAATACAGATCACTCGCGTGGAGTCGACTTCGTTCCGTCTCCGCCACCGTGCCAGTATATCCAATTACGCACGACTGCCGATGGACTGGAATTGGATAGGAGGACGCAACAATTAGAGGGAAATAAGGATGTGAGCGGTTTGGAGCCAGAGAATAATTGTTCTCCTGGATACGCGAACAGTCAAGAGTGAGTTCCTCCTGTTCTTTGATTTTCATTGAAGACCATTGGTTTTTCAGGATTTTCACTGCTTCGGAAGATTCTTCTGATGAAATGCAGCCAACGGAGACAATTGACGAGGATGATGACGACGACGACGAAGTGGAAGAAGACCCAGAGTTTGTGTGAGTCATTCTTCTTGCATCTGATAACGCGTGGCTTTTCCTAATGAATTTTCCATCATTCAGCTTCGAGTACACCCCGCCAACTACATCGGAGACAGTCGAACTCATTCCGTCGGTTTCGCAGCCGGTTTTGCACAAGTACGTTGTCCTGTCTGAATAATCTACAACCAATCAGTCAACCCATCGTTTTCAGGCCTGTTGTCGCTTCCGATCACACTCTCAAATTCAATGGATATGTGGTTCCGGCGCTTCCAGACCAGTTTCCAGCAGTGTATCCAGTTCTTCTTTTGGCTAGATGTACACGTACGTTTCAGGACCCTTCTGCAGTCCACAAAAAGGCAATTGGATGTGGATCACACGCAGCAACAAACGGAGGTCAGCAAAGATGAAAGTCTGCGCAATGAACAGACGACTGAAGTGGAGTTTGAAGTTCCGATCGGTGAAGAACAAGGAATTGGAGGGAAAGCGAATGATGGACGAATGGCGTCGGAGTACTACGGAAACGAATACACCGACAGTAAAAAGTGAGTTCGTTCTCATCAAATTTATGCATTTTTTCTACTTTCTATCAAAAACAGTGCACTTATAGGATTGTCATGAGCTCCGGAAGCGTCGCTGATGAAGTCAAGCTGACTGGCACAGTCGACGATGAAGTCAAGGACAAGTTGGAAAAGGATCCGGAGTATCTGTGAGTATTTATACCCGCTCAAGGCGATTTTCATGGCTTTCTTGTACAAAAGTTTTGTTTTCAGCTGCGAGTGCACCTTGCCAGCGGTCTCGGAATCCGTCATGGTCGAGCTGTCGTCCTCGGCCCCACCGCATCATTTGGAGGTCACCGATTTTGTTGCTGTTGATGTTTCCGACGACGCTGGCGAGATCGATGTGTGTGTGCAGAAAGCCAAACTGCCCAGCCCTCCGACTTGGCCGCATCCTGATCAGTTGCTGAACGATACGGAGTTTTCATCGTTGTCTGCGTCGTTTGAGACGCGGAAAGTTGTCACGACTGTGGTAAGCAATTGAAATTAATCGCGCAACGCGAATTTTCAATATTGCAGAACGGCACGGATACTCCCGCTTCAATGCCGCAAACCGGACCACGAACAGAAGTGTGCACGCGCAAGCACAAGACTCGGAATCAGTTGCAAGTGGACCTGGCGAATAAAAATGATAATGGAAGCCCGGCAAGAGAAAACCTGGACAGCTCAGGGCGGGTACAAAAAGGTGAAGGACAGAAGATTTTCGAGTCGGATGTTGCTGCTTCCGATTTTTCTAACAGCCAAGAGTAAGTTCAACACATAATCAGTGTCATTTTACACTTCTCGTCAAGTTACTGGGCTAGACAAAGGCTTTTTTAAAGCTTCATAGTGGGGGATAATCAAATTAATACATGCAACTTGTTCAAAGTTAGAGGCAAATAGGATAATTTAAACTAAAACAATTTCTCTTGCCCATGTTTTTTCACTGCCAGCGTCTTGGCTTTCTATTTTGAACTTTCCTATTTCCAGGTACACTCCAAACTCTGCGCCGCCCCTTGCCAAGGCGACGAAGTCGTACTCGGCTGCATTGTATCGAGGAACTCTTCCGAACTATTCTTCGATTCGACAGGATCAATCGAAATTCCCTCCTCTGGGATCAGATCCGCCACCAAGACAAATTATGGAGAAGAAGCAGCATGGTCAGGCCGCGGCGAAGCCTGCTCTTGTCGCAATTCTCTCTGCTTCTCGAGTCTTGCCTTCCCAGCAACAGCGTGGCTTGGCATCGGGTGAATTAGACAATGAGCGAGTGACAATAGTTCGGCCAAATCCTCCCAAGCCCAAAAAGGTGGATTCGGATGGTTTTGAAGCCGTTGGCCGTCCAAGGTGGGAACATCAAAAATAGTGCTTGCATCTCAATTATTCCGCTCAGATCTTCCCGTGTCACTCCTTCCATCCCACAAACAAAAGTACAGACTGCTGAGAACACTGGAAACAGCAGTGGCACGTCTAAGAACGAGTCGGTCTCGGAGCAAACGGAGAGTTCGGAGAAGTGCACAACGCCCGAATCGGAACCGGAAACTGACGAGCTGCCTTATCCGAAATCAACCGCACTGCGAAAGAAGAGAAAGAACAGAGGGAAGAAGCAGAAGAAAGTTCCTGAATTGGCTGACGAGGAGGAAATGGCTCGTGCCAAGGCTGAAAAAGAGCAGGAAGAGAAAGAGAAGGCGGAAGAAGTGGAGAAGTACAGCGGACAGTGCCAAATAAAGGAGCAGGAGGTCGCAGCAGAAAGGAGGCGAGTTGCCCGAATTGTCATCGAACGTGAGTTTTTTTTCTAGCTTAACACACCAAACAAATTTGATTTTTCCAGAAGTTCTCGAGCAGCACAAATACTTTAATCCCAAGCAGTACAAAGAACAAGGACGCCTCGTCATCCGAGCACTGGTGACGTTCGTGGAGGCAATCAAGAATCCGGGCGTCGGAAAGGGTCTTCCTGGTATGTTTTCACTGAATTTCCCCTGTTTATCGAGTTCATTTCGTCTTGTCTCAGCTTACGACAAGGAATTATCGCGCATCGTTGTATACCGGAATTACCCGGAGCATCCGGATATCACCGATGCGCGGGACAACGAGATTCGATATTCGCTCTTCACGAAAATGCAGAAGCTCGCTGGGAAAAATGACTTCGCCGACCAGATGAAGTACATTGTTTATGTACGCTTGCTCAGACTCTACCACTCTGATTTGGGACCGTCGTTGTGGGAGGCGATGTCGCTCGTCTTCTATGACGACAAATTCGAACGCTCGTTCATCAACGTGATCCTCAGACAGCGTTTCGCTGCTAACCAGGATTACGTAATTTTATAATAAGATTCCAGAATAAGTTGAACTTTTATTCATTGTATTGCATTCAGATTTTGTCAACTATCGGTTTTTTCAAGTTAAATAAACGGGTTTCAATTGGGTTTTCACCTTCAGACACGGATTTCCGCATTGTTTCACAACAGCATTCTGATGAGATGAGTCACGAAAAGGGGAGGAGTCGGTAGGATGAGCTGGCGAGGAGAGTACGCGTCCGCCCTCGCTCCTCAGCCCACTTTTCTTCTTTTCTCCGTTCTGCCAACATTGATGAAATATCCATCAAAAACAGAAGAAAGTACTTGCTCCCGCGTCGTTACTTTCTACCGATCACGTTTTCCTCTCTTTTTTCCGACTTTCGAAACAACTACTCTACCTTCCATTCAGATCGATGATCTTCCTCTGTCAAAATTGCGACAATCTGTCAAATTTATATCGTTAGCTAGGAAATGCCAGAATATCAGCACTTTTGGATAAAATTGAAGATCTAGTCTAGTCCGGCGTGGTGTACATTTGTCCCACGTTATGTGAGAAGAACGGTAGCTACTCATAACAAAGCAAACATAAGTACTGCGTTGATCGTCTCATTCGTTGATTCATCGACCTTCACCCACTTTCTCGCTTCTCTGTCTGACCTTTCGTTGCTCTTTTCTAACAGAACACTCTGCATTTATTTAATGGTGTTTATGGGGAACTGAGGGCTTTTGCATATCACTGTTGTCACATTTTTCGTTTTACAGAACTCCACTCCCGAAATGCATCGACTCAGTCAAGCGGAAATGACCGAAATCGGTCAATTCCGAGAGCAGGAAGCTGCGCGGTCGTACGCAGTGAGTTTTATGCATTTTTTCGGGCTGAGATAATCATCATCGTTGTTCAGGCCTTCGAGATGTGGCGGAATCTCGACATTTCGGACGAGATGACCACGAAGTTCGTCCTCGATCACAAGACCATGTGTCGAAGCGAGTTCGAAGGAGTGCTAATGAGCACCACGCGAATTGTTTGTGATTTACGACCAGAAACATTTAAATCAACTGATTCTTCCAGGGAAAGATGGGGAACGTCTATCGACCATTCGGGTGTCGAATTGAGGAAATCGTGAGTTTTACAAGAAGAAAACAACACAATTTTGTTATTTTTCAGCAGCACTATCACGGTGACGCGGCAGATAGTGAACTTTTCGGCCCATACTCAAAGCTTTATCCGCATCTCGGATGGCCAGTGTCTGTCGACGGACATCCGATCACGAGCGCTCCCTACTACTATCGGCCGCCGCCACCACCTGCCGTTTTTTATAATCCGCAGACATCGACTGATTGCAATAAGGGAAACGTGCTCGTCACAATGCCGCCAGATAGCCCAGAATCGGCTTTTCTGAGGTTAGAGAAAACTGGAGCGTTTCAAAAGAATATTATTTTCAGGGCCTCGGTTCGGAATGATCCGACGGGAACTGACGGAAAAGAGCAAATTCAGGAGTCTGTGTCAGTTGGACAAAACGTCGTGGAGCAGGCGGAAGTCGAGAATATTGAATCGGAACGTATTGCAAATGTGGACACGAAGCAAATCAGTGAGGAGAAGACGGAGCAGGTCGTCCAGGGAAACTCGGCATCAATCGACAACGCGGCTGCGGAGCAAGTCGCCGAGAGGGCCACGGAACAGGTCGTTGAGGAAGGCGGTGATCAAGTCAATGAGGGGAGCAGAGCCGTCGAGAGAGGGTCAGAGCAAGTCGACAGGGAGAAGGCGGAGCAGCACGTTCAGGGAACCTTGGTGTCGAAGCAAGTTTCCGAAAAAACTATTGAGAAAGTTGACGAAGAGGTCGTGGAGCACGTCGTGAAGGAAGGTGCCGAACGAGATGTCGAAAGAGGATCGGAGCCAGTCTGCCAAGAAACAATCGATAATGAAGGAGCGAAGTCTGTCGGAGAGACAACAATTGAAGCGATTACGGTTGAACAGAATGAGACGCCAGAGCGAACGTGGGCCAAGGCCACTGGCAAGCAGACGAACGCGACAAGTTCAATTCAGATGATTGCACCGAATACAACTCAGAAAGCAGACTCGAATCCATCAGCTACCCCTTCTGAAAATTCTTCTCGACGCAAAAATCAGTACGTTTTCTCGCTTTTCGAAATGACCACGATTGCTTTTCAGCCTTGGATCTTCTGAGACGTCTTTCTTGACGTCGATTCCGGAGTGCAGCACTAGGTACCGAGGAAAAATATTCTGTATAAAGCAGCTTTACAATTTTTAGCTCTGCCAGTCAGCAACAGAAGGCTAAAGAACCGAGAACCGCGCCCAAACCTTCAAAATCAAAAATTGTGGACTCGGAGGGTTTCGAAATGGTTATTTCCAAGTGAGTTTTAAAGAAAAAGAACTTCCAATTTACGTTTCACTTGCAGAACTTCAAGGCCGCCACCGGCTCCTGCTCCGGCTCCGATCTCAAGACCGTCAACCGAGGCAACCGCTACTCCGCCCATCAAAAAGCAAACAGTTGTGACGGTTCCGATGGAACAGAAGAATGAGGAACCGAGCCAGAAAAAGAAGGAAAACCAGAAGAAAAAAGCTAAGAAAAACAAGAACAAGAAAAGCAATAAGGCGGTACAAAAGAACAAAAACGGGAAAAAGGACGAAGATCTCGATTCGGAAACGGAGGAAATGCTGGAGAATGGTAGAAGGGAAAGAGAGGCCATGGAAATAGTGAAAAGAGCAGAAGAAGCGGAGAAGAAGGCGGCAGAGAAGCTTGCGGAGGAAGAAGCGAAGGAGGCGGAGAGGCTTGCTGAGGAAAAAGCGAAGGCTCCGCGGGAGATCCAACAAAAAAGTGATGAATTGGCCACAAAAATTCTTCTCCATAACGGTGAGTTTTGCTCAATAACGTTTCCCTATAAGGTTCGAATCTTTTTTCAGTGATTGCTCGTCTTGAAAATCAGAAGGCCAGGGAGGAAGGAAAGAAGCCGCCGCCGCCGTCAGAAAATTCAAACAAATCTGAGAAGGAGGACGATAGCAATCTTAGCATAGGCGTTACTCCGAATGATATCAAAGCAGTAGGTGCGGCCATCAACAAGTTCATCAGTAACATTAGCGAGGCAGCGAAGAAAGCAGCAAGTGATGGAAAAGGTGGAGAATTCTCTTTTTCTCAATGTTTTGCTATAGATGAATAAACTTTTATAGACGCATTTGTATTCAATGAAGGCGAACATCAGATCATTTTCCCTATCAGAGACGTAAACGAAGACGTGAAAGTGAGAATCGCACGAGACAAACGCTGTGTGCTCTACCTGATGACAATAGCACAACGGTTAATACATCCGAATCCTGAACTGCAATTTATGCGAGTAACGACTTTCCCCATTTTAGCGGATGAATATGTTACTGGTCTCGGACCTTTTATAGATAATCTCAGATCATGCGAGGGTCCTGAGTACGTGTTCCAAGAGCTTAACTTACTAAGAGCAATCATCGATTGCATTGAACCCCCATCCTCCGAATGTTGACTAAATTTGTTTGAATTAGAAATAATAAACATGTATTTTTGAGAAAGCGTTCTCATTGTTTGCTTCTGTCGCATCACAATCATGCGATGATTCACCGTGAATGTACGGACTCTCAATCCTTCTGGCCTCCCTCGGCTGCCTGTCACTTTCCCGCTTTGCGCCATTCTCAAAACAAAAGAAACTATTTCCTCTATTTCCAATTGAGAATCAGAGCAAATGCTCAGCAGAATGCGAGCAGATTCTGCAATTCAAGCGGAAATCGAAGAGATTCGGAAGATACGAAAGAAGCAGTTGAGATCAATTCGTCGGGTAAGAGTTTCCACCCCAGTATTCGAAGAATACTTAATTTCAGATTACTAACGGCTGGGATCACATCGATCTGAAGGACGCCAGAACTCGTGGGCTTGTGCTTAATGCCTCGAGCAGCAAAGATCCGAGAGCAATGATCAAATTCGAGGACGATGCTTTTGTGAATGGGTCTATCGACGTGGTGAGTACCTCTGAATGATCACACCTGAAGAGATGAACATTTGCAGAAGTTTGTTGGTAATTATCGAGTCCCGAAACCGATCGATGAACGCGCACGCTGCTCGCACGGCCATTCCGTCCCTCAGAAACAACCTCAACAGTGCATTTTGCTCCCGCCTAAAGCGAAAGACCAAAAACACCTCAAAAGTGAAACTGACTCAGAGGTTTCTTTTAAAAACTTTTTTCAAATTTATAATTTTTTTACAGGAAACTTGTGCGGAACAGCAACTGGAAGAGGCAAATGACGAGAATCACGCGGAGAAAGAATCAAACTTTGAAAGCAAGTGAGTCATTTCTGGCATTCATTCTATAAGAAACGGAATATGTCAATTTTCGCTCAAAATCGGGCCGCCCTGGCGCGGCTGATCTTTCTTTTGTCAGCAAAGAAAACGACAATGACTTACAGAGAGGTAGTTCCGATCGGCACTACTTCAAAAACAGCAAAAGATGAACGAGTAATTTGGTCAGTACTCGAAAACTTAAATTTTGCATTCATGAACAAAATTTCAGCCCGGAAATTGATAAATACGTCGAGATTGTTGCAAAATCCTGTCAGAACATTGACATTCTGAACGAGTTGGCGGAAGAAGTCATCACGAATGAGAATAAGTTAGTTGAGCGCCACGTATCGCAAATTCCATTTTCTTTTTCAGTTTATGTCCAGTCGTTCCAAAAAGAAAAAAAGAGGGTTTCAATGAGGTGAAAATACTGGATTTCTTCTCTCAACTGAAAAATTTAGCGTGATTTTTCGATTTTTGCGAAAAATTCTTTAGCTTCACATTTCAGAAAGATTACTGACGCCGTTTCTATGAAAATAGACGAAGGATATGCTCAGGAGATGATTGAAGGTAATCGGCGTTCAAAAACATCATCACACAAGAAGTTTTCAGATAACATGACCGAAGAGGAGCTAGCCGAATCTCTTGACGATCATCCGTTTGAAATCATCGAATCCATCGATCATTTCATCGAAAGACTGCAAAAAGAGGACGGAAAATCGGTTCTCCGGAGAGGTATTTCACGTTAAACTTAAAGTCAGTCGCTGATTTTTGATTTCCAGATCTAAAACACATGTCGCCCGACGAGATTCTTTTTCTCGCCTGCCTTCGCAACAAAAACAAACTGAAAAAAGAGGAGTTGGCGGTCGTCAACACGATGGTGAACGAGTTTATGGAGATGAGAATTCAGGAATTGAAGAAGGAGAATCTTCCGACGAGTCACGTCCGGCACGTTTACTACCGATTCCTCATCAACAGATACAACCCACTTCTCGGTCCGATTCTGCAATATTTGGCGATGGCGAATGCGGACAAGCTACGTGGCATCGAATGGTCCTTGTTCAACGTCATCTCCAACATCGGACAGAAGAATGAGGGGTCCCCGTGATAACATTAAAAATGGTTTATTTGCCCCCACCACACATTTGATTAACTTTTTAAACACGTACGCTGTAATATTTGCTTTTTCCCTATTTCTGTGCTTTCTGCTTGTCAGCGCTCATGGTTAATTAACGTGATTATAGTCAGAAAAGCAAATTTCACATTTCCACAGGTGCACGGTTCGATACAGACACCTCTTATCATCACACATTTATTTAGTTCACAAGTTCGCCAAGAAAATGGAAACAGAGAGAGAGAGAGAGCACAATGTGAACTTTGCATTTGATCAATTGCGGGTTTATCAGACGGGACACGTTTGGGAGCGTCTAGAAATTGATTCGTTTTGGCTCCTCTCACGGTCTGTTCACAATGTCCGAATCCGGGCTCTGAAGTAGTCAAAGTTACAGCTGAAGCACCGCCTACCGTATAGTTTTTACCTATATATCAGCGCCTTCTGCCTTGAGCGATTCGAGCACGCGCCGCATATAAATGAGCAAAACTTATTGAAAAAACGCGATAAACCTGCCAGTGTTGAGGAAAACAAGAAGTGAGAGAGGGATGCCGCTGAGCACGGCGTCGTGCTCTCCTCTCCTCCATTTGCATTAATATCTCACTTCTGTTTCCCAGTCTTTTGCCTCCGTCCGTCTCGTTTTCATGAAAGCGAGAACAACGAGAGGAGCGAGGAGAAATGACAATGCGGGCCGATGAGGAAGCGGGTTTCAGGGTTTGTGGAATTTCAAATTGAAACGATTTGAAACACAACAATTTCTTGTTTTTTTTCAAGATCTCGATGAAGAACACGTTTGTTTTTTATTTTTGGATTTTGAACTTTATTTTGCAACCAAAACCATGAAAAACCAACAGATTAAACTACCACCGGTAGATGAACCAAATAAGGCTTCGAAACAATTACAATATGAATATAACGTGCATTTTTTTAGGGTGGGGAATCCTCCGATACCATTCTGATGGTAGTCAGTGAGTGATCGGAAGGAATAGTGGGTGACAATCAAGTTGTGATTCGAGCACTAGACAGATGACCATCAGTGTTGTTGAACAACAGAGATGTTAGACAAAAGAAGAAAAAGGAAAGATTAGGGTCCTAGTCGATACTGTTCAGCGGTGTAGCGGAAACCGGGGACTAAGTGTGATGAAGTTACTGATGAAAAGTGCTCAAAAGAGATCATTTCATCAGTGGAAACGGTGGTCGCATCAGAATAAGAGGCTGGTGGTTTAGGAAAAGAGTAAGAAATCTAAGAGAAGAAGACGAAGTTTCGGGAAGACGAAGAGATGTTAGTGGGGGTCTAATACGTTTAGCGTTTCAGTAATACGAATGGTGTTAGGGGCTATAAATGTGTTGAGGTAGTTTCTGAAGCTACTAGCTATCCTAAGTTTTGATGAACGCATTCTAAGTGTTCCGAAATCTGTACTTCTATGTGAACTACAGCTACCTATGATATGGTCGGGAAAGGGAAGACAAGGATAAATGGGAATAACATGCATACCGAGAAATTGAGAAGAATTTAATGGGCAATGGCGGAGGTAGCTGGAATTGGGCTTCCCTTGGCCTTCTCCAGGAGAGCTGGCGAGATCTTGAGGGCTTTTGGCTCTTCCCATGGGAACTCGGAATGTCCGAAGTGTCCGTTCTCAGCAGTCTTCTCGTAGATTGGTCTCTTGAGGTTGAGCTCCCTGAAAATAACGGCATAAGGATGTGAATTCATGAAATAAACAACTTACTTAATGATCTTTCCTGGGGTGAGGTCGAAGGAATCCTCGACAACCTGGAGAAGCTCTTCATCGGTGAGTGGGGAAGTTCCAAAGGCGTAAATCAGCGTGGAGATTGGCTTTGCAATTCCGATGGCGTACGAAAGCTGGACAAGAACTCTCTTGGCGAGTCCGGCCTTGACCAGCGACTTGGCGACCCAGCGAGCAGCATAGGCGGCGGAGCGATCGACCTTGGTTGGGTCCTTTCCGGAGAAAGCTCCTCCTCCGTGGGCTCCCCATCCTCCGTAGGTGTCGACGATGATCTTTCTTCCGGTGACGCCGGCATCTCCCATTGGTCCTCCGACGATGAAGGTTCCACATGGGTTGATGTGGTAGACGGTCTGTTCGTCAAGGAGGGAGGCTGGGATCACCTTCTTGATCACCTCGGAGAGAATCACCTCTCTCAACTTCTCGAGGGAGACATCCGGAGAATGCTGGGTGGAGATGACGACGGTGTGGACGCGGAGTGGCACGCAGGCTCCGTTGCGGGACTCGTACTCGATGGTCACTTGGGACTTGGAGTCCGGGCGGATCCATGGGAGGGTTCCGTTGCGACGGAGAGCGTGGAGCTCGGCGTTGAGCTTGTGCGAGAGAACGAGGGTGAGTGGCATGGCCTCCTCGGTCTCATCAGTAGCATATCCGAACATGATTCCCTGATCTCCGGCTCCGACATCGTCTCCGTCCTTGTCCTTGTGCACTCCGGCGGCGATTTCCGGCGATTGCTGCTCAAGAGCGACGAGAACGTTGCAGGTCTTGTGGTCGAATCCTGAAATACCGAATCATCCAATAAATGCTGATGAAAGCCGATTGACTTACCGATGCTCGAGTCGGTGAATCCGATCTTCTCGATGACACGACGGACCAGAACCTGGTAGTCAACGTTAGCCTTGGAGGTGATCTCTCCGCAGAGCATGACCATTCCAGTCTTGGTGACGGTCTCTGCAAATATTTCAATGAGGTTTTCGTTCAATATCTCAGTCAAACTAACCGCAAGCGACCTTGGCGTGCGGGTCCTGTTTCAGGTGAGCATCCAGAACGGCGTCAGAAATCTGAAAAAAACGGGATGAACCTAGTCAAGAAGGTAGGAATGTACTCACCTGATCACACATCTTATCAGGGTGACCCTCCGAGACGGATTCGGAAGTGAACAAGAAGCGAGAGTGCTGGCCGTCAGACATTTTGGCAGTTAAGGGATGTAATTGGCAAGAGCGGTGTCAAATGTATCAAGGAAGCAATTTGCGATGGCTTGTTCGCACCGTCCACCTACTGTCCTTATAAAGAACCTTGGAGGAAAGGGCGGAGCTTCGAAACAACCTCATTTGTTTCTCTGAGTCTTGTCTTCCCTCGCCACTTCTATCTTTCTTCTTTTTCGCCGATATTATCGTTTGAGGAGGGGGGCAAGGCAAAGAGCGATCACGGAGAAGAAGGCGAGAAGAAGAGTTGTACTTCTTCCGACGTGATCCGAGATGGCGATGTACCTGAAAAATAAATAGGTTTAGGAGCGTGTAAACGTCTGAGCGGTTTTCATTCATTTTTAAAAAGATATTTAGAAGACGCCCCTTTTCGTTTTCAGTTTTCACCCGACACTTCTTCAGTCGGTCCAGGAAGTTTATTCAGTCATGAATCAGATCAGGTTGTCTATGTCTATACACACTTTTTTATCGCTCTCTCGATCTAGCCAAAAAAATACGAATACCTATGACACCTCGAATAGTCAGCGCGAGGTCCCCACGTGGTCGATCGGACAGCCGACGCAGACTCGTTTTCCTGTTCTGACCATCTTTTGGTCATTGTCAAGGTTGATAGGGACGGATCGGAAAAAAAGGGTTTCAATTTACATTTGAATAGTTTTTCGAGGTGATGTGGAGATCTCTGAATAATGTCGGTGTTCCCTAGATTAGAATTTCAGATGAAGTTTTTTCAGGAAACAGGAATGTTCTCAATTTGGAACTTCCGACAAAGAACACTAAAATACGCGTACTTGATCATTCACGTTCTGGAAGCTTCCAATCGTCGCTCAAGACCCCGACCAGACATGCAAACTTTCCACATAAAGTTCACAATATGATCTCATATCAGATACGCTCCGTTTCCATGAAAAAGTAATCACTTGTAGCTGCGCTCGCTATCATGCCACTATCCTCTCCGCTAATTTAATTTCCTTCCTGATAATCACTTTTATTCTCGAATCGTATTGCCCGATGCACCGATAACAGCTCCGCGTAGGCACGAGTGCATTTTCAGTTCGCATAAAAAGCTCAGAAGTAAACTATTTGCAAACCGCCACGTCAGTCCGTCCGTCGAGAATTATTTCAGGGCCATTCAGGTTCGATTGCATCAGCGCTCGTCTCGATCGCCTCTTCAGGAGGACATGACAATTCGTTTCAGATTTGCATCTCCGTCATCATCTTATCTGTGTTGCATCAGCCGTTTTTGCCTTGCTTCCAACCGTCATCGCGATCCAATCTTTTATTTCTTCCTATTTTAGAGACTGATGATAACTGGTCACAAGAGAGTGGTCTGGTGGTCTTGATTCTTAGGCTACGCCAAGGAAAACTAGGTAGAATTAGCAAATTACTCTTATTGGTCGCCGTGTCCAAAAAAACGTCTGCGTTCGTCAGGTTTGACCGCGTCTTCCCAGTCATCTACGGTTTGTATTGGTCATCCTGCGAGCGATCAGGCCATTTTTAGCGACAGCCCGGCATAGCAGGGTTATTCGGAGATAAGAAAAGAATGAAGTACATGTGGAGACTGAGACGGTCCGTCTTATCACCTTTCGCCACACAATGATCATTTTACAAACATTGACAGTGATAGTGCACACTACACCGTGTCGCTTATAAAGTTAATACTATTAGGGACTCGTGGTAGAGGTCAAATGGAACCTTATTAGTTTGTATTCTCTGATAACAAAAGAGAAAACGTGTGGTCCATGCAAACTTGACCGGACTGAGTTGTTTCGGGCGGAGGATGATATTTTTGTAGGTGTAACGTAATCTGATGACATTTTCTTGGGGCATGATGATAATTGACAGTGTTCGAAACTGATGTCATGTACAGAATAGTTCAAATAAGCCTTGAGTAGTTGCATTGAAGACCCTATCGTTTCGTATAAACTATTGCCCTCTTCACTATAAGTCTGGAGGGGCCTTTTCAGAAGACTGTGAGAAGATGATTTGGGTTTGATGCTGACCAGATCTATTCGAAAGATAAGTTACTGGTGGTACTCAGTCCTGAGCAATCAAAAAGTCAAACTGCAGACTTCGGCCTCGTTTTCGGTAAGTAACGTCAATTCTCTGCTAAAACGTCCAGACGACTTTACTTTCCGTTCTCTCCAAAACCTCTGCGAACATCTTTCACACACGCACGTTTCAGTGGCTTCGAGGTTACACAAGACAGACAGTCTATCTCAATCCCGATCTTTTGGTGATGGTTCCTCTCTCTTATCCCCTCACGACGACTGCATATCACTCTTATCACACAGTTTTTTTTTCTTGACAGATAGGATAGACATAGACGTTTTGAAGGTTCTAGACCATATCCATTTGTCGGCGTGACGGTCTGACCGGATGGGAGATCAGGCCATATTTCCTTCTCGAGAAAGGCGAAACGAACAATTCGGTTTTTGACGGAGACAGGAGATGCGTGTAATGATTATGCGGTTGAAGGCGAACTAGTGATTATCAATCCGTTTAGTAGGGCATAGTGTCACAGATGCCGTCTGATACTGAAGTATTCAAGTATTGAAGTGTTGGGACAGTAACTCGTACTGCTTAATTTTAACCTCTTCCTTGTGGTGAACCCAAAAAGTGATAATGATACCCAGAGAAACTATGTTTAAGCCTATGAGCCCGTCCTTCTACACAAGTACTCCAGAATTATCAAGAAGGGTGGTATTCCGTACCGATCTAAAAGATATGAAAAATAGATCGAAATGTCGGTGGGCAACATGGAGAACGCCGGCAATTCGTACAGCTAGAGACAATGCCTTCTTCGAAAGGCGCGTCAACAGCTGCTTAATTCTGAAATTAATTTGTTGGAGAACATTGTAAGATTAATTGAAAAACCTTATTGGGATTTGACGAGAGGGTTGCGCCAACGGGGTTTTTGCCCGGTCCATGGGAAAAGTCCATACAGAATTATAAGGAAGACATTTTTCAACTGATTTTCCGTGAATGTTTGATTCCTCGATCGACAGACCTAAAAATGTACTTGTTATATCACTATTCGAATTCAATCGAAATTACTTGTTAAGGTGATTTCTTCAAGCAATCCGTGTGTCCGTTAGCTCCATTTCCTTTAGTTTCAGCTGAAAAATAATCATTTAATTCTATACTACATCGTATTTGATTTGAAATAATGTGCGGCGGCCGAGAGCACGCGCGCGTGAAAACTCGGCCAGATCCATTGAACTCCCCTCGGGCGGCAATGTGTCAAGTGCTCATTTTTGGGAAGAACGGTGGACGAGAACTAGCGGTTCGCAACGAATCACGTCACAGGGAAGTAGAAATGAGAAAGAGCAGAGATAACAGAACACCTTGCCACTATGTCCCGTCTTATAACATATTCGAATGTACTGCCGTCTTCATACCTTCACTCTCATTTTTGTCTTCATTCTATCTCTTCTCATCTTTGTTTCTTTACGTTTTTGTTTTATCTACGGGACTAGAAAGCAAAATTTTGTTCCCATGTGGCTTTTCTACATTTTTTCTCACTTACTTGGTTGCTTAGAATCAGTTTGATCAACAAATGCTTTCGCTGTCGATGTATGTCTTCAGGGCGTCTTGTTCTTCGTCAAATCTTAGTTTCTTCGGCTGTCCTCGGCTCCATTGACCAGTTCTCGGTTGCCATCCGGTTGCGACTTTGGGCCATCTCTCCGCGCCTTGTGGCCCGCTCATGGCATTATGCTTCAGAAGAAGGATCTGATTTCTTCTGTCCATGATGTCCAGAAGGTTCTCGTCTGAGTGGTTTGCCGTCCATCCGTTTCTTGTCCTTCTGCTCAGCTCTGCCTCCATGTCTCCATTCGCGTCTATCCAAATTTAAAAGTATCGGCATCCGATGCTTTGATTGGATGCGATTTCCGTCTGACCATGCTTGTTGGACGGACGGTTTCGGCCACATTTATCGATCCCTGCTTCTGGCTGATCCGTTCCTAGTCTTTTCCAGTTGGCTTTGCCATGTTCGTTTCGTCGTAGGGATCCTTGTTTGTGCTCCGCTCATCAGGAGCGCAAGAGCGTTTTTGAGAGTCAATTCGTTTTTGAGAGGCGATCGTTGTGCGGAGTGTGAGCGCAGGTAGGACCAAGACTAGCGTACCGCAACGTATTAGGTCTCTCGAACAGTCCACGTGGACGTCCGTCTCACCGCTCGAGTATCTCGTTCTCCCCACTCTCCCGCAGGTGTCTGACGGTCAGACTCTGACCTACTGACCTGTTCGTGCCATTTTCTCGACAACTCCCGATCGAATGTGTTAAATATGACGGTGCTAACGGGTCGGTTGCATGGGTTGCCTTTCGGGTCCAGTCTCTCGTTCTTGTCTTCGTTCTATCTCTTCTCGTTTTTGCAATCACTCCGCCTGTTTCTCATCGCTTTTTTTTAAATTCTTAACTTTAGTTTACGGAAAAGCATACTATAATTCTTCAAAACCAACCTTCTCTCAGATTTGTCCGAAATGAAGAACGACAACAAGCACGTGTCGATGGAGCTGCTTTCCGATGAAGCGGGGAGCCAGCTGGAAGCGGATACTCTCGCAAGGTATTCACTAATTTAGTTCTTAGCAATCACCAACTTGCCCATTTCAGAGAGCTCGAAGTCGACGGATCCGTCAACGAGATTGATGACAATGGGGTGAATGATCTGGCCGCTCAGCCACCACTTGCGAATGTTTACGCTGCCGGTATATTTTCCTCTGACTGATTATATTATCATACCTGCCGTTTCAGAATTTGGCAAGTGCCATCGATTTTGGGTAAGACGAAAGCGGATAAATGGGAGGAGAAGGGAGTGGAAGCCACGAAGGACAAGGACGACGTGGAGAAGAAGAAGGGCCGTGGATCCAATGGAAACTATTTGGAGGACGACGATTCGGATATTCAATTTTTGAAAGCAATTCGAGCTCCTTTTCCGGCTGAGCAGTTGCGACTGACCATTGAGAAAATTCTAAAAGCGAACCTCTATCAGTTGCTCTCGAAACTGCCGGAAATGATCCAGAAGCAGATCGGCGAGGCTGCTGTGGTGACGACGCTCCGTGAAGTTCTCGAATTCTTTAACTCATCGAAGTCCTTGACAGGCACCCCGGTGGCGGACGATGAACCCTCATTGTACGGATTCCCAGTCTCCCAACTGTGTATTCCGCAGTTGAACGAGCATTGCGGCAGTCTCTTCCGTGCCGGAAAACCCGCAACCATTTTGAGTGTCTTCGCGCAAACCACTCTCGACGCGGTGGTGGCACTGGTGGCCGGTCAGACCGAATTTCTCAAGGTCAAGCCGAATGATGAGCTGCAGATGGACGGCATCGCAAAGAATCACGAACAGTCGAACAAGGCAGTTGATGTAGAGGACAGGAACCTCGTCGTGGCCGCCCTCCAATTGGATGTCTTCAAAAAGAGGCAACAGGTGGAGAAAGACCGCAATGTCGAAGTGAACGAACAAAACGAGGAGGATGGCCGCGCGGAGAAGGACCAGGAAGAGGAGGAGCCGACCCGCAAGAGAGCCCGCCTTGCGTAGGCGGTTCCTGATAATCCACTTTTCTTCCCGTCTTGAAACCACAATTATCACAGATTCAATTATCCGCACTCCAAAACAAAAACTAATATGCAAAGTTAGAGTTCAATTGGATTGTCGCAAATGGCTCGAAAATCCTCATTCTTCCTCTATCTCTCTCTCTATCTCTTTCTCTCTCTCTCTCTATTTCTATCTCTATCTCTCTCTATTTCTATCTCTCTCTCTCTATTTCTATCTCTCTCTCTATTTCTATCTCTCTCTCTATTTCTATCTCTCTCTCTATTTCTATCTCTCTCTCTATTTCTATCTCTCTCTCTCTCTCTATTTCTATCTCGCTAAGTAACTCACTGTTTTTCTTTTTTGATCCCTTTTGTCGTATGGTCTCATTTGTTTTTGTAGTTTATGGGAAACACTCAGAATAAATTATTTTTTCGAAGAAAATATCTTTTCTTTTTTAAACTTCTCAATACCAGTGATTGAATTTCACTGTAAATCCCTTTCCTCGCAAAGCAACTTTGTTATTTGGATGAGTGACTTTCAGGTAAGTTCAAAATTAGTATTCTTTCAGAACTGATGACGATTGTTTGCATCGGAATGGTATCGACTGACATCGAACGGATTTTTTGATCTTTTTGTATATAAAAAAGAATGAACAATTATTATGCCAGAGGAAAGAAGTGATATCAGTTTTGTAAAAGACCAATCGGGCGAAAACATGACGTGCTCGTCTCGGAAAACCGACTACAGCACTGAAAATGTGATTTCTTCGCTGATTTCATTCAATGATCAACAGATTACCTCATAAATCATGACAAGTTCCCCTTTTGGGCAGTCGGCAGGCGTGGGCGTTGTGAAGAATGGTCCAATTAGGCTGGATTTGGTTCTGAAACAAACATCATTCTGTGCTCGTCCTTACAATGTGGCACATCATCAGATTAGGTGTGACATTTTGCATAAAGCAGAGAGAAAACTGTGGTTTGTGACTGACCGCTAAGGACTTGGAAGTTGTTCTTTGATTCACCCTGGTTGGGCAAAGGGCCTGGACTATTGATCCGTGAATCAGTTTGATGTGAATATTCTAAGTGGGTCAAAAAGTTCAATGCTTACTGTACAAAGTATGTTCCAGGTTTTCGAAGTGCGGCAAGGACGTATTGATTGACAGTTCGTGGCTTGGGGTCCACAATTGAGATGATGTTCTTTTTCAGTTCAATTATCCCATTCTCGCTGGAAAAAACCACTGTTTTCTCTGCGATATGCAGCCACTCGCTCACCCGCTATAAAACTGTTTAGTTTCGTTCATCGGCGTCCTATTTTCAGGCGGAACCAACTCTGGACTCGCCGAGCAGTATCGTTTCCAGCACGACGGCTGCTCATTTTGATGGACACGTTTCATTCTGACACCCTGCAAACTATTGGAAGTTGAAAACGTAGCCGACGTTCCGAATGTTTATATAAAGAAAGAGGGATGATAAAGCGGAACTGAATCATTTTAAATATTGAAAAAGAGATGGAGGCGAGAGGTGACGCGTTGTGTTTTCAAAATATGTCGATTCTTGGAGTCAGATTGACATTTCAGACATTTTCGCCGATAAGGCACTGTGAAGCTGCATTAAGAACTCGAAATATCAAACCATAAAGTTCACGGAATGAAAACATACATATTAGAAGGAGACGAACGCGTGTGCATGTATAATCTCAAATGTTACAACGCCAAACGACGTTAGACTGAGCAACCTTTAAAGAACGAACGAAACTAGACCATGACATCAGCTGATAGCACGGCTCTTATCATGTTTTCCCGGGGCATTCATTTTACACGTACGTACCGAAGAGAGGGAAACCAATATGTCGTTTTAAAAACAATTCTAAAATGTGTAGAGGGAGACGACGTAAATCTTGATGTTACGGAAAAACGCGATCGAGTCTAGAATACGTGATGTTCGAAGTTCAAGTATTTGAAATGCGCTCTTTTAGTCGCCCTCTTTTTTTATTTTGCAGATGGCCTTTGCACCCAGTATATAGTTGTTTACGGCACAGAAAGCACATAGTTGATCAGACATCAATGTTAGCAACTGATTTTCTGATTCTTTAGAAAAAAATCTGAAAATGATTCTCTTGCTTTTGTCTCAGATGTTTGTTGTCTACAGTATTCGTTGTAGCCTTCACATAACGCTTCAGATAGCCCGTAAGTAAGCGAGCAGGAAGAAATTGCATGGGAATTGAAATGAAATAAGAAATAAGCATTTGATCGAGTATCCAACAAAAAGTTATAACTCGCCACATGTCCGAAACGGCATTTGGTGCCTAAGAACATTAGAAAATGCAAAAAATGCGTGGCGAGACACTCACATCAAGCAAACTGAACTGAGGCAGAAAACGTTTTGCTTAACGAGCATCAAAGTACAAACGGCAAACGGGGGATCAAACTTCCAGCATGAAAAGCAAAGAAGAAGCGAACAACTCAGCAATAATGATTTCATTTCTAGCCAATTCCTTGCAGACTGTTTTCCCATGTCAACAAAAAGCGATTGTATGCCTACGACGGAGGTTTAATGATAGTGTTCATTGGTATCGAAGTCGAGCAACTTTGAGATTTTGGTGGATTATGAGCAAGTAGACACTGATACTCATACTACAATCCTACAGACACAACGTACCAGAGGATAATCGGATCTATCAGTTTTCAATTTTTAAGCTCTGAGTTCTGAAGGCAAAACGAACATGTAAAGAGGGAAATTAACTGATTAGAAATAGAAATGTCAACGAGGTAAGAATGATTTGAGAAGGTCTTTACTGGCTACTCATGATTGAGCCGAGAAATTCATAAGCGAGTGGTTTGTGCTGTGATCTTTGCTCTGATTAAATTAGCTTCTGACTGTCTGCCTCCATTTTGCAGGAATTTGTTTAGTTGATCTCACATCAGTTCGTGAAGAAAACGAGAACGAAATGATTAGGCAGTACTCAGAGACTTTCAAAGCAGTAATCTTTCAGAAATCAAAACCTCACACCACCGACACTGATTTATAGCCTACAAGTTCTAAGAATGCTCAAGTTGATTTCCATATCCGCATTTGTAAGACCGCTTGGTTTTTTGGCCCCGCGTGATCTTTGGCAAAAACTAATCCTTTCAAGTCACATCGTTCGCATGTCAACACCTGCCTTTTTCTCTCTTCCTGCTTCTTTACTTTTGCGTTACTCGAACGTTTTATTCAACAGAATTCAAGATATAATGATGGCAATTGGAAGAGTATTTAATGAAACCAAGAAAATTCGCCATGTATTATAGTAGACTGAGGAAAACCGATCTCCATTTATGCCTCTGTGTTTTCTTCGATTACTTGATACGAGGTGATGCCACGCAAAATTTCGTTCGCAGCGTAGTTGAGAAGAGCTGTGGCTGCAATAAATTCACTTTTTTCATGCATAGATAGAAAAACTCACTCACCAATGATAACTAAAGAAACTATAAGAAAAATGAAGAACGAGTGAATATGATTAGTATTAGCAATAGCTTCGATGGTAATGACTCCAGTGCTTGGTGCATTTATCGATGAGATGTTCACGAACACACATCCGTCTTCGCTGCCCAATGTGTCCCATTTCATCTCGACTGATTCACACGTCACAATTGGTTTGACGCTGATAGGAGTTCCCTCACAGTCCGAGACAAATAGAGCAACAGGATTCGAAGAATTCACAACCATTCGGAAAATGTCGTAATAGAAATAGGCGGTTTGTTTCCATAATTCATCAATTTTCAACTGGAAGACCACTGTCGCATTGTCTACCAAATCGAAATTTGTCGTGTTGTTGTACAGTGACATGAGGAAGAATCGATGATCCGTATGGTTTTGGTCGGCACTCTCGGTGAAGATGGTACCATGGGCCGTGGAGAGAATACAGAAGAGAATGAAGATGCAGCGTGTCATCACTGAAAATGAGGAAAGTTTCACGCTTGAAGAACGATTTGAGAAGGAACGTCTACGAGCATCGATGTGGAGAAACTTTTTGCGAACGTCAGTTGGTTGAAAAAAAAGCATTTGAGACTCTGAACGGTGGTGAGGCACATATTGAAAGTGAGTACAGACTGGCGCGTGAGTTTATATATACGAAGAGGTCAAAAATTGAAGAGAACCCGTACACTTCGTTAGGATTTTTGCAGATCTGTTTATCAATCTAATGTAAACTGTCACAGACGCTTGAATTTGAGAGTATTGGGTTGCAGAAGCGAGCTTTTGTTGCACAGCACTTACTAGAACTTTGCAACTATTAGAATGCGCCCAAAAAGCCATTAAAATATCGTAAAAGTTGAGAAAATTTCGAGGAAATGAGGAAACGAGAATATTGATGAACTCGAGTAGAAAAACGTGCTCAAAGTCTTCTTCCAAATGAAGCAGAAAAAGGGAAAAAAGCATTGGAAAGAGAAGAAAGAGGACATCGGGACCTGAGGTTGATTTACGGGCGGCTGTCGACGGCACCTCAATCTTCCGGTCCCATGGAAAAAAGAAAACGATTCAAATGTCAACTGGAGAGCACAACGGAGAAAAAAGCTTCTGGACATCTGGGAAGGAGCAAGACGGACCGTTCTGGAGTGTTACCGACTTGAAGTACGTTTTTTTCCGAAATAAGGGGTTCAAAAACGAGAACAAAACATGAAAGGGAAAGTGAAAGCTGCGAGGTGCCACACATAAGTGGTGGGTGTCATTTTGATCCGTAAGCAGAATGGGAAGGACAAGTGGAAGGGAGGGATGTAATTGGCGTGGTGTGCAAGACGTTTTTTTCGAAAGATCTCTGGAAGTGTTTCAGGGTTACAGTATAGAGAATCGCAGTTCAAAGAGCAGGAACATCAACAATTCAGCTCATTACGGACTGAGTTACAGCTTCCAAAGGTCAAAGAACGGTGTCGGACGAATGTCACCTGCATGTCGCACTCCTGCCACTTCAGCTCTCTGAAATCCTTTAAGTTTGGAATTTTTAATAAAAGATATCATCTAGATTATACAGGCAAGTCAACGTTCTCTCCCATTATGCCAAAAAACAATGTTACAGGCCGGACAATATTCCTAATGTGCTTGTTTGGCTATAGCAATAAACGAGAATGTATGTGGTGGCGGTGACAAGACGGTACACAAAGATGTGGATTGTAAAACATATCTGCGTAACAAAACAATAGACACATTTCCTTTTCGTTCACCGTTTTTCTTTGTATGCTGCTGTACTTTTTTGGTCGACTGTATCACCAGAGCTTTGAATTCGAATAAAACCCATTATATTTGGCGCGCTCACCGCCGTCATGCGGCTCTCCCACCACCCACTTTGTACTTTTGGAAAATCGTATCACTTTCGCTTGTTATTGCCCTTTCATCTGCGGTCCCTTCGGTCATTTTTCGAATTGTTTCACTCATTCCGTTTGAGGCGCCGCCAGCTTTTTCGACAGAGAGTTCAGAAATTAAAAGTTGTTGTCACTTATTTTCCACATTTGGCGGTTCGCTTGATTGTCTCTTGGGTTGTTCAGTGTCAGATGAAAAGTGCTGACTAACCTTTCTGCACGTACTCATTGTCTACCACCCTTTCTGTTCCTATTGAAATTTCGCACCCTTTTTATTAGTCTATGTATCGATCACAATTGCTTTCACATTCAGATGAGGCCGCCTCCTCTCTTCATTTACCTCTTTCTCGTGTTTCCAATCTCAATCTTGGCTCTGCTGACGTCGTCCTCATCGGCAGCAAACACGTCTTCGGAATCGAAGAATCGTGGAGCTCACAACTTGACAAGCTGGCATATGACACACCTTTTGGAAAAAACTCCAGTTTTCCGTAAGTCTGAAGATGTAGTACCCATCTAACGAAGCTTTTTTTCAGTCCGCGACTCGGTCTCCACTGACTGCGTCACCTTCGACCTGCCGAAAGGATCTCGAGGATTCTACCCGATTAAAATCAACTTCACCGATCCGTCCTCTCAGAGCATGTCCATCAACTCATCGGGACCGGTCAATATTTTTATGGTCAAATGCGGACACCACCTTCCTCTCGGTATCATCAGAAAAGGGCACATTTGGTACGATCGGGAACGAATGAACGCACTTTCAACTCGTTCATGCGGCCGGAAATGGAAGAGCAACTTTGTGAAACTGCTGATCATCTCGGATGTGCGGAGATCCGTTGGTTGGATGAAGCTGCACAACAGGCAGGAACCCTTGGATGGACGGGAGAGTACAATCGCTTTGTGCTTGCTGGTCACTGGAGTGCTCATTGGGATCGTATTGCTTGTCTTCACAACGTGCTGTGAGTTTTCTAGTTAAATTGCAGCTTTTTTGAGCAAATTTTACAGGGCGCAAGAAGAGAGACGCCGCAAGTGACGGCAACCTCATCGAATGGCCAATGTCCCGCAGCTTCCAGTCCGAGTGGTCTATTCGTCACGTTCAGCAACAACTGAACCGCCTGATCCACAACTCTGATTCCGTTTACGAGCACGAGAAGGAGAAGGAGAAGGAGGAGAAGTTCTTCGTTCAGAGCCAAACGACAGTATTCGGATGCTCGCAGATGACTCAACTGGACGAAGAAGACGAGATCGACGACGAGTCAAACCCGATCTATGATAATATATCCAACTACCGATATGCTTGACTATCCCACTCATCCTTCCCCGTTCTTCTTCCGGTTTCTCAAATTTACTTCCCCCTACACTCTCTTTGGTTGCGTAGTTGTCCCAGGAGGCGTACCTTATCATTTGACTTGAGTGTTGATGAAAATTATGTCTCTGACGTTAGTTGTGACATTTAGCTTTCACAAAAATGGCATTTTGAGTAAAAATAAGGCTGGGGAAAAAGCCGACTCAGGCGTTTCCAAAGCTTTTTTAAGCCTGGATTTTTGGCCGAGACACAACTTTCTGATGGGATCGAAACTTTGCAGGTTCCTTAGAATTGGATTGAAGTATCTTCGGTCTAAGTTTCAGAAGGATTGAGTTATCCAATCTGAAGATAGGTGGATGGGAGGCCGATAAAGCCGCTATCTCCGGAAAGCGTCGATTTGGTAGCTGCTGTCGCGAGAGCAGCGTCGATTTGGTAGCTGCTGTCGCGAGAGCAGCGCCCATTTGGTAGCTGCTGTCGCGAGAGCTGCGCCCATTTGGTAGCTGCTGTCGCGAGAGCAGCGCCCATTTGGTAGCTGCTGTCGTGAGAGCAGCGTCGATTTGGTAGCTGCTGTCGTGAGAGCAGCGTCGATTTGGTAGCTGCTGTCGTGAGAGCAGTGCTTATTTGGTAGCTGCTGTCGTGAGAGCAGCGCCCATTTGGTTGCTGCTGTCGCGAGAGCTGCGCCCATTTGGTAGCTGCTGTCGCGAGAGCAGCGTCGATTTGGTAGCTGCTGTCGCGAGAGCTGCGCCCATTCGGTAGCTGCTGTCGCGAGAGCAGCGTCGATTTGGTAGCTGCTGTCGCGAGAGCAGTGCTTATTTGGTAGCTGCTGTCGTGAGAGCAGCGCCCATTTGGTAGCTGCTGTCGCGAGAGCAGTGCTTATTTGGTAGCTGCTGTCGTGAGAGCAGTGCTTATTTGGTAGCTGCTGTCGTGAGAGCAGCGCCCATTTGGTAGCTGCTATCGCGAGAGCTGCGCCCATTTGGTAGCTGCTGTCGTGAGAGCAGTGCTTATTTGGTAGCGGCTGTCGTGAGAGCAGCGCCCATTTGGTAGCTGCTATCGCGAGAGCAGCGTCGATTTGGTAGTTGCTGTCGCGAGAGCAGCGTCGATTTGGTAGCTGCTGTCGCGAGAGCAGCGTCGATTTGGTAGCTGCTGTCGTGAGAGCAAATTCGATTTGGTTGCTGCTGTCGCGAGAGCTGCGCCCATTTGGTAGCTGCTGTCGCGAGAGCTGCGCCCATTTGGTAGCTGCTGTCGCGAGAGCAGCGCCCATTTGGTAGCTGCTATCGCGAGAGCTGCGCCCATTTGGTAGCTGCTGTCGCGAGAGCAGCGTCGATTTGGTAGCTGCTGTCGCGAGAGCAGTACTTATTTGGTAGCTGCTGTCCTGAGAGCAGCGCCCATTTGGTAGCTGCTGTCGCGGGAGCAGCGTCGATTTGGTAGCTGCTGTCGCGAGAACAGCGTCGATTTGGTAGCTGCTGTCGTGAGAGCAGCTCCCATTTTTTGTGTAAATTTGATCGTTCATTTTCCAAATAGTGGTGCTGTGGTCAGTTGATCACGTAACTATGTTTATGCTTATTCTCCGCCACAGGTTTTTTTTAAGATGGCGGCCTTGAGAGGTATTAAACTGGTCATTTCGGACTATGTCGCGACTGTTACAAGTTATCAGGTCGTGATAATTGTCTTATTCACTTCCTCGTGTCATATTCATTCAGTTTCCACTCACTCAGTCCCTTAAGAATACCTGTTTAGACCACTAGAGTCACTATTCTCTCTGCCTCTCTCCGAACTTATTGCAATACAAGAAGTCAACTTATTTTTTTTGTTCTTCATGATTAAGCTTCCTCGCGGCAAAACACGGAAACGGGGGCTTCCTCAGGAAGCCCGCCGGCTAATTAGTCAACGTACCTTTTCTGAATAGCATTTGGAAGTAAGCCTGAAATTCTAGAAACTTTAATAGGATTATCTAACTCTCACCACACAGTTCCACTTCAGGCCGAAAAAGCCTCAGACGACTCAAAGTGAGTTGAAACAAACGCTTACCGTAAATACTGTAATATAGAAGTGCACCGCTTCGGTAAAAGTCCGCAACTTTTACCTATTCTAGTAGATGGGCCCCCCAGTAAAGCGAGCTAGAGCAGTTTTAAATCAATTTTAAGATTGAAATTCTGAGAGACTGGAGAATGACTGAACTAGGCCTGGCACGAAAAACTCATCATGCTCCGATTTGATTGATATTGGCGACAGTGAGTACCTGGTCTGTTCTAAGATATGTGAAATTAGAAATTAGTTTCATCTGGCTCCGCCCCTTTTCCAGGATTACTGTACTACCGTACCCCCAAACGGTAAAAAATTTCAAAAAAATTATATCGACTCAAACTCAACGCCATTCGATTTCTCGCATCTTTTTAAGCATTTTTTATGTTCACATTAAAATAACTCTTTGCACATTAAAAGAACTCTCTTTGCACGTTAGTGCTAAAATTTTTCAGTATCACGAAAAAACCGAAAACATTTTCTGAAGTTTGAGAAAAATCATTTTTTTCTACCCGAAGAAGGAGAGCTAGAATTTTAAAATTCGGATTCTACGTAATAATACGCGTCGACAAAAAAAGTTGAACCAAAATCGGAATGCGCGTCCAAGATCTGTACCTAAATTCATAGATTTTGTTTACAAAAATTGCATGCTTTTTAAACTTACATACATGCAATACTTGCAAAAAGGGGTGACTCAGGTATTACGGTGTGAAGACCACAGGATCGAGCTTTCTTTCTCTCAAACTCACTCTAGAATTCTTTCTTCTACCTTCCGAGCTCAATCCTTCTTTCTGTCGTCCGTCTTACCTTTGGGTTTGAACCGTTTACACACTTCCGGAGTCGCCACGTCCTTCAGTCAGGTCTGAAAGTCGTCACGATCAGTGTCTAACCGTGGCAAATTTCTTTGCACTCAGCGGGGCTCGAACCTGCGGTCTTCGAATTGCTAAGCACAAGCTTAACCGCCTACACCACCCTGGCCACGCGGCTCAATCACCCATGGGGCGTATTTATAATGGCGACGGGCGCCGTTGGACGCTGTGGTGTCGGTGATATCTCGAGAACGGATGAAGCTATCGGGAAGCATCCAAGAGCAAAAATGCTCAGAAAAATGTGCTCCATTCATTTGAATACATATCAAAAAGATTCAGATGTCGTTTGAAGATTCAGATGACACCGAAAACAAATTGTCCAAAATATGACTTAATGTATATCAAATAAATGACAAAAACACGAAGGTTGTATGTCGTGACAAGGAGCTGCCTATTATCATTTAACATACATGCAAAACTTGTAAAAAGGGGTGACTCAGGTATTACGGTGTGAAGACCACAGGATCGAGCTTTCTTTCTCTCAAACTCACTCTAGAATTCTTTCTTCTACCTTCCGAGCTCAATCCTTCTTTCTGTCGTCCGTCTTACCTTTGGGTTTGAACCGTTTACACCCTTCCGGAGTCGCCACGTCCTTCAGTCAGGTCTGAAAGTCGTCACGATCAGTGTCTAACCGAGGCAAATTTCTTTGCACTCGGCGGGGCTCGAACCTGCGGTCTTCGGATTGCTAAGCACAAGCTTAACCGCCTACACCACCCTGGCCACGCGGCTCAATCACCCATGGGGCGTATATATAATGGCGACGGGCGCCGTTGGACGCTGTGGTGTCGGTGATATCTCGAGAACGGATGAAGCTATCGAGAAGAATCCAAGAGGAAAAATGCTCAGAAAAATGTGCTCCGTTCATTTGAATACATACCAACTAGAGTCAGAAGGAGAGAAGCTCGGCGATTTTCTTCATACGAGCTGCGATGTTCAGCGTCACTTGCACCATCGTCTCGTCTGTCCTGTGCGTCGTGAACTTCACGGTCACCGTCATGAACTTGGAGTCTATGCAGAGACATCCGCATAAAAACAAGGATTTCTTCTTCTATCGCTTGTCATATCAGCGTCTGGTTCGGTAAGTGTAAAAGTCCTCGAAACGCTCTGATGTTTCAGTGTATCCCAGTCCTTTCGTTTGTCGCCATAAAAAATGAGATTTACCTCGACTTTCAAATTTTTGCAACAGACAGTTTCGGTTTCGAAGGGAGATGGCTTAACTGGGTTTTCCGAATCTGCAGCGCGTCGATTTACTTTATTCTCTTCATACAGTACTCCGTCCTCGCCATATACGCCGTACTCCACATTCAATTCAAGGCCGTTCCGGCAGTCCGCAAAACAGTGAGTTCTGTAGCAGAGGCATTTAGAATATGAAATGGACGTGCAGAATAGGAAGGATCGCTTGGTTCTCGCTGCAATTATTGTGCTCGGTGTCTCCTTCGGGGGTTGGATCCTGCAATGGCCGGTCCATTTCGAGCAGATGATGGATATGCGCTCGTCAGTGTGAGATCCTCCAACTTTTTCACCACCAACTCGCTCGTTTTCAACTAAATGAAGTACTTCACCGACACCTTCCTCTTCTATCAACTCGCCGCAACTGCTATTGTTGGCGGCTACAACCTGCTTGGTGTGTACCGTCTGTACCAAGCGGGTTCTCCCCTTGTTCAATTTGGACTCTCTGGACTGCCGATAATGTTTGCAATGGCTGGCGGAATTCTTAACATGGTAAGATTGAGTGAACAGAAGTAGAACACTTGTACCGTTGTTGTAGGCGCATCAGATCGAGCATCATCAGCGGCAATAAGCAGTTGGTCGCTCTGGCGTGGTCCATCTTCCCAGTCACATGGACCTGATCACCTCGCAGGTCTCTTTGGGGAGTTTATATCTCCAGCCACGATGTACGGAGTCTCAATTAATTTCTAATCCTTCGACAAACTTGCTTATTTCAGGCGCGAAAACTATTCCTTCGTCTCTACTGCCCACGCTCCCATCTGAAAGTCGCGCCTGCCGAACATGTCGAACTCTCAGCAACTCATCATTAATCGCTAATTTCCAATTCTCTCCCTCTCTTCAAATCTACTTCGTTCCCATACTCTGTACCTCCTGACTATCTCACAATAATCAACCTACCTCGAATATGAAAATATCATTATCTCCCAAATCTCTTCCAAATTAAGGCAATAAAAATTTCGGAAAGGACATGACTCATTCGGTACGGCTAGAAGTCAAAAACGAGCTTTCTCTTCAAAAAAGAAATCTGTCCGTCAAGACGGTCCCTTGAGATGGAGAATTCGACGGATGATGATAATTAATCATCGCTCTATCACAATCAAGGCTGCTTAATTCGACATTTTGTGTCTTAAGCACAAACTCCGCGAGATCCGTCATAAACTGATCAACTCGGTAAACAATTTATCAATCTTCTCACAGATACCCTTTTGAGAACCCCGGAAATAAAAATTGAAAGATAGAGGAGGAACTTCACACTATGTAGACCGAAAAGGTGAACAGTGAAAAGTTACTGAGACCGTCTGACTTGCCGTCTTAGCAACTCAAACTTTCGGTAAACATGCTTCATTTTTGCTCAAAAAGTAGGAAAAATAATTGTCAGATCAGCTTCAGCCATCCTGTACTTTGGCCGTTAACGTGTTGGCCACTAGTTGAAAACAACGGCGCTACATTCGATGATTGACCAGAAGGAGAGGGCAGAAATAGAAAACTCACGTCTCGGAGTTTTCTGTCTGCACAAGCAGACTGGGTGGACAATTCAAACTAGATACAAACTTTTTGGGTCTATGTATTGAATGATGGCACTTTGAGTGAAGACAGGGCCGGACTTGGAATTGGATTGAAGTATTTTCGATCCGAGTTTCACAACGATTGAGTTTTTAAGTCTGGAGATAATTGGATAGGAGGCCCTGAAGCCCGCATTTTCCGCAGAACCAGTCCTTTGCAATCGCCTTCATATAGTTTTGGCCGCCCTCTTGCCCAACACGTTTAAAAACTTTAGTGTGCAGGGCTGAAAAGTTCCAGACGTTCCAAAATTGGGACATTCCAGAAAAAAACGTCCCAAAAACATAGAGTTTTTGCAGATTTTCAATTCCCGCCCATTTCTTAAGTTTCCATGCTTTGTTTCCAAAACGTGCAAACGAAGTCAACTTGATCCGCAACTAAAGATCAACTGAAACTCCTTTTGGATTTCCTACTTCCATTCAGATTTGCACTTTTAATAAGGTCGACTATTCAAGGCGTCACTTCCAATTTTCGAGTTCTCAGCGCTCCGCGTGATTCATATAGTCATCGTTTTATTCTCTTCAAAATCATCCCACGCTTACTAGTCTCTTCTCTTCCGGACTCATTGAGTCTAATTGGACGTGGCGTTCAAAACTAGGTATCTCCGAATACACGGCACCGCCCATCGGTCGCCCGAGGTTACCGCGCTTTCTATAAAAGGCGAGGAGCTCGGCGCTTTCTCTTTATTCAAGCTGCGATGTTTAGCCGCACTTGCGCCATCGGCTCGTTTGTCCTGGGCGTCGTGATCTTCACGGTCACCGTCATGAGCGTGGTCTCTATGCAAAGGCATCCTCACCAGGACAAAGCCCACTTCTTCTATCGTTCGACATACCAGAACCTGGTCGGGTAAATGTAGAATTTCTCTAAAAACTCTGATTTTTCAGTGCCTCCCAGTCCTCCTCAGCTCGCTCATTGCCATCAAAGTGGCAATTTTCCTCAGCGACATTCCGCCGCTTCACAACCTCGCAACAGACAGGAAGGGCTTCGAAAGAAGCTGGCTCAATTGGGTTTTCCGGATTTCCTTCGCGTCGATCTACTCTCTTCTCTTCATACAGTACTCCGTCCTCGCCATCTACGCCAGAATCCGCATCCAATTCAAGGCCGTTCCGGCAGTTCGCAGAGCTGTGAGTTCTGTAGCAGAGGCATTCAGAATATAAAATAGACGTGCAGAATAGGAAGGATCGCTTCGTTCTCGCTGCAATTATTGTGCTCGGTGTCACCTTCGGGGGTTGGACCCTGCAATGGCCGGTTCACTTCGAGCGGTTCAAAGACGGCGGATACGCACTCGTCAGCAATGCTGTGAGAACTTTCAGCAGATTCATCATGAATTCACTCATTTTCAGCCGGAAGAGCAAATGGAGTACTTCACCGACGCCTTCCTCTTCTATCAGCTCGCCGCAACTGCTATTGCTGGCGGCTACAACTTGCTTGGTATGCACCGTCTGGACCGAGTGCATTCTCCTCTTGTTCAATTTGGGCTCTCTGGACTGCTGATGGTTGTTTTCATGGCTGGAGGAGTTTTGAACATGGTAAGATTGTGTGAACAGAAGTAGAACACTTGTACCGTCGTTGTAGGCGCTGATCAGATTGAGCATCATCAAAGGCAATGAGCAGTTGTTTGCTTTGGCGGGGTCCATTTTCCCAATCACCTGGGATCTCATCACCGGACAAGTCCTTTTGGGGATCTATGTTTCGAGCCATGATGTACGGAATTTCAATTTATTTATAATCCTTCGACAAACTTGCTGATTTCAGGCGCGCAAACGATTTCTTCGTCTCTACTGCCCACGCTCCCAACTGAAAGTCACACCCGCCGAACAAGTGGAACTTTCAACGATGACGGTGAATCCAGCTCAGTTCACGTCGCTCGATGCCTGAACGCGACCTTCCCTCTGCCCTCCGCTCTTCGAACTCCGATCTCCTTCTCGACTCTATGATCTCATCATTAATCACTCATTTCCAATTATCTCCCTCTCCTCAAATCTACTTCGATCCCATTCTATCTCACAATAATCAACCTACCTCGAATATGCAACTATCATTCTCTCCCAAATCTCTTCCAAATCGAGGCAATAAAAATTTCGGAAAAGACATGACTCATTCGGTTCGGCTAAAAGTCGAAAACGAGCTTTCTCTCCAAAATAGAAGTCCGTCCGTCTAGACGGTCCCTTGAGATGGAGAATTCGACGGATGATGATAACTAATCATCGCTCTATCACAATCAAGGCTGCTTAATTGGTCATTTTGTGTCTTGAGCACAAACTCCGCGAGATCCGTCGTAGACTGATCAACTCCGTAAACAATTTATCAATCTTCTCACAGATTACCTTTTCAAAACTCCGGAAGTAAAACTATATAATGAAGAGGATTTATCGAATGATACATATATGAGAAATTTCACAATAGACCGGAAAGGTAGAGATCAGCCTGCGTACTCCAACTGAACTTTTCCTCTTCTGGGCTTCGAAGCCGAAATGCTGTCTGAAAAACAAAACTACGTTAAAGTTTATTGTGATTTCAATAACCTGTTCTGTCTTAGAGAAAAAAAAATATTGGAAAGTCTGTTGGTCGTTCATTCCGTCTTTACCGAGTTGCATGCATGGTTTCACGGATTGTGCTTCAATTCCCTGGCCCCTTGAAGAAGTTTTCACAGCGGTCGTATGAACTTTTTGAAGTTGACCGTCGAGCTTTTGCAGCAGTCCAACTCGTTCAGATGAGTCATTTTCATCGTCAAGTCGGGTTCTCTTTGATGATGCTTCGGCTTTGATGCGCACTTCCGGTGGATTCGATTGTACTTCAGCCTTCCGTCTTGCTTCCTCCTCTTCTCGCGCCCTCCGCACACCGTTCTGGTTGTCTGAAAACGTTCAGGCCGGTCAACAAACACAAGTGACACTAACAAGACATTCTCACAGAGTGCTTTCCGTTTGGTTTCAGCCACTTCTGGTACTTTCCGATGAGATCCCTGCTTTTTATTCCGACCACTGGATCAAGCTGCTGCCATCCCACAAGTTCCAGAATTTTTGGAATATTTTCTTGGAAATACGGACACTTCAAGTCTCTAACTTTGAGTTGAATGTTAGACAGACGTTGAATACCCATTCTTCTCTTAAAGTCATCAACTCTTTGGGGCATTCCGAGCGAAAACTTACTTGGAGAAGTTTTTCATGGGTCAGTTGGACGAGTATCTCCTTGAACTTTTCCACGGTGTAGTGTTTGTTGGTTTGCATTCTCAAAAGAATTGAAAGCAAAAGAGCAACTGCCGGAAAACCAGGAAGAAAGTCTTTTTATACGGGGGTTTATAGTTGGAAATAGGCTCTTGAATGGGCGATTGTTTTCATTGCTCGCCACGTCACACTGGTAGTTGGCGGGACGTATGAATCATAGAGACAACACAACGGGGAAGGGACATCAAAAGGGAAACATTTCGTGTCGAAAATGGTCAGCATTTTTCGGATTGAATAAAAAGGGAAATGAAGAGTTCGTGTTGATTATCGGACGTGGACTCACTCAGAAGCGGAGCATGAAGTTTGAAGCATTCTGAAAACGATTCATTAAATACGAGAATCAAACGACAGGAGTTACCAGTTGGTTCATGTCATCCAGAAGCTGCTCGACTGAGATATTTGGAGCGAAGGATCTCTGAAAATCACTTTTTGCTTAACAAAATTGTGCAAGATCTCATCTCACCGCGTGGCTTTCCATCAAAACTTGCTGGTACAGCCGCTGATAGTGTTGAGTTCGTTGGATTGCCGCCAGGTCGAAAACCGGCCTTGCTGGTTGAGCATATGGTTTGAAGGGCGAGTTCTCACCGTGATCCAAACCTGGTCCAAAGTTCAGAGGAGATGGCACGGTCTCAGTCACAATCTCTTGCTGAACTTCAGTCGGAGTGGCGTTCGGGTCATCCTGCTGAAAGTGCAAGCTCACATTAATCTGAAGATGTCTGCTTTTACCTTGCGGAGCAAGTCATTCGAATCAATCGCTAATCCGAAGTTTTGAACAGGGATGTCGACGCTCAGTGGCAGTGACGTGTCAAGACTTGGGGTGGATGCAGCAGTGCTGCCATCATTTTGAACGGTGTTGGGAAGTGGAGAAATAGAGCTTTTGACCAGAAGGTCGGCTCTTATTTGCTCTCCTTTCATCTTTGTCTCCAATTGCTTCATCTCCTAAAATGATTATACATAGAATCCTCTGGAAGTCTTGATTTCACATACCTTTTCCTTCTCTTTCCTCTCAGCGTACTTGGCTCGTTTCAGGCGGTTGCTCTCCATCCACTTCTCGTTCTTCTTTCTGATCGTGGTGACGAACTTTCCTAGCACCGGGTCCTCCTCGAACGGCGCGATTGTCTCCAACAAACCGTACTTGCGGGACATCTTCTCCGGCACTTTGAGGCGAGAGATCTCCCTCATGGTACTCTCCATCTGAAACTTGACTTACGCTCCTTATCTTTTCCTGTTTACCAACGTTCTTCTTTTCGTTGAAGTCCGCAAGAAGACGTTGGAGACGTGATTCCACGGCGTTGGTCGGCTCCGGTCGATCCATTTTCCTATACTATAATAACAGAAGTTTTTCAAAATGTATACGGAATCACGAGGAGCATGAAAGGTGAGAGCAGTAGATTTGTTTATAGAATTGTGCGACTTTGTATACTACCGCTAAAATTATCAAACAAATAACGGCCGACCTGGCACCAAGGTGGAAGTCTGACCGCTTCCAACAGGAGCTCTTTCCTCTTTTGTTGATAATGGGACAATGCAAACTGGCACGCTATTTGAAAGGGTCCAAAAAGGAAAGGTTGTGACAGAGGCCGCGAGTAATACAAACGAATGATTCACGGGCACCGGTAGCTGTTTACTTCATTCATTCGAACACCTAAAAGGAGCGTTTTTGAATGAGCAGAGATGAGTAAGGTCGGTTCCGTTTGAACCGGGACCAATTGTATTCACTCCAAACTTTTCATTAAAGGGTCATTCTGGAGAGGAGACCGAGTGAACCTAGACCTGAAAAAAAACCGAGAAAAATGACAATAGAAGGTACATTTTTTGTAGTTTACCCAGGTAAAAATCATCGCTGACATATACATATGAAAGAAAAATGGTGATGCGGAGCCAGTGAAGGGAAACGGGCGACGAAATGAAATGGAGAAGCGTCGAATGGCAAAGTGAATGCTTTTCTTCGGCGCTTTTTCCCGGAAAGGCAAGGGGGAAAAGAACAGAAATGATGACGCATCACATTTGTTTCACCGTCAGCCTGGTTCTTTTGGGAAAAAGATGGAAGAAGGACATTTCAAACAAACGTCATGTCGACCGTGAGCTGGAGCCGGAGTCACGGAACGAATGAGAAAGGGAGGAGGTCAGGCGCACTAGCTTCTTATTCAAAATTTATGAAAAATTAGGGAAAACCACCACAAGTGCGAGTCATTTGAGGAATCGTTTTGGAATTCTGACAGGAAATTAGTCAGCGTCAGGGGTTATTCCAGAACAAATGGTTTTCGAGAGATTTTCAATCGGTTCGGCTCCGGGGAGACGTCAAGAAGTCATGTGCCGAGCTTTGTGCGTAGGACATTATTAGATAGATCCAATAAAACAAAAAATTATAGGTTTACTCGGCTTTCACACACACAAAGCTCATTTTGAGCCCCATTTTCTGAATGCGGCTGGAGAGTCTGAAAGTACGAATACTAATGTTGCACATATGACTCGAAGAACGCCTGACGAATATCAAATGGGTAGACGAGAATTGAATGTAATGCAGTCTGCAATTAGAGAACGAACGCGCGCGCGCACTTTTCCACTGACAAGCACGTTTCCCCGAGATGGCCCACGGTGGTTTCGGAATGTACCCTTTTTCCATACGCTCCTCCCGCCTCTCTCTCTCCCTCTATCTCTCCGATTTCTCTGCCAGTTCTAGTCAAGAAAGTTTATTTAAATGTGCGGCACTCTTCTCGTTACCGTATCTAATTGTCACACCAACCACTTTTTTGCTATAGTCAGTTGTATAGTTGAGAGGGGTAATAAACTTTTCCGAAACGGGTAGTTCTTAGAAAAACAATTGTCATTCTTTTGAGCATTGCCTTGATTGCTTTTGGAGATCCGCGTGTTCAACGCTTTGACCGAAGTTTCAAGTTGGACATTCCTGTGTTTTTTCAAGGTTTGAATGCAACGGTCCCTTTCAAAGCAAAAAGAGTAGAAGTCACTTCACTTCTCGCCAATCTCAGCTCTTTCTCGGCTTTGATACATCTTTTTAGTATGTAAATGAACGAAATGCGGTGTGACGTTCCATAAATTTACTGGAGTAAGACGTACAACCTCCTCCTTTAATGGATGTCCGTTTTCGAACGTCAGGTCCCTTTTGCTCATCCGTCACCCCTCCTTTTTCTGTCCAAATCTGGTCCCTATTGCTCGTGTGTTCTCGTTTTCGTTTCCGGCCTCGCGTCACGCGAGAAGCTCATAATTAAACTCGTACGAGCTTCAATTATCCGGGGTGCAAAATGGGAAAGACATTCGGGTGGCACCGCCTTTTTTGTAGAATTGGGGGAACCGATGGGGAATGGGGCGGAACGGAAGGAAAACCTTAAAGTGGACCCCTCGGTCTATCCCGCTGGAGCTGCGAAGAGGACAATAGCAATAAAGAAAGGACAGTTTTTCTCACAGATGTTTACTTTGCTTCCGAGTTAGCAACACGCACATCAATTCAATGGGCTGATATGATTAGCATACGCCTTTCCTCTTCGTCCCTCCTTCCCTTCATCTTCTTTCATTCCTTGTCTTTTCGTCGTCCTTGGGTAGTCTCCTCCACAGTTGTCACACACTGGGCTGTGATGAAAGCTTCTATGACCCGCACGGCCCGGATGGCCCACACCTATGGCCTTCCCCTTTCTTAATAGCGGTTTTTGTAGTAGGTAGCTCAGATGAGAGTGAGTAATCTAGTGATCTCTTCGGTTTATGTACTTAGAAACAAAAATTAGTAAATCGAAGAACTTTTTCGAAAAATTTCCAGCGTGTCGGCCCGGATCCTCCCAAATTCCCTCTAGACAATCATATTTTCAGCACTTAGTGTGCTTGAAACAGACTTTCGATGAGAAATGTGGTAGACCCCCGCCGCTCCCTCGCATATGTCTCCTCGGGCATTCGTTCTATTCAAAACAACACGAGGTTTCTGAAAAGGTTTTGTCACCGTCGAATCAATTCACAAAAGCTTTCGATTCGATGTTCTGAATCTCTGAACACTGATCACGATTCCGACGTGTTGCCACGACTGCTTTTCAAATCGATTTCGGCTCTCACGTTTCCAATACTTTCATAAATATACAAATCGACTGACTGTTGGCGCCAGTCTCGGTCTCATTTCTAGTTGATTCCACAGTAATGGCAGGTGCGGAGTCCGATCTGAAAAATAGGCTGTTGACAGCACTTTGCCAGTTGCAAATCGGTGTTCGGGTGAGTTGGCATCTTGAGAAAAAGCCGTCTTTTAGGATATTGTCCATCAGCTCTTTTAAATCTTTTGATCAAACTTGTTTTTTTCGAAAATAGTTTTTGTTTCAGATCGAAGATTGTCTGAAGACACTCTGCGCCGAGAATCTTCCTCTCAATCTGTGCGACAAGTTCGACGTCCGTCGAATGACATCCAACTACTTGAAAGATCCAACATTGAAAGGATTCGCCGAGGAACTTCTCTCAAAAATGGACGAGCTGGAGGCTAACCGTGATGAGATAGAAGAGAAGGAGGAGAAGATGCAGGCACTCGCGCCGCCGGAGGTGGAGAGTGAGGAGTACTTGCAGAAGACTATGTGGATGAAGTTGGCGGAAAAAAACGAGGAGGACGAGCTGAAAGACGCCGAGGAGGAGCGGAATCTGAAAAAGGAAAGGAAGAAGAAGAGAAAGGAGGAGAAGAGAGCCAAGCGCCAGAAGCAGAAGGAGGAGGAGATGGAGAGCATGGAACTGGAGGCAATGGAGAATGAGAAGAAGGATCAAGAGGAGGCAATGGAGACAATGGAACAGGAGGAAATGGAGAAGAAGAAGAAGGAGAATGGTATTGTCATCATCACTATTTCTTCCGACGACGATGAGGATTGGAACGATGAAAGTGAAGGAAAGGTAAAACTCTACGATTTCCGGTACAATCCGACCCCTGATGTGTTTTTTCAGACTCCACAGGCACCGATCGTCACTACTCCGTGCAAGATTGCTAGTAAACCAGAAGATGCGCAAGCCATCAATATGGAGCGTCTCGTGGGAAAAGAAGCCGATAAAGAAGAAGGTATGCGCTTTAGCCACCGTTCTCATTAGTGTCAACATGTTTTTGAGTTGGTTATTGCAGTTGATAGTATTTTTTTAGGTCTCGTCCCGACTCCGCCTCAGCAGGCGACTGAGCCGGTCGCCGAGAATGTCCCCAAACGGGTTGTGGTCTGGAACGAGGTAGTTTTCAGTATTCTGATAACGTTTACTGTCTGTGTTTTAGACCATGCGCAACTACGAGAAGTGCTACAAAAAAGCCGTTTACCAAGAGTTCCGAAGCCACTTGAAGGAGAAGGGAGTCGATGAGACCTGGACAGCCTTCTACAAGCGACTCTTCCGTCAGCGAGAAGCTGCTCCCCCGGTTCCTCGTGCGAAAAGAGGAAGACCACGCAAGACCACGGTCTCCGATCCCAACAAGTTCAAGGAGACGTCAGTCGAGTCGGGTATCATCTCTTTTCAATTAATCTTCAATAAATGTTTATTTAGCTGCGGCTGCTGCTGCGTCGAGCACTCCCTCCAACTCCTCGAACATGCCGACCACATCGGATGAGGTCAAGGCTCCAAAAGTCCGCATCGACCCGACCTTCTGGGCCAACCGCAACAAACTTTGAACTGATAATTCATCTATTCCTTACATATATTCCCGTAGTTTGATGACTTGTAGAACACCACACTTAATTCAACGTTATTTGTCAGTAGCTTCAATTTCGTTCAGCTATACATGTCAAATTTCCGACCCAATCGTTTGTATGCATTTCACTTCAGATAAACAGAAATAAACGCAGATTTTCAGAATTTCCCGAGTTTCGCCTCTTCCTGATGTGTTTCACACTGTCCTTGCAGTACAACTCTGGAATTTTGTTATTAATCTAATTGTAGTCTACGCGAGTTACAGAGCGGCATAATTCGGTAAATATGACACATAATTAGATTAGTAAATTGTCTAGCTAGATTATTAAGTGTTCGAATCAATTTTCACGCCAAACCTTTGTTGTCTCAAATCTCGAAAAAACAGCCTAATCTGATAAGGTTGAGATTAGATCGTAACTTTCTAATTAGATTAATATCAAATTGCCGGAGAAAGATACACAAAAATAGAAATAACCCATTCGGGATCAGTTGGATTAACGGGAAAATGAATCCGGAATAATTTTTTTTTCATTCAAAATGAGTGTTGCACAGAAAGAAAGAGAAAAAAGCGGAGTGTGTGGAAATGGAAGAATTTGAGGATTAGAAAATACTGGTAATATAGATAATCGTGAGAAAATAACATGGAATTCAACAGAATTTAGCGTGGAGCCTTTGCAGCTGCTCACTTTCGGCGTGAGCTGGAACGGAGGTTTGTGGACGAGGACGACGAAGATGGTCCGACATCCGAAGTTGACGGTTCCGAGTTCCTTGCAGCGTTGTTGCCGGCCATCGAGCTTCTGGTCGAGTAGCGGGGAGTTGTGGTGGTGCTGGACGAGCCGCTGGGGCCGGCTTTGGGTGTTCCCGATGTTCCAGCTTTCGGAGTCGAAGCAACTGCCGATCGAGTTCTTGACGGTCCCGGTTGTTTCTCAGCCGGCACTCTCGATGCCAGTGACCCGCTCGTTCCGGGCGCTTGACGCTTGCCAGCACCGCTAGAAGCTGAAACTGGAGGAATTCCAGACGTACCAGGATTTCGTCCAGTGGAGACTCGCGAGACAGTACTGGAACTTCCAGAGTTCTGCGGTTGAGTGCTAGGAGGCGGTTGCGAGAAAAGTCCCAGTTCTTGGGACGGCGCGGAAGAGCCGCGTGGATTTGCCATCATCTTCTCAAACATTTGTCTGGATTGTGGCGGCAGGCAAGACGGGATGTCTTTCATTGACATGCGTCCGTGGTTGAAGCTCTGGCACTCAAAGTCGGGGCCTCTTGGCGGGGCTCTTCTGAAGTTCGAAGCCGGCGCATGTTCTCCATTTCCGGTGTCCACGAATCCGACTCCGTTGTGATCGTTGGCCACATCGGCGGCCACGCGAGTTCCAGACATCCAGGCACCTTGAAGAGTTCCGTGCCATTCTTCCGAGGTGTGCTCTCCAGCGAAATACAGCCGGTTTTTGCCATCCTCCGTCTTTATGGGCGTGCGCATATCCTCGAAATGGTGCATCTCAGACCGAAGAGACATGAATGTGCCGCTTCCAAAGGCGAACTCATCGCTATGCCAGCGTGTGCAATGCGCCGAGATCGGTTCCTTCGGACAGACGTACGGGAACGTCTTTTGGAGAATCAGCATCGCGTTGTTCACGAGCATCTCGTCCGGCATGTCATTGAAGCCTTCGTCGCTGACGTAGTAGGTCGTGAGCACGTTGCTACCCGGAATGGATGACCACAGAAGCATGACTCCTCGGTTGATGCTGAAAATCGAAGAAATAATTTGAAGTATGTCCTTTAAATCAAGTAAACTCACATTGAAGGAGAGATTGTAGCAAATTGGGAACGTTCGCCATTCTCCCAAAACGGTTTCTCGAACACCATTATCACTTTGTTCACTAGGCCTCTGCCCAATCCAATGATCGCCTTTTGTTTCTTCTCCGGGAGCGGTGGAACGAACTGCGGGACTCTTTTATCTCCAAGCAGACCTCTGCAATCACAATTTTGAAATTGTGAAAGAATAAGATATAAGTGTTGACTCACTGTTTCAAGACACCAATCGGAAGTGTGGAGACAACAGCGGCGCATCTCATTTCCATCACTCCTCCATTTTCGACTTCAACTTTCACAACCATCTTCTCGTGCTCGTTGTAGTTGATCTCCCGGACACGGTGCTTGAGACGGATGTCCAGCTCGCGCTTCTCGGCCACTTGCTGCAGAAGAGTGGCGATTCCTTCCTTCACTGCAACAACAGATTTTGATAAAACTGCGATGACAGCTCCAAAACTTACATTTGCACGCGACTCCTTGTTTTCTGTTCTTATTCGAATCCGCGGAGAACTGAACTTTTTCCAAAGTCGCACCGAACATGTATTCCTCGACTCCAAGCAAGAAATTAAAGTTCTTGTACTCGTGAGGGTTCATGTACTGTTTGCACGAAGGGTTCTTCTTGTGTGCGGCAAGGTGCTGCTCGCACAACTCCAGCGCCTCAATTTCCTCGTCGAATTTCTTCAGCGAGCGAGAAATGTCAAACTTCAGAGATCTCCGCAACAGTTTGTCATCGTGCTCCGGTCCCATTTTGTTGAGGCTTTCTTCCGCCTGCATAGCAGCGTTTCGGAGATTTTGCAAAGCGTTGTAGTGTTTCTCTCTTTTCTGAGCAATTTCGGCGGCCGTCTTTGCATAATTGTAGTAGTTTATCATTGTTTGCCTCTCCATGATGCTGAAATTGTTTGTACATAGTTTTGGTTTTCATTGTTAGAGTTCCTACTTGAAGATGTTCTCGTATGCTCTCTGTCGCGAAACGTGCATGCCATCTTCGTCGCGGTGCTCGTGCTGATGGGCCAGATATTCGAGTGCTCCGTGGAGGTTGCTGAAATCAGACGTGGTTGGGGAAGCGTTCAGATTACTTACTTGTGTATCTCGGCAATCAGACGATGCCGATTCACATCGATCGGTTTTCCGTCCACGAAAACATGTTTGTTTTCCAGGACTACGTGTTGCGTGAGCGGTACTTGGTGGAGCAGAATGGCGAGTGGGGAGTTATCTGAAGCACGCTCTGTGATCATTCGGTTCTAACAGGAACATTGTACCAATCATCCGCAGAGTGTCACATCCGGTTTCCAAGATATTTCCATCGTGGACGATAGACTCGACACGTCCTCCGACTCGGTTCTGCAAGAAAAGTATACTTTTGATGAGAAACTATAAGTTTCTATCTTACCCGTGCTTCTAGGACGATCACGTCAAATCCAAACGAGTGAAGCTGTGTGGCCGCAGCAATTCCGGCGGCTCCAGCTCCGATCACGATCACCAACCGTTCGGCACGTGCCAAAAGTCGGTGGATCTTTGTCAATCGCGTGTAGCGCCCGACGTTGATGAGCCCGTATCGGCTCAGATAGTTCACAATGTTCTGGATCAGATCCAGATCCGCGTTGAACGGCGGGTTGAGATAGTATCGCACGTCTGACGCGGTGCACTCTTTCCGCGGATTCCGCATCCAGGCGGCGAGCGTCGTGTTTCTGATGAGAAGGAAGACTTCGACGGATGCCGCGCTCTTCCAGAGCTCCGGGAAGAAGGCAAACTCGTGATCAGTGGGACGTTCTGCGGGCAAACGATTGCGACGGGCTGCGAGCAGAAGCACTGAAAACACACGTGCAATTCTTTTTTGAGGTTAGAATGAAGAAAAACGGGCCGAATATGCCGTCAAATCGTCTGTTTTTTTTGAGATTCAAAGTCGTTCCCCTTTCAGAGAATCGTCCTAAAACATTTTCACGTACCTTGTGTGTCGTGCAACATGCTCAGCTCCTGTCCCAATCGCATGTTGATGTCCTCGCCAAATTCCTCGTCCGATGGTGTGCTAGACATTCCCGTTTCGTTGATTTTATCTGAAAATTTGTTTTTCGGAAATGAAAACTCTCGGGGAACAAAAATTGAAAAAATTAATAAAAGGGCACAGCAACACACTTTCGGCGGAATAACTTGGATAAATTATTTGCTAGAATGATTTTCATGTATAGAGTTGTACATTTTCTCAGTTTATTACACTAAAAGAAGAAGTATTCTAAAAAATAAAACGTTTTCTGTAGGCCAAACACACACGCCAATGTCGTCGCGCGCGACGCGGTCGCGTCGCGGTCGATAACTGAAGAATGAAGGGGGTAGGATGGTGGCAGCGAGGATACATTGCCCCTCATAACTGACCAAATTGGACCATCGCTCACGGTGATCATCGGGAAGAAGGAGGGCAAGACGAACATCAATGTAACTAGCCTAAAGGAAGACGAAAACGAGGAAAAGAGCGCATAAGACAGTGGTTATCGGTTGGTCTTTTCTCTTTTCTTTTTTTTTCGTTTTTAGTTAAAAATATTCACTGACACTGAGAGAACGAGGTGAAAAATGGAGTTCAAACCAGATTTTTTTGTAGGATAACGATGCTTCGATAGAACAACCAGGACATCGTTCAGCAGAAAAGTTCGGCCACGAGGTTCGGCCAGAATTCTTCATTGGAAAAATCTCACGAAAAACTATGAAATCTGATTGGAAAACACACTTGGACACGATCGATTGCCAAGTTCAGACGAGTCAAGTTGCAACTGAAACTTCTTACGTCTGTGGAGGATTGAAGTCTTCGGATCTTCAAAGAGAACTGGAAATTACAAAGGGTATGCAGTGCAAACGCTAAATTGAATGATGTTTTGAACGCCGAAGAGAATAACGAGCTGAGTTAACAGGAATATGGGTTAAGAATCAATTTTAGATGAACACTGATACGTCTCAACTTTCCACTGCCTTAAGATAGTGAACTGATAGAAAACAGCTAGAAAATGAGTTCGAATCCACCAGAATGCAAGGGACTTTGCAATTCATGGACTCTCATTGCTTGTCTGAGATCACCATTGCGATCGAGAGAGAGAGAGATACACTAGGCTTCAACAGCATGGAAAGTGCGATCAAATGTCGAAAGTCGGTTCCGAATGCAATTCTCAAAAAACCGTTTAGAATATTGAATTACAGAGAGCGAAATTCGGAAGGCGGAACTAACCGAGTGAAGCCGACTCCTACATCATCCTCTGAGGTAACATCCGTTCGTGGTGCGTCCTCCGTGCTTGGAAATTGTTCCTGGCTGTTCGGACAGCTCCGTTCGTAACTCAAGTGCGTGAAGATCGCCAAAAAGCAGAAGGTTCCCAGGACTCAAAGAGGCGCTGCCAGAAAGACTCAAGAAGAAGATTACGCCAAGTTGCCGAGTGTTCGAAGCTCTTGGAGGTCACGCAGGAAAAATTGGCCGTAGGGGTAAGCTGACTCGTCAGAACAACACTGGCTCGTCCTGCAGTTTAGCGTGAGTTTGATGAGCACAACAAACGTGCTCGAGATCCAATAGAAGAAAAACAACAACAGAGATCTCGAAGTGGCCGACTAATAAGATCAGATGCGTAGAAAACCCACCAAGCAGGGCTGGGCAATTGGCCGGCCCGGGCTTTTCGTTGGCCGGCCCTTGACCCGGACTTTTGAACCACTTGCAATATTCCAATCGGACCTAAACTTTGCAGGCTTCTTGGACTTGGATTGAAGCATATTGGGACCAAGTTTCAGCCCGACCGGATTATTTGGTCCCGAGAAATGTGGATCATTGGCCGGAAGCCCGGGCAGAAGTCTTCTCGGACATGAGGCCACATCTCCATGAGCAGCTTTACTTCAATGTGCCAATTTAGGAGAACTGGTTCCTGGCTCAGGCCGAACTTCTCATTGATAGTGAGCACCTTTTGTGTTTGTGCTGACGCTTAAAAATTTGCGCTTTCAGGAATCGATGATTCTGAGGAGTTCGAACGAGGCGTTCGGCATTCTATTGGCCGCTACAGAAAATTGAGAAACCCCTTCGTGAAAACAAGCAGGACGGTCAGCAGAATTCCAAGACAGCTTGCGCCATATCCAGAATCAACACTAATACGTTTTCGAAGACTTAATTCTGGCCAAGAGTTAACGTTGGGGCACAAATGGATCTCAAAGAGAAAAAACGTCGAGCAGGTAAACTGACCTATTGGAGTCATGTCTGAGGGTCTCGACATCGTTTTCAACTGTTTCGTCAAGAAGTGTCTCAAACAAACAATTTTTAGTGAGTTGTTTTCGAATAATTAACTAGGCAATAGAACGAAATCAAAAAGACTAATCTGATTGTTTTATAGACCAAAGGGCCAAACGGAGTCAAGTAGCCTACTCCTCCATCATCCCTCATTGGAACATCCGTTCGCGTCCTCCGTACCTGGGATTGGTTCTTGCTCTTCTGTCCGGAAGATTGCCGGAAAGCAGAAGATTATCGGGGCCACGACCAAGATAACCGAGACTGGCAGAACTCCTTAACAAAAGACAAGCACACCAAGTTGTCTATCAAGAAAGCTAAGCTCTTGGAGGTTCTCGAGCTCCTTCAGGGAGGATTGAGGTGGGCACTATTGAAGAGAAGGTGATCCGCCTTAACAGCGCCCGCAAGGATGTTGGGAATCCCGGTGACCGTCTTCTGGAGCACGAGGTAAAAAACGCCAATCTCTGCTCATCGGAAAGATCAACAATGCAAAGACGCGCGCGAGAAGAGCAACCATCAACTCGTCGATGGTTTTCAGGTTGAGAAGGCCAAGCAGGACCAGGTCAACAGATTCCAGCATCAAACTCCAGGAAAAGTGGGAAGAGAGAAGAGTAGTACGGAACCCTCGTCTCACATGATATCGAACACTGTGAGTTGAATATTTCTTCGGAAGGAATCATTACAATATGCCGTTTTCAGATCTTCTCGAGCTGTTTCCCGTCATTCGTGAAAGGCAAGGATTCGTTGATGATTAAGAAGCAGATCGGAATCATCTCGATGTTCGAAGAAGTCGTCCTGAAGACTGCTGACCTGATCCTTCCCCAGAAGCTCATCGAACACCATTCTGACAAGCACCGAACTTCGAGAAGCCTTTCGAAACGAATCATTGCAATTTGGGACGTCAGACGATTTGGTCCGCTAAAAAGACCAAATCTTTGACGTCCCAAAGTCCTGCGCAGGATCTTTCCTCCAGACTCTCAACAGCTAAGAGGAACTGACCGGATAGTTTAGAGGTTTTTCATCGCCGAAGGTGTCGTCCAAATCGAAGACTTGAGAGATGAGCAACTCAACCAGATCATCACTGATTTCCATTCAGCCAAAAAGGTGGTGTAGCAGGGAAGCTGCAAGACGCGCCCAAGCATATTCGTTTCGATTCAAGCGGAAAGAAAACATCAAGTCAGTTTTCGATGTGCCTCGTAATTATTTCAATGTGTTTTTCAGATTTCATACACAGATTCACAATGTTCCTTGCAACTAGAATCGCCTCTGTGTGCTCGAAGTTCTCGTTGCGTGGGACCTCTGAAATCCGAAAAGTACAAGAGAAATGCCGTTCGTGTGGAGTTTCTCATTGAAAAAGGGCCACGTTTCGACCGATTTTCCAACGGCCGTTTTTCTGTGAGAACGAAATCGCAAAAACTAAGAAAACTCTGCTCATGACGGAGTGAGCTCTTGAGCGGGATCAAAAACGGAAAACTAGTTCGTTCTGGTTGGAAAGTGAGCCCATCGATGGTGTTCAGACATGGTATCACACCCAACCTCACTAATTATTGTTCAGTTTAAGATTTCAGATTTGTTTTTCGTCCTGAACGTCCTGAACAGTGCGATGTACGCTCAGAGGACTGAAGCTGAACGGAGTGAATGTTTTTCGGAATTCTTCCAGAAGCCACGGCATGGACTCAACGTCATCGATCTCAAGTTGGAATCAGACGTCATCCACTGCAAAACTGCGATATGTTCAGTCCTCCTACAAAAGAGTTCTATGCTCACTTTAGTGTAAAAATCGCGATTTTCTTTTCATTTTCCCGCCCTTTCTTCCATTTTCATCCGTTCCATCCGACTAAGTTAGTCGATTTTCTTCCTTTTTCCTTTTTTAAAGTGTTTTCTCAGAAACATTATATTCCTGGCCGTGTCCTTGAAAAAATGGATTGGCAATGGTTTCAGATTTACGTGTGTTTACAGATTTCAAATTCGCTCTTCTTCCTTCCTGTGTGAGCCGTGAGTTTTCAAATTTACTGAAGAAACAGCGAGTTGCTTTAATTTCTAGGCGAACGGGGAATTTTTTGCCAAAATTGATGCTCTAGACCCGTTATCTCAATTTTGTTTATTTTACTGAAAATGTGGCAGCACACTCGGAAAAAGTGGAAAAGTGCAAATGTGTGATATTGTGATACGCCAGTGAGACGCAACAGCTTGCGACAAAATGTTCATGTGCCCACTCACACACTCAGTCTTCCTTCCTCCCCTTGTTAGCCGACGCTCTACCTCTTTCCTTTTCGAAATAATCAAGAGATTTGAAGTCTTTTTCAAGATGTCATGCAGGTTACCATGGGGATATCGGATACTCAGCAATGGGGCCGATTACAGATGCAAAAGTCACGATCGCATTTTTCAAACTTTTTCGGTGACTGATTCAGATTTATTTGTTTCGAAAATGTAGCACATTACGTGACTGCCGCCCCACAAACGAACCCGATCATATTTTAACTTCTTTTCCGATTTCCGAATTCACCACCACTCCTTTTTAATGCAATTTTGCGGCGCGCTGCACGGTTTTTTATTAGCAATATAAAGGGGGGTCGTGACTTGATTCGAACGGCGCGGCGAAACATAGACCATCGACTCCACGAGTTCTTTTCTAAACTTCTAAAATACATGCATCGAATTCTGATTCCAATTCAGGCACATGCTTCAACCGGCTCCTCAGTCCCCCAAGTTTTTTTAAATTCTTCTTTCGACAGACCCGTGACTCAAAACATCGTAATGTTTCAATTTTTCAATATCTTCCGTCTCTCTCTCTTTCTCTTTTTTTCTTACGGTAATGAAGAAATGCGTCCATAGAAAGTGACTCACTTTCCTCTTACCAACGTATTTGTTCTCTCCTCAAGGTCACATCCATCTGCTTTCTCTCTTTCGAGGTGTTGCTGATGTGCTCTACCGAACTATTTCAAAATTTGGTGTCTCTAGAATATTCTCCGTTCCCCAGTCGAATTTTTGCTGCTTCCTTCTTTTTATTTTTTTTTTCGCTTACAATTCGCGTCCTCTCCGAATTCCACTTTTGTAATTACATATTTCGCAGGTACTTGGTTGCAACTCACAATGTCGTCTGAAGAAATCAACCCGAGTGAAGTCGGAGCCGATCATTCGAACTCGGCCGGCAAAGAAAAAGCTGGAGCCATCAGAGAAGCTGGAGCCTCTTCCTCACTGACTGTCGAGTCGGAGACGAAGAAGAAGGCGGGAGAGGGACTGCCGAAGCGTCCTCTGTCCAACGAAGCCGACTCTGAGAAGAAGAAGAAGAAGAAGAAGGTGGAAGAAGGACCACCAAAGCGATCGCGGTCGGATGAAATCGAGCCGAAGAAGGAGAAGAAGCTTCCTGCTGTGAATGGACCCGAATCAAAGACAGAGTCGGAGACAGAGTTGGAGCAAATCGAAGAAGAGAAGTCTGTGATGAGCATAACGGATGAACAGATGCAGGCGAGTTGTGTTATACTTTTAGTCACACACAACAACTGATTTACAGAACATTGCGGAAATCGACGATCTCCAAGAGACAGAGCATCGTCTCGAGTTTCACCTAAAATTTGTGAATGGGGAGTCTGTATGGCTTCATACGGACTCGATCAGCAAGTTTCATCCGAAAGTCATTGAGTTCAATGAGAGAAATCCAGGGAAGTATGAGAAATTGAGTTAGTTGATGTCTTTCAATGCTTAGTGTATGTATTATTTTCAGAGAGAAATATGGACAACTTCAAGAGGCGCTGGACCTGGATGGTACGGCATCTTCTTGTATGAAACAAAACATACCGCTCAATTTGCAGGTGGACAAAGTCACAAACGTGAAGTACAGCCGTGTAAACAAGAGACTCGAGCTCGAGACTTACTGGGTTGGACACGACAAGCCCACGTGGGAGTCAACGGCCAGTTTTGGGGAGTTATGGAGGGACCATGTGGCCATTGTCTGGTTCTTGAAAGAGAAGGAAAACAGCGATGCTTTCAAGGCGGTCGAACTGTTAGGTGAATTTGAAAGTACAAAGACGACTATATGTATCTCATTCTATTGTTTCAGAAGAGCAGGTCAAAAAGGAAAGAGAGGAGAGAAAGGAAATGGAAAAACTCGCTGCGAGGGGTATCATTGACGAAGACGACGAGATGCGAGCGGGAAATGTACATTTTTTGAGAAATCTAAAAACTGTAGATCAATCAAATTACAGAGAAAGGTGAAAACAATCAAGGCGATAAGGTTCAAGTCGACCGATGTCTCGTTTCACACTGAATGGGTCGGAATAAAGGAGTCGACCTGGGAGACAGCTGACACTTTCGGCGGCTGGAACCACAAGGCCATTCTCGACTTCAAAGAAAAGTATCCCACACAGTATGCTAACGCGTTGAAAAAAAAAGTGAGTTTGATTCATTCCATCTGTGCTTAATGCATTTTTTCAACTTTCAGGCGCAGGCTCTGTTCCAAAAGAATGCTCAATTGTCGTAGAGGGAAACCGACACATCGACTATACTCTAATATGGCCCCCCGTACTATTCCGTTTAAGCCCCTCCCCGCCCCTCTCTTAAAGATAATCCTTGGAATACGTTTTTTGTCAAAAATGTGTAACCAAGTTTTCCCGACACATCTTCCTCTCCTTTTCATTCTCTTTTATATTCCCTATTCGAAACTCTCCTGTCCTCACAAATTCGAAACTCTCCTGTCCTCACAAATTCGAAACTCTCCTGTCCTCACTTCCACTCCTCTCTCTATAGCCATTCCACCCATGCCTTCTTCTCAAAATCAAGTTTCCTATCTTTTTCACTCCAATTCTGTAATTCTTTATCGTTTTTTTTCGCATTTTATTCTCTTGCTCCAGTTGTTTTTCGATGAATTCTGCCATTGACAATAAACTGTCGTAGCACTGACATTTTTATTTTTATTTTCTGAAAAAAGTGTCTTTCGTCGCAGAAACTATCGAGTTTTGGCATCATTTTCTGTAATCACAAGATGAACGCGCTCTGTTATAGTAATTCGGGATTACGGTCACTGAAGGACTATTACGATAAACTGCGCGCGGTCGCGTAAGAACGGAGTGTCGTAGAAACCTTTTCGGAACAGTCTTCTCTAATAAAATCAAGTTCACACGTCTTCATGAGTGGATTTCTCGACAAATGAGCAGAAATCCAGTTGCGGTCAGTGTTACAGACTTTCTTTACTTCGTCGTCCGCGTTTTCCAGGTGTTCCAAGAGTTGTTATGAAGAGAATGAGTTGGATAAAGATGAATCTGTTCAAATTGCTACGAAGATCACTAGACACGGCTTCGATCAACATCCACCGTATTCACGAACGTATTCTCGTTCAAATTATATCAGTTTTCTAGTCCGAATCACCGGACGTCATGAATCTGAGCCTGGAGTATGTTGGAAGGATTATGATCGGATACAGAACGGCTAAACAAGATCAGGCTGTTGATGGAAAGCAGCGAGATTCAGCGAACACTATGAAATTGCAAATAAGTGAGCCGGTACCCAATCAGATTCTCAGATAGAGGATTTCAGGGAAAGAATAGCATCCGAGAGGCGACCACAACTACGACGGACTGAAAATTTGGCAATTCTGTTTCCGGAGGAAGTACTGAAGAGGACGGATTATCTCGACGAGAGGACACCGGAGGGAAAGCACAAGTCCTCAACCGACTCTCCGTGGAAGTATCCGAATGAGACGGAATGTCTAGTGCCTGGGAGCGGAACGAATTTGCCATAGCCGACTTCAACTTGATACGTCACTCCAGGGAAATTTCGACGATGAAGCTGCTGCAGAAGACGAAGTGTCATCAAAAGAGAAAGAGAGAGAGAGAAACTTCACAAAGTAACATTCAGACTTGTCAGTGGTTTATTCCTGAAACCTTTAACAACATGGCCATTTCAGGAGTCTGTGAGCTGAATTCCAAAAACGTATCGCAAAGGGCTGAGACAACACTGAGTTGAGAACAAACAGAACCGGAAGCAGTACGAGTTAGAGCGGGAACACACGGAAAAGAAATGTGGAAAAAGTGTTTGATTCCTATTGACGACGCAAACACGTTTCTCGTTGCAATTCTCCTCTGTTGTCGATCTTTTCCCGACTAGTCAATACTGCCGTTTCCCTGAACCACGGAAGATCATTTCAGCCCTTTTGTGCGTAGATATCGGAGTGTTCCGCGATTACGGCAAAGGATTTGTTCGATTCATCGACCCTTTTTCTCGCATGCCACTGGGACCGTCAACCAATGGTATTCGCGTTGTTTTCCACGGGAATTATACGGATTCGACTCTGAAGACGGTTGACAACGGTTATTTGTGAGTTTCGTCAGACTGATCGACCACATGTAAATCAACGTTTCTTTTAGATTCTTCACGCTCCTCATCGCCGTCATGTTGATCATCGGCACCGGAATCTACAACATGAACTGAATCACGTCCGAGCAAGAAGAGTCCGTCAAAGAAGAGCCGCCGAGGAAAAAATTCCAAACGATTGCGTCGACATCTTTCTGCATGGGCATGGAGGACTACATTGTCCTGAAGTGAAAGTGAAGAAAGTGAACTCCACGCCTTCATCGGATAATTCGCTTGACAAACGAGCAAAATTCAGTTGCGGTTCAGATATCTGGACTAATTTTATGCCGGAAATAAGTAGAAACGAAGTGAAACTGTCAGAATCGACCGACTATTCGTTTTCAACGGATTTGAACGAGGACGCGACGCAATTATCGACGAGCACAACAAAGAAGAAGAAGTAAAGGCGAAATCAGCAATGATGTGTGAGCACGACAAAAGAGATGCGTGTGTCTGCCTTCGAAAAGTTTGGCTCGCATCGTCACTCAAAGTGCTAGTGTGCCGAACTGATTTGGAAGGAATAGAGAGAGAGAGAGAGAGAGAGATAGAGAGAGTGAGACAAACCCGCGCTTTGTGTGCTGTTTTTTCGGAATATGTAAGGTTATTAAACTGACTTAGACATGTGTTAAACAATGATTTTCTTAAGATTTTCCCATTGCTCACCACCATCATTATGGTCATCGGTAATACGAAGTGGACCCCGTCAGAGCCAGATCATCGATTTTTCTCGCGTCACGAAGACTGTCAACCAATGGTATCCGCGTTGATGTCCACAGGAATTATCCAAACACAGAATCATCTTCATCAGCTGATTTCGCACAAATGAGAAAAATTCAGTAACGGTTAGTGACACAGACTTTATTTACTTCGCCGTCCCCTGCTTTTCAGGCCTTTTGAATAACTCTACGTCTGGATGGCGATTTCGAATCTAGCGAGAACAGGATTGTTCAAACCGATTCATCAGAGCAAAATGTCATATTTTCATGATGCTCCACGATCGAACCGAATAACCAAAGAGCAGATCATCTGGGTGATTGTTCTTGGTGGTCGAATGCTCATCACTTCGGATCGTTTCACGCTTTGGGCACATCTTCTCAAGCAACTGTCCGACTCGGATACTGAAAAACAATGGTTGCGCCGCTAGACAGACTGTTGAAGACTGAAAACCTTTAATGCAAACTACAAGATGTGTAATGTTTTCATTTCCATTCAAAAATATCGAGCCGAAATCCGTTCCAAATGTCAAACATTCTGATTTATTATTCATTGCTCTGTAAATCTTTCGTGCTGCTATCAAAATGCCCATTCTCTTCTTTCAAATTTGCATATCCGTGCTCTGACTCTCAAGATATGCACAAAATAATGTTTTTCGGTTTTGTACGGTAGAAACAGACAATTTTTTCGCTTTCTCTATTGATGACTCATTCGCTCTGTCGACAAAAAGCAAGCACCGCCCACTCTTAAGCATGTGTTCGTCATCGTTTTCGAAACAGATCGAAAGAGACGCCCGCGTCGCAGACTTTCTCATTTCCTCGTCATTTTCTCGAATGTTCTTCTCCTTTCTTCTCTGCTCTCCACAGTGATGACTCTGTTTCAGATGAAGTATCTCGTGCTTGGCATTCTGATGACCATGATCGTCTTCTCTCACGAAGAAATGATCAGCATCGATATCTCGAACGTCACTGGAACTCTCGATCTTCTGCTCAACGCCACCGATGGCACCATCCGCATTATCGTCCACGAGAATCCGATGGATGTGGCTCCGATACTATCTGACAACGTCATTTCGTAAGTTTCATACGGCTAATCGACACACATGTAGATCACTGTCTTTTTCAGATTCCTCGTGCTGATCACCACCGCGACGATCACGATCGTCTTGACCCTCGGCACCGTCCTTTTCGTCAAGTGGATCTTGCTCAACCGAAAGAAGTTCTTTGTGGAGGAGCCGCCGAAAAGAAAGATCGGAATGATCTCGTCGGTGGGCTTCCGCATGGGCATGGACGAGTACTTCATGCTGAGATCCTCTGGAAACGGCGACGGCGACAAGCACGGAAACGACCCCGACATGTCCGATTCCGAACACATGGATAACGACAACGATTTCGATTCCGACGACGATCTGGGAATTTCGCACCTTTAATATTCCTTAACCGTTCAATTATCCCTTTTTCTATCTCTATGTCTATTTTCTATCTTTGTGGTGACTTGAAACAATCATTGTGAAAGAAATCTATCTTTTTTGTGTTTTTCTTCGAATCGTGACTCATCACGACGCATAAATGAAGGCTATATAATCAAAATTTTGATTTTTGTCAAATTAATCATCTCCCGATTTCCACGTGTCTTTTTTCAGCTTTATTCGCAAAAAATATACGATTTCGAAAACATGCCGATTAAAGGCGCATGCGATTTAGGGAAGGGAAGGTCTCGTTGTGAAAGTGCAAATGCGCTCTACCGAACGCTTTTCGAGGCGGGTGTTTGAATACATATGAGTAGAGAAAGGACAAGCTCAAAATGATGAAAATAATGACGACAAAGGAAAGAAGACAGGAGGAAATTTGAAGAAAAGCCAAAGCGAGTGTGAAAATAATTATTCGGGGTAGAAGTCGTATGCGATGATCTGGGCGGCCACGAACGTGGAGCAACCGTCGACGGCGCTCACATGCAGCTTGAGCCAATTCTCTTTTCTTCGCAACGAAGAGCCTGGCTCGTAGAAGTTGAATTCGCTTGGTCGATGTTTGAGCGGAGCCCATGTGCAGAGACTATCCCCATTCAAAATCGGCGCTCCTTTCACCGGCTTGCCGAGTGTGCCCACAAAATAATTGTTCAGATACTATAATTCATAATTAAACTGAATAATTTCGATTTTTGGTACCCAGCATTCACTTTTATATTCCACATTAAACATGGCGATAAGATACTTTCTGTCAGGGTGGGGATCGAACGAGAACGGGACGCGGACTTTGGATTCCAAACTGCTTTTCGGAAAGCAAATAATTGGACCCCGTTCAATTTCCTTCACCACCTGGTTGGATATCATACGACGGGTCTCTTTCAAATTTTTATCAAGTAGAGCGTATTTTTCTTTCAATTTGGACAAAAACGGCTCGTTCTTAACTTTGAGAAGCGCATCTCTAAAATTGACAATTTTTCTTCTTTTTTTTTGTTATTGCATAAACTCACCTGTGTCCCTTATAAAGCGGGGTACAGTAATACCGGATGGCATAGTGCATCGGCGCTCCTCGTTCAAGAAGTAATTCAAAAACGTTTAGGCTTCCTCCGATCGCCGACTCGAGTGGAGCGATTCCCATACGGTTTCGCAGGTTGAGCGGTGAACCGTGTTGAATTAGCCACTCTGCCACTGAATACTGAAATGGAATTTTTTAAAAGGAACGCTTCTAGCGGTTTTCACTCACAAATTGAGCACACAAAGCAGTGTGTAGAATTGTGTTGCCTTTGTCAGTCGTGATATGCAAGATGTTGAGGTTTGCCAGAATACCGAATATTGCTTCTACTATTGATTGCCTCTTCCTCACTTCTCTATCAGAGAATCCTTGTTTTCTAGCCATATCTAGAATGTTTGATCTTTGAATCATCTGAATAATTTGACATGTGATAAAAACTTGAAGCTTATGAAATTTATTACCGTATGGAGTGGCCAGGGCCGGGTTGCTAGGGTCTCATGGATTGACTCGGCGCTCATTTCCTTCACAAGAGATCTGACTAGATTCGTGTCAAAGTTGAGTATGGCAGCCGATAACTGTTTTTCCATTCTTGAAATTGTTGATTTTCAGTTGATACTGAGAAGTTGAAAAGAAAAGGCAATAGGACGAGGGAAGGAGAGAATGAGAGGAACGAGGGGAGAAAAAACGATAAGATGCATCATGTGGCGCAGCGACCATTTGGTCAGTTACCGGATACGGCAAACAGAAAATCATTTATATATGGGAACGACGGTTTGGTTCGATGAGCTCGTGAACTACAAAAGTCGGAAACAAGAAGAATAGGATTGCACTTCATCTATATCTCATCCTACATTTCAGTCTCATGGACAAGTTCAGAATTGATTATATTATCGATTTCTTCGTCTGAGACGCTCTCCAGCCCTTCAGTTCGGAGACGTTCTCTCTGCATGCACGCTTTGACTTCTTCGATGAATTCGTTTATCCATCCGTTCGGATTATAACTGATTCTGACTTCGCAGTCAACCCGGAGGAAAATGACAATGAGAATAGTAGAAATGACTCCCCCTGAAAGTTGGATCTGGATGAATAGTACAAAAAAAGAGCAAAAATGAGTTCGGATGCCACGGGAAAGTTGACATCAGGCTCACTGGACCACAAGAGAAACACAATAAATACTGGGGAAAAGTTTTCAGGCTCGAACAATTATACACCAACCGCTCGTGAACTCACAGAGAAGAGTGCGAAAAAGAAGGTGGTCGTAGAAACTGGTAACCATTGACAACATCTCCAGCATCGTTGCTGGCTGCTTAATCTCGTTTCTGCCTCTGAAAACGTTTATTTTTTCCTTTCATTCGATGGGAGGCAGCTCACGTTATTCCCATAATCTGCGCTTTGCTCACAATGGCTGTAGCCACCAAGATTGTGCTGTCCGCATACTCGCCAACGACGATATCGAGATTTCCGGTTAGATTGAGAGTGTTATTGAGGGTCAGACTTACTGGAAATGGGACGATGTATCAAAGGAAAGCTAAGGACTGGCTTTAAGCCGAAAAGACTGATTATTTGCAAAAACTGCGGCCTTGCCGGCCTCACATCCACGTATCTCGGGACCAGATGATCCTATCGGTTCGAAACTTTAACCCGAAATACTTCAACCTAAGTCCACAAAGCTTGCAAAGTTTTGGTCCAATCAAATGATTCAAAATAGTATCAAAAGTCCGAGTCTTTGAAAGCCCAGCCCCGCTTTTTGCCCTGCTTACAGTTGAAACCGATGAAATTGTCGAATGCTGCATTCAGAACTGACGTGTTAGTTATCTCGTAATCATGGCGATGATAAGTGGTATCCGGATGATACCTCGAACTGTCCTTGTTCCAATCGTAGTTCCAACTGGAAATCGCGATCATTTCTTTGATCAAAAAATGAAAAGTACGTACACAGTTGGAGTTTGGTCTTCTCTCTCTTCTTCGATGATTTCAAAAGTGATTATTGCATGGTCAGTCTCATTTGAACCAACAATCACGTTAATACTAAAAATAATCACGTTGCAAACAATAATAATATCTTATCGCTTACTCTTTGCTTTCCGGACTTTCAGTGCAAATGACGTCAGTCATGCCACGTAGCGCCATCGAAACAGATGAAGACAGAATGAACGTCTTCGGAGAGTTCAAACTGTTTGTTGCGGCGATCAGTTGACCACATTTGAAGAAGGAGATCCAGCAGGGACCAGTAGAACTTATAGAAACACGCAGTTGTCGAGTGTTATCACGGATGTGCTGGACGAAAGATCCGAGTGCGGTCTTGTGGATGACACTGTGCCCGGATAGTGCGACTTCAAGAGTTTCGGATTTGAGCACTGACTTGCCGGCTGCAGAAGTTAGAAAAAGAGCGGCTAGCTTGAGAAGCGAAACCAAGTGCATATTCTGAAAGGTTTTCAAGGATTTAGTAAGAAACGAGCATTCGGAAAGAATCAGAGATTAATACTGCGCATTGTATATGCATACATACTGACCCATTTTCTTTAAAAAACAAATCCTGGAAAGATGGCAGGATACGAAATGTGTGGAGACTCGCGTAAAGCCGGCAGAAAACGATGCATGTCTCCGTTCAAAATTGAAAATTATAGAGTACACTTTTTTGGAGAACCACAAACGCATCCGTCGAGAAAAGGCGTCTCCACGGACAACTGACAGAATAATTGAAACCACACTCACATCTCAAACTTTGACGTGAGCCCGCAAATGCCAACAAAAAAGTGTTCTTGTTTTCGAAAAAAGGGAATAAGAACTGCATGAGTATTGGGATTCGGAAAAGGAAGCGAAGCGGTATGTCAAGATTAGTTATTTATGGTGAGAACCTCGGAGGGGTTCCAAAGTAATCATGCGGTTAGGGTTAGATACACGTGAGTAGTGGAGAGGGAGTGTGAAAGGAAATTGGTTCAGGCGAGCAAAAAAGAGAACAGAATATTAATGAAGCCGTCAATCTGGTCAAAATTGAGCTTTGGCAGGATAGATTTATCTTCTGACCTTTCACTCGTCTCTCTATATCTCACAATTCCAAGGATTTGTCTTCTTCATCTTCTTCTTTCAATAAGCTTATCAGAAAAGCACATGCAAATACGAATGCTACGTTGTTTTGGTCTCTCATCCGTCTGCTGCGCCAACCCTATCATTACCGCCCTCGAGAAAGATCTTCGCTCATTAGCGCTGCCCACGGCGGCCTGCCACATCAACCCGTCTCGGCCGGTTCGCTTTCGGCCTGCTTAGTATAGTGGTTAGTACTCCACGTTGTGGCCGTGGCGACGCTGGTTCGATTCCAGCAGCAGGCATCGCTTTTTGTATTCTCTTTTGCATCCATTGTTTTCACAGAATGTTCAACGGGAGCTAATGTTTTCCTATTTGTTTTGATTCCTTTAAATAAAGCACATTGAAGCGTCCATCAATTATATTATTTCAAAATTTGAAATCTTAAGGTCGTTGGCGCGCGCGCGCACTTTTTCTGACCTTCTCTCGTGTCTCAGACTTTATCACCCTCTCCCCGCTTCGAATTTCGAAGCCCTCACCGCGCACTTTACCTCTCCTAAATCTCCCACGCACAATCACCACTTTGTGTGTTGTGCAACGCACATAAATTTGCGTTTATGGGCACCGAAGGCACCAGCAAACCACACACAATTTGACCATTTCTACCGACCCGCGCCCTCACTCTCTCTCTCCTCCTATTCTACCTGTCAATATGCTCTGGAAACTAGCGATTTTCGCTTCTCTCGTGACCCTTGGCGTCGCGTTTTTTCAAAAAAAGGAATTCAAGCCAGAGAAGACGTTCAACTTGAAAGTGAACGCGTCGCGCGTTGTGGTCGCCGAACTGAACACTAACGATCTCTACGGCGCAAGTGAGTTACTTTCCACCCCACCATATTCTCAAAAAAGCATTTATTTTCAGTCGACATCTACAGAGGCGATCTCGCCATCCTCATCGAGTTCAACGCTACCGCGCCGGTGCATGTGCAACTGTTCCAGGCTGGAAATGTCGCCAACTTCAAGCTGAACACTCCTCTTCTCTACAAGCAGCTTCTCTGGAACGCTGACTACTGCATCTTCTGCCTCTCTAGCCGGTAAGTGAAGCTAATAGCACATAGGATCACCCTAAAGTGTGTGTGTATGTACAAATGGCGACAGAATTGTAGTAGGCGTAGTGATCAGTGCCACGAACAAACCGATTAGAAAAGAATTAGCCAAGCAAGTGAATTAAGGAAGTTACCCCTAACAACTCGTTTTCGGGTCGCCGAGTGGTCCACAGTTTTGTAAACAAAACCTTATTTCCAGGTACTTTGTCAAACTCATCTCGGACTACTACACTGAGATCAACATCACCCTCACCAGAACTCACGACTTCTTCGCCCTGAACATGTACAAAGATGTCGAGCGATTCCTGTGGCCGAGACCGTTTTTTCATTAGGCACTTTGATTAACCTTCCCCTTTTCTATCTTTTTCTCAAATTGACCATGTTGTTTTCGTTTTGTTTCTTACTCGTTTTTCACACTTATCATCTCACCACCGCACTCAACTGTTCTCATCTCATCTCATTTCGTTTGTTTGTTAACTTTTTGTTTTGTTTATCCCATCTGTTTTGACGTTTCCCTTGTTCTCAAAGTTCGAGCAAATAAACTTTCCGAAAAAGTACAGCTATTATCACGCTGATTTCGTCAAAACACGCCGCCTGCGTGTTCTAGTGGGAGAAGATCGGGGAGCCCCTGTATGGGATTTGAACCTCAATAGATTCGGAAAAAGAGTGATAGGGAGTTAATAGGGAGTCCCTATTAGGGACCACTGTTCATTCCGTTGCAGCAACCATCTCTTCACTGTGGGTCGTCCTCGTGAGTAGAGGGAGGTTTTGAACCAGCTAATGCCGTCTGGAAAACGAATTTCATTAAAGCATCTTAAAGTAGTGGCTGTTCACCCTTTCAACTGCCACCCATGGCGCCCGAATTGCGAGACGGCTTCAGGATCTAGGAAGGATCCTTCCGTCGTCACCTCAGTTCGTTGCAGCGGCTGTTTACCCAGTTTGTTGCTTCTGATGGCGGTGTGTCGGATAAGGTGATCGCCAAGGTTTTCTACATTTAATGAGTACAAGAAAGCTCGTTTTTATTTATCATCTCCATTTTCCCTTGGTTCCGACTCGATTGTCCATCTTCTTCTCTCGATTTGGTCCGAAAACAGTCGAAAACATCAGTCTGGTTCTTTTCAGATAAGATAAATGTGAAACCAACAGCCAGATTCATTTCTTACATGCTACAAATAGCAAAAAAGCTCATTTATGTTAAGGACACGGAAAAAATGTGATGATGCAAGCATTTCGGAAGAAGAGAAAGCTCACGAATGAAAAAAGAATGGTGCGAAAAGAAAACGATGAAAAAAGAACGGGGTCTGGGAAACAGGGCAAAAATCAGGTGAGAACATCGAGATAAACCCTTATTTAGAAAGGGATCTTCTCAATAACTCTACCGAATCGACGGATGCCGTTGATGATGCTGATGCCACATCCGGTTCACATCCTGAAATTATTAAGTAAATAGTTTGTCAGGCATTATTCACAATGTCAAAGTATTTTATAGCCCTGTTCAGAAATTCCTTCGACACCAACTTTGCGATTCTCTCTGCTATTATCTTTTCCCCAGGGTTTCATCGGACTTGACTGCGAATTCTCTGTTTTCCCCTTCCGATCGCCCCGCCGCTCCTGTCTCTTTCGCTCACTTTACCAAACAACTTTTCGAAATGCGATCGAAAATCATCCGCGAAATGTTTTGATTTTCACCCAAAGTGCACTTGCCCTCGCGATTTCCTTGATCATCACATGTCGCTTGAATGTCTGCTTGGCCAGAGCTCTCCGCAGCTGTCGGGTTGCTGGTCGGTGCCGCCCGTCTCGCTACGTCGCCTCCGTCGGTCCCCGTGCCCGCGTTGATCACCTCTGCTCCGTTTTTCTCATTCTTCTCCGCGAAACTATTCACACTCATTCCCACTGGAGAATGTCGTCGCACTGAAAAATGAATGACCTTACCAGTTGTTAAGAGGTAAAAAGGAAGATGGAAGGAATAGAAAAGCGACAGGATTTATTACCGATCTTTATTGGAACAGCGGCATCTTGTCTGCGCACAAATCTGTTGGCCTGTGATGACCATTCAAAAAAGGGCACATGGTTGGTTTTGTTCCTGGCGGCTCTCGATGCCTGATGCAACCCGAGTCCTTGTCGTACCGGACTGTCCCTGAAAGTCCATTATTTTTCAGAATCAGAGTGTGCTTCTCACATCATCATCGCTTCTAATGATTGCAGTGATCCGACGAAGAACGGTTTCCGATCACCTCCGGGTGCATTCTGAGTGCTCAGCCAGTCGGAGACTTTATGCAGCGCCATGTTAAGCACTGGCCCGTCGGGTTCGCTCACTGCAAATTTTCAGTTTGCGGAAGACATCATGATCTCACCTTGCACTTACTATTTGACGCCATCGGCGTTTTTGACACCGTTTGCGTAATCGGGTTATGCAGAGACTGACGCCCTTCGTTATCACGCCGAGACACTCCGTCCGTTTCCTTGTCCGCCGACCATTCCGTTTGGGTTTCAGCGTTGTAGCGAACAACGCTAAAGTCTCCGACTGCTACATCGGTAGTTCGAACGGATGAAGCTTTGAACGTTCCGATAGTCCGTGTGGACGACTGGGCGCCTTTCGTGTCGTACAGGAGCATGATGACCCTTGGTTGGCAGTTTTGTGGAATTTTTGGCATCTCGCGGATTTGATTGAACAATTCGCGACCAGGAGAATTCGGATCAGCCAGAGGAAAGCAGAGGGTGAAGATTTCATGATCAGCACTTTCGGTATTTGCGGATTGTGGGAGTGACTGGGGGAATCCAGTAGCACTCTTTGGTTTGTTGATGACGTGGCCTGAAAAGTGATGGTTGACTAAATGAATGGAACAGAAGGAGTACCAAATGAATTGAACTGCGGCGGCTCGACTCGAAGTCCCTTCAGACGTTGTTCTTGACAGTACTGTTCGTACAGCTGCCAATCATCTGAAACATTCTGAACAGTTCAAATAATAACCAACGATTGCTTACGTTGAACTTGTCTGAGCTGCTTCTGCCGAAACACCGGATCATCAGTGAAACCAGGTTGAATCGGGATCATGGCCTCACGAGACGTCTCCTGCAAACAGAACTCTAAGTTCATCGCGAAAAGGACGCACAAACCGCTGCGAAATGGAAAGATAGCATCGGAATGACAGGGAGTGTGTGACAAGAACTGAATGGGAAGCGAAAAGAGGAAAGAGGGCAGAAACGAGACGGGAGGAGAACATCTAATTTCTCGTTTTAAGAAGGTAGTCGAAGTACGGTCATTCGGCATGTCTCAAGGACAAACGGCGGAGAGCTCATTCAATTAGGTGATTTCACGAATGAGAAATTGCCAATTGGACATTTTCGAAAATAGACGTGTCAAAAAAAGCAAAATTCGAAGGAAAAGAGCAATTCTGGCCTAAAACCGCATGCTCCTCACGGAAAAGTGCAGTGGGAAGAGAGAACTAGGCCAGGAAAGTTTTCTAGGCCATCTAATGTCGGCCGCACGCGCTTTGCGCGGTTATTCAAACAGAACTCGATGAAAGGTCCAATTTTTCGCTGTCAGCTCACGTGAACTTTAGTTTTTACACGATTATGAAGTGTTCTGTGTCAAATATTGCATTTTTCAAACTGAAAATGTCAGTATAGACAATAAAAAATGCAAAAGGCACGAAAAACAGAAACATATTGCGTCATTTCATTTTGTGAGCGGCCAACAAAGTTTCTGACGGAATGATATCACGAAGAAGGAAAAGCGCCGAAAAGAACAGATTTTGCGCTTTTAACCGAATCGGGGGCATAAAATCTAAAGCTATAAAAGATATCGGGCGCTTTTACTGGTTTTATTTTAACAGAATTGTACGAAACGTTTCCGGGAAAGCAGAAAAGACGAAACGGTCTGAAGTAGTGAAACAGAAAAAAGTTTCAAGATTTGTGTTTACATCACTGCCCGTGAAGAAGAAAATCGATTCCACGCGGTTGAAGACCATTTACAGGGAGTAATGGTGAAGGCACCGTGGACAGGCCACGGGCCGAGCACAAAAATTGATGTTTTGTAGTCCTGCACGGCTGACACACGTTTATGAGCCGATTTCTGAGAGACTACGCACCGTGAGTACCCAGGCCATTGCAAGATTTTTGGAATTAGTATCATCTGGCTTCGCATCTTTTTGCAGGATCACTGTAGTACGGTAGGTTCGGAAAAACCAGTTCCAGCTTTGTCACCCTCTTCACTACCAGCTGCGCCACAGTTCAAAGACTCAAGCTTTTCACTGAGAACACGCATAACATTAATTTTTGGATTGCTATTTCTTTTCCGCACTGATAAAGCTTCCTTGAATACTTAAAGACATTTATGGCAACCCTATATGAATGATGTCTTCCCTCCAGGTTTTCTACTGGGCTGTGAGAGTTTCCGATTACGTCACCCTTTCCTCCAGCCTTGTTAGTGTGGTGCGAAGGAGGGTGCACACTCTTCCCGTCACTTGTTATTGGATATACATATAACACGCACGCGTGGTACTGTCTGGCCGCATGGTTGCTCGTAAACATCTGACAGAAATGCACCGAAAACCAATCAATGGCAACTCTCCGAGTACGAATCATCCTATTATCTGTGCCTTACTCAGGACTGCCGGCAGAAGTTGTTACGAAATTTCTATCCGGGTCTTCCAGGTAAAAGTTGAACTATCTGAATTCTTTACTTACTATTGTAAACCTCGTGAAGCCAGAGATTTCACGTTTTCCCAGTTTTTCATCCTTTCCTCCAGCCGTGCACTTTTCCAATCCTCTTTTCTTTCAAATTCTCAGTATTCACCTTGTTCGATTCTCCGATTCAATTTGATTTTGATCATAACCCCGCTTCCCCCCTATTTGTTGAGTCAGACTATTTTTCACTTTGTGTGTTGTTGTTTGAGGACGTTGGTAATGCTTTACGCGACCACCTTTTTGCCCCTTCTTTTTCTTTCTCTTACACTAAACATTGAATGCGACGAGGGCGCTCCTCTCTCACCTCTGCGGCGCCCTCAGAGCCGACAGTTCGGCCATCATCACCCATATCGATTTTGCTTGTCTGCGCCTGCCCGGATTTGCATCACTTTTTCCTGAAAAAAAGCGAGGATTTCTCGAAAACTGAACGATAAATAGCTAAGAAAGAAAAACTATACATAGCTTCGGGAACCTCTCGTTTCGTATTTTGCCGTTTCAATTACCAAAAACTATACTTATTGCCCGTTTTCCCCTTCTTCCTCTCATTTTGAACGTTTCCGTTTCACCCAAGGTTGAATTCCAGGCTTTGACGGGTAGGGCCAAAATTTTGCAAGCCTGGTAATTATAAATTATACTGTAAGATGAAAATTCGACTGGTAGCGTTTTGTCCCCGGGCAAAGAGCGGCGTGCCTTTTCTGAAGACTACTGTTTGCTTGCTGCTGGGAAAAGAGCCATTCTGGATGACAGTTGTGATGCTCGTCAAACTATACAGACAGTAATGTGTTCCAAGTGGTTTTTTTACCCGTTGCATCTTCATTTCGGTGTGGCAAGAGTAGCGTCGTGGCAACCGTCCCTTTGAAATTTCTCACTTGAAGTTACTTATCGCCGTTCTTCTTTTTATCTTACCACGCCCTCTCACGCTGATTCTGTCCTCTCCGAATTTTCTTCAAGTTCTGCGTTTCAGTTGACGATGGAGAATGCTCGAGTTCCGTGGCAACAAAACAGGAACATTCTATTGCCGTATGTCGTCAAGTACAGCGACCCGAGCAAATATCTTCGATGCTCCAATTGCCACGAAGTTCTTATGACGGTCCAGCTCGGCATTTGGGTGACTTCTCAAGACTATCCCAACTGGTACCATCAGGATTGCTTTTGGTCCTATATTGGGCAAGGAAATCACCAAATTTCGATCGATTTAGTCTATGGCATTGACACGATCAGAAAGTCCGATCAGGTTAGCGTAATTTAGTCATTCCGTTTTTGACATCAGACTTTTGTACTTTTCAGAAACTTCTGCTCGAGAAAATGTCGGAGTACGAACGAAAAAAGAGAACGTGTGCTCTAGGAACACAGGTGATCAACGCTTTCAAGTCTATGCTTACCTATGTATTTTCTCTTTTACAGTACTTTGCAAGCGCAGTCGGAAAGAACGCGGAAACGAGCGAAGTGGCTCTCCCTGAAAAATTCACTCTTCTGATGGACAAGTTGCGGATTGAACAAACGAAACAAACACGGTGAGTTCTTATATATTGAGAAAAACGCTTGTATTTCCTTAAAACACATGCGATTTCAGATACGAGTTTTGTTTTGTGTGCAAATTACATATTGTGAATGACGACGTGATCATCGTCACGGAAGGGCATAACTTTCATGCTTTTTGTGCATTTGAAAGAGCGTGTCACATCTCAGGAAACCTCGACGAAGCGGAGGGTTTCCAAAACTTAACCATTCAAAAGAAACAATCACTAACAGAAGCCTTCAACATCAGTCTTCAAAAAATTCTAGCGTTTCCAAAACCATTGTAAGCTCTTCACAATAACTTGACATGACAATTGCATTCTTTAAGACCAATCAACGTGAAATCTATCGGAAGCAAAATCAACGATATGGTGGTTTTGTCGACTTCCTCAATTTTCGAATGGAACCAAGGAGACAATGAAGATAGCAAATGCTCTCTGTGCGCGAACAAATTTGAAAATAAGGCGGTTGTGTTATCTCACAACTGCGGATACACTCACTCAAGATGCTTGTTCACGCACGGAGCAACGATCTTCGATCCTCTGAAATCCGCGATCGGATGGGACAATTTGCCTACCGAGGTGCAGATGAAGGTCATGCTGGAGTTCAACCTTGCTCTTCTCACCTCCGAAACGAAGGCCATGACGTTCCGGAGTTCAGTGGCCGCAGAAAATGCGAATCGAAAACGAGCGGGTGGAACGCTGTCAGATGAAAGTGAGAATGCGACCAAGAGTGTCGGAACTCTTGTCATGGACACACCGCTCGACGACACAGCATCACAGGTGAGTAGTAGGTATCTGAAAAGTGCACGGCCACCAAAAGTGTAGATAGGAGAGCGGCCTAGAATGAGACGCGTTTTGAGAAAACTGCAAGTTTTTGACAAAAGCCTAAAGATAGGGTAAAAATGTGAAAGTTGCGCTAAAATAATGGCTCAACGTGCACGCTAGGCCACGACCCTCCCTACACTTTTGATCGCCGTGAAGCAGGTTAATTGTCTTCCATTTTAGAGTCAAGGGGACTTACTTCATGCTCATCGCACATGCTTCTCGGAATTGAGTGAGGATAGTATCAAAGTGATTCTAAACAATAAGCAGCAGTCCCTGAAAAGCGATTCGGATGTAAGAACCCAAAACCCTCAAAATTAACACACCTCCAATCATTTCAGCTTGTAGAACGTCTCGTGGACATCACCGTGTTAGGAACACCTCTCCCATGTCCGAAATGTAACGGCATACTGAGTTGGATGACCTCCAGAAGAAGCTACGTTTGCCACGGCCATATCACTCAATTCACCCTGTGCGGATTTTCTACTAAAAATCCGGATCGGAAACCGATTGTCCTTTACAACCAATTTGCACCTAAAAAAACATCCCAAGGCCTTAGATCTGAAGTAAGACCTGAAGACCAGCCAGCTTTGTTCTAATCGCATGATTTCAGATTTTCAGAAAACGACTCTACGTGGAAGATGGAAAAGATGAAGTCTTGCATGGAATTCCCGTCGCACCGCATGAGCTGACCAAACTTGCAACACTCGAGGAGGAGTGTCGGATTATCGGTAAGCTTACACTCACTTGTGTTGATCCCATTCATTCCATCGTTTTTCAGCGAAGAATCCGTACTCGACAAAGAAATACCTTCTGAAAGATGGGTTCGGAGTGCCGAGCGACTTCCTCCACGCGGACCGCTACAATCTTCTGAGGGACGACGACGGAACACCGTACGAAGCGAATCTCATGAATGTTGAAGTACAAATCAACTGCAACTCAAACATCAAGTTGTCCATACTAAAACATGATCTCGAATCACAATACGTTGTGATAGAAACACTTTCGAGAATGGGAACCAAGCTGTCAAAGAATCAGAAAAAAAATTTCACGGATCGGAACGATGCAATCCTAAGCTTTACCGTGACGTTCTTTTGTTTGACCAGAAATCTTTGGGAGAACCGGAAGGCATTCAAAAAAATCGCTGACGCTTTTTTCTACATACAGCCGAAGATAAATTGCCATGTAAGTTGAAATCCCATTCAATTTCATTTATTGACATGTTTCAGTGCCCTGAAAGATCAGCTCATCTCACGACTGAACGACCGAATCTACGGAAGATAGGGGAAATAGAGTATCTTCAAGAAAATATATCTGACAAGCAAAAAACGAAAGCCGCAAATGTCCTTCAAAATTTAATGAATAAAATTCTATCGGGAACAGTGTGCGATATGGATCTGATTGACGCCACCAACCGATTCTACTCGATGCTTCCAACGTGCACCGGCTTCGACCCACTCCAGATTCTGCCCAACGACGTCAGCAAATTGATGGTTGGTGATTCGTAAATGTCATCGGATTCGTATACGTTTATTTTGCAGAAAATGAAAGCTGAAATTTCATCCGCAGACACTTCGGCAAACTGCAAATGCTTGAATACCAAAACGGCTGTGAAGGTATTTATCGGAATTTCAAACAACCAATATCAGATTAATATTTTCAGTCACCGACAGCCGGAAACGCGTCTAAAACGGACCGAACAAACACATCTGAAGCTCCGCCAAACCGTGATGCCAAAGGAGTTCGCCATGAGCACGATGCGGCTGTTCCAGCAAAGATTGGTAACAAATCCTGTTTTCTTCTCAACAACTGGAAAGACGATGCCTTTTTCAGCGCGACGACATTCACCAGTGCGACCGAGCTTGAAGAGTAAAGTGCGCAAACCTGAGCAAGACGGAGCCGAGCCGAGAGCTACAGACACGAAAACCGGCGGAACTGAACCAAAGGACGACAACTGAGTCATTTATAATCAGCATGTTTTATCTACCTATTTTACGGATTTACCATGATTTTTCTTTTTTTTATGGCAACTGTTCTCACTTTCTACAGTCTTTGTCTACTAACCGCTATCATTCCGTTTTCAATTAAGTTTTTGATTAAGAAGCCCGTTCACTCAACTGATGTGGGTTAAAAAACCCATCAAATATATCTTTCTGAAAAAATTACGTTGTAATTACACAAACTATTTATTTTTCAGATGGAAATGAAGAGGATTCGCGACCCGTACCAGCACCGTGACAAGCTCGTGCTTCCGTATGAATGAAGTCGGGTACGCCAGCGACACTGACCAGCCGTGCCAGCATTGCCATGAGAAGACGAAGTTCCGTATTGGATTGGTTCACATTGGATGGTCGGAGCCAAACTGTTCTGGAACAAATTAGGAGAAGGAGCCCACAAAGTAAACACGTCTGTGTAGGAAGCACGAAAGAATCGTTCAGGCCGAGAGAGGAAAAGATGCGTGTTTGTTCCTCTGTGAGGTGGAAGTTGGTGAAGTTCACGTGGTGACGGAAGAGCAATCATGGCCGCTAGTCAGTCAAGCCTTCTCCAGGTGTGACTCGATAAAAGGCAAGTGTTTTCAATACTTGTCAACAGGGAAATGATATTCTTCGTAAGCGCGGGAAAATACGTGCCCGATCCCACGTGTTCGAAACAACTAAATAAAGTGGAAGTTACATACGGTGTATTGAAAGAGACCACTGAAGAATTCAAAGGACTGTTGTACAATGAGTGAGCTTTGTTGAATTTCTAGTCTAAAATTCTTAAACTATCGCTTTCAGGTACATTGTATACGATGACGAACTTGTCGCATTGAAATACCTGCTGAGAGTGAAAACTCGAGATGTCAACTTTGTTTTATCTTTATTCACTGTCAAATTTTCTGCTTTCCAGTCCATTTTTTGTAATTCAAGTTCAATTTATCTGTGTGCATGGATATGTTTCAAAATTTTATGTTGAATGGGACGCACGAGACTTTAGCCCGAGTGAATGTTTTGAATTTTAGCGCTAAGATCACGAGTCGTCGAGTCTTTTCGAAATTTCTCTTATCTCTGCCACAAAACGCAAGCCAATCGCAATTAGCAATGAAAAGAGCATAGTCACTATCATCCAGCGTCAGTTGCCCTAGTAACCATCTCATTTCTCATCAGTTTTCGAGATATTGAGAGGGTTAGATCAGAATTCTTGTTAAGACTTCAATTCTCACTTTAAAAAAGTATAAAACTGTATCTCTTATATCCATTTCATCATGAGTAGACACATCTCTTCGCAGTTTCTTTTTCGTATTTCCAACGCAAAATAAAACATTTTCTCTGTTCTGTCTTTCGATAATCTTAACAGATGTTGTGTTATTTCACATCGTTTTTATCTCTTCTAAAACTTTCACATCTATCTTATTATCGCTTCATTTCATTTAGACGTCGACATGCAGATAGCTCGTAAAACGTACTTGCAAAATGGAGAGCTTCGTGTGCCTTTTAGGGTAGAATACACGAGTTCTTCGCTACAAACATCGGAGAATCAGCAATTCACCGTTGTCGATCCAGCTGAACTGTGTGCGGAATGCGGATTCTCCACCTACCTCCGCATCGGCATATTCCTTTCTCTGATGGGAAAGGATATCGCCTGGTACCATCCCGATTGTTTCTGGAAAAAAATGGCGAGCGGATTCAATAAGATTAATGCTGATTTGATTTTGGGCATCGACACTATCGAGTGGTCCGCTCAGGTTAGCTGAATACGAGCATTTGAACGACAAATTGACTTTGTTTCAGCAAACTCTACTGGCACACATGAATGAGTACAACAACAACCGACGACTGGCTTTAACTGCCGCTAATCGACAGGTAAATAATTAAAATGATTAGATTCTTATTGCTCGCTTTCGACTCCGCGACGTTTCTCACCAGAGTCATTCTTTACCAGTGACGTTTCATCATACTACGTCATTTCATTCCAAGTCGTTTCATTCCCAAAAATTTTTTTTTTAAGTTGGAACATACGCTGGTACAAATCGTGGTATGAAATGTCTTAAAAAGAAAGCGACATGATATGAATGATCACTTTGGTGGAAAATGGCGCGGTGTCTCGTTTTCTTATCGAGTGGGATGACTTGCCAATTAGTTCATAGTCACAGTAAATAATCTCTGACTTTTCCTCAGAATGGATCTTTGAAACGAACAAGAGCTCATGACATGACCTGTGCCACTATCGAAAGGGGCAACTTCATCGCGACTGCTTTTGATCGGAATATGATGGTAAGGCGATCAATGACTGTTTGAAATGAAACCAATGTGTATTTTTTTAGACTCAGATGAACATAATCATGTATCTTCTTGTGAAGTTCTCAAAATGTCCTGAACAAACAATCGAAGAAATTTTGGCATTTAACGGACAGAAGGCTCAAAAGGAACCAATGGAAGTAAAAACTGAAGACAAAACAACTTTTAGTTATAACTATGCTTCATTTCCAGAAAGTAAACCAGCTAGTCGACATTGCGACTTTCGGAGCCCCCAATCCGTGTCCAATATGTGGCGGATCAGTCAGTTTCAAAGTTGCCCGTCGCAGTAATACCTGCGATGGCTACATCTCGGAGTTCACGAAATGTAGCCATTCAAGTAAACACCCAAACAGACGCAAGTACACGGTCCCTCCTCACTTAGAAATGTACGCCTTCGATTCTCCCGAGTATCAGGTATTAGGAATCGAGTTCTGAAATAAAATAAGATAAAATTTTCCAGAAACGTCGTTACTATCCAGAAGACATTCAAGAATGCGATCGTGTCGAAGAGAGTCACAGAAACTATATGATTATGGCCCCGGAAATTGAGGAGATGGGAGAGGATTATGAAGAAGTGATGAACAGTTCGTTTCTTTGCAGCGATAGACACAAATAAAATTGATCAATTGCAGCCAAAGATCCGAAAAAGAGTGTAGACTACGTAATGGTCGGATTAACCGCGGTCCCCGAAAGCTTCCCGCTGGCAGAGAAACATCGGATTGCTGAAGATGAAAAAAAGGATCGTTATGAAGCTATCCTCACTTATGTTGAAATCCAAGAAAACAGAAATACATGTGTTCAGATATATGTGATTAAGCACGTGGTTGAAGACTGTTTCTATTTCTACAAAATCACATCGAGAACCGGAACTGAATTGAGGAAGTGTGAATCGACACAATACAAGGACCAAATTGGAGCAGTCGCTGAGTTTGAAAAGGAGTTCAAACGTTACACCGAAAACGAATGGACAAAGCGATTAGATTTCAAAAAGATTGCCGGATATTATTTCTACGTCTCTACCAAGAAATCGCATCTTGTGAGTGAACCACTTGAAACTTTTCTCGTCGTCAACTGAACTCACTTTCAGATGTATCCTTATTTCCGAACACTTCGCGAAGAAATCGCTTTGAGAGAAATCGCGCCTCAATTTATGCAAGGCTTGAGACAATTTTCGGCAGTCAATCCTGTACTCGGAACAATTGCTGACGATCTGAAGAAATATATCATAGAAATAATCAAATCACTGGTGAGCGAGACCAGGGACATCGCGCCCACTGAAATGAACTACATTGATGCGACAAATCGGATTTATTCGATTTATCCAATATGCACTGGTTTTGAGAGCCACAAAGTGTTGCGAACGCGGGCCGATTTTCGGAAAGTCCTGAATGATATGAATCGGCCTCAGAATTTGGATTGGTTTCCGATTCTCGATCATGCCGATAATTTCTGCCATGACATGAAAGCAGAGTTAAAGGTCAGTTCAATTATGGGATAGATGAAAATGAAAGAATCATTCAGGAGGTTAAACGGAAAACGGAAGTATGGAATGTCATTGAAGCGTACTTCATGAGCACACAAGTTGAATATCATGGTTGCGAGGCGAAATTGGTCGATGTGAGTTCATTGAATTATGAACAAAAATGCAAAAAAGAAATTGTTTTAGATATTTGAAATCAAACACTCTGGCGGCGAGCAGAAGCAGACATTCCCCGGAAAGCCGATGCTCTTGTGGCACGGGACGATGAAGGACAACCTCTCGCAAATCATAAAAAATGGTCTGACTTGTCAAACACCGGCACACGTTCGCCCCAACGGAAAGATGTTCGGACGCGGTCTCTATTTCGCCGATTGCTTTACTAAGAGCTTTAACTACTCAAAGGTTCGTTGCCGTTCCTATTTTCCGATCGTCAACAGTCTGAAATGTTGCAGCAAAGCAGTCTGCTTCATAAATACGTGCTCCTGTGTGAAGTACATCTCGGAAACATCCATGAGTCCAATATGGCTCTCAGCGACGCAAGTGTCGAAAAAGCTCTTACCGACAACGGATGCAATTCCGTTAAAGGTGACTTGGCAAAATTTGAACACAAAAACTAAAAATGACAGTTTACAGGAGTGGGATTCTACGTCAAAAACCCGGAACACTTTCGTGATCTGAATGGGACAGTTGTACCTCTGGGACCTTTGCAATTGGAATTCACAGTGTTGAAGCAACTATGGTACAATGAGTAAGTTGTTCACTGTGTTTGCCATGTGCATAATCTGGACCAAACTTGCAGATATATTATATACGACGACAAAAGAGTGACTCTGAAATACCTCGTCAGAGTGCATCTTCCTCGCACACCTCAATGAGCCGGTTCACTGAGCGATTTCTTCGAATGATTTGATAAACAGTTTTTTTAATTATATGTACATACATAGGTACCCTCATCTTCTCACAATTGTTTAGTCTTCTTGCCAGAACAAAACTTTTTTAAAGCCTTTTTTTGGAGGTGTTGCTCCACAATAAATCACACAAAAACTATGATTTTGAGAGTGTTTTCATTCAGATTTCATAGGCATCAATAGATCACTCCAGCAATTACTCGTCATTTCGCCCTGTAAAGTCGCATTCAAACACTTTGGCGACTGCAGTGATTCATAACGCGAATGATCCCGCTCCCCAGAGCCAATAGTCACTAATGACCAGATTGCAGAAGTGTCCTTAACGAACTACAATCTGGTCATTTCCAACTTTACCGCTATTGGAACAGGTCGTTCTTCCTGTTTGAATAGTTTGGAACTGTTACCGGAGAGGCTGCTCCCGGACTATGCGAAACTGCAATTGGGGAATTCTGATGGGAATGCACAAATCCGTGGAAAGCATCTGTTGTATGAGAACCGTTACTACACACCTGAACATAAATATAAAGCCACTCTATTTTTGCGTTTTTCTCCCGAACCAAAAGTGATACCGACATGGGACTTTCAGACAGTAATACATGCCAAAATCGTGAAAGATTTCCGGGTTGGAGAGTGCGTCGGGTTGTCATGTAAATTCAATAGACAGAAAAGAGATCGGGTGGGAGAAAATATGGGAGAGATTGAGGTTATGCCTAGCAAAGTTGCTTAATGATGAAGTATTTCGGTTCCTCGTCGTTGACGTCTTCTTCTCGGAAGAACATCGTGAGACCGCCTTCGAACATCAGATACAGCGCGTCCCAGTCCTTCTGTTCCGGCACAAAGCACTTGAACTCTTTGGTATTGCAGAAATAGTACTGTTTTGTGTAGGACGTCCTGAAAACATACAGATAGTCATACATATCTTTCTTGGAAACTTACTCTTTGAGGAAAATCATCCATTTGATGGTTGCGTCACTCTTGATCACCAGATACCGATTGTTCAGAGAGATCTTGTAGAATGGCAAACTCATCATCTTGTTCTGCAGCGATTCCACGACCAAACTCTCAGACTGATCGTCGAGCACATCGGACAAGTGGAAGTCATCGAACGAAATCGTTTCTTTGTCCGGGAAAAGATCAATTAGTCCAGACATCAGCCCAGAAGCCGCATGGAAAGCACCAAACTGAAAAGAAAGATGTTTCCTCCAGCGTTTTTGAATGAATAAACTAACGGCATGGCACAGTTCGTGGAGCACTGTTCCGAAAATCATCTCGAAAGCGTTCTTCATTGTCTCGTCGGCCATCACGATTACAGCGTCCGATCTCTCCGGCACCGGAGATCTCAAAGCGTCGACGGCCGTTTTTGGGAACACCAGCGAAATCTTGTATTCGTTGGTGCATGCGTGCATTTTTTCGCTGGAAATGTGCTCGGCAGAAGTGACAATGACGATCGTATCTCCAAGGCGCCTGAAAATGAATCATTAGAAATATTCCTGTCGTTTAGCGTCTGGCAACGCTAACGCTCAAAAAGGAGAATTTTGTGAATGAAAGACCTCACCTGGCAATTCCAGTCTCACCAGAAGTTGTGGAACGCCGAGAAATGAACTGGCAGGTGTCGGATCCATGGGTTTTCACTCCGAGTTCATGCAATTTCCAGAGCGCCTTTTCAACTGAAATAAACCGATTTTCCTTAACTCATCAGATCCGCAACTCACTAATGTAATGTAATTTGTCCGTTTCCTGCTCGTTCAAAACGGTTCCATCGGCTCCTTGAACGAAGGAAATCTCAAAGGAGACAGACGGTCGATCGATAAGAGTGTTGAGTGTTTCCGCCATTCTGTCTGGAATGAAACAAGAAAGTCAGCGAATGAAAGGGACAAGAAGACTGCGACAATGAAAAATCAAACATGTTGTTGAGTCGATGCGTTGCGCGTTACACCTGGTGTTAGCGGGGAAACAGAGTGGGTGGTAGGGTAGATCAAAAACTTTGAGAGACGGGAATAACATTAAAAGTGGAAGTGGTCGCAATATTTTGGAAAAACTCAACCAGGCAAAAACGATTGTCTTCCCAGAGACCAACAGAAACGTTTCCGATAAAACAATTTTCGGCAGCAACTTTGAAATGTGATGTCGTTAACCGTTCAGGCTCTATCTGAGTAATCAGGTTATAAAATAACAAACAGGTTCCACAAATACACATGTTCCAAATATCAAGAATAGGCAGGTACCAATTTCCACACAAAATCACTTTGAGGGCCACCAAAGACACTTTTCAGACTATTTTAGAGCTTATTTTTCCGGTTTTAGAAGACGGAAATTTTCTATTCCCGTATTCTCTGCAATATACTTTGAAACAATTCATGGCACTGTCTGCAATCAGTCAATCATCTGTTCAGGCAATGAGAAAACTGATAGCGGTTTGAAATACATTAAGAGGATTTTTCTGATTCGTTTGTCGATTAAATATGAATTTATTGATTAAATGAGATGTGCCGAAGCGGTCCGTTTTCCTTTTCAGTGTTTGCGGGTTCTTTGACGGCCAGACTTGCGACCCGCATGCTTCTTTCCGTGGCTTTTGTAGGTTTCGTCGTTGATTTTTCTCTGTCCCGGAGCATCGATGACCTCTTCGAGATGCTCGAGAAAGTCCGGACCACGACGCACATTGCTGAAATTGGCAGATTGTTAGATGCGTTTTGATTTACCAACGGCTCACTGATAAGGTTTCTGAGCTCTCGAAGCCGGAATCGAGATCAGAGCCGGACCTTTACCGATCGGGCCTGGAGCTCCACATCCGATACAGACAGGCTTCCCATGAAGAAAGTGACGGAGCAAAGCATCACCGCGCGCCGGACTGTCGTCCTCGCGTTCCCTGACGGGGGTCGAGACACTGTTAATTTCGCGGCCCCTGGAAACAACAATACGTGTTTTTTTTTCCAAATACGTTCATAAGCTTACCGGCATCCTTCTCCGTTTCCATAAACGCGCCTGCCTCTTCCGCCACCCTTATTGCCCCTTCTGAAAATGTTCTCTTTTAGACAAAATTTACAACTATTTTAAGGTTACCTCGGAGTGTTGGCTACCATGTTGCAACCGGTCACGTTAGCGACCAGGTTAGCGGCGACCTCTTTCGCGTTCTCCTCTGGAGCAGCTTCCTGCTCTTCCACCACCTCCGTCACGGTGGTTGTGTTCACCTCATCCGGAGTGAGGAGTACTTGAACGGGAAAGTTCAGGCTCCCGACATCAATGACGCTGATCGTTGGAGCATCCTTGGTGTACACAATGATCACCAAGCTATGAGGATTGAAGAACTTCTTCTGGACCGTGCTGCGGAGCATCACCAGATTCTTCAGAACGTCGTCACTTTTTTTCACCGAAATGCAGCGGCCAATGGCACTGTTGATGATAGTCATCGCCACCTCCAAGCGCTTGATGATGGTTCCGCACACGCCTTGGATCATGATCGTCTTCCCGAGGCCACACGGCCGGATGTTGAAATGCTTCATCACGTCCTGCTTGTGGATGGCGGCGTCTGGCTTGACCCCGTGCACGTCGTAGTCGATGCGGAAGAGAGCGTTGACGTCGATCTTCTTGAGCCCGTAGAAGACAGGGCCGTCTGAGAATGCTCCATCTTTTCCCCAAAGGCCGCTCCACTGCTGCGCTCTCGTGAACGGCGCGGCAGCGGCGATGTTCTTGACGTTCTTCGGGCTGACCAGTTCCTTGAGGTTCAGATGCTCGAAGCCTGGGATGAGCTCTTCCCTGAATTGGTTAAAGTGCTCCTCGAGATCCTTTGCTGTGACGGGCTCGTGGACGTTTGCTTGCATCCCGTTGCTGAACAGTCCACGGCTCCAACTGAATTGCTGATGGTCCGGGACCGGATAGACCGACTCCATGGCAGTGTTCATTGCTTTCCGAGTTCTGCAAACAGTAAAAATGAGAGAAATTCGAAGAGAAAACCGAATTGATGAAGGGGAAAGCTCTGAGTTTCTATGTTTTGTTAAAATGATTCATAAATATACACTCCCCCCCCCCCCTTTCTTCATTTGTTTATTGATAGATTGGGAGGAGAAAGGAGAAAAAGAGAATGGGAAAACGAATGGCCGGTCCGCGAAAACACACACATACGCATAGACTCTATCTATCTCTCGCATGCAATAAGAAGTCTAATCGCGTGTCGGTTCGTCGCCAAAAACAAAAAGAAGAAACCGCGGGCAAGCGATGTGACTTGGCTCTCACCCGACAAAACAGGCGGAGAAAAAACAAAGAGAACAGTGAAAAGGAGAGGGATGAGCGTCTAAAGGTTCGCGATTCGAACAGAAACCGATGACTAATTCCCAATTTCAAAACTTCACGACCGTGAAGCGGAATGCGATAGAGTAGCGAAACAAAAAGGGAATTATTCTCGAGTTTCGTAAGATAAACTCAGTTTTATATCCGCTCTGAAACGAGGTTGAAATGGCTCAAATAAGGGGGCGAATGCTCTCTTCAACGACACCTGCAGTTAGGTGCAGCCGAGTATTTTAATTAATGGCTACTTTTTCGTCCTGCTCAGACTTGCGACGGGCCGAGCCAAAATATGAACTTCTACTGCTCACGACCTGGTCTGGTCAGCCCGGCAGCCACCAGCTGGGTCCAAAATTTTTAAAAATTACAAAAAAGTGTCTAAAGGTGGCGGAGCGATAAATAGCAGAGCTGGCACCGACTATTTGAAAATGCCACAAAGAGATTTTGGGACACGATTTTTAATAAAAACCGTGAGAAAAAAGATTCAAAAAAGCGGCTGGGCATCGCTCCCTCCGACAACCACTCTTCTCTCCATCCATCTCATTAGCGGCCTGGAATTGGAATGATATCGCTGTCGAACCGTTCGAAATTGCGTCAAAACGGAAGAAATGGCACAACATTATCAAGAAACGACGTTCGAACAGTGTTTCTCGAGGAAGTAGAGGTCGGATAAGCTGCTACATATTACTTGCGAAAACAATAGCGCTAGCCGCTTTCTGCACACGGAGACTTCTAATTATTTCTATGGCAACTGCCAACTGAAACGGAAGGCGACAGGCGAATCGCTGTAAAAGTCGAAATACGGCATACTGAAAATTTATCGATCGATGGACCTTCGACGACCTTGTTTTTGGGAAAATGTGGGACCTTTTCGCCGTGTCTTACAGCACAAAAAAATATTTTTTCGGTCTAATTTGTACTCAATAAACCGCTGAGTCTACAGGAAAAAGTTCCGCGAAGAAGAAAGAGAAATGAGAAGAAAACGAGGACAATGACGCTAATATCTCCAGTGATAAAGTGGGCGGAGTCTAAAGCAAGCACGGCGCAGAGTTTACCGCCCGCGGCACGGTTTCTTGGACATCAATAATCGATTTTCCGGAAAGTAACTAGTTAATCAGATAAATTCGAGGAAACAAACAAATTGACTCACCATGTTTGCAGAGAATTCGTGGATGAGAAAATCTTCGAATCCGCAGCAGTTTCCTGAAGTCATTTTTGTCTTAAAACTCTGAAGAGGTTATTGCGAAATTCGGAACCGAGAAGACGAAAACGGAAGAACTTGCCTGAACCTGGCTTTAGGAACCACTGGCCAGCGTCGACGGGAAGGTCAACCTCCACCTCGCAATATGCTACGGCAAAATAGTGTGGCGATCCGAGAGACCGTGCTTTCCTATTGATTTCTCTGACGACAAGAGAGAGTACGGCGGGTCTCTCACATTGTATTCTTCTGCGAGCACGAGACAACGTCGACTGGATGGAGTGTGAGCGGAACGAAGGAAGATCGTCGACCGGAAGTAAGATTTCACTTTGAAAAAATTAAACCCAAATAACTGTAAAAATGAAAAAAAAAATGAAGGAATACAGCCGATTTGAAGAGCTAAAAACGATTGGAAGAGCTAAAAACGATTTGAAGAGCTAAAAACCAATGACCCACACCTCCGCCCGAAAACCTCGCCACTACGCCCTGTAACAGCTCAGCGAAATATTCCAGCCGCCGTAGCAATCCTATACGTGCATCGCCGTCGCTCCAGAGCCAAATTTCGACAATTCCTCGCCATTACGCCCTGTAACAGCTCAGCGAAATATTCCAGCCGCCGTAGCAATCCTATACGTGCATCGCCGTCGCTCCAGAGCCAAATTTCGACAATTCCTCGCCATTACGCCCTGTAACAGCTCAGCAAAAACATTCCAGCCGCCGTAGCAATCCTATACGTGCGTCGCCGTCGCTCCAGAGCCAAATTTCGACAATTCCTCGCCATTACGCCCTGTAACAGCTCAGCGAAATATTCCAGCCGCCGTAGCAATCCTATACGTGCATCGCCGTCGCTCCAGAGCCAAATTTCGACAATTCCTCGCCATTACGCCCTGTAACAGCTCAGCGAAACATTCCAGCCGCCGTAGCAATCCTATACGTGCGTCGCCGTCGCTCCAGAGCCAAATTTCGACAATTCCTCGCCATTACGCCCTGTAACAGCTCAGCGAAATATTCCAGCCGCCGTAGCAATCCTATACGTGCATCGCCGTCGCTCCAGAGCCAAATTTCGACAATTCCTCGCCATTACGCCCTGTAACAGCTCAGCGAAATATTCCAGCCGCCGTAGCAATCCTATACGTGCATCGCCGTCGCTCCAGAGCCAAATTTCGACAATTCCTCGCCATTACGCCCTGTAACAGCTCAGCGAAACATTCCAGCCGCCGTAGCAATCCTATACGTGCGTCGCCGTCGCTCCAGAGCCAAATTTCGACAATTCCTCGCCATTACGCCCTGTAACAGCTCAGCGAAATATTCCAGCCGCCGTAGCAATCCTATACGTGCATCGCCGTCGCTCCAGAGCCAAATTTCGACAATTCCTCGCCATTACGCCCTGTAACAGCTCAGCGAAATATTCCAGCCGCCGTAGCAATCCTATACGTGCATCGCCGTCGCTCCAGAGCCAAATTTCGACAATTCCTCGCCATTACGCCCTGTAACAGCTCAGCGAAATATTCCAGCCGCCGTAGCAATCCTATACGTGCGTCGCCGTCGCTCCAGAGCCAAATTTCGACAATTCCTCGCCATTACGCCCTGTAACAGCTCAGCGAAATATTCCAGCCGCCGTAGCAATCCTATACGTGCATCGCCGTCGCTCCAGAGCCAAATTTCGACAATTCCTCGCCATTACGCCCTGTAACAGCTCAGCGAAACATTCCAGCCGCCGTAGCAATCCTATACGTGCATCGCCGTCGCTCCAGAGCCAAATTTCGACAATTCCTCGCCATTACGCCCTGTAACAGCTCAGCGAAATATTCCAGCCGCCGTAGCAATCCTATACGTGCATCGCCGTCGCTCCAGAGCCAAATTTCGACAATTCCTCGCCATTACGCCCTGTAACAGCTCAGCGAAACATTCCAGCCGCCGTAGCAATCCTATACGTGCGTCGCCGTCGCTCCAGAGCCAAATTTCGACAATTCCTCGCCATTACGCCCTGTAACAGCTCAGCGAAATATTCCAGCCGCCGTAGCAATCCTATACGTGCATCGCCGTCGCTCCAGAGCCAAATTTCGACAATTCCTCGCCATTACGCCCTGTAACAGCTCAGCGAAATATTCCAGCCGCCGTAGCAATCCTATACGTGCGTCGCCGTCGCTCCAGAGCCAAATTTCGACAATTCCTCGCCATTACGCCCTGTAACAGCTCAGCGAAATATTCCAGCCGCCGTAGCAATCCTATACGTGCATCGCCGTCGCTCCAGAGCCAAATTTCGACAATTCCTCGCCATTACGCCCTGTAACAGCTCAGCGAAACATTCCAGCCGCCGTAGCAATCCTATACGTGCGTCGCCGTCGCTCCAGAGCCAAATTTCGACAATTCCTCGCCATTACGCCCTGTAACAGCTCAGCGAAACATTCCAGCCGCCGTAGCAATCCTATACGTGCGTCGCCGTCGCTCCAGAGCCAAATTTCGACAATTCCTCGCCATTACGCCCTGTAACAGCTCAGCGAAATATTCCAGCCGCCGTTGCAATCCTATACGTGCATCGCCGTCGCTCCAGAGACAAATTTCGACAATTCCTCGCCATTACGCCCTGTAACAGCTCAGCGAAACATTCCAGCCGCCGTAGCAATCCTATACGTGCGTCGCCGTCGCTCCAGAGCCAAATTTCGACAATTCCTCGCCATTACGCCCTGTAACAGCTCAGCGAAACATTCCAGCCGCCGTAGCAATCCTATACGTGCATCGCCGTCGCTCCAGAGCCAAATTTCGACAATTCCTCGCCATTACGCCCTGTAACAGCTCAGCGAAACATTCCAGCCGCCGTTGCAATCCTATACGTGCATCGCCGTCGCTCCAGAGCCAAATTTCGACAATTCCTCGCCATTACGCCCTGTAACAGCTCAGCGAAACATTCCAGCCGCCGTAGCAATCCTATACGTGCGTCGCCGTCGCTCCAGAGCCAAATTTCGACAATTCCTCGCCATTACGCCCTGTAACAGCTCAGCGAAACATTCCAGCCGCCGTAGCAATCCTATACGTGCATCGCCGTCGCTCCAGAGCCAAATTTCGACAATTCCTCGCCATTACGCCCTGTAACAGCTCAGCGAAACATTCCAGCCGCCGTAGCAATCCTATACGTGCGTCGCCGTCGCTCCAGAGCCAAATTTCGACAATTCCTCGCCATTACGCCCTGTAACAGCTCAGCGAAACATTCCAGCCGCCGTAGCAATCCTATACGTGCGTCGCCGTCGCTCCAGAGCCAAATTTCGACAATTCCTCGCCATTACGCCCTGTAACAGCTCAGCGAAACATTCCAGCCGCCGTTGCAATCCTATACGTGCATCGCCGTCGCTCCAGAGCCAAATTTCGACAATTCCTCGCCATTACGCCCTGTAACAGCTCAGCGAAACATTCCAGCCGCCGTTGCAATCCTATACGTGCATCGCCGTCGCTCCAGAGACAAATTTCGACAATTCCTCGCCATTACGCCCTGTAACAGCTCAGCGAAATATTCCAGCCGCCGTAGCAATCCTATACGTGCATCGCCGTCGCTCCAGAGCCAAATTTCGACAATTCCTCGCCATTACGCCCTGTAACAGCTCAGCGAAATATTCCAGCCGCCGTAGCAATCCTATACGTGCGTCGCCGTCGCTCCAGAGCCAAATTTCGACAATTCCTCGCCATTACGCCCTGTAACAGCTCAGCGAAACATTCCAGCCGCCGTAGCAATCCTATACGTGCGTCGCCGTCGCTCCAGAGCCAAATTTCGACAATTCCTCGCCATTACGCCCTGTAACAGCTCAGCGAAACATTCCAGCCGCCGTTGCAATCCTATACGTGCATCGCCGTCGCTCCAGAGACAAATTTCGACAATTCCTCGCCATTACGCCCTGTAACAGCTCAGCGAAATATTCCAGCCGCCGTAGCAATCCTATACGTGCGTCGCCGTCGCTCCAGAGCCAAATTTCGACAATTCCTCGCCATTACGCCCTGTAACAGCTCAGCGAAACATTCCAGCCGCCGTTGCAATCCTATACGTGCATCGCCGTCGCTCCAGAGACAAATTTCGACAATTCCTCGCCATTACGCCCTGTAACAGCTCAGCGAAATATTCCAGCCGCCGTAGCAATCCTATACGTGCGTCGCCGTCGCTCCAGAGCCAAATTTCGACAATTCCTCGCCATTACGCCCTGTAACAGCTCAGCGAAACATTCCAGCCGCCGTAGCAATCCTATACGTGCGTCGCCGTCGCTCCAGAGCCAAATTTCGACAATTCCTCGCCATTACGCCCTGTAACAGCTCAGCGAAACATTCCAGCCGCCGTTGCAATCCTATACGTGCATCGCCGTCGCTCCAGAGACAAATTTCGACAATTCCTCGCCATTACGCCCTGTAACAGCTCAGCGAAACATTCCAGCCGCCGTAGCAATCCTATACGTGCGTCGCCGTCGCTCCAGAGCCAAATTTCGACAATTCCTCGCCATTACGCCCTGTAACAGCTCAGCGAAACATTCCAGCCGCCGTAGCAATCCTATACGTGCGTCGCCGTCGCTCCAGAGCCAAATTTCGACAATTCCTCGCCATTACGCCCTGTAACAGCTCAGCGAAACATTCCAGCCGCCGTAGCAATCCTATACGTGCATCGCCGTCGCTCCAGAGACAAATTTCGACAATTCCTCGCCATTACGCCCTGTAACAGCTCAGCGAAATATTCCAGCCGCCGTAGCAATCCTATACGTGCATCGCCGTCGCTCCAGAGCCAAATTTCGACAATTCCTCGCCATTACGCCCTGTAACAGCTCAGCGAAACATTCCAGCCGCCGTAGCAATCCTATACGTGCGTCGCCGTCGCTCCAGAGCCAAATTTCGACAATTCCTCGCCATTACGCCCTGTAACAGCTCAGCGAAACATTCCAGCCGCCGTAGCAATCCTATACGTGCGTCGCCGTCGCTCCAGAGCCAAATTTCGACAATTCCTCGCCATTACGCCCTGTAACAGCTCAGCGAAACATTCCAGCCGCCGTTGCAATCCTATACGTGCGTCGCCGTCGCTCCAGAGCCAAATTTCGACAATTCCTCGCCATTACGCCCTGTAACAGCTCAGCGAAACATTCCAGCCGCCGTAGCAATCCTATACGTGCGTCGCCGTCGCTCCAGAGCCAAATTTCGACAATTCCTCGCCATTACGCCCTGTAACAGCTCAGCGAAACATTCCAGCCGCCATAGCAATCCTATACGTGCGTCGCCGTCGCTCCAGAGCCAAATTTTGACAATTCCTCGATATTACGTCCTGTAACAGCTCAGCGAAACATTCCAGCCGCCATAGCAATCCTATACGTGCATCGCCGTCGCTCCAGAGCCAAATTTCGACAATTCCTCGCCATTACGCCCTGTAACAGCTCAGCAAAACATTCCAGCCGCCGTAGCAATCCTATGCGTGCGTCGCCGTCGCTCCAGAGCCAAATTTTGACAATTCCTCGATATTACGCCCTGTAACAGCTCAGCGAAACATTCCAGCCGCCATAGCAATCCTATACGTGCATCGCCGTCGCTCCAGAGCCAAATTTCGACAATTCCTCGCCATTACGCCCTGTAACAGCTCAGCGAAAGCCTCTGGCGACTGTAGTGATCCAATACGTTCCATTTTTTTGTTGGCTTTATTGATAAGCAATTTAGGAATTGTAAAAGAAAAGTACAATTCAACATCAGCGGATATATGCAATGTTGTACTATTTTTCAGATAGCGATCCGACTTCTGGCTTCACTTCCACCAAAAACCGAACGGCTTGTAAGGGGCGTTTGTCGGTTCCTCATCGCCAACACCATCGGAGTTCAAGCAGACATTCACTGTCATTGAGGCAATGCCAACTCCCAGGAAGATGAGAGCGGCACAGAGTGCCTTTCGTCTGAAGCCCTCAAATCCGCGGATCGACGGAATGGTTGGCTTGGCGTGCTTTCTCTTCGAATCGGCAATTTCGTAGTAGAAGTATCCGGAAACGTTTGTTTCCGATGAAACAAGGGTGAGGAAGCTGAAATGTATCGATGTTAAAAACTGAGAGTTTCCTTTGCGAATTAGTTACCCGTCATCCATATCTTTATCGCAGTAGAGCTTTCTCATCCGGCGCAGTCGGTTCATTTGATCGTTGAGGTCAAATCTCTCGTTCAGTGCGTGCGGATCTATATATCCGCATTTTCCGAGCAAGAAGTAGGCTTTGGACTTGAACGTATGTTTCAGTTGGACGTACTCGTCGTCTCCGAGCGAGTCTGAAGATTGAACGGGCTTTGGGTGAGAAATTCAACCGAATCACCAACCAATGTCGATATTGAACTTGTAGCTTTCTAGTTGAAGTGCCGCCTGATTCACAGCATGGTAGACGGACGGATGACCCGTTTTCTTTGGGATCTTCTCTGTCACTTTGAAGACGAATCGGCATTGGGTCACCTCTGTGGGAAAAACTGCAATTGTGAACCTGTAAAACGGGTCGATTATCGGCTGTTCCCGCATTTGTTCAGTTCGGGAACTCACGACGCTTCGTTGCCCTCGTGCTCTCTGCAAGGGTACGTGGTCTCGTTGAGCAAGAACGGAAGCCATTCGTCCTGGAAGCCGAGATGATCTCCGATGACGGTCGGGTTGCTGCGGAGGAAATTCTGGCCACATTTGTTGAAATCAATCTTGATAGGGTGCGAACAGTTGCGGTGCATGTGAATGGCCATGTCGTTTTGGAGGGCTGGAATGTATGGGTCCTTAAATACTTCGATTCACATCCAGAAAGTAACCGGCAAAACCCAGAGGGAAAGTTGTTAGTCATCAGCTTACGAAACGAAACAATTTTACGGGTGCTGCGAAAACAAATCTGTCTACTGCCACGTCATCCGTGATTGTTTTGATAGCTGTGACCGGATACAGATGACTCACTTACAAAAACTATACAATGCATTTTTTCAAAATAAATACCTACCGTATTCCAGAATCGGTTGGATAGTGGCCTCGAATTGGAACGGTCTCACCGCAGTGGAGAACTCGAAGGAACGCTGCGAAATCCATCCACGACCTTCGCTACTGCGCACTTGAGCCAACGACAACGGAAAAATCGCCAGCAACCAGACGGGCGACATACTCCGTGGGGACAACCGATGAGAATGAGCGGAATCGAATGAGCAGTGATATCTGTAAATGGTAAATGGGAGTAGATTAAAGTGAATGGGATTTCAAATGGGATGTGACATTAAAATGGGCTGGAAGAGAGCGCTCAGCGGTGTTTTGCTCAACTGATAGTGGACAACGCAGCCGATCGGAGCGCGAAAATGGCACAACATAACGGAGACAGTACACCGAATGTGTAGGGAGAGAGAGAAGAACTGTGTTGTGGACAGAAATGCTACGATTGAGACTCAACCTGATGTCGAACGAAAACGGATCGGCAGAAATTGAAAGGCGGAACGGGGAGCTTGTGAAATTTGCTTTGAGAACGCGAAGGAAACGCGTTTTCTCTCAACTTTGAATGTTATTTCGCTTGAGGAAGCACCGCCCCTTTCCAGAAATTCGTATAAATATCCGACGATGACTCAGTTCAGTCATTCGTTCAGTTTTTCGCTCTCTTGACTTGACGTCTCTTTCTTTCAGGAAGCAAGGAAGCCATCACAACGATGGTCTCGATCTTGGGGGCCCTGGTGATTCTGACGCCTCTGATGGTGTCAGCCAACAGTCTCCATGGGATTACGCACGCCTTCAATGTCAGCACGAACGTCACCCTAAATCTCGACATTGCCAAAATGATGTTCGATGGTGAGATCAACTTTTGAAGCTAGTCGTTGTTCGAATTAATCAAACAATTCCAGCGGAAGCGCACAACTTTGCCATCGAATTGAGAATCGACACTTCGGCTCCAGTCAACTACGAACTTATCAACAGCGGACACGCCGTCTTCAGAAACATTCAGCCGATCACTGAGGACGTTCTCCTCTTCCAAGACGGATGGTTCGACTTTTTCTCGAAGAACTTCCAGCTTGGACGAGGCCGAACTCTGAAGAAGACCATGTGAGTCATCATTTATCATCGGGACCGATTTCCTCAGTATTCAACACAAAAAACAAAATTTTTAGTTTTGAAATCGCCTTCGAAGTCACTGAGAACACATCGGGCACGATCACATTCACGTTGAAGACAAAAGTGGCTCTCGAAGAACTCGCCCCCATCAACGGCTCGATTAACGAGACGGTCGTTGTGATCAGCCCCGACCTGCTCAAAGAGCAAATGATGACTACGTTCCCGATCTCAATGACCGTGGCACTGGAATCGCGTGAGTACTGGTTAGGGGCGCAAGCGTGAAAATCTCAGCTATTTCCAGGTCTGATAGATGGATTGGCGAGGCTGGAAATGGACGGATCTGACCGAGTGAAGATCGCATTCGGCAAGTGCAACCTGCAGACCGTCGATCGCTCGATCATCTCCACCGACCAGGACCTTGACAAGGAGACTAGCACCATCCTCCGCCTTCTTGGATACCTCACTTGCCCCACCGATCAGACAAAATCGTGAGTTTTGCTAGTATTCGAGCGCCTTTTAGATGACCTGCTCTCAGCGACCTCTCTCAGTTTCTTCTTTCAGATTCCACATCATCACCGGCGCCGATCTCCCGACCGCCGGGCCGCCGTGCTTCAACATGAAGAACGACGACTCTCTCACCATCTTCTTCTTCTTCTCCTTGAGATGCATTGCCGGAGTCGGTGTCGTTTCTGCACTGATCTACCTCTTGGCTTACCTCATCGACGAGGAATAGATTCTCCAACGAACCCTTTCCCTTCTTCTTTCTATCAGTATTAACGACCAGTATTCCCCATCGACTCACAGACATGTACTTTAACTTATTGCGAAGCATGAATTCACAGGATTTCAACCGGAGTACTTCCGGACTTCCCGTCTCCGGTCACTTTCCGATTGACACTGACGGGTTGAAAAAGCAACCAATAGTGAATTGAATTTAATTTTTACATAAAAAGGAAGAGAAAGAGTTGATAGATGGGTTAGAATCATTAGTAGGTTTTATGATTCCGTTTTTCTCTGTTCGTACTCAGTCGTCAATCAATTTTTGAAGATAAGACGGTCGCGATAAGAAGAAACACTGGCTCCATCAGGTGCATTCGTCTCCGTTTCCACCACAGTTTTCTCGTGAGTTCCTTGTGTCGCTTGCGTCATTATTTTTCTACAAGCGATGCACATTTCAGTAGTTCAACCGTTTGATTCGAATGTAGAGCAAACATAGGAAAAGGGAGCTGACAAGAGATGATTGTATGTACTACCACATCAACACTTTCCCAGCGTTTTGTCTGAAAACATCCCGATACAGATCGCAATCATATTCGTTGGTAAACAAAGAACTCTCCGTTCGATTCATCTTCCGTCCCGTCTTCCGTTACAAAAAGCGAAGCGAAAACGTTTTCCGTCATCTCATCTATTCCACTTTTCAACGGACAGAGAGATGAAGGAAAATTAGAAGAAAAGAGAAGAGAAGAGAATTGAAAATTTCTGCGGCCCCTCGCTGCCATCGAGATGTCTTCTCTTTTTCTCTGTCTTCAGCCATTTTTTTTTGCTGGGTCGCAGTCGTGTCGCCATTGTGTAACGCTATAAATTGCGGCCTCCATCCAGTCGTTAGGCGCCCTCTCTGTCTTATATTTTCGACATTTGCAGATAATTTTCTACCGTAAACCGCCAAATTTTTGGTCTCACACCAATTCTCTTCTCATCTCTTCTTATCTTATCTCGAAAGAAGAAGAAGAAGAGAGAAAGAAGAAGATGAGAACGACGTATTCTTCACGACGCCCCCGCCTATCTCTGCCGTCGTCAACCTTTGTTCGCGCAGTCATTTTCACTAACATTTACTTCTATCCTCTCAATTTCCTGTCAAAATAGCCTGCCAAACAGAGAAAACAATGAAAAGATAAAAAGTTTCCCGCATTGAGACCGACTAAGAGCCTATTTTGAATCAAAATGAAGCTGGCGCCGCCCGTCGGCTTCTGTTTTCATTAACGGAGCTTTCCCGCCGAATTCATGAACGCACATTTTCATTTCGATATTGAAATTTTCCAATTTTCAGAGTCAACTCGGAAAGATGTCGGAGGAATCTGAACCTGGGACCAAACCGCCGACCGACTTCTCGGAGTTCAATCGGCAAGAACGGAAAAGGCGGCAGGAGGAGGAAGAGGCAAAGGCGAATGGGGAGCAGCCAATAGCCAAGAAACCGGTTGAAGAACACCGCAAACTGACACCGAATCAGGAGCGCCGCATTCGGGAAAGATTGGAACAGGCGGCAGCGCTCTGGGCCATCATTATCAGTCAGCCGGATGAAGAAGAAGAAGAGGAGCCGGAGGCGGTGGTCAAGTTGCGAGAAATTGAGCGATTGAAACAGGCCTGCAAGGAGCATATCGAGAAGAGGAAGAAAATCATTCGAGAAGGAAACGAATTGAATCTGCCGATGGCTGGTGAGTGCTTTCAACATTATTGATCCAATCGCAGAATATTCTATTCCAGAATTCGAATCTCTGCCACCCTACGACAGAAAGCGCATCGAGTTCTTTGAGGATCTGGAAGGAGCTCATATAATGAATCTCAATTCGACAGTGAGGGACTTCATCGATATGCGCATCGAGTGTTCCCCATTTGATGACATTGTCCTCGGCTACCAAGTACTTCTGGAGAACTATGACCCAATTCTAGACCACGATTTATTGTTTTTGTCCCTCTACCAAAATAGCCCTCAGCTGAAAGAGTGGGAGAGATGGGTGCTGTTTGGATGTTAGGTGCTCAACTTGTTTTTATGCGTCAATTGTGTGTTGTATGACAGAGAAGACTCCACTAGCATCTATTATAAGTTTTCATGCTGATTTCTAAATCCCGGTTTAAAGTTGCTTTCGTTTGTGATAATGGTAAGTGAATAAAGTTCATATGTATGCATAAATAAAACTTTATGGAAACACGTTGTTTTACTTTCGTTCGTGTTTTCTCCTTCATAACCCTTCTCAACGACAGAAACCTGACCGAACATACGAAAAGAGAGAAAGGCGGGTTCATAGACAGTTTTCCTCTTCAGCGTCTTCTGTTGTATTGTTCGATGATGGATGACGTGAGGGCAAACTGCTATCATTGCTTCTTTTCAGATCAAAGTTTCGGGTAATGAGACTTGAAAAAAGTGCAGAATAAAGGCTGAAGAAGGCAAAACACTGACGAGTCAATCGCTTCTGAGCGGGGCCGAAGCGTATCTAACATCACAATCCGAAGTGAGTAAGCCGAGGCGTCACTATTCAGACCGCGGCGGGATTGAAAAGGGACCGAAGTACCGAACACACCAATCAACCACGCTTCTGCTGTTTTTCTTGGAGAGCAGGAGTAATCACAAACGATGCAATTGCTGTCTTTTCCAGTTGTTGTGCGCATCCACGGCGGCCGAGGGACTAGAAATTTCACGTCTCGGACTCCCCTCGGACAAGATAATGTTTTAGATTTCTACCTTTGTTAGGGGTTTCTTCGCCGTCAGCGCTGTTTTTCGCCATTTTTAACAGCCAAATCGCTGAAATACTCTCGACGGAGCCAGGTGCGTCATTTTTAATGCTATTTTAAAGCAATTCATCGTCATTTCAGTGATTTTGAGCAGGCGAAATGTTGTGAGAGTTGCTGTGAGATGAAAACAAATACAAAACGAAATGCAACTGGGTGGAATGAGCTTCATGATGTGGAACACTTCGAGCTGGCCCTATACACCGCCATGAAGACCCATCGAAGGTTTGCTTATCTCGTCCAAGACTTCGATAAGCCAAAACAAACTTTCGGGTGTTGAATCTCACTTTCGACTCATCTTTCTGCGCGCCCGGACATTGAAAGTGAAATTCGATGCTTTACAAGAAGAACGCTAATCATTTTGAAAACTGCCAGGCTGGAAAGGAACCGTCGCGGTGGAGTTTAAATAGCTTTCGTATTCTCGAAGACCACGTCGTGAGTTTTTTTTTAGTAAACTAGAAATATCTTTCGAAAAGTCAATAATATCTTGACGGATTCCGGCCGAAGACTTTTGGAAGTAGTGAGCTCGTCTTGCACAACTCGGTTCCTTTTTCTCTTTTTTCTTCTTCTTTGATGTTACTTTTTCAGCTTCGACAATGTCATCTTGACGAACACCGGCCTCCCAGCAGTCGGGCTACCGAGCGTCATCGAGAGCAATCGCTTCACCGCCGCCAGATCAGCTCCAACTCTGCTGAACTCTGTGTGGTGCCGGATCCAGATCCGGTACCGCATGTACCGACGCCGCGCCCCGAGTAATTCGCGTTAGCTCGTCAATAAAACATTTTTTAAAAACATACTTTTTGCACAAAAAGATTACATTTTCTGCCCGTCATTCCAGTTCGAGAACTAACCTTCGCCATCTTCTTCTTCTTCTTGTCGGATTACAGTGGTCGGAGCATCATTTTTGGGACACTTACTGTTCTGAATTCAGAGTTTGCGATTTTCTAAGAACTGGCCACGTGCACCGCTTTAACCGTCCGTGCCGAAACATGAAGCAGTGATGTTTAAGCAATAAAATAGTTCTCAGTTGGAGAAATTCTCTCAAATCATAATTCTTTATCGTTATCTGTCTCTTTGAATTACCCAGACAAACATTTTTCCCTGATTTCGACCCGAACGCGCGGATTGATGTCGGCGTGTCCGCGCAGTGCAGCAGGAAGGACATGGACGTCTATCAAATTTCTACGTACGTGATCGATCGAACTCCGTGTGAAATAGGCAAATCAGTGCTTATGATAGGCAATTTTAATGCCGGAATACCGCGATATCAACTTTTAATGATGATAAACACATCTTGAATACTCTAAATATCGACTTCTCGTTGCAAAATTACTTCGGCGTGCCAATCAGACGGTTTTGCGGCATTTTTAATAGAACTTGGCACCAAGCTTCACAGCAATCATGTCCACGTTTCGGTTTAGTTTCAGAATGATTGCAATCAAACTGACTGATTGGGAGTCGAATGCGTGGAATGGCGTCGGCGTGCTCGCGCGGTGCAGAAATAGGAACCGGAATGCAATCCAGTGACATTGAGAAGCAGAGTTGAACCACATACTGAGTTTCACTGTCGGCTGTGATTATTCTAATCTATATTCAGCCTGCCACGCTACAGCATATGGAACAAACGGGTTACTGAACCTATTCTTTGATTCAGTGACCACGAGTGCTGCATCTGGTGATCATCAGGGCTTTTCCGCTGTATTTTTTGCAAAAACTGTTATTAATCTGAAAAATGAAACAATAAAACTCACTTTCCGCTATTCATTAAGAAAGCAGCGGGGAAATGTCGTTCGGGACAGTTGTTGCTTGCGCGTGGCCGGCGGCTGGGGGACTAGAAATCACGCCACGACCTCAAAGTTGATATTTATCGAATTCTTTAGCACACGCCTAAAAAAGGCAAGTACACGTAGCGCGTATGTTTTTTCTATGCTAGTTCTTTGTTTTTCAGGAAAAAGTACCAATGTCTACTGGAAATGCGCCATAAAATCGTGTTTTTTTCCTCAGAAAATAAATGAATTCCTATAGTTTTGCAATCTTAGCGGCGGAGAACTCAACATTTAAATTTTCTAGTTTCTCCAGTGTCCGTGCGTTTTTCCTGCTCGTTGAGCGGTTTTTCGTTGAAAATGCCGTATCAAACCAAAAATTTGAGATAATGTCGAGAAAAAGGATAATCTTGCACGTTTTCTTCGAAAATATATGTTTTTGCCGTAAAAAATTGATTTACTTTTCAGTAATGTCGCAACCACAACAGCAGCAGCAGCCGGAGCCGATCGTCTGCGATGAGGACCAACAACCGGTACGCCAGTACGGCGGAATCGAGGGACCGAACTCGAAGTACGTGAAGCTGGTGAGCAGCGACGAGCACGAGTTCATCATCAAACGGGAACTGGCGCTCACCTCCGGCACTATCCGCTCAATGCTCAGCGGACCCGGCGTTTATCAGGAGAACGAGACCAACGTTGTCTACTTTCGCGAAATTCCGTCGCACGTTCTGCAGAAAGTGTGCCAGTACTTTGCGTACAGAGTGCGCTACGAACACGCGACCAACGAGATTCCCCAGTTCGAGATTGAGCCGGAGCTCGCGCTGGAGTTGCTGATGGCCGCGAACTTTCTGGATTGCTGAAGACTCACCTATCGATTGCATAATGAACGGACCACATTCCCACTTCTTTTTTTGACCCTTCCCCAACAACTTCCATCTTTTTATTTGACGGGCGAATGTCCATTCGTCCGTCCTCAACACTTCCAAATCAAACTTTGCTATTTCTTGAACAACATAAATTATCTATGAAAATAAATGTTTTTTAGACTCAGTTCACTTTTCATGTGGTGCCATCGAGTTGAACTCTGTAATTATTTAGACTAGATCGTCAAACACTCTGATCAAATCTGCTATACTTAACACTTTTTCTTCCGCCTGCCGTCTCCCGTCTTCCGGGATTTGGTCTTCTTACCGTTTCTTGGAGAGCAGAAGTAAGTATTATACAAACGAATCTGTTGCTGTTTTTTCATGTTGCTGTTTGCATGTGGTGGCTGGGGGACTAGAATTCTGATAATGGCAGGATGTGCCTAAAGATGTGGACAACTTGGATTTCAAGAGTCTGATTCGTCCAAGGAATCAGTGACCCAAAGAATACGTTCAGAAGTTGAATACCACTATCGAAGCCGATTCCTTCGCCGTCAGGACCATCTACTATGCTCAAACGATCGTTGAATTGATGCGTTCCTGTGTATGCTGTACCGTTCACCTATCTGCCGGTCAGAAGCTTCGGTGAGATGACACTATGTAGTTCAGTGATGTTATTGTCGATAAGGTCTTTGTCTGAATAAAAAAGAACCAAAATCCCCGCATTTTCCTTTTCCAGGACGTCACCGGCAAGTGATCACTTCTGAGGGTAACTGCTATCGTGATCCTCGACATCATCTGATTATGGCCAGTTCCCGCACGATTTGTCATCAACGAGCAATCGTTGATTTTGTTCCAATCGCATCTTGTTGAGCAAGAACGAGCTCCATTCGTCTTGAAAGATGAGATGGTCCTCGATGAGCGTTGGAGGAAAGTCGGGCCACACTTATTGCAATCAACCTTGTTGAAATGCGAGTAGGCGCGCTTTATGTCGATGGCCATGTCGTTTTGAAAATGTGAAATTGATAAATCAGTAAAGATCCTGCCCAATTTATAGATGGAAACCACTTTTTGGGCTTCACCTGCTGTCAAATTCAAATTGAACGAGCCATAGAGAAGAAAACATGTAAGTTATGAAATTGTTTTGTAATCGTGGAAGGGAAGCGTTTTCTCACAATCTTGAATGATATTTCGTTGAGGAAGAACCGCCCCTTATGAGAAATCTGTATAAACACCGCCCGATGACTCAGTTGAGTCATTCGTTGTTTTTCCCCCGCTTGACTTGATCGCTTCTTATTTTCAGGGAATCTGGCCGAAAGGAACGCGATGAAAGCCTGGATCCTGGGGGTCCTGGTTGTTCTGATGCCCCTATGGATATCCGCCGACGACATCAAGGAGGTCTCTTATGAATTCGACGCAAACACGAACATCACCCTCCGCATCGACATCGCCCAAATAGTGATCAGTGGTAAGACTTACTCTTGAGCCCGTTGCCAAAAATTCTCAATTTATTCTAGCGATGAAGCAGAACTGTGGCATCAAGATGCAAATTAAAACCAAAGATCCTGTCGACTACAAAATAATCAAAAACGGAGGCGCCATCTTGGGGAGCATGCAGCCAATTACCGAAGAGGTTTTGCTGTTCCAAGACGCATGGCACGCTTTCTTGCTGAATTTCCAGCCTGGACGTGCTAGACGTTTCCAAGAGACTATGTGAGTCATCTTTTATTATTGATTGGTAGCGGTCTCAGAAATGATTCACTCGGCCGTGTTTCGTTTCAAAACAAAACAAAATTACAGTTTTGAAATCGCCTTTGCGGCCTCCGTGAACACGACGGGGAATATCACATTCTCATTGGGATCTAGAGTGGCGTTCAAGAAGCTTCCTGTCCAGAGATCGAACAACAAGACTCTGGTTGTCATCCACCATATTCCGGAGAAATGGAAGGAAACAATCTACAGCTACCCGGTTTCGCTGACCAACGAACTGGAAATGGGTGAGTACTAGCTAGCTGAGCAACTTCTGAACCAGACTTAACTTATCGACGAGCAATTATTTTCAGGGCTGTTGGAGGGAAGAATCCGACTGGAAACGAACAGTTCCGGTAGAGTTGAGATAGCCTTCGCCAAGTGCAACCTGCAGACAGCCAACGTCATGACTCCTTCCTTCGGCCCGAATCTTAACATGGAGATGAGTCTGTACATTCGTCTTCTCGGACACCTCACCTGCCCCATTGACAGGAGCAAATCGTGAGTCTTTATTCATATACATACGGAATAGAAAACACATCTGTTGGCGATTTATTCAAAAAAAGTTGATAGAATCCAATAAAGAAGTGCAACCAATTGTAAAGTTGAGTTTTTCAGTTTCCACCTCGTGATTGTGAGCAGCAGCAAACACCCAACCCCGTCCTTCGACATACATCACCCCGTGCACAATTCGGAATTCGTTCTAGTTCTCGTAGTCGGTTGTGCGTCTCTTTTTTTCCTGATCCTTTTGCTTATTCACATCTACCATTACTATTTCTAGTCCTTATTCACCCATTGCTTCTTTGTTGTAATCAATCACCTAATCAGATGGGTACACTTTGTGAATTCTATTTATTTGTACGTATTCACCGGTGCTCTTCAATTTTTCTCGCGCATGGACATTATTTACTATCAGAAACACGTGCTTATTCCAAATGAAATTTACTTCGGCGTGCCAATCTATCAGTTTTGCAGCGAATCGGGTAGAACTTGGCACCGAGCGTCCTTCGGAGTAGATCTGTCGGCCGCCCGACTCAATAGCCTCCTGGAATGCACGAACAAGTGACAACCTGTCAGGCTTTTCAAATGTCTGAGTGAACTGGAGCTTCCGAACAGCAGCCAATGGTCCTAGTGTTTTCTACGAACTTGCAAAAGACTGACAGATAGCATATTCTTTGTGCACACTGTCAGGTTTTTGGAGTCGGCGGCGGACGCAGGTGTTCCGAAACCTATTGAAACACAAGTAGATGAGTATAGTGACATCACTGCTTGCATAGCAATATCGTCAGAGGAAGGAAGAGAGAGAGAGAGAGAGAGAGAGAGAGCTGACTTCTTGCATTGCAATAACATCAGAGGAAGGAATAGAGAGGAAGAGGGAGTTGACTCCCCATGGGTAGAAAAGAAAACAAAACGAGATGTCAATAAATAAAATGAAAATTTCTGCCTTTATATACCACTGTGGGCGTGGCCATTCTAATTAGGGGGCGTGGCTCCTTTGTCGGCATTCTTATCACTAATCTCCGCCTTTAATTGAGATGGTGTGGGAATGTGAGCTTCAAGCGGATTTGCGGCAAGTTCAAAGAAGCCGACTTAGTTACAGACGGAGATTAGTGATAAGGACGCCGACTAAGGACTCCGATGGGAAAAAACGATTGGGATTTCGAAACGTCATGGCACCGTGCCAAGAGGAAAAAGAGTGATAAGGAATTTAAAGGACCAGGGAACCCAAAAATTTTTTGATTTTTTTGTGAAATGTTTTTATGACTGTTTGAATTGTCTCTTGTTGCCTCATACACTGGTGAAATGCTGCCTCTCAAAAATGCCAATGAACGAAACGGCATGCAGTTGAAGTTGTGGCCGTGGCCTAGCGCCAATGGCCGAAAAATATATAAAAATATATGCGCTTCTCGGCCATTTTATTTTTTCCGCTTTTTTACCGGTTTTTTTCCAAAAATTCACGGTTTCTCCCATATTGGCACTTTATATCGACTGAATGAAAACAATTTTTTAGCAGTGAAAAAATAAGTAAGTGCCGAACAAATGTCAATCAACTGAAAAATGGGAGAAACCGTGAATTTTTGGAAAAAAAACCGGTAAAAAAGCGGAAAAAATAAAATGGCCGAGAAGCGCATATATTTTTATATATTTTTCGGCCATTGGCGCTAGGCCACGGCCACAACTTCAACTGCATGCCGTTTCGTTCATTGGCATTTTTGAGAGGCAGCATTTCACCAGTGTATGAGGCAACAAGAGACAATTCAAACAGTCATAAAAACATTTCACAAAAAAATCAAAAAATTTTTGGGTTCCCTGGTCCTTTAAGGATTTCCGATTTCGAATGCAAGCATTCAACACAGCGTCGATAGTCCGATCGGTCTGTAACCTAGACCCAATATGAAAGTGGACATTATCACCAGACTGCGTCTCCGGCGATGCTCCCGCCACGAGAAGCTTCTCCTCGATGCCACGCCGACCATGTTCTTTCCGTATCTACGTCTTTTCACTGTCAGTTTTTCAGAGCATACAATTTTAAACATGTTCTTCCGTATTACAGATCATATCCCGCTTCTGCTACCCGAACTAAGTTTCTGCGGGCAATTGTGGCCTACGACAAGTCGCGGAAGAAGGCGAAGAGATGAGGGGGGCTACTGTAGAAGAAGTAGCTAAAAGTAGGCTGGCAGAAAGGACATTATGAGGCGCCTCTCGCCTCTTAAGAGGAAGGCGACGGCGGCCCGCGCCTCGGAATAAAAGGGCGTTTGTCGCCTTCGCCTCCAGTAGAAACGAATTTTACCTCAGGGCAAGGAAAAGGGGCCTCAACAGTTTTGATGACTTTAGAAATAAAAAGTTGAAAAAAAACTGCGATTTTTTTGTTGGGGCGTTTTACGCCGAGGGCGACGGGCGCCCTTCGCCCTCTCCTTTAGAGGCGAGCTCATCCGGGGTACTTGCACTGGGGGAATTCGATCGTGTTCTCATTCTGATCGACAAACGACAGAATCGGGAATCCAGGGCCACCGGCACAGACGACTTCCTCGAACGAGTGGATCTCAACGACGAACTCCTCGTCGCTCATGTGGTGCACGCGGTGTCTTCTTCTCGGGAAGAAGGCGCTGAGCGTCCGTTTGAAAGTGCTCATCGGCTGAATAGCACACGGACGGATGCGGATCTGGAAAAAATATAATACAGGCTGATTGATCTTCAAACTCACCTTCAACGAGCATTCAGAAGGAGTGGAGCATGGGCATTCAGAAGGAGTGGAGCAAGGTGCATGCACGATCGGAGCGCCTATTTCACGAGCTTCGGAATGGCGATGAGGTGAGGTTCCGGCCGACTGTTCCTTCTGCAGTTCCTCGAGGAGGACAGTCAGAGCATTCGGGTACACGGCGAACATCAAATTCTGTATCATTTTGATGGTCAGCATGCGTTCGAAAAGCGGACTCATCGCATTCTCGAGAAATTCCGTCTGGTCTGCGTTGGTGATGGCAGTGGTACTTGGGCCAATGTCAGCCTCAGTGACCGAATGGATCTGAAAGCAACAAAGGTTTGAAAGAACAAGACAGTAGATTCTTACGGTAGTCGAAGAGTTCAACGGTCCGGTCACCAGATCATTGGGTCCACCGCGGAACGGATAATAGAGCGGAGTCGTCGAGCACATCTGAAGTGATCCGTCGAAGAACGACTCGTCGCTGTCGTCATAATTGATGATAATATTTTTTTTTCATTTCCAAAAATTCATTTCCTATTCCCGAAATCCAGTAAACGACTGAATTCAATTGCTCTTTTCCTTCCCCGCAATTGGTCGTATATTTCCTCTTTTCCAGAGTCCCTCTTTTCCCACTATCTACGTAGTACGTAGCCTGTTTGCACAGTCTTTCATGGTCTTAGCCGGACAACCGCGGCTCCATTGTCCGGCTTGCCTTCATTTTTTCGTGGACCAAGCCGGACAACCGCGCCGCCAAAGGAACTGACAACTCACTGATTTCAAGGATTTTTTCTGTCTTTTCCGAAACTGAAAAGTAGTCACTTCTCTTGACGTTTTCTTTAAGTCCCTTAAAGCTGTAATACTTTATTTTCACCAGTAAACATAGAAGATACTGAACAAAAATAGATCATTCGGAGACTTCGAGTCTTTTGACAGCTTCGGTGAGGCCTTCCTCCTCCTGCTCCTTCCAAATGATGTTCTCGCCGCCGAAATCGTAGGCGATCTTGTGAATAGAGTTGACGACAAACACCGATTCGTCTGTCTTTAGTTCCCCGTTCTTGTTGGGTACAAATTTGCTCTGCGCATTCTCTAACATGCGGACTTTGACCGTCACGCGCAGTTTCTCCTTTTTCAGCAGCTCGTACTCTTCCCGACGACGCACTTTCAGCTCCTTCCAGTGGTACTCGATCGCCTCGACCATTTGACGGATCGTGTACGGGTAGATCTCGATCTTCCACAGCTCCGAGTCGTAGAAATGGGCCGTTTTGGAGAAGTTGCTCGAGCGCACCTCCATATCCTCGATCTTTCGGTTTTCCGGAGTTTCAAAGTTGTCGGGACGGTAGACGAACGAGCAGGTGAACTGGAAAAGATCCGTTTGTACTTCGACTCTTCTCGTTCTCACCTCCACTTTTCCGTCGATCACTTCCGTTGGCACCGGCACGTTGTCGGGGTGCATCGCCTGTAAATCAATGGCCCGGGCCTCTCGATAGTGCCACGAATTCTTGTGATCCCTTGTCTTCGTCCATCTGTCGTCGATGACTCCGAAGTAACACCAATCGCCCACCTGAGAAAGACAATAACTTTTTTTAAATCAAAAATGTGGTTCTCATGTTTGGTGAATCCTGTGCAAAATGCTCACATGAAGATTGGGTGCCATGCATCTGAGGATTCCGATCATGCTGCTGTACACGAGAGCGCATGTGGGAAAGTCATTTTTGGCGGACTTAGTCGTATTCCTGACGTCGACGGCGCACACGAATCCAATGTACGAAGATTCCTTCTTCAGCGGGAGCTTCTGATTTGACGGCAGGCGCTGAACAAAGGGGAAATGGATCTTCTGAATTCCCCAATAGTTTCTCTCACCTCACTGTCGTCCGGGAGAGAACAGAGCTCGGCCTGTTTCAGGTCGAACGCCTCCTGATTCCACGGCTGAAATGTGTTGGTTTTGAATGCGAAATGGTTCTAAAAAAGAAAAAAAGAAAACAAAAAGAGTCTAACCGCCGCATATACAATATCGAATAGCTGCCACTCCTTGCGAAGGCATGCCATGTCCACAATCTCGAAAACTCGGCCGTCGTCTCCTGGCGCGTATTTGCACGTTACCTGTGAAAGACGATTATTATAGCTATTCTCGAGTCTTGCAGAGAATGCGTTATATTGTATTTTTTTGAGGAAACACACCTCGATGGGGGTGACATCGGGGTTTTCGCGGTAGAACTGGTGGTCGGGATCTCTGAGCATTCGGAGGAACGGCGACCACACGCACAACTCGTACTTGTCGCAGATCTCCTCCATTTCGTCGTAGAGCAGGATTGGAAAGCCGACGGCGACCGTCTTGGCCATCAGATTTCCGTCCTTCTCGAACAGATCGATGAGGTTGAGATCGGGATGGAACGGGCACAAGAGCTGAACTTTGATACGATATTATAAGAAATGTGAAGTAGGTAACTGACTTTTCCTTCGAGGGAAACCGTGTAGAACTTCCCGCGTTCGAACTCGTCTCCATTGTGAAGCGGCAATTCGCAGACGCCTTTGTCGTAGTCGTAAATCTAGGCAGAATTTGGGATATTATCGGTCTAACACAGACATACTCACTTTGTACGACTTTTCGCCGACTTCACAGATGAATCCCAGGAGGGAATGGGCCATTTCTGGAAAGTTCTAACTATTAGAAAATTACTAGAAAATACAAGAGGAAAGAAAGAGATGAGAGGGAAAAGAGAAATACGTAATTTTGCGTCGCCGCGTTTGCGGACTGAGGAGGAAAATTTGAAAAACAGAAGGAAAAACAATTCGTGTTCTAATAGAATACAATTATTTTCGAATAGCAAAAGCAACAAAAACCCAGGAAAACGGTATTCCGCTCAACACTGGTCCACACCGAAAGGCCACGTTGGCAGTCTGACAACCTCTGAGTAAAACATAAAGGAACAGGGACTGTGGAGGGTGATGAGAGCAGAAAAATAGGATTTTGCAGAAATTCCAGTTGTAACTGACATCCGCTTAATGTCAAAAGTTTCCTGTTTGGCCCGATATCACGAAAAATTTTTACATGGCATTCAGCTGAACAGTAATCTGAAACGGAGCTTTAAAGGACATATCCTGCAGGTAGCTGCAATTTAAACGCTATTACTGTCAGTCACGCACAGCTAGCAAAATCTGCAAAAAAAGAATAAAAATTCACTTTTTGATCACCATTTTACAAAGTCCGATTGAACAGAGGGAAACGGTCGGAAAATAGCGTTCGTAGTGAGGAGAGACAGAGAAAGAAAGAAATCGCGTCGAGACCCGCCGCTGAGACAGAATGATAGTCGTAAATCTCTCAAATTTAATTCTCAAATTGCATTTTTCTGACAGAATTTGTTGCATTTTTCAGGAAACTATGGAGAAATACGTTTAAAATAAGAAAGTCGCTGCGAATCCTCCGTCACAACACTATCCAGTTTGTGGCAGGCGCGGTGAGTCTTTTTGCAAGGCTTTCTCGCGAAATGAGAAATTTTAGATACTTCTAGAGTCAACTCTTTTTTGAAATGTTACTAATCGAAGGTGAAATATGCGGAAAGCGTTTGGTACGATAACAGAATCTGAATTGCAGTTATCTTGAGATATGCTCTAATATTTGTTTTCAGAAGTTTCTAATCTATTACTGGTCATCAAAATTATCTGGTAAACATGCTTTTGACATCGGATCAGATTGGAAACTACTTATTTTGGCAAGCAAAGGATAACTTTTCTCTTTTCTCGAGGACTCATCGATTAGACGCGACTATCAGAAGATCGAGGATATTCGATCCTATTTTGTCGTTCGCCATCCGATTTTTTGTATACCATCAGTTCCGGCCGCCTGCCTGCCACGCACTCACTCGGCTAAGAAGTCATTCTTCTCAAGAGCCTCCTCGGGCTCTTGGCTAACCTGCCAAAAATGTGAGCGGAATGAGTTCCACCCAACAACCTGTCTTTTTTTCTCTTTTTGAGCAACATCAGTATTTCCTCATTACTCCTCTCTCTCTCGGATTTCACGGGAAAGACAAAACGCCGTCACGGTCCAACTAGTTTCGGTAGGATGAAACGCTTTGAAGAAATAATTCAAATTCAATTTCAGTACCTGCAACGCCGTCCTTCTCGCCGCATCCTTTGATGGTCTCAACTCGTTCATCCGGACACAATAAACAAGCGGGTTCGAAGCGTCCGTGGTTTATCAATGATTCTTGAATAACAGGTAAGTGATATAAAAGTTTATTAAAGGACCAGGGAACCCAAAATTTTTTTTATGTTTTTGTGAAATGTTTTTGTGACTGTTTGAATTGTCTCTTATTGCCTCATACACTGGTGAAATGCTGCCTCTCAAAAATGCCAATGAACGAAACGGCATGCAGTTGAAGTTGTGGCCGTGGCCTAGCGCCAATGGCCGAAAAATATATAAAAATATACGCGTTTCTCGGCCATTTTATTTTTTCCGCTTTTTTACCGGTTTTTTTCCAAAAATTCACGGTTTATCCCATTTTTCAGTTGATTGACATTTGTTCGGCACTTACTTATTTTTTCACTGCTAAAAAATTGTTTTCATTCAGTCGATATGAAGTGCCAAAATGGGAGAAACCGTGAATTTTTGGAAAAAAACCGGTAAAAAAGCGGAAAAATAAAATGGCCGAGAAGCGCATATATTTTTATACATTTTTCGGCCATTGGCGCTAGGCCACGGCCACAACTTCAACTGCATGCCGTTTCGTTCATTGGCATTTTTGAGAGGCAGCATTTCACCAATGTATGAGGCAATAAGAGACAATTCAAACAGTCACAAAAACATTTCACAAATTAATCAAAAAATTTTTGGGTTCCCTGGTCCTTTAAGAACTGACATAGATAGATTAGTACATACATCAAATAGCATAAAGTGCAATAGTCATCCATAAGTAATTTTCAGAGGACGCCAGCCCCCTTGGTCTCATCCAGCCACGCAAGTGACTATAGAGAGTACGAGAAACCATGTATGTGAATTTACCACCCCTCTGCCAATAAACACTTTGAAGAATTTTCGGTAACACAAAACATGAATCATTTTTCAGCCAATCAGCCAGCTCCGAAGAGAAGCCTGCCGAGAAAAAGAGAATCAGCAGCATCAGAGCAAATCAGAAGACAACAAGGATTAGTAAGGAGATAAAAACAAAGAACGTATTTTCATAATTGTGTTGTTTTTATTACCCACAATTTCTGAGACTCGTATTAAAAAGTTTCAAGATTCACGCATGTTTTCCTTGATTTTTGTGATCGGAAGCAATGAAAAATGCTTCTCAAATTCATTAGAGTGACTTCTTCATGAAAAGACAAAAAGCCAGATCGAAGTGTGTAGAGGTGAGGTTCCTCATGCTACACCGCGCGGGCACGCCGACATCATTCCACGCATTTCTTTCCTGATCAGTCAATTTGATTGCAATAACTCTGAAACTGATCCAAAACGTTGACATGATTGTTGTCAAGCTTGGTGATGAATTCTATGTATTCAAATTGCTGCAAAACAGTCTGATTGGCAAGCCAAAGTGATTTTTCAGCAAGAAATCGATATTTCTGATTCAGTGGGTACAATGTGAAAATCACGGTATTCCAGCATCAAAATTGCTTTTCACCATTATCCATTTGCAGAATTAACAGAATCTGATCGACCGAGCACTCAGAAATTCGATCAACGTTCATGGTCTTCCTGCAGCACCGTACGGGAACGCCGAATCCAATCCGCGCGTCCGGTTCCCAATCAGTTAGTTTGATTGCAATCACTCTGAAATGAAACCGAATCGTTGACACGATATTTCTGATGCTCGTAGCCAAATTCTATCCAAATTGCTGCAAAACTGACTTATCGGCAATGTCCCTATGAAGCCAGTGGAAAATGTCAAATTCTGAAGTCGGAACGGCAAATATTTTCTGACGATGGAATCATTCATCAGGAGGAAGATGACGACGACGATCAGAGTGAGTCAAAGGAAAATATGTTTGTCGATTCTCGAGAACACGCGAAAAATGTTCCGATTGCTGGGTCCGACAAGAAGAAGAAAACGGCAAAGGTCAGTTCTCGAATGGAAGTGACGGCAGGACAGTGTTTTTTTTGCATAAAACAAAAGTATTTTTGAATATTTATTAATATTCCGTTGTCCAGAACTTGATCGCTATTCATAGCTCAATCCTTGATCACTATTCATGGCTCAACCCTTTATCGCTATTCATGGCTCAAACTTCACATCGCCGATGATCTCCGGTGTCTTTGTTCCTTGGCCAGTGCTTGAAGGTGCTCTGAAAAGAAAACAATGAGACTCTCGACAGCATATACCGTTCTCACAGTAAGGATTTATTGCGAGGCTGTTACGAAATGAATTCCGTAGAAGCACACGATCGCGTCTTGCACATCCAAAGATATTCTGAAAAAGTATAGTAAAGTCAGTGCGATCAACTCACTCGAAACGGCTTACTTGTACCATTTTTCGTTTTTATCGCCGTATTGCTGCTGCTGAAACGCCTCCGTCGTCTGTTGCTTCGTCTTTCGTGGGCGTTGCTGCGTTAACGTCGGTTTTGAAGTCAAAAAAAAATTATAGAAAATAGGAGAGTAGAAGTAGCGTCCTGGTGGAAGCTCAGGTTTGCATCGACTGGTAGCTGGATGGCCACTAGCCGTGGAGAGGGGAAAGATGTCTATGAAGCACGAGCGCGTTCACATTGCCCTGTTCACACCTGCGTCTCTGTATCTTTAGCTTACATGACGTGGAGCTACGTGGAAATGGTGCAAATGCGCTCCGCCGCACACAGTATTGGAGCGAAATTGAACTTTATGACGCATCCCTGTTTGAGGTTTGGGGTATTTTTTTGGAATAGTTTAATTTCTGGAAGCTTTCGAAACATTTTTCTCATGTCGTCTCAAAAAGTGTTTTTATTTTCATTTTATTTCTCCCATCTGGAGCATCTTCAAAAAAAAATGGTCTCATTAGGCAGGAACGGAATCCATTTGTCTTGGATGAAGAAATGGTCCTCGTTAACTGTAGGGTAGCTGTTGAGGAATGTCCGGCCATAATTAGTGGAGTTGAAACGGACGGCGGACTAGTCGCGGCCTGATTTTTTTTTAGCAGGAATGAATACGTCAGTAAGGATTCTGATCCTTTTCTAGAAAAAAACTATGTTTCGCCCTCGAACTGCTGTGAAATTTAGATTTAAAGAGAAATGTAGAGAAGTCCAGAGATAATTTATGAAAACGTTTCGTAATCACGGAAAAGAAACGTTCTCTCTGAATTTTGAATGATGTTTCGTTGAGGAAGTGCCGCCCCACACAAGAAATCTGTATAAATACCGTCCAATGATTCAGCTGAGTCATTTTTTCAGTTTTTCCCCGGTTGACTTGATTACTTCTTATTTTCAGGGAATCTTGCAGTTGGTTGCCGAGAGGAACGCGATGAAAGTCTGGATCTTGGGGGTCCTGGTGATTCTGATGCCACTGTTGGTGCCTGCCGACGACATCAACGAGGAATCTTATGAATTCGACGCAAACACGAACATCACCCTCCGCATAGACATCTCCAAAATTGTGTTTAATGGTAAGACTCTTACTCTTGAGCCCGATGCTGAAAGTACTCAATTCATTCCAGCGATCAAGCAGAACTGTGACATCGAAATGAGCATTCAAACCGAAGCCCCTGTCGACTATCAAATTTGCAACAACGAAGGCGCCATCTTCGGGAGCATGCAGCCAATAACAGAGGAAATTATGCTGTTCCAAGACGCATGGCACGTTTTCTTCTTGCTGAATTTCCAGCACGGACGAGCCAGACGTTTCCACGAGACTATGTGAGTCATCTTTCATTATATTGATTGGTAGCGCTCTCAGAAATGGTTCATTTGCTCGTGTACCGTTTCAAAACAAAACAAATTTACAGTTTCGAAATCGCTTTCATTGCCTCCGAGAATACGACGGGGAAGATCACATTCTCCTTGAAATCAAGAGTGACGTTCAGGGAATTTCCCGTTCAGAAATCGAACACAAAGACTCTGGTTGTCATCCACCATTTTCCGGAGAAATGGAAGGAAACAATCTACAGTTACCCGGTCTCGCTGACCAAGGAATTAGAAATGGGTGAGTACTGACGAAGCGCACTCTCATCCTGCAATAATTTTCAGGGCTGTCGGAGAGCAGGATCCGACTGGAAACGAACAGTTCCGGTGGAACTAAACTCACTTTTGCCAAGTGCAACCTGCAGACCGTCAATTTCATCACCCCTTCCTTTGGCCCGAATCTTGACAAGGATACGAGCCTGTACATCCGTCTTCTCGGACACCTCACCTGTCCCGCCGACCAGACCAAATCGTGAGTTTCCATAGGTATCTAGTGTATTTTAAGGTTTCCTTTCAAGTGTAAAATTGAGTTTTTCAGCTTCCAAATGGTCGTTGTGAGCAGCAGCGAACCAGAGACCGTCGTGCCTCTCTCATTCGTCACTTATGATCCCTTCCACACTTTTCTCATTCATTATACGAAATCCGTTCTGTTTCTTGTTGTTTGTTGTGCAACTCTTTTTTCGATAATTTGTGTGCTTGTTCCCATGATTCCGGAAAGCGGCTAGTCTTTACTTTCTCACTGTTTTTTTGTAATTACTCACTTATCAAATGGGCTCATTAATTTGTGATACAATCTATTGTAAATCAAGACTTTAATTCATTTGTGCCACGTTCCGGTTGCATTTCGAGTCGATTTGACAACCACTGAAAACTCCAATTCTTTCTAAATAGTTTCCTTTCCTGGTTTGGGCTACGGTTGGCGGTTCGCTCATTATCCCCTTTATTTGCTTTCATTATTATCTCCAGTAAATGATTTTCGGCAAAGATCAGATCAGCAGACACGCAATCGGCTAACTATTGTCGAAAGTTTCAAAAATCGCGGCTAGACCCCCGGAAACGCGTTTCTCGCTTTCGCGGCAGACAAATTAGGTCGGCAGAGCGGAACATTTCCTCGTTCGCAATCGCTCCCAGAATAAATAAGTTTGATTGAGGAGAGAGTAGTGATGGACCAGCGGTCTGTCAAAAAGTGACATATCCATCCGATCGCATTTCCATCTGTTATAAATTATCCAAGATTAATGGTAATCTTCGCCGCCTTCTTCTTCTCGCCGTTGCCACACGTTGAAATTGATAGCATTGTGATATCAAGCGATAAGCGACGGCCCGACAGATCGAAGATAGCGCGTTTCCGTACGAGACACACAAGAACAAGAAGATAGAGAAAGAAAGTGAAAAAGAAAGAGAGAGAGAGAGGGAATGGGCGGAGTCGTGTCAGCTCTGGCTGGTTTGAAAAACTTGTGTGAGACAGACGCACGTGAAAAAGTTTCGTGTTGTGCGTTCGTTCCATTCCTCTTTCTGCTAACACCCCTCAACTGCCTCGTCATGAATCACCCAGATGACGCGTTTCTGATGAGCTCTGAAATCGAAGACGATCTTGTGATCGAAGAAGAGCAAGACCGTGAAGCCACCCCATCCGAGCCCTCCACATCATCTGCAAATTCTTCGAATGTATACAATTTGGACATTGAAATAGACAGGATCCTGAATACTCCGTGGTACGATTTGACTCCGGACCAAGCGGAAGTGATCCACCGTCTCGTCTCGAGAAGTGAAGCGCTCAGTGACGTGGACCTGCGGAATTCAATTGAAGATTCGTTGCTGGAACTGGCAATGATTCGCGGTCGGAATGCGGAACTTTCTCAGCAAAGTGAGTTTAGTTTACACTCTGAAAACATCTGCTTCTATTTCAGACTAGTTCCTTGATTCCATACTCGTCTTCATGATTCTTATTCCCTTTGCTTTAACTTCAACTGTGTGATACCTTCAATTCCCATTCCACATGCATAAGTACCCATTCTTCTCTCAATTTAATTTCAATTCCACTCTCATTCCGTGCGCCGTTAATTTAATCATTCAACCTCTCGGTTGGTTGCCTATCACTTCTTTAATGACACCAATAAACCCGTTATCAACTGCAACTTTTTCGGCAATGCGGACACATCCGACTGAAAAAGTGGCGCCAATCAAATGACTGATATCATCTGTCTGTCTTATTTGTCATTTGCTCCTTAATTCGTTTTGCAGCAACGGTTGCACTATTGTTTTGCCTCTGTTCACAAAAAAACAGCTTATCAGGGCAAAGAAAACTGACAAAGAATCAGAATCGAAAAAAGTAATTTCATTTTCTTTTCGGCCGAAAGGAAATTGGAAAGTTGTACGGCTGGCTTGTTTATTTGGCTAGTCAGAGGGCTGCGGTTCTTCTGAGGTGGAAAACTGCTGAAATGTTACAAACCAAACAACGCCAGACAGAGGATTAGGGGGGATATCAATGAGTCAGCCGCACGAATCCGTCTTAATCGAATTAGGGGAATAGGAATGAGAAACTTTGTACAAATCACATCATATCAACAGCAATTTGACTTTAGGCCTACATGACAACAAATGAAGATTACGGTAGACCAAGGCTTGGCCTTTTGGACCACTTGCGGTATTCCAATTGGACTTAAACTTTGCAGACTTCTTCGACATGAATTAAAGTTTGTTGGGTCCAAATTTTAGATCGATGGAATCATCTGATCCGAAATTATACTAACTTCCGTTGCGTTTCCCACTAAATTAATATCTTATCAGTGACCTTTAATACCAAAATTTTCAATTTTTTGAATTGTTCCCTATAAAATGTTATGAGATTCAGCATTTCAAATCCAAACTCAAACCTTTTTGAAGTCACTTTTGAACTTTCCAGTGTGATTAACAAAAAGCAGCCTCTTATAAGATTATCTTTTCCGATAAGAAAGTAAATGTCGGTCTGGGTTTTTAAGATGTTCTGATGCTCTTTACCTCTTCAAAGCTACGCCGGTGATAAGAAAGAGTGCGTATGTTGTTTCTTCATAAGCGGTAACCTTTCAACTGTTTCAACAATGCCGCCTTTTTGATGTTACTCGATGGAGACAGGTGTTATGCTTAAAGAGTGAGGAAGTGCCACAAATATATAGTATCCGATATAGAGAGTGAAAAAAGCAAGGGTTTCAAGTTGTTTTCAAAAAAGAAATTGGATACATTCTAGGATACCGGGGGGTTTGGAAAGCAAACCGGTGGAAAAATGATAGGGGATATACATACAGGATAATTAAATAAATATTTGCGAGAGTACTTATATTTTTGATTTCCAAGTGATGCAACTAACGACGACGATGACCCTTCTTGACCTTTTCGATCTTGAAATCATAGAAGTCGCCGATTCGCTCGTAGATCTTCTCAACACGTTTCATGTGCAGTTGCGTCAACGTGGTAATGTGCTTGTAGGCAATGATTCGAGGATCGTCTGCTTTCAGTTTCGGGAAGAAATCTTCTGGCAGTGTCAGAATGCTGAACACGTAGTCTGGAAAAGAAAATGAGATTAGACAGTGAATTTCAAAGCGATAAACTCACTCATGTAAGTCAGGCTCTTTGTTGTTTTCCCAACGAACTCGCAAACGGTCTTTGCCATTGCCATGTCACTATTCATCATGTCTGAAACAATTTTCTGACGTACTAGTCAGTTGAAAGATAAGATTTCAGTACGTCGTGTCACGTCGATCAAGTTTCGGGCCACCTTCACAATGTTCTCCTCGATGTGATCAGAGATTTTGGGGCGACCAACTCGGTAAACAATCATTCTGCCTGCCATATCCACTCGGTCCTTCATCACTCGGACCATGTCAATCAGTCCTTGCAGACTTTCTCTGGTCTCTTCGTCGATGTAGAGCTGAAATCATTCGGTATTTGAAGTTTCTATGAATTTGGTATTTCTGAGCTCTTGAATTTGAACACTTGAACACTCCTTCGTTTTCCGCGAAATCGTCTTAAATTCACATCAAATTTTGGTTTTTCACAGTGGTTATGCATTTCGGCCACTTCGCCCAAAGATCTCGACCAGTTTTGCTGGTTTAAAAGGAGCGCTGGTCGCCTGGAAAATCACAACAGGAAGAGCCAACAACAATGTGTTTGGGGATCCGGATCCAGAGCCATCCTTCCCCAAGTAATTGGGGTCTATGAGTGAATAAAGCATTCCAAACAAAGTTGTTTTTGGCAAAAAGAGCACATATTCTGGCCGTCACTCCCATTTGAGAACTGACCTTCTCCAGCTTCTTCTTGTTGTCGAACCACAGAATTCGAAACATGATCTTTGCGTGTTCTCGAGAATCTATGAACATCTTTTCCTTTGGCTCACTCGGATCGTCGTCGTCTTCTTCTTCTTCCTCTTCTTCTTTGATGATGTCGTTGTCAGAGTATTTCCTCTTTCCTGACGAGTTCAGAACTGGCTCTTCTTCTTCCTTTTCATTGCCGGCTTCTTCCTTTTGAGTGGACGAGTAAGTGCTTTCGACATATCCAGGTTGCAAAAGATCTGGATTCTCCGGCTTCACTTCACTCGAGCTACTACTGGTTTCGTCCTGATTCACGGCTGAATTAGTAAAAATAGATTTCTCTAGTAGTTTCCCACAAAATAATTGTATACCTTGTTCGGCGGAACTTTGAGCAATCTCCGCGTTCCTCTCTCTTTCCTCATTCTTTCTGGCCACTTTTGCCGCTCTTTGCTTCTGTCGCTGCTGCCGCTTCTTCTCCTTTCTTCTCTCTTCCTCTTCATCAATTTCCACGTCACTCCAACACTCGGCAACTCTTCAATGGCCAACTTTCAGATCTAACTTATTTCTTCAAAACTCACTCGACAATGCTGCTTGTTTTCTCATCTTTCTTCTTCTTATTCTCATCGGAAAGCACCACAACGACGACTTCGTTCAGAAAAACGGGGTGTTTGTTTTTGACAACCGTCCATTCCCCGTTATCCGAAGTCTCCCTTAACACCAAGTACGTTTTTGTATATTTTCCTATAAAAGATTAAAAACCTCTCTCTAGCAGTTGAACTTTCTTCGCTCAAAATCTCCGTCGCAGTTGGTTGTCGTTCATTCATCAGAAGCGGATTGTCTGCCATGACAACGGATGACGTCAGAGGTGGGAATGATGAGACATCCGCGGCCATAGTGTCATTTGTCAATCAAAAAATGAAAATTGAACAATTGAAATGGCTTATTGTGAATACCTGTTAGCTTTGAAGGCTTCTCTAATGGTGACGACATCGGCGTAAGAGCGAACAAACTTTGGTTCTGCTTGAACTTGCGGGACCTCTTTTTCTCCCAGAATTGACCGTGCACTATGTTCTTCTGCTCTTTTCGGAGCAGAAGTTCTCTGTTGTTCAGTGGGACCACTTGCGATAGTCTGCGTATCCATTTCACGAGACTTTGGCTCTTTGTGCGCTGGTGTGTTCCCTCTTGTCGCATCTGGCGTTGTTTCGAATTCAGTGCAGAAGCCAGAATCATCGTTTGGCAGCATCCCGGGGCTACTTCGTTGCGTTCTCATTGAATCCGATCGAGACGACGAACTGAAACGGAATAGAATCGTGCAAAAAAAGCTTATTCTTCTGAAAACTTACGTTTGTTGAGATCTCAAAGAAGATCTTGACCTTGAGCTGACCGAAGAACTGGGCTGCTCATGTCGCTTTTGTAGAGGAGTTCCATTTAGAACATTCGGATTGTTCAGTGCATGGTAGTTAACGGGAATGTATCCCATTGACACCATTTCCCCGTTAGTTTTTTGCACAACCAAAAGTGCGAGCACTTGTGTCTGACAATCTGAGTGCAAGTCTGTTTGAAACATCGTTGAAGCTGCGTATGTCGGGGCGGACATGAGGGGAATAGGTGCCGGAATCGGATTTGGTTCCCTTCTTGATTGGGATGACGAGAGGATTGGTGTCTCCTGCAGTACATTTCCTCGTCTCTGAGCAGGAACGGATTGTAGTTGAGCACGTGCAGGAGCCGTGTTCCTCTGGTTTCCTCTGCCTCGATAGCTGTTCTGGTTGCTCCTATTTGTGTGAGATCTCGAACTTGAAGATATAGCCGTATGTGTGAAGTTTGAAGGCGGAGCAGCATTGCCGTCGGATAAAGAGGTGATGTTGAGGTTTCCATTCCGGCGATTTAAAGTGAATCCGACTCCGTGACATAATCTCTGAGGTGCTGTTTGTGCCACCGGTTGATGTGGATTCCTGTTTGAGTTGGGTCGTCGCGTTGATTGATTGGATCCACCAGTTGGCCGATATGGTCTGAATGTTGATTCATTAACATCAGTCCAACGTTTTAATGCTAACCTCGACGGATTCCTTCTGTTGACGTTGTTCCTATTTGACCTCACAATCCTCGCGGCGTATTCAGTAAATTGTGCGCTAGTTCCTTCAGAATCATCCGGCAGTTCTTCAACTCTGCTACTCTCTACATTAACCGCATTCTCATTCAACCTGAAACCTCATAACCTTCTCTTCCCAGCGTATAGATCTATCACTCACATTCTTCTCAACTCTTCTGGCACAAAGTCTCCGAAAAGCATTCTCAAGTACTCTTCTTGACTCATACTCTGATTATCCGGTCCCACCAATCTAACTGTTACCGGTCCGGACGATTGAGTCTGAAATAAGAAAAAAGTAACGCATGTAAACAGCGAATGACAGTCATTTTACCTGGCCGGAGGTAACGACAGACATCGTGCCACCGTCTCTGACTGGACAATCGCTTAGGTAGCCGGGGAATTGTCCGAGGTGTCTGGGTTGTGTCCAATTGTTTTCCCTCGTGAAGTTTGCCATTTCGAACTGTTGCAGTGAAGACAGGGAAGCCATCATCTCGCTGTATATCCAGTCCGCATTTCTTATAGATAATCCTCCTCTCATTATTCTCCAGCCGTTCATCAAATGGTTAAAATGATTCATTCGTGCGACCATCATGCTATCCACAAGTTCTAAAAAAGGGGACTTAGACTTCAAGACAAATAGTAGAAGGAGGTTTTTTTGAAAAAAATTGGGAAAATTGCCTAAGATTTTCGAATGCCTGCCGAGTCCTGGATTTTAGACCCACATGCAACGTTCCGATCGGACCAAAATTTGCAGGCTTTTTGGACTTGAATGGAAATATGTTGGGTCCAAGTTTCATACCGATCAAATCAACTGGTCCCGAGATATACAGGTTTGAGACCGAAAAGGCCGGGTTATTGTGAGAATTGCTGGCTTTTTGGTCTCACATCCACATACAATCTCGGGACCAGATAATCCTATCGGTCTGAAACTTTGACTCAGAATACTTCAATTTTCAGCATAGCCGTTGATTTTAAAGAAAATACTCCCCTAGTGGTTAAAACTACAGTAACCAAGGCTCACCGACAAGATCTCTGCCGCGACCGACGTTCACCATATCTGCAGTGCCTCGGAACTCTCTCCATTTGCTGTCTGGCGTCATCGCAATCCATCTACGAAACCTGACGAGTTCCTGCTCCTCTCCTTGCGCATCCTGGCTCTCCTCGCTGCTTTCGGGTTCATCGGGCATAGTGTTCTTCTGCAAAAGGTCGTCAATTTGCAAAAGAAGAAGATAAAAGAAAACAAGCAGCCGAGCTATCTAAAAAAAAACTAACACAAATAGAGTGTCCGTGATGCCATTCTGAGACGGAGGAAAGAAGGGGGGGTGGAGGTGACGGGGGGAGCAGTCGGGGGTAAAAGTGAAAGAGAGAGCGGAAAGAAAAATATGAAAATGAGGAAGGCAACAACTACGAACGGGGGACGACGGCGGCGAGCAGCGGTCCCGTCGTCGGTGTTGTCGGCACAAAAAAGGACGTGTGTGCTTTGAAGGGCAGAGTACGAGACGGAGAAAATCAATGTTTGACGGGGCGAAGGACCTTCTCCGCTTCACCAACTTAATATCGGAACGAAGAGAGGCGATGCTGCAAAAGGCAGTGCGCCAATTATTTTTCCGGGAGCCGAGAGCTTTTGCTAGAGAGGCGGCGACAAAGAGGAAATTGTATCGGAAATGAGAAAGTTGGCGAATGTTTGTGTCGTTGTGATCGAATTCTGAGGGGAATAGAAGTTCTACACTTTGGGGACACTTTCTCGGAAAGTAAAGCAAGGCCGAAGCGGAACACTGGAACGAATCCAATTCGTCTTCGTCTTCTTCCAGAGAAAGCCAGCAAGTTGCAACTAATCCTAACATAGTTTTCGAGCGAGCTACTCAAAAAGTCGTACATAGAAGCAGAAACAGGTGCAAATGTATACGCGGCCTTGCCAAACCGCAAAAAAGGGTGAGTAAAGCGCCCTGCACGCGCCACAAGAGAGAGAGAGAGAGAGAGAGAGGAACGAGAATGGCAAGAGAGAGAGAGAGAGAGAGAGAGAGAGAGAGAAGGCCGATATCAGTTTGCACAACCGACCAGCGAGTACTGTCCTTGTTTGAAGAATTTGAAACGACGAGGAGAATGCATAATAAACGTGAGAGCAAAAAGAGAGAAAGAGGAAGATTGAGAGAAGTGGGGGGATTAGAATAATCAGATGGCTGAACTGAGATTTTGTAGGTGAGCTCGGATTGAGGACTGCATGGCTCGCTTTGTGGGGCTTTCTGGGGCTTTGTGGAAAATATCTAGAACAGAAGCCGAGGTGTAGCGCAATCGGAAAACAGAACATATTTTGCACGCGAATGCATACAAAAGAGCGCATTTTTATGATATGGCGGAGGAAAACGAAAAGAAACACCGAACAGAGAACAAGGCACGGGGAAAATGACTAATCAAAGGTGGAAATTCGCAAATGCCAATGGGAAATTACGAAATGGTACATGTGAACGAAGTTTTTCTTTTTCACGGCGCTTTTTTTAATTGATTCTCACAGTTTTCAAACAAAGGTTTCATTTTGTTTTATCTATTTGAAAGTAACATGAAGAACACAACTGGAAAGGATTACGGTAGAAAACATAACTGGAAGGGTAAGCACTTCACACACACATACTCACACTAGTCGCGCACTCTTTCCTCGTCTCTTTCTCTTTTTCTTTTTCTTTTTGTGCTAGCCCTCCCAGAAAAAACCACGCTTAAATGCGGTTTCAATCGAGTCAGCCGGAGTCGTAAATTTTCGAACCGCCGATAAAACCAATGTGCCGCGAAAAGCGCAAGGGTTGGGGACGTTGGAAAAGAGAGTCGAAGGAGGGGATAATTATACCTCGCCTCGACGTTTTTTTCTTCTTCTCCTTTCCTTTTCTCCCACCCAAACGGACCGGGAGGGCCTCTTTGCCGGATGGACGAGAGGCCCCGTGAAACGAAGCGTTTTCTGTTCTTCGTTCCTTACGTTTTCTTCCTGGAAAATTGAAATGAAAACGAGGCAAACGGCGAGAAGGCAGGCCGCACAAAAAGTCAGCCGAGAAGCTCGGGGTGACGGACGTGAAATGGAGAGAACGAAACAAAACGAGGGGGGAAATGAGCGGGATAATCGAAAAGCGAAATACATTTTTGGTGCAGCACTAATATGAATAATTGATAGTCCCTCGTCATACTTGCCGTCATCGAAATTGCATGCATGGCGTTTCTGGAGCAAAATCTAGCTGACTCTAAATCTTCACAGTTCTTCAGAGGGTCCCTCACCTCCTTCTATGTATCTTCCATTTCTCATTAAGATGCAAATAGACAGACAAATATTGCAAATCTAATGTGATGATAAACTCTACATACATATTGTCGGCCAAATCACAAATGGGAAAGCAAACGAGGTGTGATAATGAATGAGGTTCATTTGAGTGGACATACATACATAGCAAAGGTTGTTTGAATCCAGGTCAAAACGCGTGACTCACGAGGTTTCTCCGTTTCACACGTACTCTGGCCTACTCGTAAAATATATTATTTGACATGCAAAATGTCGGAGTGCCCAATGAGAAAGTGGCTGGGGATTACGAAACGAAGGCGGCACCTGATGACCAGATGTATCCTACGCAGACATCGGGACGACAATTTCTGATTTCTCTCGGCAAAATTGGAAAGGGCGAAGGAGGGAGGGAGAAAAATGCACTTTCCAGTGGAGAAGCTGTGTAAGATGTTTACTTTTGGAAAGTGTAAAACACTTTAATCTAGTTGGTCTTCAGTATACTTGTCTGAAATCAGCACGGCCCCGCAGATTGAAATGTTCCAGATTTTCTTGGGCCCGGCCCGCGACAAGTCTGGTTTTCAAAAGTTTGGCAAACAACATGATCTGCAACAATTTTTAGTGAAATAGGATCCAAATTGCAACTTTTCCGGTCCTTATAAAGCTAGCCGAAAAATTTCGGCAGATGTGTGTGTTCGCAACATTCCAAACAAAGTTTTCATATCTTTGAAGGTTGCCGTCCCTTTTGCCAATGTTTGTGGGTGGAGTTAACAGATAAAAACACGGCCTTCTTTCAGTGCTTTTTCTCTCTCTCTCTCTCCCACGTTTCTTCTCTCTCTAATGCACAGTCCAGCCTGACCACGCGGCGCTTGGCAGCATGCCAGTCTGTAGTCTTTGCCAGTGTTGTCTTTGTTTCTTTGCTTTCCTCCGATGCTTTTCTTCAAGTTTGTCCAACAAGTTTTGTATTTTCAGATTTCAATGGATCGGGTTTGCGACACGGGCTTTTTCTCTGCCTCATCCAACTCTTCTGGCTCATCCAGCTGGACGAATGATACAAAATGGAAGTACAAAAAGTTTCCGAAACGGATTCTAACTTGTCCGGAGGACCTGGAGCTTCAAAACGAAGTTGATCAGTTGGATATCGGTCTCAAAAATTTGGAGGAAGGGAAATTGGACGACGCGCTTCAGACGCTCATGGAAGTTTCCGACATTAAAGGGGTCAACATGCGCATGGAGAGTTATGAGGTAAGGTTTACACTTTAAAAAACCAATGAGGGAATCTGCCAGCTGGTAGAAAAGACGTTGCGCCCAATTCTCAATGCTCAAAGCCTCTACGGCTGTTGAAACTGACCTCTTAGAACATTTGGGGCGTCTTCCCTTGTATTTTCTCTTGCTTTTGCCCTATCTATGAGTCTCTAAACTGAAATTCCTTTGTTTCAGATGTTGAAAGCGGGACCTTCAGAGTTCAAGGGCAGCCTCAGTGACTTCTTCGGAGGATCCTTTGATTCCCTTTGCACTTCTCCAAGGGGCGACTTTAAATTTTCCGTTTCGAAAGAGTTCAAGTACGCCTACACGGAGGAAGAACTGGACAAGATGCTCTCGGAGTTGAGAGTTCCAAAAAAGCCGTCGCTGGGTCCGGATCAGAGCTTCGACTCTTATTCTTCTGAAGAGTTCTGTAACGCAATCGGTCCCTCACAGACGGAGGAGAAGAGAATGAAGCCAAAAGAGCCGGAGGAACAGATGAAAGAAGAAGATGATACATGCTTCATCACGAAAGAAGAAATGGAGGAGCAAACGGTATTCCATCTCACCAACCGTATAGTCTCTCTCAAGATGAACCACGACGATCGCATGACTGCTAATGGTCATTTCTTCTAAAATTATCAAACTTTTTCTCATTTTCTCCATCTTCAGATCTCGAGAACCTCGTGCCATTCGAAAAGAACCGTATCCTCTACTGCCGCAAGTACCGCCAGCAGCGCTTCACCAATTTCGAAGTCAGAAACTTTGTCGGAGCGTTCGCCAACCACAGAATGGCTTTCTGGCGCAAGTCGAAGTTCAACCTGCTCGAGACTGCCTACTCCGTTCTGCTGGCCATCTACGACGATGTGCTCGGACCAGAAGTCGCCTACTTGGCATCGTTCCAAGACAATGACAACTTCCGAGACATTGAATTCCGCGTGCTCGCTGGTATGCTCCCGTTCCCGCTGGTCTCTGACGTCTGAATGTGTGATGCATTTTTTATTTTTGTTCTTCAAACCGAATAAATTCAAACACAAACCGGTTTCGCGTTTCTTTCCAAACTGTAGCAGTCACCGCAAGTCTCCATTTATCCCGTATAGATCCCAAGACCCCCGCATTCTCCGCCACTTTCTCTAGCAATATCTGTTTGACCTAGTAATCGCTCGGACCTGTTGCTCTGTGTACGGTATAAGCGCACCACAACTGGTCTTGCACGTGCACGCAAAAAACGAGAGGTCATCCGAGAGAGGCCAGAGACGGCCAAACGGATGACCTCTTCTATTGCGCAACACACCCGAAACCGAGAAACCGAGCAAGAAATGTTTACATGATTATAAACATTGGAACTCCAACCTGAAAAGAAGTGATACGCGAGTCCGTCCGGACAAAATATCCATCAAGGGAGTGGTAAGAGGGTGAGGTTGTGAAATAAAGTGGATGAACGAAAGGACAATACACCAAAACACGTGAATTTTGTGCTCGTGGAGTTTGTGTGGAGCTTTGGAGCCGGGCTAATTTTGTTACTTCCTATTTCTAACTCGAGTCGTGTGCTCGGGTTCCTTTTTGCTGGTTTGCTTGGTCGGAGTTCTGTAAAATCACAATTTCAAGTGAACTATTGAATCTCACAGGCTTCTTTGATTTTCTGTTTTTCCTCACAAAGAACCGATTACTGGCAATTTCGGCTTCGTTGTGTTTATCAATGAGCTCCAGACTTGGGAAGTTCCTCATAGCATGAAAACACGAAAGTAATGGAAAGTTGACTGATTGCAACTAAGCTGACAAGACGCCCACTAGAAGTTGAGTAGTTTTGTGAAACTTTTCCTGCACACTTTCATCAAGTCTGTGACTAACCACATGTCTAATTACCTTTTTGTCAATCAAATTTTCATCGCGAATAGTTTGGAGTGGTCTTATTGAATCTAACATATATGCAAGAATTTTGCGCTTATCCAGTTTGCCTTGTACACTTGCAATACTTTTCTAAATCAGAGAACTGAAAATGGCTATAAATTCGGAAAGCCCTAATCACTCGAATCCATGAATATGTCACTTTTTGAAGGCCCATATCGTCATTCAAAAGAAGAAACTTTTGCAAAACCCTAAACCCCTACTTTATGTTTTGTCTTTGCTCTTTGCTCTATTCTCATTGCATCATTCACTCCCAGTTCCGACTCTTTTTCCTCGTTTCTTTCATGATTTTTTTCCGTGAAAAGCCACATGCCGTTAACCCAATAAAAAGAGACCAAAACAATTACCAGAATGATCAGATATTGTCAACTCCCTTGTGGCAGACAGGACATTTTAGTTTTTCAGCTAGAGCTCAAATGGTCGACGTTCAACCGCCTCCGATTGGATACGTGAGAGATGGAGATTTGTTTGTGATCACATACGTGTACGTTGTCTTCGGTGCCATCACCTTGTTCCTCAATATCCCGCTCGCTACGTATCTTCTAAAAACCACCGGGAAGAATCAAAAAGAGCTCATCGTCATCATAGCTCTATCCATCAGCGATACAGTGTGTGCCGCTCAATTTCTCGCTATGGGAATATACAGGTTTTTTGTCTGGTTTAACGGTAAGTGCTCCTCTGATTTTCAGTCAGTGACCAATCACTCAATCTATTTCAGAAGTGTTCTTTGTCAGCCAAGCCGCGTGCAACCGAAACATCATTGTGGCATCATACCAAGTCTGTATACAAGTAAGACGTCAAAAATCACTAGCAACTGACAATTTCCGCTTTTAGATGGATAATTTCTTCAGTTTGGTCATTGCTCTCGATCGCTTATTTGCTGTCCTTTTCCCAGTCAAATATAACAAATGCGAGGGAGGGTATACTATACTTCTTGTCACTTGTGAGCAGCACTTTTGAGTGTTTTACTTGAATATTGAGTTTCAGGCCCCGTAGTTGCATCTCTAATTGGTTATATTGCTCATTTTATCATCATCTCAGTTCTACCCGCTACTTTCATTGACGGAATCTGCTTCAATTTTTTGGTATGTATAAGATGACGTTTTTCCCAACCGAATCAGTTCTTCTTGTTCTTAGAGCGTTCTCCCCGCGTTCCGCTCATATCTGTCATTCCAACGAATGCTCTGCGTGTTCATCCCCACTATTATTTACTTATTTATTTACATCAGAATGAAAATGGTAAGAGATAAAAGTCAGGACAGTTATCGAAAAGAATTTCAGAAGTTTCAGAGAATCACGGCGAACTCGGTGTTGAGCAAAGGCATGCGGCATTTAACGAAGACTGTCGGTGAGACACAAACAAATCATTTACTCAGTCTTACACAGTATCAATATTTTTCAGCCTATATCACTCTTGCCTCATTTTTCCTAGTACTCATCCCAGAAATATGGTTTTATTTCAATCTTTTCGGCGGAATGAATGCAAGCATCTACTTTTCTTGTATTCTTGTCAAGGTTTGTTGAAAACCGTTCGTGAATTGTTCAATTTTAATCCGAATTCAGAAGATTGTCAGTTTCTTCATTCACACAATCCGGCATCGTGAGCTGATGAAACACGTGGAAAAGTTTCTGCCGAGAAAACTCACAAACATCATGCATCTCGATGCGCAATCCCAGTCGGCAGTCTCGAAAGGGAAGTCGATAAGAGAGTTTTCGAATCAGATGGTGACCGTTATGCGATGATAATGCACATAATTTTAAGATCTAACGAGCAATTTTCTGTTCTGATGTTTTCTCAACAAATGTTCTCAACCACTCGTTGTCATTGTTTACTTTTTTGGGCCACTCATTTTAATATTATGTACTATGCAGCTGTTTTTTTGATCACTCTATGTGCAATTTGACATTATACATGGCACAATGACCAAGAGTGCAACACGGTGGGCCACTGACTACAATTGGCCGATAGTTCTTTTTGTGTTAACCTTTTTACACTAATTGGAAAGCAGTGCTGAACGAAGTAAATTGAAGGGACTTAGAGAAATTGGCGGTAGACGTGGCCCAGGTTTCAACCCAGAGCAGTGTGGTTGCAAGGAAGCGCTATCCAAAATTGATGATTACTTGGTTGTTTTTAAAGATGCCTGTCCCCGGGAAGTCTATGATCACCTTCTGCAGTTAGCAACATCCCTAGTTGGAAAAATCCGGGGCAATGAACAGGCCATGACGAACTAGAGGAAAATGCTTCTTTTTGATGATTTTCGTTTTTGATGGGCACTGATCTCACGATCAAGGTGGGGTAAAAACGCGGACACTTTCTTCTTGCGGGGAGCTACATTGTCCTCCAATTACGCTGGTCGAAGAAAACGGTCCCTGTCACAACAGATTATGAGCATATTGAGAAAACAACTAATATTTCAATTAACGGAGAAGGAATCCAAGCGGAAACAGGACTAACATGTCCTGAAAAAACATTCCACATGTTCAACCCCGGCACAGACGGGCACATCACTTTCGTTTTGTCCTGAGCTCCTCATGAACCTCATGACAATGATAACCGCCAATTGTTCAATGAACCACTGTGCTGCTCATTTCTATGACGCAAGTTTCTGGGTGCTAATTACGAGGAGAGGTAAGGCTTTCTACCAGCCACGCTGACAATTCGAGGTTTATCAGACTTCCTCGCGTGGGTTTTCTAATTCTGCGGAGCTTTTCTACTTTCATTCTTTTATGACTACTCATTTCGATGTGAGCTCTCTTGTCAGAATGGACCATTGCTTCCGTTGATTGTGCAGTGTTGCTCGGATGTGTCACCTCGTTCCATCGAATAGGGCGCGCTGATGACGCATTCGCAAAACATGGTTTGATAATTGAAACGGCGGCACACGGTCCGATTATTTTGTTCTTTCCAAAGAACTACTGTTGACTCAAAGCTTAGGGTCCAGTCGGTGCCACCACCCAGCTCAAACTCTCAAATGTATTCTTCTGAAAGGGCTGTGAAAAAGCGTTTGGCTCGGAAATTGAAAAATTCCATCAGCGAACGATTCGTCATCGGCGTTACACTACATGCCTCTTTTTAACTCTCTGCTGGTTGAAACTGTCTTGGCTCTCACTTTTTCGGCCGCAGTTTCTTTCTCCCCCAATGTTTTCTTATATTTACTTGTCTTACTCTTTTCTTCCTGTCTTTCGGAACCCCATACTTGGAATACTGGTGTCGGCGTTCAAGCTGTGTAGTTACGAACTACACGCTGCGGACGAATCCAAGCAAATTGGATCGATCATTTCGGTCAGATTTCGGTCCACGTCGACGCATTGCGAAGAGCATTCTGACATTTCTCCTGCCGGCAACTACCTCTCCGAACCCACCCAGTCTTCTCCTTATTAAATTCCGGTTGTTGACGTCCCGTACTCTCTGATATTATGCGGCTTCTCAGCGTGCAATGTGCAGACGGTGTCTTCTTATTTGTAGACAGAACGGACGGCCGCAGAGAAGAACTTCACTGCCATGAAAGGCGGAGGGTGCGAGGAGTTACATTGTCCTCCAATTACGCTGGTCGAAGAAAACAGTCCCTGTCACAATAGATGCTAAAAATGTTGAGAAAAATACCAATTTTTCAATTAGCGGAAAGAGAATCCGAGCGGAAACAGAACTAACATGTCCTGAAAAAACTATTCCACATGTTCTGCCCCGGCACAGATTGGCACAGAACTTTCGTTTTGTCCTGAGCTCACCAAGAATTCCGCGACCATGATAACCACCGATGGTTCGTGAACCATTGCCTTTGTTGATTGTACAGTGTTGCTCGGATGTGTTACCTCGTTCCATCGAACATGGCGTGCTGATGACGCATTCGCACAACATGACTTGATAATTGAAAAGGCGGCACACGGTCCGATTTTTTTGTTCCTTCCAAACAACTACTGTTGACTCAACCTTCTGGGTCCGGACGGTGCCATCATCCAGCTCAAACTTCTCAAATGTATCCTTCTGAAAGGGCTGTACTAAAAACGTTTGGCTCGGAAATTGAAAAATTCCATCAACGAACGATTCGTCATCGGCGTTGCACACCATTCTCGTTTCTACACTCTGCTGGTTGAAACTGTCTGGGTTCTCACTTTTCCGGCCGCAGTTTCTTTCTCCCCCAATGTTTTCCTTCATCCGTATTTCCTTCTCACTTGTTAACGGCAAAACCCGTACTTTGTGAAAAGTATTTTTGTATTTCAGAACTTGTGTAGACAATGGAGCTCGATGAGTTTCCGCAACCGATTCCGGTCCTTCCCTTCCGCATCAATTCGAGCAACCTTGTGATTCAGTTTAATGGAGACGGTAACAGTTTAAAAAACAGACTTATCAGACTTATCAGACTAAACAGACTATACTTGACAGAAATGCCGCATACAATTTTGCGTGAAAGTTGACAATTTTGAAACAAAAAACTGATTTACAAGTTTATTTTCAGTTCTTGATCAAGACATGGTCAGTCTCAAAAAAAATTACTCTCGATTCGGAATAGGTTTCCTCAAGTACTCCATTGGACAAATGGCCAAGACGCAAGAGGAGTCCATGTATGTTCACCGTGATTCCCAAACACGCGCTGAATAAAAATCGATTTTTAGGAAGGAGAAAACTCTTATTTTCGACGTCAATACGTTCCTCATTTTCCCGCATTGTAGAGAGGAAGAGGAGTACAAGAAAGAGGTGAGTTCATTTCTATTGCATCAAGAAAAAAGTCGAACTTCCAGCCAAACAAGAGGTTTCAAAAAATGGTCAGCGAAGGGAAAATCGGCAACATCTTCGACAAAGAGTTGCTCATTTTCACGTCGTTTGAGCAGTTCACTCCGTACATCACGTTCATCTTTAACCCGAAGTCTCTGATGCTGCCGGACAGAGGAGGCCCATTGCGCAAATTCCACATGATTCACATTTCCATCGGAGATTTCTCAGCGTGAGTTCAAAATATTGGCAACAATCATCCGGTCATCTCATTTTTTACAGAGATAAAGTGTACGGGAACATCCTGACGTACATTGATAAAATGGCGGAGAAGTACGAGAACGGCGCTAAATTCAATTGGAGGGACCATGACCATGTCACGTACAACGTCGGAGGAATGTGGGTTGTGGACAGGACTTTCACGTTCCTGGGTCTTCTTCAGACTGTTCTGAACCCCAAAGGATGTTTCTCGGATCTGGTATATCTGAAAAAATCTTTGTTTTACCGTAACCTGCCTTTATTTAAGATGAACGCTCTCACCAATCTCCAGGCAGCTCAAGCTGAACGGAGAATTTATGCTTTCAGCGAGAGCTCCAAAGAAAAATTAAAGCCCATCTACAGAGTGCTCGAGAGAAAAATCGCAAGAAGAGCGCGACTCGTTGCCCGTCAGCAGCAAGGCTAACTCTGTTGGCATCATCGTCCCGGCCCACCGAAATACCGAATTGGAGTGTTGATATTTTCACATCATTCTTAGTCTCCCTTTACCCTCTCCATTCATTCGTTTCTTTCCGTTACTCGATTTTTTTGATTGCAGTATTCCTTCCACTTTTCTGTACTTTTCCTTTTACTAATTTACCAAAATCAATTCCGCTGGAAGCAAATAAATTCTTTCTCCCTGTCATTTGCTCCGTTCTCGCAAATTTGGACGGTCCGCTCTCAAAGGGACCTAGTAGCAATACAGTGACGTGGCAGATGGCATGGCTGCGTGGACAAACATCGCGGGGGCGCGGTGCATCAAAGTAGAAAATCGAACATTGTGTCGTCGTCGGCGGACGGTAGCGGATGGTATGACTGTGTATGTAGTTGCCGACAATCCGAACACCGTTTGCGAGAGAGACTGCTGGAAGAATCTGCGAGAGTAGAGTGTAGTTGCTTCCACGTACGTCGGCGAGAGACCAACAGCACACGTCTTCCGATTTTCGCGGCGCGGCGGCCGCGGCGAGACGGCGGCAAACGCGCGAAGAAGCAAGAGAGAGAGAGAAGAGCGCGCAGAGAGTCAGAAAGACCTCGCGTTGGGGAGCGGCGTTCATATCGGCGGCCGCGGAACCTCGCGTGAGAGATAGAAGCGGAGACGCCGACGATCAGAAACTTCTTACGGGCGCGAGCGGAAAGAGAAATAGAGGCAGCGCTGAAGAAATAGTGTGCTCTTTTAAGAGGAATTCTCGGCGGCCACTCTTTTCGGTCAAGTCTGCAGAAGTTGAGCTTGACGCCCAGCGCCTGATGAATTAGAGAAACGAAATGGAAGAGGCCTTGATTTCGGGCGAATTTTTTTTGCTGAAATTTTGAAAGAGATCTGACTTGAAAGTGTCTTTTTTGTCTTTTCGGTTAGAAATCAGTGGGATTCCTTTCGGAGAACCACTAGTAAACTGGGCTGGGCTTGGACGTTTGGAGCACTTGCAGTATTCCGATGGGAACCAAACTGATGTTAGAACCAAGCTCCATACCAAACGGATTATTGTTTTAGAAGATAAACCTATCTACGACCTAAACGTCCAAGCTTTTGCGATCTCCGGACCAGATCACTCGATCGGGCTGAGGCTTGAACCCAAGACACTTCCACATCCAAAAAACCTGCAGTTTGTGTCAAAAGTCCCCCAGACAGTCCCTCGAAAAGCCAGGGCTGGCCAATTGCCGAATCCCGCCGGAAATTCCCTTTCCCGACGCGATGTCTGCCAAAGTGCCCTTTTGAGCAGCAATCGAATGGCACTGGTCACAACTGTGGGTGTACAGGCGGGCGGTCTTTTCCTTCGGAGCAACGTAGCGAAGAACATCATTTGGAGTCCATTTCGAAACAACAAAACGTATTCTTTTGAAAAAAAAAATTTATTTTTTTGGCAACATAATAACAAGGAAACGAATTAAATTATTTGTTTCCAAAGTGGCGGACCGCCAACGCGAGGTCCTCCGAGCGGAAGGTTTGGCGGTGAGCGTGGACGGCGTACTCCTGGCCAGTTTTGAAAATTTCCGCGAGGAATTTTTCGGCCGCCTCTTGCAGGGCCTCGACGGCCTCCTTCCGAACGGCCATTTGGTGGCCCGCGTCGTTCACCAGCTCTCGCACGAGTCGTCCGAACGGAGCCTTCGGGATCAGAAGATCCGTCGTCTTCTGGTACTTCCGGATCTCCCAGAGAGCCACGACTCCTGGCTTGTATTTTTTCGGTTTCATCGATCCCCCGACAGCGGCAAAGGCAGGAGTAGATTTGCGCACTGGCAGTGCGGCAACGGGCATCGGTGGCGCGGCAACGGGCATCGGTGGCGCGGCAACGCGCATCGGTGGCGCGGCAACGGGCATCGGTGGCGCGGCAACGGGCATCGGTGGCGCGGCAACGGGCATCGGTGGCACGGCAACGGGCATCGGTGGCGCGGCAACGGGCATCGGTCTTGCAGCAACGATGGTTTTTTTCGGCGCGGTTCGTTTACGAGTCATTTGAACCTGAAATAGGTTGATTGGTGGAAAGAACGTGGAAGGAAATAAATAAATAAATGAGAGAGCGTCGCAACAAATGGCCTGTTCTCGTAAGCGGAATAGGGGGCGGGCCAAATGCGTACCGATGGTTAGGGCGGGGCTAAATACATACCGAAGGTTCGGGCCCGATCGGTTGACGAAGAAGGAAATTCTGATGTACAGGAGGGGTACTTTGACATGAGAAATCTGGGAATTCATTTGATAAGATTAAAAGAATCTGATTTTTCACACTAACAAGGGCCCAATTTTCAAATGTTCTAAATTTTCTGACGGTTTTGGAAAAACCAAAAGTACAATGACGCTGACCTTTCGTTCAAATAACATTTGCACTTTCACTGTTCCCTTTGACTCCACCGCCGGGCGAAAGTGTGAGAATTCAAACGTGTCGGCGGGAAAATCCACGGGCGGCCGATGTGGGCAGAACGAGAAAAGAGCAGAGGGGACCAAATACGGATCGCTGGAGGTTTTCCAATTGAATCTATTTTCGGAAAGCTGATCGATCATGTGAACAATATAAGGAATCCGTGTCAATGATTCATCAGAGAGCTATCACGGAGGCTAATTTCGTGATTTTTTTTTTGCTAACTCTATTCCCCAAGTTTTAAAGCAGTATATCAGATTTTTTTTGGCAAAACGGAAATGGACATTGTCAACCAATCTGCAAGAAGCACGTGGCAGGCGGTAGGATCCGATTGAGGAGGGAGACAATCGATTTGCGTGGATGATTAGCTGCCGAGCACATCGGTGGTCAAGTCTCCGGTCATTTTCTGGAGCATTACATATTTGCTCAGCCTGACACTATCTAAAACGGAATGCGATTCGATAGAAACTTCAACTGTTGGTTTCAAATCATTCGTATTCCCTTTTTTTCAGAATGTTTCGCGAGAACAACGCCTTCTTGCTGATGACACGACTCCTCCGTCTGTTACAGTCTGATATTGCAGGTATTCGCAAGGTTTGCATCAAGTTAATTATCTCTGTTCCCTTCCTTTTATTCTTTGGTTCTTTCCAAGTCTTGGCAGTCACCACCTCTCACTCCAAGTGCCTTTTCGACCGCAATAATGTGCGTATTCGTGTATGTCGTGTATTCTTATCCCCCCCCCCTTGGTCCCTTTTTTCTAGCCGCATCAAAGAACACCCTCCGACACAGACATCGGATCGCGAGCTCTCCTTTGGCTATTGAAAGGCCCCTGTAGCAGCGTGTTTCTCAGAAAAAACATGTTTTGGAAACTGTATTTCAGATGTCAAACTTCGGAAAGACGCACATGGAGAAGCACATCATTTTGCTGAGAGATCCGGAGGCCGTTGGACTGAGGATGGAGAGAGATAAGTTTTGAGTGAAAACTCGATCGGAACGAAACGAAAACACATGTCCAAAAAGCAACAACTTTTATTGAAATCAACAAGTTAATTTTAGATCTTCTTCGCGAGCTCTTCTTGGCGATCTGCCGGCTTAATGGTGGCTCTGCCGTCGTTGATGGCCAGGTCCTCGGTCTTCTTGCGAACCTCGGTGGTGAACTCCTTCGCAGCCGTCTGCGGGACTTCCTTGGATTCCTCCTGAGCCGCCAATCCATTGGAGCTCGCCTGGCCGATCTCGGAGCGACGAATCTCACGGAGGACGACGGTTCTTCGTGGCAGACCCATCGGTCTCATGACACCTCCCACGGCACAGCACAATTTTCGGTTCATCCCAGCGTTGGGATATGAGATCTTCTTGGGCACTCCCTTGCGTGACTTGGTCATTCTTCTAAAAATAGGTTGATTAAAAGGCAGAAAGAAGGGTCAATGAGAGAGCGTTGCAGCAAATGGCCGGGCGAGCGGACCAGATTGGTTGACGAATAAGGAAATTCTGATATTCAGGAATTCATGTGATAAGATTTAAAAAAACACTTCAACACTGACAAGGGCCCAATTTTCAACTGTTCAACGGTTTTTGACGGTTTTGAAATAGCCAAAAGCACAGTGACGCTGACCTTTCGTTCAAATAACATTTGCACTTTCACTGTTCCCTTTGACTCCGCCGCCAATTTATGAGTGAAAGTGTGTCAATTCAAACGTGTCGGTGGGAAAAGATAGCCAGGGAGGGAGAAGGGCCGAGGGGAAACGGAGACCGTCAGAAAGACCCACGATTGGCAAGCAGCCAACTTTTTCTCGATACGGGGAGGGCTGAAAAGAGCTGAGAAAACCCGAAAAGAAAACAGTTTCCTGCTCATATCATGTTACATAAAATGTTGTTTCTTAAAGAAAGAAAGACGAAAAAGTTTGATTTCGAGCGATTCCAGCCACAAGATCTTCAAATTCACCGCTGATTGACTGTAATGGAACTCCATTTTCATAGCTAGTTCGTTCAGCGAGCCGGAGCGTGCGCCTAACCATCAACAGCAAGACGAACGGCCGACCGACGAGAGAACGGAGAAACTGACGAGAAAGAGGCGTTCGTTCGGCTCGCGGAGCAAAAAACACGTTTGCTGCTGGTATGTTTTCAATATTAGAAAAGTATGAACTGATCACGTGCTTTAGCCGGTCAGATATACTTAAAATCCTGAAATTGCGAGATAATTTTTTTGAATTTTCACCACCTGCTTTTTCGAAAAAAAAATGTTTGGATACGGTATCGTTGGACTTGTTTTGAGGGTACTTCGTCCTTCGAGGCACCTGTCAAAACATAGCCAATTTGCGACGACCTCTCATGTTCGAATTCAAATATTTCTGAGGCGAGAGCAATAGAAGGAGGGGAAGACGAAAAAACTTTGAAAAAAATTCAAACTGCAAAAAAAATGTTGATTTTTTCCTGAAAGTGGCTCTTAACTGTGATGTTGAATTTTTTCAGATTCTCAATTAATCGTACAATTCAAGGAATATATCGACTGGTATCAGAGGAAAGTCCCTTCGAAAAGCGGATAACACACTGACTACCGGGCAATGTGCGCTGCTTGAATTGCAGAAAAGCGGATTGCTTGAATTTCTTGCAACTTCACTCTAATTCGTTGAATCGTTTCTGTTATCGTTTTTTTTCAGGGGTTCTTGTTGTTTCTTCCAGTTTTGCCGGAAAATTCAAGGAAGATACACTCATCGTTTAGTTTTCTCCGTTCTTCCGTCAAAAACCAAAAATTTCCTTCTGAAAGTTGCTCACCATCGACCTCATTGCCTTTTCTTTATCAAAATGCTTGGGATTTCTCTCAATTTGTTCGAAATTTCATTTTTAAAGTGAAAAAAACAGCCTTCCCAATTTCCGAACAGATTTTTCTCAATGGAGCGCACATGCTGACCATCTGCGTCTCTCCCATCCCCATACTCTTTCTCTTTTTTCTATTTTTTTGCTCATTTTCTTTGTTTTTAACTAAAATCAACTCAGTTTTTTTTTTAGAAATATCGACAGGATCACTCGTCCCATCCGATCTCAACACTCAGTCCGCAAATGTCGATATCCGCGGTGAGATTTATTACAAAAATAACCGAAAAATGTACGAGTCGCACGCTTTTTGGCTGAAAATCTTGAAGTGATCTCTAAAATCGCACTTGACAAATTCTAATCCAAGAGGAGACTCTTCTCGAAGTAAATTGTCTCTTATTTTGCAAGAAAATACGCGAAATTCCCCTCAAAATCACGAAACCGTGCAAAACAGTGTCAGTCTCACGGTTTGGGCTGTAACATAAAATAGACTCATCTAAAAGCTCAAAAAGACGATTCTAATCCTAGAGAAGAAGGTTCTCAGGATAGGAGGACCGAAAAACCAAAGAACTGGCGGATCGAAGAAATAGAAGACCACCGGAGTGAGGAACCAGGGGATCGGAGGTCCGATGGGCCAGAAAGAGCAGAGCAACAGAAGACCGAAGGAGCGACTGTGAGTTACTAATTTACAAAACGTTTTTCAAAGATATAATTTCAGGAAAACGTGTGCGGAATGACAAAAGAGTCTCACGAAGGAATAGAATTGAAGACAGTTTGGAAGGACGAAAAGCGGCAGGCGGGTGGAAAAGGAAAAGTGACAGCTCCGCTCATTTCTGATAGTCGACGTGTTTTCTGTTCCGATGCTCTCATTTGCATTGTCGTCCTCAGAAATCAGACGGATTGCACCTCGATTTCATCGAACATATGTTTTTTGTCAGTTTCAGTCAGAGTGATCGAGACACATGCGAATCAATGCTTTTTTCAGGTTCTTCTCATTGCTCCCGACCAACGTAGTGGTAACCGGCAATACGAAATGGACCCGATATCACCCAGACCATCAGTATCAATTTTTCCACAATGTTTCTCTAAGATTCTTCACGCTGCTCATTGCCGTCATTTTTATCATTTCCATCTTCATGGAATGAACCTTGTCTGTGCGAAAAGAGTCCGTAGAGAAGGATTCGCCAAGGAGAAACTTCAGAACGATTTCATCAATATCCTTCCGCGTGGGCATGGAGAACAACGTTGTCCTGAAGACTATCGGAGCGGACAACGGCGACTAAAATGGAAATTCCTGCGGCCGGCTGGTTGAATTCTGTCTAATTCATTCATTTATTGTTTTTTTTTCATGTCTTCTTGCTGTTTCCATTAGTTTTGCCCAAAAATTCAACGAATATGCTTATCGTTCAGTTTTCTCCGTTCTTCCGTCAAAAGTCGATAATTTTTTGCTAAAAGTTGCTTGCCATCGACCCCATTGCCTTCTCCTTGTCAAATTGCATACGATTTGTTTCATTTTGCTCGAAATTACATTTTTTAAGTGAAAAAAACAGCCTTCCCAATTTCCGAACAGATTTTTCGCAATGGAGCGCACATGCTGACCATCTGCGTCTCTCCCATCCACACAATCTTTCTACTTTATCGACCTCTTTTTTTCTATTTTTTCTATTCTTTTTCGTTATTTTCGAGTAAATTCAGCCAATTTTTTTCAGAAATGCCAACCAGACCACTCTTCCCATCCGATCTCAACAACCAGTTTGCAATTATCGATGGTCGCGGTGAGATTTATTACAAAAATATCCGAAAAATCACGCGCTTTCTGGCTGAAAATCTTGAGAACGCTTCTAAAATCGCTTTTGATCGCATTCCTATCCAAGAGGAGACTCTTCTCGAAGTAAATTGTCTCTTATTTTGCAAGAAAATACGCGAAATTCCCCTCAAAATCACGAAACCGTGCAAAACAGTGTCAGTCTCACGATTTGAGCTGTAACATCAAACAGACTCATCTAAAAGCTCAAAAAGGCGATTCCAATCCTAGAGAAGAAGGCTATCTTGGTGTTTTGCTTCCGAATTTTCGAGAAAACAAGCGGAATAGGCCGAAACCTGCAAATCCTGTTAGAATGTGAAAAAACGCGTGCCGCCGTGCAAAAAATTAACACCACTGAAAGTCGATGACGGAACACGTTCAATCGATCCACAAGACTCCTGAATTGAGAAAAAACGTGTGTCATTTAGTTGTCTAATTTTGTAAGCTCAATCGAGAAAATGTTCCAGAAGAAGTGCACGCGGAGGCTCTTGACAACGGAAGCGTCTGATGTGCAAGTGAGAAAACTTTAGTTGCGGTCAGTGGCAGAGACTTTCTTTATTTCGCCGTCCGCTGTTTTTCAGGTTTTTTGAGTAACTCTATGTGGGAAATGAGCCGAAGCGAAGTGAAACTGCTCTAATTGACCGACAATTCGTTCTCATCGTCTGGGTGGCCGTCTTAAATCTAGTCAAGATCTTTGGAGCATTGTTTTACTCCGATAATCCAGCAAAGAATACAAATGATCCTGGCGTGCGAGAGAACTGAGCCGAAGACGTGAGTGCCAACATTTCTATCTATACAAAGTAACCGAACAGTTTGCAGGTCTTCTTCTTCCGATTAAAAATAACAAAATGTGAAGAATGGTCAGATGTTCACTAGATTCGCCGCGATGTTAACCGCGTGAGCCGCATCGTTGGCGGGATAGCTCGTAACGTTGGTCCGAAGCTAACCAACGAGACGAGCGAAGCTAACCAACGAGACCAACAAGAACCAGCTCGTCTCGTTGGCTGTTTGTGGTGAAACTACACGAAAAACGTGATATAAATTATCGATGCTCTGCAATTCTTCGAAATCTGTCCGAAATTCCGGCAGAAAACCGGCCGTATTGTTGAATTGTTTCCAGTTAATTCTGAACCGTTGAATGGCTCTATTTATTGTTTTCTTTCCATGTATTCTCGCTGTTTCCTTCAGTTTTTCCTGAAAATTTAACGAATAAGTGCCCACTGTTTCGTTTTCTTCATTCTTCGGTCAGAAGTCAATAATTTCCTGCTGAAAGTGGCTCGTCATCGACCCCATTGCTTTCTTCATATTAAATTCCACACGATTTGCTTTATTTTGCTCGAAATTAAATTTTTAAGTGAGAAAGAATCCCTTTCCCGATTTCCGAACAGATTTTCTCAATGGAGCGCACATGCTGACCATCTGCGTCTGTCTCATCCCTATACTCTTTCTCCCTTTACGACCTCTTTTCTTTTCTTCTATTTATACTCTTTTTCGTCGTTTTCGCTTAAATTCATCCAATTTTCTTCCAGAAATGTCGACTGGACCACTCGTGCCATCCGATCTGAACACAATGGCCGCGTATCCGCAAGAGATCAAGGTAATTTTAGAGCATTTTATTCGGAAAACCAAAAATAAATCATTAACAGTTTCCTCTCCGGTATGTGGACGAGCAAACGAAAGGCGCAAGAGATGGATTCGACATTGACGAGAGCGGACTGTACATGATGTCGATGGCCGCGGTGAGATTTATTACGAAAACAACCGAAAAATGTACGAGTCGCACGCTTTTTGGCTGAAAATCTTGAAGTGATGTCTAAAATCGCACTTGACGAAATCTAATCCAAGAGGAGACTCTTCTCAATGTAAACTCTCTTTCATTTCAAAAGAAAGTACGCAAAATTCTCCTCAAAATCACGAAACCATGCCGAAACAGTGTCAGTCACACGGTTCGGGCAGTAGAAATAGGATTCAAATTATAGAGAAGAAGATTCTCTTGGTGTTTTGGACCCGAATTTTCGAGCAAGCATGCGAAATACGCCAGAACCTGCAATTCGACGCGCTAAATTTTACTCTCATATCTCATTCCGCGACAAGTCAGCAGCCATAATAAGTGGCTGTTAGCTTTAATCCAAAATAAGTTGATAATTGAAGAGTTCCACGTTTCAAATTTTTGAGTTTGAAGCAAAACAACTCGAGAAAAAGAAAATGCCCCTACATTTCCGATAAAACTCTGGATTTTTCACGAAATGCCTTAACAAGAAATTCTCACTCAAGTAAATATTTCCAGGAAAAGTTCACGCAGCGACTCTTGAGAGAGGCCTCCGACAATGGGAAGAAGGAAGTCGACTACGACTCTATCGCGGAGTTCATTCAGAATTCCGAGTTCGACGCAATCAAAGGTACGTTCTGATAACTTTTCTTTTCTGAATAAAGCAAATACTTTCAGATTTCTTCCCATGCATGACGACTTTTGGAGAAGTGGAAATGTTCCTCCCGAAAAAGGACAAGGCTCCGACCGCAACATCATCCACGCTTTCCTCTTTAGCTAAACCCGGTGCGGCTCCGGCAGCCGCAGCTCCATCGACTTCTGCTCCACTGTCCGGAAGTCCAGCTCCAAGTTCCTCGGCACATTGATCACTTCAAATTTGATTATCAACCCTGTTCTTTTCTAATTATTATTTATCCTGTTGTTGTCGTAATGAAGACAAACTGTATTCGTCATTCGTGCTGCGTTCTAATTTTTAGGTCTCGCCTTGAAAAAGCCTTCGTTACTGATCACAGAATCTCTTCGTGACCATAACGGAGTCTAACCGCCCGTCTCATCTCTTTCTCATCTTTCTCTCACTCTCTCGCCGTCCACCGGCCTCCTCTTTGCCCGTTCGAATCGGTAGAACGTGCGGAAAGAGCGATCAATTGAGCGGCCGGCCGGGTTTGGTCGGACGCATCACACTCCGAAAGAAATTGGACAGCACGAGGAGGGTGCGAGACATAGCATACGTAGCACGCGGCGGAGACGGCAATCCGGCCGGGATGCGGATGGGCCTCTGCTCTATGGTGCATCAGCAAGGAGGAGTGATGACGTACACAGTGCGGAAGATTTTGGGGGATCAGTCTGGCAAAAAACTGATATCTTTGGGTTTAGTGGAGAGATATCGAGAGTAGATCTGTGATGAAAGAGTTTTCAGAAATTTCAGACTTTTACCTAATCCTGGAACTTCATGTCGTTTTTTTTAATCATTACATCTTCCTTAGAGCCTTTGAAAACCGGACAGCCATAAAAAATTGGGAAAAATTGTTTATTGGGGATTTCCGGCATTATCATCACATTCAGCTCACTTTAATCTATATCCTCCATTTTTGCTGCCTCGATAAGCCCTACAGACGGCGATCTGTGCGACGTCCCGCAAAAATTTGAATTCCGCGCCGAAACCTTCGGCGGCCGTGGCCTAGTACCCGCCCGCACAACGCATATTCGGCCATGACGCCATTTTCCCTCCACAATCACGATGAGGTGCAGCTCTTCCTTTAATTTTCCACGTGTCACATGTCTCCTGTTTTCTCAGCTCCTGACAAAGCTCCTGTTACAGATGCGATGGGCAGTTGTGCACCGGAATTTTTTGAGAAGCAGTTTCAGAATAACGTTTCTGAAGTGCAAGAAAAGAAATTGATTGTTTCACTCTCAGCTTCTCCCATTTTCAAATCCGATAATTCATTTTCGAGGAGTTGAGTCGCATAATTATAGGCTTCAAACTGTGCCTGGCACCTACAAATTACGGGTTTTCCAACCCTTTTCCTCCATTTTCCTTGCCCGTAGTCCGTCGACATCCATTCCTCTATCACCACAGGTTCACCATAGGCCTACCCATGCAATCTACGGTATACACGAGAGAGTACGGTACATGAAGAGGGTGCATCAGCCCCGCAACGCCGTGCACTCCGCACATTTTCTCCCCCTTCCCCTCTAGCCGGCTTCGTCAGTCCAGTCTGCGTCCCGTTCTGCTCTCCTTGTTTCGCCCTTCTTCTCACAGACGTGCGCGTGAGCCGGATGATGATAACAACAGTTGCCTAGAGACTGCTCGCGCAACCGCAGCCCGCTTACGCATGATTTCTCATTTTGTTCCTCATCGGAATATTACTCGAATTTTCCTTTTCTGGCCTAAAAGCGACGGGATATCGATGATTTCTCTCATAATAGAAGTTTCGAAGTGTTCAGATCGCACTATCGGGGCATCTCGACATGAATGCGCTCTGTTGCAATTGCAACTGATCTCCAGCCCGGCGCCACTTAAAAACAACAGAAACGCGTGGGGCGGCTGGAAAATAAGGCCCCGGAGATCACAAAGAGCGCATTCACATTGAAATGCCCCGATAGTAGCAAAATCGATTGATTGTCCTACCGTAGGCGAGAGAGTACGGTAAAAAAGAGCGAGAGAGCCACACAAACCGCCCTCCGCACGCACGTCTACCCGGTCCTTGGAGAATTGCAATCAGGATGTTGTGACAATCAGTTGTGATTTCATCTTTCTGACCGAACTGGAAAGGTCGTTTCCATTACGCATGCCCTTTCTGTCTCGCTTCATCAGACACGTGCTCTTTTTATCTCCTAGCAACAAACCCGTTAATTTCTGTCAGATCTTCGAAAAGGAAATGGCACGGCAGGACTGCAGTACAGTTGAACACAAACTAATGGCGGAGTTGAAGAGCCAGCCGTCTTCATTGAGACAATACGAAAAACTTCGAAAGGGAATGGTACCAAACCGAGAAGAACTGCAGGCTGTGAAAACGTGTCTTTTTCAGACTCATTACCTTCTGCACCTTTGCCGCAACGTCCCCATCGCCGATTTCGAGTTTCGAAGAGGCAACAATCTTATCGAAACTCTCCAAGGAACTTGTTAGTTTGCTCTTGCGCGTTTTTCTAATTTTCAGCCTGAAATTTCAGTGGCTTTCGACGATATCATGAACTCGAAGAGGGAGATGAATAACGAAGAATTGGCAGGCCCTCTCACCGACGACGGTGTCCGCTATTACATCGGTCGCATCTGCGAGAAACAGAACCCCGTCGAGTGAGCGTTTGCTCAGTGATCCATGTGCTCAATGATAACTTTTCAGGAAGAGAAGCACATACGTCTTCAATCTGAACACTTGTGACATCCAGCTGCCGACATCTTCGTACGACAACCACATAAAGGTAGATTTCCGTGCTGTGTCCGGCATTATTAACATTTTGTCCAGCTCATCGAGAACTACAACACCTTTGTCGGTAGGCACAGACCGGGCGATATCTTCATGAAGAAGTACCTCTTCTTCCCGATCTCCCGATCCAATGGTGCTTCTCTGATCATTGTGCACAATCCGATGGCGGCCGTGAGGCCAGTGGGCGGCAAACGGCAGGGAATCTGCACGATGATCCACTTCAGCACCAATTTCGATGAGAACTATTGGTCAGTTATTGCAGGCAGTTGTCCAGTCTACCACTGCACCACTTTTGAACAGATTTTTGGAAATTTAGCTCATTGCAAGTCTCACATTCATTGAGAACAATACCAACATAACAGAAATACAGAGCGACTTACTTAAGTGATTTTAACTTCAGGAAGTACGTGGTCCCAAATGTTCTGAAACTGATGCACCTGCTCTTCCATCTCTTCAGTCCATACAACAACTACGCAGGTTTTGAGGTGGAGTCGATCGACCAAAGATTCCGGTCGTTCCCGCCGATGAAACACTTCGAGAACGAGTGGCAAATGCTCCATGGGCTCAACCAATTCCTCAGACCGGACCACTCTCTCAAGGATTGGGTAACTGGAAGTTGAATCGTTTTTTGTGCTTGAATTAATGATTTCAGGCAACGATTGCTCAAGACATCGGCCTCAGTCGCCTGCAAATGATTCGCGGTATGACCAAGATGCGTAAAGTTCTGGCTGACGATATGTACTCCTTTGTCGAGCAAGTGAGTTAATCTTCAAGTTTTGTCGAATTTATATTGTGACTTTTTCAGAACCGCGAAAATGACGTTGGTCATTTCTTGTTCGCGAAACGACTGGCAATTTGTGAGTACAGGAAACAAAATGACTGTGTTCCCGATCCAATCGTCATCGACGATGACGAGCCATTCTCCTCACGAGACGGCGAGGAATCGATAGAAGTAGTCGAACCAGAGGAATCCGTCAACTTTCTTCCAACTGCAGGAACGGAGAAGTCGCAGGAATCAGCCAACGGAAAACTCGGAGAGCCATCCACTCGCGCTGAACTCGAAGGGCTTGCTATTCTGGGCGATCAAGTGAAGCAGGAGATCTGCTCTCCGATCGTCAGAAGAAGGGCAATGGGGACCACGAGACATGACAGTCTGCGCAGACGAATAAAACGACGCCTCAACTAACTTTCTCCACTGATTGGCCGAATCGCCGCTTAATACTATGCATTACCCTATCTAACTTTACTCGTTCATTATTTTGTCTTTGATCAACCATAAGTTGTGTCATTTTACCAAACCTCCGCCCCATGAGTCGAATTTAACAAATGTCATGGCACCCGTTTCTTTTCCATATGTTATTTGTTCGAAACTAATGAATATGCACTTATCTTCATCAGAAATTGGATATTTCGGAAGGCTGAAATCGTTGTCCTACTTTTTTCTGTAATTATAAATTCCAGGCACGCCGGAAGATTCATTTGGCTTCGAATTCATAAATCTTGGCGCCCCATCCATCCTTCACGCCCGAGAATCAATCTGGCTCCATCGTCCTTTTTTTTGGCCCATTCCATTCCTGACTCATTCGTTTGACCTTCAACCGACAAAACATGTACCTAATTGTACGGGACGTCTTCAGGACACGCGACGGTGAACGTAGGTCGCACGCACGTTTGCGTTTTTCGTTTGCTTCTGATTCGATTGGTTTTCGATAGAAGAATTGTACGATTTGCACAAGAGAAAAGTGTGAGTCAGAGAAGAGGTTGCGCAGAGGACGTGAATGTTGTACTTTTGTGAGAAGAGAGGAAAAATACAAAAAGTTAGCTCTCGTCTTCTGTCTTCTCATTTCGACTCTGTCTGGCTGACGTGGTTGACGCATTCCTATTAGTCAGTGCTCTTCATCCCTCTGATAACCTTTCCCTTGTTTGACATTATTGCGCACCGTTCAGTAGCATTCAGAATGAGCACAACAGAGCCGTACACCGAGGAAGAAAAAACAATAATGAGTAAGTTGGCAAACAAGCCTCAAAAGCTGCAAATGTACATGGATCACTCGAAAACACAAGAGGTAACGCCAAATTTATTAATCAACGGAATTGTGTGGTATTTTACAGAATGTTGGACTCCTGGACGCTGTGGACACGATCACCATCTTGGAGTTTAACAGATACTCGAATAACCTGGTCGCACCCATCCAAGATACAAGTGAGTCCTTTTTCACAGAATGTACTACTATCGATTCCAGTCATCATGCAAGATCTTCGATGTCTGGAGAGGAGCATAAAAGGAGAGGAAAAGTGCATTCTGAGCCATGGGGCCAGTCAGTATTTGATATGGAGAATCGCGGACAACCAGAACCGTCAGTTGTACGTTCAAACTCTAGCAACTTCAGTTCGAATCCTCATTCATTTTCAGAAAACAACAGACATACATGTTTGGCCTGAATGTCTGCAACGTTGATGTGATCGAGAAGAGTTCTGATGACTTTTCTGAAGTAAGCCTCGTCGGGATTCTTCACAAAGTGGCACTTTTCAGCTCACTGTTCAATTTGAAACGTTCTGGAAGAAATATTCACCGGGCAGCTTGTTCAAACGGAAAATCATTATGTTCCCTGTTCACCGGAAAGGTGAAGTCTTTCTGACTTTAGTGGAGACTGAGAATTGGCCACGAGAAGACACATTATGTGATTGGAGCCTCATACACTTTGGAACTGGGGATTTAGAAGAGTACAAGTGAGCCTCTGATAAGATTGAACTTTTTGAGCAGCCGAGTAGAACTCAGCGGAACTCAACAATTGTTTGCATTTCAGATCAACTGTTGGACGGAAAATACTGAAAATGCTCGACTTGGCATCGGAAATTGTTGATTCGGGAGAAGAAAAAGCACACCGCCCGAATTCTACCCGCCAATCTGAAGAAGCTTTCCCAAGTGTGGCGAAAGCGGACAAACCCTTTCTTCTACTCTACTTTTTGAACCGAATTCTGACTACAGCTTCAGAATTTCCGAATTGGGTATGCCTAGAATCAGAGTTGAGTGGAATCGATTTTTTGAAAAGGCGGAAGGCGGAAAGCGGAGGCGGAAGGCGGAAAGCGGAAGGCGGAAGGCGGAAAGCGGAAGGCGGAATTCCGCTCAACTCTGCCTAGAATGCAAGCAGAGGACAACAAATCTTTTTCAGAGAAAAGCGATTAATGAGTTCAACACAAGACCCGACCGACTGCACCGAGACCTCATTTATCATCGGAGGAGGCTGTGTGCGGAGGTGATGAACGCAATTGACGTCGTGAGTTTCCGTCACTTTTTCGGAGTAATTCTGTTCGATTTCAGAACGGAACAAAGATGGCAAAGCACCTTGTCAGCCAGCGAGCAAGAATAGTGAAGCGTCAGTTGGAGCGGGGCACAGAAGATATGGACGATGAACCGCCCAAGAAATCGATACGCTCAGAGAATTCCTGAATAATTTTCGGTTTTCGCCTGATTGCTTTACTTTTTCAAATTGAAAGACACGATTTATGAGAAACGTTTGCGAAAAGTACTGATTGCGTGCACCAAATTGGCTGTAAAGCACGCGGAAATGAGGAAATAAGCAATTCATCCGAACATTCAACAACAAAGTGAAAAACTGAATTATTTGACCCTTTATTAGCACATTAAGATTAATATTTGCTTTAAAAATCTAGATAAACAGGTAAGCTTTCGCAACTTTTGAGCAACAATGGGGCGAACGTTGCTGAAGCTATGCTCAAAAGTTGCATCATACCACGATAGTGAAGGGATTCGAAAGAAAGTCCCTGCATGCCTCGATTTCGTCGACGTAGATCAGTTCGGCTGGGTAGAACTTGTACGGGTTCGTGTCGAAGTAGATGGCAAGGTCATTCGGAAATAGAATACGGTAGTGAAAGCTGAACGAGACAATCAAAATATTTCTAAAAATGTTGACACAAGCGAACATCTGCTTGTAGAATTCGACCAAACTAACTGCGTCCTCGGTCCCTGGGAAGCAAGTGAGTGTGTCCTTGACACTGCAAAAATAAGCGCATGTTCGAATTTATGTTCAACACTTTTATTTAATTGCTATTTAATACGTATAAGTTAGCCAAAAATCTGCTTTTTTTTTCTGTGAACTCAAGTATCAACGATTTCCCATGCTCATTCTCGTCAGTTAATTGTCGTTTTCGCAGTTTCTATCTCATTTGTACGCTCCAAAATGTACGTAGTGTGAATAGCTCTTTTTTGTCGCACCCAACCCCAACTCACAGTGTGTTCGCAATCATCGGCCGGCCGTTGATGACATTTCCAAGCGGGTAGACAGTGAACAGAAGCTTCGGGCGGCCAGCAAAAAGCTCATTCAGCTCCGCTTTCTTCAACATCCAATTTCCATGGTACAAACGGAGATGTTGAAGGAGAGACATGTTCAACTTTAAAAATTTTGATGAATTTGGAGTATGCAACCAAAAACGAAAGAATTAGTACTAATAGATGAAAGCCGAATGATTGGTGTTGAGAGTAGTGGCTTGCACTTTCTTTTCACAGCGATAAAAGGCGTTTTTAGCTAAAGCGTGGAAAAAAAAATCTGAATTTTGCGCCTAAGGGACTAGAGCACAGAACGAGAAAGAAAAGGTTTGGCGCCGATTGTTACCGATGAAAAAGGGCAGTTGCGGGTGCAGTCACAGAGTAAATGTCATGAGCAGACGGTGGTGAACGTCGATTAACAGTTGTGTAAAGTTGTTGTGCCGCAATTTGTTTTCTCGATGACGTCACGCAACATCGTCCTGACTTTTAAACTTCCAAACTTTCCCTTTTAGATGGTGATTCGGATCTCTCTCTCTCTCTCTTTCTCTTTCCCTCCGAGATCGCTGGAATCACATAAATCTTTTACGGTTCTCAGAACCACCCCACGCAAAAATAGATCGACTTTCAGATTCCCTCGTGTTAGCTGCACATTCCCATAATCATAAAACAAAACCAATAAAGGTTCCCCCCTTCTCTTCCATTCTGTACGGCCTCCCCGGCCCTCCGTGTACAAAACCAACATTCCGAGTCCGTTGCCTCCCACATTTTCGCGCCCTTCTCGCTCGCATTCCGCTCTTTTGAGGGTCCTAATGGGGAGCGAAATGATGGGCTAATTGAATGGGAGTGGAACCACGTCGTTTTCTCAAAACGATACTCTTATTTCTCCACAGTTCACTCAAGTTTATGGCTCTTTTCACTCTTTTCGCACTCTCAGACGTGTCAGTTCACAACTTTCACGCCATTCGCTTCGTTTTCAAATTTTCCTGCGTTTCCTGGACAGTCATCCGTCGGCAATTTTCTTTGACACCCTGATTCACTTTACTTATCACCCTCAAAGCAAACATTGACGGATGGCGGAAGATGGTGGCGCCTCCTTGATCTCTCGACAATATTCATATCTTTCCAGGCTGTCCTGCCTGTTTTCTGATGAGATGCAGTGAGAAATTCACTTTTCTTTTCATTTTTTCTTCAACAGCCGTTATTCACATTCGTATAACACTCGAGTTATTGCAAACGTTTAATGGTCACATTTCCGATTTCTTCGCTATTGTTTGATTGGTTGACGCGCCCTTTGACTCCGCGCTTCGGAAGGTGCTTTTATGGTCCATATTCGACCAAAAACTACTTTTGCGCAAAATGCAATAAAAACGACCGTACGACTTTCGGGCACCCGCTCCGTTTTTCTTCGTTTTTAAATCACTTCTTTTCTCGGTCACGGGAGGAACGCGGCTGTTGGCACTCTGAAAATATCACAGTATTACAGAATGGCGTGTCGTCCGGAGAATCAGACCCCAGAAGAGAAGCAGTTCTGCGAGTTCGCCCATGCGCTCCGTCCGGCCTACAACAGAGACTACCTCGACTCGTACCTTCTCGGACCGCTCAACCCAGGTAACCGCAACTTCCCCCGTTCCAATCTAACTTTTTTGTTGCAGAGCAACTTGCCAACTACATCTATCACAACAAAACTCATCACGGATGCGACGTCCGCGAGCAGCTCGGTCATCTCATCCGAATTATGGAGAGCAGAGCTTGTGAGTTGAAAAACTTTAGAAGAATAATATCAACAATATGATGACTACTTTTAGGCCTCGGATTCCACTACGACATTAACGGGGTGAGGAAAATCGTCGAGAAGAAAGTCAATAGCGTTAGTTATTTAGCCTCCCTCTCAATTTCAGTTTATTCCTTTTCCAGATGATCAAAAAGGCTGCTCAGGTGAACGAAGTCAGTAACACCTTCCAGATGGCCTGCTTCATTCCGATCTCAATGAACGCTCGCACTCGCTCTCGTCGCCAGCAGAAGCCAAGCACGTCGAATGAAGACGACTCCATCCTACCGGATGTGACCGGAATCGGCTCCAACACGCCAAAGAAGTATCACATCCGCCGTAGGCCCAACACGAATGCAGCTTCGAACCAATAATCCGATAACATTGGAATCTCTAACAGCTATTTCTCATCAGCGCTGCGCAAACGGCCTTCCTGGGCCCAGTCTTTTAGACCACTTGCAATAATCCTATTGGTCCCAAACTTCACAGGCTTCTTGGTCATGAATTGAGGTATATTGGGTTCAAGTTTCAAACCGATCGGATTATTTACTCTAGAGATATAGTGATGTAGTACCGAAAAATCCGGGTTTTCGCTAAAACGAGAGTAAATAACCTGATTTGTGTGAAATTTGAACCCGAAATACTTTATTACACGTCTAAGAAGCCTGCAAAGGTTGTATCCAATTGGAGTACTAAAAGTGATTCAAAAGTCCAAGCCCGGGTTGTCCTGTTCCTCATAGTTCTCTTTCGGAAACTTCTCATCCTGTCTCTTCCCCAGTAATTCTTCCACTTCTTTGTCACCCATTCCGACGCCAATATGTATTAGGTTGTTCGGAAAGTTCCAGTCATTTTTGGGTTCAGAAAAATTTATTGTGAAACAAGTCAAAGAGTTATCCGATTAATTAGATATATTGCTCATGTTTTTCGATGACTGTCTGCCAACGTGTCACGAACTTGTGGATACCTTCCTTCCGGAACTCCTGCGGCTGGGAGTAGAAAAATCAAGCCAACTCGATTTTGACATCTTGTCTTGAGTTGAACTTTTTTCCACTGAGATGGCGTTGGAGGTGACTGAAGAGATGGTAGTCAGAGGGGGCCAGGTCTGGGCTGTACGGTGGGTGAGACAAGATTGGCCAGCCGTATCCAGCGAGTTCAGCTTTGGCCTTTCTGTCGACATGGGGACGAGCGTTATCATGCTGAAAGTAAACTTTCGCATTTTTCCCCAATGGAGATCCACATCTAGTCTGAGTTTTCTCAGCTGACCAGTGTAGACATCGGTCGTAATAGTGACGCCGTCATCAAGCAGCTTCTAATACTCAACTGCACGGACAGACCATCATATTGATAACATTGCCTTTTTTTCGTGTATTTCATGTTTTGGCCCGTCAGCTGGCTGAGCTTCTTTGTCAACCCACTCGGCACGTCGCTCATTGTTATCATACATAACCCATTTCTCGTCTCCCGTAATGATTTGATCCGACCATCCATGTGTGCGATGCAGGGTGAGAAGATTCAAGCAGGTATCCACACGTGTATCCAAGTTGTGTTGAGTCAAAACATGCGGAACATATCTTCCGAGTTTTTTGACTTTGCCAATTGCTTCGAGTCCATGACTAATTGATGATAGGCTCGCCCCAAGTGTCCTTTATAGTTCACGGACGGATTGAAAAGGATCCCTCTCAATCTCGCTTTTCAATGCTTCCAAGTCTAACGATATCGGTCTTCCTGAACGTGGATGATCATCCATCAAAAATTCTCCTTTTTCGAATCGATGAAACCAGATGCTAATGGTAGTTCGAGTGGGTGCATCTTTGTTGTAAACCTCCGTGAAACGGCGATCAATGTCGGCATTTTCAAGTCAGATATAAATAGAAATAAGATTACATTTCGGAAATGTAAGTTGTTAGAGACGAAAACGTTCGGCATATCTCACTCCTCGGGAACACGAGAATGATATCCGTTGCTGTGTTAACACTTCAATACCCTACCAACATACTGATAAAACGACAACTGAGTCGCTTGCTTCCCGATAGAAAAAACAATCTTCAAAAACATACTATGAAAAATGACTGGAACTTTCCGAACAACCTAATATTTGGAAATATTTCATTTAACCCACTTCTCTTCCTCTATCTCGCCTACGCTCTAACATTAAGTAACCAATCTTCGTATCTTTTATTGCTTGGCAATCGGTCATTCTCCGGCGTTTCTTCTTCTTTTAGTTGATTATTGAAACGTTTTACTGCTGTAACTATGTATTCAAAATCAACTAATCAATAAAATGGGAAAGCTTCAAGAACGTTTCTTATGAGCGAAAAGCGCCGTTGAACAGTATTCGAACATGTTGATATCTTTCTGGATGACTCAGCTACAGACTGTGGCTCGTCTTTAGTCGTTTTTGTGTATCTTAACTAAATAACCGAAACAATTTATTGATAAAAAGTCAAATGTATAGCGGTTTACAAGGCGGTGATTGCACTTGGCTGGGAGAGAAGAACGCATGCAACCTTTCTGATGTGGTGTCTCTCTCCATCGACAGCTTTTCCGGCAACACTGAATCTTTTAATTTGCACAATTTCCAGGGACAGTCCAGACTCACCGCTTTCCGTGACGGCACTCAGCGACGAAAGCCACGTTGAATCCAGAGGCCAGAAGAACAGTGTTGTCGAGATTCACACCTCCGATGATGGTGTCAGCTCCGTCCTTCTCAGTGACAAGGGCGTATGGGCGGTTGTTGTTCGGGCAGGTGATCTTGATGTAGTTTCTTCCCTTTCTCTCGAAGTCCCTGTGACATTGGTTGCATGTGAAACACAAAAATTGATCGAAACTCACGAGAAGGAAGCGCGCGGAGTGTTTTGTCCGGCGATGTTGAACTGTCTCAGGTGTCTGCACCGTCTGTGATGGTCGTCATCATCGTGATCGTAGTCTCCCGGATACTTGGGGGCTGCTCCGTAGCTGTTCGATGGAGCAGCTTCGTAACCTTCCTTGTACTCTTCCGGGACTCCATAGTTTTCAGCAACGATGACCTGAAAAGTGAATCGTAATGTCTATGAATGCACATCAGACTAACCTGCACGAAGCAAATGAGGGCGACAGCGGAAAGTATGTATTGGAACATCTTTGAGAATGCAGAATGATACTGTCTCGCCACGGACCCTTCCCTTTATACGCCGTTTTGTTGTGACTCCGGAAGGCGCAATCTTCCCGGAGCAGACACGGAACAATGTGAGTCACAAGGGGAAAATGACGTGATTTGTTTCTTTTTGACGATTTGTCACCTCAATTTTCGTTTGAGAATCGTTTGTTGTGAGACAACGGGGTGATGCTCTGAAACAAAATAAACTGCTCGACATAAAAGGCACCTTTGGATTGAAGGAAGCATCATCAATCCTCTTGGACACCATGAACTTCCTTGTACTTTTTGCTGCCTGCGTCGCAGTGGCCTTCGCCCAATATCAGGTCATCCCAAAGAAGATTCCATGGGTCTAACGTTTCAGTTTTAGCCTGAAGCGGCTCCAGCTCCAGAATCTTACCCACCAGCGCCTCCACAAACCTACCCAGCACCAGCTCCAGGACCATACCCAGGACCATACCCGGAAGAACACGATGACGATCACAAGCCAAGAGGTTCGAAGTTTTCTTGACTGATCCCACACTTACTTTCAGGCTACCGCAAACTGAAGAACCTTCACATCACCGGAGTTGTCGATGCCAGAAAGAGGTACTACAGCAGAAATGCTAACAAATCACGAATAAGCCCGATTTTCCAGATACTTCACCCGCAGAGACGACGTTTTCGTGGCCATCTCCTGCCCAAGAAACCCGACTCCATCCGCCTACACGTGGATCCTGGCCGACTCTCGCGACACCACCCCAAGCTTCGCCCCTGCCAACACAGTCACCCTTGCCGGAGGAATAAACGTCGAGTACGTCGCCAAGCTCGGAAGCCACGGAAGATGGGAAGGACGTGACTTCTTCCTGGACGACAAGCACAGATTCCGTCGCGTCGGATGCTTCCAGGGAACTGTCCCATCCGGACTCCCATAATTCACTTTCCAACAGTTACTTTTTGTGATTTTTATAAATTTGAGTGCTTTTTAACGACTTGAATACTTACTTGAATATTTGGAGTCACCCGTGACGTCAGGGACCAGTCTTCCCGTCCTTTTCTCCATGGAACAACTTTTCTGCTCTTGTGCGCGACTTCTGGAACTATCTTATCTTTTTTTCGCTTTTATTTCCGCATAACATAATTTGGAGTTGACTTTTTTATACAGACATACAGATTTTTCCAATTTATGATTTTAGCCAACTGTTCAATAAATCAATTGAAAGGCCTGCACAAAAAGAGAGTGGGAATTCGTGTCCACCTCATTGAATATCAATGCAAAACTAATCAGACACGTTTGGAAGTTCATTATCAAACTGGTGAGGCTGACCATACGATCATTTTGTCAGCTTCAATCGTCTAGGGACTAGCTCACTATGGTATTTGGAAGGTGAGAATAGCAGGTGTTTTTACTGGTGTCCAAAACATGTTGGTTGCCCAACATTCTGAACATTCATTGGGCACATTTTTAGTAAAGTGTGAGCATTATCCTCAATCCTGAATCAGAAGATCATAAAATCTCGTCGAAATAGAGAAAATTCGACCTTTCTCCCTTTGAGAATTCCATTCATAGAAAAATGTTGGTGATTTTTGAAGCTGTAAAAGGTCATAGTTAAAAATTGCATGAGAGTCTTTGGTTTCTAGTAAGAATTTCTTTATTTGATTAGAAGAGTTGGCTGTTCTTTATCACCGCTCTTTCTCTCTTTCTCGTGTTTCATTCAGACTTCGATAATGAATTGATAACAGAACGGTTAACGTTTCGGCAAGCAATGCTTGTCAACTTTTGGCTTCACTTTCTTGCGGTCAAAACAATACCTCGTTTTTCAGGTCTATGGACTCCTACAGTAACTACGGATGGCACTCGCCACTCGGTCCCGGCGATCAGTATCCGTTGCCCGTTTCTCCCTGCAAACGATGCGGACCCGATATCGGGAACGAAGTACCGCAGAAGAAAATGACGAGGGACTCGATCGATAGTATCACGGGGCCGATGTCGCTGTACAAACCTCCCGCCAATGAAAACTTTGAATATTGGGAGGAACGGATTGAGGAACGCAAGGAAATGCAGAAGAAACTGGTTGAGACTAACAAAATTCTGGGTTATAGTGGAGTGTACCACACTAGATTCCAAGTGCATAAAGCGCTTAATGGTAGGTCTGGAAATAATATGTACATTTGAATCCACCAACTTTCAGAAGATGTGGGCGTTTTCACAAGATGGGAACTGATTTACGCGGAAGCGAAGAAACTGCCGATGAGCTATTCAAGACGAGATTACCTTCTAGACACGTTCGATTTGAATGAGCTCTACATCACGGAATGGGACAAACTGATCCAGAGATACATTGAACAGCAGGTCAGACTGCAGGAACTGCGCACTAGACGCGACGTCCCAATACAAATCACTGAAGAGGATCTTATAAGAGATGACGTGGTCGACACGGTACAACAAGAGCAGGACGTCCGTTTACTCCAAATGGCTGCGTATCATGCGTGTTGCCACATGGTGAAGAAGTCAATTGCCGCTGAGCAGGTAAGCATGGAGAAGAATGAAGTTCTCATCTAGAAGTATCTTTTCAGGAAGTTGCCAAGCAAAGTTCTTCCGATTCCGATCCGATCTTCAAAGCTCCCTTCCCACCAAAACAAAACAAAAATTGATGTTTCAAACATCAGCTCCGCATTTTTTCCATTTAGAACACTGGTTTTATGTATAATGAAAGAGTACCCGATAAATGACTAACATGCATGATTGTTCATCTCAAAAATCAAATTCCACTCTGCAATTAACTGACTGCACGTGGCACAGCACACATGACGAGCATCTAATAGAGGCGTATGGAGGAATAAGGCGTTCGTCTAGATGTATGTCTGATGTGCGGTGTGGTGAATGTCGAAAGCTCTGGAAGAAGACTGCAGTTGTGACAATTGAGCTGGGAAATCTAGAGCGTACGTGACTGGGTCGATAACTGCGAGACGGCTTTTGGCGCGTACCTCTGAAGACCTATGAGTCTCAGAAGACCATTACGGAGAGGCTTAATCAGAGATAGGTACAGACCACAGATGACCGGACAGGTGAGTTGGGTTGGTGCCAGGACAACTAACGCGATAGGGAATCTGAAAGTTCTGTGTTTTCAAAGTCCCCTCTGCTTTTTGATTTGTGAAAGGGAATCTATTATTTTCTGTCTCATTTACAAACCAAATTACCTGTGAGAAGGTGCATAATGAGTTAGCAGCAAAGCCATCGCCGTGGCAGCCGGAATTCCAACCAATATACCGAATTGGAGAAGATACCAGAGACTGATCGCGAGGGCGCTTTTCAGTTGGAGAAGAGTCGTTTTAGAGATCATGTTGTGGATTCTGTTGAGGGTTGTGAACGATTTGAAAGTGATTATTGGAATCACGACAACGACACTAGCGATACCGATGAATGCTTCCACACTGAGCGCCTGAAAAAGAAAATAATTCTTGTTTTCAAAAAATCTTGCACGAGAGTTACCTTCAAAGACCATTTGTCGCCAACCCTCACAATTGCAATGGAATAGTTGTCAAAGAAGTATTGAGTCCTTCCGTCAGATTGATAAATCAGTTCCCTGTCCTGATATTGGTGCTCGTCCACTCCAATTGTCATCAGAATAAAATTGACAGTTGTGAAAAAGATACCAAACGTCAGACCGATCAAATTTGATTTGTTAGAGTTTTGCCGAGATATCCGGAAGCAAATCGTAATATAATTGAACCAAAACGAGTAGATAAAGCCCATGGAGCAAAGGATTGCCAACGAGCAGCAGATGTTGAAAAGGTGAGCAGTTACGAACGGTCCAAAACGGAAGAATCCAACTGTGAGCAGCAAGTGATAGGGAAAAACGATGTACGGTTGATAGACAAAGCCCATGTACAGGCTGAATAGCGCGGGGAGCAACAGATTGACGAGAAGGACTTGTCGGTATTCCGGTTTCAGTGTCTTGCCTTCATTTTTAATGATGTATAGTGCTAAACCGACAAAGGCAACATTGAGAACTGATGTAACTTCCATATATCTCTGAAAACTGATGTCATTTTTTATTTCTATTACTTGATACTAGGCCCATACTCTCAGCCAAACAAAATACGGTTCCTGTACAGAAATCGAATCGTAAAAGCCCAAAAGCTCAAAATCACCGCTCATTGTGTAGTGAAAATCGACCAACTGACCAACTGGAAAATATCACGATATATATGGAGGGCGTCTGTAAAAACAACCTTTTTCCCGCGCGAACTAATGACCACTTTCAAGGGAGAAGAATTTTGAAAAATTAAGATCTTTTGGGTTGACGCCCTTTTGTGGAAAATGCTCGAGAAGAAATAGAATGGAATGAATGACAAACAATCTTTGGTGCGTTGCAGGAACCTTAAGATCAAACCAAAAATACGGAGTTGGATTGTGCTCAATCGGAATAGCACCTGCCGAGTGGAACGAGTGATTTGTCCCCGATGCACAATGGAACGAAACGAGGATTAGGGGATTCCTTCACATTTCGCGCATCTCCAGAGAGCAGAAATTAGGATTTCTATAAATTTCAACTGGGACCGGGTCCTACTGATGCCTAGACTACTGTTAGAAAGTGGGAGGTCTGGACGAGATTTCAAGAGAAACAACAATCACATCACCTTCAAAATAAAGGTTTCTGAACAAGTGAAAGGTCGGTGTGTACGAGAAGTTTAAAAAACAACCTTTATATACTCAAAAGGCAACATGTCCGTTTATTCAATTGAATTTAGGTATATTACCCAAGTGTACAAGTGTTATGGAATGAACCTCAACACATTGGCACCTGTATTTATGTAGATGTTTACTATGGAGCATTTGTGATTACATGTAACTCCAAATTAGGTTTCAAGCTACATCGAATTTGGCTCTTTTCTAGTTTAAGATGAGAAGTACAGTGCGTTTCATAAGTATAGGGCCACCCCTAAAATTGAATATATTGTCATTCCCCAACAAAATACAAAGACAGGTCCTTAAAAATCGAAATCAGCATCACAAATAACCCCGGGAAACAATTTTGAGAGCAGTGCATTGGATAGTTGGGGAATATTGCCGAAATATCAGAAAATGTTGCAACTGCAAGCGTTTCATAAGTATAGGGCCACCCCTGAAAACACTGTTGAAGCCTTTCAAACTGATAAACATGAACTTGAATGGGGTTTTTTGCACTACTACTATGTTCAAAAAGCCTTTTTAAAATCATGTGCACTGACGCCGATGCCACCTAGGGCCACTCTTCCGGCGGGGTTTAGCACCATTCCCCAACTATCCTATGCACTGCTCTCAAAATAGTTTCCCGGTGGTCATTTGTGATGCTGATTTCGATTTTTAAGGTCCTGTCTTTGTATTTTGTTCTGGAATGACAATATATTCAATTATAGGGTAGGTAGCCCTATACTTATGAAACGCACTGTACTGTCGAGAGAGTAGCGCCCATTCTGTAGCTGCTGTCGTGAGAGCAGCGCCCATTCCGTAGCTGCTGTCGTGAGAGCAGCGTCTATTTGGAAGGTGCTGTCGTGAGAGCAGCGCCCATTCTGGTAGCTGCTGTCGTGAGAGCAGCGTCCATTCCGTAGCTGCTGTCATGATAGCAGCTCCCATTTAGTAGCTGTTGTCGTGAGAGCAGCGCCCATTGGGTAGCTACTGTCGAGAGAGCAGCGCCCATTCTGTAGCTGCTGTCGTGAGAGCAGCGCCCATTCCGTAGCTGCTGTCGTGAGAGCAGCGTCTATTTGGAAGGTGCTGTCGTGAGAGCAGCGCCCATTCTGGTAGCTGCTGTCGTGAGAGCAGCGTCCATTCCGTAGCTGCTGTCACGATAGCAGCTCCCATTTAGTAGCTGTTGTCGTGAGAGCAGCGCCCATTGGGTAGCTACTGTCGAGAGAGCAGCGCCCATTCCGTAGCTGCTGTCGTGAGAGCAGCGTTCATTTGGAAGGTGCTGTCGTGAGAGCAGCGCCCATTCTGGTAGCTGCTGTCGTCGAGCTTGACCTTTGCTGACAGTACAGAAGTTATCATGATCGGCGGACATTTCATTACGGCACATTTTGATCTAGAGCATTGTCGACTGGAACATCCTTTGAAAAAATTATGTTCAGTATGCAGTGTATCTGAAAGCTCTCCAGTTTTTTCTGATATCGCCGGTTCATCTGATGTTAATGTTTGGATGTGCTTGGCCAGAAGTCACGAGAAATTTCTAACTATCGCGGATACCCAGCTGACAACTATAGCTTTGAACAATTGGTTGCTAGGCACGCTTCATTACTATTTTCATCTCCTCTTCACCGCCCATTTTGTCTTCATTACGCCAAAATTGTTCCCACTCTCACCCTAAATGCTTATCTTTCCCGTAATTTCAATCCTATCACAGCTCGTAATTCTTGTGGCACCTGCGCTAACTGATTTGGAAATCATGGACAAGTTCTTGAAATGTCTTCACACGCAAACTCCCGATTGTTAAAGTAAAGAAAACCAACAGAAATGTACTGAAAAATGTTGGTTTTCTTCACTTCAACAATCGGGAGCTCATAACTCGGTTGAAACTGATCCGATTGACACCAAACTTAAACATGCCATGTTTTAAACCTTCCTTATGAAGTCCCAAAAGTGGGCAATGCCAGCCTGGAGTTTGGCGCTCAAGCCCGTCTGGTTTCATTTTGGCCAAAAATCTGATATCAGGTGCTAGAGATTCATGCTTCAACAAAATTGACTTGAAAATGCTCAAAAACTAGTTTCAAACAAGATTTGACTCATTTGAGATCATCGCAGTCCCCCGGCTCCACTCCCGAGCTCCCCACAGAACATGAGGCTAAACCTGTGAGAGTGGCCCTAGGTGGCGTCGGCGTCAGTACACATGATTTTAAAAAGGCTTTTTGAACATCTTAATGGTGCGAAAAACCCCATTCAAGATCATGTTTTTCAGTTTGAGGGGCTTCCAGAGTATTTTCAGGGGTGGCCCTATACTTATGAAACGCTTACAGTTGCAACAGTTTCAGATATTTCAGCACCATTCCCCAACTATCCTATGCACTGCTCTCAAAATTGTTTTCCGGGGGTCATTTGTGATGCTGATTTCGATTTTTAAGGTCCTGTCTTTGTATTTTGTTCGGGAATGACAATATATTCAATTTTAGGGGTAGCCCTATACTTATGAAACGCACTGTACATGGAAAGGAACTGCAAAAAAAGGAAAAATGAAGAGATCAGAGTTATGAGTCAAAGAAACCGAAAAAAACCAACAAGCAAACAGAAATTCAGCTGGTCCTATTTGCTGACCACCCACCATGCTTGAGAATTGGTAGAGGCATATCCGTGAGTTTTTAGATAATCTTCACGGCAGAAAATCTGTTCTGAAAGTGCACTTCATCAGATATTCATATTTTATTATTTGGATACCTTCTAATTCTGTCTCTTAAACTTCCAAAGTGATATATCTCCAAAAAAGTGCACCTAGAACTTGAATGTTGACAAAATAGTGTTACAAGCGTTAATTTAAAGTGATTGCTTACAACAGATTTTGACGATTATGATAGAGCTAAATAGAGCTAAATTGGAAATACACTTAGCCGGTGAATGAGAGCAAATGCGATGGGACCGCCAAGGAATACAAAGCCGATTGGGAGTTTGTGGTTGGTTCCTATCGGATCCAAACTTTTTAGGCTTGATTAGATTTATACTTTTGAACGCTTCGATTTGATTTAGACTAAAAAACCTTGAGGTCAGCAGAAAAGCAAACGGATTTTTGTCCCAGACACGATATCTCCAGATCAGCGAATCGGTCTGAAACTTTTGAGGTAGACACTTCAAACCAAGGCTACTAACTGTTCAAAGTTCGTGTTCAATGCTTCGCGTTTCAAGTTTGAACCCTTTTTCTTGTTCCGGACCCAGAGAATTATTGTGACAAAACATTATCGTTTTCAGCTGTTATGTCGGTTGTCATCTCTCATATATCTCTTATATATAATTTCAGCAAAAGCACGTACGAGCTATTTTGTGGTTTCTCGGGTTTCACTAACATTTCTGAGCATCTCCTCGTCCAGCACTGTCATATTTTTCAATTCCTTCTTCTCTTCATAATTCAAGCATGCAAGTTCATTCGGGTTATCAGACAGCAGCACATTTACAATTGATCACAGATCGAAGAAGTTTGACGCGAGAAGTACTTCAATGGCCTCCTCTGGCGGGATGTCGAAGTCCTCGATGTTGCCGTTCTTCTTGGTGAACTGAACGCGATAGTGGAAGAAGAGGCAGATGCGACGGACAATAGGCGAAGTGAGCATGTCCAGGTAAATGGTGTTGCGGTCGGCGTTGTTGGTCGGACAGTCGAGCATGTTGCGGAAGACCTCCGAGTGCGTGACAAGTTCTCGCCTGATGAAGAACTCGTGTCCGTCCGAGCTCACCAGTTTGACGTACATTGAGTTCTCTCCGTTGACAAGATCCTCTGGAGTTTTCGAATTGGTAGAAGGTTCTGAAGAAAGGATTGCCTCAGAATTCAGTTTGGGCTATGCCAGGGCACCCTCCGAGTTCATGCGTCTGTCTGACTTGTCTTTTACTGCTACTTTAACTATCCGAATCAGGGCTGGGCAATTGGCCGGCCCGGGCTTTTCGTTGGCCGACCATTGACCTGGACATTTGAACCACTTGCGATATTCCGATCGGACCCAAACTTTCCCGGATTGTTGGACTTGGATTGAGAGTCATTGGGATCAAGTTTCAGCCCGATCGGGTAGTCGGGTCCCTTGATATGTGGATCATTGGCCGATTTTTTCCAAAAAGCGCGGGCTTCCGGCCGATTTCGGCCAATGATCCACATATCTCAGGACCAGATGATCCGATCGGGCTGAAACTTGGTCCCAGTATGCTTCAACTAATGTCCAAGAAGCCTGCAAAGTTTGGGTCTGATCGGAATATTGCAAGTGGTTCAAAGGTTCAGGTCAAGGACCGGCCAACGAAAAGCCCGTGCCGGCCAATTGCCCAGCCCTGATCCGAATCCTAATTCTCAGAAAAAAAACTGATGAACGGAACAGTGCGCAGTCAAAAGTGTCGTCGTGGCCTAGGAAATTCAGGTGTGAAAACTCTTCCGCGTCAGCTATTTGACTCTATTGCACTCTGTATGGCTGCCAATGTGTGTAAATGTCTGGAAACGTCTGAAGATTGTGCCAAGCGCAAAAAAAAAACCCGGAAAAGATAACTTGGCCGGGTATTTTCTAGGCCACGACCACAACTTTGACTGCGTGCTTACGCTAGCTTCAGATAAAAACTCAAGGAATATCAGTTTACTAGTTGGAGGGTTGCTAATTAAACAAATAATTAGATCCATCTGTCCCCGTTGTCTATTTCCTTACCTCCAACAGTTTCAGCAAGAGTCTCGTCCTCCTTTCCTCCCTCGTTTTCTTCCTCTTTCAAGTTCTCCTCTTCCCTCTCATCATGAGTCTCCAAACGTAAATTTCCGAGTCTCTCGACGGCATCATTTTCGTTTTGAACAGACGACATTTTCCTAAAATAAAAACGTGAGAAAGAGTTCGTACCATCATGGAAATGAAACGGAAGTTAGAGATTAGAAATTAAAATTCAGAACATCCGTTTTTATAGCATGTGAAGTGAAGCGCAAAGAAAAATGATTGCATGCCACGTATACGTCACATTGTAATCATTGCTGGCGATCTGCTGTGGAGAATGAATGAGAATACGCAAAAAAGGGAACGAAGGAAATGGAGAAAAGAAAAACGACGAGTGTTTCGCAATTTCCTGGGTGTCAAAAGAAGGGAAATTGGGAAAATGATTAAGTGAGATTTCTGGGCTCGACAACAAAAATCTTCAATCAGAAAGCGACCACAACACGCCATTAATTCCCCTCGCTCAAAGCAGGCGTCTAGACTCCGTTTGGTCTCGTATAGTGAGCACAAATTAGTAGTGAGAAAACCGATGCATTGAAGTACTCATGAAAGAAATTCGAGAAGAAATATCAGTTTATGTACGCACGTAATTAGCGGTAGTTCTATCAAATGCCGTCAAAATTGGCTTCATTTTGGCCAGCGATAAACCTACAAAGAAGAGAAAAAGAGCACGAGAGCAGAGGTTTTGAAAATGAAGGCAAACAAGGGAAATGATAAGAAAGTGTGACCATGATCACTGATAAAGGCCATAAATTCAAAAGGACTGCGAGCTATGCGCAATGTATTGCACATAACTGAGAAGGAGGACTCATCTAACCGAAAGTCATCTCATTTATAATTCTGCTCCACTTATAATTGACTTTTTGCGACATAAAATAAGTACTAAAAGTGAGAAGAGAATGAGCACGCGAAAAAGATGAAGAGGAAGAAGAAGAAGAAGAAGAAGCGGTTTCAATTTAGATAATCCGGCTTATCCGTTTCTAAAACGGGAGAGCTAATCTGCTTCGTAAGAAATCGCAGAAACTCTACAATGTGATGAGCCGCACAGTCACTGAATAATGGAAATAATTGTATTGCAAAGGACAATTACTTTTTCAGTTGTAACCAAAAATAACTTTTGAATCACAGTTAGAAACTGGCTATTTCGTACTTTTCAAAAATAAGTCAATAATTTTTAATTATCGAAAGGTCAAACTTAGACATATATTCAGCAAAACCGAAATGTCTCGATGAAAGAAAACGTCGTGAGAAATGACACGAGGAAAAAAAGGTGTGAACCCAAATCCGATTATTCATCAGTGTTTGGTCGCCTTCTGCCTACATACAAAGGTGAGTCAGTTTGCTTCAGACACCTTCATTTGTACCTGCGCCGACGCCTACAAAAACATCTTTCACACTCCTCTCTCTGTCTTTTGCTCTGTTCCGAAATCCATTTTCATTCGTTTTCCCTGTGTAACAGGCAAACTCTTTGAAACTAATCGCCATGGCGACTCTTTCCGTGACAACCGAATTTGTCTCAATTTGATTTATGCAAACCATAAAGAGCAGATGCGCCCTTCCTCTCTTTTTCACAGCGCAAACGGCGTCCCATCCAGGCGTTGTTGAAATATGGGCCAGATTCGTCTTCTGGCATAGGTTGGCTCTCCTCCAACGTAAAAGGAAGACGAATTTTCGTCTTTTTGGGTCTTCTCTTCACCCTCACTCAACTAGATTAGCATTTGGGTTGCCAAGGCTAAGTTCCAAATTTGAATTCGAATTCGAATTCATGTTCTCTCTTATCACACGAAAATGCGACAATTAAACAAACATGTAATGAAGGTCACTTTTCCACACCACCTTTTTCAAATCGTGCTGTTGTGAGAGATATTTCGCTATCCCTTTAAATTTTGAAAAAGTGTGCGTGTGTGTGTGTCTGCCCACTTTTCATGAAAGTGATAATTATCATTTACTCTCATGTCAGACTTCATTTCGTTTTGTGCTCACGTTCGCCTCGTGACCAAGTCCCCCTGCTTTTCATCCCTCTAACACAATTATCCTACTAGTGCAAAAGTCCCATAAACCTGGTTATGATTTCCTTCCAACCTGCAATAATCCTCGGGCTCGAGCAATCCCGCGTCAACCAATTATTGTTGTATAAAATCTCAGCTTGCATCTTTGGTTCGTTGTCCACTCAAATGCGGTCCAACATCGAGATCCGAACGCTTTCCAACGGGCAGCCGTACCTGTACCTGCCTCAACTTGCCCAATATCTGCCATTTCCACCACCAGTGGTCCACACCCCATTCGACCCGATTCACACCTCCACAATCTTTCCGCTGCCACCGCCACCCCTTGGGATCTCCTCGGCCATCACTTCATTCGACATCTTCAATGCTCCGATCTCAATGATCCCCTCTCCGTTCACTCCGCTTCTGCCAATCCAACTCCCTCTTCCGCTCCCTTTCCCATTTGTGGCGGTCCCTCCTCCGCCACCACTCATGTCACTTCGAATTTCCACTCCGCCGACGTTCCGACCACATCCGTACCACACTGATTTAGCGGTAAGTTGAAAGAACGTTTGTCAAATTCAAGTATCATCGTCAAAGTTTCTAGACGAATACTACAAGGACACGCGGCAGACACGACGAAGAAGCTAAGATTCAGCGTCGATTAGCAGATATAAGAAGAGAAGTGATTGCAACCAGGTTAGTAAAAATGGGACCAAACTTTAAAAAACATCATTCCATTCCAGACTCAATCAGCAACTCCGTCGTCCCAATCAATCGAACGGAAACAGTGAATCCGAGCGAGAGGACCCTGTGATAAACAAGTGATCTGACAATATTATTTTTGAGATACCTATGTCGTTCCCATAAGTATTGTTTATTCTGTGAACATGGGAAATCATGAATATTTTATGTGGCACGATGATTGAAAATCTTCTTTCTCAAAACATGACAATTCAATTTTGCGAGGCGCCGTTATTCATCAATGTTCTCAAAACATCTTCGTCATCGAGCAAGTTTGTGGTCGCTTTCAGACTTGCTTCAATTGTCAGCACGCCTCCCCCTGACAACGATCGGATGGAATAGTCGTGCCTGTAATGAAATATGAACATGAAATAGACTGATCTGAACGTGCACACTTACAACTGCTGTGTCCATGTCGTGCACTTGACGGTGCTCATGAGGGAAAGGGTGTTTTTCTCCGTCGCTGTGAATTCCCTATTGAACGCGGCAGGTTCTTCGATACGAAGGAATGTGTTGTTGCAAGCGGATAACTCGAAAGACCCTGCTGTTTCAGATTTGATGTACACTGAGAAATAAGGGTTAGCAGTTGCTGGAAAGGATGATTGTTTCTCAAAATGAGTTTGAATGGAAAACCGATCAGTTTTATGAATCCGTCCAGAAAAGAACGTTGGATCTGCTTCGTTTCATTCAACCGCACGTGCACAATCATCGGATAGCCGGTTTTCTGATCGATATTTTCTATGATAACCTTCTCAAAGTTGAAAATCGCTTCTACTGGACATGAAGACTGAGCCACAATTGCCAACCTGCAAAAAGAGACAGTTAGAGCTGAAAAACAGTTCGCTTAGGTACGTTCGAGGTTTTTCCGAGATGCATTCCTGAGTCGTTCCATTGAGCATTAAGGGAATCCATTTAGACTCAAAAGTAAACGTAGGATCCGATCGAGCCACGGAACTTGTATTGAAAATCATAAGTCCGCATTTGTACAGGGTGAAATTCACCCGAGCGTTGCAAGGCCCACTGAAAAACGTCGCCAACTGAATGGACCGGATGTCCTCGTCGGCAATAGTCGGTTGGTAGCTCGGCACTGTGTCCAAGTCAATGATAAGCTGATATGGAACATTCGACAAGGAGATGTTCACATGTGAAGCTGCAGAATACGCGAGAAAGCAGGTGAAGACCAGTAACCCAGAATGGGAAGCCATTATTTCCAGAATGGAAATAGAAGCGAGAACTGAAGGGTTATATGTTCCCTTTCACATTATGACTAAGAGAGAACAACAGTTGAATCATCATTTTGTGGGAATCTGACGGGAACGTCCTTTTTCTGGAAAGAAAATGCTTTGAAAAGTACTAACAATGAACATTCATTTGAAGAGTTGTAACTGCAAGATTTAGATTTCTTGTTCTTCTTCTTCTTCTTCTTCTTCGTCGTCGATTTCCTCGTAGAGTTCCTCATCTGGATTGGGGATAAATCGAACAAGGAGTTTCATGTAGAAGGGTGACAGCAAGAGAAACCATGCGAGCTTGAACACTCCCCAGGACTCTGAATTTTTCTTTATCTGGACTTGCTTCTCCCATTCTTGATCCGTTACACCGCTGAAAAAGCAGACAATTTGTCAGGACTAGCTTAGAAAACTCACTCTGGTCTATCTGGCATGGCCGTGAAGAGTAGACCGCAGTTTAGAAGGTACCAATTGTGTGTCAACATCAAAATAACGACATTGCCTAAGGTAAGGACCCAGGAAACTCTGTCGAAGTCCATTTTGTCAGATTTTTCGAAAGACACGGCCTTTTTAAAGTGAAAAGTTGCAAAAACAAAACAGATGAATCATGCGAAAAACATATAGGAGGATGGATCATCGTGGTGGCGTGTCCCGAATCGAAAATCATAAAATACACGTTTTCGGTGGCACAATAATATTAACGTCTGCTCATTGTTTACAGCGAAACATCCCTCCAGAGAATGGGCTGATTTCATTCTTTGTGAACGTAATACTTCAATCGGGTAGATAGGGCAGTAATTTGGAAAACATCGGGATGTATACATACAATAACAAGGACATAATAGGCTACAATTGACGGCAAAATTGAATAACTAGCAGAAATCTGACATTTCTGATGTTTACAGCGCAAACAATTCGTAAAGGAACAGAAAACTCGCAACAAGTCCCGAAGAAGTCGATGTTCCGGCCTTTGACTCATCTGCTTTCGGCTTCTTGTGCTTCGGGAATCCACGTGCCAACTCCATGGACTCGAACTCATTCCCCGGATGGTGCTCCAGCTTCTTATGACTTCTGGCCATCAGGAATGCAATGCTTCCGTTTCCACTCTTCTCCGACGTCATGATGTAGTCGATACTGAAAAAATGAAATGAAATCAATTATTTTTCGGGTCCGAAAACAAACAAACTCACGTGTCGGACATAGACTCGGCACATTGCGTACTCTTCACAATTCGAAGGAGTTTTATCTCTTCCCATCCAAGAACGTGCTTTTTACGTGTGCCATCTCCCTGGATTCGCAACATTTCCATTCCGCACTTTCCAATGGCAAGAGTGTAGTTGGTTGTGTACTCGACGTCGAGTTCAATCCGCAGGCGAGCATTCATAAACACTGAAAGCAAAAGTGTCCAAACGTAAACTGTTATAAGTTTACCAACCAGCTTCAATTACAAACCCAATGTCAGAGGAGACAATCGTCGGAACACTTCCTCCGACTGTACGGATTGGAATGATTCCCTCTCGTGGATTCGATCGCGCTTCGAATGACTCCGGCTCCTCCACTTCGTTGGGAATAATGTCAAAGAAGATTGTGCCATTGCACGGACCTGTGCATCCGATCGTAAAGTTCACACTGAAAACTGATTCACTCACTCACAAGGGAGGGTGTTCTGGAAGACAATTCTAGAAAATGCCGAAACTTCGGAATTTTTTTGAACATTTTCAGTTACAGCCTTAAAAGAGCTCCCTATGGACCGTCACCAAGGAAAAACAAGAACTTCTCTGATTCTAAGCAGTGAGACTTACGCGTATTCGGTCATCAAGGTGCACTGGTTTGCGATTCCTGTTAAGATCGTCTCGACCCACTCTTTACTCAAGATGTACGTGGCATTTTTAATGTCTTCCGTGGTTTCGAAAATTCGTTTTCCGCATTTGTCCGCGGAGAACGAAATGAAGTCGGAAGAGACAACGGTCATGTTGATGGAAACGTTCTCGTCGTACTGAACTAAAATTCTTAAGATTACATTTTAAAGGTGAGAAGTTCAAACACACCAGTATGACATTGATACTCAAGAAAGACCTGCTCGATTGCGTTTCCGGTTTGATTCAGTTGGTATGGAACTTTCATGAGTTCGTATGGAGGCCGCGCGTCAACAGGAGCAAACCAGATTGCGTGGAACAGAAGAAGAAGGGAGAGATGAGGAGCCATCTAGAACTGGGGAAACGAAAAAATGATAGGCAGATAGGTAGACTCGGAAATTGAACGTGTGTGAGCGTGCGTGTCACAATTAGCTAAAAACGGACGGAGAAGCTGGAGAGAGAAGGAAAAAAGAAATAGAGAAGCAAAGAAAAGGAGGTGGGAATGGGAAACTAGAGATATTGTGATAAACAATTACTTGTTTCAATCATCCACGTGAGGTTCTGATTAGCTGTCTGGGTTATGGTCATGTAAAAGTGTTTTTTTCTCAAATTCAGGAGCCTAATTGCAAACGGACATCCCAGACAATTGAGACGCTTGAAAAAACATCAAAGAAACGAATAGTGACAGAAGAACATTTAACTTCGGATGGACGGATGGCAAAGAACGGCGAGAAGGCGAATTTCTAAGGCATATATTTTTTTGTCATTTTCGTATTTATCAGGAACAACTTGAAAATTAAATACCGAAATGCTACTTGTTCATTCGATACTCGACTTGACTTACAAATGAAAAGGCATAAACAAAAAGAGCGCGCGCCCTGCATCTCAGGGTCACTCGCCAAAGGGCAGCGGACAATGGATGCGATCACATTGCACGATTAGAAGAACATGAACACTTTCTTTCCATCTCTCTTTCCCCCCACATGCTAATTTTCGAAATGGAGATGGAGAAGAGAGCATCTCACTCGATTTAGTTCGCTCCCAGTAGCACTCAAGAAAAATGAGATTTGGGTTTAGGTTCAGGTTTAGGAGCGAAGAAGAAGATAAAATGAAGAAGGAAGGAGAAGGAGAGTGCAAAACGAGGAACGCGGCGGGGTGGGGAGGAAGAAGATGGAGAAGAACAAGAAGAAGAAGAAGAGAAGTGTGTTTAGTTGGCGACAGAATGGTGACCTTTCCAAGCATGCAAATGTCCGGCATTAACAGTACGGCTCGGTTCGTCTTTGCAAAGAACACAAGCGCGGAAGAAAGTACTGTGATAAAATCGTACTATTGTTTGATAAGAGAACATCAAAAAGAATTGCCACGCTTTATGTTAAGACAAACAGGTGCTGGGATTCTGAGAAAAATCTAAATTGGGCAGGCAGGAAGGCATGCGGACGAGCAACTCCTTCTTCTTCTTCTTCTTCTTCTTCTTCCTCTTCTTCATTTCACTCCATCTCATTGTTAGCGGCTCAGCCGGAAGGCCGGAAGGAAACGAGTGCTTCAGAAGTGAGATAGCAAACCGACGGACGTCGGACTGCATTCATTTCAGCAATGAGATGTAAGAATATTTGGGTAAAAAGAAAGGGTAGTGGTACTGCGGCGTTGTGTGCATGAGCTTAATTGGATAAGGGTCCGCAGCAGCGGCGGAGGCAGAGGGGAGTGTTCTGAAAATGGAGATGACGAGGGGAACACTAATTTGTTTGTGATGAATTTGAATATCTGGAAAGTGTTCTTGGTTTCTCAATTTCAGCCTTCATATAACCCTTCTCTTCCTGGCGAGGACCGGCCTGGTGACTCTCCTCAGAAATGTCCTCGTGGACGTGGACGCGTATGCGTATGCGCTCTGCTCATCGGGAGGGAGTGTTGGTGGAGGAGAGACGTAGAGAAAAAGGGAAGCGAAGAACGACTGTGGCCGGCCGGCAACCTGTAGAAAGCGAGCAACCACACCGTGTACACAGTCTCCCTTTCCCTTTCTCTTTCTTTCCTTTCATCTTTCCTTTTTTGGTCCGATAGTCTTTGTTATTTTCAGTTTTCAGTTGCCGAACAAAAACCCGCTGAATTTTCATCGCATTTCGCATGCCTAAACACTGATAACAGAAAATTAATGCGACTATCTATCAGGCCTGATAAAATTGGCACGGGAGAGCGCTGACCACATGATAATCCCGGAAGTTGTGGTTTAGCACGTGTTTGGCAACCCATAATCTCTTTCATCAGCTTTTCCGTTAAGACTGTTCGTCTTGCATAGAAAAAACAAAGAAAAAGTAGACATGCTGCCGCGTTTTTCCTGCTTTTCGTGCGTGTATGTGTTACACTCAAAAATTACTATGTTATAGCTGTGCAGTTGGCTTTTTTGCTCTAATTGAATTATTTTTCCACTTTGTTTGCGCAAACGGCCAGTCCAACAGCAAAAAAAAGAGAGAGAGAGAGAGATGTTTGTAAATATTTAGAAAACTGTTATCTCTTCACATCTTTCCATTTTATTTGTACTATTTTCAGAGCCTCCCGTGAACCGACAATGTCAGCTCCGCTTTCCGCTCACTCGCGCGCAAAGGTTAGTGTTCAATTCCTCGACATTTTCATCTGACACGGATTATTTTTTCAGAATCAAGAAGACCCGGAGGAATGGGAAAACCACCTCATTCTTCGTGTTCCTAGTGACGTGGCGGCGCGAATGACACACGCGGTCCATAGGACTCCGCACTCAGAGGAACTCGGAATCTGCATAAACGAAGACAACCGGAATGTCCAGATTCGACTGGGAAATCAAATTCTACCCGCCAAGATTCTGGACCTGCCGACTATTTCCGAGGTGCGTTCAACATTCAATTTTATGTTAACACCTGGTTGCGGAATGGAAAACGTTTCACCACGCTTAACACTTGCAGTTTCCTTTAATAACTTTTTTCAGATCCACAAGACGACAGACAATACAACACTCTACAAAGTGGCCGACGTCTCCCAAATCATTATGTGTGACGGCGCAATGTCCCCGAAAAAGGACAAAAAACTGAAAGAGCAGGTGAAAATGGAAGGAGAAGAAGAACCAGAAGCAGGACCTTCAGTCATGAAACCGAAGACGGCTCGTCAGATCGCGAGAGAGGTTCGTTGTCCCGACCGACAATGTTCCGAGTTAATTGCCGGTTTCAGAGACTGAAGGAGTACCACTACCCGCACGGAATCACGGCGCCCATGAAGAACGCGAAGAAGAGACGATTCCGCAAGAAGAAGGAGAAGAAGATAATGGCGGTGGAAGAGGTTTGATGAATGGAAGTGGCCTGACGCAAAAGAACACATGTTTTTTTTTTCAGATTGAGCGGGAGCTGAAGAAACTGCTCAGGTCGGACCTGGAGGCGCAATCGGTTCGCTGGGAAATCGTCGAGGACGATGGAACGGTAATTGATTCATTCTTGACTTACATCTGTATGTAAGAAAAACTTTCTGTTCAGGGCATCCCTGAGACCCTAGAAGAGGATTCTGAGAACTACGATCCGGAGGACGGAAGCGATCTGGACAAGGACGATGATGACAATTTGGAACTCACCGACGATGACGATCTTTAACTGTCTCATCAATTTTCTCATTTTTTTTTGTCTCGTACATGCTTTACTATTTGGAATACTTTAATTCGGGAGGACAAATAAACAAACAATATCAAACGCACACATTTTTTGGTATGAAATCAGATTGGCAACATTGTGGACGAACAAGTCGTTACGATTCCAGTTTTGAGTGAGAACTAGGCTGGGGTCGTGGGGATTTGAAATGATAAATGATCAACTAGAATAATATGTAACAAGTAAAGAAAAATTATGTCAGTATGTTGGCGGAGTTCTTGCGAGCTTTCGATTCTGCCGACTTCTTTTTGGTCTTTTTTGGAGAAGAGATCGGTTTTTCGGGCTGAAATTATAAATTGATTAGTCACCGTTGTTGGGAAAAATTCTACCTTCTTGTACACCTGCACTTCAATCTCATCTTCTCTGTCCGAATCCCTTGATTGTCTACTGGATCGTGACAAACTTCGTCGAACACGTTCCACAAGACGAGATCCCATATTTTTGAACGGATTGCGACCACCTACAGGAAAAGTGACATAGTTTTTGCGGTAAAAATTGCTTTACCTCTTGGCAATGTAGCGTAATTACTGCTAACACCTTCCTCGACTTGCCCGAGACTGTGCATCAACGCTGAGTTGGCAGCTTCTTCCTGAACGTCAATGTTTCTAGATGCAAAAAAGTAGAAGAAAAACGAACAAATTTCCTCTGCTTCCCATTCTGAGTTGTCTCCACCGATCGCGACTTCCTAATGCCGAAAAAGCCTCGTTTGTCCACGCGCGGCTCATCAATCGCCTCAAACGCCTTGGCCATTAACTTGACTGATGGCTGTCCGCCGCGAGCCAACTCTTCTCTCCTCACTCTGTACAAGATGTTGGCGCCGGTGCTGTTGGGACGGGATCGGCTGCCATCTTCGGTCACCTCGTCTTCACTGAACTGACTGCGGTTGTCAAACGAAGCCGCGCGACTCATCGAGTACTCTTCGTTGGATGTTTTTCTACCCGGCACGCCTGAAATTAAATCTTAAAAGCTCAGCTATAGTTCAACTAAGAACTCACTTAGGTTGTTACTGGAGGATGGCTCGTAATAAAGACCTCTTCTGTTTGGACGTCCGTACTTGTCAAACCCACTTGAACTTTCAGTGCTTAACATTGATAATATCAGTTTCAAATTTCTTCCAATCAGATATTCTGCGGATTCTACTATACTTTTTGAAAGTACCAGTTAGAGTAACTGAGAGATAAAGTCAAAATCACATATTCCACAGAAACTTTCAACAACAAACAACAAAAAAGACGGCAAAAACCTACCTGAATGAGCGCTTCGTCGTGTAATTGCTGATGGCGTTCAACTTTTCCGGTTTACTATAATACGGCTCAGTTTCACTAATTGTCGTCGAAACAGAAGCGATAGTAGTTGGAATTGGAAGGTTAGCATTTCTGGAAATGATAGAGAAAAAGACACATGCGCAGTAGAAGTGGGTAGTAAATGAACTGAATGGACACACATCACGAATGAAAGTGATGTAAAATACGAAAAACATCTAGAGATTACTGTAGAAGTGGAAAAGGGTTCTATGGGAAACTCACCTGTAGGCGTGACGAAGCGGAGCACTGGTGACTGACCGAATCGAGAACGAGGACTGACTAATGTTGTCGTAAGTACCCTCTCCACATTCTGATATCGATGGCGCATACCCGTTTGAAACCTTTTCACCGAGCACGGACCCTGCTCTCTCATCTCTGAAAGGCAATTTGGTTATTGAAAAGACACGTCTTCTTACGGATTCAAATTGTTGGCTGCTTCGTCATCCCTTAAAACGGTGAGTTGGTTGATGATGTACCGTATTCCATCAGGCTCATTCTCGCGAGAAGTCTTCCGGGTAGCTTCACTGACGTACGCGAGTTGGTCAATGATACTGCTCAAGCGGTACTTTCGAGTAAGCTTTTGGAGTTCATTGAGATGCACAATTTGTTGGAGACGTTCTCTTTCAGATTCAATCATTTCCTAAAGTCAATTTTTTAAGTTTCTTGTTTCTTAATGTTTGCTTACCTTAACAACCTGCTGGCTGTCCTTATTCTGCGACAAGTTCTTCTGCTCAATCTCGAGCACACGAATCTGCTCTCCGAGTACTCGGATCGTCTTCTGCGCCTCATTTTTCTGCCGATTCTTCTCTGCAGTTATCTCCGTTATCTTGTCGTTCAACCGATCCATTTCCTTCGAATAGAATGTCTCACAATCCCGATATTGCTTCCGAATCGTTTCCACCGAATCAGTATTATCAATCTTTTCGTTGCGACCTCGTGCTCTATCAATATTCCACAGGATTTGATCGGCTTTCCGTGCTTCTTTTGTTAACCGTAAGTCCGTGTTCAAGCGCTCCAGTTCTTCTTCTTTAGCAGCTAACCGATTTTGCTAAAACGACAATATTTCAAGTCTTGTTCAATTATGCAAATTTACCTGAATACTACGTAAGGTCAAACTTGGTTAGTTGCATGTGATGGTACCCGTGATTATGTTATTGTAATGGGACAAAGCATAGCAAACAAACGTGTGTTAAACGTGGTAAATGTGTGTTTTCTGTGACAAAGGTTAGGTGAGTTGAAAAATTGAAATGAAAAAAGTGACCAACTAACCAATTCTTTGACTCTTTCAGTTGACTCGCTGGCAGTTTTTTCTTTGACTTTCAAACTGCTTCTCTCATCGCACACTTGCTTTTCAAAGTTAGCGAGCGCTTCTTTGTTGGTATCACGTTCCCTTCTAGCCAACACCAACTGAAAAGCACGTTCAGAATTCACAGTCAATCCAATATAGTAGTCTTACCTGCGAGTGGAGTGCCTTATTGGTGTCCTCCATGATCCTCATCCTACTGCTGAACTTCTGCTGCATCGCATCAATCTCCACTGTCCTCAGCTTTTCACTTTTCCGGGTTTTGTGCTGGAACGCCTCCTTGTCCTTGTCCCAGCTCTGTTGCACTTTTGACAGTTGATCTTTCAGTTCGGCATTTTGAATGCGACACTCCTCAAGTGATGAGTCAGAGTCGGCGATTCTCTTTTCCAGGATTGACATTTGCTTTTTGAGTTCTAATACCAACATTTTCTCACTGTCCTGACGGCGGAGTGGCGAAGACTCCCCGGAAAATGAGTTTTGTGGAGTTGCTGAAAAATAATAACGTGATTTCATTCATGCTAAGTTTGAAATCTTACATGTGGACTCCTTCATTTCATGTTCATCCGGCAATTGCTTCTTGAGCGTTGCAATCTCTTTCTCCAGTTTCAGTTTCTCAAGTTTCCACGCCGAATCACTCTTCTTGTGATCTTCGGTCAACTTCTCTGTAAATAAGAAAAGATAAATATGCCAATAAGGGTTCATAACCGTACTCAAATGCTCTTCCGCATCATCCTTCATCTTTTTCATCGCCGCCAGCTCGTTCTTCGACCGATTCCTCTCTCCGTTCATTTTTTCTCTTTCGGCTTCAAAAATACTCTCCAGTTTTTTGTACTTGATCTCGAATTCCTTGACCGTCTTCTTATCCGTCTCCATTTCTTGCATTTCCTTCCTTAGTGCCTCCACTTCTACTCTCAACTTCTTATTTCTCTCTTCTTGTTCTTCCAAAGCCCTCGTTTTCTCGATCAAAGTAGTCGACTTGGACTCCAACAGCTCCGAGAGCTCATCATTTTGCCGCTTGAGATCCGCAATTCTGATACCCAGCGTCTTGATCTCCTTCTCGAAAATCTGCCGCTGTTTCTCAATCTCAATTGTCCAGCGATCTTCAGTCTGCAGCACTTGATTCGTCAAATCCTTGTTCTTCTTTTTGTAGAATGAGATCTCATTTGTTTGCTCTTCAATGTTCTGCTGCAGTTGATCACACTTGGGGCACTTTGCTTCCAGAAGATTCTCCTTGCTTGGCACTTTCTTCACTGTCGCTCCCGGTGTTGCACTCTTGATATTGTCCAATTTCAGGTGCACATTTTTCATTTCTTGCATGACATTCGCCAGTTCAACAATGATCGCTGCTCCACTGTCTTTGGAGAGCGAACGACGTCTTTCGTCCTGAAATTTAAGATACTACACGTTTCGTATTGTTCAGCTCACCTTCTGTGCATGATCAATTTTCTCAAACTGTTTGCACAGCCTTCCGGTCTGAGTCTCAACGGCTGCGAGCACCTCACAACACTGCTCGATCTCATCAATAGTCGGCACCTTTCCTTGCAGCTCGCCCACAGTCTCGATTGCCAGTTTCTCACTTAACTGCTTCTCGAGATCTTCAATGCGCCGTTTGAGCTCATCCGAATACTGCGTCTCCCCGTCTTTTGTCTGTTTTTTGTGAAGTGTAGTACATCTCTCGTTCACCATCTGCAGCTGACCGTTCAACTGCTCAATCTTGGTGGCCAGGGAGATCACTTTCTGATTATCGGACTTGAATACTGTTGTTTTGAGCTCATTGACTTGAGCTTCGAGCGCTTTTCGTTTCTCCTGCTCTTTTCGCAACTCGGTCGTCGTTGTTCCAGACGGCACAACAAAGTTCGGCTTCAACGTTTTCGTTTCCAACTGTTTGACCTGAGTTGTGAGCTCAAGGTTTTTGCGCTCGAGCTCGCTGATTGTCGATATCATCTTTGACATGTCCTTTTCCATTTCGGGCGTCAATTTGAATTCGCCAGCCTTGGAATGGGCTAATGTTACGCCCCCACGCTTGCAGTCGGCCTCCAATTCGACGATTCTGAAATGAAAAAGTGAGAGAAAGTAATTTTTTCGAGATAGTACTTCTTGTTCAGGTGGTCGTTGGTCTTTTCGAGCCTTTCGACCTTGGTGTTCAAATGTTGCACTTGGCTCTCTGCCAACTCCAATTGCAGGTGAGCATTTCCATCGCTGAAAACACAAACATTACCACCAAGACAATTACAGTAAGCCCATCAACACACAAACATAAAATTGAAGAGAAAAAAGAACCCAGAGAAGAAGAGAGAAGTAGAAAAGAGAGAAGTTTGAAGTTTTCCCTTCAACAGATTGGATTACTAACTAAACGTGGATTTTTGAACACACAAAAAGCATCAAAAACAATTTTCAAAGAGAGAAAAAACAGACAAACAAACAAACCAATGTCGAATATATAAATTATAACGAGACTAACCTCCTGAAATGTGTTATTATGTTCTGTTTCTGATATTTCTATCTACGTGTTCACAAGTGTGCGTTGTTAGTTTTTACCATAAATTGCCACATTTAAAGTAAAAGACAAAGACTAGATACGCACTTGAGCACAACACGCAGTGACCAACCTAGCCGATCGGATCATGGGCGGACGCAGTTTGCTCGCCTTTGATAGCTTTTTCAGAAGCTCGTCGTTCTCATTCTCAACGTCCTGAAAGTAAAATGAATTTTCCGAACAAGAGTGCATAAAATACTCACCTGCAATCGGATCTGAGTCCTCTTCAAGTCTTCTTCAGAGAATCGGAGCTGCTCACGAAGGTCAATTTCCCTTTCGAGAGCATCACGGAGCTCTTTGGACATTTCATTCTCCGGGATGTTGGGAACACTTGCGGCAATTTCAGCAGACAAACGTTTCTGAACAAAAAAAGTTAAAAACAATTAATTGATCGCAAGTTCTCACAACAGCAATGTCCGTTTTGTTGCGTGCTTCTCTCCACTTATTCTGCGTCTGCATCTCCCTGACTTTCTCTTTCAGGTAGAAGACCTCATCTTCCAGTTTACACCTCTTCTCTTCAGTTTGCTCGAGCTCATTGTGCAGGCGAACCGAGACTTCCTTGGCCACCCTGATCTCGTACTCTAACTCCTTCACTTTTGCACTGTCTGACTTGATGGATGCAGCCACTGCTTCGGGGCAACTGTTCATGTACTCCTCCAACTTTTTCTCCGAGTGCATCTTCTCAGCCTCCACTTGCTCTTTATTCCTTTCCGTTTTACGCAGTTTGAACTGAAGAACACGGCAGTTCTTGGCATTGAGCTCGAGTTCCCTTTGAAGTTCTCTGAACTCTTCAATCTCTTCTTCTCTATATTGGTCCTGAAAAGAAGAAAAAAGTATGGGAACAAAATGAAGCGACGAACCTGCATCTCTTCAATTTCCTGCTGCAAATCTTTGACCTCCGCCTTGAGCTGCTCGTTTTCTTCCATCAACTCATCGCATAATCCTTCCGTGGTACGAATCTTCTCACGAAGTTTCTCATCTGACGTGGCGTACGTGGTTTCCTAAACAAAATCTCTCAATGAAACGGAAAATGGATTGTATTTCACCTGCAACTCTCTGAGCTCACACTTCAACACCGTATTCTCATCCCGATAGTCTTGAATCTGATTTTCAGCTTGATTCAGACGATCTTCAAGCATATTGATCAAAGATGACTCGCTTTGTTCGGCGTTCTGAAGTCGTTGACGGAGAGCCCACTGCGCTTTCTCCTCCTAAAAAGACATCGTCATAACTCGATTGCATCTTCTTTTCAAAAAAAGGAGAAAACAGAAAAGAAGAAGAATAAAGAGGGCAAGTCGCTTTTGCCCTATTTCCTCCTAACTTGTCCTCACCTTCAAACTATGGTTGATATCCCTTAACTGACTGATCTCTTCTTTCAAGGTGTGGATGTATTCTGTCTGAAAAAAAGACAGATTGGTGAAAGGAAAGGAAGCGGAGTAGTTGGAATAAAGTCGATGAAAAGGAAAAAAGATACTCACTTCGTTTTCCGTCGGTGTAATGGCCCGTTCTTCTTCGCAAATGCTACCGCTGAACGCTGTCACCATGCTTTTAGTGTCATTCACACTTTCGCACGATTTGGTCGATGACATGCCTTTTGACGTGGCCGACAGGTACGAGGAGACCGACAATGCTTCGGTGTCATCTGAAATTGTTTCTATTTTCTGCCTAATCCAGAAATAGTTATCCGAATTCCTACTACCTACAAAACTCACGTATTTGAGGCAATGTTTTTGCATTTGCAATCAGATTCCCATTCCTATTATCAGCAGCAGCAGCAGTTACTGAGCTATCGGTGCCTAGGCCGGAAGCGACCGAAAAATAGGAAGAGACCGAGACCGTATCCCTGACGTCTTCCGGTGGAGCGCATGATATCTGATTACCCATAGCACTTCTGTGAAGAGAGTCAAGAATCACATTGCAAAACGGGGCAACGGGGCAACGGGGGCGGCGGCGGGCAGAAGAGAAGGACGCGAAAAGTGAGGCGAGTCGTGTGCTCCGGCGAAGAGCTCTCCGAGTTTTGTGGGCACAGGAAATTGTGGTAAGTAGATTTGTATTTTAATACCCAGAGGAGTTTGAAGCCGCCTACGCTTTCTTCAGAGCCTTACAAGTAGAAATCAAGCGATGTTATGTAAAACAAAAGGTATTTGAAGAATTGAGATCCTGGATTCGACAAATAGGGTTAACACGTCACCTTGAAGAAAGGGGAGTGTACCTAACAATTTGTACCCACAAAATGAGAACATTTTATATAGCTCGTGGGCAGCAGGTTAAGAAAACACTTGAGCGAGTCATGAACAAAAGTTGGAAAAGCCTTCATATCTATCGGACCCATCTGTTTTGACACTTTTGACTCTCATGAGCAAGTGAGGCAATTACACTTTGGTCGGTCAAAACTCGGATTTGTTTTTGTCTTCGTCTATTCCAGAATTTGAGTACAAACTCACCATCGTCAGGTCCTCCATTATCCAGATTGTTTGCGGTTTTCCAACTTCTTCTCCGTTCCTTTTTCAACGCCGACAACGTGACTGTGGTGTCTTCGACATGCTTGTCCTAAACGTAATCTTGTTTGAATATTTGAGAGACAGAGTTCTATCTTACCTTGGGCCGAAAACACTTTTTACACCTCTCCTTCAGATAATTCTGTGGTTCAAAACCATTGCAAAGGTCATTCATTGAGCGAAATCTGAAAAATTATGTACAATAGATTTGAGTTGAACATATTTGAGATAGTTTTTGAAAGATTACCAATTTAGCTTCTCATAGTTGATGAGAATGATCGATAGAGGAGAAGAGAATGTTTGGATCACAAATGACGAGAATAGAAGGTTGGAGAGGATTGGGTGGGCACATGTTATTGTAAAACGGGAAAAGAAGGATGACAAGTGGCATGAAGAAGCGTTTTATTATTATTTTCTCCCCTTCCTTCTTTTTTTGTTCCCTCTATCTGGTTGAAGAAGCAAACACACACACACACACACTCACCAACCCAATCGTTGGCCTACTCATCACGCTTCAAATTTCAATATGTGATGGAAACAGATAATGATGAAATGATGGAAAGGCCTGGTTTGAAAAGAAAAGAGAGTGTAAATGAGCTTTTGAAAGTTCATCCAGTGACCTATGCTCCCATTTCAACTGTGAAGAGGTTTTTAGAATAGTTGCACAGAGGTCAACAATTTTCGCGCGAAAACCATCAGCACAAGGCACAGATTAGTCATTTTGTCTCGGGAATCAAGATCAGGATCAAAATCAACCCACGCAAAAGAGAATGAGTAATGCCCACTTTCTAAAGTTTCGAAATTTCACAGCTTTGCGCCTTCAAAAATGTGGTTATATTTCCGATAGAGTTCCGGAAATTCATAGAAAGCCTTCTGTAGGAAAGACCTTCTGAAAAACTTCCGTTTTCGGAATTCCGAATTTTTTCCCCACACCGCTGACTATGATAAGACAGAAAAAAAATCAGTACTTTAGTAGTTCAATAGATCAGTAAGTGTAGGAATGTCAAAAAGTCTGCGGAGTAGAGTAGAAGCGCGCCAGGAAAACCGGCTGACGTATCGTATCGGGAAAAATAGCTGCTGTCACGCTATCTGAGAATGTTGCAAACCAAAAGTCTCTCGCACTGTATTGTTTGTCGCGCCCCCTCTCTCTCCCTTACTCTCTGGGAGCTCCCCGTGGGGGGACAAGTGCGTGCACAAATATCCGTGGTGGGCTCGATCCGTCAGCCGTCTCAAGACAGAAATATGTACAAAAGTGGAGACGCAGCAAAAATGCGCATAAAAAACGGTCTACCTGATCGGGCTCATTGCGTTTCGATGATTTGATGATGGTTTGAAATAGCATAGCCAGCAACAAATTTTTTATGGTGTTGGAGTTGCGAAATCGGAATGAGGAATGAGGAATGAGAATCACACGGGAGGGGAAGGGGGGAGACGGAAAGTCTTTAGTTTCAATTCAATTCTGGCTCGTGTTTGTTTGGTGTTTGCCACAAGATTTCCGCATGCATAAAGTGCAGTTTCGTCTCTTGTCATTTTCCGTTCCGTCCTGCATTTACTTAGAAAAAAGTAGAGCTCAAACTGAAATTTTGGCCAGATTTGTCAGAAATGAGAACGTTTGAACCGCTGGTTACCAGAAACCGCTAGAAAATGTTGTGGAGAACGTGCTACTCGCAAATCGGAACGAGGATGATGGCGGAGCAAGGAGAGGGAGAAGGATAGGAAAGTGAAAAGAGTAAGGCGTGAGCGGAGGACAAAAAGTGTAAAGTTCCCCGGGCAAGAAGAGGGGATCCCGAGAGCCACGGCCCGAGAGTCTATCTCTGAACGCTCTCCCTTTCCTCATGTCCTCCTAATGACTCGTTGTCGGTCGGTTCTCTAGCGGGTCCTCGGGTCCCCGGCCCTCGGGGTCAATTGACACGCAAATCCTTCTTTTCCGTTTACCTCTGCAAAGTTTAGCAGGAAAATGAGAAGGGAGGAAGCGAGGAAAAGGAAAAGTACATGTGTAATTTGATGACGTCCAAAATGTTAGAACTTTGTCGCATACTCTTAGCACGTCTTTGTTAGGTTCTGGAGCAAACATAACGAATCCGTTCAGAACAATGAAAACACCCAGCTGATGTGACAGAACAAAAGTGACACTTTCTGATTTGAACTGAGAAGGGAAAAAGCAAAAAATAAACAGAATGTGGTGGTTTGTGTGTGGAATCCGAAAGCCAACCAACTGTTTATTATATTTATCGGATGGAAGAGGCGACAACGAAAAAAAATGGCTGGATGGGCCCGGCGGTCCTTCCTGCGCGGAAGAAGAAGAAAGAGGAAAAGTTGTCAACATATGCTTTCGCACAGACGATTTTCGAATAAAATAAAATAAAAAAGTGTGTGTGCGTGTGGGGGGTCCCCGGACCCACGGCGTGCCAAATCGAAAACAATAAAATACATATATTTTTATTTTGCGGCGCTCTCTTTGTTCCTTTTTCTCTCTCTCTCTCTCTCTTTCTCGCTTTTTCCATGAACTTATGGAGCATAAAAAAGTAAAAAGATAATCTAGAAAATGTGGAGCAAACAACGTGAGGTGTCATCTGAAATGAAAGGAGAAGTACGGACGAAAAAAAGGCAGGGGGAGGGGGTGGATGATTGAAAAGTAATGTTGAAAGGGAAAAATTGCAACGGCTTTCTCTTCCCACCGCCCCGCGACGATGAGTAATAAGACAAAACTAGGCTAATTTGTGGCGGCTCGACATCAAAGCACACTCATAAAATGATAGGGGACTAAGTGGACACCAGGAACGGAGAAAGTTGGAATGAAAGTACATTGTAACACAACTGAATTATTGTCCCCTCCCTCTCTCCTTCACCCTTCGCATTTCTAAGCTCAGGCCTCGAAACATCAATATGTATTAGGTGTCTTAGGCTCAATCATTACAACACAACACACATCCCCCCCCCCCCTCGGACCTCCGCTCACGTTTATGAGATGTGTGTGAGGAGACATCAACCAACTCGTTTCACATTTTCGAAATGAAATGTGCACTGCAACTGATAATGGGCACAATCCAGAGTTGATTAATCACTTTCCAACGTCAATGGAAAGAAAGTGAGGGAGAGAGAAAGAGAAAAAATGACCACTTGTTCAGTGTCGTCTCGGGCTTTGGCTTTGCGAGAGAATAATTCAGGAGAAAAGAAGATATTTCATCGGTCCCCTTCCAAGTTTTGTGTGTGTGTATGTGAACAGGTACTCACTCTCTCTCTCTCTATTTTTCTCGCACTGGACGAGTTGTGGGCACCAATGATATTTCTCTATCTTTCTCTTTCTTTAAGAAGGACATGTGACGTACATAGAATGTCAATTCACTGCCGAATTCTAACATAACCAAGTATGAAAATGTACAGTTCAACAGCATTTTCGTTCATTATTCAGATGACAAAAGGAGAGAAGACGATCGGCTTCATGATGTCCGGTTTCCGTGGGGGCAGCGTCGGCTCCTCGGACTCTCCAACATACATAGGTGTCAGCTCCTGCCCGCCTCCTCCACCTTTGTGATCGTCACCTAAAGGGGTGTGGTAGCGGTGAAACACGGTTGAGGAGTGGCCGAGTGGGCGGGATTTCACCGTCACTATGTAAATCGAGTACAAGAAGTCAAACTGTTCTCCACCTCTCTCTTCTTCTCTTTGACATTATTGCTATGCAAGAAGTTGAACTCTTTCTTCCTCTTTCCGACATTATTGCTATGCAAGAAGTTGAACTCTTAATCATCTCTCTCTTCCTCTCTTTGACATTATTGCTATGCCATTCTTAAACTCCTTTTTTTGTGCGAGAAATCTTGAAGCTGTCAATTCTTGATGAATCTGAGTATTGCGCAGGTGTTAATATTAAAGCAGACCTCCTCTCCTTCATGCTACGCCTTTTTCTTTTTCGTTTTCCCTTCAAAGTGCATAAAAAGACGTCTACTCACTTTTTCTCCAATAATTGATCATTGTCGAACATGAGGATCGAGTGAATAGAAGTCATCATGAACATTGTGAAAAACAATTTGGAAGTTGGAATTTGAGTTTTCTGCTCACTCCGCTTCTTATAAACACTGAAAATGAGAAGAGAGATCGGTGTAAATCAAGATGGAATGAGAAGAACAGGACGGGAAGAGATGAGAATGAATTCAAAATAATGAACAAGTTGGTCGGAAGAGTGACACCATCATATGCTCTCATTTTTCTCTTGAAACGCTCCCAAATTATGTGAAGCATAAGCGAAACGACATGTTGGCAGCCGCCCTCATCTGCTAGAGCTCTTCTATTATATATTCAACACGATTTCGCGTTTTTTTGAAAGGGAAAGTTTGAGATAATAGTAAAAAATGCGCAAAAAGACCAGGGTTGTCCCTTTTCAAACTGAACACTGAATATGAATGAAGATTCGAGCATGTAAGAAAGGAGCTGACTGCGGGAAAAGAAATACTGCATTTCGGGGTGCTAGCCGTGATCGACAACGCACCTGCCGGAGGGAATACGCTAATTGGGAGTAATAACCTGCTTACATGCTTGAGGCTTGGTCTAGAAGGCGGATACATTGAATAATGCAACGTTTCCCATGAGAGACGTTCTCTGACTAGCGACTTTCTCAGGCTGTTTTCTAATGAAGTTTTTCACCTTTTCCCATTTCTGCACAATGTTTTCTTTTTCTGAAAACATGAAACACTCGTTTCTTTGATGAGTAATCTCGTCGGAAACATGCTCTTCCATTCTGGGACCAAGAGCGTTGTAAAATGTTCAGCGATGTGTAATTACAGAAGGACATGAAAATCGACAATGTTACATTAGTTAAAACATTAGCAAAAAAAACATTAGACAATGTTACATTAGTTAAAAAAGTTGAAAAAACAATTCTCTCTGGAACACGTGTTCTTCTTGTCTATAAATCAGGAACCAATCGATGAAATTCTCTCCAAGATCACATGAGATCTCCTTTTGCCAGTACGGACCCATTCTCATCGATACTTTCCCCAATTCGAACAGTGTTCATATTCTGGAACACGTGTTCTTCTTGTCTATAAATCAGGCACCAATCGATGAAATTCTCTCTAAGAACACATGAGATCTCCTTTTGCCAGTACGGACCCATTCTCATCGATACTTTCCCCAATTCGAACAGTGTTCATATTCTGGAACACGTGTTCTTCTTGTCTATAAATCAGGAATCAATCGATGAAATTCTCTCCAAGATTACATGAGATCTCCTTTTGCCAGTACGGACCCATTCTCATCGATACTTTCCCCAATTCGAACAGTGTTCATATTCTGGAACACGTGTTCTTCTTGTCTATAAATCAGGAATCAATCGATGAAATTCTCTCCAAGATCACATGAGATCTCCTTTTGCCAGTGCGGACCCATTCTCATCGATACTTTCCCCAATTCGAACAGTGTTCATATTCTGGAACACGTGTTCTTCTTGTCTATAAATCAAGAACCAATCGATGAAATTCTCTCTAAGATCACATGAGATCTCCTTTTGCCAGTACGGACTCATTCTCATCGATACTTTCCCCAATTCGAACAGTGTTCATATTCTGGAACACGTGTTTTTCTTGTCTTTAAATCAGGAACCAGTCGATGAAATTCTCTCTAAGATCACATGAGATCTCCTTTTGCCAGTACGGACCCATTCTCATCGATACTTTCCCCAATTCGAACAGTGTTCATATTCTGGAACACGTGTTCTTCTTGTCTATACATCAGGAACCAATCGATGAAATTCTCTCTAAGATCACATGAGATCTCCTTTTGCCAGTACGGACCCATTCTCATCGATACTTTCCCCAATTCGGACAGTGTTCGTATTCTGGAACACGTGTTCTTCTTGTCTATAAATCAGGAACCAATCGATGAAATTCTCTCCAAGATCACATGAGATCTCCTTTTGCCAGTACGAACCCATTCTCATCGATACTTTCCCCAATTCGAACAGTGTTCATATTCTAGAACACGTGTTATTCTTGTCTATAAATCAGGAACCAATCGATGCATTTTTTTTCAGAATTCAAATATGATTTCTTCTCGTCAGCACGTTGATGTTGTATAGCGCTGATCAAGAGGAACCCTGGGTGAGGAGTGAAAGGTCAAAGTTGTCCCACTGGTTTGATAGCTGATTTTCAGACTCCCCATCATGCGTCCATAGAAACCAGTGGCGCAGCTAGCCGATTCATCTGAAATTACGTGTTTCTTGATTCTAGACGTCCGGATTATTAAACCGCCTTCAGGACAACGGACTCAAGTATACCTAGTAACTGCATTATCGGAGTCAGTTTCTGATTCATCGTAGGATAGACACTATGATAAGACAAATACGAAACAAAGGAAATTTGTACGCTTTATTATTATTTAAAAAAAAGATTTCAGCAAATAGTTTGAATAAATGATAACTTGTAGACAACTTTTCAAAAGACAGAGTGTATTAAGGAATTTAGAGTTCTATTGGAGAACAGGATGTTGTCATATTTTTGCTTGAAACTGGCGATTCGGAAAATGAAGATGGGTGGAGATTGGCGGATTGGGCAAACGATTCGATTGTATCAATTGAACTTAGAGGTATTTCTTTGCATAGTAGGCAGGAGGCCGGCGCTTTGCGTCGAAGTTGAGTAAGTAGTCGATGACGATGAACAAATATTCTACATTTTCCTGGGTGTCATCTTCACGGATGTTTTCCTGTAACAAAATAATTTAAAAACGGCCAATCACTTTTCAACTCACCTTGAGCAGTGGGAATGGTCCCACTTGATCTTCCCAACTGCGATTAGCAACTATTCTCAAGTACTCTGGACTCCTAAAAACAAAAGTATTATTCATATTGATACCAGGAATATTGCTTACTGCATAATTTCCGCTTCGGCCATCTGGTCGAGCGATGGTTCCTTATCAAGGACATCCATCATCATGAAGAACTGCACGATATCCGCCGGTCTGTTCGGTTGACTTCTCGGCCCTTTGAACAAAATTTCGCCAGTGTAGAGCTCGGCAAGTATGCAGCCGACTGACCATATGTCGGTTGTTTCTATGTATGGTAGTCCTGAAAACAAATGATTAATAGATTATTTCCAAAAACACGACTAACCAAGGAATATTTCGGGAGCTCGGTAGTATCGCGTCTGAACCATTCCGAATTGCTCCTCGTCTTCGGTCAATACGGTTGTTTTACTGTAGTCCACTAGTTTGATGTGCAAGTCCTTGACCACGATATGGCAAGTGTCCTCCTTGAATTTTTTCAATCTAACATCCAGAAGCGGACTGTTGAAAATTATGTTTTCCGGTTTCAGATCCAAATGAACAACTTTCAACTTGTCGAGAACCTCCAAGGCTTCCAAAAGTTGTTTACCAATAGTGAATATGTCCTCGACCGGGAAAGAATGGATATAGCCCTCAGTACGTTCTTCTGCCCCCTCCATTACATCGCGGATAGAAGGTCCCAACAGTGGCATGAGAACCATCCATCGAGAATATCCCTCCACTTTGGTAGCGACTTCGCCGAAAGTGCACAGCGGCATCAAGTTTTTGTGGTTTTCTGTGCCAATCAGCTCCATCATCTGGAAAATCACGTTATAACACTAATGATGAGAATAGTTAACTCACACTCTGTTCGCGACCATACGACATTGCTACATCATTGCACTTCTTCGACACTCTCAAAGCCCATGCCTTCTTCTAAAATGTGGTATATAATGGTCAAAGAACAGTTTTGAACGTACGTTTTTATCAATTACGCGGTACACTTTCCCAAAGGTACCCTCATCGATCATACTCACAATGATGACTGGAAAATGCATTTGATGATGCTGTTTTCTGGTTATCAACTCACATTTATCGCCGCTTTTAGTAACTAAAGATAGCTGGCTTTCTCTGAGAACCGGAGACCTGAGACTCTCAACTTCCGACTCTGTTAATTCCTCAACTTTTGGCCCGGAGCCCAGGCCCGGAGACCTAAGAGCATTTTCCACGAATCCGACCAAGGGAGCTTTTTCTGGAATCTCAGCTTCCGACTCTGATAATTCCTCAACTTTTTGCTTCTTGCCCAGGCCCCAAGACCTGAGAGCATTTTCCACGAATTCGATCAAGCGAGCTTTTTCCGGACTCTCAGCTTCCGGCTCTGGCAATTCCTCAATTTTTGGCTTCTTGTCCCGGACATCAGACCAATGGGTTTGTTTTGTGGTGCGCTTTCTCTCGGAGCTCATCGCTATCCTGAAATAAAAGTGATTAGCACTACTACTTTTTGAAACGATGAAGTGACGGCATGACATAAAAGACAAATAATGAAAAGACGTCGTAGCTAGGAGAAGAACCCATGGATGGTCGTTCTAAAAAGACTGCCGGACGACAACGAAGAGAACACCGTCTAGGCGACTAGCACCTCGGAATGAATAGGATAGAGACTGAGTGGAGAGCGAGGAGTCTGTGCGCGCGCGCACCTGTAAATCAATAGGCACACTCACTCACAGCGCGCTGCGTACTGTAGGTCACCGAGACCGTCTTCCCCCAGGCAATGACAGTGGGAAGGTCTTTTAGCATGCCTTCTTGCTTCACCGATTGGAATACGAAAATAGACAACAAGACGGGGAGAAGTATGTATATTCAAAAGAAGCAGCAACACAGTGAGTCGAAGAATCGCTAACTCCCACCTATGAAACTGACGTATCGTCATCTTCTGAGTTGTTTTTGAAATTGAAACCACTACAAAATAAATACATCAATTATTCCAAGTGTCATCTGCCACTGAAGACGCGAATAGTTTCTAGAAATTGACGGGACAGAAGGGACGGTTGAAAAAAAGCCTGAAGACTACCGTAACCGGTTACCCCACAGAACGAGGAGGAGGACTGCGTGCTCAGGAATGGTGCACCGTTAGGGATCGTAAGGTCAGCTCACACGCAGCGGTTTGCGGGCCGCTGGACTCTGCACCGCGACCTTCCCCCAGGCCATGACGGTAGGAAGGTCCCTTGTCTCTATTGCCTCTATTGGATGAGAATACGGAAATGGAGAAGAACAGAGGAGGGAGAAGTACATTTAAAGAATCCAGCAAGGCCAGAGAGCCTACGAAACTATGAAAAAGACAGTGGTCTCTACAATTTCGAGTGCGACATCAAGTCATATTTTGGTCATTATTCTTGGCGACTCCGGAAGTGCACGAAACGGGTAAAAAATTAAAATACGGTGGGCGAAGGCAATTTATGGATGAAAGGCTGAAAGTATAATTAAGTCTGAACGAATGAATGCTCGATATTGTGGTCTTCACACCGCAATACTTAAAACAACTTACAAACATGAAATGAGTGACTCATAAAAAAGGGTGACTAACGGACAAGGCTGTCAAAAACAGGGCCGTGGCCTCCTGTTTCGATAGGCCACCGTGACAAATTCCAGGCCGTCTCTTAAAAAATCGACTCAGCAGATCAAAATGACTGAGAAAAGCCGGACCGCTGTGCACTGTGCGCTCGGCATCCAGCAAACTGAATTATGGTCATCTTCTGATTTGTTTTTGAAATTGAAACCACCACAAAGTGAATGCACCAATTATTCCAAGTGTCTGCGTGCTCAAGAATGGTGCACCGTTAGAGATCGTAAGGTCAGCTCACTCGCAGCGGTTTGCGGGCCGCTGGACTCTGCACCGCGACCTTCCCCCAGGCCATGACTGTAGGAAGGTCCCTTGTCTCTATTGCCTCTATTGGATGAGAATACGGAAATGGAGAAGAACAGAGGAGGGAGAAGTACATTCAAAGAACTGATAATTGAAAACTACTCTACGACAGTTCATTATTAGGTAGGTACTAGATTGCAGCGCCCTCCAAGACACTCCTGCAAGCAATCGTAATAAAAACCACCTGCAGATATTTAAATTCGAGACAGTTCTGATTGAGGAGAGTTCTGAGCCCTTCTTTCTCCGATTCACAAACCGACAGAAGTGCTCTGAATACCTTCTGATTCAGTTCCCAACTCCCCTCTCCTTCTTCAAACAAACAGGCGCATTTAACTTAATCTCTCTTAATGACTCATCAACTACATCTTCATCTTACTCCAACGCCCCGCATCTTTCGAATGCCACGTCGTTATCCTTTCTTTCTATCGTCTTCTGCACAGTACTTTGTCTGTCAAAATCGGGAGAAAAAACTATATGTATGTAAAATTGATGATTTGTGACAAATTTCATAGTTTCATGAGATCATTCGTTAGCAAGGCTGTCAGGCGGCCGGCCGGTCGCCACATTTTGTTTTGGCTGGATGCCGAGCGCACAGTGCACAGCGGCTCGGCTTTTCTGAGTCACTTTGATATGCTGAGTCGATTTCTTAAGAGACGGTCCGGAATTTGTCACGGTGGCCTATCGAAACAGGAGGCCGCGGCCCTGTTTTTGACACCCTTGTCTGTTAGTCACCCTTTTTTATGAGTCACTCATTTCATGTTTGTAAATTGTTTTAAGTATTGCGGTGTAAAGAACACAATATCGAGCATTCATTCGTTCAAACTTAATTATACTTTCAGCCTTTCATCCATAAATTGCCTTCGTCCACCGTATTTTGATTTTTTACCCGTTTCGTGCACTTACGGAGTCGCCAAGAATAATGACCAAAATATGACTTGATGTCGCACTCGGAATTGTAGAGAACATTGTCTTTTTCATAGTTTAGTAGGCTCGCTGGTCTTGTTGGATTCTTTGAATGTACTTCTCCCCCTTCTGTTCTTCTCCACTTTTGTATTCTCATCCAATAGAGGCAATAGAGTTAAGGGACCTTCCTACAGTCATGGCCTGGGGGAAGGTCGCGGTGCAGAGTCCAGCGGCCCGCAAACCGCTGCGAGTGAGCTGACGTAACGATCCCTAACGGTGCACCATTCTTGAGCACGCAGTCCTCCTCCTCTTCTATTACACCGTTCTGAGGGGTAACTACATAGTTACGGTAGTTGGGGTTATTGCCCTCTGTCTTCAGGCTCTTTTTGGAACCTTATCACCTCTGGTTGTTTCCAATAGTTGGCAAGTTTCTTGTGAAGTCATTTGTTATTTAATAAGTTTTTTCATAAAAGCGTTGTGTCTAGTTCTCAGAAACCACGTTTTCAGTTTCAGTTGATACCCCCTTCATTTTGTAGCAGTTCTATCCGAGAAATAACTTGAAGAGTGATCACAATCTGATATAGCTCGATATACTCATCCCATTCCAAAATCAATCCAGTGAGTGAGCCTATCGATTTCCAGGTGCGCGCGCGTACTGTCGCCTCGCTCTCCACTCTTGCGCACGCATCTCCACTCTGGCGCACTTCCTTATTCATTCCGCGGTGTTAATCGCCTAGACGGTGTTCTCTTCGTTGCCCAGCCCTTTTTTCAGAAAACCATCCCTGGGTTCTTCTCCTTGCTACGATCTTGCTGTCTTTTGATTATTTGTCTTCTATGTCATGTCGTCACTTTACCGTTTCCTAGGCTCTCGAAGCGACAGTTTTTGTGGTTTCCCTTTTAGTAAATCAAGTTTCTGTACTAAGACTCCAAACAGTAGGCCTCCTCATCAACACTAACAATGATCCGTTGTGATCCGCGTCCACACCACGTGAGCGCAGGACGGATCGACTAAGTTACTAGTAACATCAATTTGCGCCTCTTCTATTTCATCTTCGTTCATGTCATCTCAAAAAATAGTAGTGCTAATCACTTTCATTTCAGGATAGCGATGAGCTCCGAGAGAAAGCGCCCCACGGAACAAATCCATTGGTCTGCTGTCCCGGACAAGAAGCCAAAAATTGAAGAACAATCAGAGCCGGAAGCTGAACTTCCGAAAAAGGCTCCCTTGCCCGAATCCGTGGAAGTTGTTATCAGTTCTCCGGCCCCCAGAGGAAAACGAGAAACGGTGGTTACAGAAAGCGGCGAGAAGTGTGAGTTGATAGCAAGGAAGCAGTCACATTAAATGATTTTTTCAGTCACCATTGTGAAACTGATTGCTGAGGGAACCTTTGGAAAAGTGTACCACGTAACTGATAAAAACGTACGTTCAAAACTCGTCTTTCGTCATTATATATCATTTTTTCAGAAGAAGGAATGGGCTATGAAACTGTCGAAGAAAAGAAATCGTGTAGTTCGGTTTTATGATCACGAAAAGAAAGTGAGTTACCTATTCTCAATTTTATTTTTATAACGTGATTTTCCAGATGATGGATATGATTGGCTCAGAAAACCACAAAAACTTGATGCCGATGTGCACTTTCGGAGAACTTACTACCAATTTGGATAATTGTTCTCCATGGATGATTCTCATGCCACTGTTGGGACCTTCTGTCCGCGAAGTGATGGAGAGGGCAGATGACGCTATTCTGGGCGTCTTCCATTCTTTCCCTGTGGAGGACATATTCACTATCGGGAAACAACTTTTGGAAGCCTTGGAGGTTCTCGACCAATTAGGATTGTTTCATTTGGATCTAAAACCTGAAAACATACTTTTCAACAATCCGAATCTGGATGTTAAATTAGAAAAATTTAATAACAGCACTTACCATACCGTGGTCAACGACTTGCACATCAGGCTAGGAGACTACGGTAATACAACCATCGTCACCAGAGGCGAGGAGCAATTCGGAAAGGTTCAGACACAATACTACCGAGCTCCCGAAATATTCCTTGGTTAGTTGTGGCTTTGGAAATTTAATTTCAATCTTTTTTTTTCAGGACTGCCATACATAGAAACAACGGATATATGGTCAGTCGGCTGCGTACTTGCCGAGCTCTACACGGGCGAAATTTTGTTCAAAGGGCCGAGAAGTAAACCGAACAGACCGGCGGATATCGTGCAGTTCTTCATGATGATGGATGTCCTTGATAAGGAACCATCGCTCGACCAGATGGCCGAAGCGGAAATTATGCAGTAAGCAATATTCCTGGTATCGATATGAATAATATTTTTGTTTTTAGAAGTCCACAGTACTTGAGAATAGTTGCTAATCGCAGTTGGGAAGATCAAGTGGGACCATTCCTATTGCTCAAGGTGAGTTGAAAAGTGATTGGCTGTTTTTAAAGTATCTTGTTACAGGAAAACATCCGTATAGATGACACCCAGGAAAATGTAGAATATTTGTTCATCGTCATCGACTACTTACTCAACTTCGACGCAAAGCGCCGGCCTCCTGCCTACTATGCAAAGAAATACCTCTAAGTTCAATTGATACAATCGAATCGTTCGCCCAATCCGCCAATCCCCACCCATCTTCATTTTTCGAATTGCCAGTTTCAAGCAAAAATATGACAGCATCCTGTTCTCCAATAGAACTCTAAATTCCTTAATACACTCTGCCTTTTGAAAAGTTATATGCAAGTCATCATTTATTCAGACTATTTGCTGAAATCTTTTTTTAAGAATAATAAAACGTATTTTTCTCAACATAATTTCTATCCTACGATGAATCAGAACTTACACCGACAAAGCAGTGGGGGGCAACACAAGAACAGAGGAGGTTGATGTGTATGTATAACTAGCGGATCTGAAAAAACCTGAAGGTGATTGGGGCATTACTAGGAATAAGGGCATAAGTTCCTTGTCTAGCGGCGCCCGGCGCCAGCGCCATTATATATACGCCCAATGGGCAATTGAGCATCGTGGCCAAGGTGGTATAGGTGTTTAACCACGTTCTCAGTAATCTGAAGACCGCAGATTCGAGCCCAGTCTAGTACAAAGGAGTTTGCCTCGGTTCGACACTGATTGTGACGACTTTCAGACGTGACTAAAGGAGGTGACGACTCCGGAAGTGCACGAAAGGGAAATCGAAACATGAATCAAAAAGCCGACTGGGAAAAGGCAAACCATGAATAAAAGGCTGAAAATATGAATAAGTCTGAACGAATGACTACTCGCTTCTGTGCTCTCTACAAAGGTGCGGGATGCTTGAAACACGCCAAAACATTTTTCCGACCCGGCGGTTGGATTGAAATTTCCGAGCCAGCGACATAATTCTTCTCTGTTGATTATTTATGACCAATATAACCCATAGAAGTAATTTAGACAATTAAACCAACCTGACAACCTGCTACAGTCGCGAAATGTCCAGATTGGTGCCCCTAAGGACACTCCTGCAATCTGGTTATTAGTGATTCTAGTGCTTGCACCAGGTATTCTAGTGGGTTAAACTGAGCGGAAACTGAACGATTATGACCCATTGAAGTAATTCAGACAGTTAGAGCAACTTGACAACCTGTCTTCATTCAACAACAACTGACACTACAACTTACATGCATCCAATACTCAATTTCGCATATGATCCTATCTCGTCAGTACGAACCCGTAATCTTCGTAATCTATCTGAACAGTGTTTACTCTCTGGAACACGTGTTCTTCTTGGCTATAAAACAGATATCCACCCATAAATTTTTTCATAGCTTAAATATAATTTCTTTTCGTCAGCACGTAGATGTTTTATAGCGCTGATCAAGAGGAACCCTGGGTGAGGAGTGAAAGGTCAAAGTTGTCCTACTGCTTTGATAGCTGACTTTCAGACTCCCCATCATGCGAAATTACGTGTTTCTTGATTCTAGACCCGCGGACCATTGAACCGCCCTCAGGAGAACGAGCTAATGCCGCTACTCCTAGTAAGTCTCCAATGGCCTTCAAATAAGGTTCATTTTCAGTTTCGCTGCTTCTCCATTCATTTTTATAAATGCACATCAACCTCCTCTGTTCTTGTGTTGCCACGATGCCCACTTCATTGCCGGAGTCAGCCTCAGATTAATCGTAGGATAGAAAATATGTTGAGAAAAATACGAAAAAAAAATGATAATTGCATGTTTTATATTATAATGATAAAAAATTCTAGCAAATTGGTTGAACATAAAATATGATGACTTTTCCAAAGACATATGTTCAAAACTGGGGATTCAGAAAATGAAGATGGGCGGGACTGGCAAAATGGGCGAAGGATTCGACTATATCGATAAAAATTAGAGGTGTCTCCTAGCGAGGTAGGCAGCAGGTCGGGAATTCGGGTCGAAGGAGAGAAAGTAGTTGATAACGCAGAACAAATGTTCCACGTTGTAGTTCGTGTCACCTTTACGGATGTTATCCTGTAACAAGTTAATTGAAAAACAGCTAATCACTTTTCAACTCACCATGAGCAATGGAAACGGTCCAATTTCATCCTCCCAACTCTTGTTGTCAAGTATGTCGAGATACTTTTGACTTCTAAAAACAAAATCATTACTCATATCGACCAGGTCTATTGCTTACCGGCTAGCTTTGGCGATCTGGTCACGCGATGGTTTCTTATTCAGCACAGCCATCATCATGAAGAACTGGGCGATCTCCGACGGTCTGTTCGGTTCACTTTTCGGTCCATTGAACAAAATTTTGCCCGTGTAGAGCTCGGTGAGTATGCAGCCGACTGACCATATATCCGTTGTATGTGTGTATGGCAGTCCTGAAAACAAATAATTGAAATTCAATTTCCAAAAACACAACTGACCAAGGAATATTTCGGGAGCTCGGTAGCATCGCGTCTGAACCTCTGAGAAGTGTGTCTTGCCTTTGGTGAAGACACCTGTACTCCCGTAGTCTCCGAGCTTGATGTGCAAATCGTTGACCACGGTATGGTAAGTGTTGTCATCGACCTTCTTCAATTTGACATTCAGATTCGGATTGTTGAAAAGCATGTTCTCAGGCTTCAGATCCAAATGAGCAATTCCTAATGTGTCGAGAACCTCAATGGCTTCCAAAAGTTGTTTCCCTATATTAAATATGTCCTCCACCGGGAAGGAATGGATGACGCCCGTCATAGATTCTGCTGCCCTCTTCATCACTTCACGCACAGATGGTCCTAGCAGCGGCATGAGAATCATCCATTGAGCACAATCCTCCACTTTGGTTTCAAGTTTTCCGAAAGTGCACAGAGGCATCAGGTTTTTGTGGTTTTCTCTGCCGATTCGATCCGTTATCTGGAAAAATCACTTTATAAAAATTAAATTGCGAATAGGTAACTCACATTCTTTTCGTGATCATGAAAAAATGCTACATCATCGCAGTTCTTCGACAGTTTCATAGCCCATGCTTTCTTCTAAAAAGTTATATATATAAAGATAAAAAGAGTTTTAGGCGTACCTTTTTATCAGTCACGTGGTATACTTTTCCAAAGGTTCCCTCAGCAATTGGCTTCACTATGGCGACTGAAAAATGCATTTGTTGTGACTGCTTCCTAGCTATCAACTCACACTTCTCGCCGCTTTCTGTAACCACCGTTTGTCGTCTTCCTCTGGGGGCCGGAGATGTGAGAACAACTTCCACGGATATGGACAAGGGAGCGTTTTGCGAACTTTCAGCTTCCGACTCTGATAATTCGTCAATTTTTGCCTTTTTGGCCCGCACATCAGACCGACGGGGTTGCTTTGTGGTGCGCTTTCTGGCGTAGCTCATTGTTATCCTGAAATGATAGTGATTAGGACAAACTAGTTTCCGAGCTTCAAATTAAATGAACGGAGATGGAAGAGAGAACACAAAAGACAAACAAGAATAAGATGGCGAGATCATAGCGGGGAGAAGAACACAGAGATGGTCTTTGCAAAAAAGTGCCGGACAACGAAGAGAACACCGTCTAGGCGACTAGCACCGCGGAGTGAATAAGGAAAAGACTGCGTGGACAAGAGTGAAAGGATATTAGATTTTGCGCACGCACCTGTAAATCGATATGCTGACACACTCGCAGCGCTCCGCATACTGCAGGTCACAGATACCGTCTTCCCCCAGGCAAAGACAGTGGGAAGGTCTTTTAGCAAGCCTTCTTGCTTCACCGATTGGAATGCGAAAATGTAGAAAAGCACCAGTTATTTCAGGTGCCAACTGCCACGGAAGACGCGGGTTCTCAGAATTTGACACAAAGCCAAAGCTTTCATAATAGACTAATTAGGAAAAACATAACTTTACAAGAAACTCACCAGCTATTGGAAAGAATAATTGAGCTACTTGATCAAGTTTCTAGAAATTGACGGGCTAGAAGAGAAAAAGTTGCAAGAAGAGCCTGAAAACTGCCGTAACCAGTTACCCCTCAGAACGAGGAGGAGGACTGCGTGCTCAAGAATGGTGGACCGTTAGGGATCGTTAGGTCAGCTCACTCGCAGCGATTTGCGGGCCGCTAGACTCTGCACCGCGACCTTCCCCCAGGCCATGACGGTAGGAAGGTCCCTTATCTCTATTGCCCCTATTGGATGAGAACACGAAAATGGAGAAGAACAGATGGGGAGGAGTGAGTTTATGAAACGCACTGTACTACAACGCACTGCATCGCTTTAGGAATCAACTTGCACTTAAAGGTCACAATAAATTTTTTTTAAATGAAATTCTAAAGAATTATGAAACGAGAAGCTGTCATTTGCTTCTTATGTGCTTCATACAGTTTTGGATCGACAAAACACTTCTCCTAGTATACATACTGGCCGTATTCCTATCAAAAGTACTCGTCTAGCGAACACCCTCAGCTGGAAGCGTTCCGTTTTTGAACATAGAATCTGAACATATATTTGTGGTCAGTTTTCAGTAGTCCCTTTCTAGGGCTCTTTTTTTGAACGGGAATCGATTCGTGTTGGCACTCACAGGTTCATATACATAAAACGAGATCATAATAAGAGAGTGAATAGCACCCGGTCATCAAATACGAGTATAATTACTTACAAATATAATAATATTGGGAAAAATAATGTTGAGGGGACCTATACAATGAAAGTTCCTCGAGGTTTTGCGTTGAAGGCATCCGGGAACATGTCCTCCTCGTAGGCGGTGTGGTACTCGAACAAATCGTCAATGTACTCCTCTTCGATGGTGCAATCCTTGCGGACAACCTCATTGGCGATCGAAGTGAACGGAAGCGGAAGACGGTCCTTGTCCGACTGCTCGTCGACGTCCTGCCACTTGTCAGTAATCTGAGCCATCCATTTGCCGGGCCATTCCATCTGAAATCAAAGAATACGTCTCCTGTCAATGCCTTAGCTAGTATAGTTCTTACCTGTTTGGTTCCCACTCCAGCTATCAGGTATCCGAGCTCGGCGCTGAAGTAGACGGCGCAGGCGGGCGGCACCATGACGAAATCGTACTTGTGGTAGACTCCGACAATAGCGATCATGTGCGAGATCTGGAAAAAAACCGTAACTCAATGGAATCAATTTTGAAATTACTCACCCGGCAAACGACACGGTATCTGGCAAAGTTGAGAGCAGTGCAGAGAGCCATCGGGAAGATGCTGAGCGTCAAAACGGCAAACCACGGAATGTAGATGGTGTCGTCGATTTGGCCGTGCATCGAGTAGAAGGCGAGAGCAGCGATGATCATCTCGACGGTCACGAAGAATTGGAGGCTGAACTGAAAAAGTAATCATTATTTAGGTATATAGCAAAGCGAAGCACTCACTCCCATATTGCGTATCTTGACCATCCTGTCGAAATAATTCGGGAAGCGCATCATTGACGAGAAGCACTGGAAAATCAGGTTGAATTGACTTGAATTGACAAGAACGAAAGGCAACTAAAAGAAAGAGGCGAATGGTGTGACAGATGAGAATGATGGGCGGAAAGGGAAAGGGAGGGGGACACGCGTTTTCCCGCCAAAAAATGTTGCGGGTCAGTATCGCTGGGGCTGAGCAACGTCTAGACGGTTTTTGGCGTTTTTTGTGAAACAATTCGGTGTAAGAAAAAAGGCTGGCATGCAATGAGATTTCGCCAAAAAATATGAAAGTCGAAAAATTCGATCGTTGACTGACAATGAGCCAGATTCCATTCTCACGCGGGAAAAGAACACGCAATTACGTGATGAGAAACGGAGAAAACGCGCACAAAAACCGAAGAAAACCGAGCAGAATGACTGACAAACGCGCAACAAAACACTGTGAACGTGTTCGTCCGAGAGAAGTACACAGGAGTGCGGTAGAGCGTCTTTTGCGAGCCCTGCCATGACGCGTCGACGCTTGAATCACGCATCTGTTTGTAATTTTTCTATCATTGCATGCCAGCTTTCTTTCTTACATCAAATTGTTTCGCAACAAAAACGCCAAAACCCGTCTAGATACCGTGTCGTTTGCCGGGTGAGTGATTTTAAAATTGATTCCATATGAGCTATGGCTTTTTTCAGATCTCGCAAATGATCACTATTGTCGGAGTCTACCACAAGTACGATTTCGTGCCGCCCGCCTGCGCCGTTTACTTTAGCGCCGAACTCGGATACCTGATAGCTGGAGTGGGAACCAAACAGGTGAGAAATATACTAGTTCGGGGTTCATTGACAGGAGACATATTCTTTGATTTCAGATGGAATGTCCCGGCAAATGGATGACTCAGATTACTGACAAGTGGCAGGACGTCGACGAGGAGTCGGACAAGGACCGTCTTCCGCTTCCGTTCACTGGAATGGTGTTGAAATATCTAACTTGTCCATAATTTCCGAATCAGTTAGCGCAGGTGCCACAAGAATTACGAGCGGTGATAGTATTGAAATTACGGGAAAGATAATTTAGGGTTTATCATTTAGGGTGAGAGTGGGAAAATTTTGGCGTAATGAAGACAAAATGGGCGGTGAAGAGGAGATGAAAATAGTAATGAAGCGTGTCTAGCAACCAATTGTTCAATGCTATAGTTGTCAGCTGGGTATTCGCGATAGTTAGAAATTTCTCGTGACTTCTGGCTAAGCACATCCAAACATTAACATCAGATGAACCGGCGATATCAGAAAAAACTGGAGAACTTTCAGATACACTGCATACTGAACATCATTTCTTCAAAGGATGTTCCAGTCCACGACAATGCTCTAGACCAAAATGTGCCGTAATTAAATGTCCTCCGATCATGATAACTTATGTACTGTCAGCAAAGGTCAAGCTCGACGACAGCAGCTACCAGAATGGGCGCTGCTCTCACGACAGCACCTTTCAAATGGACGATGCTCTCACTGTTGTCGTGAGAGCAGCTCCCATTTGGTAGCTACTGTGTGAGAGCAGCGCCCATTTGGTAGCTACTGTCGTGAGAGCAGCGCCCATTCCGTAGCTGCTGTCGTGACAGCAGCGTCTATTCCGTAGCTGCTGTCATGATAGCAGCGCCCATTCCGGAGCTGCTCTCACGACAACAGCTACTAAATGGGAGCTGCTATCATGACAGCAGCTACGGAATGGGCGCTGCTCTCACACAGTAGCTACCAAATGGGAGCTGCTATCGTGACAGCAGCTACGGAATAGACGCTGCTCTCACGACAGCAGCCCATTCCGTAGCAGGGGACATTTAATTACGGCACATTTTGGTCTAGAGCATTGTCGTGGACTGGAACATCCTTTGAAGAAATGATGTTCAGTATGCAGTGTATCTGAAAGTTCTCCAGTTTTTTTCTGATATCGCCGGTTCATCTGATGTTAATGTTTGGATGTGCTTGGCCAGAAGTCACGAGAAATTTCTAACTATCGCGGATACCCAGCTGACAACTATAGCTTTCAACAATTGGTTGCTAGGCACGCTTCATTACTATTTTCATCTCCTCTTCACCGCCCATTTTGTCTTCATTACGCCAAAATTTTTCCCACTCTCACCCTAAATGCTTATCTTTCCCGTAATTTCAATACTATCACCGCTCGTAATTCTTGTGGCACCTGCGCTAACTGATTTGGAAATTACGGACAAGTTCTCGAAATGTCTTCACACGCAAACTCCCGATTGTTGAAGTGAAGAAAACCAACAGAAATGTACTGAAAAATGTTGGTTTTCTTCACTTCAACAATCGGGAGCTCATAACTCGGTTGAAAATGATCCGATTGACACCAAACTTAAACATGCCATGTTTCAAACCTTCCTTATGAAGTCCCAAAAGTGGGCAATGCCAGCCTGGAATTTGGCGCTCAAGCCAGTCTGATCCTTGCTGGGCCTGGTTTCATTTTGGCCAAAAATCTGATATCAGGTGCTAGAGATTCGACATGCTTCAACAAAATTGACTTGAAAATGCTCAAAAACTAGTTTCAAACAAGATTTGAATCATTTGAGACCATCGGAGTCCCCCGGCTCCACTCCCGAGCTTCACACAGAACATTAGGCTAAACCCGGGAGAGTGGCCCTAGGTGCCGTCGGCGTTAGTGCACATGATTTTAAAAAGGCTTTTTGAACATCCTAAGGGTGCGGAAAACTCTATTCAAAATCATGTTTATCAGTTTGAAAGGATTCCAGTGTTTTCAGGGGTGGCCCTATACTTATGAAACGCTTGCAGTTGCAACAGTTTCAGATATTTCAGCACCATTCCCCAACTATCCTATAAACTGCTCTCAAAATTGTTTCCCGGGGTTATTTGTGATGCTGATTTTGATTTTTAAAGTCCTGTCTTTGTATTTTGTTCGGGAATGACAATACATTCAATTTTAGGGGTGGCCCTATATTCATGAAACGCACTGTAAAGTAAGTTTTATTTTCATGCAAAGTTCAATTTTAGGTAAATATTGTGATAAAAAACGTAATTCATACAGTTTTCAAAAGGACATGTCGGTCCCTGAGATTTCCGTCCGGGATTTGAACTTTTTTGGTAGATTCTTTTCGAAAGGGGGAAGAGCAGAATTTTGTTAAACGAAAAGTCGATTAAAAGAATATGGAAGGGAAGTGATTCAGTCAAAAATCGAGTGGCTGCTGGCATCGGTGAAAGTAGGACGGTCAGACGGATCGAATTCAAGAAGGAATTCGATAAAGTCGAACAGCTCGGGAACTTTCGCTTGGGTTTCACCTTCACGAATTCTTTCCTGAAACGAGATGCGTAAGAAAAAAAAAATCATTGTTTGACTCACCTTCAGCAAGGGGAATGGCCCGATATCCTTCTCCCATTCTTGACCGCTGCAGATTTCCAAATATCGGTCATCTCTTTAAAAAAACAGTTCAAAAGTTGCCTTCTTTGACCAGTTCATTTGCTTACCTGTTCTCTTCGGCTTCTTCCAACATTTCCTGTGTTGGCTCCTGTTGGAGCACGGCCTTCATCATGAAGTATTGAGAGACGAGCGGCGGCCGGTCGCTGACATCATCGAACAGCAAACATCCTGTGTATATCTCGCATAAAATGCATCCGATAGACCAAACGTCCGAGGTGGTTGTGAATGGAAGCCCTGAAAACAAAAAATAGATCAGATTAGATATAAAAAATAATTTTTTAAAGAACTAACCTAAGAATATTTCAGGAGCCCGATAGAACCTTGGCTGGACCTCATATGCTTCTTCCTCCTCATCATCTTCAGAAATAATCTCGGCGCTTCCAAAATCTCCAATTTTGATTCTCAGATCCGAGCAGTGCGTGAAGAAAAGTCCGTCTTTTACTGCTTGCAGCGACACTTCCAGATCGGGATTACTGAAGAACACGTTCGCAGGTTTGACATCCAAGTGAACAATGTTGAGCTCTTCAAGCTTTTTCAGTGCGGCGATCATTTGGCTCCCAAATGCAATGATGTCATCAACGGGAAACGAATATTCATTGTCATAGTTCACTCTCCGACTTCTCTCCATCACGTCGAACAACGATGGTCCCAATAGCGGCATTATTATGATAATTTGCGTGTGGCCCGCTATACACGTTACCAACTGCCCCACTTTGTAAGCGGTTGCCAAGTTCCGATGCGTCGCCGTTCTCAAGCGCCACAACATCTAGAATGATTACATTCAAACCCAAAAGTTGATGGTATTTCATTCACTCACCATCCTTTCAGCTTTCGAGGACTGATTCACCTCGCTGTATCTTCCTCTAAATATTTTCAACGCTTTTCGCTCACCCTACAAACAACAATCAAATAGAGAAAGAAACGTTTTCAACGTACCATTCGATTGGTTACCATGACGACTTTTCCGAACGTGCCTTTTCCAATCGTTTGTATGACGGTGACTGAAAAATTACATTAAATTCTGTGCTTTTCAAGTATAATTTACTGCTTACACTTTTCACGGTCGTCCATTTTGATAATCCGACGTTTCGGGGTTACCTTGGGGGTATCCCTCAAAACCACCGGAATGTACTTCTGCAGCGTGAGCTGCTCTTCAGACTCATCCTCAGATTCGGAATCATCCGAGGAATCGTCCGAGAATTCGAACAACTCCTCTTCCGATTCATGTACGGACTCTGGTTCGGATTCTTCGGATTCACTATCACTTGAAGAGCCCGCCCGGTCCGAACGTACAGGCTTTTCCTTCTTCGCCTTTTTTGCCGAGCTCTCTTTGGCTGGAGCAGTTCTGGGGGCTGATCGCTTAAGCAGTGCCATGGTTTTTTCTGAAATGAAACTGATTGGAAGAAAAGAAAGTACTATTAAAGCGTGGTGTGAGAGAAGAATAAAAAAACGGTAAAAAGACAAGACGGCTATAAAATGGTTGGGAAATTTGAACTTCTAGGATAACGTGGTAAACACCTCAAACTTTTTTGCAAGAAAACGTTGAAACGGACAGCACCTAGCATGCATTTAATATATTTCATTATCAATGAACGTCGTTTTTCGAGTCTATAAATGTTTAGTTTCAACAGGATTCAATCGGCTTCTCAACATGATAAGCAAATCGACGACTTATAACTGCTCCGATACTGTACATGGTCACATGCATCAGTCACAACAGCTTTTGATAGATGTAATTTTTCAGATTCTCAATTCCACATCACTCATCAGAAGTTTGTTTAGTACAGTCTTTGAATCAAGTAAAATATCACTCTCATGAGACATTCAACCAACTTCTACAAAAAGACAACTCGACGTCCATCCGAACAGATCATCAAATTTGCCTGAAACTTATTCCAAAGGCACTGCGCATCTTTTTTCTGTCAATTCTTCATTCCATTTACTTTCTCTCACATCTCTGGAGCTTATTAGTTCACGGATTAACCTGTTCTTCTCCTATTTTCTGTACTTTCTTTATTCTCCTTTTCCAATCATTTTCATTCCCGTTTCTTCTAAATACTAATCATTCGATCTCAAAGGGTTACTTTCGGTACATGCGAAGGAATGTTAGTGTGTGTGTGTGTGTGTTTGCCGTGAAAGGGAGAGAGAGAAAGAGACGTGGGGCAGTGGTGAGAAAACCGCCGTGAAAGAAACTTCTTCAATGATTCAGAACATAGAAATCAGAGACGTACCTTTGTAAAACAAAAAGAATAGAGCAGTAAATGAACAATGAGAAGACAAAATTGTAAGAAGAGCAACACACAATGACCGACTGACTAAACGGGGAAGACACGTCACTTGAGATACACTTTCACACATGCAAACATTCAAACATCACTGCGTTTTTCCCACTACGGGACAAGGAAACTTCACATTCTGACTTTAGATAAGTTGTTCGATAAGGAATTTGCTATCTATCAAAAAAGGTACGCTTCGAAATACTCGGACTGTGCGGCGTTTCAGCTGCATTTCGTGTGCACCGTTCACATTACTTTGGAAGATGTTTTGAAAAACACTCAAAAACAGGGCAAGGAATTGAGAATCTAGCTATCATCTAAGCTCTAAGATTCGGCAAGCTTTCGTTTGATAAAAGGATTACCAATAAAAAGGTTCGCTAGATAATATACATAGAAAAGTAGATGAAAGAACTGTTAGGAGGGCAACGCACAACGCCCTGGCAGACTCACTAATGGGGGAAGACGAGTCATTTGCGTGATTCATATCTGCCTCGGATCTCGAGAAATTAGTCAAACGGGTCAGGACAGCTGCTATTGATTTTCCACGTAGGCCATTAGGCGCTCATCGGCCGGGCCGTCTCTGCCGCCGATCATCTTATCGCCGCGCTTAGAAAGCGGAGACGCAGCGAGCAGAGCTATGGAGGAAGAGAAGGAGAAGAGGGTCGCGTTATAGAGCAGCGTGCACCTCGTGCATGTCGACTCGTCTTCTCTCGTTTTGGGTCGGCCTATGGACTGCTGTGTGATGAATATAGATGACGTTGTTCACTCCCTCTGTTCACGCACTTGTCCACTTTCTTTTGATTGAGAGTGAAAGAACACGGGAAGTGTGAATATTCATATTGAAGATGTGAAAGTGAAACGAGCACTCAAACAACTAGGAAGGAGAAAAAGTTTATGATGAAGAAAAGAGAAGGCATGTGTCACGGAGAGTTAGACCCCATCGCCAGAAGTTCCGTTTTCTGGCGCCGCAGTTCCTCGTCCGTCATTTTCCCGCTATAAACTTTTGTCCAACCACCCGCCAGTTTGCCCAGCATCATCATCGTCACGTGGTCGAGATCTGGCTGTTTTTTGGATTGCTCCGACAGGCTCCATCTCTTCGCATCAAACACTTTCTGCTCCACTACATAGATGTTCAAGAGGTACATCAGCTCAATTCCAGCTATGATGAGCATTGGAATAGGCACTATCCAGATGTGAAATTGTTGTTCCGCTCGGAGTACTGTCACGGGAATTATTAGCTGAATGGCTGATGATTATGCCGAGTTTTTAAGCTTTGATTCTAACCCGTAAAACACAATGGGTTACCAATGTGTGCTGATATTTCAGAAGCTGAAAATTGTTGTTAAAAAACAGAATGCAGAGACTGAAGACCAATCGGCAAGCCAACGCAACTTTGATGTATTCCTCGAAGCATTCCATCTCTATCTGAAACAAAGCAAAAATGAATCAAGTTTTTAATGAATTCTACCTCATTGTTATCATTCTTCTTCTTTTTCTCATTTGTCATGAATAGCCACATACTCCAGATGATTGCCGCTTCAACCGCAGCGGACCAGTAGAACACATACTGGAAACATACACAAAATTAACAAACAAATACATTTAGAGTTCATTGGTAGTTCACCTTTTTAACCAAGTTCATTTGTGAGAATATACAGAGTTGGTTACTTTTTCAACTCAAAACAAATTAGGCATGCATGTATTATGATTTGATTAAGATTCAATTGTTTCCTTCTTTCTTCAAGTGTATTTTCTGGCAAGCTTGGAAAAAAGCCTAGGTAGAGCAGAAAGACGTGTGGTCTGCCTCAGTACGATGCTCAGAAAAAGCAATGATTGGAGGTTTTGGTTTGAAAATTATGCGCAGAAGAGAACGCGTGTAACCTGCGATTACTGCAGTCAGTATGGGAAAAGGAGACACATTGTGTTGAATGGCGTGTAGCCAATCTGGCGTTCCTGGTGTTCCTGGTACATACTTCTGCAAAATGACGTTCACCGTTCCTTTACCTACGTCCAACTCGTTTCCCTTCCAGTTAAAGTGCTCTTCAACTTACTACACAACTTTCTGTAGCAACGCATAGCTTACTTTTTCGATCCAGTCTAGTTCTTCACACTCTTCACACATTTTCAAAAAACTTTCAAGCCATCCAGAGCACACAGGAAGACCGATAGTGCCCCTAATCCAGCGTGAATGTATTTGTGTATTGACCCAATGTCAACAGGCAACAGAACCAGCTCCCGTGTGGCGTGTCACTCACACGTTTCACACACACACACACAATGAGCAAAAATTATGAAATTTGTGCCAAGTACTGGCGGTAGAGGAGGAGGGGGAGCACGCGGAATGTGCGGAAGCAAGGGCGCGGAAAAATTGAGCAGTCGGGACGGGAAAAGAATGTGTTTGTAAACTTTGGCGCGATTGGCAAAGACAAAAGACGGGGGAACTTTTGAGAGATCTGGAACAGTTTGACGTATTTTCAGATGTCCGTGATCAACACTTTTTGGCACAAACTCACACTAAGCCGAGTTTCAAGTTTCAAAAATAAATATCACTTGATTGATAGTCAGCCTAGAAGAATAGCCCTTTCGGCCTTAGGAACGATTTTAGACCCATGCCCGAGAAGATTTTTCTTTCCCTTTGGGTTCTGTGTCGATTAATGGCAAGTTTAGCTTCAATGAAATTGGTCACCACCTACCCAACTATTCTCTCTTTTACCCCTCCTACTTGAGCGATGAGCAACGAATATCGTCTTTCGCCCTTTTCATTCGTATTTCTCCTTGTACGCTCACCGCCGCCGCCGCCCATGTCTTTCGTTTTTGTTGCTCCCTCGTTTTGGGGGGTTTTGGCGGGTGAGTGCCCAGACAGCTGACTAACTAATACAAACGTTCACTTTTTCAAGCGCCCTACTTTTCCACCTAGAACAAGTGGCTCGACAAGCGTGGCCTCTGCGTTGCCCCTTTCACAAACATTGACAGGTATCTGGTCCCCTCTCCTCCCCCCGAACTTTTTCCCTCCAATTGTCCCTTCACTAGGTCTGACATGCCGCTGCGTGCCTGTGCTTGTGCTAATCGCTAAAAATTCAGTCAGTGCATTGCGGGTGGAAAAAGCGTCGAACACAGTGGCGTGAAGCGAGAGAGTGTGGCGCCGTGAGAGACGCAGAGTAGGCGTTGCCAATCACCGGAAGCGGCGCGGAAGGCTCCGCGAGCCAGCTGCCGCGCGCGCGGTGAGAGAGAGTGAGAGAGGCGCGCGGGCACCCAAACTCCTTCATTCCGTCACTGACTCGTCTTTCCGCAACCACAAAACTCCACTTTCGTTTCTTTCATCTCATTTACGTGCCCCTGGTGCAAGTTATGCATAGGGCTTATGACCCGGGACAAACGATACGCGAAAAGAGTTTGAGCTCTGGAAAACTTAACTCTGAACGCTTTTCTCATGACGCCAAGAGGTTTGTAGACTTGTTCCCATAGGTTTTCATTTCTTCTTTTCTTAAAAATCCATCATTTCCCCAGATTTTATCGCTTTCTATCGTAATCCTTGTTTTCCAGGGAGATGGAGAATGGAGTCTCCCGTTCTTCTCTCGTTCACGGTACTCAGGCGAACCCAAACTCTGACACCTGGTACGATACCGACGCATTTCTACTGGTAAGTTCTTCTTCCCCACTCCTCTTCTTCTCAAAACGTCTATCAACCGTTTGCATCATCTTGAGAGACTCTATTCCTCGCTTTTTCGTTTATTTTTTCTTTCAAGGCGAGAATCGCCCTTAAGATATCAAATTCGTATCGAGTGCCGATTCTCGAATGTCTCTCGTCCCACTTTGCACTATTTCGTCACTCACTCGCTCACACTGTATATCCAAGCCTCTTCTCGTGCGCGAGATTTCACATCATGGGCGAAGTTTGATCAAGTGGCCAGCAGGAGCACCACTACCCCTGCAGCAGCGGGAAAAGAGTTGAATCGGAAAAACAGTTGGGAGTTTTATTTTGAGGACAGTAGCCTTTTGATCAAAAGCATCCATCCGCATCATCAAAATATTTGCTGTTTGTGTTTACGGAATGGAAAAACCAACCGACATGTCATTTCGGCCGGAACGTCAGAAAACAGAGGCCTGAAGAAAACAATGGCGGTGACGTTTTTGTGCTAATTGGTGTCATTTGAGATGTTTCGGGCGAGTCGGCGGCTTGGGATTACGTCATATTGATCTGTTGATCTGATGTTTCATGGAAGTTGATTCATGGACCTTGATTTCGAAACACAGAGTGCACTAGTTAGGAATATAATGATAAATCTACATAAAATCGGACGCTTCCCAGTGTCCCTTATATATTTGAACTGAACTTCTGGAAATGTCGAACTGATTTGCTAGAATTGAGAGAGTTTCCATGATTGATAGAGTCTGGTTCTAATTAGTGAGACTAGTGTCGAATTCTGTTCCGATGCTTTTGATTACATTCCGATATTAAACACGCATTTCCTCTGCGCATGCCGTCCCCAAAAAACGTTCTTCAAACTTTGGTGTCGTTCGTTCTCCGTCCCGCTTCCTATAAATTTGCCCGCCGAATCAGTTCGGATCGTCGTAGTTTCTCATCCGATTATCGGCTCATTTAACATGCTACTCGCCGTTGACCACACACGACGATGCCCAGGACGGCGAGCATATTCTGTTTCTTGTTTGCTCAATCGTTCCAAACCAGCTTTCACGCAAAAATGATGGGGAGGGAGGAAGAGTCAAAGAAAAGCTTGGAGCAAGTGAAAAAAACGGTTTTCGCGGCTCCCGTCAAGTGCCGCGTGTGTGCTCAGGCTTTCGGTCACGCGGCTCGCAAGCAAAGCGATCTAATGGACACCTTTTGACGTTGAAACAGAAGAGTTGATGATTGGTCACTAAAGGTGTAGTATAGCCCTTTTCACTTTTGAATAAAGATGAGCATGAGGAAAGATATTGACACTTGTTTTTGCGCGAAAGCCTTCCTCGTCCTTTGTTTCGCTGAATGTTTGCACACAATGCCACCGTGATCACAATATTCCGCCTGTACATGACATAATTTCTTTGCGGGGTGATTTCGAAATCACCCATTGCAATCTTTTGAATGATCAACGTCAAATTGCATAGTCTTATTGGTCTACCAATGAACTCTCGTGAAAAAGAAAAAGTAGCACTTCCGACAGGAGGAAAAGGAATGTGAAGCATCTTGAGAACGGACACTCAGACACTCGAGTGTCATCTCATACCCCCTCTTCTTAACCTGCCCTTTTACGAATCAAAAATCTTTAGGACCAAGTAAAGGAAGTGCTCAACAAGCTGAGCGAAGGATCAATTGACGATGAGATTTGGGGGAAGATTGTTATTATGGAACGGTGTAAACGTGTGGCGAAAGCGTACTTGAGGAAAACCACTGTTATCATCGATGGTTCCGAGGATGAATTTGATGGAAAGACACTGGGGTTTAATCACTTTGAAAACCCTACGAGAGATGATCATACCAAAGAGATCCGAGCAAAAATCGCTGACGTGAGCAAAACACAAATGATTTTTCTTAGTTTTTCACATATTTCAGGGTGTGATTCTGAAAATGGATTACCAAGGAAACATCAAAGGGATGTCTCGTGGAGCAACACCAATTATCTGTCAAGGTTGGAAAGAACCACGCAACAACTGCATATCGGATCGATTGGTTCGTCTGCACGGAAAACTAAATCATGGTGCATCGGAGGATGAGAAAGCCTACAAGGTGTTCGACATGCGGAAGTTTAAGCATGCTCTGGAGAGAGAACTTCATGATGGTACCCCGGATGCTCGGACGTTGCTTTTAAAGACATGTATGAGAATTGCATTGGTGAAGGTATGTGATTTACTCTTTCAAATTGACACAACTTTGTCCCAGGACGGTGCTGACATGAATCGGACGCCCTGCTGGTTTGCTGTCGTGAACTTGGTCGCCTTGGACATGATAAAAGAGAAGATTCCACAAATCAAATCTCTCCGTAAGTAATCTCATTTCTCATTCGCTTCTAATTATTGAGAATTATAGTGAATGGTAACGCGTTGCCAATTGTCAATTCACCGCCGCCATGCGCTGCGCCGGATGCGGCTGGCATTGACGCTCAAACATTGACACAAATCATTGCTGCCGCGGTAACACAGGCCAACAAGGGGTACCCGAAACCTCCGACTTTGAAAACTTTGACCAATGTGCTCTGTTTCCAGTGCGCCGACCCCGACCAACAACAATAATAGTCAGAATTTGACAATTTCGCCCGAGCAGTTAGCTCAAATTGCGTCTACAATCAGTATTGCCCAAACAAACACTTTGAGAACGGCCGATTTGGTGAAAAAGGAACGTCAGAAGTAAGATGAAGAAGAAAGATTTGATTCTGAAGTCTGATTTTCAGAAAACCTTACCACTGTTCGACGTCGTCATTAGATTCATCTGGCGAAGATTCTTCTGGTCGTCGCTCCGAAGCTTCTACTGCCGTGAAGTCGCGTGCAAAACGATGGGAGCAGGTTCAAAAAACCAATGAGAGAGAAAAATACACGGAAACTCCAGACATCAAAATCTTGGACGTGAGTTTCATTTCTAATGCTAATTTTATGTGAACTTCAACTGTTTCAGAAGTCTCGAGGAGCTCGTGCTCACCGTCCTTTGCTCCAAGACGTGATTTTCACAAGAAGTCACTCTATCACAAGTGATTATGATAGCAACAAGGAACACTTTGACTCGGGAAGCTGGAGTTCTACTCAATCCAGATATAAAGTTTGAAAATTTTCTAGATATCTGAAAAAAAGAATGTACAGGGTGGCCGATCGACGTCATCCTCTGTAGTTTCTGACCACGAACTAGCAGCTCTGGCTCGAGACGAACTCAAGGAAACAAGTGAGATCAGAGAAGCGAACGCCGTGAGCGAAGGTGAGAAAACACATTTTCCAATAATATCCTCGTTCATTTTGCACACCATCGTGTTCCATTTCATCACATATTCCCGCACTCCACCCACACGAACTGCTCCAATTCAGACGACGAGCCACCAACTAACCCACCATCGCCTGCTCCATCGTCAAAAGGGCCAACACTGCCACGCAAAGACTATAACCCGTCACCAACACCAACTCCCGAGCACGTTGTAGTCAGCACCCAAGTCCGCAGTTTCACCGCCTCCACCGCCGAGCAATACCAGCCGAAACTGGAGGGCGCGGCGGTGTGGAGTCCGCAGAAGCCCGAGCTCGCGTCACCGCTTCCATCGCCTCCGCCACCACTCCCCAAAACACCGCAACCCAACAATGGTATGCTTTTCATTTTGTTCTGTTCTGCATTCTTCAACCTGCTAGTAACTGAAATCTCATAAGTTTTTATTCTTCGATAAGTTCCACAATCGCACCCCTATAGGCACGAATATGTTCCGGAATCTGAAACTCAAATGGTTCCCATCATACATGGGTAAGTGTTCATCGGGCCTGAATCGATTCTCCTCAAACACTCACAAAGAAACTGCCCGTATTTATTGATTGATTTACAGGAAAAATTTTGGTTGCCAAATGGAAAACTTGGAGTCTGTGAATTCTTGAATTATATATTGCTCGGCATTTTTATGAATCCATACCGTTCTAGTTGTAGTAAAGCTTGTAGACAATATGTGGACATACAATATCAAAAATATAAATTCCAACGCTTTAATCCCCCGCTTTCGCCTCATCACACTTCAATTTCAGGTCTCCCCGTTGCTTCGCTGCCATATAATCAGAATAACAACGCGTAAGTCAAATAACTCCTGGATTTGCATTTTGATTTTCATTGCTAGTAGGGCTCCTGTCAAGCTTTCATTTATGTATTCGTTTCATTCATTTTTATTTCTCTCTGCTTCAGCTTCAAATCCAACCCCGCGTTTTATGAGCGCCATCACGAAATGGTAACTGTCATGGTTGTGTGGCTACAGTTTTCTCAGTTTTCTTGTGTTGCTTTGTGCCTCTCACCATTCAACCCCAAGCCGAACCGCTAATTCCCTTTGTGAAAGACTTTGAAGTGTCTGTCTCCTTGAATTCGTCTTATTTCCACTTTTGTGTTTCTTTTTGAATGGTTTTGTTGATGTGGCACTTGATAACTCGAAAATCTGTCGGGAAAATCGAATTTTTTTTCTGGATAAGATTTGAGGGTTATCAACGGTCTAACTACGGGTTGTGCAGGGGACGGTGTTTCAGAGCCAGCTTCACCCGCGCCGCAGCGAGGAGATGGAAGTTTACTTCGGCCGATCCCCGGTCCAGTCCGATCCTCCACGCAACCGATCGAGCCCGTTCGTCAGCGAGCTCCGTCAAGTGAGGCATCAGTTCACTTTCAGACTACAGTACACCATTTGCAGGTCCTCGAGCAACGAACGAGCGGTTTGCGGATTGCGCGCAACCACTCTCAACCAGCCGCAGCTCATCCCAGCTTGCGACCATTCGCCAACGCTCGCCAACTCCATCACGCCGCTACCCAACCGTACAACAGCGCCAGCAGCAACTGCAGCAGCGGGCGCAACACTCCGGAAAGAGCCCATTCACAACTCGTCGCATCTTCCTCACACCAAGTGCTCCGAGGACTCCGCAGAACTCCCAATCAACAGTATCAGGAGCAGCAACAGTCACAACAGTCAACACAACGACTCCCTCCATACAACTACGGCCAATCTACTCTGGTGAGCCGAAAAAAGTTACCTACTATTCAATTTATCCCATTTTTAGTGTCGAGAGCAAGCTCCAGCAGTTCGAGTCAACCGCACGGGATCGCTTCCATGGGGTCAATGGCAACATGTGAGGCGAACTCACATGTGATCAAACTTCAGCTGACCTAATCAATCAATTTCATTGAAAATTTCACTCAAAAAACCTATACAGTGAGTAGAAGCACTCAATTCGTCATAATATAGTGTACGCTCGCACTAGGTTTGTTCTCTCTCATCAAACCTTTCATCCACCAATATATCGGTTGTATGTAAATAATGGGACACTTTTCTTCGTAGTGTATTTTATTTAATTGTATCATAACTCTAACTCTAACTCTAATAATAATTATAATGCTATGAAAATGATGAAATTCCATCGTTTGCTCAATTTAGTTTCCATCCCTACCACTGTATTACTTAACAATCCCTCCGTAATTGTTTCTATTCGCGTACAAGTCTTATGTGTACTTCTTTACTTTTGCTCTTCACTTTTTGTAATCACTTTGTGATCCGGTAGTAATTCTATAGCTTGATGATCATTTCATTTTCTTCTATGGAAATAAACGCGTGCTCACTTTCATTCAGAGTTAGTTTTTTGTTTGAATTTAGACAGTGTGTGTTGCATTCCGGGTATTTCCAGGCTTCTAATTGCAAAATTTCCGAAAACAAAAATGGCAATACCTAACCCGCCATGGTGTCCGGCAATGGTCCTTCGTGACAGTCAGATGGCCCTCAGGGACCAGACGATTTTTTTCGGGATGAGTGACGATAAACGACGTTTTTCCTCTATCAAGGAGGACACTCAATTTTTTTCGGAATCTGGCCGAATCTTTCCCAGATTTTCAGATTTTCAAAATTTTACCGTTTTTATAACGGAAGTTTGTCAATGCAATCTCCCCCATATCTTAATGGGACCGTTATCGTGCCCGATTTCAATTGATTCGCGTGCGCGTTGCAAGTGCGCTCCAATGAGAAACGTCCTTGCCGCGACACTTCTGTGTACGTGTGTTTCTCTCTCTCCTTCTCTCTCTCTCTCTCTCATTGTGAATTTTTACAGTTTTTCTTCATTTTTCAGATGTCCACTACCAATTATCGACATCAAAAGCAAGATGTTATCAGAACACCGTGAGTAGTACCTTTTTTAGTAGTTTTTCTGCCGAATAATCGATTTTTAGAAGCCACGTCTACGTCGAAACAAAACATTGGGTCGAAGGGAAATGGAGTGTCAATCGCGCGCCCTACCCTCATGATTACACATTGAGAACGGTCCTCGAATATCTCAGCTCGCAAAATAACGACGCCGAATTACCGGATTTGATGTTCCTTTCGGTGAACCTAGATGAGCGGGAGGAGAGAACCCTTCTCGAACTCGCCACCGACGGACAAGTGGTCGTGGAGCTGCTGTATCTTCCGGAAACGTGCTTGGAGGAGAGAGAGTGGATCGGAAGCTTGGATAATCGAGAGAAAATTTTGGGAATTAAGAAGAATATTCTCGAGATGAATAACAGAACGGAAAAGACAATTGTATCGTATGTGCCGGACAGAAAAGAGTTTTTGGAAATGTGTTATGTAAGTCTTCGATTATTGTATTTTTCGTAAAACATTCACTACTTCCAGTTCTGGCCAACCTTCCCGTTCAATGCCAAACAGAACCACTGGGCCAATCGCCTCGGCGTCGACAAAAAAGAGCTCCAGGAGATGAGCTCCTTTCGAGTTGGTCATCTTGTAATCGATATGGACCGGAAGACGAAGAAGATGACTCGAGTGCGTTAATTTTTGAATTGTTTCATCATGAACATGATTCGTTTTCAGGCGGGATCCATGTGGAAAGAGCTTGTGGAGTTTGCTAAGGAACAGGAAGAGGATGAGAAACAGACGAGGGCGTTTCTGTTGCAGAACTGGAAACAGAAAATCGGAGAGAATGATACACAGTATGTTGTGAATGCACCCGAGGAAGTGGCGGATGCCAAAGTCCGCTGGGCCAATCCGCCGAAAGACCCCTTGAATAGGTTCTACGTGACGGTATGCGCTAAAGCCATCAACGAGTACAGAATGCTCGCCGTCCACCTCAATACGTCCCCCAACAGTTTTCTCGAAGCATACTTCATGGCGGAACCTTTCCCAACGACTGGAACAAAAATCACTTTCCGTCAGTACTGTCTGTTCGTATCCCGATGGGCTTGCGAGAAAGCTGGAGGAGTCCTTGACGTGATTAGTCCGGAGAATCAGCAGAAGTTGTTCGAGATGAACTTTCAAATGGATACCGCCGAACGAGAGGAATTGGACACTTTCTACGAACTCATTGGAATGCCTCGATTCCGGGCTAAGCCTTCGAAGCAATGAGAGCAAAAAGATAAATTATAAACACCCTCCCTTCAACTATTTGGTCTTCTTTCTTACCTTTATGTGTTAAAGGACCAGGGAACCCAAAAAATTTTTTCTTTTTTTGTGAAATTTTATAGTGACTGTTTGAATTGTCTCTTATTGCCTCATACACTGGTGAAATGCTGCCTCTCAAAAATGCCAATGAACGAAACGGCATGCAGTTGAAGTTGTGGCCGTGGCCTAGCGCCAATGGCCGAAAAATATATAAAATATATGCGCTTCTCGGCCATTTTATTTTTTCCGCTTTTTTACCGGTTTTTTTCCAAAAATTCACGGTTTCTACCATTTTTCAGTTGATTGACATTTGTTCGGCACTTGCTTATTTTTTCACTGCTAAAAAATTGTTTTCATTCAGTCGATATGAAGTGCCAAAATGGGAGAAACCGTGAATTTTTGGAAAAAAACCGGTAAAAAAGCGGAAAAAATAAAATGGCCGAGAAGCGCATATATTTTTATATATTTTTCGGCCATTGGCGCTAGGCCACGGCCACAACTTCAACTGCATGCCGTTTCGTTCATTGGCATTTATGAGAGGCAGCATTTCACCAGTGTATGAGGCAATAAGAGACAATTCAAACAGTCACTAAAAAATTTCACAAAAAAAGAAAAAATTTTTTGGGTTCCCTGGTCCTTTAAACACACTTCCCTCTCCACGTGTTTTCCATGACCTTCCCGCTTTCCGATCATTTCTCTTTAACTCGCGCAGCAGGAAAACCATCTGAATTGCTAAATAAAGTCTCAATGACAGTTCGAGCTTTTCAGCCAGACGCTCCTCCGCCGGCTCCGAAGTTGGGAGTCAAACATTCCATTCGATGAATTCGCGTGTCAGCAGCAAATGCGGTAGCAAAAAAGTGCTGAAATTGCGGAAGTTTTCTGAAAACGCGTTTCAGCATAGGCCACGCGCCTTTCACCGTGGAGCAGGTATATTTTTGAGTAGTACACCTCATTATACTTTTAATGTCTAGACCCCGGCATGAATGTGTTCCAAGATTATGCTCATCGGCTCTGATCTTTGAGCCGCACACCTGCTCTTGCAAACCAGCAACCAGCCAGTACTGCTAATTAGTATCCGTTTCCACCTTCAAAGGGCATCACGAGACCCGATGTCTGTTGTTTAGATGAGGCGGCAGCACACGCACACCTCTCTTCTCGATTCTTTTTCTGCTTTATCACGTGGAGTCAGAAGACGTACGTCAGAATTGCACAAATAACAAGGAGTGTTTATTGAAAGAATGTTACAAGCGACAGACAGGAAGAAGAGGTAGAAGAGATCAGTAATCACTTAGTTTCCGGGACTTTTTCGACGTCCGAGTTGTCCTGGAAGATGGCTTCGAACTCCTCCTCGGAATCGTACTCGGCGTCAAGGTTCTCATCGGCCGGATGACGACGATACATTGGCTTGACATCTTCCTGCTCCTCAGGAACCAATGGCTTCTCTTCGGTTTTCTTTTTCTCTGGAGCCTTGGTTTCGTTCTCGGGAGTGGTAGTCTGAAAAAGGAAACAATAATATCCACCTGACCCTACAGTCACGCTGAAAATGTTCTCACCACGTCAGGCATTGTCGGATCGCGAGCGAAGCAGAAGAGCCGGCGGTGAGTTGGTCGAAAGCAAGAGAGAGGAATGGAAGATCGAGTGAGCGGGGAAGAGCGAGTGTGGCGGCTGGGCAGCGAGTGCTTAGCAACAGCCTCAGCATCTGTCTTCTGTCCTTCTCTTCTTGTTGTGTTGAGCAGACTCCACATCCGCTCAAAGGATGAAAAAGAAAGCGGAATTGAGGGGATTTCCGGTCAGAAACTGATAATCCCGGGTGCGGTTATAGAGTTACAAAAATAATGGAATAATGCAGAGGTTCGGGGATCTTTTGAGGCATGAAAGCCAAACCATTTCGGTCCGTACCACGGAATGTTGATTCTGAAGAAAGTTTTTCAAAGGCCCGTGGTAGGGAAGGCGGGAAATACTCACCCTTCCACCTTCAACTCGAGAGCTACCAACTTTTTAGCAGGAAATCTTGAGTGGCAAACGTCCAAGTCAAAGGAGATTCTCTTTACGCTGCGCTACTAGAGAATATGTTTTTCTGATTCCTCACTCCGAAAAAGGAAAAGGTTCATCTTACAGCCTTTATTGAACAAGTAGGTTTTTTGGGAATAAGTTAGGTCGTAATCTTCAAGCCAGTTGGGCTCTCCCACGCCCAAGACACAAACAATCGAGTCAATTCTAGTCAATCGAAACAAAAACAAACAAGCTAAACCACTACGGGAACACGACAATCAAATATTACATGATACGAGAAATTTGGCGAAAGAGCTCATTCTTCGTCCGACTCGGACTCGTCTGCGTCTCCTCCGACTCCTTTGACCGCTCGCCTGCATCCTTGCGCCTCCGAAACATCCTTCAAGTACCGCTGCAGCCCCTCCATCGATCTCCAACGTCCTCGGCACCTGATCTCGTCCATCGAATGTCCCTGCGCTTGCAAGTAGTTCGCTCCGGCTCTCCTGAATCCGTGGTGCGTCGCTCCCGACTTCCCGATCGCCTTGAGCATCTTCGAAGCCAGGGCCGAGATCGATTGCTTCGTCAGCCTTTTGGATCCTTCCAGATTGGAGAACACGTACTCGCATGCCCTCTCCTTGTAGCGAAGTCTCCATCTGCACATCAGAATGTCCGCATCGCTGCCCGGTTCGTAGTTGAAAAACGAACGACGTCCCAGAGCCATCTGATCGTTCTTCGCCTTCTCCACAACTACCTCAATCAGATCTCCTGCTTGCGTGACGCCGTCCCACTTGATCTCGCCGCCTCCGACGCTCGCAGCATCACGCGGAACGACAGGATCGCCAGCAAGGCATCCCGATCGCTCGCCGGTCTGTTTGACTGCATCGCTCGCTGCGTGATCTTCTCAATGTCCTCCAAAGTCACCTCTACTGGCTTCTTTTTCATCGGAATCTCGAGTCTTCTCTTCATCTTGATGATGTCCGTCACAAACGTCCCGCCGATCTTGGAAAAACCTTCATTAGCCACCTGATACGCCGCCGAGATCTTCGACATAACACTGCTTCCGATCTTCTTCCCACGCTCCACGAGGTAGAGCAGGAACGACGAGCCGTGGACGTGGCTTTCGACTCGTACGGCACGAGCTTCAGCGCGTCGATGAGATGTTGCATCCGAGGTCCCGCCTGCGTCTCCAACTCTCTGACATACTGTCGTTTCGCGCCCTCTGCAACCATTTTAGACTCGTTTTCATTCTCTTGTTGGGTGGGTGGGCCGGGAACCTTGCTAATTCCGTAGAATGACTTTTCGAATTCAAATTCCGCTTACCGCGACCGCTTGGTGCAATTCGCTTCGAGACCCTCGCCTCCTCCAAAGTCGCTGCGCCTTTAACTTCGCTCGCCGCGTGCGCCTTTTTCTCCGTTTGTCAACGAAAAACATATTATTCTCTTTACGCTGCGCTACTAGAGAATATGTTTTTCTGATTCCTCACTCCGAAAAAGGAAAAGGTTCATCTTACAGCCTTTATTGAACAAGTAGGTTTTTTGGGAATAAGTTAGGTAGAAACAACTTGCAAAGCCCGGGGCCTTTTCTAATTGAAGTCGACTAAAGCCAGAATGAATTTCGATCTACAAAATTTTGAGTTGGTCGCTTCACAATATCTGGAACCTTCCCCCGGCACGAAAATCTCGTCGTTTTTCTCGTAAATCAGGTAATCTTTAATTGCCCTGATGAAATTTCCTCTACCATCTACCAGTGCCTGGAAAGACGGATGACTTTTCCAGACTGGCGCCACCAAAACCCCTCGCAAGCGCTCTTTTCGGGCAACTCCCATCAATTTCGGGATGAGTACCGGAGGGGGTACCCACCAAGAAAATCCCATTCCTTTGGCTCTTCCGATGTGATCGAAGACGTCGACTCCGCTGGTTTCCGGTTCTGGATATCTGGAAAAAAACAACCTCGTCTTCCTGTTCTTCGCGTCCGCGAACCAGTCTACTTCTAGCTTCCCCCACAGTCTCTGTGCAAGGCTAAACACCCTCTCGTTCACTCCCCAATCATCGAAATCAAAATTTCTACTTGCCTCGTCGGCCTCGCAATTCTGTTCCCTCGGAATCCACAAAAACTCGCTTCCCCCCACTCTCTGCAGGTTCTCCCACACTTTCTCCGCAATTGCGTGCAGCTCCGGTTTCATGGAACCTCGTCTCAGAATGCTGACCGCTGCCTGACTGTCCACCAACACCTGGATGTTCCCTTCTAACTCTCTTCTCAACTTGGCCGTGGCCCACTCTACAGCTCGCAGTTCCCTCATCGCGCTCGATTCCCTCTCGAATTCCGCGTCTCCTCTCTCTGTCATCTTCCAGACTGTCTCTCCTTTCTTATCCTTCAGCACCGCGCCGATTCCTTTAGCGGAAGCGTCGGTGTACAGAAACCAATCGATTTCCACCTCTCTCTCTTCTATTTGTCTTCTCAGCACTTCTTCACCTCTTCCTTCCCAGAATCGCAGTTCTCTCTCCTCACCTTCCGACTTCCTTTTCCTCGTCGTCGTCGACACTCTCCTCTTCTGGGCCTCACCGACCTTCTGCATCAGATGCCGAGCCATGGCTACACCTTCATCTCCTGCAACAACACCAAATGATGCCAGGCATCCAAGAAACTTCATTCGGTCCAGGACCGACGGAGCCGGGCTCCTCCTCAGCTCCTCCAGAGCACGCCGCCACGCGGTCATCCTTCTCTCAGTCCCACGGACTTCTCTCGCCAACAGATCGCCTCTGTATCCCAGCCATGTGAACACTGGCGATGGCGTCCAAACCGATTTCTCTTCGGCTACACACACTCCTGCCTCTTCCAGGTCCCTCCTCACCACTTCAACCGCCTCTTCCACTTCTCGTTCCGTTTCGCCTAGGATGAGACCGTCGTCCAGGTACAGTATCACTTTCATGCCCCCCGCTCTCCACTTATGCACTAGCGTTTTGAAAAGTTTCGTGAACAGCCACGGGGCGGTTGCCAACCCAAAGGGTAACCCTCTAAACATAAAATATGGAGCCTCGGGTGGATTAGATAACGAAAAAGCTAACAAGTCTTGCGACTCTTTATGAATCATGACATGGTGATACCCCGATTTGAAATCAAACGTTGCTGCGAAACTCGCTTTTTCTAGGAAAGGCCACGCCGTTTTCATGTTCTCTAACTTGTAGTGAGGAGGAGGAGCCAGGCACTTGTTCAATTCACTCAGATCCAAGATCATTCTCTTCTTCTCACCTTGTTCCACCACGTGCAGTGGCGACACACATCTCGGCTCGATGTCCGACATGATGAGCACCTCCTGACCGATCAGCTTCTTAATTTCTGCAAAAACGAATTCGCTGTGTCTCATTACCGACGGCCTCATGCCCTGCGGCTCCGGCAAAATCACACTCTCGTCGAACTGAATCCTAAACCCGGATTCTATCACGCTCAGAATCCAATCTGTCCGGCAATTCCTCTCCCAGAAGTCGATGGCCCTGGATAACCTATCTGGGAATCCCTCACCTTTTCTGCTCACACTCGTTGGCGTAGTGACCGAACGTGTTGCACCGAAAGCACTTGATCGACTTCTTTGGCTGCTCTCCACCTTGACGGGCACCACCACCATCTTCGCACAACCTGATCCACGCGGAAAAGTACCTAAAATTTCTGATTCACCCTTCCGGGCGCACGAAGAATACGTAATTAGCGTAAAATTTCACGATTTTCGACGAATTTCTCGTCAAATACCCAATTTTCTAACACAAAACTTTCGAAAAAAGCACAAAACACAACAAAAATCTGTCAAAATCAAACGAAAAACGACCTTGCTAATTCCGTAGAATGACTTTTCGAATTCAAATTCCGCTTACCGCGACCGCTTGGTGCAATTCGCTTCGAGACCCTCGCCTCCTCCAAAGTCGCTGCGCCTTTAACTTCGCTCGCCGCGTGCGCCTTTTTCTCCGTTTGTCAACGAAAAACATATTATTCACTCAAACGGTGGACGATCGCTATTCCTTATTCTCTATTCTTCAATCTCTAATCCGCATCGAGCAAAGACAATTGGAACGAGTCGGCAACCCGATCGAAGGATTATGGCATTTAATAGCTGGAAGTGAAATTATTGTTGTTCATATTTTCAAATTATGACGACTCACCGCGCAAACAGCTCATTGATCACTTTCCCAGGATGGATAGCCCCCCACCCCCGGAAAACTGCAAAAATCTCCCGGATATGTGTTTTATATGGATGAAAACACATTGCATACATAAGTCAATGACCAATTCTAGACAATTTTAACGACTGGGATGGAGGAATGGGACTACGCTTCGATCATATCACAAACTTTTGAAAGGGTAGCTTTAGAATAGACAAACAGAGCTTGGAATATCGTAAAATTCCGATAGACATAACTTTTCTTACCACAGACGCTGTAAAGGCACTTCAACTAAAAAATGAAACAATTTGAGGAGAAAAAAAAAGAAAATTATCCCAATTTTAAATAAAAATGACTGATTGGATGATGCGGGAGACAATAACTGACAGGAATGATATGCGGGGGATGGTGGGTGAATCACTTGTCAACAAAACATTCGTTGTGTTAAATATAACTGGGAAACATTTTTCAGTGGGCTGAGGTTTCGTAGACACGATTATAATTGCAGATGGCTCCAAAAGTCACTTGTTCCCTCCGATCATCTCGTTCAACGTTTTGGCTTTTGGAGCGTTCGAGTTAGTTGAGCTGAGCGACAGATTCATAAATTGATCGAGACCAGCGAACGAGTTTCCAACCTGAAATCAAAAAGTATAAGCTTTACCGACACATAAGATTGCGGTAGGTTACCTTCGGGGAGGGACCACCCAGATCGAATTGTTTCTGAATCTGTGGCTGCTGAGTTGGAATGGCCGGTTGCAATGGAGCTCCTCCGAATGTCGGAGCGGCCGACGACGATCCAAAACCAGATCCAAAGTCGAATCCACTGAACCCACCGTTAGTGGTTTGTGCCGGAGCAGTTTGAGCCACTGGCGCAGCACCAAAATCGAATAGATCCAAGCCTCCCGATGATTGAACAACCGGGGCCGCCACATGAGCTGGAACCGCTTTGGCAACCGGCGAGGCCAGTTGCTGGAATGAAACACCATTTTTTTTCTGTTTTCTTCAACGTCACTCACTGCAAACAAGTCAATGTTTCCGCCGACAACGTTGTTCTGAGTGGTTGGTGCCGGTGCTGGCGCATCGAATCCTCCGAGAAGATCAAAGTTGCTCGGCGCCTTCTTTCCCACTGAAATATCATTGTTTACTTGATAAAGACGAGGTGGTGGCTAAAAAACCTTCAAGCTCTGAAGCCAATCTAGCTACTCACCCGGAGAAAGCGGCGGAGCGACGTAGTTCGACTTGGCCGACGGCGGTGCAATCGAAGGAACAGAGTCGAAGAACGAGTTGCTGCTCTTGGACGAGTTGGGAATCGACTTGGACTTGTTGGCCGGTTGCGACGAGCGCGAGCTGACAAAGTCGCCGAAACCATCCTCATCTTCGTCCTTCTTCTTGTTCTGCAACTATGTTTGACCGTGTCGATGAACAAAGCCGATGCTCATTCTCGAAGCGAGACTCTTAAAGGGCCATAGAGCCGCCAACTCGGAGGGTTCCCTGGTGCTTTAGCGCTCAAACTGGTGAGAGGTCATTCAGAAGAGGTCCTCCGCTTTGCTATGAGCCTACATTTCGACTAAATTGTGTGCATGTGCACCCGGCCATTTCTCAATTTTCTTCCATGCACAGCCAACACATCAACATTTTCGTTTTCGTGGCTAATGTGTCGTATCGATTTCGGCATAAATGTGCTCACCAAACGCAGTGCGTAGTCATTTTGCTGTACCTCTTTCCGTTTTCCTCCCATTACGTGCTCAGAATCCATTAAACTCACATCATCCACGAATCCAAGTTCCGGCGACGGGGATCGGTTGTTCGACGAGGTGAACGAGAAATTGGACACTTCTCGACTGTCCTTCTTGTTGTAGTTGTTCGATTCGTTCTTTGATGAACCTTGGTCCCACTTGTTGCTGTCGAAGGTCTTGTTGTTGTAGCTCGCGGCGCTCTTGATGTCATATTGATCGTAGCCGCGGTACTTGGACTTGTCATCGGCGTTCGCCTTCTGACGCTCCGCCTGCAGCTTGTCGTCGTCGTTGAGCAACTCCAGAATCAACTTGACACGATGACGGACTGAAAAGAGAAACCGCTAGGGAACGGGTGTGCACAAATCGGATCGCTCACTGTTGATTCCCTGATCCTTTCCTTTCTCATCAACGAATTTGTAGCTCTCGAGTCTTCGTAGCTCATAAGACTTGTCTCTCGCTTCGGTTACAAACCGCTCACTTCCATTTTTCAGCAGGTGATCAAGAAGGACCAAACTCTGAAATCCAGGTTTCATTCTTTTACGTCTTTTCTCCCTTATTACCTTGTACACTCGTCTCCACGCATCTTTGTTGTTTTGAAGCATTCTCATGAAGAGGGGGGTGAACACGTTGTAGAAGTCTTCCATGTATCTCCTGCAAACATTCCACTAGTTATATTTCACAGCGTTGGTGTTACGCACGATTTCGTGTACTCGGCAATTTTCTTCATTTGTGGTCCCGTCGGTCCCCACGGATCCTCGTTGGTTGCCTCACGAACCGCCATCTCAGCTTTCGAATAGTTCATAATCGCGTCGTTCCTAGAACTTATCGGCTTTTTTTCAACAGAACCGTTTAGTTCCGACACAGTGGTGTTTCACGTGATTCAAAACAGGCAAAGCTCAAGTGAGCACAGCTGTTTCGCCAATCTCTTAACTCAATCGTCTCGAAGTCTTCTGACTTTCGGCTTTCTTTCCACGTCTTTCCAAACGCATTGCGGTGTCTAATAAGAGGTGACAGAGGGCATAACATGCGGGTTAGAGAGCCGGCCGAGACGACGCCTTCCAATCTTTCAATTAAGCCGCCCATTCAGTGCATTTCCCTCTTTTCGAGTATCGATTCTGCTCCCATTTACACTTTTTCGCTCCCATTTCCCGCAGTTTTCCCGGAAGAGCAAGAAAAACTGATTTCGCAGCCTACTTTCCGTTCGGTCGAGTAATTTTTCAACTTTACAGCGTTTTCAAAGATAGAAAAGACAACTCACATGGACTCGGTCACTTTGCGCACATATTCGTTTTTTGTGATTGCCGATGCCGTGCTCTTCAGCGACGTGGTTATTCCGGTGAACAAATCGGACATGGCGGCGGCGCGTTGAAGGCCAAACTGTAAAATGGCGTTGTGAACAGGTACAAACAGACAAAGACCAATGAAGGGGAATCGATCGATCGAGGAAAGGAACAAGAAAGAAAGACGGTGAGAGAAGAAACACGTAGTTTGCGGCGCCGGCGGAGGAGATGAACTGTCCTCCGAGACCGAGAAAATCAATAAGCACAACGTGGGAGAGGGAGACACAGGAAGGCGTTCTGTTCGGTGGGCGAAAGCGGACGGGGCAGTGCATTATTATGTACATATCGAATAAAACCGGCAGTGATCGTCGAGAGTGAGCGAGGCAAAACCAGAGGCCGACACACTGCCGAGAAGAGAGCGAGATAGTGCGCGGTGGCGAGATACGCAGACAATTTGCCAACGCATTGGAGGAAAGTGCGCGCCGCCGAACGACAATGCAAACCGACGTTTGCCACTTTCTCAAGCCGTTTGTTTAAGGAAAATGCAAATTTGGAAAATTTTCGATTCTGTAAATAATTATAAGAACAAATGTAATGAACATATTCCCATTCCCAGAAAGTCTTCGAAAACAAAATTGGAGAGATCAGGCTGAAATAATAAGAGAGCGGGCGAGTGCCATTCACCTAACGACCACAAAAACAAGTAAAAGAGAGATTGATTTCAGACTTTGAAAGGTACGGAAACAGACAAAATAACATGGCGCCCACCATTCTACAATGTCGCGTCTACAACGGATACAATATAAGGCTCAGCGGAGAGGAATGAAAACATGTCCTGGTTTAGCTATCTGATAACTCTCCACTCTCAACTCTTTTTTGCTCTTTTTCTCGTTCTCTCTCCTTTCTCCGCTTCCCTTTTTTCAAGGCGACTTTCGCGGGCAATGGCGAGAATATCCAAATGAGGGGTTGAGAAGGTATGGGTGGCGGAGAAACGCGGAAAAGGTGTCAAAAAAGTGAAAAGCCTTCTGTTCTCCCTCTCGAATATTGGTCAGAATAGCAATTTGAAACATACTTGCAAGATTGCGGGCCGCGCCGAAGAGTTTGCTGCCAAGGACCGCACAAATTTTTTGGGAGAAAAAAAACGTGCGGCAAACTTTCTAAAGGGATCTATCGCTCCGCCAACTTTTGAACAAATTTTCGGGAAATTATGGTAGTATTGAAACTTGCCGGGCCTGGCCATGGCGACCCGTTGCAAGTCTGATTTAGAAGGAGATCAAGCTATGAGAAGTCGAGGGTACCGGAATACATACAAGGCTCTCTTCGAAGAAAAAGTAGTTAACGTCGACCACTCGGACAGCGCTTCCACCACCCGGTGGGGATCGTGGTCCTTTCTGGTTTCGCCCGTCGAGACTTTCTGCATCGAAATTGGCGTTGAGACTGTCCGGACTCTGAAAAAAGAACGAGATAATAGTGCAGAAACACAAAATAAATAATTTCTTACCTCTTTCTTCTCCCTCTTCTCTTCATCAGATTGATCGTTTGTCTTGCCATCGTTCGAACGTTTTCCCTTCTTCCGTTTTTCTCCGCTGAGCGTAGTCGGTCTCGAAGCGATGGAAGCGGATCTCCCGGATCTGGTGGATAGGCCGGAGCTCACCGAACTCGAACTCGATGCCACAAAGCCAGGGTTGCTGTAAGTTGCACGGAGAGTTCGATGCTTTGTCGAAGCGGAACCGCTTGACGACGGCTGTTGCGAGAACGGAACAGGAACATCAACGCCGACGGTGCTCTTCTTTTGCTTCGATTTCTGAATTGAAACATAATAAATGGGAAAGGAGTTTGGCTGCAATTCACCTTCGGGCTCTTTTCCTTCGTCTCTTTTTTCATTCCCTTGCTTGCGTAATAGTACGGATTTCTGGACATTCTCGCGGAAGTAGAGAAACAACCTGAAAAAGCGTTAGTTGCGACGAAATTTTCCGTAAAAATGCAGAAAACCGTTCAATCAACGTGCAAACTGCGATTAGACGAGAAGGGAACATTGCGATCATATAAATTACTTTTGTAATAAGCTAATGAAGGATAAAAAATGCGTCGAAACTTTGCAGCGGTACTTGAAAACAGAAAAGAACCCGACATTTCAAAACCACGATGTTTCGCAACTAGCGTGAACTACTTAGTGATAAATTGCACTGTTAAAGTTCAGGTTAGTTGCGAAACGTCGGGGTCTCAAAGAAAAAGTGACCGAATGCACAAAGCGACGTCGGAAAGACCGCGTTGTGCTGCTTCCTTGCTCTGCAAACCGACAAAAACTATAACAAAAACGAACGAATACAAGCGAACAGCTCGGCGAATTGACTTTTAGCGGCAATATGACTAACTGACGGAAGGCCACGAGAGAGAATGGTCCGGAACCGCAACGCAGCCGCGCCGTGCACAACAACTGCCCGCCAACCTGTAGAGCAAAGGGAAACCGTCCAATCGCAAACATTTTGGTGTTTTCTGTCCGTTTGAGAAGATTTTCGGTCACGTGCTTTGTTTTTTGGGAAGTTGAGTCGAAATCGTTTTAGGTATAGAAGAAGTACGCGATTCTTGTCGAGTTGCCGGACTTTTCTGAAATTTTTGAAAATGAGACGACCGATTCCCCTTGGTTTTGTCTGAACACAGTGCAAATGCAAGATGAAGGCTCACTGGCGTTTCGCAACCGCGACGTTTCGCAACCAACGGAAACAACTTTAGGCGGTTTTAGAAAGTCGGGTTGCGAAACGGTGGTGAGCCGTTCTGTTACTTAAAATATAACTCTTTTTCAGTCCCGTCGTTTACTATGCTATTTTCTTCATTTTTAATCGGGAAGGTAATGAAAATAAGAGCTAAATTGCCATTCGCATGCCTGAAAGTTCCCATTTTCTTGAAGGATAGTCAGTTTGGCAGACATGAATTATAAGCAATTTTCAAGTTTCCATTTTAATAACCCTGCCATCATTTTATTTTCAGCACTCCTCAACATTTTTCAGATTCGGAACAAACATGTTTGTTTGGAGAAATTATACGGCTTTTGCGGAGAACCGATCTGCGGACACAATGAAAACAAGCTTCTCACTGATGTTTGATTACCGCCGTTCTGTTATCGTTCCGATTTTTCTGATCTCCGATCACTATGAACCCTAAAGCTGTGAAAGAAACGATCAGAAGTTGTGTGTTCCATTTCTTTTAAACCTAAATCCCACTATGTCGCATATTGTGTCCGAATATCCCCATCAATGTTTGACCGAGATTATTTCATTGTGCTAGTATGTACATTTGCACTCACTCATCCATTTCAACCCATTTAAATGTATGATTTGTGCGGAGTGAAAGATCAGGTGCCATGTTGAAAGCAACGTGTAAATGAAACCCCGTCGCCTTGAAGTAGATAATCACTGGGAGGGACACAAACGTACAAAACAACAAGGTTGCGTCTGCGTTGCTGTAATCCGCTTAGGGAATGTGTGAGAGTGTGGAGGGAGATTTTTAAGACTATGATATGATGATTTTGTGTTGATAAAGATGATGATAGACCTGGCCCGACCCATTTTTCCGTTTCGAGATTTTTCTATTTCGAGTCACACAAAACAGTCAACGGTTTCTACGTCAAAGCGATCTATTCGCCGAATGAACTGACGTTGTTTTGTTTTTTTTGCAAAAATTGACCTGTTTGATACTGTTAGATGATTGGTGATCGAACATTGAAGACAAACAGTTGTGAGCCTCTATCTACTGAGAAACTATACAACTTCCTGAGTCGCGACACCAAACCCAATGACGTTTCTACAATCAGTACTGATAACACTCGTTACACCACATTATTACTTCCTATCCTGAAGGAAGTACATAGTATCAGAATGACGTACTTCTCATCCTTCGCCGCCACACAACCGATAACGGTGATAATGAAGCACCAAATGATTTTGCTTGTATGTAGTTCACACTGATCTTTTGTATATTGTCGCATTCGGCCGAGCGACCAGACACCCGAAACACTTGCTTGAGGAAGTATCCAATGATCTCGTTCACATTGCGCATGTGGCCGAGACAGAAAAGCCACCAAAGCCAACTGGAAGCTAGCTGCCCATTGTGTTATGAAATATGCTTTGCGTCGCAAAGACTTGCACTCCGTTTCCCCGGTGGTGTACATGAATGAATCATCATTGTTCGACAACTATTACTCGTTTTTGGGTTGCCAATGATGTTTGGAGGCGCAGACAGACTACACCAACAAGAATGTGTCACCGAAAGATTTCTTAAGAAATTCAACGTCATCAATGTTCACTGTACCGTGAGGTTGTCTCTAGACGCACACTAGTTCGCGTGTGCCTTCTGATCTGTCCATTTTCATTTCGATCCGACATTCATATACTTTTATTGAAAAAAGAGAATCCTATCAAACTTTTATTGTAATGTCACAATGGCCCAAATGCAATATTGCGAAATTTGTTGCAAAAAGCTCAGGAAAGTGGCCTAGCAGTGTTTGCACTAGACCAGGCACTGGTGACATACGACGTCCAGAACCTTTGTGTAGTACAAAAACTGCAGATCGGCCGTCCGGCTGAACTCACCTTTTCATGAATACGTTAGCAGAAGTGAATGAGGGTCAGGGTACGGATCATGGCAGGAAGCGAGAGGACTCCGCCCAGAGAAGGGGGAGGGGGGGAATGATTTTGTAAATTTTGTTCAACTAGTGGTTTGTGCCGACGGTCATCATTCGAGCTGTTTGTACAGCAACTACAGGATACTATCAGTTGTGTCTGATTTGAAGAAAACTATTTTTCCGTGCATCAACGGGGCACGAGAAGAATGATAAAACTCACGTGATTTGAATTTGAAAACAAATAGGGTCCATAAGGCTAGAGAAAAACTATGATGAAATCGAAATCCGAGCCGTCGGTTTACATGAAATTTGAGAGCCCTCACACCAGAAAGTTTTGAATAGAGTGCGCCTACGAATAAATGGAAGACGTGGGTGGGCGTCAGATTGAATGTTACTCACTCCTTGGAGCAAATGGAAGTGGGCAGTATGAGAACGTCTCGCCTGCCCGCCCGCTTTTATACGTCCCAAGTGTGACTCACTGACGCTCCACCCCTGGCGCGCGCCACAAAATAGTGTTTTTTGCGTGGTACCGCAGACACAAAACTTGTGCGTCTCTCTCTTTCCCATCATCTTTTGCGAGTTTCAGTGTTTCAAATTGGTTTTGATTCATTCAATTCCGTAAGCGTCGTCAGCACTGAAGGGGACGTCAAACTGTGAGTGTTATCATGCGGGGCACACCGCGCCCGCACACTATCAGTTGTTCCGGTCGGGTGAGACAGCTCGCACTTGGCAGAGGCGCAGGATTTGTTTCGAAAGTTGTCAGCCGACAGGCCCCCTGGATGACTCAACAAGTCACAATGCTGTAAAATGGGGTTAGGAAGCGACTGGAAGAGTGGCCAGTGTGATGAAATCCTTGTTTTCGGGATGAGTAAGAGACGCAAAGACGAAAAGTTCACACGGAACGTTTTGCGAGGGAGGGGGAGGGGGTAGGGAAGAAGAAACAGATGATGATGAGGAAAAGGAAGAGGGAGTACCCACTCAACCGCCCTTCGAGAATATTCCACTGATATTTCGACACATATTGCGAAAGTGACATTGTCATGCATATAAAAGGGCTTCTATCTGTTGATTCAGTCATTCCACTATTCCTATCATTGTAAGTTTTTAAACGTGCTCGGCAATCTTTGTACTATACAACTGTTCTGGCTGTCTATGCTCAGTACATTTGTATGGTACAAGAATGGCTCAAGTGCATCACTTTTACTGAGTTATTTTAGGATTTCAGACGGTTTCTTTAGCATTATTTCAGGTATGTGACGGAATTGTAATCTTTGATTTCTTTGAACACTGACCTAATAACAATCTAAGATCAAATGAACACAGTTCTTGGCCAACATAGTGTACAAAGAATCAGTTGATGATGTCACTTTCACGAAAAAAGACGGTGGCGGAAAAGCGATGAGTAAATAAAGATGAGTGCGGACAAAATGCATGGTTTGGCAAGTTAGCATAAGAAAAGAAAGCCGGAAAACCGTCATGAATCATCCGATTTGTCTCTCTTTCTCCCTCTCAGCCACTTATTGAAAAGAGTGGCTGAATCATAATCATCTGAATCATACTCTCGTTTTTTTTCCGAGGACTATTTGCAGACAGACATGAACTGTTCAAATATACGCCACGCACAAATAAACATACAAGAATAACGTCACCGCTGAAAAATGTTCAAGTTTACAAGAAATAGAAACGGGTTTTGAATTGGTTATGATGTTTACAGGCTGCAGATTCTATAGGAAGTACAGTTTTTGCAGAGCACGTCATAGATAACATGAGGTATGGAGAAGCAAACTGATAAATTCACTCGTGAGAATTCGCCCGGAAGTTACACCTTTGGTGCGGCAAAGGGCCGGGTCGGAGATGGGGGGAAACCAGTGGGCGAACTGATTACTTATTGACGTATTCAATCAAATCGTTTATTTGGAGTTCTCAGAAGTTAAAGGCGGAGAACGACGAATTTGATTACTAGAACGGTCCCTCACAAGACGTACCTAGATGGATAAAAGTTATGGCAAAAGGAAATTAAAGGGAGAGGGGGGAAAGATTAGAAGCGAGTAATGGAGGAGTCGATTAACAATTCGAACTGTAGGGTGGAGAGGAATGAGGGGTCTGTGGTGAGACCTCCTTCGATTGATCCGGTCCGGCCTGCGACAAGTCTGATTGTAAGCTGTGGCAGCTGGTGGTCTTCAAATAAAAAGCGATCCATTGATGCCGGCACAGTTAAAGCTACTGATGATAATAATTGGAAAACCAGAGAGAAGAACACGTGTTATGGAGGAATGCTTCTTGAAGTTTCGACTTTTGAACCTGGATATATATTGTCCACGTTTCATTTCATATGGCAATCAGTGCGACCAATTCAAAAAAGGCAATTCACCCCGAGACGAAAATTATTCAAATTTATGCTCCATCTATTCTCCTTGAACCCGGAAACAGAGATGGCGAAATGAATCTTTTTGAAGATTGACAATCCGAATTGGATGATGTCACCTCCCACCTCACGTCCAGTCGTCGTTCGGTTTTCCTGATGTGTGCATCCCTTTTCGAATGGTGCCTACCCAAAATTTTTGCATATTGTGTAATTATAGGCATTTCTTTCTCTCTCTCTCTCCCTTCGTCATGTATGATTGTTAGCTGGCGGTTTTCAGTGTCTTTACACTCGTCAATTCTGAGCAGGAGTTCTTTTTACGCGAGTCGAGTGCACCTGAAAATTAGAAGTCTTTCGGAACCTTTATAGCAAGTGTTTCCGATTGATTTCTGATTACTTTTACTCCATCCACTTCTTTTCATTCTTCTCGACGCGTGTAGCGTTTCTGGTTTCCCGCATTCATTTTCTTTACGCAGAACCAATTCGGAGAACTTCGGTTCCGGGTGTACATATTTCGCAATATGACCGTTACCAGCAGAGAAAAAGCGGAAGAGACTGAATTGGTGAAAATGTTGTGCGATGACACCGCTCAGTTTCGAATGAGGTATTTTGAAAAGGTAAATGCGAACCATCCGTTTCTTCTAAACTTTTCTTATCTTTCAGCTCAGAGCAGGTTGGAAATCGCTCAACTTGGAAGAGGAAAAGCCGATGCTTCATTATCTGTACCGCATCTTTTTTACAATAAAAAGTGAGCAAGAGAAAAAGATATTCGAATGGCACAACTTCTTCGATATTCATCACGATGTGAGTTTCCAGTTTTTTCTCTTCATCACATACCTCATCGCTTTCTCACATTCAGTTCCCGATGCGTGCTCATCTGGATAACGGAGAAGACCACAGAAAGTGTGCAACGATGGCAGATATTGTTGGATGGTTCAAGAGGTCGGAGAAGGAAAGAGACTTGTTGCGTCAGATTGGCAAAGCTCCGAAACTCATTTACTGTATTGGCCGGCAAACGAACCACGAGCAAGGCTATCTGAACCAGGTCGATCACACTGTTGAGTAAGCAAACGGTTCCTTTGTGTCGATACTACCTGTTTTTCCAGAAATCCTCTCAACGTTGCCGCTGTGATCCGGCCGGTCAGCTCGATAGCTGCCAAGTGCTTAGGAATGTCAAAACTTGACACCGCAGACGTGACTGTTTTCAAGTATGGTTTCAAGATCTAGAGAACGTCTGGTTGGAAACCCTTTTCCAGTGATCCAAGCCGGCTCCTCAGTGCAAAAAGTGCAATTTCCCTTCCCCTCCGTCATTCCGCCTCAGCTCTCCTGTTTCCCGTTACCGATATGCTGGAGAGACAGTTCAAAAAAGATTTTGAGAGCTGGAAGACTCATTTGCCGCGCACACTTGATGATCCTTCTGTTCCGATCAAAGGAGGATCGTTTGATAAAACGTAGCGATCGAATTTTTGACTGGAAAAAACTGGAACCACTTGTAAACTTTCAGACCTCGGCGGAAAAATGGAGTGACGGAAATGCCGGTTTTGTTACCGAGAAAAGTGGCGGGACACTGGAGATACGGTAAAAGTAGTCTTGCCCAGTTCACATCAGTTTTCAAGCGCATTTCAGAGAAACTGCTCACTTCGGAAGTATGGAAAAAAGTGGACGATGAGACCAAGGCAACTCTTCTCGAGAACCAAATCCGACAACGGTTCCTTCTGTTTGACGATGTATGTATCTAAAACTAGTACAACATGAAGAAATGCATCCAGCGGTTTCAGATCATCAGCGGCTGGAAGACAGCAAAAGAGCAAAATGAGAATCTGTCCGAATGGCTCTACAGGGACGTCGTCGCTCCTCTGCACACCCGCCGCTTTTCGACCTTTGAGTACTATCACTTTGTTCCGTCTCATTCCTACTCTATTTCAACAAAATGTGAGTTATCCTGTTCTCTTTTTTTCGGAAAACCTCTCAATTTCAGCCTTCTACCCGTTCTAGAATTGCCCGGACTATTCAACTGCCGATCCCCCTTGTTCTTCTTCTTCCCCTACCCCCCAGACACTCCTCATTTATAATTCGAACGAACTCATTCTTCCGACATTTTCTCCCGAATTCCAAATTGCCGACTTTTACGATGTCAGGATTTTCATCGTAAAGCCATTTTTCTCCTTCTCTTGGCTCTTCATTTGCTATTTGTCAGCTTTCCAACCTTTTTTCTGACGTTTGAATGAAAAACCCAATTTTTCACGTCAAATGAAGCTTTTTACTTCGATAAATCATTCGAGCTCTCGAACAGAAACGTTTTCCAACTGCTCGCCGGCAGAAGTTCTCTGTCTGAGTAACGTCTAGAAAAAGTCTGAGAAATTCGGAATGCGTCAGGCAGACTGAATGTGAGAGAAAGAGTCGACCACCTTTGGCTCCTATTTCTCACACGCGCACGTCTAGCTGAGGAGACTTTTACAAGGAGAACTTTTACGCAAACCACAGAAGCAACGATTCAAATTCTCAAAGTTTTGCGAAAACCGGACTTGTAGTTATTTCCTGCAAAAACATCTTTTACACGTCACTGAGTTTGAATCTCCTCTGCAAAGAACATTGGGGGGCTCAATTGGCACTTTCACTCCAATCTCCGAACCATTTTGATGTTTTCTGGTGCCCACGGTCCCTCTTCCTTGTGCTATCCAAAACTTTTGAATTCAGAACATTCTGCGCGTCGCACCTGGCCCACTTTCACTGTTTCTGGGACCGAATTATTGTGCACCTGTCACAATATTCCTTCTTTTCCACCTAAATGGGATGCTTGTCGTGTGACGTGACAACTCAATTTCTCGTCTCAATTCTGTCTTTATTTTTCAGAAAGGGATCCATTAAATTGGTGGTTTTGGGGTTTGCATTGAAGCTCTTCCGAGCACATTTCAATTCAGAAATTATGGGGGTGGCCCTGGCTTTTGTTCACTGGGAGGTTTCTTGAGCATTCAAACCGGAATGTGGGGAACGGGGGGAGTTCTTTGGGATTTTAGGCAATCGGTATTCTCATATGATCTTTCCCTTTCCCTTTTGCTTACTTTCATTTACGAATTATTATGCAACTCTTTGGATCTACCGCCGGCTCAACTTTCCCCTGTTCCCATTCCAATTCCCCTCATTTTCCGAGTTCTTTGAAAGTAGCCGCCTTTTCATTCGATACTCGATACCGTAACTTTGCTTTTCTCCTCTCTCTCTCTCTCTTTCTCTCTCTCTCTCTCTCTCTCTCTCTTTCTGATTTTATGTCAATCAAATAATTGAAATTAGAAATTTCGGAACATGATAAATGTCCTTCGTCTAGCGAAAATTCATTAACGAAACGATTTTCAATCACAAATCGCTAATCTCAAAACAGACGCTTTTGAAGGACGATGAAAGTTCCAGACGGACATGTAAACTAACTGAGTAAAGGGGAAAGAAGGTAGATAGTGATTTTTAGCGTAAAATCGAAGTCCCGTTGCATATCTGTCAGAAACGGGTGCTCCATTTCCGTTGGTCCCTTTCCTTCCTCGATCCCAATTCTCTACCGTTCTTCCTTCGCGACTCCTCTGTGCTTGGTGCCCTCTGACACAGCGGAAAAGTGAATCATTGCCCTCCTACGCTGCCCACACTTTCTCGTCGTGTCCGAAGGCACTTTAGAAGAGAAAGTCGCGAAGGTGCCCGTCTCGTCACTTCTTTTTTGAATATAAACATTGGGGTACGGTAGGATTTCTGCCTGCGACTTGGGGAATGAGATTGTTTTCAAATCGAGGGAATCGAGAATCGGAAAAAAATGAATGTGGGGTTCTGCAATTGACGAAAAAGAAATGAGAGTGGAAAAGAGAGGCGGTTGCGAATGACAGATGAGCTGGAAACAAAGATGAGGCTGGGGGCAGCCTTTCCTGACGACGTGGCAATTGATGGAAAAAAAATACCGTAACCCGACGTGAAATTAGTTTTCAGAAAATAAGCTTATTCTGTCGGTATTTTCATCTTCTTCTTCTAAAGCATGTTTCTATGAATCCAACAAGATGGAAAACGTTCCGATTTCATCCCTCTAATTTCGATTCCCCACATTAGGTTACTGTCGTTTCAATGATCGGAGAGTGCAACGGGCGACTGGCTGCCGGTGACCTCATACACTCCGACACCTGCAACTGCTCTCTCGGGGAAATGGGTTTGTTTTTGGACCCTGCCATCCAATTGAATCCAAAAAACTCATTGCACAATGAATGGGTTCAGAATACTGTAGTCGGTGAGAAACCGGGGGAAATCTGCTACACTATCTCACAAGAGTTGAACTCGATGTTCAGAATTCGACTGGTAGCATCTTTAAGATAGGAAATGTTCTCTTGCTCCTTCCTTTTACTTGTCATCAGTAGGATTCCACGTCACTGCTTGATGCTGTTTCTCCAGTTCCCTCCCTAAACCTCGAGTTCTGAGGGCTTAATGTTTACTGTTATTGTCGGAAAAAATAAAAGAAAACGTTTTCCTCAAAGTCTTTGTTTTCGAATAACATGCTTGGGTGTCAAAACAAGAGTACGGTAATTCGGGAAATCAGTTTGTTGACGACTTCTCCGTCACGGCTCGACTGTTCCTTTAGACGTCCGGAAGTTTCTTTAGACGACTCGCAAGCCCGAATGCCGACTGCATAAGTCATTTGATTCATCCCCGGAATTTTTTGACTTCTCAAATCTTCCGCCTCTGAACCGGCATCAAATTTCGAAGAACGGTCCCAAAAAGCAGCGTAACATCAATCAATGTGTGTTGCCACGTCACACAGTTTCGTCACGACTTCTCCGTCGTCTCAATTTTTTCGCAGAAGTTTCTAGCACACCATTCTGCGTCTCTGCTTCCTCGTCTGCCATTGGACAGTGCTGGGCCCCGCCCACCAGCGGGCGCCCTGGCCCGGTCCTTTCCTCTTCATTCGACTCCCTGCGCCGACCGCGGACGGTCGCTCCCTTCTCTCCTCTCTTTCCCCGTCCCGTCCACTTCTTCAATCGAAACCTTATTCTTGATCGGTGAGTTTGGGACTTTTCCTGCGTCGTTCGCGAACAGTACTCTCCTCTCTCTTTCTACTCACCCCTTTCAGTCATCCAATCATTTTCTCTTTCAGATTGGAGAAGCCGTTTTGCTGGGAGGGACCACGTCATCGGAAAGAAACGCTGGAATCGACTACAAGCGAATAAGATGGTTGGGAGGCTTAGTGAGTTTGGGATCCTAGTATAAGACGGGGGAGGGTTTGAACTAAAAATTAAAGGGGGGTGCCGGGCAGAAATCAAGCAACGAAGCGGAAAGGAAAGTTGTTGCCACGTCATAAGCTGTCACTCCTCGGTTTTCTCCTTTCTGTCCAACGATCTGAGCCGGCCGCAGCAGAGTCTTCCGTTCCGAGATCACGTTCACCCGTCTTCTGAAATCTTCAAAGACTCTCTCTCTCTCTCTCTCTCTCTCTCTCTCTCTCTCTTTCTATTCTACTCCTTGTGATCCACTTCTTATGTGGACTACAACTCGGACCGTCGTCACTCTTCCACCGTCGTATAGCCAGTTGCCTCGTCATACTATTCCGTTTCGGTCTTTACATATGTCGTCTCTTTCCTCTTCTAGTTATACAGTAAGCCCGCGGTGCATCTCTGTTCACACGTCAGTCGATAGACGGTCAGACAGCAGCGAAAGATCAATCCGAAAATGTCTCAAACTAGGTCAGAATTCCGGAGGTTTCTTGAGCATTAAAGTCGGAATGCGGGAGAACTGGGTAGATCTTTTGGATTCTAGTCAATCCGTCAGCTCCCATGGCCTTTCCCTTTCCCTTTCGCTCACTTTCGTCTTCAAATTATTATATAACCCTTCGGATCTACCGCACAGTTTCGTTAGAATTTCACACAGTTTCGTCAGAATTTCTCCGTCGTCTCGATTTTTTCGCGGAACTTTCTAGCACACCATTCTGCGTCTCTGCTTCCTCGTCTGCAATTGGACAGTGCTAGGCCCCGCCCACCAGCGGGCGCCCTGGCCCGGTCCTTTCCTCTTCATTCGACTCTCTTCGCCGGACGCGGACGGTCGCTCCCTTCTCTCCTCCCCCCCCCCTTCGCTCCTTCAGCCAATATCTTCTTCCAGCTTGAAGGAGACTTCATGAGTGAGAAGAACTCGGTTAACCGCTGGCATCCAAGAATACAATCCAATGAACCAATTGAGGATTTAGGTGAGTTTGGGGCTCTTACTGCGCCGGGAGTTGCGAATAATCGTTCCCTCTTTTCTCCCCCTGTCCCGTCAAGTTTCCTTCTTTCAGATTGAAGAGGACGTTTAGGCTAAAAACGGCAACGTCTTCGGAAGGAACCGGTGGAATCAACGACAAGCAAATGAGACGGACGCGGAAAAGGTAAAAGGTATTGCCACGTCATACGCCGTTTTCCTTCTCTTCTTTGTGCAACGATCTGAGCCAGTCACAGACGTTCTAGTGCCTCTTTCCGGCATGAAATTCGCCCGTCGTCTGAAATCTTCGAAGACGCTTTCTGTTTCACTGTGAGATGACGACCAAGACGCCATTCCGCCTGATTCACCACTTTCTTCTTTCCGTGTCGTTTACACCTCGGTCCGCTCTCTCTCTTCCAGTGTGTCACACTATCATTTTCCGCTCTCTGTGACGTCTTTTCTCCTTTGCCGAACTCTTCAGTAATCCGGCTCTCCGTCTCTGCTTACCCGTTGGCTTTTGGACGGACCGTGCTTCGCTCCGCTCATAAACGGGCGTCCTGGGCCGTCACACAGTTTCGTCACGATTTCTCCGTCGTCTCGATTTTTTCGCGGAACTTTCCAGCACACTATTCTGCGTCTCTGCTTCCTCGTCTGCCATTGGATAGTGCTAGGCCCCGCCCACCAGCGAGCGTCCTGGCCCGGTCCATTCCTCTTCATTCGACTCTCTGCGCCGACCGCGGGCGGTCGCTCCCTTCTTTCCTCTCCTTCCCGGTCCCGTCCACTTCTTCAATCGAAACCTTCTTCTTGAC